CAATAAATTTGGAAAAATGTTTATTGACAGATTTCTTGAGTTTTACAATTTTTGTAGTACATTGCTAAGCTGTAACTGTTGGTTTAAATTTTTTAAAAATGTTTTTGTGTTTTTTGTTTTCTATAGTCGTGTTGCGTTCAAACAGTAATGAATCAATAATTTTGGAAAAATCCAAAATGATAGATCTCAACAAGCTCTACAACTTTGTAAAAGATCACAAAGCTGTAACTGTTGATTTAAATTTAGGCGAGTTACGATAAGGCGAGTTACACCTGAAAACATTTTTTTCCGAATTACTGATCCATCATGAACCGGGTGGCCGATATGGACTTGGTCTGAAATGGTCCAAAACTTCAATGAATTTTTTCTCGATCGAGGTCATCGAGGAACATCCGAACACCATGGATGATGCGGAGCCGACCGTGGAGGAAATAGAACATTTAACGGTGACCTATTTCCAAACACATACTTTCTTTTTCAGGTCTTTTCTTCAACACCACTACGTTTTTTCCTTCAATAAACCTTTTTCTTCTAAACTTGGTTTCTTGTTGTTTGGGGTTCTCTGGGAATTTAGGGACCGGATCATTTTGTTGTTAATTCATATCTTTTAAATTTGAATTAATTAACATTAAATAACTTGTGTGTTGTCTCATCACTTCCCTTTCTGCCTCCTTCCATACGCGAAACAACGTCTTCTATATTCAAACGCAGTCGAGATCTTCAAAGGACCCTCCGACTTGGGTCATCTTCTCCCAATGGCCATAAAGTTTACAGCAGGGCGGAGCCTAATCATCACTTAGGGCGGAGCCTCATCATCGTTTAGGGCGGAGCCTAAAGTAACGTAGGACCTCGTCTTCCGCTCATTCATTCATTCGTCTCATTCGCCATCTAGCTGGTCGCGAAATGAGTTCTTCTGCTGGTAACAACTTGGCTTTTTACCATTATAACAATGAGATTGAATCATTAGCCAGACAGAAATGTATGCAACTCGGTGTAGTCACGCATTACTTCTATCGCGTCGAATATCAACATCGCGGCACTCAGCATGTGCATTGTCTGTTTTGGACAAAAGATCGACCACAAGCTGATGCAAGTGCTGCCGAAGTGGAGGCGTTTCTCGACAAATATGTGACTTGTCGTATGCCGGACGCGAAAACGGAACCCGAGCTTTATGCGGCTGTCAAGAATAACCAGATGCACTGGCCGACGCACTCGAAGACGAGCCGGCGACGTCGGAAAATCAAAGGTCGTTGGACGACAGAAGTGTGCCGGTTCGGATTCCCAAGATTGGGTTAGTTTGAAAATGAGTCTATTAATTTTGTTTTTCGTTTTGCAGTATGCCGACGAACAATATTTTTTGTTGGTGATCGAACGGTAAAGAAGATGGGATGTGAACTGCGTGATAGAGCCTACCATTTGGCGAGGAAGAAGGAAGAAACGATGATAAATGATTACTCGCCGGGAATGGTTCTCACGTGGGACGGAAACGTGGATGTACAGTTTATTCCCGAAGGAATCAAAAATATCTTGTCCTATACTACTGGTTACACGAGAAAGGGTGAGAAGGCAAAGCGGGCCGAGGACAAATCGATAACACGGATGGCGATGGAAGGCATGAAGCAGTCGGACCTCGTCTGGAAGATCGCTTACTATATGCTCGAGTAGAGAGAACTCGGAATGCTTGAGATAATGGATGATCTTTTGTCGCATCCACTGTTTGTTTCGGATTGTGCTCACGTCTTTATTCCGAATGATCCGAGTAGTGATAGACTACGTGTGCTTATTCCACAAGAACGACTTGGCAAAAGTCGTGGTCGACTAACGGAAAGTAACTGGTTGGACGATTACATTCCACATCGTCCACGGCAGTTCGAAGAATTTTCGCTCTATAACATGATGACCAACTTTGAGATTGTTACGTGTAAGAAAGGTATTTGTCGTTAATATTTTTTTCATTATATATATATATATATAATTGTTTTTTTCAGAGTCAACTACTCGACGCAATCGGTTGTCGAGCCATGAGGATGAAGACGAAGAACATAGTGACGGAATGGGGATGACACAATTGTGGAGCGAAAACGACGATGATGTGTTGTCGACAGGCGATGGTGGAAAGGAGGGAACTGATCGGCACTCGAGGACGCGGCAACGCTACCACTACTATGATAAAGGGAGCCCGTTCTATTGTCATCCGGAAATAAAGGCAGGCGACAAAATTCCGATTCCACAGTGTCGGCTCAAATTTATGCGAAAAGTTAAACAAAAGGTTTGTTCATCAACCGTTTTTTTGGTTTCTTTTTTTTTCCTTGTTTACCATCATCATTATCATTTCAGTTGGGACGCTTTCACATGACGCCAATGGGCAAGCCGGGATCGGAGCGAACTGACGAGTATTTTCGCCGTCTCGTTATTGTTTTCGTTCCGTGGCGTGTTGAGGACGTCATCCTCAATCGGTATGGTGTGGACACTTATGAGAAAGTATGGCAGAAGTATCTGAAGGAGTTGAAACAGAAGCATCCACTGGGTAGAGCCGATCTCGAAACACAAAAACATTTTTTAAAAAAATTTAAATCAACAGTTACAGCTTAGCAATGTACTACAACAATTGTAGAACTGGTCGAAATCTGTCAATAAACATTTTTCCAAATTTATTGAGGCATTAGTGCTCAAACAGAACACGACTTAGAAAACATGTAAATAAAAAAACATTTTTAAAAAATTTAAATCAGCAGTTACAGCTTTGTGATCTTTTACAAAGTTGTAGAGCTTGTTGAGATCTATCATTTTGGATTTTTTCAAAATTATTGATTCATTACTGTTTGAACGCAACACGACTATAGAAAACAAAAAACACAAAAACATTTTAAAAAAATTTAAACCAACAGTTACAGCTTAGCAATATACTACAAAAATTGTAGAACTCAAGAAATCTGTCAATAAACATTTTTCCAAATTTATTGAGGCATTAGTGCTCAAACAGAACACGACTTAGAAAACATGTAAATAAAAAAACATTTTAAAAAAATTTAAATCAACAGTTACCGCTTTGTGATCTATTACAAAGTTGTAGAGCTCGTCAAAATCTATCATTTTGAATTTTTCCAAAATTATTGATTCATTACTGTTTGAACGCTACACGACTATAGAAAACAAAAAACACAAAAACATTTTTAAAAAATTTATACCAACAGTTACCGTTTTGTGATGTACTACAAAGTTGTAGAGCTCGTCGAGATCTATCACTTTTAATTTTTCCAAAATTATTGAGCCATTAGAGTTCGAATCGTCGGCGCGTCTGCAAAGTGGATCGATAACCGGAAAACACAAAAACATTTTTATCGTGCTTCATCCAACAGATACGGCTTTGTGATGTACTACAAAGTTGTAGAACTCGGCGAGTTACACCTGAAAACATTTTTTTCCGAATTATTGATCCATCATGAGCCGGGTGGCCGATGTGGACTTGATCTGAAATGGTCTAAAACTTCAATGAATTTTTTCTCGAAAAAAAATCGGATAGTTTTTTTAAATTTTTGATATGTTACTCACCAGATGGTCTGCTTTTTTATGCATTTTAGTCTCGAATTACCTGTGCATCGCTAAGAGCACCTCAAAAACGGCAACGTGGGGCAAGCGTGTTTAGCGTTGAGCTAAAATTCTGAAAAAATTTGTGTACATACATCTCGACGGGGTCTACAAATTTGTAGTTGACGACAAACGTGTAGCTTGTACGTGTGACGTCATAGAAAATTTTGAAAGTTAAAAAATTTTTTATCTTCCATATTCGTTGGGAAACCTAGTCCCAAATTTTTTCAGAATAAACGTATAGATGGAAAAAAAGCTGCAGCAGGTCAAAATTTCGAATCGATATTGTCAAGTTGCGTGAAGTGGCAAAATTCCGGAAAAAATATGGGCGGGTGCGCCTTTGTTGGCCACACCTACCATCGAAATTCGCTCGCTGACGGTTAAGTTTGAGCCGAGTTATGACGTTTTTTGTGATTTCCAGATTTGTCTGAAGATGAGCATAACTCCCGAGCCGAGCCCGTTATCAAAAATCTGGCAAAGCTAAAAATCGTGAAATTTGACGAGCTTTCGAATGGTATAAGCCCGTTCACGTACGAAGCCCGTTCACGTACGTTCATCGAAAAAAACACGTTCATCGGAAAAAAAACGTTCATCGGAAAAAATACGTTCATCGGAAAAAATACGTTCATCGGAAAAAACACGTTCATCGGAAAAATATGTTTATCAGAAAACATGGGAAAAAAAGGGACTCACTATGGAGGAAACAGAGAATGCTGAAAAAAAAACGGAAAAGACTGAAAACAGTTATGCGCACGAAGACTGAATGATATTTCTATTCAGTGATAAAATGAAAATAGAAATTAAAATAAGGAGACAAAAAGAAGCTGAAGCAATAAAAATCAAACGGCGTTCCCATTATTCAACACGAATATTTTTAACAAGAGGGAAAGAAAGAAGAAATCCGGCACTTGCTCCACCAATGTGAGCTTCTTTTCCCATCCTCACTGTGGCCGATCACAATCACACATTTCCTCCAATTGAACTAGGCGCACGCGACGCGACACGCAAACGCGTTGGGCTAGAGTGGAAGGGTGATGAGAGTGACGCGTGAGCAGAGACGCAGAGGACGAGAACGGCGTCACATCATTTTGGTTTATTTATTTTATATATTCTAGGTATTTTTTGCAGAGAGCCTAACTTGGTCTCAACATGTCGCGACAATTCATCTCCGTAAGTTAAACTTTAATTTTCTTCTTCTTCTTGTATGCTATACATTAAACGAACGTTTAACTTCAGGATCAAGCCCGTAGATTTCAAAGGAAGTTCCGCGATTTCCGTCTGTTTGTAAACGAAAGGTGAGAAAATGATTTCTAATTATTTTTTTTGTTTTATTATTAAATTTATATGCCTTAGGTACGGAGCCATGGATAGAGACTCGTTGGATGTGGTGAACGACGCACTCTACCAGTACGTCGGGGAAATCACTCGATTGCTGCTGAACCCATCAGGTATGCAAAACCTCTAAGCTTTTTGCTTTTTTATAACAACTTCAAATACAATATTCTTATTTGATAAATTTGAAACTTTTCCTGGAATCATAAAAAAGATTTTGCATTTAGTTCGTGGTCATCAAGATCCATCGATTGTTACTCCGGAAGTGCACTCTGTATGTTTATTTTTATTATTCTGTCAACTATAAATTATAATATTGGACTAATATATACGAAAATGTATACATAATCATTTAATAACTAAATATTGTGTTTAGCGCTCTTCAAAAGACGCATACTTGATGAGGCTTAGCAAACAAGTGGACGCTGCTTCTGTTCTCGCAGACGTCACTCATCTGGGTATTTTTAAAATATATTTTTAGAATGTTTTTTTAAAATTTCTTATTTTAATTAATGACTTGTATTAATTTTGTTATATAGGTCCTCAGGCAAACCGTGAGGAAGCTGCAGCGTTATCGCGAATTGAAGACGTGCTCGATATCCTGTATGGAATAATTTCGCCAGACGCATCTAGGCCTACCCCCTGACTCTTTCTTGCATACCCATCTTGCCTTATGGAACCGAGTGGCCAGAATGTTTCCCGAAAGACTGTCTCCTGAGGCTTTTGCGACGCGCATAGAAAAGATTCCCTCTTGTATATTGTATTCTACTTGACCTATGGCTATTGCCGGCCAATGGTCATTTTAGTCATTATTCCCTCCTCCACCCACTATTTATATCTCGAATAAATGAGTTATTGTTAACGCGAACTACAGAAGAAAGGAAGTCTCTTTTCTATTCGCAAAAGTTAATGGAAGAATGCGATGTTGGCAGTTTCTCACCCTCCTCTGCGTCTCTGCTCACAGACGCGTCACTCTCATCCCCCTTCCACTCTAGCCCAACGCGTTTGCGTGTCGCGTCGCGTGCGCCTAGTTCAACTGGAGCAAATGTGATTGTGCTTGGTCACAGTGAGGCAGAGAAAAGAAGGTCACAAAAAGAGAAAGAGAAACTGCCAGGGTGAAGGTGTCACAAATTGAGAGATCTGAAGGAAAAAGAGAGAGTGGTCACACCTAAATCTTCTCGAAAGTGCTGGCAAAAAAAATGACAAGAGACACCATGAATGAGTCATTTATTGCATCGCTTTAGGAGAGCAAAAGAATGACATGATAAAAGAATTAACAAATCAAATAACAACAATGTAACAATAGTTAGTGCTAATTTAATAAAAGCTCGATTAGAAGCTATGTTAGTAATAATTGAACATTTTTTTAAATAAAGTTCAATCAACATGCAGGACAAACAGTAAAAAAAAGTTAGTGCTGCTTACTTTTTCGCATGCAAAATGACTCCCAAATCCATGAATTCAGGCCGATTTTGGTCCAATTTTTTTGTCGACGCGTCTCGATGAGTACAATCCGAATTTGAAAAAACTTCTTATACGTAAGTACTAAAATTTTTCAGTATGACCAAAAAATCGAAAAAAAAATTTTTTTTCTACCGAAGGAGGGGATCTAGAATTGTGATATCAACATAAAACATGCTCAAGAAGATGCAAAGAATCGAATAGCGTTAAGTTTGAGTCGATAGGATTTTTCAGAGATTTTTAGCGTTCGGGGGTACGGTTCTACAGTAATCCTGTAAAAGGGGGCGGAGCCAGATGACACTAATTTCATATATCTTAGAACAGTCCAGGTTCTCACTGTGCTCAATATCAATCAAATCGAAGCACAATGAGTTTTTCATGCCAGGCCTTGTTCAGTCATTCTCCATCTCTCAGATTTTCATTTATCCATCTCTCAGAATTTCGTCTCTCAGAATTTCACTCTTAAAACTGATTACGACTGATTAACGCTGATTTTTGCTCATGACGTTATATTGCGTTGAATATGTGTTCCTATGCTTTTCTGACTTATTCACGCCATTTGCGGGTTTTTTGAAACTGCTCTGCTTTGATCACGGTTTATTTCCTTTCTTGTGACAGCTGCTCGTCGTTTGCGACGCTTTTCAGGTTAACTTGTTGCAACTTTTTCGCCTTTGTCCAATACGACTTGGAATTAAAATAATAAAGCTAGGGCGTGTGAGAAAGCAATTCAGCCAACCTCCCTCATTCTCTTGTTTATATTTTATCACCATGACAACGAAAATTATATTCGAATCGGGTATTACGTTTATTCGTCATATTCTCAATACTAAACAATGTTCGAAAAATTAAAAGACGTTTCTCTCCCACAAGGAACAGTTTCTCCTTGGCCATCAAATCTTGCCGTATGCTGGCTAGATACAAGAAATATAACTTATGTTGCCATCATACAATCAAATAATGTGAGTGTCATTCATTAGTTATTAATCTCCCTTGGATACTTGGAGTCCATTTCATCATCATCAGTGAAGGTTTTACATGATGCGAACAGAATCAATGAATATTCTCTGTCAATCGAAATTTTAGAATAGATACAGATTGAATTACATAACTGTATTGTCTATTTTACTGGTCTTTTATTGTAAAAATGGTGTAAAGAATATTGCAAAACGTGTTTTTCGGCATTATCAGGCTTGGAAGAAACATAAACAGCTTCAGATACATATCGGCAACTGGGACAACAAAATTGAGTCGGAAGTAATATGGGAAACAATTGTTACTGCCGAGCCAACTGCTAATGACCGAATTATTGACGTGACAACGGTGAACAAATTCAGCAGATTTCATTTTTAACGTTCTGTAATATAGGTAGGACTTGTTCACCCCAACGCTAGAAACTTTCCTATCGTTGTTGTTGGATCTTCAAGATTCATTCAAATTTATGATGTAAGGAAAACGCAACAGAAACCACTTTTTTCTATAACACTTGGAACTGCGCTCAAAGATTTCGTACCGACTGTTGGAATAGATGTAGGACCATACTGCAGAGGTGTTTCTTGCAATGATAACACAGTCCTCGTTGGTGAGTTTGCGCTACGATCTTATTTACTGAGGATTATTTAAAGTTTTGAATGAAGCATCACGGTCTTTCTTATACAGTGCGTTGCAAAATTATACGGCCACCCCCGTTGTATTGCCACCTGGCGCTCGAAAATATTTCTGATTCGGCGACTTCATTATCGGATTCAGGGCACACAGTTACGTACATTCGAAAATTTTCGTACCGATACTTCAAAAACTGTTCGGACTGTCTTGATAAAACTGAATATATTCCTCTTGCAACCTTTGCAAAATTATACGGCCACCCCAGCGAATTATGCGTTTTCACTGTTTGGACCTTTCATTAAAAAATGAGTTTAATATTTTAGAAAAGACGTTTTAGAGCTATTTTGTTATTATGACGGTTTACAACTTCTCGTATGACATGCCATGTGGCATTTTCCTACGGATGTCGGAAAAATCTCTACCTCGGCGTTCAAAACGGCTGGATGGTCGAACCGAGTGATCAGTTGTCATCTAAAGTTCTTCAATTTTATTTCGTGTCCAGTCCCAGCCTAAAATAATAATTTAGAAAGGCCGGGCCAACGTGGAAACGGGATGTTTGTGCCAAAAGGTTTCCCATCACTGCCACCAAAGTCAAATGACGGCATCGATTAAAACCAAATCAACTACGTAGGGGTGTCAGATAATTCTAGCGGACTGTTAATTACAAGACAAGTTTATCTGAATGCCCTTAAAAAATCTTTGCTGCTCAGAAGATGCCGGCATTTAACGAGGTTGCAAGGGGTCTATTTTCAGTTTTTTAAAGATTGTTCGAACAGTTTTTCAGTTATCGTCACCAAAAGCACCAAATATAAACCCCAGTGAAAAGTCAGTGAGGAGCTACTAAAGAGACAGCGATCATTGAAAACTAATCGTAGGATCACTCTCAGAACGGGAAAACCCAATTCGAAAAACACAACTTTTTCATTATTCGTTGGTTTCAGGTACATACTCCGGAGAAATAGTTGTGCTGATGTGCAATGGGGACTCTAATTTTACGGATCGAAAGAATCTGAAGGTTTTCAAAACGTGAAAACGTGCGCACATTAATTTAAACAGTTTTTTCAGGAACACAAAAACGCAATAACAGATATTTCAACTTGCCGGTATGATGAAATCACCGTCAGCGCAGATTCGCGTGGAGAACTTATCATATGGCAAAAACCAGTGAAAGGAGTTAATTCAAGGATAACAACGAAGTAAGAAAATAACGATGAAAAAAAAAACAGCACGTGAGAAACTTTTAAAGGCAAAGTATTAACGTTATAAACGTTTTGCGGAAACAAATAATCGTTGGAACTTTGAGAGGGCTTGTACAGTACTATTCAATCACAACCGGCGATTTGATGTGCCAGGTAAAATGACGCTTCAAATTCAATAAACTAAAATTGAAAAAAAACATTTCTAGGTTAACGCTCATTCAAGACCTATCAATAGTGTTTCTGTCGCTCCTGAAAGCGCGTATGTGCTGACATCCTCCGAAGACGGCACGTTCATCGTATCTAAACTTCATACCAGAAAACCACATGCGTATCAAGTTTGTCAGGCAACACTTATGTTTAGAAGTAATGACTCATTAAGGTAGAGTGGCGGTATTCGGAATGTGACCCCGCTTCACCAATTGTTGGAGCTCAGTTTACGAATGGACGTGGAAGTTCTATAGCAGTCACAACTTATGATAGTAACATAATGATGATGTACAAAATTGTCAAGAAAACAACAATATAGTGTGTGTGTTATGATTCCGGAATAAATTATCTATTTTTATTTATTCTGTGAGCTACACGACACATACGCCTCATCGCTAACATAATTTTTGAACATGTATCACGGTCTCCTCCAAGCCTTTCCTGAAAACCTACTAGCGAACTTAAGGTTCGCTGAGCTTTGCTTCCATGTGTGAAACGTGAAAATGAGACAAAAAAGTTGTGAAAATGCAATAACTACCGATTAAGACTGATTAAGAGGCGATTTCTGAGAGACCCGAGATGGCCTGGCATGAAAAACTCATCGTGCTTCGATTTGATTGATATTGAGTACAGTGAGTACCTGGACTGTTCTAAGATATATGAAATTAGTATCATCTGGCTCCGCCCCCTTTTACAGGATTACTGTAGTACCGTACCCCCAAACGCTAAAAAAAATTTCAGAAAAATCCTACCGAATTTGAAAAGAACTCCTTGCACGTTAGTACTAAAATTTTTCAGTATGACCTAAAATTTGAAAAAAAAGAAATTTTTCTACCTGAAGGAGGGAGGCTAGAATTTTGATGTCAATATAAAACATGCTCGAAAAGATGCGGGGAATCGAATGGAGTTGAGTTTGAGTCGGTAGGATTTTTCTGAGATTTTTTAGCGTCCGGGGGTACGGTTCTACAGTAATCCTGTAAAAGAAGGCGGAGCCAGATGACACTAATTTCATATATCTTAGAACAGTCCAGGTTCTCACTGTGCTCAATATCAATCAAATCGAAGCACAATGAGTTTTTCATGCCAGGCCTTTTCAGTCATTCTCCATCTCTCAGAATTTCATTTCTCCATCTCTCAGAATTTTGTCTCTTAGAATTTCACTCTTAAAATTGATTACGACTGATTAACGATGATTAAGGCTGAGAAGAGTGATTAGAAAGTTGCGATAGTCCGAGGCCGCAACCGATTGGCAACCAACAGATGACCAAAGGGGCAGAGGACGGCCTAAGCAACGATTGTCTGATGACGTGCGAGACTCTCTGAAGGGACACATCGACGACTTGGCAAAACCCGGAAAAGTGGTCCCAAGAAGGAAAAGTGGAGGTTCTCACGTGGTTCTCCTACGCCGGCGATTGTCCGCATTAAACTGACGACAGCAATCACATCGCTTGATCAAACGGACTCCAAGTATCCTAGTAAGTAAATAAGTAATCAGTTTTTCATTGACGCGAAACAATTGCAAATATACTCTCATGATCTAAATAATTAAAGAGCTATAGTCCAGTTCCGGCAAAGGTTGAAAAATATGTTAATGGTCATCGGACTGATTTGAGTGAAGAGAAGAGTGACTTCTTGATGGTGAAAGTCCTTGTTCATCTAAATGTTTGCGTGTCAGGAAGCCTCTGAAATGTTAAATGCTTTACAGAAATAGTGAAATTTCAACCTAATGTGAGCTTGAATTTTGGTAGCGGCATTAGTATCTTCTTTTTTTATTTTCTCAACATGTTTGCGTGTGAGGAATCCGCGGATTTCAGATTGAATCTTTGTTGCCGCTCGATCTTCAGGAGTATCCTTCTCTATTGAATAACCACCAACCGAGTGTCTTCTGAATTATTTTCTATCAAGTTGTTTTTGGGTCCCGACTCACTTTTGATCCTTTTTGTTGTTCGACGCGTCTAATTTTTCGGAAGACGAAGTTCTGATAGACATTCCATACTTTTCGGGATTTGAACGGACCTATGAAAGCATTAGAGAGATTGAGATAAGTAGGTGTTAAAACGCAATGTCTGAGAAGTTCAAAAACAGCAGATCACTAAAAATTAAGAATGCTTCAAACATTTCCAAGACCTTTAAAAACACTTTTTTTTGTCGAAGCACAATAACGTCTAAATTCAGAATCAGCGATAAAATCATAGCTATGTAGTGTTAAAATTTTGAAAAAGAAAGCTGAAAATTTATCTGAAAAATGTCACAAACCAATTTTTTTCTCCATGAATGAGGGGTGCTAAATTTTCGGTCCCAACGTGAAACACACTCAAAAAGATGCGAGGAATCCAATGGCGTTGATTTGAGTCGCTTGGATTTTTTGAAATAGGTTACAGTTTTGATCTATTTTGGGACCGTGTTCGGACTAGGGACTACGGAGCCGGACCAAAACTTGTCTGATGTATCACTGCTATGTGTTCGGACTAGGGACCACGGAGCCGGACCAAAACTTGTCTGATGTATCACTGCTATGTAAGTACCCATTGGGTATAATATGGGGCAAATTGAAGCATTCTGAATTTTTAGTGACCTGGTGTAATTAGCGAATTTCGAGGTTCTCAGACATTGCCTTTTAAATACCAAATGTCCTTTGAACACTGCTTGAATCTTAGTGGCTGCTGAATCAAGTGGGCTAGAAGATCGGTCTTGTGCCATCAATAGGCTTATCTGTATTCACAAAATTGTATTCAGAAATCATTCTAATGATCAGTTGATGTGGTCATAATTGAGAATTTATCGTAGAATTATCGTAAAAATGTAACCTTTCTCTGAACATCGGCTCTGAACACCTCGTAAGCAGCCTGGTCGTTCAAAATGTCTTTGTTCTCTGAAATATGTACTCGTGATGAATTTAATCTAGCTTAAGCCTGAAAACACAATTGAGCACGTACTCATAGAAGTTTGAGATTTTCTGGGTAAAAATAAGGAATTTACCATCGCGGTGTTTCAAAAATTGATCAAAAAAGATATGTCCGAAATAAGCTACATCGGATGGTTGATTTCGTAGCACTTCACGGGCTAATGCTTCCAGTATTGGTCGAAGATCATTAGGAACACAACATTTTTTTTGTGAGCTCATGTTTCCAGTGCAATGACCTGCAAAAATAAATCGAGAGTGATAATTATTATGAATGAAAGTCTTGGGAGGTATTTCCGTTTGTTTGTACGTTTATTCTTTGTCTGTACTCACGTCCTAACTTTTTTTATTTCTACATAAAATTTTAAAAAGTAGAAATTGATAAGTAAAAACGTGAACTTTCTAACTAAAAATAAAACAATTTTTTTAAAGTCCATGTTCAAGTCCGAAGCCTTTTTTGATACATTTGATTTCAATGATTTAACATGACAGAAATATATATAAGCAAAGTTTGTGTATGCTCCATACTTGTTGTTACGTAAAATATTTGACGTTATTCATGAACTTGTTTGAATGGTATTCATGTAATATAAAGGAATGGCAAACATTAGTAAATCTGAGTTATGTGCGTGAACCTCGCATAATATCGGCTGTTGCACACAATATCTCGCAAAAACACTAAGCTTCAGAGAAAGAGAGAAAAGAGCAAGAGCATGGAGAAACAGAATGAGAAAGAAGTGAGGAAAGTGAGCGAGAAAACGACGAAACAAGGAAGAATTCTGTTGAAGTCCAACGTTTTAGGGGACTAGGCAGAAAAACGGTTGTTTGGTATCTACGTTTTTCAAGTCTCATTCATACAAGTGTAATTCTACCAGACGTTAAACGCGTGAAATTTTCGAAAGCTATCTCACTAGCGAAGTCCTTTTTCTCCCATCTGGAAAATTCTGAAAATAAAGCAGTGTGGTACTATAAAGTATGGGGATTATTTTGAGATCTTAATATTCGGCTAAGTGCTTCTGGAAGCTTCCAGACAATTCGTCAAACTTTTGAATTTTGATATTGAATAGCATCCTTATCCCACCTTGATTCTGTATACGATCCTCCTGTTGAGCCTCCGGTTTAACAGGTCGGAACGACGGTCCCGAAAGACTCTGATAGTCTTGGGTCTGATGGACTGCTTGCGAAAGAGGGAAAGAAAACGAGTAAAAATTGTATAAGATGAGCGTGGCGAAACATAACACAAGTTAATAAAGAATTCAAATTTATTTAAGTCGAAAGTATAAGAGGCAAAAAGCCCCGTAGGGCAAAAATCCTCTGGGCCGTGGCCGACACGTGGTCGACGAGCGACGGTGAGGAAACTTGTTGGAAACAGGGGAAAAACCTCAAAGAAAATGCATAGACGGTTTGTTCGCAGCTGACATGGCCCGTAATGACGACCCGTGGCGTCCCGACCGTGGAGACCGTGGGCCTGGGCACAGAGAGAGTTCTGAGCCGTAAACAAGCCCAAAACGCGGCAAAAGGAGTCACAAAAAGGCGGAAGGTTTAGCGGAACAGAACCGGAAAAAATGTGAGGTAAAAACGTCAAGTTTTGACGGAAAAAAGGCAGCAATTAGCTGGAAAAAAAATTTTTGTTAGTGAATTAATTATCGAAAAACCAGTAGGAATTTTGGGTCGCGGGTCTCGCCACGATAGCCGCGCGCGCGGACGAATGTCGCCGGGCGCGGCGCGTTTGGGAGCGTCGAGAACACGCACAACACGCACTATAAGCTGGATCGATTATTTGGAGGGCGAATTCGCCGGAGAGAAGTGATAAAAGGATACAAAATTATTGAATTAGTGTGAAAGAAAGAGAAAGACATAAATAAAGGGAGATTTAGAGAGAATAAATCGACTATTTATTGAGCGCTCGGTTCATCGGCCGGTGGAAAACGAGGATTCTCCGGTGGCACCGGAATGAAAGAAGATGCGAAACCGATCTGTTCGTACAGAGTTGTACGAAGGGCTGGGGCTTCGCAACACCTCCCATTTTGATAAAACTTATATAACCCGGCACTCGTGTTTCTTAGTGTTTTGCGCACAGTAAATCGCCCTACTCCGTCGTCGCCAAATGAGTCATCACTCTTGCAGAAGGAAGTTTGCTCAGAAGATGGCGGCATTAACCGAAAGTTACCGACAAGACAGTGAAAACGCATAATTCGCTGGAGTGGCCGTATTATTTTGCAACGGTTGCAAGATTCCTATTTTCAGTTTTATCAAGACAGTTCGAACAGTTTTTCAAGTATCTTCACGAAAATCGTAACTTTGTTCTCTGAATCCGATTTTGAAGTTGCCGAATCAGAAATATTCTCGAGCGCCATTTTTAAACTTAAAAACATTAACATTTTTTGAAAAGTATTGACACGTATTGGACAAAAATTGTTTTTATTTATATCAAATGAGCATTGTAATAGAAGCAGTAAACCCGACCTTGGAACAACGTTAATTAAATCTTGATAGAAAACGAGTAAAGTTTGTTTAGTAGAAAATCTTATACAATCATCTCTTTAACAATTCGCGGTTTTTCAAATGTGCTGTCTCCTTCAATATCCTCGACGCTATTTCGTTTTGAGAATGTACAAAGTATAGAATCTGAATGGAAACATATTTGGAAATTGTGAATTTTAGGAAACTTTTTAGAGTGTGAGATTTCTCTTGATAATAACAGTCTGATTGTTCAATATTTCTAATTTCCTCAATGTCATTTGGCATCTGAATATCTCTGTGCATTCTGAAAACAATGTGGAAAAAGACAGACATTTTGATAGCATACTTCAAGCTCAACTTTGTTTCGTAGTTTACGTCCAATTCATTTGAGGTTAATGATCCAACGTCAACCTTTTTCTCCGTGGGGTCACTTGTCAGTGATAAAATTATTGGTCTAAAAGTATTGATTTTGAATTTCACATATACGTTCAACTTACGATAAATTAGACGATTTTTTAGTTGTTCTAGTTTTGCAGCAAACAAAGAGAAAAATGCACGACGAAAGAAAAATAAACAAGAAAAAAATAAATGACAGCACTTCGATTTTCCATATGCTCTTTGAACCACTCGCTGAAAATAAAAATTTCAATACGACTGAATCAAGAAACTGTGTTTTTAAACGTGTTTTAAAACTAGAAACATACTGATTGTTAGTGACAGTGGTGAACATTTCAGATGATTAGAGATTGAACAAAAGCGAGCTTTATATTCTTTGCCAGCTGCAATGTTCAAAATTTCACTACTATCGCTGTAGCAGTCAAGAATTCTCCATTTTTCGTTTGTTCGAACATAGAGAAGTGTACAAGCATCAACAGGTTTTTGAGGCTGAATATAGAATAAATGAAGAGAAGCGGAGAATTTTAATAGAATTACCTCTACGTTTAATGTTTGGGCATTTTTGTTATATACAAGACGACTGGGTGGCATCATGTGCAAATCTTCTGATACATCTTCCGTTGAAAAAACAAGCGCAGGAGAAAAGTCTGACGCTCCTCTGTCATTTTTTGCTTGTATGCGCCCAAAGTAAGTTGTCAAAGGTGTGAGACCAGAAAGATTAAAATAGCATTTTGAATTAATCGTTCCGTCAAGCTAGAAAAATTAAGATTGTGATAACTTATTTTTTATGACAAACTTCTTGTTTTGAATGGCGATGTACCTCATTGATCGTTCTTGTTGTTAAAAAGATGTTCTTATCGATTTCCCCTGTTAGCGGATCAAATTTTTTGAGTTCCACGACGAAACTCTGATTTAGTCCGCCATCGAATTGCGGAATCCAAACCAATTCTACCGAATTTGAAGAAACAGCAAATTTGTTGAAATCTAATGGACTTTGTGGTGAGCTTGTTTGAAGTAGCTCAATTGTATTTTTATCTTCTCCGTTGCCATTTGTGACGTGGCAAACATAACTGCCAAAATCATTTTCTTCGATATTCTCAATGCGGAGTGATATTTCATACTCATCAGGAACATCATCGAATGTTTTTACTTGCATTGAATGCTTATCATTTTCAATCAACTCGGAACCTTTGTAAAACCAGCGAAACTCTGGTTTTGGTCGAGCAGATGCTTTACACTTCAATACAGCTTGAGAACCAACTTCCGCTCCAAAAAGAGATTTCCCATCGAATGTTTTCTTCAGAATAACTGGTTTATGTATAAGACGAACTATAGTCCATGAACTGTAGTTTTTGTCTCTTTTCGATGAACCGTTCTCAGCGAAACAAGTGAAATTTCCTTTATCGCACCACTTCAAAGGGTCTGGAAGGTTGAGAGTACTCGAAATTGTTTGAACGCAGAAATCGTTTGAATCGCATTTAGAATTTGAATTCTCCGCCACCGTGTACTCATTTGGTTCAATAGTTTTTCCATTTTTCAACCATATAATTTTTGGCATCGGGTATCCTTGCGCTTCACATTGAAGCATCTTGTTTTGCTCGTTTGTCGTAAAAATGTGCTCAGTCGTCAACGGGCTAGAAATCTTTGCTTTTTCAATCACCTGCAAATTCTTTTTTCGACATTCTGTTGTTCTTAAAAACGTACAGTAATGTTAACAGAAGCAATTTTTCCTTCTCCAATATTGTTGTAAAGTTTACAATAGTACATTCCATTGTCAGCAAGTTGCGCATTTTTTAGCATAAAAATTTGATTATTGTGACCTTCCAAGCCATAGATTCCACTCGAGGAAGGAGACGACCACTGAAACTAGAAATTTGTAAAAACTAACACAGTCCGCAAAATATTTTCCGAAAAAAGCATTTTGACTTGATTTTGAAATTTGTCTTCCTTATAAATTAAAGACAAGAGGCGTCCGTCCGTCTGTCCAAAAATTTTTTTCACCTGACGCTTCCTTAAAAAGCTGCTAAAGTGTTGTTGAAAAGTTAATGGCGCTGAAAGTTTTCTCAGAAAATGCTGAAGTTTTGCTTAAAACTTCTAGTCCCAAACGTTTGCTCGAAAGTCAATGAACTTTTGTTCTAAAGCTGCTATCACCCCAACGTTTGCTGAGAAGTTGCAGAAGTCTACCGAGGTGTCTCAACTTTTTCTCAAAAAATTAATTTTTGCTGCATCATCATTGTGGTCTTAGACAAAGAATCTGAAACCAAGATGAAAATGTGCACAGACCGAGTAAAAGGCTTTAGGATTTCCGGAGTCTTCAGCATGACAGTTAAGTTCAATCATTTCTCCGACGTCTACTTCAATGTTCCCAGTGATATGTGCAGTTCCAGGCTTTCGTTTCACATTAATTAAAGTTGTTCCCGCACCAACTCGTTGCTGCGAGCCTGATTGGCCATAAACTGTCAAGAAATTAGTAGCCATGCAGGTGTAGTTGCCCGTTTGAGATCTAATATTTTTATTTGATTTGTCTTACAAAATGCACTCACGTAGAAATAGATTTCAAGATTAATTCAGACCCATTCTGTCGAAAATTGTTTGGTCCAAACCACTTGATATCTACCGCTTTTGGAATTGCTAAGACTTCACACTTGACGGAAACGTCTTCTTTTTCATGAGGACTCACTGACACCTATAAATATACTCACTTTTTTAAAGCGCAAGTGAAAATTACCGGAACAGTCACTCTTGGAGTGTTCTGTACAACCACGTTCAATAATGCAGTTGTTTCTCCAACTTCATTTATTGCTTTGCATTCAAAACCTCCGTAAACTGAGACATTCATCTGGACAGACCAGATTTTTCCTTGGTAGCGCTCACCTGTTGGCAAGTGTTTCCTGAAAATTCCCTTAGATTTTTTTCAAATGTTTTCATCAAACCATTCGTAGCTATGAATGGGTGGGTTTGACACTCCTTCACATGTCAAATTAACATATGTTCCTTCTTCAACTGACAAATGTGTAACATTTTCAGACGGAGATACAGAAACAATTGGTTTATACAAAACGTTCAATGTTGCACTCTTCACTCCTTTCCTCTCTACTTCGCTCAATGCTTTATTTGTAACATTACACTGAATTTCTTTTCCGTTATCATCAGCAATGACGCGAAAGCTAAAAATTTTTTTTTTAATGACACAAAAAAAAACTTACTGTAACAAGCTTTCAGTTGCACCATCTCTAGAATAAGTTGAAAAACTTGTGGAACTAGCCAAAGTTTTGTTGGGAAGCGTCCACTGGAAAGACGGAGGTGGACTTCCACCAATCGAAACGCATTTGGATGTTATTAAATCCCCTTCAATCACATTTTCAGATGGATTTATATTTATTACAGGATTTCCGGGCGGAACTGCAATGAATGCGTTTTTGTAGAATCGTGTTAAAATGTTGCCTGATACTAACCTAGAACAATAACGTTAGCAAACGTTGAATGCTGTACATCGGATGCATCAGTTGAAATAGCATTGCAATAATATGTTCCTTCGACGTTTTTTGTGTCAACGGTCGTGATGATGAGATTGTATTTCCCTGTTTGAAGATCCGAGTCTAATGTGAATTCAGATGATTTTTTAACAAGAAGTTTTTCATTTTTTGATATTATTCTGAAATCTCACAGTTCGTTTATGGTTTCTTACTCATTGGTTTTCCGAATTCAGACGACTCACCTTAATTTCCCATTATTGTAGTGTGCCCAATTTATTTCATATTTACCGCGATTCAAAAGTTGATGGTTAAATGCACAAGGCAAAGTTAATCCTCTGTCTCCTTCGCGTATATAGTAAGGCTCTGTGGATGGTTGTTCCAAAAAAACGTTGGCGTCTCCTAAAATCTCTTTGAATGTTTTTTTTTTGAATAATCAGATTACCTTCACATGATAATTTATTTAGAAAAGCAATTAAATACAATATATGAATACGCATTGGTTTTATTTGGCGATAACTCTGCAAAAAAAACTTCTGGATGTTCCTCACTTCAAGTCTAAGGAATTGAGTTGTGGGTTTTGCCGCAATTCATGTTGATTACAGACACTACCAAAATTTTTTTTAAGCATTTTATTTTCGACAATTTAAACCACAATTATTCAAGTTCAGACGAAAAGTGCTACTCATTCAAGCATGAAAATGTGGGAAACTTTTAGTTTTGAAAGTGTTCATGCAAAAAAAGACAGTCGAAAATGGAAGTGAAGAAACATTCAAAAGTGTGGCAATCAAAAAAATTAGCCCAATTTCTACATTTTGTGAACATTTTGTGTCTACCACCTGTCAAGATATTTCTCGTCCTGTGGCAATATTCCTGCAGCCAGCAAATTATAAGACGATAATTATACGTGCGCGCTACAGGAACGCAGAGCGACACAAAGTATACAAAGCAACATTGTTCTAATTGCTTTGCAGAAGTTGAACGAAATTTTTATTTATTCCACAAACTAGTAAAGCTTATCTTGCGGTTTGGGATTGCAAGACATCATTTGCTTGAAAAATGTTGTCAATTCGAGTAGAGAAAAAAGTATATCAAATTGAAAATCAACTTACTAAATTATTAAAATTATATAACTATTCTGCAAACGTTCAGTTGTATTGGGCTAAAGTTATATTGTGTAGAAGTAGAAGTCAAATAGTCCGAGTGATCGGTAAGTAGTCCTTATAGCCATTGGCCAGTTTGAGTAAACACTATTGACCTATGCTTAGACAAAGTTTGCTGAACCAGACATATGACACATATTTTTGTGAGACACGTCAAAAAAAACGTACAGTGTTTCAGAACAGAGAACTAATGGGTTAATTCAAAGCAATGCGTACTTAAAGTTCTCAATTTCAAAGAAAAAATTTACAACCGGAATTACAAAATTATTTTTTACAATGTGGCAATTAAGAATACAACGTTTTTGTTTGGAGCTCGCTAACGTCCAAGTAGTCAAAATAATAATAACTGACGGTGATATACGATAGATTGGCAGTTCTTCCAAACGTGTTCAAAATCTCAGACAACTAGTAATTTTTTTGTTGACGGTATATTGATTCTTGTTCATGAATTGCTCTGACTTTGTTCGTTTTTACAGTAGAGCGGCATGGGAAAACATGACTGGAATTCAGATTACTGCAAAATCAGTACGAGCTGTATTCCCAAAACTCATTAACGGGCATTCACAAGTAAGAAAAGTTCATCTACAACTTCTCTATTCCAATGTTCCATTTATTTTGAACAGTTAAAACGAGAAATCACTGACGGAGCAGGTGATTTCAGTTGATTTTTGATTTTGAAAGAGGCTCAGAGCATCTCACAGCTCGGAAACTGGTACTCCGGTGTCCAAATTAAGTTAAATCTATGTTATGAACAAGGTTCAACATACGGGGATTAAAAAAATTCTTTGACGAAATTCTGATTACTGCCTTTGACCCTACTTTGTAGGAACGGCAAGGAGTGGCTTTAATTCGATGATTTAGTTTTGAGCGACTAGTTATCCGTGACTCTTCGGAATTTTTTCCTCAACCCTAATGGTATTGTCTATATCTTACCATTTTTTTTTGGTTACTAGAAAAAAATTTCCAATTTTTTTGCGGGTCCTGAAAGGTGAGAGAAACTTGCGCCACAGGCGACTTTTTGGCAAGATACAAAATAACCCCCCCCCCCCAAAGCCAATTTGGTTCTATCCGAAAACGTTTTGTACTCCTACACCGTAAAAAACACGTTTTTTTGGCCGCGAAATTAGTTTAGGGCTACTCATGGAAAAATGCAAAAATGGTCAAATCATGGGCCAAATTGTTATCAGTGTTATGTGAAATAACTAAAAATAGAATATTGACATCATCTGGGCATATCTGTACTGTTGGAGTCATTATTTTGTAGACCTCATTTCCAGTATTTCACAGTGACCAGCTCGTAGAACCCCAAGGATTTTATTCTAAGAGCCCAGACACAAAAATTGTTTTCCTTATTAGCAATGTTATTGATGACATTTTGTCCGAGTCTAGTGAGAAATGAAGAAGTTTCAACAAGGTTATGAAAGTCGATTTGCTTCATAATTCACTGTTTTGCACCAATCAAGAAAATAGGGTTTACAAAACGAAAATTCCAGCAATTGCCAGATAGCCGGATGATGTCTAAATGTTTTTTCTGTAGTTTCAACAATTCTGCAATACGTTTTGACTCTCAAATCGCCAGTTTTCTGGAAAAGGTTATCATTTTGAGGGGGTCCTAAATTTATTTCCAGGCCGAAAAAACGTTTTTTTAATGGTATGTGAGTACGAAGTTTTTCAAATGGGCCCAAATTGGCTCCGGGGGTTTTTTCGTATTCCAAATCAAATGGCATTAACAGATTTTCGAAATCTCTTCTCGTTTCGTCAGAACGTTCAAAATTTAGGGGGTCCTAAACTTATTTCGCGCACTGTACTCTCTATCTCCTGCGTTTCAATTGGCTATGGCTGCCAAGAAAGATAATTATCTTTTTGCACATCTTACGCAAAACCCCAAACGGTTTGACTTAACCAGAAATAATGCTTGTTAAGTTATCACATTAACAAATTTACTCTTGCCTTAGTGTTATATAGTTTTCTCTCAAAGGGGACCGTAATTAATCCGGGAACCCAAGTTATAGTAAATTCTTTTTGAAATCAAAGATATCCTTGCGTCAATCATTACATCATTCAAGTTTCAGTATCTTGAAGGAGTGGTACAAAGTGGAATACAAGTTGTGTCTAGAATCTACCTTATGGTGGAAGAATTTCATCAATAAAATGCCGAAGCTTGAATAATTTTTTGAGATTGTGCCTAGATTTTCCAACAAAAAAAAAGAATGGCATCATGAAAACTACACGCAGTCATTGACTTTTTCGCGGAATCTGATTGATTTTTTCAGTTTCTCAGTTCGAACCCGTCTTCAGATGGGCGATGAACCTGCAAAATTAATTTCGAAACTGCACAAATTTTTCGAATCTTGGCGGATTTCGGTGGCGATGATCTAGAAAACCACCCCTTGCTTGAACCCCCCGGTGTTTTTATTTCTTTTTTGTTAGAAAATTAGAAAATTATTTGAGCTTCGACATTTTACTAATGCACATACATACACCATATGATACATCTTAAACAGAACTTCTGTTCCAGCTTACACCACTCCTATAAAAATTGAAAACAATGGTAACTGACAAACTTAAGGAAATGTTATAAATGTAAGTTTATCCCAAGCACTCAAAACTGAGATGTTCATGATGATAATAATGTTGTTCTACTCCTTTGGGAGACCTCATCTGCGGGGTCCATTTAAACAGCTGAATTGAGAAATAACACTAGTAGGAAACCGGCACTGGTTTTAAAATAGAGGACCGAAAAATCGAAAACCGAAAAAAAACCGAGGAGCAGGCAAAAAACCTGTTGCAATTGTGATCGCCGGCCTGGTGCCAATTCAAAACCGAGCAAGTTCTTCAGAATTCAGATGGAAAACAACTGAGACTCGTTTCACTGCTGAAAATTAGGCTCCGGAGATCCCAAGAAACGGGGTTTCTCAACAAAGCGTATTCACATCGAAATGCACCGATAGCATGTTTGACCTCCTATTTTTTTGGTCCTCGATTTTTATTTTGATCCTCAATTTTTGTTTCAGTCTTCGATTTTTTGGTTCTTGAATTGTTTGGTCCTTGATTTTTCTATTCGACTGTGCTCTGTTAAGAAACTCTTTCTATGTATAGTGCAAAACTGAAATAATCTCGGGGACGAGTTCTATTGCCGAAAAAGGAGCAATCAGAAGATTAGACTATTTTTACTGGGAGAACTATTTAATTTGTTTTGCGGAGGGAAAACTCGTCCCCGGAGTTCACTACGAAAATGGTTTACGGTGAAATACCTCTATAAAATCTCAAAGTGAAAAGAGCAGTAGTGAAATCCTCTGTCTTGGGAACTTTTGTAAATTCAGAAACTTACAATAATGAGATGAGTTCTCCACAAGTAACTGTGTAGATTTGAAGCGAGAATCAGCAAATGGTCAAATAAAGCGTGTGGAAAGTGACCGCTTTCCGAAAGGTAGTTTCGTAAAACAATGTGACTAAAGCTGATGAACAAATAAATGACCACCGTTTCTCAGAGCTATACTCCACTCTTTCGATCGTCCGCGAAACAATAAACACACCTCCGAAGCACGAATTGACTCTCGAAACAAGGGAAAGCGCAGAGTGAGAGTCGATTTTTAAAGTCCTGTTTGAAATTGCATACAATACAGGGTGGCAAGTTGCCACTGGCAATTAAAAATACAACACTTTTGTTTGGAGCACGCTAACGTCCAAGTAGTCAAAATAATAACAACGGACGGTGAAATACGATAGATTGGCAGTTATTCCAAACGTCTTCAAAATCTCAGACAGCTAGTAATTTTTTTGTTGACGGTACATAGTTTTTGTTCATGAATTGCTCTGACTTTGTTCGTTTTTACAGTAGAGAGGCATGGAAAAACATGACTGGAATTCAGATTACTGCAAAATCAGTACAAGCTGTATTACTAAAACTCATTAACGGACATTTACAAGTAAGAAAAGTTCATCTACAAATTTTCCATTCCAATGTTCCATTTATTTTGAACAGTTCAAACAAGAAATCACGGACGGCGCAGGTGATTTCAGTTTATTTTTGATTTTGAAAGAGGCTCAGAGCATCTCACAGCTCGGAAACTGGTACTCCGGTGTCCAAATTAAGTTAAATCTATGTTATGAACAAGGTTCAACATACGGGGATTAAAAAAATTCTTTGACGAAATTCTGATTACTGCCTTTGACCCTACTTTGTAGGAACGGCAAGGAGTGGCTTTAATTCGATGATTTAGTTTTGAGCGACTAGTTATCCGTGACTCTTCGGAATTTTTTCCTCAACCCTAATGGTATTGTCTATATCTTACCATTTTTTTTGGTTACTAGAAAAGAATTCTCAATTTTTTCGCGGGTCCTGAAAGGTGAGAGAAACTTGCGCCACAGGCGACTTTTTGGCAAGATTCTAATGTTGACACAAAAATTCAGATGACAATCGCGAACACTCAAATCGTTCATAAACTAAATAGATGCGCGGGCCTCCTTGTTGTTTACAAAATTACACCAGTCTCTTCGAATGGCCACTGTGGCGTGGCTATCGCTCTAGTAGTTTGTTTGAACGCTGGAAGTTCAAGTTTCCGTCCACAAAATGTTTTTCTGGACATTTTACAAGTCAAGAAACCAGAAAATAACTTACTAGGAAGTATTTTTTTTCGCTTGGTAATATTCTGACAAGGAACACTCCCGAAGTGTTGTGCGGACGTTTCAAACGATTTTAAAATTTCGAAATTTGAGGAAAATCTTTCTCTTAAATAAGTTAGAATTTTATCATCTATTTTTTTTGGCAAAAATACTTGGGACTGTCCAGATTAGTAGCTAGAACATTTTCAAAACGTTCAAAAAACCTTTCAGAAGACCTTACGACACCTTTAAAATACCTTGCAAAGTTTGAAAAAAAAAGAAACTACCAACCAGGAACCAAACCCGAGGACCCCAGTTTGGAACCCTGCCCCTTTCCCGTTGAGTCACCGGCCAACATTTTCAAAAGTGACACATTCGGGAACACATTTCGGAGGACTTTGCTGCCAGCCAAAACAGAAGTTACATGTGGAAAAATAGCAAATGCTTGACGAATTTTCTATAAATTCCTAGAATCATTTAGCAGGATGTTAAGATCTCAAAATTTTCTCCATATTTTATAGTGTCATCCTGATTCTTCTCAGAAAATTCCCAAACGGAGAAAAATAGTTCCCTAGTTACGGTGTGTACAGAGCTGCAGCTGAGCATAACGTGGAAAACTATGTTTCAAATTGATTTGCATCTTTTTCTCGGACAGACTGACAACAGTGTTATGTCTGAAGAACAGTGGGTTCTCTCCGGCGTTTTGACTCCGACTTTCTGCTGTATATAACGCATTCTCTGTAAGACTCGAGCAATGAGGGACATAGGGAAAGATTTTTATGTGAGCATGTATATGGGGACTAGTGTGCCCTATATGCACAATATTGGGTCCCAGCTCCGGGTTACGGTAGTACGGTAGGTGCTCAAAGGTGCACAACTCGAATTTTTTCAAAAAAATCGTAGCAGGCTGAAATTTTTCATACAGAGTGGAAGAGCATCAAACTACTCACAGGGAAGAGTTTTCACACCGGAGTCGTCGTATTCTTTAGAGTTCATCTCTTTCAACATTAATTTCAATAATTCACCAGAAGTCTCTCTTTTCGATTGCTTCCTTAATTCCATTTCGTGCTCCGTCGCAAGTGAACTAGATGAGACGGAGAACGTTTACGATGAGAACAGTGAAGAAAATAGTGATTTCGAGAATATTGTTTGTCTAATAGAAAAAGAAAAAAATGACTTATTCGTTGTTTGAAATTATTAAGTCATTCTGAAATAAATTTAAAGGACCAGGGAACCCTCAAATGTTTTTACTTTTTTGTGAAATTTTTTTTTGTGTATGTTTGAATTGTCTCTTATTGCCTCATACACTGGTGAAATGTTGACACTCAGAAATGCCAATGAACGAAACGGCGTGCAGTTGAAGTTGTGGCCGTGGCCTAGGAAACTCCGGTGTGAAAACTCTTCCCTGTGAGTAGTTTGATGCTCTTCCACTCTGTATGGATGCTGATTTGTGTGAATGTTTTGCAAGGTATGAAGATTGTGCCGAACGCAAGAAAAAATCCGAAAAAGATCACAAGGCCTAGAACTTTTCTGGGCCACGGCCACAACTTTGACCAAAGCGCTGTTCCATTCACAGTTATTTCTGAAAGTTGGGGCTCGGACAGTGAATGTGGCAATAAGAAGCAATTCAGTCAGACACATAAACTCGGAACGTTCCCTGGTCCTTTAACTCTTCAAGATGAAAATAATCATGAATAAAGTTGAATAAATGAACGAATATTTGAAAAAAAAGAGAAATAAATAAATAAAAATGGAAAAAAAGTGAAAAAACTAGGGTTCAGCAACACGATGTCGCTGTTTTTTTAGAATAAAAAAACAGTTATAAGACAAAAATGCACTTCTGAGTTTTGATTTTTCAAAAATAAGTAACGTAAAAACTTTTTCAAAAAAACCCTTAAAAAAACAATTTTGTGTTCATACAAACTGATTTCTGCAGCTTCGCATTGATTTCCGATGGAATACAATGCTCTTACGAGGGAAAAGGTAGAAGTCGCTCACAAACAATTCAACTTTTCGGCATCTGCTGCAAGTCGAAATGACTCGGATTTTTTTTTTGTCGAAAGCTAAGATGAAAATACACCTTTGTGTAGTAGATCGTTTTCTCCGGAGCCTCTTACTAAGGCCCTTAATTTTTAGTTTTCTCCAAAAATCATGCAAAATGTAAAGTTTTTCTGTTACAACTCGACCAAAAAATGTTCTTAACAGGTTTTCAGTGGAAAATTACTTCGCGGCCTAGAAATTCTGCCAGATTGCGAACAGCGCGCCCTTTCTGTCCGGCGCCCCTATAATACGGATGATCTCATGTTTTTCTTCGCGGACAAGTCCAATAAATCTTGTTGGAACTACTAACATGTATGAAACTGAAATGTGAAAAGTCAATTTGATTTTTTGTTGCTAATGTAAGTTCACATTGTTGTTTTGTTAAAGAACGTGTTAGGCTAGGCTTATGGTTCACTGCTATTTCTCCGAATGAAAAATTATAGGAGCGTTCCAGTAAAAAGCGAAATAATCATGTTGACAAGCCCTCGTATAAAGAGAGAGCATGAACAATGGAAGGATCAGCTTTAGCGCCTTCTTTAAATTCTTCCAGTGTGAGTTGAGCATCATTGTTCTGAAGAAATCCACGTTTATCAAATTTCCACCCAATAAAAACCAACTTTGTCCATCATGCGGAATATTCTATCAACTCTTTTTTCAGGCGTATTCTCATCTTCAGGGAGAGTAACACTATTTCCAACCATTTTGTATATCGAATCAACTATGGACAACATTTCGTTTCTTGTAATAAATCCATCTTGATCGAGATCATACAACCGGAAGGCCCCTGAACAATTTCACTTATGTCGAGCTAATATGTTATCTGCCTCACAGTGCAGTTTCTCATCTAAATTTCCACGTGATGTTATTGATAAAGCACGTATAAATTCGTGAAATTCAATTGCGCCGTCCTATAAACGTATTTCCTTCAAGTATTAAAAAATATATATGCTCACTTTGTTTTCATCAAATACTTTGAAAACAAATGAAGCAAAATCAGAGGGGTCACCCTGAGGGAAAAACTGCTTGTATATCTTTTGAAAACCCTGAAAACTTAAATTACTTTTCTAATGCAAAAATTGACCATTAATTTGTATCAAAATGTGAAATAATAGCGTATGCTTACCGCCTCTGTTAGCATTCCGTTTGGGCAGTCGCGTACAAATCCTTTGTACCATTGTTTGATTTCTTTTTCCGTAACTGTAATAAAAAAAATATCCGAATATTCTTCATTATCACTAACAGTATGTTTGCTCCGCCAATTCCCGAATCTGTGTCGATTTCAACTTACTGTTGGTTTTTCCCATTCTTGCAGCTATGGAATCAGTGAAAATACACACGAAACTCTGAATTTTGCATTTAAGTTCTGGTATTTTTATTTGAAAGGAAACCGAGTACGCTTCAAAAAATTGTGTTGCTTTCAGTTTTCTTATTCAATTATATCATAATATTCAATTATTTTTTCAGTTTTTGTGTTTTTTTACAATTACATTTGAAAAGCTTCTGAAATATACATAAGTTAATCTTCTTTTTATATGAAAACTATTTGTTTTTTTAATGATAACGAATATTTTAAACTGTGCTTAAACGTGCCAAAAACTAGTATACATTTGGTCTGGAATAAGCTCAAAAAGGCACTGATATGAGAGAAAATCTCCGGAAGAAGAAATAGGTGGCGAGATAGAAAGGCAGTGACCATAGCAACAAATCACGTTCTTTTCGTAGCATCACGGATTAAGAGTTTGGTTGTCGAGAAACAGAACAACCAACGTTAATGCAAACTACTTGGATTCAGGTCTTTATAAGTCAAGCACAGCATTTGTTCCAGACACGCTGAGTATACAATGGTTTTAACTCTGCATCAATTATTTGAAAAACCCTTCAATTGACTTCATACAGTAAAATAATTACAAACGTTTCAGCAGTAACTTTTGTAAATTGAAATAAATTTTGAATTTTACTATGGAAGAGATGATTTATATTTCCCGGCTTACGAATATCAAAAGTCAGAAAGCAGTTTCTACTTTTAACGAGGATATACGCAGACCACAAAACTACGCAACTTTTCCCACGGAAGCGCGATGTAATTAGAAATTCATGCGCCCGCTCACATAGGATTAACTGATTACATACTATTAAGATACAATTAAATAGAATATGATAGGACCAAGAGATTGCTGAAAAAACTAATGTGGAAATGTTGCGTTCCCTTATCCAAAAAATATAATTCATTAGTAATTTTTGTTATTTTATGAAGAATTTCTGATATAATTCAAAACACGAACGTGCGTTGTACAGCTTCTTTGAGACAATTAGCCACTTTGGCAATATAACAACTCTGCTCAACGAGAAAAGTTTCGAATTACAGTACTTAGAGGTGTACAAATTCGGAGACGCAGCATGGTGTGGTTAGCAATCTGTCGAATACTTTTTTCGCACGTTACCTCTAAACAAAACGTGTTAATACTCAGGGATCCAAATCCTGTCAATTTCAATCAATTTTCCATTGCCGTTAAAAATTCCTGTGGATGTTCATACTTCATACTAGAAAAACTTTGAGAAAAGAGGGACAAGGGAAGTGTCTGATGTTACCAATCTGGAAAATTCTGAAAACATTCCCAAAAATCGGAAATATTCTGAACAGTCACTCCAACTTTTAAGTACAACTCCAGTATTCCCGAATGTAGAGATTTTAATCTGATAAGACACGTCCACTGTAGTACTGTCTGCAAAGCAACTATTTTTCAACTATCTGATATGTATTTTGTTGATTCACATCTTGGTTCGTGAACAACATGACAATCACATACCAAAAATCTTGTGCCATGTTTTTTCATAAGTTCCCTAACTCGATCAATACATTTATTGTGGTCGCCTTCGGAAACATTTGCTTGCTCTACCTGTAAAATAGAAAATGGCTCAGAAAAAAATAATACACTTTGCCTCGGAAATTTCCAGTAAATTATATTCTTGTATTTTGTTGATTTTATGCATTTTGTTGATTCACATTTTGGTTTGGATTCCTTATGTTGCATCTGGTAGCTAAATTCCACCCTGTGCATTCTTTGTAAAAACCACTGTACAAATACAACTTTTCATACATAATTAAGTTTGAGAACTCAAATTAACACAATAAAAAATTAAGCAAACGTTTTAAACTCTTCGAGGAAGCTGAAAGTAATTAATAAATTGTACTTCCCGCGTTTTCATATTTCCTACCTTTCTGTGTTTAGCATACAATTTCCTGCAAGAACTATGGCAGGACCACCATGACCTTGCATTCTTCTCTGGTTTGAATAGCGCACAATTGCTGCTTCTTCATAGGTGGCTCCACCAATTATGAAAACGATAAGGTTGTCCATTCGTTCGCTGTAAATTCAGTAAGACGCGTCATCAACTGAGTAAAAGTCAAGTTTCACCAGTCCAATCCGATGAGTGAAAAGTTTTCAAAACGTCCGCGTTGACAATGCTCGATTATGTTTTGCAAATATGGAGAATGTTGTGTGTAAATATTTTCAACACCTTTTAGACCTTTTATAAACCTTAAAAGCCAATCCGTGTATTTATTATGCTTGAAGTATTCGACGCACCGTTTTGTGATGTCCATAGTAGATTGCCCTCCAAACAAATCAGTTGGTCTTTTCGTTGATCCTCCATACGTCAATGCTCTCATGACAATGTTTGGTAATTTACTGTCCTAATGAGAAAGCTATTGATTCGCTAAACTTTCAATTCAAACGTACATGTTGTTTTAGCTGGTTGATAAGCATAGCAGTTTCATTACCCGGAAACTTTTCAAAACGAATCGCGTATAACAGCACAAGGCGAGCAGCATCCTGCAAGACGATATTTCAAAAAAGTTATTACAGAAGCAATTTTTTTTTGTGTTTTACCGAATTTGTTAAATTTTATCTCTCTTAAAATTACCACGTCGGTGGTATGTCATACCAAATTCTGTCCGCACTTTTTTAAGGAAAATCCATATAACAGGAAAACTTCACGGTTTTTACGAAAGTAAAGATTACGGTTTTACGCCCTGCTGAGGCTCTGTGTAGAGGCCACTAGATATGGTCAAGAAGATACAGGAGGATTTTATTGTTTAGATTTTATTTTCACAATGAAAACATGTTAACGTACATAAACACTTTTTTTTGAGTTGTGAACAATATGACAATCACATACCAATGATCTTGTGCCAGGTTTTTTCATAAGTCCCCTAACTCGATCAATACATTTACTGTGGTCGCCTTCGGAAACAATTGCTTGCTCTACCTGTAAAATAGAAAAAGGCTCAGAAAAATAATAATACACTTTGCCTCGGAAATTTCCAGTAAATTATATTCTTGAACAAATTTACTAAGTTCCCCAACGAGGCTGACGTGCTTTGAAACAGTTCCGCTAATTTTTTTGAACTGTGGATAGTCTTCAACAAATTTCTTCATATCCTGAATTGATTCGAGATTTTTGTTGATATTCTTTTGTTGTTGAAATTTATTGATCAAAGTTTTGATATTCTGTCCAATTTCTCCAAAATTAGATGTAATGTTCTAAAAACCGTTTTTGTATGTCAATGAGGATAATGTCATAAGATTACCTGCGCAAAAAATTCATCGTGTTGTTCACTCAGAACAATTATCTGTTCACTGCATGAACATCTATTGTTTTTTATATTCAACAGCTCATGGATCATGGCTTCATAAGTCCATTGGTTGAGAAGAGGGGTCACAATATCTTGTGATCGTTCTATAACAAGAAGAACGGTATCACTCTTAGCATTCTCAAATAACAAATTCTCCCGACGGAAAAACTGCGAAACCTCTTCAGCGATCGTCTTGCAGTTTGTAGAATTTTTCTGATACCTAAAAAGAAGTTAACTCATCCCAATTTTTTTTAGATATTTTTTTTTGTCGCTATTAGTTCCATTTCAAAGAAGTTTCATTTCGGGGAAATTCTAATTCAAAGCAGTTTCTTTCCAAAGTCGAAGTTTCGAAGTTGCACCTCAAAACTTGTTCTATTCAAAAAATTATCATTTTGGGTACTACGAAACTGAAAATCCTCACATATTTTCTGTTTTTCTCTTGTTCCTAGCTTTCAAATCCTAGAAACACAGACTCAACGCCAATCAATTTCTTAGCACCCGTAATCCATATTTTGCCTGTAAATGGACGTGGAGTAACAAACTCTTGCTGAATTAATATGGACCTCATAATTCAGAATTTCAGTTAGCACTAACAGCTTTTGTTTTGGTTACTCTCTACAAACACTAACCGGACAGCTGGTTTCTTTTTTAGTTGCAATATAAGTGAAACAATCCCATGTTTAATTCTATTAATTGCTTCTTCTTTAATGGAGAACTCGGTGTCATAAATGTGGTTGATATTGAGCGTGAACAAATCTTTTCTGAGTGGGATGCCATCCAAAAATACTTCTTGAACTTCGCGAACCTGAAACTTCAGAGCGTTTGAAGCGCATCAACACTTTTTCCAAAAATTATAGACTCCATAAACAAAAAAATTCTACCGTTTCGGTTTTGTCTGACTCGGCCAAGCGTTTTACTTCGTTCTTACTTATGGCATTGGAAAAATCTGAAAAAAAAATTTGACAGGGAAACAGATATCGGAGCCAATGAAGCTAAAGAAATAAATTAGTCCGCAAGCTGAAAAAACAATATTTGGGATCCGCAAACAGATTCTATCGTATTACACGTGGTGTTGAGAGCGACGGCGGCGATTAAAAAAATTTGAATCACCGCCAACGGGTTAGATAAGTAGGTTGTACCGTAATTTGCTGGGTAGCGATTCAAAAAGCGTTGCGGCGATACGGCGTCGCCAAGTTTTTTCGCAATGTTGATGCAAATGCAGCGATGTCGTGCTTGACGCCCCGTGGTATTATACGAATGCAATCTATCCGTATTCGAAACCATTGAAAATAACTCACGAAGGTAGTACTGACTGAATCTTGGCTCTTGTAATTCTTGCATTATTCGTTGAATGTTATCTGAAGTAGGTCGGACAAAAACAATGCACTTTAAATTTTTCATATTTTCAATCGATCTCCCATTGTCAATTCGTTCAAATAAAAACACTTCTTTTTGCATAACTTCTGATTGAGCAAATGCGCATGATATGATAGGAGTCTGAATTAAAAAAATCATTTCTGTATGTTTTAACAAGTACAACTGACTGTTTCGGAATCCATCAGCAAAACTTTCATCTGAGTACCCGCGAGTTCGACCATATCAGATATTAGTTTTCGGCTCGATAAAACTAAATCCATTCTCACAAATAATTTTTGAGAATCTGAATGAAAATTAGGCACATGAATGTTTTTCTTTAGACAAAACGCACAAAATGTAAAACGGGAACTCCGTTAACGAAGACGTATATCAACAACACTCCATGAGAACGATGCAAGTGCGCTCCACCGATCACTCACAAAAAATGTGCGCCTGAATTAATGCAACGCTGAGTTTAATTTAGTTTTAGACATTTCATCAGAACCGTTATTTTTAGCAAGCTTGATCGTCTCTGCTATGCCGGGCTAAAGTCTTGCTAGGGTCGCCCGCTTGCTTTAAACGCAATTAGACCATTCACTCCACTTGGCGTAGTAGCTAGCGCGCCTGTCTGTCGTGCAATCATCCTCGGGTTCAAGTTCCCGTTTTTGGGTTTTCTCCAAAAGGGGTATATACATGTATTATACATATATGTATCATTATATATATATACAATTTATGTATTGCGCAATGCAAATAGCTCGATTTTTAATTTTCGAACCCTAGAAATGTCCACAACAAACAGAACCAACTTTGAAAGAGAAACTTAATGTTTGCTAAATTTGCACAATTTTCAACGTTAACTGTATTTTTTATTGGACGATAAAACATATAAAAAAATGCATGCAAGTGACCTGAAAACTATTATGCATTTATCAGAATGTTTAAAAACGATTTTCTTGCCGGCATGTCACATGAGCAAAATTTTCCGACTGTAGCCCACAGTACTAACAGCACTAAAATTTAGAGACGCGAAAAAACTGTAAAATGTTTACTAGTTAATAAAGAAAGCCTCAAGTCTCGCCCTGATAAACACATAATTTCATTTTTAAATTAAGGCATTTATGAACGAAAGCATTATAATTAAGCAATATCTCATGTTAAAAGTGGAAGAATCTGGTCCGTCCACGTTCGGATCATAATCTGCAATAATGAATAATTTTTTGCATGGCGAATATAAATCAGTGAAAAACAATTGGTAATGTCTAGTTAACTCACTAATGAACTGTTTGACGTTTTCCTTTATGAATGCTCGCGCAGCTGGCAGAGCTGCAGGCTCTCCCTCATAAGACGGATACATATCTGAGCAATGTGCTGTTCCGTTTATCAAGTATGGTAGTTTTGCTTGATTTTGTTTGGTTTTGTATGTTCCCAAGGAATGCCAAGGATCAAGTGACCCGTGTGGAAGAACCACATTTGTTGCCTGTAATACAAACGCATTGAAGCAGCTTAATCAAAACATCTAACTCACTTCGTAAAAATCAGCTCCGCCATAGTATGTTTGTGATTTTGTGTTTCGATTGCGAATTTGCGTAATTTTGATATCCGGCCCAAACATGTCGGTGCACATATCAACGAACAAACTCAAAAGAATGCTGAGAATATTGTGAAATATTCAAATGGCAAACTTTAACGGCACATTTGATCCAAAAACATTCGATCCTTGGTTTGTCGTTTGGAGAAATCCTATTTCATTGCAACACAACCACATCCAACCTCGCGCAGCAGCTGCAAACACATTTTTCGATTGATTATTGAAAAGTCTAACCTCCATCCTCTCCTAGAATTTGCAAATCCCCGTTACTCAGTTGTTGAATCACATCATAATAACTGTTTGGCATGATAGAAAGATCTGGTCCTGCTGGATCAAACATATTGTACCACAAAAATAGGTTTCGTGTTCGTTGCACAAGACTGGTCACCGTTTGGTTTGTCATGATGTCACACATTTTTCTAACAGTCATGTTTGAATGAGTTCTATCGCTCTATTAAACAAAAATTATTAATTCCATTAATAGAATTTCTTAAAACAAAAAGTTTAAAAACTCACCTGTCCATCATATGTGTACTGTGTCATTCCTTGAAACGTGTTAAACAAATTTCCAAAGAAATTACTTATATCCAGCTTGGTCGTATTTGAATCAAACTTGGGAACCAAACTAAAATGTCTAGTTGAGATAAAAACCACATCTTAGGCCCTGTTGTTTTTCACCATTTTTTTGTTTTTGTAAGAATTATCAAAACAACGTGAAAAGCTGAATACTGGATTAGAAGAGCGCCTCTAATAGAAAAGGCACCTAGCAAGGTGAGCTAGAGCAGTTTTTAATCGATTTTCAAATGGTTCTAAGACAAGTTACTTGGAAAACCTGAAGCCCCGTTGACACAAAAAATTCGGGATTGGTATTTTTGGTCTATATTATGACTATAGGAAATGTTTTACAATAGAAGTTTTTCAAAATTACCATTTCCTGGCTCAGCCCCTTTTGTTGGTTAATTAGCAGTTTTATTCAAACAGTTGCATAACCCCGTTCGGAAATTCGCTCCCAGCGGAAATAAATTTAACCCATCTTTTTAGGCATTTTTTTGTGTTAGTACCAAAATTTTAGCTCTTTGTCTTCCCCCGAAAAAAAACAATTTTTTCACATTGTAAAACACGAGGTCGTGGCGGGAACATTGAAACTTCTAATTTGAATTTCCACCAACGGTCGATTGCGTAGCGCCCCTAGGCCAAAACGAAATTTTTGAAAATTTCATCAGAGCGCGTTTCTATTTAGGTACCCTCCACGACTCCGTGAAAAATGTATTTACGGTATATAAACGTCTCTCACTTGAAAGTGGTACTCAAGCTGTCTCTTCCCTCTAATGTTAGCGAAAGCTGCTGTATTTGGTCAAAAGCCTGTTTGACAGCAGTAGCACACGCAGGATCGGTAACCTTGAGATCAGTTTCAACAACCATTGCATATTCTGGAAACATTGTTGAAAAGAAGTATGCAAACGAGACTACCGTAGAAATCCAGCTTTAAATTAAGTGGTGCACTGCTTGCTACTGATCCAACTGTGAGCTCTGGATATTTTTGTCTGAACCAAGCGGAAAGAGATCCAGGATAACTTCCACCAAAGGTAATCCAACGGGGTTTCTTAAACTGATGCTGTTGATTCATCGATTCAATAAAATAAGCAAGGTCTGCTAATGCTTGTTGTGTTGTCAGCAGGCGCAGAGAAGAAGTGTTCATATTTCTTAACTAGTAGTTCTTGTTTTAACTTTTATTCATCTCTTGAAACTAACCCAGTCGGCTGACTTACACCAAAAAATCTATGCTCCAAATCAAAAACATCAGCTCCAAATTCTTGAGCCCATTGCAAGTATTGCACTTCTGGATATGCAGCCCAATGACCACTTTCTGGACCTTCGCCACCAATCATTAAGAAAATAATTGAGTTATTTCTCGAATAAGAGGGGTTGTAGTAATATTTCTGGGATGAGATAGTATGGGTGTTGACAAAAAGGGTTTTTACTTGATTCCAAGTTACGGTATTATAAGGATCAAAATGGTCCAGTTTTTGCGTAAAGTTATGAACTTGTAAGTATGGATAATCATCAGTCACACTTGCTCCTGTTCTCAGAAACTGTTTGGATAGGCGATAACTGAATTTTTACTTTTATTTTACTTTAGACCGATTTGACACTTACTTTAAAATTGTGTCGGTGGTAGGTTTTCCAATAAAAAAAGGTGGCAATGCCGACTGTACCACTATAGGTAGTAAAACGTACAACAAGGACTTCATGTAGTGCCCTCTGCCGGCAAAAAGAAAGTCTAAACTTCTTATCAGAACCCGTGTAATGCTGATTAAAATAAAATCAAACATGCTATCATCGTTTCGATTTTCCTTTAGAAATATAATCATTTAAAAACGATTTTCAACGTATGATATTGCAATGCACAGACACTAAAACTTGAGGTGCAAGAAACATCATAACATAACAAAAAAAACGAAAAAGTTATGTTTCGTATTAACTTGTACAGTGCGTTTCCTAAGTATAGGGTCACCCCTAAAATTGAATATATTCTCTTTCCCAAACAAAATACCACTCCAGGACCTTGAAAATCGAAATCAGCATCACAAATAACCCCCGGGATACAATTTTGAGAGCAGTGCATAGGATAGTTGGGGAATGATGCTGAAATATCTGAAAATGTTGTAGCTGCAAGCGTTTCATAAGTATAGGGCCACTCCTGAAAACACTCTGGAAGTCTCTTATACTGATAAACATAATCTTGAGTTGGGTTTTTTGCACTTTTAAGATGTCCAAAAAGTATTTTTGAAATCATGTGCACTGACGCCGACGCCACCTAGGGCCACTCTCCCGGGTTTAGCCTAATGTTCTGTGTGAAGCTCCGGAGTGGAGCCGGGGGACTCCGATGATCTCAAATGAGTCAAATCTTGTTTGAAACTAGTTTTTTGAGCATTTTCAAGTCAATTTTGTTTAAGCATGCCGAATCTCTAGCACGTGATATCAGATTTTTGACCAAAATGAAACCAGGCCCAACAAGGATCAGACTGGCTTGAGCGTCAAACTCCAGGCTGACATTGCACACTTATGGAACGGGAACTTTTGAAACATGACATTTTTGAGTTTGGTGTCAATCGATTCAGTTTCAACCGAGTTATGAGCTCCCGATTGTTGAAGTGAAGAAAACCAACAGAAATGTACTGAAAAATATTTGTTGGCGTCGGGGTCATTGCACATGATTTCAAAAAGGCTTTTTGGACATCCTAAATGTGCAAAAAACCCCATTCAGGATCATTTCTATCAGTTTAAGACGATTCCAGAGTGTTTTCAGGGGTGGCCCTATACTTATGAAACGCTTGCAGTTGCAACATTTTCAGATATTTCAGCACCATTCCCCACCTATCCTATACGCTGCTCTCAAAATTGTTTCCCGAGGGTTATTTGTGATGCTGATTTCGATTTTCAAGGTCTTGGAGTGGTATTTTGTTTGGGAAAGACGATATATTCAATTTTAGGGGTGGCCCTATACTTATGAAACGGACTGTAGGTTCGAGATATTAAAAAGAAACATGGCTGAGTTCCTTGTGATTTTTCACTTTCATAGAAACCACAAAAATATATAGTTTTGACGTCTCAATATGTGTTTACATTTTCACACATGTTTGTATCTTTTCAGATTCATCTTGCACTTTGTGTGATTATGTGATATAGCAGAGTTTGAAATTTTCCTAATAAAACTAGACTGATAACGACCCAATATTATCACAATATATAAGTTGTGAAGTTCCATGTTTTGTTAATTCACAAAATATTATCAGATAAGATAAAATGGTACACGGTATTTTCTCAACAATTTTCTATTGTCATAGTAGAATTGGGCGCATTTACTCTACTTCCAAAGGATGTGTGTGTTGTTGGTGTGTGTGTTATTTCTCGATAGCAATGAACCGTATTCCGTGCTTTATATCATGAGCGTTGCCGTATAAATTTTTTCAGGCTGAAGTAATGGAAAGGGTGTTGAAGTTTCTCAGAACGCGATTTAACCAACCGAGTGACAGCGATCAAATAGGAAATTACGCTGTTTTTGATGAAGTAAGGTTTGCATAATTTTTTTAAACATTAGCTGTCGCAGGGTAACCGAGGAGGGTTTCCTTCGAATGTAGTTGCGTTTGATTACGAAAATGGAGTCATTGCAATTGGAACATTGAGCGGGGAAGTTAGCTTCTACGGGTACAAAGGTGCATCTTGGTCAATCGACTTGAACAAGACAGTTACTACTAATGTTGACGTTGTGAACATTGTGAAAATTCATTTTGTTTCCAAGGATAAGCTCTTTGTTTTGTGCCGTGGTCCATTTATCACATGCCTCGAAATAAAAGGTAAGAATGCAATTGAAAAGAATATTGTATATTGCCATTTCCCAGATGGAATTATCTTGTTGAGCAGGAATCTGTGCTACAGCGAAAACTATGCGTTCAAATGGAATTGCACATTTATCCGGAAAAAGTTCGAGGCGCTAGTATTTTGTTAGTTTTCGTGGGCCAAGTAGTTTGAAAGTTCAACAATAATCTCTCCGAAAGATAGTGGTCTCTTGGGCCACTTTTGAAAAAAATATGTTTGCTTTCGAAAAATGATGTTTTTGAAGCGGGAGAAATTTTTATCGAAGAAGTAGTTGTCTTTGGAGTCCGGGTATTTATTTTCGAGACAGGAGCACAAATGAAAGAAAAATATTGATAGCCAAAAACTGCTTCTGATTTTCTTCTTGGTTGATTTAGCCCAAATCTTGGGTAGTATGGACATAAGGTAAAAATATTAAAAAATTTATTTAAAAAATTTATTGTGATGATATAATGACCATTTTTTCTCAAAGGTGATTCATGGGACCATTTCTAAAAAGATCATATTCGGAGTTGAACATTTTTGAGAAAATCTCAGATTTCCTGGAGTGTTTCCAATTGATTTGAAATTTTTCGTTTGAGTATCTTATGACCCCTTACCACAAAACCGCTGTTGGGAAGTGAGCTTGAGATGTTCAGGTTTTTAAAAACTCCCAAGTGTAAACGCCGATCCTTGTGAGGGAAGCCTTCGATCCTTGTGAGGGAAGCCTTCGATCCTTGTGAGGGAAGCCTTCCACTCTTTTATCAAACACTGGCCAAGATCTTCGATTATTCGAAATACTAATGGGGTTATTCAGGCTGTGAAAAAAATGATTTTTTTTTGATTTTTCAATGAGCAATTCGTAAACTGCGACCCAAAAAGCCTCGTACGTGATATTCCAAATTTCTACGAAAAAGCACGAACAAATCCTTTCTAACTTTGACTCTTTGAACCCGTGCCGAGCTACGATAAGCTCACTTTCCAATCGCGGTTTTGTGTTAAGGGTTTATGGGGTATTAACACAAAACACACAAAACACGTTGATTAAAAAGGAAAATCAATGTTTTGAGTGATTAAATTAAATAATTCAAAAACAACCTTAGAACATTGTAGAGTTTTTTAGACATGGACAACCAAGTTTTCCAACTATATCAGAACAAACCCGACACTCAGACGTTGGTAGACAAAGATCATCTCGAGAACTGGATTGCTCAAGAAACTGAAATAACACATATCACTCACTTACCAGAAAACCCGCGTATTCTGTTGTTTTGCACAGCTGATGGAACTATCCTGGTTTTCAAAGAACAACAAATTTCGATGAAACTGGAAATGAAAAACTTCGAAGATGACCCGATTCTAGTGAGTAAAGCAATTGAAAATTCTTCGCTGAAAACTCTAACTAGGGGAGTCCTCTGAACACCATTAGAGAATCTCTCGAGAAAAATCATGGAGAACTTTAAGATCTCAACATAGAAAAATTATAGAAAAAACCGGAGAACGCAGTTGAATATTTTAAAGTGAAAGTCAAATTTGTTGAAAATTACACCTGAAAATTAGACATAATTATAACCTAACCCCAAAAATTATCAAAATTCCCATGAATTAGTTCAGGAAGGAAAAAACCAATTAATAATTACCAGTTAATATTTACTCTTCCTCGACAAGATCTCAAACTGACTACAATGCATGTCATATCTTTTAGACCCCCTCAATTTTGGACTCCGGGAGCAAACCAAAGAAGATATCAAAAATCTGTTAATGCCAATCGATTTGGCATACAAAGTAACCCCCGCGGCCGATTTGGACCCATCTAAAAACATTTCATGCTCACGCACCATAAAAAACTGAGTTTCGGCCGCGAAATAAGTTTAGGAGGCCCTCAAAAATGACAAAGTTTTTTGGAAAACTGGCGATTTGAGAGTCAAAACGTATTGCAGAATTGTTAGAACTGCAGAAACATGCATTTTGACATTATCCCTACATCTGGAACTTACTGGTGCTTATTTTTTGTGTACCGATTTTTGTGGTTGGTCCAAAAACAGTGAATATTGGAGCAAATCGAGTTTCAACGAGCATAACTTTGTTGAAACTTCTTTGTTTCTCACCAGACTTGGACAAAACGTCACCAATAACATTGATATGTCCAAATGATAACAAATAATGGAACATTGGGGTTTCGGATGGAAAATCTTGAAAAACGGTGCTGGCACTTAAAAATTGCCAGATGGTCTTATAGATATGACATGTCCAAAACCCCGACTTTCTGATGGTGTGTGGGTGTGAAACGAGTTATGACCATGAAAATTTGCCTCCGGAGGTGACTTTTATGCCAAATCGAATGGCATTAACAGATTTTTAATACCTTTTTTGGCTTGGTCCAGGAGTCCAAAATTGAGTGGTCTTAAAGATATGACATGCACTTTACAGAGTGGCAATTAAGTATACAACTTTTTTCCTTAACCCTAATGGTATTGTCCATCCTTCACCATTTTTTGGCAACTAAAAAAGAATTCCCAATTTTTTCGCGGGTCCTGAAAGTGAGTGAAACTTGCGCCGCAGGCGACTGTTTGGCAATATTCAAATATTGGCACAAAAATACAAATGACAACCGCTAACACTCAAATCGTTCATAAACTAAATATTTGAACCATTATCAACATTTTTCCGCAATGGGCGCAATTATCTAAATTTATCTGGCCCAATAGAAGCAATATGAGAACGTTGCATACTCAATTGCCACCCTGTTAAATTTTTATGTACAAAATAAGAGTGGTGTCCGCCTATCTGTCTGTTTTTTTGAATGTCCGTATAGCGCGGCAGAAAGAAAGGGAGAGCAGACGAAACCAAGTAAGGTCCCCCTAACATGCCAAAACAGCAATTTGAAGTATTAAAACAGCAAAAGTTTGACAGAAACAGTTTTCCAAATGTTAAATTTCTGAAAATTTTCATCATATTTTGTGAAACCACCTTCATTTTCTAAAAATATTCCCTAAAATCAAAAGACTAATCTTTCCAAAATGGCAGTTTTCCAGCAACTGTTCTGGAGTTCAACTGAAAACATTGCATACGGTATCTCGAGCAATCATACATATACAAAATGGAAATTCACTCTCGGAAAGGACGATTATGTGAGAACGACTGAGATTAGCATCTACGATTCAAAACTGTTCGGCCCATACCCATGTCATCAGATAAAACATTTCAACGTTGCCACAAGCAATCAGTAAGACACTTTAAATAGGCACATTTTATTTTAAGAAAACGGAATGCACGGCAATTGAAATATTTTTTACAGAAGTGACGGAACAGATATTTTGATTTATCAAGGCGGAAAGAGCTCTGGAAAATACGATGACAGAGACCTTATTACATTGAGAGTCAACCAGCATTCAGAAAAATTAGAAGTGTCGTCAGAAGTAGTTGGAATTGCAACTGTTGATGGATCTTACGGTTAGCAAGAGCAAAATAATTTTTGTCAATTCCTTTTTTCAACAGATGATAACAAAAATGCTGGGATTATTTTGATTTGCACAAAGTGCGAAATAATTGGCATCGATCTGAAAACTGAATTTTTTAATATGTTGCAACCTCGGCATTTCATTTCTATCAATAACAGCACTCCTACCACGCACGCAAAAACAATTGAAATTGAAGAAAACGTTTGGAATCGACTCGAAACCGTAAGATTGTTATTCATTTTTAGTTCATTCTTCAAAAATTTTACGTAAAGAATCTACTCCTCAGGTAAATTGCTATTAATCTAGTTAACCAATTTGCGTTTCTAAGCGAACCTTGTTATTCGGTAAACCTCTGCAACTTCTGAGCAGACTTTGGGGTGACAGTAGCTTTTGAGCAACAGTTTAGTAACTTTTGAGCAAACTTTTGTGATAAGCATTATTTTTAGTTACATTCCAACAACTTTTGAGCAAACGATCGGCGAAGTTTTGAGCAACACTTCATGAACTTCTGAACAAACATTATGGCAATAGAAAATTCTGCACAGAACTTAAGCAACCTTTGCGCAGAACACCAGCAGCTATTGAGCAGAAGTTAGATGAAGGTTGCTGAAGTTTTGCTCAAAAGTTTCCGAGGTTTACCGAGTAGATTGCTAGTTTACTGCGATTAGATTGCTGATTCTACTGACTAGACTAATACATTTTTTTAATTAGACTGAACAAGCAAATTAGATTGCAAAACACATATAACAGATTCAAAAATTCAGCTAATTAGATTAACACTTCGGCTGCACCTAGCTAGATCATGTTAATATTGCAAAATCATCTAGCTAGATTCAGATTTCGGTAGCAATCTAACTAGATTAGGTTAGAAACACGACCGAGAAACTTTAGATTGTAGTACAAGCAGTTTTGCTTGGGATACCAAGCCGTTTCATAATCGTTTGTCGGGGTGCAGACTGATCAGTGCTATTTGCCTAAAACGAATCCGTTTGATTTGGAACTCGGCAAAATAGTAAAAACATGTCCATAAAAAAATTTACCATGAGCACCGGAGCCGCGCAGGTATGCACCACCGTAGCGTCAAACTTTTTTGCGGGTAAATAAGCGCCATCCTGTACATGCACTAGCATAGATAAAATGTGCTAAAAACGTTGCGCTGAATCCAGATGGTCACTGTTTAAAAAAAAGTTAGCGGTCAGATTTCGAGATAGTTTCTGACTGCCATACTTTTAAATAAAAAATTCCGTAAACGTTTCTAACAATTGCCAGCAACGCGATCATTTTAATTATGTCTTATTGCACAACTTTGCAGTTAGGCATATTTAAATTGCGCAAAAACTGACAGAGATACAATAGGTCGAAGGTTAGAAAGTGATTTAATCGTTGAAAAAGTGATGATTTCTCGAAAAATTTTGACCCGTTTAAAAATGATAGTCATTCTTACTTCTCAAAAGTCTGTCGATTCCCATAGTCTCGTTAAAAATTAGGGAATACATTACGAAAGCATTCTTTGTGAGTCTTTTTGAATTATTTTCAAGCTCACGTTACCTGATTTTCCATTTTACAGGCAAGTAAAAAATTTTGGGAAGCGAATAATTTTTCTTCTCGAAGTTGGCCGCTATACTCTCAAAAGGAGACTGTGACAGATGCGAACTCACAAAGGGCCGCATTCCGTCAAGTTTATTTGTCAGGGCATTCAAATGGAAATATATGTGTGTGGACAACTGGAGGTGTCAATATGGCGCTGTCGTTGATCATAAAAACTTCGTTGGAGTTTGAGTGTGGATCCACTTTTCAAGTACAGTTCTTCCAGTTTTCTGATTTCGCAATGTTCACAAACTGAAGCCAAATGTTCAAAAAAAAATTAGACTTCAGTACACAAACAGACAGAGACAGAAAAAACGATGCATTTAAAAATGCATGTTTCAGAATGACAGTGATGATTTGGAAGAGACGACGAAGAACACAGTTCGCAGGGTGAGCATTTCAAAGATACGTTTCAATAAAATATTCACTTTTTTTAGATTGGCTTATACGACCCATTTGATGATGATGAAGAAATGTGCATAACTAGAGTTTGTTTTGATTCAAAGTCAGGCATGATCCTTGCAACGAATAGAGGAGGATACGTGCTAATGTACGAACTTTGTGAAGAGTCACAGACACTTTCTACATATGAACCTGTGATAGCTAGTTTTCAAGACACTATCCAATCTTGTCAGCAAAACTTGAAACCACGAAAAGAAAGCGTTGATTACATTTCGGGATATCAACCACGAAAAACAAGCGGAAGTGAAACACCGTGAGTTTTTGAAAAATTAGCTTTTCAAAGAACGTTCCGTGGAGATGTTTGAAACTACCAAATAGTCGCGGTATTTCAGACTTGTATTTCTAGTGCCACGTTGTTATCAGACATTGAATATCGCGTATGTTCATAAATACAATTGCTTAGTCATTGGGACAAACTTGGGAACCATATTCCTTGATATCAAATGTGGTGGTGTCGTGCAAAAAAACTGCTATGAAAAATTAGAAAGTATGTGAAGAGTAGTAATCTATGTATTTTGTACACTTATCTCAAAATTTTCTAGATCGAATAGGAGACTGTGATGGAAACAGGCTCCAGCGTTTCAAAAGCCTGAAAAAGTCGCTTAGACGAACTTTCCGTCGAAAAAAAAAAGCGTTGGAAGCTGATAGTGACAAGAATCTCGCTAAAGACGAAGAGAGGAAAATTGAAGACGAAGCAATTTTTGTTGAAAGAAAAATCGAGACACCGGATGAAGAGTTAGACCGAAAACATCCCGCGCGTAAGTTTCTTGCCTTTTCTCTCAACTTATCGTTACATTTTACGTCAGAAACGTTTTGACATCTTGAAAAATGTGAAACAAAAAAGACAAAGGGAAATAATGTTTTACTTCAGGATTATCAAGAGCAGTAACCTGCCTGAAAGCAATGCGATTTCCCCTTCTTGACGAAAAAAATATTGACGACGTGATTGCAGTCGGTTTGAGTGATGGTGTAGTACTATTTTATGCAATAAGCGAACATGATATTGAATTACAAATCAGCTACAAAGCGGAAGAAGTAACGATACTCTCAGTTCATGTTAAGCAGCCCATTTTAAATATTGATATAACTAACGAAGACCTTTACGTAATGTCTTCGCGTGAAGTACTTTTAAATTAAATTAATTTCAGTTTTCTGCAACTACAAATATAGTAGTAATGACTGATGAGCAAGTGAGAGTATATAGTTGTCTGCCAATGAGGAAGCAAGACAGTTACAAAGTGACAGCATTAGAAGGATTGAAAATCAAAAATGGAAGTGTTTCCAGAATTGTTTCCAAAAAAAGTGAGTTTTCATATTAGTTTTATGTTTCGCTGATTTTCAGGCTCTAATTCATTTGAATCCTTTATTGTGGTGCTACTGAACGATGGGAGCGTACGAATTCATGCTATGAAGAACCTTACTCAATTTAAAACAAGATGTTTGATCACCGTCAGTAGAAAGAATTTGTGAAGAATAGTAAAGGATAACATTTTTCAGCATCACGATGCCATTGCATTAAATTCCTGCTGTCTGTCAAAAGACGGTACTATGTCATATTTGGTAAGATCATCACAATTGCAACGAAGTACAATAAATGCAAACTCAAGAGCTTGGCGCACATCGAAGCATCCTTACTGTGACTTCTAAACACTGATAGTTAAAACTCTTATTTAACTTTTAATCTTGTAAAAAACTGATCCATTTTTTGAAAACTGTCATCAATTAAAAAAAATAATGAAAAATGTCTGTAAATAAGTAAATGTGTAGTTTATTCTGATTTTCTCTTTTATAGCACTTCAAGCATTCTGCTGTTTGATGTATATGAAGCGCAATTTACGTTACACAGGAGGACAAATGTTTTCACCGAAATCTTAAAAATCACGTGGTGCACTTCAGAAGAAAGTAACTAAAGTAAAAATCGACTTATACTGTGTCCTCAATCCGTCAAACTACCAGTTATCACAGGGAACAATTTTCAATGATGACCCCCATTTTTTATTTCAGAAATGTGTTTTGAGTACCCCTATTTGAAGGTCCTGTGCAAAAATTTATGTCATTTGGGCAATAATTACAGTTTCTGGAGCGGTTGAAGCAACTACAATTTACGAGATTTACAGTTTTTAGAAATTTTCAGCATGAAGCAGATCCCAGTCATAAGCTTTGATGACGACATTTAAGTCAGCATACAGTTTTCTATCGAATTGGCTTGAAAAATCGAGATTTCTTCTTCCTTTTATTTGCTTTTGCATGATCGACACAAAATTTCAGCGCGATCAAAAAACTCTCTTGGGTCGTTGTCTGAAAATCATTTTTAACACCGCTGGACGCCCTAAATTGTCCATTGAATTTCCGATGAAATTTTCAGTAGAAATTATTTTGATCAAAAGATGCTGTTATTCTAGAAATACTGAAAACTTCCGAAAAAACAATTCGGGAGCTATCGATAAGGGAATCTATTTTTATCAGTGGACTGGAGAAATATTGAACGTCAGAAAACACACTGCGGACCCTATTTATGAGTTTGCGATTCTTTGATTTAAAAAACCAGTTGATTCACCCAAACCAACTTCTTTTGTGATTCACGCGAACCAAACTGTTGTTGATGCAGATGGTAATAGAGAAAAACGACATAAAAGAAGAAAAACCAGAATCTCACGTGGCGAGCGAGCGTCGGCGTCACACGATCTTATCTTGTTAATTTATTGAGCGATCCGAATTCCTAAAAATTGTGTTTCTTACGCTTGACAAGGATTAGCCCTGTGAAAAGTTACACTCGTTGAAGATTCTCTAAACTTGAGCATTCCTAAAGTCGTCCTACTTAAGTCTTGCGTGTTCCGGTCTCAACACTTTTTTTCCATGTTTCCAGTTCCATCAATTTTTGCCAATTATCACTATTTGTTCCATTGCAAAAATCTTCCAGGAGTTATGGTCACCTTTGTGCAACTGGTGGTAAAGATTCGAGAAATCTTTTCTCAAAAGCTTGTAGATGTTGATGAAGTCATGCAAGTTATGGAATCATACAAAAGCAAAATAAATGAGTGGAGACGATTTGCCATTTTTGATATGAACAAGTGAGATCACTTATTCAATTACTTTTTTTGAAAAGCTCTATTTAGATATACTAGAAATTTAGTAGATGTTGGGAACGGAAAGTACAATTTGATGATTTTATGCTGGGGACCTGGAATGGCAAGCAGGTAGTCAATAGTGCTAACTATTTCATGTTTTCCTATTGTTCTTCAGTGTCCATGATCATACTGATGCTCACTGCTTTGTAAAAATCCTTGACGGGACTCTCACAGAAACTAAATATGCTTGGCCACGGAAAAGACACGTACCACTCGCCGTTCATGAAAATACGACCTACAATGTTGATGGAGTTTCTTATATGAATGGCTAGTTGAAATAACTCACCGACTCTCAGCGATTTCTTTTTTTGTTCCAGATGAGCTTGGATTACACAGAATGGAAAACCAAAGTCACTCAAATGGGGCCGTTTCTCTGCATCTGTACATCCCGCCTTACAATACTTGCCATGCATTCGATGAAGTCGATATAAGAAATTTTCTCTTAGAATGATGAATGATTTTCAGAGAACCGGAAAAAAAACAAAATGCACAGTAACATTTTATTCGAAATATGGTAAGAAACTGGAGTATCGAGATTTGAAAACAGGAAAATAATTACATGTGAAGTTTTAATTTGAAATTTTTAATAATAAATAGTTTGATTCGACAACTCGGCAAAAGTGAATACTTTCTGAGCAAACAACATTTCGGTCCACGTTTTTTTGGGTCCCCGATTTTTTTTTCGGTCCACGATTTTTCCAAATGATCCACGATTCTACAACAGTGCCAAATTATTTTTTAAACTGTTTATTGAAATAAAATTGTGGAAGTTGTCAGCGAGAATTGGTTCAAAATTGTTTCTTCTATTAGCGCGATTATTCAAGAATATGTTCGAAAACATGAGTTTTCAGCAAATGAACGTTAAAGTATACGTCCGGGAATGTAGTTTTCGATTGTTTTGCAGTGTTATGTTGTAAAATGACAGCTGACGAAGAACTTCAGTCCTGCAAAATTTTGAACTGAGAATTCCGTTCTCACTCCCAAAAGTTCTGACTTGTTCACGGGGAGGCAATTAGTTAAAACAATGGCCAAATCACAAGTTGCTGCTTCTTTCCAATTCTTGACAACGGATGCAACACATTCGCTCGATAAGAAGCAAGTTCCAAGATCAATGGTTTCTACAGGAACTCCATATCCAATCGACCAGGAAAAAAAAAATACTATTTTTGATTTTCAGCTTCTTACTTGCTTATGCCAGAAAGTGTTAAATCTGTCACACCGTAATGAGAACCTTTTCCATTATTCCAAAGCCTAAGAGAAGTTAATTCTGAAAATTACTTATTATCCGAAAAGTAAAAATATTATCATACTGCTTTTAATAGGCATAAACAATTGATCGGTGAAAAATTGGGGCGGTGAGCATTCTTCCAGGCCAAAATCAGTAATTGTATCAGAAAATTGTGCTATCAAACGTTCCAACTACAAAGAAACACTGTACCATTGAATTATGTGAAACTTTACCAAAGGTATACTATCTGGCGAAAATTTGCTCCAAATAAAGTAGATTTGCTGCGGTTGCAAAGAAAGTTCAAGAAGCATTTGCAAAACAGGCTCTGATTCCACTGGAATCAGACCTCGTACAAACAATGATTGTGTTGTCATATGCCGCAGATTATTCCGAAGAATCTGACAAGGAATGTTGACAAAATGTTATATTTGCCAGTAACTGAGACTATGCGGGTTTGATAGACCCTTCTCATGTAAGATTAACCGCAACCTAAAATTCGTGCCCTTTTTGAGGTATCGTCACCAAAATCACAAATTTATGAATACATAACTTTGTGCCCTGAATCCGATTTTGAAGTCGCTGAGTCAGAAATTTTTGAAGTCGCTGAGTCAGAAAATTTGATTGGACCAGAAATGGCGGAGATAAAAAATTGCAAAGTGGGAAATATGACTGAATTCAAAAATTTTTTAAAGTAACGATATCTCAAAAAGCTCTAAACCGGGCACGAGTTTTAGTTTGCGGTTAATCTTACATGAGAAGGGTCTTTCAAACCCGCATAGTCTCAGTTTCTGGCAGCTATAACATTCCGTGAGCATTCCTTGTGAAGTTTTATTACAAGGAATGCACCCGGATTGCATCCTGTGGCTTTGCTCGGGACCAGGAAGGGTTGAAAAATCCCAGTGAAGGTATACACTGTCACTGCAGACAGTTCTGCTGTGGAATAGTTCTCCTTGGGGGTAGTTCTGATATCGTGAAATTTTTATTCAAACTGTTTTTCTTTGGTAACTTGACTTTAATCATCTTAGAAAAAAAGCGTCATGATTTGAGGTAGTCTCGATTAGGTTTCACACCTATAACGTTGGTTGTCTCTTAGGACTCTTATAAATTTCTTGTTATATTTCGTAGAGCCTCTGTATTGTTTTGCCTATTTCTTCGGACCTAGTAATACTTTGAAAACCCTGTAATATTATAGGACTGCTGTAATGTCATGGCTACCGCAGAAGATTAGATTTGCAAGAAAGTTAATAATTAAAAAAATATATATTTGAGAAATGTCACCTGCAAAGAAGGAAGTTGATGACGAGATGGACACTTTTTCTCGTCTAATGGATAAAAGACAATTTCTCCTTCATCGAACAGAATTCGTATCTGAAATGAGACGGGTTTTGAACTACCCTCACTATGTACCTGGTCAGTGTGAATTTGAATCAGTTTATTCAAGTTATCACAAGCAACGGTATTCCATTGCTTACAGACTAATTTACATTTCAAAACATCACGGGAATGCAAGTGTGAAAAAATGTTCACCAACAGATCCCCATCTAATTCCTAAACTTTAGATATTGAATAGACACTCCTGAAAACTTACAGAAAAATTTAACTTGGAAGTTTTATCCACTTTGTTTATCACAAACTCCTGTTGTTTTTTTTCAGGCATCAGATACGGAAACCAGATGTTTAAAATAGCAGTAAAGAAATGGAATAATTTTTCAGCCAGGCGGAGAAGTTTTACTTTTGCAACAACAGCAACGTTCTGACTGGAAATAATTTTTCGGTATATCTATTAATCCTTTCAAATTACCTTTGATCATCTTTTACTTTCTTCATTTCTTTCTGCAATTCGAACATGGAAATGCGGCCGCTTCCATAAGCCTCCAATCATGTATGTTAAATGTATGAATCAAAACAAATTTTACTTTCAAATTGCCACCAAACAAACGTTTCGGTTTTCCTTGTGCTGCCACTGTCACACTGATCATTGTTCTTATTATATACTCCTATAACCCAACAATTAATTCACGTTCTACATTCTGTAACTTCAATTAAAAATGTTTCATAAAGTTAATTATCGCACAAATTTGATCCAAATCGGTTGTGTTTAAACTACTCGGCAATTCGCTAGTTTAATAAGCTTGCCTGAAAGTTTGCGTAAACTCCGCTTAAAATTTGCTTAAACTTTGCTTTAGATTTTTTTAAAAACTGATGAGGATTGTTTAAAAGTTGCTTGAAGTCTGTTTAAAGTCTGGGAAAACTTTAAACAACGTTAAAGGAGACTTCAAGCAAAGTGAAAATAAAGTTTGAACAAAGTTTCAGCAGTTTTTATTCAAACGTTGTTTAAGATGCGCTTAAACTCTCCAAACTTTAAAAATGCCGATTATCTTCGATCGATATGAATTTCATTTTTGAAAAAAAAAACATTTAACGGAACAAAAGTATCTTAAAATGTAACACGGAAATCATTAAAAAGCTGACCCGCATGCAAAAATTCTCATAAATTGTAACGGTATAGTGGTAAACTATACATTATTCACATCAAGAAGTATAGCGGCAGGCAAGTGAAAACGGAGCTAGGCGGCGCTCCTCTTCAATCAATATACGAAAAGCCAGAAGCCTCTCACACTAAAAAGTAATTTTTTTTTGGCAAAATGCGTTTTTAGCTAGTTATTTAATGGTTTAAAAGTCCTAGTGTATGATTTTTAATACTTCCTCACTAATGGGGTGATTCAGGCCGTGAAAGAAATGATTTTTTTCAGTTTTTTTCGTTTTTTTACGTCAAAAAACCTAATTCAGCGATGTAAAAAAACGAAAAAAAAAACCGAAAACAAACATGCGCTGAATATCCCCATAAAAATAATTTTGTTAATTACAACTTGAACATTTATTTGACAAAAGAAGAAGTTAGACAAGTAAGTTTGTGAAGTAATCCAATCCTTGACCATATTCCCAAATGGCAATTGCAGCTCCATATCGATGAGCCATATTGAGTCGGAGTTCAAGAGATGTCAAAGAAGGGAAATAGATTATCGATGATTTTGTTTGAAGTCGATGTTCCATTGACGACTGGTCAAATTCTAGAACCGATTGCGTGTTTTCCAATTGCTTGAGAAACCTTCAAAAAATTAAATTTCAGCTTGAATAGTTTTTAAAAAACCTGTCAGCAAGAATTGAGTTCAGTTTTCTTGACGAAAACTCGTAACCGTAAAAGTTTAGTCCCAGCATGGTCTTTGAGCCTCCACCACGTAAGTAGTACAGGCAGTCTTCAAACTACAATAAGAATTTACAAGATCCCAGTCGATCCTAGGCTTACCCAGTCAAGTGGAGCCACTCCCTTGGGTGTTTGTCCGCGATAATCATAAGTCATAATCTGCAAATCGGTTCTGTATACAGCCTAGTTCGAGCACTGTATGAAATTTCTTTGGAGATTCATACTCTTTTTCCCTTTTATCTAATTCGTTTCAATCATGATGTTTGTCTTTACTTGCTTGGATTATTCCTTCCCCTGTGTCACAATTCTTTAGTTTAAACAGTCCCCCCTCTCTCTCTCCTCCAAGGCCTCCCATTTTGCTTCTTTTTCTACTTTTCTTACCCGCTTTCTGGCTGAATCACGATGACCACTGCCTTGCAACCACTAAACCAGTGGGGTATGCGGGTGGGTCAATCTGAAGTTGTGTGACCATACTCGGCAAAAGATATTCAAAGCTCTGAGAGCAAGTATATAATGGCCCTTTCCCTTATATAAACTTCCAAGTAATTGGTGGCCCCGTTCGGCGGGTAATTACCACTGTTGCACCCCAGGCTCGCCCACACTCCGAACCACCGCATACAATTCAAGCATCTTAATTTAAAAATACCTGAACAAAGTCGGATGCATCAATAAGTTTCTTGTATTCTTCTGGGCTGATAAGATTGTTTGGCTGACTAAAACAATATGGTTTTAGAGAAAACAATTCACACCTACTGATTGTACTCCAATGGTGCAGGTACCGTTAGTATTGATTGCAGTCCTGCCTTTTTCATGCTAACGGACAATGCAGTAACAGTTTCTATTACAAGCTCCTTTTCTTCTAATGATTGCAACGCAATTAAAGATTGCATGTACATTTCAACAACACCGCCGTCAAATTCATTTCGCTGTAAACGTTCATGTGGACACGATTTAAAAAAAGAAACCTTGAAGAAGTTTATAATTGCTTTGATACAGTTGCTTGCGCTTTGAGTATTGACAAATAAATAGTTAATTTCATCGCGTCCCCATCCGTCAAACAAAATTCGCGGAACAATTTTGATCTTTGGATTTTTGTTGCGCAGCCTTTCAATCCAATCTGAAATAAACTTGGCACACCGTTGAAACTTTCAAGCAGCAAGTACGCGAAATCTGCTGCCACAGTTCCTTGCAAAGCTGCTGAGAACGTGTTCAACAATTCTGCTTTCTGACCATTTTTTTTAATCATCTTGTTGCTGTGGTCACCGAAATCTGGCAATTGCGCTCTGCCTCTCTCTACGTGAATTTAGTAGTGAATTGACGCGGCGCTCTTTTTAGCAAATCGTACCCGCAAAAAATACTCTTGACCAAGTGATTTCCTCCCTGAGCCCACCTCTTAGACACTCAGGCTTGACGCCAATCGATTCCTGGCAACTTTTAAAGCATTTTTTGTGCGGACAGAAAAATTGTTATCATCTCTTCATCACCTCGAATAGTTTAGTTTTATTGATTTTTCACAATTTTTCTCAATTTTTGCACTTTCTGAACATTTTTAGTTTTGAACGTGTGCTTAATTTAGATTCATAATTTTGGATTAATTCGTTTTAGTTTGAAGCCAATAATTGTCCAGGTCGGACTGTAGGAACCGAAATGTGAGAATTTCGGTGTACTTTGGCATAGGAAATAATTGTGAATGACAAAAAAACCGGAAAAACTTGCTTCCTTTTCCAGTTTTGATAATTTTCCTAATGTTTTTTGTGCGTTTCTCAACTTTTCTGATAACTTGATCCACGTGGCTTCAAAATTTTTTAAGGGGGGATATTGTTTCGTTTATAACCGACTGTAATTAGTGTTGGGTGCAGACCCACAAGTTTAAAACCGTAAGCAACTGTGTGGCGCGAGCTTACACACGGCGCGCGTTCTCTGCGTCTCTCTCTCTCAGGCAAAGCGTTTGTAATCTAGCTAGGAGATTTCGTAATCTAAACCGAGTCGAGAGTATTCCTAACCGGCCCTAATTAGATTGCATTATCACCTAATTAGATTTGCAAATCGTCTAGTTAGATTAACAAGTTTCCTAACTAGATTCAGATATTTCCTAATTAGATTTGGCCATATTTTCAAAATTTTCTCGTTAAAAATCCACAAATTTATTGGAAAAACAACAACGAATAACAGTTCAACAGAATATAAAGTATAAAATGAATGAATTAAAAGAAATTTTGAACTTCGGCGGTTCAAATGTGCTCGCGTCAGTAGTACATGAGTTCTTTCGGATCCAGTAATTTCTTTGTGCCGGTCGGAAAGTTGTCTAAATCAAGACGGAAGATTTGCAGCAACAGTTGTGTCGATTCATCAACTAAAAATTCGCATTTTTAATACATTTCCATAATTTCCTTTGCATCTGGTACTTTGGTTCAGGCAAGAGGCACAAGATCCTTTGGACGAGTGACCTTTGAGGCCAAAAACTTTTCCTCGAGCCTGCAAACTCGTTAATATGAAGAGGAAATCCGGGTTTTCAAACTGACCGGGTCGTCGAACGCGCCTGTCTCGAATTCGCTGAAAAAATAGTCCGGGCATTCCGAAATCGAAGTAAAAACCTCTTTTTGATTGGGTAGTCGACAGCAGAAAGTACATTCGACTCAAGTCTTCATCACTCAGTTTTGTCCACGATGCCACTGAAAAACACGCAGTTTCATTTCGCTAATAAAAAACGTTCAGAAAACTACAAGCTTCTCTCGTCGTATTTCATCGTATCGTCCATAATCGCCTTATTTTTTCCTTCCGTGTAGCAGTCTTCTTCGAATTCTGATAGCTGCCCGAATCGGAACGTTGGGACCAAGTGTCGGATGAACATGAGGAATGAATCGGAGAATTCATGTTTTCGCGCGATGTTTCTGCACAAGATTCTGTCGGTTCACTCATGCACGTGCGGAGAACCGATCGAGTTGTTATTTTCACACGTGGCATGATTGCCGTCTGAAACAGACACATTTCTGCACAAAAATGTAAAAATAATAGTATGACAGCTTAAAAAAACGTTCAAAATCGATCGAAAACGGTGTGTCTTCCCACGCTCTGTTCAAATTACCGTCAATCTAATTAGGTTCACTTTAGATTCGGATTTTTTCTAATTAGATTAACAATTATGTCTGCTGGCGCGATCCGAGATCGCGCCTTCGTTTTTACAGTCAAATCTAGCTAGGTTTAGTTTAGATTCCATTTTCACCTAGCTAGATTCGGAACTCGGTTTAGATTACGAAATCTCCTAGCTAGATTACAAACAATTTGCCTGAGAAAGCACTTTCTCACACATCAAGCTGAATTGTCATTATTTCAGTTGGATAGATTTTCCCCGAGCTTACACAGCATTCTGTTGTTATTTTTAAGTAGCTTAAGTAGCTTAAAAATAAATAGCTTTAGAGAGCTTTGTGTTTTTCCTGAGAACACAACAATTAGATTGCTAATTTACTGCAATTAGATTGCAAATTCTTCTAAATGACTCTTTCTTGCATACCCATCTTGCCTTATGGAACCGAGTGGCCAAAATGTTTCCGGAAAGACTGTCTCCTGAGACTTTTGCGACGCGCATAGAAAAGATTCCCTCTTGTATATTGTATTCTACTTGAACTATGGCTATTGCCGGCCAATCGTCATTTTAGTCATTATTCCCTCCTCCACCCACTATCTATATTTCCCTCTCTTCTCCTGTAAGTTTTTCTGGTGACCGAAGTGAATAAATGAGTTATTATTAACTATACTAGTAAATTTTTTAATTAGATTGACTGAGCAAAATGTGTCTAATTAGATTGCATAAACAAAAAAATTATGCAAATTCTTTTGCCCATTATTCCGCCAACACTTTTGGCAGAAGAATTTTTATAAGTGTTTTATACGAACATTTTAACTCGCAATATTTTTTTAGTGAATAGAGCCCAATTGTTGTAGCCGAGCCGGAAAGTGGATTATTCATGGCAAGTTAAGTTACTCACCACGGTCGATGTCATGAGATCCTTCAATTGTACACCCTATCAACTCTTTGTTTTGGAAATCTGGTTTTGCCTGGAAAAACAAAGTGATGTATGAAAATTGTTTGATAAAACCTGAAACCACACTGGCGAAATATGTGTCAATTTATGTACTGTTTTCTCTGCTAGTGTGTATCCATGATTGTTCCACTGAAATGGTGGTTATGCACATAATGTTTTTTTCGTATTTAACTTCAAAACGCATTTCACAGGAAATTACATACAGGGGTTACATAAACCAGTTGAACTATTGATTCTCGATTGTTGCGGCTGTAGAACTCGTCGTTCAGCTCGTTGTGAAGTTTTAATATGGTTTCTTTTGTGATATCACTTGGTTTAAATCTTAGCGTTTCAAAAAGCTCTTTCTGATAAGCCTAAAAATAAAAAAAAAAATTAATTAGGAAGTTGTGATGAAATGATTACCAGAGCAAAATTAACAATGAAAAAGAGTACACCTGATAGAAGCGATCTGTTGATCATTGGAATATCTCGGCAATTCGCTGCAAAGTTTGATCAAAGTTTATTTAAAAGCTGCCAGAAATTATTATTTTCTCAAACCGCGTCTAAAATCTGTTTTAAAATTGGTGTGACAACGGTTCGTTTAAAAGTTGCTCGAAGTCAGTTCAAAGCTAGACAAACTTTAAACAACATTACAACAGTCTTCAAGCAAAGTTTAAGCGCAGTTTAAACAAAGTTTGAACAACTTTTTTTTTGAAAGTTGCTTAACATGTGCTAAAACTGTTGGCTCTATCTGAGTAATCAGGTCCCAAAGGTAGGATCCAGGTCCCATAATAATAATCAGGACCCACCAATTTACAGGTCGCAAATATCAAGAATAGGCAGGATCCTATGAAAACACAGCAGATTTCAGAAGTTCTAATCACGAATCATCCAGTACTGTATCGTATCACGTACACCCGCGTTCAAAAGGTGATTGGAATCGAAAAAGTCGACATCACGGTCTCCAGAGCTGACAATATGGGCGTGGCCTCGACCAAATAGCGTTTTCATGAATTGAGCAAGTTTTCTCTGATTTTTGTGGTCAAAAGTGATGAAAAATGATTGTTCGACATGAAAACACACTAATTCTCAGAATTAATGACGTTTTGGCGCATTTTTCGCGGACTTTGCTTTTTCGCCTTTGCCGCCGATAGCCGCCGATCGCCGCCTAAAAACCGCACTTCTCATTTTGCGCTATCTTGACCGTTTTCAGACAGAATTGGTTTTGAGAATGATAAATCACGTAAATACAAGCATTTTCAGCGCTCGAACCGCGAAAACTACCGAAAAGCAACTGAAATTCACGCAATTTTAGCCAAAAACCTTCAAACGGATAAATATGATTTTCGACTTGACAAAATTTAACGCTCTTACGCATAAAAAAATTGTAATGGCCTATACAACCGGTCTATCGAGAGACAAATGACAAATTATCGGGTTTTCGTGGCTTATCTGGCAAAAAACACCAATTTTGCTGTTAAAATTTGAATTTCGCCGCGCCAATGTATCGCTCTATTGGGCGGGGCGCACTTGCGCCCATTGTCAGATCTGGAGACCGTGGACATGGAGAATGAGGAAGAAGAACACAGAGAATAAATAACTACTTTGTTAATAACTAGCTTTTAAATAAATTTGACAAAACATGAGAATGAACGTAAAACCGCTTGAAAAAGTAGGTAAAAGCTCGGAAAAATTGAGCGAAAACGCTTGGGACCTGTTTGTTCCTATCAGCGGCTTGGAACCTGATCATTCTAGGAACCTGATGATTCTTAGAACCTGATTATTCTTCGCACCTGGTTATTCCTGGGACCTGAGTATTCTTCGGATCCTGCGTATTCTTGATATTTTGGACCTGTATATTCGTGGAACCTATTTTTTATTATATGACCTGTAAGACCTGTGCCTTGGGTTTTGATTATTATTATTATGGGGCCTGGATCCTGCCTTTGGGACCTGATTACTCAGATAGAGCCGAACTTTTTTACGGAATGCCGAGATTATTGTTGGGCAAATTTTGCGAATAGTGTTTTTTTATGCATTTTTATATTCCGCGCAAAATCATACGATATATATTTTGTGTATTTCTGTAGTAACATAAATACATGAAAGTTGGCAAGATATTGGTTTGCAATTAATTTCAAAGCATAGCTGAAATGTTAGATAACATGTTTTCTCGAACGAAACTTTATATTTGTTTCAATACTAAATTATATAAATAATGTGAAAAAGTAAATCATGTTCTGATAGTAAATTTTCCAGATTTAGTGATGTACTTCACTCCTTTGAAAGGTTTATAATTCTCTCCATACATGTCTAATCGATTGACCTTAAAATATTTTGTTGAGATTAAGCATGGGTCGCGTCTTATCTCACCTTCAAGCCAGATAAAACGAGTTGATTTATTTTGAACTTCAGAGAAATACTAGGGCTCTCAAAAATTGTAGTTCCAGTGATAGAAATAGATCCTTTCAGAGTGGATGGTTTTCCAACTTCCACTTTTCCAATATTCCATTGAAGTAGTTTTGATGTTGGATCAAAACTCATTTTACCATGGCTCACAGTTAGATTACAATTTTGTACACATTTTGGCATCATAATTTCAAGGACAACATCTTCAAGCTGAAAAGTTAGTATTCTTATTTTGTGTTTATTATGTAATCTTACCATTTTTCCCATACTCAGTTTGGGACCGACAGTAAGTTCGAGTTTTCCACATGTTGGTTTCAGCAAAATACTATGACGAACGTAAATTGGGATAGCCACCATACTGTGTGACTTAAATGTGCACTATTCATTATTGAATAAAAATCTTACTTTTGAGCTGCTATGTGGTAAGATAATAAGCGAAAGCTTCCGTCTGGAGGCACAAAAGACAAGACTTTTTCATTCTGGAAAGAAGTTCGAGATAATTAATGTCGCTGCGGCTTCAATTATTTAACACGATCCGGTACAACCAGATCAGCAAATAAGTATTAGCCCACGGATCCTCAGCCTTCCAATCCGCGAGCCAGTTGACGCGTTTTGCGTGCGAACATTAATATGGTGAGTCTAACACAGCGTTACGAAATTGACTAATTTTTGGATTTCTGCGCTAAAATAGAGAAAAAGAGTGGAATTTGAAGAGAAAAATAAATTTTTTATTCTAGACCTCATAAATTATCGGTTTTAGTCCACTTCGACAGAATTTTCCCTTCAGTGAGGCAGCATTTAGTCGACGATCTTCAAAATGGCTCAACTATCTCAATTTTGCATATTTCTTGACATTTAAGCAAACATTTCCATGTTTATCAAGCCAAAAATTGAAAAACCTAATTTTAACTTGAAATCAAATGTTTTAAATTTCCATCGTGGAAATGTCGCGGTGAGGCAATTGTCTGAATTGAAAGCTGATTTAACCGCTTAATCGTCAAAAAATATCCGAAATTGATTTAAATTTTTCCTCACTGAAAGGAAAATCCTGTTGAAACGAACTAGAACTGAAAATTAAAAGGTCTAGAATAGATAAAACTGTTTTTTCTTTCAAATTCCAATGTATGTCGCTAATTTGGCGCAGAAATTCGGAAATTCGGAGATTTCATAACAATTTTAGGCTCACAATGTTGAAAATAACCCTAGTTTTCTAAAGACAGAGTACGAAACGCTCGCTAATCATCAACTGGCTCGCGGATTGGAAGACTGGGGTTTTGTGTAGCCCGGTTGAGTTTTAGAAAGTTTTTCTAATTTACGGCTTTCTTTTTATTCTTTTGAGACCGCCGGAGCGTTATCATATATATATATTTGGGCCACCACATAATTTATGAACTCACTTCCCAGCGTTTGTACCGTACGCATGGGTGAAATGAAACATCATCAAGTAAACGAGGATTGATTAGTGTCATTGTGAGATCCGGCATACCGGAAAGCTTGCAACAGACATCAATCTGAAAATATTTCTACAGGAATCTGAAAGTTAAAGTAATCTAACCACAACACGGCGTTTTTTCTACGGGACTAGAAAACTCTACATCCACGGCATCACCTCACTCATCGACTATTTTTTCTAATTCCTGACAATTTTTTTCAAAAATAAGACGTGAAATCAAAAAACTCTCATATTATCTTTGAAATTCGCTTATCTATCTCTAAAAAAAGCGCCACAAAAAAGATCTGTGACACAAGTAAGTTGAATTTTAGTGTTTTCAGTATCTTTTCTCCACCTAATTGAGACATGAGGATGTATGGATAACTTTTGGAAACGATGAAAACTTCCATGAAACGGAGTGTTTTCTATGTCGATGTTTTCACATAGATAGATGGAGAACTTAGTCAAAATTTGCATCTCATCTGAATATTAGGTTGTTCGGAAAGTTCCAGTCATTTTTCATAGTATGTTCTTGAAGATTGTTTTTTCTATCGGGAAGCAAGCACGTTAGTTGTCGTTTTATCAGTATGTTGGTAGGGTATTGAAGTGTCAACACAGCAACGGATATCATTCTCCTGTTCCCGAGTAGTGAGATATGCCGAACGTTTTCGTCCCTAACAACTTACATTTACGAAATGTAATCTTATTTCTATTCCTATCTGACCTGAAAATTGCCGACATTGATCGCCGTTTCACGGAGGTTTACAACAGAGATGCACCCACTCGAACTACCATTACCACTTAGTTTCATCGATTCGAAAAAGGAGAATTTTCGATGGATGATCATCCACGTTCAGGAAGACCGATAACTTCAGACTTGGAAGCATTGAAAAGCGAGTTCAAGATGAATATTTTTCAATCCGTCCGTGAACTATCAAGGACACTTGGGGCAAGCCTATCATCAATCAGTCATGGACTCGAAGCAATTGGCAAAGTCAAACAACTCGGAAGATATGTTGCGCATGTTTTGATTCAACACAACTTGGATACACTTGTGGATACCTGCTTGAATCTTTTCACTCCGCATCGCACACATAGATGGTCGGATCAAATCAGTACGGGAGACGAGAAATGGGTTATGTATGGTAACAGTGAGCGGCGTGCCGAGTGGGTTGACAAAGACGCTCAGCCAGCTGACGGGCCAAAACATGAAATACACGAAAAACAGGGGTTGTTATCAATATGATGGTCTGTCCGTGGAGTTGAATATTGGAAGCTGTTTTATGGCGGCGTCACTGTTTCGGACGATGTCTACACTGGTCAGCTGCGAAAACTCAGACTCCATGTGGATCTCCATTGGGGGAAAAATGCGAAAGTTTACTTTCAGCATGATAACGCTCATCCCCATGTCGACAGAAAGACCAAAGCTGAACTCGCTGGATACGGCTGGACAATCTTGTCTCACCCACCGTACAGACCTGTCCCCCTCTGAATACCATCTCTTCAGTCACCTCCAACGCCATCTCAGTGGAAAAAAGTTCTACTGAAGACAAGAGATCAAAATCGAGTTGGCTTCATTTTTCGACTCCCAGCCGTAGGAGTTCTGGAAGAAAGATATCCACAAGTTGACAGACAGTCATCGAAAAACATGGGCAGTAAATTAATTAATCGGATAACTCTTTGACTTGTTTCACAATAAATTTTTCTGAACCCAAAAATGACTGAAACTTTCCGAACAACCTAATAATTCATTAAAATTACATTACTAACCGGTAGAAGTCAAAAATCGTGTCTAAGATAGTAATCCAGTGAACCCTCTTTTCAGTGGAAAGCTGCCGAGGGCTGCTTTTGAGTGGGCTGGTTTATTTGTTTTTGACACTGCATGGCGGGCCAACTCGAGAAATTAGCGGTAATAGTTCTATTGTTTTGACGGGCTGGACCGAAACTTTAAAGTCTCCAAACCAGCCCACCCGGTCCCACTAGCGGGCTCTAACCTAGTCCGAGTTTACAATTTGGTTTCACGAAAACTTGAAAAACTACGAACATTAAAACATTTTTAAACACAACCTTGGTAAACCTCGGCAACTTTTCAGCAGAACTTCAGCAACTTTCACCTAACTTCTGCTGCATAACTGCTGGTGTTCTGCGCAAAAATTGATGAAGTTCTGCGCAGAAGCTTCTATTGCCAAAATGTTTGCTCACTATCAGAAGTTACTGAGGTGTTGTTCAAAAGCTGCTGAAGTAATGTTTAAAAAATTCGCATTGCAAGAGTATACTCAGAAGTTGGTAAACTGTTGTTCGTAAAATGCTATCATTCGAAAGTCTGTTCAGAAGTTGCAGAGGTTTACTGAGAAGCAAAAAGTCTTGGAGCGCACTTGTAGCACTTGTAGCAGTTTTTTTTTTTTTGGTTAGGAAAATAGCGAAGTGAGCTAGCCGTGGAGGAGAAGCGTCAATTTTTTTAGAACATCAGACGATGATCAAAAAAACATCCAAAACGATTAAATGTGTCAAAGTTAGCTTATTCTCACGACGATTAACGCGTCAAATTCAGATTTTTTTTTGAAATCTTAATCACGTTCTTAACCAACAGAAGCAATTAAGAACATACGTATCCTTGAATTTCTGCAAATACCGTCGACCCTTGTTTGTCAACAATGACGTCGATTTCTTCAATGACATCAAAATATGCTTCGTTGTTAGTGTATTTGACTCCTTGACGTCTCCAAGGAATATTTGACAGTTGTCCAGTTGGCAGAGTCTCCGATAAGTTTGTACGTCCGGTTACCTTGATTTTTGATGTTGATTTCTTGGATAAATGTTATACCTAACCTGGTTCGCAATATTTCTTAAAAAATTGGGCGGCTTGATCAAATCTTGTAGAATATTCATCTCTGTGACTAAAGGAAACCCGTTATCAAGCATTTCATCAAGTAACTAAAAACAGTTTAATGTTTTGCAAAGACTGAATTGTAAAAAAAACCTCAAAAATTATCACACAGTTCTCTTTTATAGAACTATCTGAAAATTCGTCAAAATACTGTGTGAAAGTTTGAACAACACGGTGTAAGAATTCGATGACCATCAAGGGTGGAGCTGAAAATCAAGTTTACACTAGTGTTGTTGAGGAAATACTCACTTTCTATCGTAATTACAGCAACTAAATACATGTTGTTCTGATACACGTTAACCAAGTAATGATGAGGGGTTGAAATTATAGGCGGCACATTATCAGGTTGTATACTCTGAAAGATTATACTCATATAATGTATGCTACGACGTTTTTCAAACACACTTTTTTCTGAACATCAAAAAAATAATCGCATATTGATCGATGAATAACAGATTTCCAGTGTTTTTCTATCAAAACGTCTCTGAATATCTGTCTTATATATTAAACACAAAAAACCCGGCGTTAGGGCTGGGAGCAGGCTTGTATATATAAGATATATACATATATGTACACATATATACATATATATTTATATTTATAGATTTATATACAGTTTCAATTAAGAATGAATAAAAAATTCTTACCCGCCGCCATTCACAAAAAAAAGGCTGTTTAACATTCCTAGTCAATGAAAAGGACCAGTGTCTGCTGATGCTACTAGTTAGTCGGGCAAGTGCGTATTGCTAAACAAGGAGTGTGTAAGAACGGAACATTGTATTGACCTTCTTATCTCAACTGTGCTCGTCATTTAGCGTGCTGGGATGTTTGCAGAAATTATCAGAAAGAAAATCAATGGAATTTTGTGAACAAAGAACGCAAATTGATAAAATTACAAAGAATGGAAAAAAACGAGAATTTTAAAAAAAGAAACTAACGGGATTGCAAGTTTGAGCTCAGATTTCATGTAATTAATTGTTTTTTTTTAAATAAAGCAGTTGCATGAATTTACAATAAACTTGGAGGGAAGGTCGATTTTTGTCAATTTCTTCAATGACATCAAAATATGCTTTGCTGTTAGTGTATTTGACTCCTTGACGTCTCCAAGGAATATTGGCAGAGGGTCCGATAAGTTTGTACGTCCGGCTACCTTGATTTTTGATGTTGGTTTCTTGGATAAATGTTATACCTAATCTGTACTAAAAACAGTTTAATATTTTGCAAAGACTGTGTTTGAAAAGTTTGAACACTGATTTTATGTAATTAATTGTTTTTTTTAATAAAGCAGTGGCATGAATTTACAATAAACTTGGAGGCAAGTTTGAGCATGGTGATGGATGATCTTCGCTATCAGTTCCATGCAGTCGCATTCTGGCAAAGTCTTCAAATATCAGGTCATCGTCGTCACGCGATTCGCTGCAAATTCCTTTTTAGATTTGAACTATTAAACTGATTTCTCACAGATTTTCATGTAATTGAATGAGATCAACATCAGCGGTTTCCGATCCGTTTCTGCCGTCGGTAGAAGATAATAGTCGATCCTAAAATCAACTGTTCTACAAATCGACTTTTCTGAAATTTGTTTGTAATAACCGCTCGTTCTGGACTCTCTGGAGGCTTAGAATGAGTCAAAGTAAATGGAAGTTCGGCAGGAAGTTCGCCGTTCAGGGGACCCAAAACCGCGCGAACTTTGACTCTGTATTGCACAACAATACCCAAACTTTCTTTTGACACTTTTCCATCTAGTCTGAAACGATTTTTAAAAAAATTAATGGAATCGAGCCATCTACAATTTTTACATTGTGCTAGAAGCTAGATTTGTGTCTTCGTGCTTCAACTGTCCATCTAAAGCTAGTCCTCGTTTATCTTTGTTGTTACTAAGAAGTGGGCATACTGAGAACACTTTTGACAAAGTCGCGCCAGGGCCGATGGGAAATCCTTCGCTACAAAAATTATCTTCAGAAAATAAAATGAAAATTGGAACGACATACTTGCTTTCTATTCGAGCCACCTCACATGAATAAGATGCAGTTGTGAATAGACAAATGTCTGCAACTTGAATAATACAAATTTTCAGTTTTTTAACCGTCTTGTTGCTATTGTTTTGTATATGAACGTTAACTGCAATAGATTCCCCATGATAATACATCTGAAATGTTGACAAATTTCTCTCAACATGACAGTTCAACAAACCTCTTTGTCCAAAGACACCTCCATATGAAGTAAACCAGAAGACATCATGAAATACTTTGAAACATCCACCATAGGTTGTGGTCTTGATTCGAATGGAGCGTAGGTCAATTTTCGAATAGCAAGGCGAACAGAATTGCTCAATGCGCTGTAAGTGTGTTGAACATTTTATTCGTAACTGTGAACTCAAGAAAATTACTTCTTCTTAGGTTTCTCAGAACCACCTTCACAGAGCAAAACGAACGTTTTTAATTCATAGTCAACTCCACATGGTTTTCCTGTGTCACCAGGTGCCGGCTGCATGAAAATTTGAGGAAACACGTAAATTTTGTTTTCCATACCTGGAGAGTGACGCTGCTTGCGCTTTTCGGAGCCACTTCAAACCAGAAAGGATAAGCGTTAGCGCCGAGTTTTCGTTTTAGACGTTCTTGAAGTCTGGATAATGGTCTTTGCCGAGTGGTTTCAACTTGTGGAAAAACTTGAAAAGTTTCCGAAATCAAATCTTTTCTGAATGTTAATCCGAGTACGTCCAAGTCCTCTCTTCCATAGCGGAATGCAGCAAGAAGATGAGCGGTAATCTTTTTGTTTTCTTTGATATACTCTTCGTCGATAAGCACCATGCCATCTGAGAACAATGATCGTATGCTTGAAAAAAATGTTAATTTTATGGCCTATTTATTTTTCCGAAGCCGAATGATCAGATTTGCATTGCAGCCGCAGAATTTTGCCAATCGCCCTAAGCGTGAATTTAATGCTGAATTGAAAAAAAAAATCTCGGCCCGCGACCAGGTTTTCACGTAGGATTTCGGCAGACTGACATTGCCAGAAACTTGAGGTGCTAATGTAAAATACAAGAGGTGTCTGTCTATATCTATGGATGTTCGAGCAGGGGCGCAGAGAAAAGGGAAGAGCGCGAGTTTCAAACCCGCAACTCTTTGCCCGGGATATGTGAGGGATATTCACTTGACCACCGGGTGCAAATGGGAATTCGCTGTTGTTCGCGTTGAGAAAACTGAGCGAAGCGAGCTTTTTTTGCATTGCGCAGCAATGCGCATAGACAAGCCTGGATCTCGACGTATACATGCGTACAAGCCTGACCTCCGACTGGGGGTTTCAGGCTTCGCTACGGGCATTGCTGCGCAATGCAAAAAAGTAAAAAGTTACCTATCAAGTCAACATAATCTCCGCGGTCGATGAAATCTCTTTTACCCAGATAGGTTGTAATTTTCCCATTTGGGCTAGTTTTTTTGAAAACTCTGAAAATTCAACGTAATATTTTATATATATCCACGCTGACTGACCTAGTTCCAGATTTGCGATCTTCTTCTGCCATTCCAAATCAGCATACAACTAAAAAAATTTTTCTTATATAACGTGTTTTTTCCAACTGTTCATACATTCAAAAGAGTATTATTAGCGTGATAGGCGCAGAATTCTCATGATTATCGGAAAAACGGTAACGAACCAACCAATATACGCTGTTTTTCAACTTTAGTACATGTTTTCATAGCTTAATGGGAGTTTAAAATTGTGCTCAATCATGTCTAATAGTAAAATTTAACGTTAAATTTAGATTTCATAAACCAATAATTAGCATGCAATGAGTGCTCTGAGAAACTCATTCGGTAAAAGAGAGGTAGTGAAGTGTACGCAATTGCAACCAATTCTACGACAACCCACACATATTTTCTTTATTTGTCTATTTAGCAATCTAAAGAAAAAATTAAATCACAATTGTCTTTGAATGCATATTTTGTTTGAACAAATCCTTCTGTGCTTTAGCTCAAACCGAACAGACGTACATTTTTCATTTAAATAACACGGGAATATATAACTTCCCATACTAAAGCAGCAAACTCTGATTTTTTTGCGAATGTTTTTATCTGGAAAAGGTGGTTTTGTAGTGACAAAGGTGCCGCCGATGGAAAACAATTGTGGCTTCACACCAGTATTTTCATCACGTGATGTTTCGGTTAGCAATGGTATTGTTATCAGCATAGACCCTATTGATCCAGAACCAACACCTATTCGAAAAGAGGTACGTGCAAAATACAACAGCTTACTAGTGTAAATTTGAAAAAAAAAACAAATTTTATACAGCTTTCATTCGAAAACGCACTTCACAATCATAATGAAAGTTCGGAAGGTTTCAAGACAGTCACAGCGTTTCTCTGTTTGATGTTATCCGCATTTTTGAATTTTTTTTTGCTCACAGTGATTCATGACGTTGTGCCAAGACAACCTCTTCCCGATTTAACGTTTATGATCATACCGCAGCAAAGATGGGCCTGGAGTGTTGGAGACGTTTTTTCCACAGTCAGGTTAGCTATCTTTCAATCATCAACTGAGTTTAAGCAGTAGCTTGACAGACTTGTCTTGTTATGAATAACATATATAACACACTGTGAAAATCACAATAGTTAAGACAACAACAAAATCGTTAATGTGCCAGACGGAAAAAAACCCAATTCAAAACAGGAAAAAACATTTATTTTTTTCCTGATTTGAATCGAGTTTTTGCGTAATAAACCGGGGTTTTTCCCAAGTTAGTTGGTCCATAAGATTTCACAATCAGTAACTAACCCCTAGAAATGTATGCGCTGCTTGCAGGTGCGCGTAACTGAACATGTTCACAGAAAATTTTATACAGAAAAGAAACAAAGGAAAAATATTAACAGTGTTCTTTTACTTCTTCTTATTATAGCTCTGTCGTAGCATTTACAATAATTTTTCTACATCACCAACGTTGGATTGTTCTCCGCCGCACATTCATATTGGGAGCAATCATGTATGGACTCCGCGCAGTTATCCTGGGAGTCACTTTTTTACCGCCTTCGTTCCACAACAGAGACGAAATTTGCCAACCACAAGTGAACAGAACTGCAATGTACGGAATGGAAATTGCCACGAGGTTTGATTTGAAAAAACAAAGAAGTTATGTTTCTGTTACAGGTTCTTAACGTACGTAATCACGTTAGGGTTGACATCCGGACAAGAGAAAATTCTATGCGGAGATTTGATGTTCAGTGGGCACACAGTTGTTCTCACAATCATGTATTTTGTTCAACTGCAGTATACACCAAGAAAATTAGTTATTCTCAGGTTCATTTTGCTCGGTAAACCTCTGCAATTTTTGAGCAGAACTTTAGCAACTTTTGCCCGACTACTGCTCAAATGTTGCTAAAGTATTGTTTAAAAGCTGCTATCACCCCAAAGTAAGCTCAAAAGTTGCTGAAATGTTGTTAAAAAGCGTTGTTGAAGATGTTTACCGAGTGGATTAAACAAAAATTAATTTCAAGAACCAAATTGCTCACAGATACCTTTTCCCAGGTATATTGCTGCACCAATCACTTTTCTGGGAATTGGTGCACTTGTAGTGTCAGGCGGCCATTACACTATGGACGTGATGATTGCGTACTGGCTAACAAGTCACGTCTTTTGGTCTTACCACCAGATCTTTGAAATGAAAAAAGAAGAAAGAACACAAGCCCCGTTGAGTCGTCTTTGGTAACAAGTGGTTAAAAAAATCAATCCAAACGAAATTATTACAGGTGGTTTTGGTTATGTTACTGGTTTGAATCAGAAGTTTCAGATGGCAAATTAGTGAACAAATGGAGTTGGCCCTTTGAAGGCCCAGCAAAAATGCATACAATCATGAATAGAGTCAATTTGAGGTTGCAATGATTGTATTAAATTATTAGGTTAATTACTGAGTTTCCATCTTCAAAAATGTTTCAAGAAATATTTGGGAAATGTTTCGTTACGTTTTTCAAACCAGTAACTCTCAAAGCTGGCGCCTCTCGAATAATGATTTCTGGTTTTAATTTATCTTCAACAAAAAAATTAAAATTTTAAATAGATTAACTCTTGGCACCCTATCTTTGAAATAGGGAATTTATTCACACGTGATGCTCTGCCCTATATCCCGCCTCATAAATTTAACAAATAAACTACAAACCGGTTTCTCAGCAGTGCTAGATAAAAAAGAAAGCTTTCAGTAGCTTGAAACCCGGCGTAGCCGGGGGGCAGGCTTGTGTTTTATAACAAGGTACCTCCATGTACCGTTTGGTTGGGAATTTTCAACAAATTGTCTGAGTAGATTTTTTAGCACCTTGTAATTACCTTTTGAGATAGTTTTCATTATTCTAATAGTCTAAATATTCTTAAATGCAAGGCTGAGAAAACCGTACATTTCGCTAAAACTCGTCATATATCCATCCTGGCCTACAACCTTGTTTGTTCCACTTCTTAATATTCATTCAATAGAGTTCCATCCGAATAACAAGTTAAAAAAAAATTATTTACTAGCACTTCAAAATTCAAAACTTCAAAGCCGCGAACTTTTCTATTTTATCACTGAAATTCACATTGATAGCGGTTGAGTACGATTGCCACACTTAGAAATGTTGAGTTCTGACTGAATAGGACTGAAAAATTTACGGCTACATAGTCAGAGAAAAAAAAACAAGAGGGTGATACGTGTGCATGATATATCTATTTCCTACATAGAGAGCCATTTACTATCATTTCCATTAATGTTCTTACTTCTGACGTTTGACTGCAAGGGGTTAGCAAAATGCCAGCCTATAGAAAAACGCTTCAATTTTGTATCGCCGCAACGCTTTGTGAATCTCTAAGCAGCGGATACGGTATAACCTGCATATCTATTGGCGTTGGCGATAATTCTAATTTCAGTCGCGCTCGACACTCCGTGCATAACTATATTGAGTCGCTATGCAACGAATTTCGCCATGGGACAGTCAAATTGGCGCGAATTTAAGTTTTAATTTTCAACGTACCCCGCGCCCCGTGGCTACCCGTTTCAAAAATTCAAACTTTTTTCGGGAAATAGAACGCGGGAGTGGAATTTTGGAACGGATAACGGTCGCGCTGCGGTCGAACGTCAAAGGCAAAAAGATTAAAAATTTGGTAGCAATAACTTCATATCAAGACAGAAATAAAATATCTCTAACCAATTTGTTATCTGTAAATAATTAATGTTTTTTATGTAATTTATGATCTCTTTTTATTAATGCAAGTTTAGTAAAAATCAACACATTTAAATGTTTCAATAAAAGCTCACGTTCCGTCACTTATCATTGTAGAATTTTCATAAGAACTGTAAGTTCTTGGGTCAATCGAGTCGACCAGCCGTTGAACTTCTTGTCTGCTTGGTGGTCGACTTGCATCCCATGGCCTTCCAGCAGAAAGAGATGTCGTACGGTGATGTGCTTCAGTTACAATTTCGACAATTGGTCGATCACGAGTTTCTTAAATGCTACTTTATGAGAAGTGCATACAAAACAGTGGATAAGGTTTTTTTTCTCATAGTTTGACATCCCATGATGGAAGAAGCAAAAACTGACCGGGAAGAAGTACGTATATAAAAATTCCAGAAATGGCAAGTCCAAGTATGAATGGGACATAACTGAAAGTTATTCCGACAAGCTGAAATTTTTTTTGCCACTGAACTACTTATTAGTTTTCACACCTGTTGAAAAGGTAGATACAATGTGCTTATGACAAATGCAAACGACCATGCAACAAAAACTGAAGCAGTGACTGCTGTGGCTCGAAACTGAAACTCTTATTGAATCAAAAAAAACGGAAGAGACCTAGAAAAAAATTTTGAAAATGGTGGATCTTAATGTTTTTGCACTAATTTTTCGTATACAGTGCGTGGCAAGTTTATGTATAAGGCCACCCCCGTTGTGCACTGCCACGCGGCGCTCAAAAATATTTTTGACCTGACAACTTCAAAATCGAATTCAGAGCACAAAATTATGCAAACTTGGTGATTTTCGTGATGATACCTCGAAAACTGGCTGAACTACCTTGATAAAACTGAAAATCGGCCTTTTGTAACCGTTGCTTGTTTATAAGGCCACACCAGAGGATAGGGCTTTCAGCCAATCCGGTTGAGGCCTATGAGCACAAGATAAGTTATACATCTCTAAAAAGACGTTTCAAAGCTGTTTTTGCCATTCTGACGGTTTACACGCAAGACAAACTCATTTCGTGACTAGGGAGACGTTTTCAACACTCACTGCTGATTGAACGTTTTCCGTGATCTATTTTTGTGCAACCTTGCAGTTAGGCACATTTTGATTGGATGAGAAATGGCTAAGCTAAAGAATCGCAGAGTGAAAAATGTGACTGAATTCAAAAAATTGAAAAAGTGACGATAACTCAAAAACTCTGAACCGGGCACAAATTTCACTGTGCGGAAAATCGTTCTTTTGAAGAGTCTATTGAAACCGCATAGTCTCATTTTCTGGCGAATATAACATTTCGTGAGCATTCCTTGTTAGTTCCAATTCAAAACTGTCTCCTGAGGCTTTTGCGACGCGCATAGAAAATATTCCCTCTTGTATATTGTATTCTACTTGATCTATGGCTATGGCCGGCCAATGGTCATTTTAGTAATTATTCCCTTCTCCACCCACTATCTCTATATCCCTCTCTTCTCCTGTAAATTTTTCTTTTCTCTTTTAGCTTCCCTTTCTTTCCTAGGAGGTCGAAGTGAATAAATGAGTTATTATTAAAGTCTCCTACTATCGGGGCATTTCAATGTGAATGTGCTTTGTTGAGAAGCCCCTCTTTTTGTGATCTCCGGAGCTTAAGCTTTCTACTGCGAAACGAGTTTCAGTTGTTCTCCATTTGAATTCTGGAAGAATTTCTCTGTTTTCAACTGGCGCCAGGTTAGAGATCGCAAATGCAAAAGAGCGCATTCCCTTCGAAATGCCCCGATAGTAGTTCATACGAATAATACCTGTTGTGTGAACATTTCACTTGCAATGATCCACGGAATCGGCGAGCCGACACCATAAACGCACATGTAAAGCACTAAGGAAAAAATGGTTCCATATCTAGCCCACTCAACCTGAAAACCAAACTCTGAAGTTAAACAACCAGAGATTTTTTAATTTTTACACTAACATGAAGAAAATTTTGCAAGTAAGTGAACAAAGATAGTAGAATTAGTGCCAGCATGCAACTTGCCAATTGGAACAGTAAAAGTGATCGTCGACCTATTTGATGAATCAAATAAGGTGATGTACATGCAAACAAAAAATATACAATGCCAATGCTTAATGTACTAAACCTTGCAAGAGCTCTGAAATACACCAGAAAAACAAACATTCAAAATATTCAGGATATTCCTCACAGATCCAGTCCTGCGTTATAAAACATATCAGTAGAGTAGGCAAAAACAGCTGTGCATCCAGTGAATTGTTGAGCAATCATTACCACAATTGACACTATTAGCGGAATTCTGAGATCTTGCCGTCTGAATAACTCGTGAAATGTGCCTTCTCCCTGAAATTAAAAGTTTCAGCACTTCTCAAAATGCATGTTAACGTATGTATTTGAAACAAACCTCATCAAGTGCTACTTCGCGAACAATAGATTCAAACATATGAGGAGCTTGGTCTTCACCAACTAGATGTTCCACGTCCTTCATCGCTCTTGTACGATCACGTCGGTTACGGAGAGTATATTTTGGAGACTCTGGACAGAACGGAAGAATACAAACCAGCGCAAGTGCTGGTAACCCTGGCAACGAAAATGCAAGTGGCCAGTTTTGAGCGCTTCCTAAGACTTCAGGTAGTCCAATTAACAAAGAAAACCAGTCAGAAAACGCGACAGCAATCTGTTTTACTTACAAAATCAAATATAAAAAATGTACAGTGCTTCAACCTGATGGAGCGTTCCAGCTGGTCCTCTATATTTTGCGGGAGTGATTTCCATTAGGTACATCGGAATTAATCCACTTGACAAGCCCATATTCATACCAAAAATAAAACGGCCGATTATCAAAACTTCTGGAGAGCTGAAATTATGCGTATTGAACAGTAACGTCGAAATGTTATCCATGCACTTACTTGAGCCATTTGGCGCTGAGCTCAAGAAATGCAGCTAACGTATTCAGAATACCGTTGTATATCAAACCGTTTCGTCGACCACATTTTTCACCTACTACCCTGAAATACAAGATTAAAACTTGTTGTGTGAAGTGATTCTAAACACAAAAAGATATTGTTTACAATTGTTTTTAATCTACAGAAGTATTTGATCTACTTACACTGTTAGCGGCACTGTTAGCTACTGTTAGCGGCAAGCCATTGATTTGTCATCATTTCTAGTTCCCTAGCGATAAAAAGGCTTGCATTCATTTGTGATTGATAAAACCTTGAGGCAGTTACTCTCGCAGTTATCATTGTCGCTCTATTAATGGTTTAAGAGGCGATTTCTGAGAGACCCGAAATAGGCCTGGCATCAGGGCTGGGCAATTGGTCGGCACGGGCTTTTTGTTGGCCGGCCCTTGACCTGGACTTTTGAACCACTTACAATATTCCGATCAGACCTAAACTTTGCAGGATTGTTGGACTTCGATTGAGGGCCATTGGGTTCAAGTTTCAGCCCGATCGGATCGTCGGGTCCCGAGATAAATGGATCATTGGCCGATTTTTTCCAAAAAGCCCGGGCTTCCGGCCAATTTACATTTTTCGGGACCAAATAATCCGATCGGGCTGAAAAGGGCCGGCCAACAAAAAGCCCGTGCCGGCCAATTGCCCAGCCGTGACTGGCATGAAAAACTCATCGTGCTTCGATTTGATTGATATTGAGCACAGTGATTGCCTCTCCCGATTTTCCAATTCATGATCTGTCCCCCCAACCACCGCTCCTGAATTCTGACCACCTAGCCATTTCCTTCCACACAATATGCTCCTCCTCTAATCGCCATGCCTTACCCCCTATTAGACCTCGACTCCATTACAAAAAATGCAACTTCCGAATCCTGAACTCAGACTTAGCGTCGATTGACTGGTCCTATGTCCTAAGCGCCTTTTCCTCTCCTTCCGATAAATATGATCGCTTTATTGCCATCCTGGCCAACCTCATCTACCGTCACACCCCTATCCAACTTCCACTCACCACTTATTGTCCCCAGAATTCCTTTCGGCAGTTAAAACGCATCCGACACCGCCTAGCCAGTCTCCTCCGTTTCCCCCACCCCTAACTCATTGTCCACCCAGATCTCCACTCTCCGTCATTGTGAACTTGCTCTTGCGAGATCTATCCGCTCTAAAATGTTTCGCCAGGAAAAGCGTATCACGTCTTCCCACTCCACTCTTCTCGCCCGGCACTTTATCCGCAAACGTCTCTCCAAACGGCTTGCAATTCCCCTTCTTGAACTCAACGGTTCTCCCATCACCGACGACGCCGCCAAGGCCAAAATCTTTGCATCCACCTTCACGTCTAACTTTGCTAATAACCACACTCCGCCGCGCTATCCTACTGTACCCTGCCATACCTCCTCCCCCGACTCGCTCATCGCTTTATACGAAGTGGAATTCTTCCTCCGAAAACTCCCCCCAGGATGTGGATTTTCCCCTCACTCTGGAAACCTTCTGATCCTTAAGCGCTGCTCCACTCCTCTTGCGCCGCTGTCCATAATCTTCTCTTCGTCGCTCTCCTCCTCTTCCGTGCTCTGCACTTGGAGGCACGCCTCGGTCATTCCCATCTTCAAGAAGGGAAATCTCGCTAATTTCGCCAACTTTCGGCCAATTTCTCTTACCGATTCCTTCGCCAGAGTCTTCGAGCGAATAATCTGTCACTGTCTACGATCCGACCTCTTCCATAAGTTCAGTCCTTACCAGCATGGCTTCATATCTAACCGTTCCCAGCTCTCATCCACTCCACATCCCTGTACAGTCACATTCTCAGCGAGCACAAGTCTCTCGACATTATTTTCTTCGACTTTGCCAAAGCATTTGACCAAGCCTCTCGCGATCTCCTCATCGCCAAACTCAGCCTCTTCGGAGTCTCCCCCCTCTACCGCAACAGGTTCTCGCATTTCCTCGCCGGCCGCACCTTTTCCGTTCTAGTAAATTCCGCATCCGACCCATCCAAACACCCGATCCCTTCTGGTGTTTCCCAAGGCACAGTCTCTGGTCCCCTCCTCTTCCTCATCTACATTAATGATCTACTGCTCAGACTGGAAGGACTTGTCCACTTCACCGCATTCGCCGACGACATCAAAATCTTCTCTCATGATCTTTCCGCTTTACAGTGTGCTATTGACCTAATTGTCGAATAGTCAGACACCAACTCCCTTCCCTTGGCCCATCATAAAACCGCTCTTCTGCATCTCGGGTCCAGGAACCCCCGTCACACGTACACGATTGCCGGTCTCCCCATATCACCCTCCTCCTCAGTCAGGGATCTCAGCCGTAACTGATAACATTTTATCCTACCGCGGCCACATATCACGCACTGCTTCCCTAGCTCTTCTCCGTTGCCAAATCGTTGCCAAACAGCTTGCCAAATCGTTCAAATCATCTTCCCCAGCCTTCTATATATTCCTCTTTAAATCCTATGTTCTCCCCCTTCTCGAATACTACTCGGCGATTTACTATCCTCCTCCTCGCTCGCTTCTCGCCGCCTCTCTGGAAAAACCCCTTCGCTGGTACTCGCGCCACATCCTCCAGCGCTGCAATATCACGTTCTCCTCTTACCCCGACCGCCTCGCAACCCTTAACATGCTCTCCATTCGCAAGCGCAGACTCAAATTACAGCTACTACTCCTCTATAAGATCTTAACAGGCGATGCCTATCTCCCCCAAATTCCGCTATGTTTACGTTCTACCTCCTCACTGCGACGCCCCATGTTACTCACTTATGTGTCCCCCTAACTTCTTTCCTAAAACTGTCCCCCTCTGGAATGCTATCGTCATAAACTGTAATTCCTTCCTTTCCCCTTCCCAATTCCAGTCACTCGTAGATATCTCAATTGTCAAATATTAACTCTACTTCTAACGTTCACTTTCCTGTACCCCCTATCAAATCGGAATGCGCGTCGAAAAAAAATTATTTTTTCAAAGAACCGGCAAATGACGTGAATAAGCCAAAAAAAAATGGAAAACACATTCGAGGCAGTACAACGTTATGAACAAAAAACATTTTTTCAGAATTGAAATCTGAAACTTTTTCGCATGCAAAATGACTCCCAAATCAATGAATTCAGGTATAGATCTTCGACGCGCATTCCGATTTTGGTTCCATTTTTTTTGTCGACGCGTCTCAAAGAGTACAATCCGAATTTGAAAAGAACTCCTTGCACGTTAGTACTAAAATTTTTCAGTATGACCAAAAAATCGAAAAAATTATCTAAAGTTTGAAAAAAAAAAGTTTTTTTTCTACCTGAACGAATGGCGTTGAGTTTGAGTCGATAGGATTTTGCTGAAATTTTTTAGCGGTCGGGGGTACGGTACTACAGTAATCCTGTAAAAGGGGGCGGAGCCAGATGACACTAATTTCATATATCTTAGAACAGTCCAGGTACTCACTGTGCTCAATATCAATCAAATCGAAGCACGATGAGTTTTTCATGCCAGGCCTAGTTCAGTCATTCTCCAGTCTCTCAGAATTTCACTCTTAATTTTTGGGAATCACACCTCGTCAAAGAAGCTCCGACAATCGCTCCAGTAGCAATACTAGAGACAATGAAAGACCACAGGATATTTGAAACAGTTATTGTTAATGGAGTGTTGTACCTGAATTACATTCCTCTTAATACTGAAAAACAATTACCTTGTGATATATGTTTGATTTATCCAATTGCTGATAACAGTTTGAGCAGGGTTAACAACACCATAACTATAAAATTGTGCACTTCCTCCAAGGACTACTGTTGAAACGGTTATGGAATATCTAAAAAATTACCAAATTTTGTTTATACAAATGATAAGGGTTTTTTTCTGAAAAATGTTTGAAATTTTAGACAAATGAAGAAAACAAACAACATGTACACTTCGAAATCATGATCTAAAAATTTGGTGAATGGTTTCGATTTTTTCTTGCGGTGTGGTGTACGCAAACTCCACTTTTCAACCGTAACCTTCCTTTCAGTCTCATCCCTTCAGCCTCTCTAAATATTTACAGCAACTCAGAGCTGGACAAATTTCGGCCCCCTTCTTGAAGTCTTTCGGAAGCTTAGACTTTTGACCGCTTGCAGTTTTTCGATCGGATCCAGACTTTGCAGGCTTTTTGGACTTGAATTGAAGTGTTCTGGGTTTAAGTTTCAGACCGATCGGATTATCCGGTCCCGAGATATGTGGATCGTAGAGAAGCAGCGAAAGATTCGAATTCAGTTACGCGGAAGACGACTGATTGTGAAACGTCATTCAGAGAAGACGTCGAAGAGCCAAGAGTAGAATACAAAGAATACAAGAGATGAAAAAGTAGAATCCAGCAAGTGTTACATCAGAGCACTCGAGTTTATAGCACAGCGTGTCTGGCCCGATCGACAGATTCCAGTAATTAGTACGTTAGCATTGAAAATAATGTTGTCATCTTGCAGACTCCAATCGTTAACTGGTGAGTGCAGAAGATGCACGTTTTTGGAATAAAGTCAGAAAGTTATGGAGAAACCGGTAAAAATTCGGGAAAACGACGAATCGAAAAAAGTCGGGAAAACGACGGATGGATACAAAGCCTATCACCAAAAAGAAGCCGGTTTTGAGCCACCGGAACTAAAGTTCCCTGGACTTCTAATGTATCTCCTCATTCAATTGCGAGCGAGCGAGCGGAGCGGGCTGTTACCGCAGTGTTGTAATAATCTCTATAAAAGACTAGATAAAACATTTCTTGGCAAAAACATAGAAACGTTTAGTTTCTATTACGGGTGCATTTCACTGCAATCGCGCTCTGTAGAGAAAGTATTTTCGGAGTGCAAAATGCAATACCCTCGGAGCTGTGTTTGAAGACAAATAAAAAATTCGGCCACGTTTCCAGGAAAAAACAACTAAAAATTAAGAGGCAATGTCTGAGAAGTTCAAATACTGCAGGTCACTAAAAATTCAGAATGCTTCAATTTGTCCCATATTATACCAAATAGGCACTTACATAACAGTGATACATCAGACAAGTTTTGGTCCGGCTCCGTGGTCCCTAGTCCGATCACAGTCCCAAAATAGGTCAAAACTGTAACTAATTTCAAAAAAATGCTATCGTCTCAGACTGAACGCCATTCGATTTCTCGCATCTTTTTAAGCATTTTTCATCTTGACCCCAAAAATTTAGGGTTCTGATCGCGATATTTCTTGTTTTCGTATACTTTTAGACATTCTCGATTTTTTTGAAGCATTTCGAAAATTAATTTTTTCTCGAAAATTTTGTGACCCCAGGTCGACGACTTGTTCAAATTTTTTTTATTTTTCGAAATGCTTCCAAAAAATCGAGAATGCCTAAAAGTATAAGAAAACAACAAAAATCGCAATCAGACCCCTTAGAAAATTGAGAAAACGCGCTTTTCTCAAGTTCGCGAACATTTTTCCATGCAAAAGTACTCCGAATTTTGTGAATTTCGGCCTAAAAACCCCCGCATGTCAATCGGGATCGGGATGAACTTTTTTTTGTCGAAGCACAATAACGTCTAAATTCAGAAACAGCAATAAAATCATGGCTACGTAGTGTTAAAATTTTGAAAAAGAAAGCTGAAAATTTATCTGAAAAATGTCACAAACCAATTTTTTTCTCCATGATGAGGAATGCTAAATTTTTGGTCCCAACGTGAAATATACTTAAAAAGATGCGAGGAATCCAATGGCGTTAAGTCTGAGAAGCTAGCATTTTTTTGAAATTAGTTACAGTTTTGACCTATTTTGGGACCGTGATCGGACTAGGGACCACGGAGCCGGGCCAAAACTTGTCTGATGTATCACTGTTATGTAAGTACCCATTGGGTATAATATGAGACAAATTGAAGCATTCTGAATTTTTAGTGACCTACAGTTTTTGAACTTCTTAGACATTGCCTTTTAAAAGTTCATTTGTCCCTGTCATCGGTTCTCAATATTAAAATCAACAAAGCTAAAGGGAATCTCGAATAAAAACATTTCATACTTAAACGCCACCCTGTAATAAACTTTTTGAGCAGTTGGACGCTAGAGCAGTTCTCAATCGATCAGGTGAAAAACTGCTGTTTTGCATAAAAACATAATGACCATGCAAACATTAAAAATAACTACTCTATAAAAAAATAGATACATGTTTTTGGAACCCGGGAATATTTTATGAGACCCGAGTGATGCAACCCTTATTTTTGGGACCCGTAAATAGTTTGTGGGACTCGAAAAAATTGTATGGGAACCAACAATTTTTTATGGAACCCGGAAACCGGAATTTAGCCGAGTCTCAGAGATAGCGCTTTTTGAGCACGAACTTCAAATATTTTAATGTAAGCTATTTTTCTATGGTTTTTTCCCTGTTGATTTCTGAGAAATGATAGTTCTCTGAAGAAAAGACTCACATAAGCGTAACCATTTGTTAAATTCATAAATTGCACAAAACCGAGGATGGAAAAAGAAGTAACTGTCTCGTAATTGTTTTTCTTATCAGAAATGTGTTATCAATAGGTTTGCAAACACGGCATTGCAAAAAGCCAGAAAATGAGCATGTTGTATTAAAAAAGTTGAAAAATCGAGTGCTGTTACTTAAAATTGTTTTCATTATATTGCAAAAGGCGATTATTACCGCTGTTTTCAGAATTTAAATTAATTTAATTTTGGTTATAAAAAACTGAAAAAGTCTTGTCCTTTTAAGTGACACCACGACATTGGACTGAAAACCAGTTCTAGGCAAGTCGAGAACAGGTTTGACAGGTTTGTGGAACGGTGTGAGGGTGGTGTGGCAGTTGGAATAGCGCTGTTCGAGTAGGCCGACATAGGCCGGTTCTACTCCCTGTGTCTGAAGGCTTTCCCAGATTTCTCTTGGCTCCACACTGTCGAACGCTTTCTTGAAGTCGACAAAGACGAATTTGAGCGGTATCTGGTACTCGCGGCCAACCTCGAGAAGTTGTTGAATGGCGTTGATGTGGTCTATCATTGAAAAAAAATCGACGGAATCCAGCTTGGACCGGTTGGGCTTCTTCTAGCGTTTTCCGTATTCTGTTGAGCACGCACTTGGTGAGTGCTTTGTAAAGAACGGGAAGTAGGCAGATCGGCCTACAGTTCTTCAAATACATTATTGTATACATTATTTTTGAACATTAAAGCTATTATAACTGATTATTTTTGAAAACAGACTACATTGCTATTCAATGTGAATAAAACAAAACAACGAGATTTTTAATTCATTTCTTCTTGCAATCGAATAAGTTTTTTCAAATCCAGGAAGATGAGCTGAAAATAGTACTAACATTATCGGCAGAAAAGTAAGTTGTTTTGTTCAACTTCAACTATGTTTTGCTGTAAAACTTACGTTTGATTTTTGATGCGCATAGTCATCTATGTCAACTCTCAATGAATCGTTTTCCATGTGCAAATTGTCTCTCTCCATCAATAGATTAACTAATTCTTTGTTTTTACCTAAACTAGTCAAGTTCGAAAAAAAAAATTTCTTGAAAACAAACGATTTATGGCTTCTTCGATTTGATGAAAAATGTCCAAAATATTGTTCAGCTTAGTCTTGCTCAAATATTGCCTTGCTTGGCGCGGTATCTCGCTTGCTTTGGATCTTTCTCTGAAAATCATACTATCGGGGCATGTCAATTTGATCGCGATCTGTTGAATTTGCTCGCAAAACTATTTTTATTGGCGCCTGTCCGGAGATCGCCCAATATGAGAAACCGCTGATATTTTAAAATGCCCCTGCAGTATTATGTATTCGCCGGAGTGTGCGACTTAACGCCTTTCTCGATGGCGGGTCTCGCACAGCGCGAAGTTTTTCAAGTCAAAACTCGCGCACCATGGTATTTTGCGTTTAAATTTTGAGGGGGATACGGTAAACCCCAATTTTTCCTGTTTCCGACAAAGAACCATATTCAGACGGATTTTTAACGAAAAATGAAGAGAAAATTGAAAACGAACAGTTTTTAGTCAGTTTTGTTAGCATTTGTAATAGGAAGGCACACACACACCCCGGCGAATGCATAACGCACACCCCGGCGAATGCATAACGCACACCCCGGCGAATGCATAACATCCACTATTTTATACTATTTTATCACTCACTTCCTGTAGTTTTGTAGCGTTTCGTCGGCTTTTCGCGCAGCAAGTTGCATGATTTTCAGCGTTTCATGTTTCAACAGTTTGCACCGATCACCTGTAACACTCTTTTTATTCTACTATGCATTCGCCATAGTGTGCGACTTGGCACGATTCTTGATAGCTGATCTCGCACGGAGTGAAACTTTTCAAGCTGGAGTTCTGTGCTTTTTAATATAACTGGAACATGGTTGATCACAATTTTCTCAATTTTCTGACAAAACAAAACCGTATATATACTAAAAACCGCTGGTATGCAATTTTCTTTTCGTTTATTTTCAGAAATCCGTCCGAAATCGGTTTTGTTTTGTAAGAAAATTGAGAAAATTGTGATCAGCCATGTCCCACCTATATTAAAAAGCACAAAACTCTAGCTTGAAAAGTTTCGCTCCGTGCGAGATCCGCCATTGAGAATCGCGTCAAGTCGCACACCCTGGCAATTGCATAAAATCTGAGGCTGACATTGGGGTGAGAAGGGATCTTTTCACCTCAGTCGGTATACCGCTTCTAAAAAATTTCTCAAACATTGTTTAAACTATGCTCAAGGTTTGTTTGTTGAAGACTATTTAAATTTTGTTTGAAGTATTTTTTACTTTAAACAGGTTTTGTGCAACTTTCAAACAGATCTCGTAAACCAAGTTTGTGGAGATTACATAAACTTACAGGCATCTTTCAAATAAACTTTGCTTAGCAAATTGCTGTACCGTCCCAGTTATGATCACCCCGTTTTTAATTCTATCACTACACAATACTTACAATCACTTATACATAATTCTTCATCCAATTGTTTATACAGATTTTGTATACTTTGAGATCCAAGTTGATTGATGTTTGTTGTGTCTGAACATAAACGTTTTTTTTTCTCTCCTTAATTGCTCAAAATTTGTTTGAAAGGGTGCCAATTTTTACGGAATTTTTCAAAGAGTAGGTGTAGATTGGAGTGTATCTTCCTTGAATTTCGAAACACTTGATGTAGATGAGACTTTAACAAAGAAACGTATTCTATGGTCTCACAAACACTTCGGAAAACAACATTGGGTGCTCGAGAAGAAAGATGCGCATGTTCACACTGCCAAGATCACTAAGCAATGAATTGAGGCCAATGGGTCAAGAAGAAAGAATGGTCAAATTTCTCGCCGGACAATTTTTTATTGGCTTATTCGTTATTGGGGTCTTACAGACCAAAACAAAAGCTAAACCCCACACAAATGTGGAAGTGCTGAAAAAATTCCTTCACGGGTAGCGGACCAATCATAAAGACACTCTATTTTTGCGTTTTTCTCCAGAACCTAAAGTGATACCGACATGAGTCTTTCAGACAGTGCCAGGAACACAACAAAATTGAAAGGTCCCATGAAGGGTAGAAACGGTATCAAAGGGCTCATCTCCATTTCTCGCTTTAACCGAGATGCTGTCAAAAAGGTGCAAAAACGGTACCAATTTTTAAGTGGTCATTCATTGTTATCATATGAATGAAATATTTGTTGATTCTCATGTCTCTCGGAATTTTCGTTCTGGAGTTACACGTCATCAAACATTTGCGGGTAATTAGGAGCCAAGAATATGAAACAATTACTTTCGAAAAAAGGAAAAGATTGACTTCTCCTGAAAAAATTTTCGACCTCGGAACTGTCGTCTTCTCCGTTCTCTGTTTCAGTTTCGCTGAGTTCGCTCATAAAACATATCTGAAAAATATTTTCCGGCATTTCAAAGTTCTATTGTTGAGACATACGCTGAGGTTTTTACTGGTCTGCATCCGGACAGCCAGATTTGTTTGCGTACGATTCAATTTTTTCTCCTTTTTACGATAATTGTATTCAACAATCTTGTTCGCGTTCTTAAACATTCATCGTGAAAGATTTTTTTTTACAAGAAACTAACAGAAAATTTGAGTAAAACAAAAGGAAAATCGGCTCTGTTCGGAAATGAGAGGTCGAAACGAAAATCGGAGGCCGAAAAAATAATCGGAGGCCGGAGTTAAAATGAGAGATAATTAGCCGTATAATTAGCCAGAATAATATTAGAAAGGTTTTGCTAGCTTTTAGGCATCTCACCACGCTGAGGGTAAGTAAGAGCGCTGATCATAAGTTATGTATTCCAATAGGCGGGCTAGTGAGGCTTATCCTGAATTGTCTCTATATCATTTGAATCTATCAAGGGACCATAACATATCGAGGTGGTTTCTCAACATTCTTGATTGCACTGCTTCGGAGTAAATTCAACGATTTTGTTGGGAAGTTCAAGCAAAAGTATTCAGAAAACGTTAACTAACTTCGAGATCACTGAAGTACTAATTTTTTGACTACTAAATCTCCAGAGGTTCATAAAAACATAACAACGGCGAAAAATGTAAACAGTTAGCTAGCTGAACTCGGCCTCTCATTTTATTCTCGGCTTCTTATTTTAAAATCGGGCCTCTCATTTGAGATTCGGCCTCTGATTGTATTGTCTACCTCCGATTTTATTTTTGGCCTCCGATTTTTTGTTCGGCCTCCGATTTCCGAACACAGCCGGATAATCAAGTATTTCGCAATTTTCTCATGATCTGTTAAAATGGAAAGATTAGAGCAATCTTACAGTTTCACGAATTTTCCGCATTCGGAATAATTTTCTCTGGCTTTCTAAATTGGACAATTCTTCTTCGATTTTTGCAAAATCCAATTTTGTTAGACCTGAGCAAAAAAATCAAAAGAAAACTGATTTTAAATGAACCTGTATCGATTTGTTTTAATTGACTGGAAATTGATTCATTGACTTTTCGAAGTCGGTTGTTTCTGGAAATTAATTCGTTTTAAGACAAGGACATTTTCAATGATACGGTCTCCAGAGCTGAGAATATGGGCGTGGCCTCGGCCAAATGGCGTTTTCATGAATTGAGCAGGTTTTCTCTAATTTTTGTGGTCAAAGGCGATGAAAAATGATTGATCGACATGAAAACACACGAATTCTCAGAATTAATGACGTTTTGGCGCATTTTTCGCGGACTTTGCTTTTTCGCCTTCGCCGCCGATAGCTGCCGATCGCCGCCTCAAAACCGCACTTCTCATTTTGCGCTTTCTTGACCGTTTTCAGACAGATTTGGTTTTGAGAATGATGAATCACGTAAATACAAGCATTTTGAGCGCTCGAACCGCAAAAACTATCGAAAAGCAACTGAAATTCACGCAGTTTTAGCCAAAAACCTTCAAACGGATAAATGTGATTTGCGACTCTACCAAATTTAACGCTCTTGCGCTTAAAAAATTTGTAATAGCCTATACAATCGGTCTAACGAGAGACAAATGAGAAATTATCGGTTTTTCGTGGCTAATCTGGAAAAAAACACAAATTTCGCTGTTAAAATTTGAATTTCGCTCCAATGTATCGCTCTATTGATCGGGGCGCACTTGCGCCCATTGTCAGATCTGGAGACCGTGAATGAACGTTTACTTTTCTGAATATTCTGATGTTCCCTCAGACGCCCATTCCGAGCTGCATCCTGTGTTTCCATTCGTAGCGCATGGTTGCATATCTTAATTCAAATGAAAATTTTGTTTTAATGAAACCTTTTACCTCCATAAATTTCGTTCCGCTCATTGCACATATTCAGCATTTCGAATGAATCTTCCGAACAGGAGGTTGAACCAGATTCACCTGCTGTGACGTCATTTTGGCTGCCTTGAAAAAAGTATCAGTGTATTGGTTTTATGCGATTATTCGTTTATCAGAGGGTAATAAGAAAGTTGTATTCAATGTCAAAACATTTTCAATCTTTCGCAATTTTTTTGAAAAATTGAGTAATTACCATAACCCGGCTTTGGGACACAATATTGTGCATATGGGGAACTTCGGTCCCCATATACATATTTATATTGAAAATCTCTCTCTCTCTCTCTCACTCTCTCTAGGGCACTCATAACTCAAGTTTTAGAGACAATGCGTTTTATAAGAATCGGATTTTTGATTTCACGTCTCAACTTTGAAAAAAAGGGGGACTAAAAACAGTCGGTGAGCGGGGCGAAACCGTAGAACTGAAGAGTTCTAGTCTCGTACGCATTGCTACGCGCGTGACTTTAAGACCAAATTTGACTTCCATGTCAGCAACACTGCTGATGAGTCGCTACGAGACTAATTTCGCAGTGGGACTGAAAACTGGCGCGACTTTGTCCCCGTGCTCATTCAAATACCTTGATGATTTTGTAAAGAGTTCTGGCTGCTTGCAATTGAAACTTGTTCATCGCTGTTGCAAAACTCGTCAGATACATCGTGAATGTCATTTATCTCGTGTTGTTTGTTGTTGTTGTCTCTGTTTATCTATAAAATGATTTTCTACTTTTCCTTGTATATGAAACGCTAGAGGTGTATGTCTGTCTTTTTGGATGTCCGCTCAGCACAGCAGAAAGAAATATAGAGCGCGGGTTCAAATCATTTTTTTTCTTGCAGCAATGTCCGTCGCCAAGCCTGGATCCCGGCATAACTGGGGTTCAGGATTGTTAGTTAATAAAGTTTGAAAGTAGTTAACAAAGGAATAGCTATCACTGTAAACAAATACACACCTAAACAAAAAAACGGTTACCTCTTCTATTTTTGGGGCCAAGTCGAATAATAATGAGTTTTTAGATGTGTGCTCAGAATTATCACCAGTACTCAAACCAGCCGTGAAAGATTTGAGAAAATTATTGGAATTCATTTACCTGCAATATGAATAACGTTTTCTGGCAAAATACATCATTAAAAAATTTATTTCGCATTTTCCCCGCCTCAAGTTTTAAGCGTCGGACTAAAAGAGAAAATCGATATGTGACGATTGAAAGTGTAAAAACTGGCTCACTGCTTTCTTCTCGTGCACACACAGAAGCTCAGAGACGCAACAGACACGCTCATGCATATTCTTTCACGTTGAGCACACACTATGAGTGATTTGATGTTGTTTCAAAGGCAGACAACGAAAAGGAACCCGATTACAGTTTGGACATTTCAAAGAAAAGAAAACTATTGAAAATGGTTTTAAAAATTTTGAAATACCTAGGAAAACTTCCTAATCTACTTAAGAAATTTCGTTGATAATGTTCTTATTCGTACCTACTTAGATTGCATTATTCTCTATTAGATTCACATGTTTTATTATTAGATTTGGTGCTTTTTTTGATAATTGTCGTTTAAAAGTGTTAAATTCATTGAAAATTGGTTTCTAATAACTGAAGAGATACAATTCAACAAATTTTTTATTGTTACAATCCTGCCCCCCGGCTACGCCGGGTTTTAGGCTTTAGGCGAGGCCAGGTTTGTCCGGTCCATCTTTCTTTCTGCTGCGCTGAGCGTACATCCAAAAAACAGACGTCTCTTGTGTTTTATATTATATATAAGAAAGATTGCTCTCAGCAAAAATTGGGGAAATTGAAAATGAGCGACGTCGGCGAGTACTTCCAGTTTTTTCCGATTTCCATTGTTTGACAACCGCGTTTTTGCTGAAATCAGTCAAAAAAATCGGTGTTATCGATGTATGAATTAATTCAGAACTTACAAAGTGGTGACCAACAAAACCTCAACGACAATCCAATCGCCAAGAAAAAGTTTATCAAATCCTAGGAGTCGCCTTAGATAACAAAGTAACATTTCAAAATCATGTATATACAATCCTCGCCTTACTCAAATGCCGCTAAATTCTTTAAAAAAGTGAAAACATTTATGTAAAAGCTATTTTAAAAGTAGTTGAACGTATGTATATGTGAAAACTCTAGGGGATATTACTGGTTACCATTAGACAATTTTTTGAAGGTGATGAGTAGTACTATAATATACAGTGTTTTTTTCCACAGGAAACGCACTGTATAGTATATTATACAGTGCGTTTCCTATGGAAAACATTCTCAGAAGATGCTACGAAATATGACAAAAATATTATATTACCAAAGTAAGAAATAAATTAATCCGGGACACCGAAGCAGCGGACCCTCATTCGGCCTTTCAGGCCGGAAAAATAGCAAAACTTTGACTATTTTTAGTGCATTATCCTAATTTTTCTCAAAAGATTTTTTAATGGTAATGAAATTACTTCCCTAGTTCAAATGAATAATTATTTATGGCGTCATAGAACTGGTCGATCTCTCGTGATGTTTTAGTGAACTTCCCACTTCTTTAAGCTGTGTTAACGTTTTTTTCAGCCACCTAAACAGTAGAACACGTAAATGAAAGAAAGAAAAAATTTTTCACTTTTTTCCATCACTTTCACTCTGAGACATCAGTTGATGCGTCAGATCCTGATTTCGGCATTCTGCTTCCACCAATGAAAGTTTTGTCTGTGCCAAATCAATTTCAAGTGACCTAAAAGAAAATATTTGCCGTAATCAAAACAAAAGTTAAAACTTTATATGATTTTCTCTTTCTTCCAATTTGGCCATTATGTCGAGATTTGCTGGAACAGCTGAGGCGTTGATGGGACTTTGATTTTTTTCCCATTCCACAATCGACAACCAGCACTTTTCACAATCGGATATCCTTGCCTCAAATGACATTAGTTTAATGAATAAAAAGGCACGTTGAGCCCGGCAAAGGCACGGGTTCAGGGATTTTTTCCCATTTTTGTGTTAGATATTGATGAAAAATAACAATTGAAAGAGAAAACGTATAAATTATGATCAGAACGGGGCCAATTTGGAGCCCGTGCACAGGCCAGGCCTCACAAAGTTGGACTAAATAACTACCTGGTGTGATATGGTACAAATGGGATTATTCTGAAATTTACTTGCGCCTGAGTGATCTAGTCTTCCGTCATAGCAAAAACAATCAAAATGAGTGTTAGTTTCATAATTTACCGCCAAAAATTGGTTTTAGAGTGCCAATTAGGCTATGCCTCTTTATTCGTTTTTGGCCGCAGTGATAAGTTTGAAGGGGATACCCCAAATTAGAACATTTCCAGAACATAATTATTTGCAGTGAGAATTGGTTCTGATTTGGGGCAGTACCGAAATGGAAACGCGTTTAAACTCACGGTGATAGATTTTTTTTGAGCTTCAAAATGCTCTCGTTCACTCTCAGCTCTTTTACTTCTCTCAGAAAACAATTTCTTGTACTCCGCCAGTAGCTTTTCCGCTCTCGAACTACTATCTTCTAATCGTACAACATCGTTCCTATACATTTCTTTTATCTGCTCATATTCACGTAGAAGGTTCTTGTTTTCTTCCGAGCAGTCTTGATTTTGTCTTGTCAACCTTTCAATTAAATTTGCATATGTTTCGAGTTGGTCTTCTGCCACATCTAGTTTTTTCCTTAGTTCAATCTTGCTGGTGACAAGTTCATGAGCTAAATCGTCATTTTCACGTTCCAAACGGAGTGTATTAGCCAGATGTCGACTTATCTCTTTCTAAAATATTCGTGATTAGCTCATAAGCAATTTCGAAATTAAAAGAAAATTCATACTTCCATTCGTAGAACAGGATCTTCGTTTTCTCTTTCCAATTCTTTAATGCGTAGGTATTCTTTTTCATATTTTTCTAGTTTTTTGTGGTTGATCTTAAACTTTACGGCTTTTTGAATCAAGCATTTTGTTGCTGTTTCCGTTCGGTAACGTCTAGGCAAAGAAACGCGAAAATACCTTAATATTATTGGAATAGTAAACGATTTCAAAAGAAGATTCGAGTCCGAGAGAGGGGTCCTAGGGAATTACGAGCACTGATCTAAAATCGAGCACCAAAGCGGAAAATCGAGGACCTGACATAGCAGAATCGGGAACCGTGCCAATTCTCACCGAAAAACTACAAATTTATTTTCGTGCCATTCTTTCCTGTTTTTGACAGTTTTACACCATTATTTTTCCGCCGCCTCATCTAAAACTCTCCACCCTAAAGAAGCGGAAATCTTTCCATCAAACTGTATTTCCACATATGTGAGGCGATTTTCTAAGACTTGCACCACGTCCACGGCTACCTCGACCTCCAAGGCTGCCTGCACGACACACACGAACCGGACTAGTTCCACCTCTCGGGAAACTTCCACGTCTCGGAGAACTTCGGCTCTGTTCAGGAAGAACAGACTCTTGACAAAGAATGCACTCGAAGATTCTACTCTAACGTTTTTTGGCTATGCTAGTTTCCAAGAAATCACTTTTATACTGGTATTATCGCATTCAAGGAGTGGTTTTAGATTTTCGGTGTAAAATACTCAAAAAAATAAATAAAATCGAATGCCGTTTTAAGTTGAACCAATTTTTTCAAACATTTGTTATGTTGCGTCGAATCAAAGTTTCTCGTCTGGTTCTTCTCACCTGTCATAGAGAAAGGCATTCGGAAAATTCACGCAACATAAAAAAATGTTTGAAAAAATTGGTTCAACTCAGACTCAACGGCATTCGATTTTAAACATTTCTTTGAGTATTTTACATGTTGAGATCAAAAATTTAAAACCACTTCTTGAATGCGATGATACCAGTTTCAAAGTGATTTCTTGGAAACAAGCATAGCTCGTGAATAAACAGAGAAACCAAAAAACGTTCAACTACAATCTTAATGAGTTCAGGTGCATCCGTTGTAAAGGCCGCCGTGGACGTCCACTATGTTCGGTCCTTGATTTTTTCTCTCCTTGATTTTTTGTCCGTCCTCGATTTTTTATTGGTCCTCGGTATCTTTTTGGTCCTCAATTTTTTCGCTTCGGTTCCAGATTTTAGAGCAGTGCCGAATTACGGGGCCCATAGAATTACGGAGATATCGAGATATTTCAAGTGTCTCAAGGTATTACAGGTCTCAAAAAGAATATTAACAATTTCTCGAGACTCCTGTATTATTTTGCCCATTTCTCCAAACTTATCTGTTTATTTGACAATTTTTTGGATCCTTGTAGTATTTGTCCAAAACTTGGGATCCTTTTGATATTTAGGACTATTGTAATTCTATGGAACCCTTGGAATTCCATGGGACCATTGTAACGGACTTGAACCATATTAAGAAGTTACCAACAAAAACAACAAACTTTAGAGTTCCTTCAAAATCCAGCTGCAATAAATCTGTTTTTGCATCTTGAAGAAGTGCAAGTGATATGTGAAAAATTGTGTTCATACCCTAGAATTTGATGATATTTGATAATGTCATTGCTTGCATTTTTACCTAACCTTGCTCAAAAACAAATCTAGAATGAAAAACACCATTTGTAGAGGAAACTTTGCGGTGAAAAGTGTTAGGAACCACTGTGATGCATACATGTGCGTTTCTATTCCAATATGATTGAGATGCTTCCATAAATCTGGTAGATAATCCTAAATTATGTCTAGTTGAATGACGTAAGAAATATTTTCTCACTTTCATCAAAAATGTTAATTGAAAGAAACGTAAATGAAGATTGTCGAAGCCTAGCTTGAATAAATCGCGCAAACCATAATTGAACATTATTTTCACAAGTGTGCAAAATGCGTATTCTTCGGACATCTGCAAATTACTTTGATTTTTATTCACTCATTAATGTGCCACCTACATGCAACAAAAGACTAGCAGCAAGAAATGATAATCCTTGACAATAAGATACTTCTTCATCATATAAAGAATACACCTATGATTTTATTTGTTAAGAAAATTTTGCTTGTTATTTTTACCTTGCTCAACCTGTACAAAGATTGTTGTCCGTCGCCACCAGAAACTTTGAAATGTTCATGAGCCGGAAAAGTTCTATGAATATCTCGCATTATGACTTGTTCGGACGGACATGGTTTTTCCAAGTACCGACGATATTTTTGTATCAGCTCTTCTTCTTCAGTAGCCTGAAAAAGATTTTGCAATTTTTGTAGTTTTCTATCAGGGAATTTCGAAGAGATTTCGCTTTGTTGAAATTGTGATCTCCGCCGGCGCCAATTAAAAAAAGACAAATTTAAAATATCTTTCAGAATCCAAATGAAAAACAATTGACATTTCTTTTGCGGATAAAATATTGCCCCGGAGAACACTTAGGGTGTGTGTGTCTCAACAGAATGAATGAACTTTGAAATGCCCTAGACAGTAGTAAAAACACATACCACGTTTGCCAAAAGTTGCCAAACATGTCCACGAAACTTGTCGGGAATACCGTCCAACACAAGTTCCGATATTTTGTCTGGTCTGATGAGAATTTTTTACAAATATAATAGAAAACATAAAAAACATACTTATCGCAAGAAGGATTCCAGTTTTCGATAAGTTCGATCCATGTTTTCAAAGCTTCTTCACCACATTCTTGTGAAACTTTTCCGGACCCGGAAAGCAAAGGCTCGTCACAATCTTGAAAACGTTTGCATGGCATGTTTTGAATTTGCTCGTGTATTACCTGATTCATCTTCTCCGGTAGGGTGCAACAGCTGCGTTGGCATTCTTGATGGGCTTTTCCCGACGTTTTGCTGTGATCGTTTTCTGAAAGGTAACAATTTTTGCTTGATAGCTTACGTTTCCAAGAAAAACCTGTCGCTATCCGATTCCAGTGAAATAAAAGTCAGCTTGTTATCTACGCAGTCATATGTTTCTGAGTTTTTCTATAATATGAGGACATTTTCATCACTGTTACACCTCATTAATACAAGTTTACCTCTAAAACAAGAATGAATTCTTCTGAAACAATTGTTTGTGGTGTTTTGTAGAATCGTTCGTGTTCGTGAAACACTCTTGACATTGCTTCCATTGAAAAGCGAATAGGCTCGTTTATTTCGTTCACAATGACATCGACAGCTACTGTCATGAACACACGAGTGTCTTGACAAAAATAATGATTGAAGTTAGTGAAAACTCGGTACCTCGTGGTGTTTCTGTATTCAAAACTTCAAACATGTGAACTCGAGGATCCCAGTTGGCTTCTATGAGAAAAACAGCGGAATCGAAACTTGTTTCATTTCTAGCCATCTCCAAAAGTTGTAGATCGGAGTGTCTTAAGTTTCTCCCAGCTGCTAACAACATTCCAAAGCATTTTTTGATGTTTAAGAGAAATCCAGTGATCTGAATCGATATGGGAGTTATCCTGGTTAAAGAATCAAATGTTACCTGTTTCAGATGAACTATTATTTTCTTCTCTCTGTCTCTTCGCACTCTGAAAACTCCATTGTGTTGTGGGCACAACTTCCAATTAGGATTCGCCATTGTTCCATCGTTTTCCTGCAGAAGCATGTTTGTTTCTGGTTGAATAGTTTCATTTTATTCTGACCTGTATCTCCAAAGTACTCTCAAACTGAAACTGCAATCTATTTAATTCTGGATCACAGTCTTTGTTAGAAAACGCATGTGAGAAACTGTACAAAGCTTTAGCCGCCTGGAATAAGACATATTGTCCAGATTTCTGTTTTTCATAGCTAAGAACAAGTGCAAAAACTTAACTAACCGTTTCAGATTTAGAAGTTCTGAAGACGTGACACTGGTGAATGGTGTCTGAAGGATTGTTACATTCTCTAAAACATATTTGACGTTTTTGTTGTTGTGTCAGCTATTAATCTCACCCAGAATTGCTTCTATGTGTCAAAGATATTCCAAAACAAGTGTTTTGAGATGCTATATTATCGCCACGGATGCAAAATCTGATGTTGACTAAAGGGAATGATGAAAGGATATTTCCACGGTTATCAATCAATCTGACAAATCAAAAAACATATGAATTTTTATTGCGTTCTAGGAAATTCACTTGGCTGTGCCAGCTATAATGTGCGGAACGATAAGGGTTACGACAACAGAGTGTGCACCTGTTTGCTCATCCAGCACCTTTAAAAAATGAAATTTTAATAAATATGCAAATTATTTACCTTCATCAGCGATTTCATTTCGTTATCACTATCATTATTGACTAATTGTGAACAACCAAGGTATTGCACCTAAAAGTTTTTTCATGTTGCTTTCTAGCAGTTTCTCCTTACATTTTCAAATCGCGTTTCCATTGTCAGATCCTTGCAATCCGACATTATTACCTGTATTCTGTTGTCTTCTGTAAAAAGAAAGAAAGAATTGAGGAACATTTTTTTAAATCGAATGTTTTGTTCTTTTTTTGTAAAATAAGTTGTCAGCTTTGAATTATAGTATGTCTTCAGTCTCTTCAAAGTATATAAAATTATTTGCAAATACGGTTTGAGTTTTTTTATTTAAACATTTTTGTTAAATAAAAATGTAAAATTTTGCTTCAATCAATTTCTTCCTTGAGCGTTTATTCAGTTGCAGTGGAGCGCGTTTACTTTTTTTCTGTGTTTCACAATGGCACCTCAAAATACGATAGCTCTAAGCTGAAAATTTCAGATGTCTTCTAATATAACGGAAGTCATTTACCCAGAAAAAAGCGTTGATGGTACCAAGATAAGCCCCGAAAAAGATAATTCCTCGTGTACAATCGAATTAGAGAAAAACCATGATGAAAAAAAAAATCAATCAGAAAGCTTGGTCAGTTATTTTTAATGTATATTTGATTAATTAATAGTATTTACAACTGAAAACATTTTTCAGCCAAAATATATTGAACGACAGAGTTGGACAAATCGCCTGATCTGCTCAGAAAGTTTCAATGCTTCAATGGCCGTTGAATATTTGAACACTGTTCAGGATAAACCATCTTTGTCACTAATTGGTTCGAAAAGCAAGAGTCATGTATTTTTTATTGTATCTGGATTTACAGGAAGACGACTTTTTGAATTTCCAGCTGAAGAATTGGATTTTTTCTTACCACAATTACTCTACCTTTATGTAACAAAAATTGACGCAGCTAGTGTAACACATGCATATATTGAAAAAAGGTAATGTGAAAACAACGAGAAGTTGACTATTTTTTAAATGCTGCCACATGGGCCATTGAAGAATAGAGGAAAATGGTAAAGAGACTATGCAGTAATTTTTAAGAGGCAATGTCTGAGAAGTTCAAAAACTGCAGGTCACTAAAAATTCAGAATGCTTCAATTTGTCCCATATTATACCCAATGGGTACTTACATAACAGGGCGAGCCTGGGGCGCAACAGTGGTAATTACCCGCCGAACGGGGCCACCAATTGCTTGGGAGTTTATAGTAGGGAAGGGCCATTATGTACTTGCTCTCAGAGCCTTGAGTAGATATTGCCGAGTCAGGATATGGTCACACAATTTCAGATTGACCCACCCGCATAGCCCACTGGTTTAAGTGGTTGCAAGGCAGTGGTCATCCATTGTGATTAAGCCATTTCCAGCCCATTTGAGTTTTTATCTCCAACGAACCCAGGGTTCCTCATGCTGTGTCAGCGCCGTTGGATCCGAAGATCGCTAGCATCTGACTGAGTTACCCGCCTGTAGCCTCACGGCCATCCCATTCGCATTGGAATGAGGAATCTGATCAATCAGCTCTTTTTGTTCCTTCCCGTTCGACCCTTTCTTTTACCCTACGTACTCGGTTAGGAAGTACTAAAGAGAAAAAAAGGCGAGGCTGAACTTTGGGAACAAGCTTCATGAAACAGTAATACCAACCTGGCACCTTTGTGCGTTTAGATCGGTCTTCCTGTCTGTTCTAGACTGTGTTCTTTGCACAGTCTCAAGAGGGGGGATCGGCACCCAACTATTTTGTCTAGTTAGATGCCTTTTTGTGACTCTTGTGTTTATGATCCTGTCATCACACCTTTTAAGGGTCAGCTGCCATCTTTGTGGCTATGGTCTGTTCCTTTTTGGGAATCAGGTGGTAATTTGAAAGAAATTTATTGCGATTTCTCCTGGAAATTCACAATATCGATATATCGATCAATTTGGATTGGTTTTTCAGGTTACTCATTCCATTAATCAGTCTCGTTTTCAGTCCTATCCATGTCCATTCAGAGCCAGGTCTTTTGGCATGTTGACTTCGAACCCGGCTACGTCCCCGGAAGGGTCGGAGCATGTTTTGCTCTTTCCTTTTTCCAGGAGTTGCCTTTTGGTTTCTCGTCTCCGAATTTGAGTGGAATTTCAGTGTAGGAGTCTCCGAAGATGTGGTTCCAATAAGCGTTCTTGCTGTATTCTAATACTGTAGAACACAATTCAGGAATCACTTTACGGATCACTGCATCCTCTATTCCCAACTTTTTCAGACTGTCAGTTGTGGGCTTCCACCAACTTCCGAGAGATCCAACTATTATTGGTAGGACAGTAAGCTTTTTTTGCCCTGAGCCTTGAGATTGCTGAAACCGTCAGAGTACTTCTGAACCTTTTTGTCCCAGCTTCTTTTCATGGCTTCCACACCATGCTCATATGGGCAGGCTACATCGGCCATGATGATTTCTTTTCCATCTGGACTTCTCATGTAGATGTCTGGTCGAAGTCTGGTGAATCCTGGTATTTCCTGATCTATTTTCAGTTTCCAGTCTTTCTTTGAACCAGCTTCGATGAGTTTTTTCACTTTCATGAGCACTGCATCATGTCTTTCAGTGATTTTTTTCGGGAGTCCGAAAGTGCAACTTTGTAGGATGTGCCACTGAGTTTCATTCTCATAATGACATCTTCTGCATTCTTTTGACTTTGTGTTGTCGTACGTGTTATAGTTGCACGACAACAAGTTGAGGCGAGCTCTGTGCACAAATTTGTGTGCTGCTCGACTCACTTTGCCACCTTTTCTGACAAAGCTGTTGCACTGAGGATACTGCTGGATGACTCGGACTACCTCACTCTTCACAACTTTCTCGGTCGTGAATCTGTGAGAGAGAGCGTCATTCACTTCTCCTTTTAGCAGTTGTTGGAGTTTCTTTACATTCTCTTTGGTAAAGATTCTCTCGTTGCCTTTCTCGATTGCTTGTACGGAGATTGCCAATTCACCTTCGAACTCAACAATTTTCACCTTATGCAAAGGAGCGGACTTGATTTTCCACAGACTGTTGCATACTTCGCGTAGTCTTGTGAAACAACTGAAACCGAACGCCTTTTTATCGATTGGTATCTCGTTGCTGAGATAGGCCGCCAGGTCGCCTAGGGTGACCTGATCTTTGCCCGTTTCGATTCGGGTCACTTCCTCCAGATATTCCCGGTACAGTCTTTGGATGTACTGGTCTGAGGACCACAACTTTTTCATTGTGGACACTAAGAAAGTGATTTCTGCGGTTATTCTTGGACACGCAACGCCGAGTCCCCCTTTACTAGTTGGTATTTGGATATACTCTAGCGGGGATCCTCAGTGATACATCAGACAAGTTTTGGTCCGGCTCCTTGGTCCCTAGTCCGATCACGGTCACAAAATAGGTCAAACCTGTAACTAATTTCAAAAAAATGGTAGCGTCTCAGACTCAAGGCCATTCGATTTCTCGTATCTTTTTAAGCATTTTTCATGTTGGCACCAAAAATTTATCACCTTTCCTTCATGGAGAAATTTCGGATTTTTAGTGAAAAAGTTGAGTTGTTCTGCAGTTTTCCTCCGTGGTGAAAATTTTTTGCACTTCATAGCCACGATTTTATTTCAAATTCATAATCTACGGACAATTTTACGTCGATATAGCATACTGTCGCACATTTGCCGATTGACATCAAAGGAGTTTTTTTCAAAAGTTTGATCCGGTCTCAAAAAAAGTTTCTGTTCTGCTTTTTGGAAAAACTTACAGAAACAAAAAGAATTCCTGTTTATAGACGTTTTTTTCATGCTAAAAAAACTGTAATTCTGTTATGTATTCGTCAGGTACAGCTTTGTAAACGTAGCGATTAAAAACATGTTGAAATTTTTTTTGTCAGCCGGATAGATTTTTTTCGAGATGTGTTCGCTTTTACCCAATATTTTATGCTTTCTGTCGTTTTTTTATTTTTTTCAATGTTCATCTTACTTTTTTTGTGAAGCATTTATTTGGTCGTTCTCCGATTGATTCAAGAACGGTAAGAAGTACATACACAAGGGGCAACACTCAACAACAAAAAGTACATGAGAAAAAAACCTAAAACAGGAAAAATTGTAAAGCGTATTTTTCTTCACATTTCAGTTTCTTCCATAGCAAAAAAATTGGATCACTGGATTCTATTAGTGCGTAATAAAAAAAGAATCACCGATAGTCCAAGTGCTTTCAAGTTTCAAATATCGGATCACTCCAGCATCGTCATGCTCTTCCTCTGGAATAGTATAGTCTTCCTTCCACGATTCATCCTTCATTTCTTGAGCGCGTCGCGAGTGCTGCTTTTGATTGCCTTTTCGCTGCTTCATGGGAGAAGAAACCGGCAATGTGACGGAAGGGTTTCCTTTGATCCACTGAAAACCGCTTAGAACCGTCCGGATTTCTAGCTTCCAATTCCGTCTTCTCGTTCGTTTCCTTCAGTTTTTTCACAGCATCCGAAATTATTGGGCAACTTTTTGACCACTTCTTCCAAAACCACGAATAAAAATATTTCAATGAAAAAAATCACGAAGTGTCTGCCGTTCAGGTCGAATTATATGTTGTCCACGTTCAACATGCTTGACCACGCTTGAATATCTCAAAAAAATGTAGCTGAGCATCCTTCCTCTGGGCATGTAAATATCTTTCCCAAAGCGTCTTCGTACCGCGGTCTCACTTCATCGCTTTCCACTTCATTTTTCATCTTCTTCTTCAATGCAAGCAGTGTTTTTGAGAATCAGTTGACTTAGCACATTCCGGAAAGTACCAAAAACTTGGTCTGCTTCTGCGACAGTACAGCATTTCGTTCTTCATCAATAGACCCAATCACAGTTGAAGTGTATCCGGCATGTTCGAACTCGTATGTTCCAGTCAATGACATCAAATTACTTGACGGAACAAATTGACCATTGCAAGAGCAACTGTACAATCAGGAAAAACAATGAGTTTCATTATAATCTGTAATATTGACCATCTAATAATATCAGAAGTTTGAAAAATAGTAAGAAGAATAGCTACACAAAAATTTGCTTTGTGCTTTTTATATCTATTTGATGTACTTTTTGTTGTTGAGTGTTTCCCCATGTGTATTATAGGGGCACCGGACAGAAAGGGCGCGCTGTTCGCAATCTGGCCGAATTGCTAGGCCGCGAAGTAATTTTCCACTGAAAAATGTGGCCTAACTTTTTCAAACTCGGCCCCGAGGTCGCTCAATTTGCACTGCAAAAAGAGTTTCTCAACAGAGCGCCATTTCTGTGCGGTGCCCCTATAATATGTACTTCTTGTTTACCGTTCTTGAATCAATCGGAGAACGACCAAATAAATGCTTCACAAAAAGTTAGATAAACATTGAAAAATAAAAACGAGAGAAAGAATAAAATATTGGGTAAAAGCGAACACATCTCGAAAAATCTATCCGGCTGACAAAAAATTTCAACATGTTTTAATCACTACGTTTACAAAGCTGTACCTGACGAATACACAAACAGAATTACAGTTTTAAGCATAAAAAACGTCTATAAACAGGAATTCCCTTGTTTCTGTAAGTTTTCCAAAAGCAGAACAGAAATTTTTTTTGAGACCGGATCAAACTTTTGAAAAAAACTCCTTTGATGTCAATCGGCAAATGTGCGACAGTATGGTATATCGACGTAAAATTGTCCGTAGATTATGAATTTGAAATAAAATCGTGGCTATGAAGTGCAAAAAATTTTCACCACGGAGGAAAACTGCAGAACAACTCAACTTTTTCACGAAAAATCCGAAATTTCTCCATGAAGGAAAGGTGATAAGTTTTTGGTGCCAACATGAAAAATGCTTAAAAAGATGCGAGAAGTCGAATGGTCTTGAGTCTGAGACGCTACCATTTTTTTGAAATTAGTTACAGGTTTGACCTATTTTGTGACCGTGATCGGACTAGGGACCAAGGAGCCGGACCAAAACTTGTCTGATGTATCACTGTTATGTAAGTACCCATTGGGTATAATATGAGACAAATTGAAGCATTCTGAATTTTTAGTGACCTGGTGTAATTAGCGAATTTCGAGGTTCTCAGAAATTGCCTCTTAAAAGGCTCTTTTTCTAATTAAAACAAACAATTATCTGAATTCCCAGTGACAGAAAGGCATTACTAGCGTGACTTTTATCATTTAGTATTTTCAATTCAGGCACAAAAACGATGCTCATTTCACAATCTTATGCATTTGGTTCCTCAGCTGTTACACCGAAACGTATCCTAACAAGCATGAGAATCATGCAGTGATGCTCAGGTACTAATTGCATTTCAAACGACTGTCTTGAAAATGTTTTCGGCAGAAGTTTACTGACAAACCAAAAGTCAAAAACTCAACAAAAAGCAGAAGAAAATTCAATCACCTTGTCGTTAGATCAACTGGAGACTACAAACTGGATGGATAGTTAGTGGTAAAACGCTACATTCCAAAATGGTTTTTTAAAGGTTCTTCCATGAAAAGGAAAGAACACGGAATATTGTTGTCACAAGTTGATTTGGAAAGAAATCGTGAACCTATCTATGTGGTTTGTTCATAAAAACCTTTGGGTTTATGTTTTTTTTCTGTAGGATCGCTTGTTGTCTAGCCAACAAACTTTCATCAATAGACTGGTGCACATTGGAGTCAAAATGGCAGAGGTTCATTTGTTAAGCTCAAAGCAAGAAAAAACAAATGCTCTGCAATTAGAGCTACAAATGTTGAACACAATGCTACCTAATTTTGTGTGGATTCCATTTGATTTCCAAAACACTATAATGAACATATGCGTAGAAGAAAGCGCTGTTCTAAATAGCAAAGAAAAGGTAAATTATTATGATTGAAAAACTGTGTGTAGGGTTGCAGAACATGCGCATGTTTTTGCCTATTTTGCAATTTTAACGTGGAGATTTTGCAAAACAGGCGAAAACAAACAGACTTGCCAGATTTCGGGCCGGCCATGCGGGCCGGCCCGGGTCGGCCCGGGCCGGGTCGGGCCGGGCCAGGTCGGTGAAGTGCCGGCCCGGCCCGGCCCGGTCGGCCCGGTTCAAAAAGGCGGGAATTCAAATTTTCGCGGAAATTTTTCGTTATTACAAAAAAATTTTTCGAACTAAAAGTTTTAGTGTTTCTTCTTTGTTTTTTTGCTATTATGAATTTTTTTTATGAGAAATACATTTGTTTTTTTCAATGTTCGATGCTTGCAAAAAAACCCCTAATTCTACAAAAAATGGCTTCATGCGATCAACAATTCAAATTTTGAATTCCCGCTTTTTCAACCGGGCCGACGGGCCGGGCCGGGCCGGAGTTTTGGAAATTTCGGCCCGGCCCGGCCCGGCCCGTGGCAACTATGAAAACAAGCGCCTGTTCTGCAACCCTAACTGTGTGTATGTATTTGTGCCAAGTCTTTTGTCACAATCAAATTTCACTCAGCTCTGTTTGAATATACAGGTTCCAAACACTGCTTACAGGTTCTTTGAAAATGAACAAGAAGCAAATATCGAAAGTAGACAGGTTTCAAGAATCATTGTTAATTTTTCACGATTTTTCCACGATTTTTCACATTGTAATAATTATGCGGGTAGTGCATTCCAGTTCATTTTCAATTTTGATCCCGAGAAGTTCTATAAGCATAATAACGTGACAAGAACGTGGAAACCAAATTTTAAAGGTAAACAAAAGAGGAAAAGGTGGAGCGTCGTTTTTAAAAAATGAGCAAAAATGCTCCCAATCTGTTTATTTTTGATTACCTTTAGGACAAGTGTGTCTGTTCGATAATTTTTCGAAAATCTTTAAGAAACCTGTAAGTAGCCTTTGGAAATAAAAAAAATAAAATAAAAAAAGGTAGAGCCCGTTTCTCATCTTCTTTTTTCCCGTATTTGCGCCAAACAGGAGCGACCTTTGGAAAAACAAAATATTTATTTTCAGGTCCCTTATCTTTTCTTTGCCGAAGTTATTCGAGTACCTCCGACAACAGAATATATTGATGGAAATATGGGGGAAACTGTTGAAATAGTTTCAAATAGTAATGAGCGACAAAACAATCGCATTTTACTGAAGACTAGAGTTGAAAGCAAAATTAAGAAAATCTGTAATATTTATAATTGTAGGTATATCATGATACAACAGATCCATCAGTAGCTGTTTTTGCGGAGGCCTGGTCTGACAAAAAGGATAGGATACGATCAGCTAGTAAAAATGGAAACATTTCCGAATGGGATTTGATTCCGGTGATTGTCAAAACCGGTGATGATTTGACACAAGAAGCATTCGCTCAACAACTTTTATTCACTTTCAAGGTAAAAAAAAACATAATAAACACAAATCTTGCTATTTCTTTTTTCCAGGATCTGTGGAATGAAGAAGGAATTCCTCTTTATCTTTACCCGTACAAAATAATATGTGTTGGCCCTGACGCTGGCCTCATCGAGCCCATTTTGGACACTTTGTCTCTTCATCAAATAAAGAGGCATTTGACGAACGTTTTCCGAGCAAACAATAATCCAATCACTCCAACGCTGAAACATCATTTCGAAAATGTTTTTGGAGTAGCCAGCAGCGAAACTTACGTCAAGTAAGTTTTTTCAATGATTGATGTTTTATTATAGGGGGACCGCACAGAAATGACGCTCTGTTGAGAAACTCTTTTTGCAGTGCAAATTGAGCGACCTCGAGGCCGAGTTTGAAAAGTTAGGCCACATTTTCAGTGGAAAATTACTTCGCGGCCTAGAAATTTGGCCAGATTGCGAACAGCGCGCCTTTTCTGTCCGGTGCCCCTATAATATGACTCTGTTGAAAAAGAAACCACAGCGAACAGGTAAATTCTGCGGGTATCACAATGAATTTATCGAACCCGCGATAATTAAGTTTTTCAGTGCTCAAAAAAATTTCATACAAAGTGCTGCTGCATACAGTCTTGTCAGTTATTATTTACAACTGAAAGACAGACACAATGGCAACATTTTGTTGGACATGGAAGGACATTTAATTCACATTGATTATGGGTTCCTCCTTTCCTCATCACCAAGAAACCTTGGTTTTGAAACTGCTCCTTTCAAGTTAACGTCTGAGATAGGTGAGCTTACCGACGGAAACCAAAAATGTTGATTTTCACGGTGAATTTTCGGGTGTCGCGGAGATTCAATGCACCGTTTTTTTCCTCGGGATTTGAACAGTATTAGAAAAAATGCATTTGGAGACAATAGGATAGCCACTTTTTGAAAGTTTTCAGATTCTCGAGCCATGTGCTCAGGTCTTTGCCCACAGAGCGTGAGCTAATATTCTGCATTCGCCATAGTGTGCACCTCTCTCCTTGTTCGCCCTCCGCTCCCCTCTCGTCTTTGCCCCGGTTCCCTTCATTTCCCACACAAAAAGACTGATTAGCGAGCAATTTCATGTAGAATCAACAAAACAACAATAAAACTAGAATGGAACAGAGTATGCAAAGAACGCACATTTCATGCACGCGCGAAGCACATTCCCACTTTGATGCGCTGTGAATGCTATGTGCATGCACCTCCACGGATATCCATGGTGTTTGCATAATGCATACTTTGCGTTTTAAGAGGCAATGTCTGAGAAGTTCAAAAACTGCAGGTCACTAAAAATTCAGAATGCTTCGATTTGTCCCATATTATACCCACTGGGTACTTACATAACAGTGATACATCAGACAAGTTTTGGTCTGGCTCCGTGGTCCCTAGTCTGATCACGGTCACAAAATATGTCAAACCTGTAACTAATTTCAAAAAAATGCTAGCGTCTCAGACTCAACGCCAATGGATTCCTCGCATCTTTTTTAGTATGTTTCACGTTGGGACCAAAAATTTGGCACCCCTCCTTAATAGAGAAAAAAATTGGTTTGTAACATTTTTCAGAAAATTTTTCAGTGTTCTGCTCGTCCTGAAAAATTTTAACACTACATAGCCATGATTTTATTGCTGATTCTGAATCTTGTGCTTCTGCAAAAAATAAGTTCACCTCGATCCCGATTAACATCAAGGGGTTTTTTGGCCGAAATTCACAAAATTCGTAGTACTTTTGCATGGAAAAGTGTTCGCGAACTTGAGAAAAGTGCGTTTTCTCAATTTTCAAAGGGGTCTGATCGCGATATTTGTGGTTTTCGTATACTTTTAGGCATTCTTGATTTTTTTGAAGCATTTCGAGAATTAATTTTGTCATGACCCCAGGGTCGACGACTTAGTCTTGATAACAGTATGGGACAAATCAAATAAATCCGAAGTTTTCGTGACCTCTAGTACCACAGCTAGTTCGAGCCTCACAAAAAACTTTGGTTAAATTGTATTTTTCAGTTGATGTGATTGGTGGAATTGACAGTGATATGTTCCTCTATTTCAAAAGTTTGTTGCTTCGAGGATTGATGGCCGCTAGAAAACACCACCGACGCATTGTTTCTTTGGTTGAAATAATGGCTGCAAGTGAGTACTTAGAGAATTAGCAATAATTTATAACATATTTTAAGGATCAAAAATGCAATGCTTCCGAGCTGGTTCTGAAACAGTTCGTGCGCTTGAAGCTAGATTTCATGTTAGTAGCACAGACGAACAGCTCCAGCAGCTTGTGGATACACTTGTGGATGGGTCTCGGGATAGTTACACCACCCGGTTTTATGATTCTTTCCAATACTACACGAATGGAATTCATTAAAATTAATAGTGCACTAAAAAAAGCTAACTTTGTTCTATTGTTCTTTCGTTAATGTTTCAGACGGGGAACAGTTCATATCTTTTTGGAACATTATTACGAATGTTGATAAAGTAATTTCTCTGATAATACTCGGCAATAGTTGTAAACTTTTTATCAAAATTTTAGTCCAAAAACAAGTTTTTAGAAAACTTTGGAACAAGTGGCAACTTTTAAACAAAACTTGAATAAAGTTTAAGCGAACTTTGGTAGAGACTCAATGGAAACTTTAAACTGGCAACAATCTTCACGCGCACTTCAAGCAAGCTTTAAGGGAACTTTGAACCGGCATGCTCAGAAATGTTTCAGAGGTGTTTCAGAGATTAATTTTGAGAAAAACCAACTTTAAAGAAAATTATACAATTGTTCATTCACTTGTTATATGTGTGTCCAAAATGGAGTCAATAACAGACACAATAAACATAGGATATGTTTTTTGTAAAAAATGTCCTTCGTTCACAAAATTTGCTGTTATATTTTTACGACCAGTGAACAAATTGGCACGAACTCTTTCTATTGTTTCGTCTGCTTCTCTCTTGTCTCGGATTATCTGCAATAAAACAATTGAATAAGAAGAGTGCCGGGTCGAACGTAGTGATTGTTATCAGAAAAATACATTGCAACTTCTTCAGAATGATGCTCCTCTATTAGAAAATCTTTCGAACCGTAAGCATAGAAAACGCGAACCTTAAAAAATTACAGATATTGTCGCAGTATTAATTTGAATTAAGTACCCATGGTTTTTTCTTCAAATCATCAATGCAATTCTTTTGTTTTTCAAAAGCAAATGTCTGCATTGGCAAAATTGAAGATGCAGCTACTCTTCCGTCAGGAACACGCAGCCCGACAATCTTGTTGTAAACTGAATTTGTGATTATTGTTGAAGTTTGAGGACATGAATTTTACAGTTTTTTAAAAGCGGAAATAGTAAAGAATTCACGAAAACGTTCTGCATTTTGATGAGAGATGCAATTGAAGAGATAATCTTCTTTCTGAAGAATCACAAAACTTTACACATGCGCATGTTCAGGCAAACCGATTACTAACACCTTTATGAGGTGAAAAACCTGGAGAATTGATCATGACGGCTCCAATTATAGGCCAACCCCGATCGTCCTAAATATTGCATTTTGTATTAATATAGAGAGAAGCATACTTGCAAGAGGCCGGTCCGGGCTAAAATGGACATTGTCATAAGCCCGGTCCGCTCGGCCTGGAAATCCGGAAAAATGAGGAAATTTGTATTTAAACTTACTTTTTCTTGTTTCAACTATTCTAAACTCACTTTTTCAAGTGTTTTTCTAGCACAACTTTTAAGGGAAAATTCATTAGAGCTGTTACATTAAAAATTTTTGAAAAATTTTGAATTCCGGGCCGAGATTTTGCAAGTCTGGAGAGAATTTCTATGTAAACAGTAATTAGTAAACTTACGGATAAAATATTGGCTAATTGTAGAGCATTTTCACCGCCCCTTGAGTGTCCCATAATAACGAGTTTGTTAACTTTTTTAAGTTCCAGGTTTTCCATGAGGGATATAATGTATGAGTTCCTCTCTTGATTTGTGTAACCATTGTGAACGCCGCCTTTATCAATAGAATGAGCACAAACATAAAAATGCAATTTACCTTCCACAAATTCCGATCCGGGCCAGTTGGTGCAAATAAGCCTTATATTTTTTTCATCAAACAAACTTTTCATGTACTTGAAGTCATTGTGAGATCCTGGTGATCCTGACAGAGTGACAACGGTTCCTTTTGAATATGAGTTTTTACCAGAGTCCTGAGCGTTTCTAACAATTTTTACTTCTCTCTTCTTGAAGATTACCACGTATTTGGAGTTTACTGTAGTTTCCTGATCTAGCTCTGATCCTGTTTTGAAAGTTACTCTTGTGTTTTGAATTAAACTGTTCAAATCAAAATAGCAATTATCCTGTTTGTTGCTATTCTCCGTAGTTACTTTTCTCTTCAATTCTGTTTTTATTGGCTTGGTTCGATAAACATTAACTAACCAATTTAATTCTATTGTTTACCCGATGCAAATTTAAAACTGAATTCAAACGACTTTTCATCATCTGAAAAGAGTTGATTTCGAAGTTTCAAGTTTTTGATCATAAATATGCAATACCTGTTAGCAAAGGTTACTGTAGGTGATAACATTAAATAAAGAAAAATTCATTAACATTAAAAAATAATCAATGAGATCGTTTAATGAAAGAGATTGCTTGTTGGCCAGTCCTAAATTTGAACAGCAACAAAGACAATAACAAACACATTTCCGACATGGGGAAACATAAATTTAGAAAATTGTTGAATCGCTAGTTATTGCACTTTGCAGAAAATTCGTGTAAAAAAATTTAAAATAGTTGCTGCTGCCAATTTTTGTGATAACGCAGGAATGTAAGTCTTTCATGGTGAAATACAGTAGTGTGTCTACTTACAGAACGTGGTGAAAGGTCAACGTAACTGTTAGTAGAAAATGCACAAGTGCGTCAATTTTGTCACATAGGGCGTAATCAACCAGCGTGTACAAAAATAGAAAATCAAACCGGAAAATATAGAGATTGGAAGTGCTGGGAGAGCACGTTTGAAGACGGCAAGAAGGACAAGGGTGAAGCATAAACCGATAAGAATTGCAACATAACATGCCAGGGTAGTGTTCCAATCCATGTAAGAGGATGCTTTTCCAAGCAGTACTGAATAGAATATGAAATCGCCTAGTCCTAGTTTGACTCCTCCTGAAATTCATGTTTTGTTGTGCACCATGTTGGGTTCAAGTCAGATTCAGAATTACAAAGGCCCAAAAATAAATTTATTATATACAGACCGTGTAATACAAATCGTGTGTCTGCGCTCATTTTTGCTAAGCTATACATTTTTGAGAATGATAGATGCAAAATATTTCAAAGAGATCGGAGGCAGTAGTCAAGCGAAATCCAACATTTCAGTTGTACGTTCAATGGGTACTTACATAACAGTAATACATCAGACAAATTTTGGTCCGGCTCCGTGGTCCCTAGTCCGATCACAATCCCAAAATAGGTCGAAACTGTAACTAATTTCAACAAAATGCTAGCGTCTAAGACTTAACGCCATTCGATTTCTCGCATCTTTTTAAGCATTTTTCATGTTGGGACCAAAAATTTAGCACCTCTCCTTCATGGAGAAAAATATTGTTTTATGACATTTTTCAGAAAATTTTTCAGTTATGTGCTCGTCTTGAAAAATTTTAAAACTACATAGCCATGATTTTATTGCTGATTCTGAATCTAGACGTTATTGTGCTTTGGCAAAAAAAGTTCCTCCCGACCTAGACATTGCCTCTTAAACAGTTTGAAACGGCTCGGAATCCCAAGACCATTTGAGACGGTTTCTTAAAACGAAAAACTGTTTTCGGCAAAGGCCGAGGCTTGCTGGGACGTCCCTGAAAGCGCTAAAAAAACGGTAGGGCCATTATCTGGTCCGTGTCATGGTTTCTGGTCGCATCAGCTGAACATGCCAGTCTCAACGCGTATTCATCGAGCATGGTGACAACATCAGAAAAGTACGTTATGTAGATGGGACTTAAACAAAGAAACGTATTCTTTGGTCTCGCAAACACTTCGGAGAACAACACGACGTCTTCGGGACGATGATACGCCTGCTCACACTGTCAAGATCATTAAGCAGTGGTTTCAAGCCAATTTGGCAGCGTTCGTCGAGAAGGAAGAATGGTCCGATTTCTTGTCGGACCATTTTTTGTTAAACTATTCGTTGTTGGGGTCTAACAGGCTTAATATAAAGGCTAAACCTCACACAAGTAGGGAAGTGATAAAAAAATCCGATGTTATTTGGTCAAGTTTCAGCTGAGCCGCAATGTGTAAAATTTGTCAAAAAAATTCAAGTTAGTTCACGTTGAGAGAGAAGTTCGCCAACTTTAAAACACTGCGGATCGGCTGAAACTCGTTTAAATAACACCGAGCTTTGACAAAAAACTTTGTTTTTTTTCAGCATCCCATTCACAGATTCAACAACACACTTTGCCAATTTTGTGCATTTTTTCTAAAAATTGGAGGTGTATACTTTTGACGCGGCTGATTTTGGCTATCTAACCTAGCTCCCGTAGTTTAATATTTCGACAATTTTGTCAGACTATGTTAATGTTCCTGTCTATTTTATTACCCACTTTCTTCTTGGTATCCGCCGTTTTCAATCACAATTTCTTCAGTTGTGACCGGTTGATTGCGTCTCTCCACCGGAGTTTCAAGAGTTGAGCGTTGATTTTGAGAGGTAGAACAAGTTTCTACTTGCGTTTTTTGGGCAATACGTTTGACTTTTCTTTTATTCTTCGTATTTGAAACCTCCTCCTCATTGCTTTTGGCACCTGAAAATGTGTGTTTTCCAGGTATTAGCACCGCAAAAAAATGACAAAGCCGCTCCGTTAGACTCGGACCTCGGTCACTGTGTAAAATTTCGGTATTTTTCTCTCTCTCTCTCTCTCTCTCTCTCTCTCTCTAGCGCACGGTCTCCCAGGGCGCAAATGTTAAACTACTTAAAAGTTTCCTGAGCAATTTTTTAAACTAGTTTCAAAAATCTCAAAATTTAGGCCAAAAACTCCAAGTAGAAATTTTTAACTGAATTTGTAACAATATGCGAGATTTCTCTTACCAAAATGTTGCTTATGCACTAATGAAACCGTTGAGCGTTCGCTCGAAGGGAGACCGTGTAGCGGAGCAAAATAGCCATCTTTTCGCAGTTTAACTTTAACATTTTGAAAATAGTACCAGTGCCCAAATCGTTCTGATTATTCAATACAGTAGGATCGTCTGCGACAGTGACAAGGACATACGGGTAGAGAAATCCGGCTGGAAAATCAGGATCAGTGTGAACAATACAAGAAAATCTTACAAGAATAGATGAGAGCAGGAAAAATGGGTTCATTTCTCTCTTGTGCCGTTTCGACTAAATATCTTAGAGGACCTTTGGGGGTTAACACCGCTACGAGATCCCACACAGATATTACAAAGAGGACAAACCAAACTGTCCATTCAGGAAGGTACTTGATAAAAACCAAAGCCATCAGTGCTGACATCATGATCAGATAGCACTGTAAAAATGAGATACATAATGCCGATTCAGTTAATCTTCAAGTACTAATACCTGTTGCAGTCTGAGCGGACCTTTCCAATGTATGCACATCATACCCAATACACCATAGTTTGCTAACATGAACAGAATTAGTGGCGAAGAAGACGAAATATCAAAGCTTTTCATTACTTCTCTAGATCATGCCTATTGTTGTTGAGAAAAATCACCTTGGACTTACTGGACATAAATCGTAGTAAACAGGAAGAGCAACAGAAAACTACTTACAATCAGCCATCCATGAATCACCTAAAATGGATTTTATTACTGAAAAGTTAAGAAAAATAACTTTCCTTATAGAACTTGTACTTGTAAAACACAATGAGTAAAACAGTCATCAAGACCACCACAAAAAGCATCACAAGGGCGTTTCCAAGTGACATCAAGCCTTTTTCAACAATACTATCGGTTTCCTTGACAAATGGCGTGTAAAGTCTGCAGAAAATGTTGGCCGAGCTTTCTTTAATTTCTACTCAAATCAGAGAAATGAGTACATTCTATATAAAACACTCACAAATGACGTCCATTGTTCTGACTGTAAAATGTTATTGTGTTCATGGTAAACACCACTAGCGCCATGCACATTGAAACGGGAACAAAAAGATGAATAACGTGAGACGCCCCATATTTCAGTTCAGCTTCTTCGATTTGGTTTTCTTCGTCTTAAATTATGAAACATCACAATGCATATATCAAAAATATTTCTTACCAGGAAGTGCTCTGCTAGTCAGACGATTCGTTCCATAAACGGTCTGAACAATTAACTGCGAAATAAAATCAAAATGAAAATAAAAAAAACTACATGTATTTCGCTTGTCCCTTCAGTGTCCTCTTGCGCTCTTCTCCTGGTGTCCATCTCAATACGAATCAGAGATGAAATAAAAGAAAACTGCAAATGATTTGTTTTTTTTGTTATCGGACAGTTTCAAACACAATTTTTTAAATGAGTATCAGCTAATAGAACAAACAAAAACAGTTAAAAAGTTATTTTCACCGTGCATAAATTTTTGTCATTAATGGAATATTTTTGATTCTATAATTATGATTCTATAGCATGCGTGTCTTAACCAAAAAGTTAAAAAAAAAGTTATTATCGCAAAGTTCCGTAATAATGTTTTCTGGTGTTTCAAGGCAATTTAAATAATCAAACGCAACTTTTTAATGCAAGTCAATTGACAGTTTTGTTTCGTGGCCGAACAAACTTAGTCCATCAGCAAGAGGTTGCGAATAGTGGCAAAATCTTTTAACTATAATTGGTAAATTAGTGGTTTACATGTCAATAATGCCCTCACAATTTAGCTATAATTGAAAACACACATTAATGTTCAAACACGCTGAAAATTTCAATAGAGTTTCGAAACGCAAAAATATTACCGATTCGGGAGCAAAACATGACAAAACATAGATAAAAACGCTGCAAGACCATCAAGAGAGAGAGATCAAGAGGTTCCGCAAGAGATAATTCAACGGTTCACGTTTTAGTCGATGAAACTCTTGGAAGTAAAATAGAATTGTCTGGTTCACCTTACAACTATTTTACTTACTGTAAAAAACGTCGCAGTAAAGAAAACATGATTTGTAAAAAAGGTAAACAAATTTATTTTCTCAGCGAGTTTCTTTTGATAAAATTAGTTTGATAAATAATGATTGATTATGTTCCAGCCATTGATTTATCGATCTCTGAGCATTTGAACTCTATACGTCTTGATCTGTTAAAGCCATATTGCGATTCAATTTCTGGAAGTTGCGAGTTGTGATTTTTCTCGACAGTCTTTTATTATACATTGAGTAGCATGTTTGTAGATCTTTTCTGATGAGCCGCGTTTGTTGTTCCACGTTTTTGGCGAGTTTTTGAGCAGCACGTGTTTCCCAAAGCATTCCGCCTTATCACACAATAATCCAAAAGAAGAACGGCAATTATCAGTATAGCGCAGATGACAAATGACCATATTGCCCACATCGGTACCTTGAAAATACTTGATAAAACTCTTTATTTTCTAAAGTTATAGCCGTGTAGCAGCAATATAAAAAATGAGGCACCAAAGAAATTAAACTCACGCCAGCTAATCCATGTTGAACGGAATTAGATATGAACTCGGCAGGGAATGCGTCCTGTATAACAAACTGATCGCTAGAATAGGCATTCATCTCAATTTTGAAAATGGATCATTCTCTGAAATTATATAGGCATGAATGAACAATAAAAGAGGATATTTATATAAGAACGCGAAATCGGAGAATAACAAATTCTGAAAACAAGTCCCGACATTCTCATTTTCATGGAAGGGAAAGATCGTGTAATTGTAATTTGAAAAAATTGTATTTGTTAATCTTTTTTAATACTTATTGACAAGTGAATTTAAATTTTTTGAACTAAAAAAAACTATTTAAATTCTATGAATCAGAAATCAGAAATCTGAAAGATTAATACGGTTCAATGCGAATACTTTGTAAGGCTGTGAATAATAGGGAAACTCAATGCATGTGATACTTTGACGTTTTCTGTCGCTGGCTAAGAAAATGCAGGTTTCCGTCTATGCTCTTCGCATGTCGTCTTTCGTTTCTCACATCTCGTTTACTTTCAATTAATGTGTCTAACCACACAAGTATAAAATGCGGAGGCGCTTCATGAATATGGAAATAGTTCTCAGAAAATAATGAAAGAATTGCACACTTTTGCAACTGTAAAAATGAAATAAAACTTAACTAGCTATGTATTCTAAAATTTGTTTTGTTTTTTAATGAAAGTTTAGCATCTAGGTCGGACAGAAAATTCCCTTTCATATTATGAATACAACTATGTTTTCGCTTTGCAACTAGACAGACCACAAAGAACAGAAATAGTGTTTTCCCCATATATGCAAAGACGCATTTGCCACAAATTGACCCAGTTGTACGCAATTCATTTATACTACTGAAGGTTTTGTAGAAATAGAGAATTCTACGTTCTGGAAAACAACGTTGGGATAAGGAGTCAAAAAATACACAGCAGGTGTAATAATTCAGATGAATCGGTCTATAGGTTCAAATTCATATCCGAATTTGGCTTTTTTCCTAAGCCCACTTAAAAACACAAAAATTTCAGCTCGATCGGAATGTCGTCACGTTAGCTTAAACAAGTTAATAATAATAATAATTGTTTATTTGCGCGACTGAAACGGACAGAGAAGTGAGAACGATAAGATAAAAAAGCTGGAAAAAGAGCGATAAAAGTTACAGAGACAGTTATTTGAATTGACATTGGCCAGCCTCATTCTCTATTTCTCTTCAATAAATTTTGTACTTTGAAAAATCACGAGTTATCTTTGACTACTCTACACTTTCAAAAGCATTTCAAACTATGGTGCAGTTTTAGACAAGTCCTCTCTGAAGTCGGCAACATGCCAGAACAAAGAACCAGAATAGAATGAGAGGTGGGGTGAAAGTCATATTGTGGGAGGTGTAGAGCCGGTTGGAAACGCCGAATAGAAAGATCTATCTAAGCATATTCGTTTGTGATCGCATCTGCTGTCAACACACACGTTCGTCGTTTCGTACAAACGCTGGACGTCAATCATTGCTTCCGTACAACAATGAATAAGGTTTCATTGTTTTTCGTGTATTTTCTATTTGTTGCATTACTTGCAGGTGAGTGTCTTTTAGAATTTCTGAACGGCTTCATTTCTTCATTGTTTGCATTGTCTTAAAATATTTTTTAATTTGAATTGAAAGCTATATCGTTTCCCTGTTAACCTCAGTTACTTCAGCTGCATCAAAAACAACGCAGTTAGTGTTCAAAAGATTCACAACAGAGACATGTAATAACAATCCATGTATGAATGGAGGAACATGTACTCCAGGAAAGCTTTCTTGCACGTGCGCTCAAGGATGGATGGGCCGATATTGTCACAGTAAGTTATAAATTTACCATTTCAGATATCCTAGCTTCCCAAAATCAAAGTACTTTACATTTTACAGGAAAGTGTAGGAACATTTACAAAAGCTGTGATCGTTGGGCAGTTGAGGATAAATGTCATACTATTCTCACACAAACAAATTTTTTTGATGTTAATTGTGCTGTTTCTTGTAAAATGTGCTCCCCTGATACGACATATGGTAAACTAAATTTATAAAAATAAATGAGAAGAAGACTACAATTTGTTTCAGTGGCTCCTGAAATTCCCTTGGCACCAGCTCTAGAACCAATGCAGTTTTTTCTTGGAAAATGGCACTCTCGCGCTTCCAAAGGTCTTCGTTTCCCAACCGATCTGTATGATAACGAGTATGAAGAAATCATCGACATTTCTCCCGCTAACGTGCCTATGTTTGGTCCTCCATCTCTGAATTACACGTGAGTATTATAACTCATGCGTATGTAAGATTATGGTTTAGAAGCACGTCATGGTTTGAAGACGATACCAGAGTAATGCATGGTTTTATCACTTTAAAACCAAATTCTTTCCCCCCTGAGATTGCAATTCTCAGTACTAGTAATGAAGGTGATTCTATTCATGATCTATTAATTAAGCGTTTTTTATTTAGGACTGAATATGATAGAGCTTGGAACTCTTAAGCACCATGTTCTAACTTTGAACGTTTCGTACATGCAAGTCCATCCAACAATGGACAGTAAAGTTTTACCGTTGGGCGCTACAAGACGGCTGCGAAGAGTAGGCAATTTGCTGGAAATGACAGTGGCAAAACTATTCAATGAAAATAAAGTAAACGAATGCACAAAAATTTAATTTTACAAAATCGTTACAGGTTTCTCAATTCAAAAAGATGTTCAAGAAAATTGCTGATTATGCGTTCTGATGATTAACCCAATCAAATGCAAACTTTTTTATAACTTCGAATACAAAGTTTGAAATGGGCATTTTTCAAAACGTGTATGTGTGGACTAATGAAAAGCGTTTATATTTGATAAACATGTGATACTTTTGTCTATTAACGTCTAATTCAGAAATTGACAACAAACCAGTCTCACCAGTTTATTACAAAGCTCAAAAAGCTTGCCTGAAATTTGGAAATGTTTTGTTCCAGATGTGCTTGAAGTTGATATAAGGAATAGTTTGTCTTTAAATTTGTAAGAGTTTGATTGAAATCCGCTAAACCTTAAGCAACGTTCAAGAACTTCTTCGACAAAATTTGAGGTGTGACGGAAACTACAAAAACTATAAAAATTATTTCCAAGTAACTAGTAACTATTCAAACAGTGTCGTAACTATTCAGTAGTAACTATTCAAACAGTGTCGTTCCTATTTTTTGTTTCCAAAACAACATAATGTAAATATAACGGAAAAGCAGAAAAATAGAAACAGGTTGATTAGTGCCGATAAAATCCTGTTTTGCCGACTTGCCCAATATGTAGTGGTTTGACGTTATCTACTTCTTCCAGAAAACCATACCCCACCGACTTTTTTTAAAACCTAAAGTTACGTTTATATAAAAAATCTCTGAACTAGTTTAAAATAGTTTTGAAGAAAAACCAACTGTTCCATCAACCAGCCACGCAAGCAATCTTAATGAACGTTTTCAATTCTTGAAATATAAAGATAATATCTTATTTCTGCTAAAAAAATCATGTTTCCGAACAGTTCAAATTACCGTCTTTTCTCATTTTTACGGTTTTCCTCCATTTATCACAAAGTTGAAATATCACAAACGATGGGATGCGTAAAAACTGCAGTTCTTAGAGGGAGTTTTTTTTTTCATTTTTCTGACATGACCAAAACAACTCTGATGACACTTTGCACATCAATTTCGCCGTGATCCATTCAAATACAAGTGGTTCTTCGTGAGTTGTTGTTTTTGAGAGCAGGGAATTTTTTGTTTGCATAAATGTTTTGTTGACTATGTTTGACAAATGAGTAAATTTTTTCTAATAGTCAGTGAGTTTCCATTCCTGTTCAATTTTTCTCCTTTCAAAATGGGTGTTGAGACCAGTCACAGAAAACTTTTCCACCGAACTATTATCCTTTTGAATGAGACGTGCTTTTTCTTTTTGATAGCTTCCCATCAACTGATCCACTTGAGCAGATTTTCGCACCAATCGGCAATACACTTCTCACAGTTTTGAGTGGCTGCAAACACAAATGCTCCTCTTCTTTTTCGGAATGAATTGTATTTCAATACAGAATATAAACATTTCATTGCTGGTGCCAACTTTCAAAAGATCTGCTGGCATCGCGCATGACTTCAAGGTCAACTTTGACCTTTGCATAGCGGATTTTTTCCGACTACAGTGCCCGCAAAAATTGTTTATCGATCACATAAGCAGAAGATCGGCCCCCGTACTTTTTTTTTAAACAAAAGTTCATTGAATTTTAGAAGTTCTATGAACGTGATTTTTAAATTTGGTCCTTGTGATTCACAAAAAATTTCCCTTAGTCTAGATTATCAACAGAAATCTCAAAGTGCAGCTCAAAAGTGCACCATACTGAATTTCTTGGCTCACTTTTTTTAAATCGACAGAAAATTGAAACAGAATTTTGAAGTTGTGTCTATTTCTAGAAACAATTTTCTTGGACTATAAAAACAGTCAATGGTCGTGTTTTCAGCCACAATTTGTACAGTGCGTTCCATAAGTATAGGGCCACCCCTAAAATTGAATATATCGTCTTTCGCAAACAAAATACCACTCCAGGACCTTGAAAATCGAAATCAGCAGCACAAATATCCCCCGTGAAATAATTTTGAGAGCAGTGCATAGGATAGTTGGGGAATGGTGCTGAAATATTTGAAACTGTTGCAGCTGCAAGCGTTTCATAAGTATAGGGCCACTCCTGAAAACACTCTGGAAGTCTCTTAAACTGATAAACATGATCTTGAGTGGGGTTTTTTGCACCTTTAGGATGTCCAGAAAGTATTTTTGAAATCATGTGCACTGACGCCGACGCCACCTAAGGCCACTCTCCCGGATTTAGCCTAATTTTCTGTGTGAAGGTCGGGAGTGGAGCCGGGGGACTCCGATGATCTTAAATGAGTCAAATCTTGTTTGAAACAAGTTTTTTGAGCATTTTCAAGTCAGATTCGTTCAAGCCGCTCGATTCGCTAGCACCTGATATCAGATTTTTGGCCAAAATGAAACCAGGCCCAACAAGGATCAGACTGGCTTGAGCGCCAAACTCCAGGCTGACATTGCCCACTTTTAGAACTTCATAAGGAAGTTTTGAAACATGGTATGTTTGAGTTTGGTGTCAATCGGATCAGTTTCAACCGAGTTATGAGCTCCCGATTGTTGAAGTGAAGAAAACCAACATTTTTCAGTACATTTTTCAGTGCATTTCAAAAACTAGTTTCAAACAAGATTTGACTCATTTGAGATCATCAGAGTCCCCTGGCTCCACTCCCGAGCTTCACACAGAACATTAGGCTAAACCCGGGAGAGTGGCCCTAGGTGGCGTCGGCGTCAGTGCACATGATTTCAAAAAGGTTTTTTGGACATCCTAAAGGTGCAAAGAACGCCATTCAAGATCATTTTTATCTGTTTAAGAGGCTTCCAGAATGTTTTCAAGGGTGGCCCTATACTTATGAAACGCTTGCAGCTAGCATTTTCAGATATTTCAGCACCATTCCCCAACTATCCTATACACTGCTCTCAAAATTGTTTCCGGGGGTTATTTGTGATGCTGATTTCGATTTTTAAGGTCCTGTCCTTGAATTTTGGTCGGGAATGACATTATATCCAATTTTAGGGGTGGCCCTATATTTATGAAACGCACTGTACTAATATGGTCGTACGTGAAAAACCACAAGGAATGCATCCGACATGATACATCTGTAATAGTCTGAAACTAGGGGAGATAGGAGAAAGTATAAAATACTTGTTCGGGAAAACTCGCCCGTTTCCTGAAATATTCCCTTAATCATCGGAAAGATGAATGTCTGCTTTAACGTTGTTTAAAGTTTGCCCCACTTTAAGCAGACTTTGACCAATTTTTAAACAAACTTTTCACCTCACCTATTTTTAAACGCATGTCAACCAAAGTTTAAGCAAATTTCAAGCAGAGTTCACGCAAACTTTCAAACAAACTTTAAATAAACTTTTCTAAAGCTATGCAGCAAATTTCCGATTTGTGTTCAGATGCCATTTTTGTAAAAAACCTGATTTGTCATGAAAGGATTTCTGGGAGTAGACGACTTGGGGCGGCGAGCCTGCGGTGCACCGGTGGCAAGAACCTTCGTCGAAGGACCACTAAGCCTAATTTTCTCTCTACGGTGTTTCATGCTTTTTCTTAGTTTTACCGACCTCCTCGTTTTAGTCAATTACAGAGATGTCATGTCGGGTACACGTCATATGACAACGTGTTTTTAAAACCTCTTCACAAAATACTGTGTAAATACCATTGAAATTGTTTTTCTTACTTCACTATTTTTTTAAATAATTTTTTTGTCACGCTGAGTTTGCTCTCAGATCTCTCTCTCAGCTTCGGTCCGAAATTAAACGAACTTGTGAAACTATATATTTGCGTACCGACATGAATAAAGTTTATGCATAGACACAACAAAGCACACAATTCTTTTGTTTGCACGAAACTATTCACACTGTTGAACAGTTTACAGACAGAAACTTTGCAGACTTGGTCCATCATTCTAATTCAATCCCATGAGCCTTATGCCGACTGCCTCCACACAAAATACAATAGTTAGCAAAATCTTACAAGTGAGTTTTTTCTCTAAACAAAGTCAATATGTATCACAGGTCGCTCTTGGATTATTTGTGACAACTTCTGATCTTCCAACATTGCCATTAAACCATGAACAATTGTCATACGATTGCTCGTTTGATTCCAATTGCAGGTAGAAAATTCTTTCCACAAACTACCTGCAGGTGCTAAAATTATTTGCTTCACAGATGGACTTCTGTTGGAAATCAAGTTGATCGTTGGAGAATTGCGCGTGGTGAACCGGACAGCCTATTATGGCTGGCAGCTACAGGAACGATGCAAATACCAAGTATCTGTCTGTTTTTTTTAAATTCATTCAAAATTTTTTAGGGGAGCCATACGCTTTGATCGAATCAAGAGGAGACCCCGTCGATGCACTGGCAACTGATGCGATTCGATGCCAAAAAGGCTACGCAGAACTATCCTTCACGTACTGGGTCGTTGGAAATGTTGATATTGAGATTTGTCTGGCTGATCTGCATGGGGAAAAGTTCAATTGTACGGGAATGCTGAAATCAGATGTTATGCCTGGAAAAGTACTCTTGAAGATTCCCGAACTCCAAAAACCATTCAGAGTAAGCGACAAAACGTTAGTCTGGAAATGCAAATAGGGCTCATTATTTTTTTTGTTAATATACAATTGCACTAGCTGCAAAACCTTACTAGGTAACTCTGAAGTTAAATTTTCCATACGGGATTAATTAATTAATTTATTTATTTATTTACGCACGCGGGGTACGTGTTAGAAAGAGGAACTAGTTCGATAGTTCAATTAACTTGTGCCAAATCCAATATATCCACAACAGCCTCCGTTCCTATGCTTTTTATTTTCTTATTTCTATCGTTGCACGCCGATTTGTACGAGAGAACGATTGACGTGGCATAATGAGACGTTGTCGGGATCTGTTGGAACTTCGTTACACACCACTCCGGGTTGAAGAGAAGCACTCGGAGTTGCATCCATTTCTGAATCCTTGATTTCCTCAGCTTCTTCCGTTTGATAGTCCTTGCGCTTTTGCGATTTCTCGCCTCTTGCTTTCTTGCTTGTGCTGATTCCCAGTTCATCTTCTGCATCCTCACGTTTTCCTTTACTGCCTTCCTAGCCTTCCTAGATTTTCCTGTGTGCTTTGCAAGCGATCTCGTTCTTTTTTTGCAATCCTCACGAATTCGGCGCCAAACGCTTCTGCTGTTAGATCTGCTGCCTCAGAAAAACCTTCCATCGGGATCTGCCTCTGTAGGCTTCATTGTTGCTGATTTTGCGATTACTTTTTGATGTCAAACATGATTCCGCGTTCCATGGGTGAAAAAAAGTAGGAATTTGACTGATATAATTTGAAAGCTTTTCATCGAAATTCCGAAAACAACATTCGGATCGTATGCAAAGACTGTGTTCAAACCGAGTTTCAATTTTTTTTAAACTACCGTATTTTCGAATATCCTCAAGAAATTAACAAATTTTCAAAAAATACCGTAGTTTTAGGGGAACGGTTACATTCGTTGAGCTGTGCGCACCCCCGTTTTTCACGGAAATTTCGGCCGACTTTGGACAGAAAAACCGCAGGTTTTTCCGGTTTTTCCGATACTTTGGACGCGGCATAAATACCGAGTTTCAGTCCTAATATTAACCGAGTTTCAGTCCTAAATATGCGTTTTTTCGAAGCACAGAGCCATTCAAGAAAAATAAAAGACAGTTTAAGAAGCCTCGCGAAATTTATTTTTGAGTCGCTAAGGTAAATCGTTTGTAATCTAGCTAGCTAATTTGCGTTTCTAACCGGACCTAAGTAAATTGCTAATTTACTGCGATTAGATTGCTAATTCTTCTAACTGGACTGATAAATTTTCTAATTAGATTGGCGAAGCTAATTAGATTGCAAAAACACTGATATTAGATTCAAAATTTATCTAATTAGATTAAAATTCCGGGCAAACTAGATTATGTTTAGATTGCAAAATCAGCTAGCTAGATTTAGAAATCGGTAGCAATCTAACTAGGTCCGGTTAGAAACGATAATTAGCTAGTTAGATTAGAAACGATTTGCCTGAGCGTTCATGTCTGAGATCATTTTCTAGTTAGTTTGCTGCTGCTGACAGTGGCTCCTGGTGCTCCTGGTGCATTGTTTATGAGCTTGTATTTACGTAGGCGGGCAATAACCAACAGTTTCTCCATGGTGTGTTGGTTACCACAAAAGCTACAAACAAGCCCTACTTGTTTTACGGTTTCCTTTTGTTGTGTACTTGTAATAAGTGCAAACATAACTTGAAGCCGCATACATTGCCAGCTGGGCATGCAAATGAAATTAATGATGGAAACGCTTGAGTACAACATTTTCAGGTCATGATCCAACCGAGCGTCAGCCCAGGCGTCATAGTACTGGACGATCTACGTTATGACGCTTCAATGTGTACTTATTCTTCTACGGTTTCTCCATCTCTCCCGGCTGATACAAACCAAAACCGAGGCCGTCCTGATTTTATGGTATTTTTTGTGAGCGACATTACAATTCACTGCCATTTTAGACTACTTTGCCACCCCGTAAAATTCGGCCCTGGACTTCTAAACGAGCAAACCTTAAGAAGAAAGAGCTAATGGAGAGTACAACAACACAGAAATCAAAAGTCACATTTCCGACTAAGACAGGAAAGCCTTCAGCGATCAGTGTAGTAACGTTAGCAAAAAATTATTATTGCACGTTCATTTTGCTTTTTAGTTTTCCGGAATCAACGACTGAAGCCCCTTTCGATTTACTTATAGTGGGGAATCGAACAAAACTAATGAAAGATAAGAGAACAGGCAAAGTCATCGAGAAATCGTCCCAACTTCTTTGCGACTTCAATAATGAATTTTCTTGTCAGTGGGGTGCCGAAGCCGGACGATGGGCTATCATCGAAAAAGGTTTCTTTAAAACACACATCTCTTGGAGATAATACAGTGCGCGAAAAAAGTTTAGGACACCCTAAATTTTGACATTCTGACAAAACGAGGAAAGATATCGAAAATCTGTAAATACTTTTCCATTTGGCCTACAAAATAACCCCCGGCCGGATTTGGCCAAATTTTAAAATGTTTGGTGTCAAAACTACTGAAAAAATCATTTCGGCGTCATCTGCACATCTGGAACCTACTGGTGACTTTGTTTTGTGAACCCCTTTTTCGTGAAAAGAGCGAAAAACAGTGAATTTCTGTGCACTTCGACTTTCAACTACCAAAGCTTTGTTGACACTGTTCCGTTCCTCATGAGACCTGAACAAAATGTCCTCATTATCCACAGAAATTAGAAAACAGTTTTGGAGCCTGCAATCTAAAAATAAAAGGTACTTCCTTTCTATTGCATTGGTTAATCACTGTTATATACTAAGAGTGAAGTGTAAAAAATAAGGTCTGCAATATTATACACTCGCCAGAGTGGGTGACTTGACGCAATTCTCGATGGCGGCTCTCGCACGGAGCAAACATTTTCTATCTATGATCGTGCGTTTTCAAATTTGAGTGGGGATATGGTAGATTACATTGTTCTCCACTTTTTGACAAAACAAATGTTTTGAGCCCAGGCGGTTTTTTATATGCCAATTCAAATGACATTCGCCAATTTTCGATAACTCTTCTAGTCTCTTCAGAACGTCCAAAATTTAGGGGGGAGGTCCTAAACTTATTGGGCACACTGTATTATGGTTTAAAAAAGTTCAGGTGCAATCCCATCGCTAGAGGATTCAATACTAGACCCACGTTTACTTCCGACATATCCAGCAAGTTTAGTTTTACAAGGAACGGCCATGCTTTCTAGTGATCCACTTCCTTGTCAATCCGGAAACTCAAAGGTTTACTTATTACAGTAGATCGGATTTTAAAATTGTTTTCAAGACAGGAATTTAATATTGTACCGGTTCATTATTCAATCTTGTTCTCATTTTCCTCTCAATTTCCTTCGCCCGCATTCACCTTTCCATCCTTATCCAATATTACTAAGAATTCAATGTGGCTCTTATATAGGCCTGATTTTGTGATTCCTAATTATGTGTTTCTAAACGTCCATTATACCTTTTCCAGATGCTTTTCCGATATTGGTCAAATGGAGATATTCTTCTTCAAGTTTGTGCACTGGGATACGGTAATACTGCAGAGTTGCCAACCAACATATATATTTTTAAGATAACGATAGTAACCTTATTCATTGCGTTGAACAATCAACAAATACCCGTTACAAACGAAACACACTGGCTGTATTCGAAATTAATCGGACCATTAACGAACAGTTCACAGTATTGAATATCGACATGACTACGTGATCGTGACATTTTTTTTAGCTCAATATTGTACCTCAATGGGAAAATGGCTTGAAGAATAGGTTTCTGGTGATTGATGAAATTGCTTACATTGGAGAATGTGATAGGGAACCTCAGTCTACTTCCGCAAAGCCTTCAATCTCAACAAAAACAGTCTCAGAAACAAACCGGAACATTTTACCGCCGATTGAAAAGAATGAAAATCATTCAACTACTTCTGCGACTACCCGATCAATAATTCCTCCTATAAGAAATGAAACCACAAACAACCAAGAATTGGCCGGAACCACAGAAACAACAGAATCCCCAAATACCACAACTGAATCAGCAATCACAGAATCTATAATTTTACCTGCCGATAATTCAACAAGAAGGTAGCCGGAAAAAAAAACTATGTTACCGGTTTTTTCTTCCAGAAAAGTATTAACTACATTTGCTCCGGTTTATCCAGAAGAAATTATTACTCGAACATTATGGACCCGGAGAATTTCAATGTTTGATAGACTTGTAGTTAGAAAAAAAAAGTATTTTTACAGTAAGACAACATCTACAACACTTTCAACAAAATCAGATGACTATTGCGATCTTCTAAATTGTAGTTTTGATGGTATGCAAATGAAGTTTAACATAACGCAAAATCGAAATTTCAGACACTGCGTGCAATTATTTAAACCATGGATTAACAAAAAAACCATGGACATTAAGAAATCGAGGATATGGATATCCACTTACAGGCACAACTGACATTCGAGCCACCCAAACAAATGGCCAATTTGTCTCGACAATTCTTGATGCCGGCGATATTGCAATTCTTGAATCACCAAAATTTGATGCAACAAAAAGTTTGAATGTGCTTTTATTTCAATATTTCCGACCTTCTCAAATGACAACGATCAGGCTCTGTCTTGGTAAGCGCTCAACAACAGACACAGAAAACAAATGAACAACTGATTAGGATCACAATACACAAATCCAATGCGAACTATTTCTTCATTCATTCAATGTCCTTCGATACTGCGCTCAGTCACTTCAAAAAACGCGTATCGTTGGAATACGGTACACGTTCAATTGCCGCCTGGAACAACTAACGTAATGTAATTATTCCTATCATTTTGTTTAATGTTTTTTTTAGTTCTACTTGGTTGCTCATAGCAGTGAAAAATCAGAAAATCGAGCAGCAATAGCACTTGATAATATGCGAGTAGCAATCTGTGATACAAAAGGATTTGCACCCGATTATATTGATGAGACTTCAGATTTTCAAAGTGTTTTCCACTCGTGACGTTTTGTGATTGTTTGAGTATTAATTTACAAATTTGGGTATCAGTCTTTCTGAATGCTTTAAGTATATTATACATACAAACCCATGTTCAATTTAATGAGATTTGTTAACATTATTATATGACAGCTCATTCAGTTAATACAGAAAATTTTTTATATAACTTATCGATATTTAATAATAATAGCATATTTAACTAATTTTTGAAAAAGAAATTAATCAGGTGTTGTAAACAACTAAAGTGCGCGAAATAAATTTTGGACCCCCTAAATTTTTAACGTTCTGACAAAATGATAAGTGAAATGGAAAATCTGTGAGTGCCAATCGATTTGGCATACAAAATAACCCCCAGAGTCAATTTTGGTTCATCTGAAAACATTTCATACTCACACATCATCAAAAAAACGTTTTTTCTGCCGGGAAATAAGTTTAGGACCCCCTCAAAAATTAAAAACTTTTCCAGAAAACTGGCGATTTGAGAGTCAAAACGTATTGCAGAATTGTTGAAACTACAGAAAAAACATGAAACTACAGAAAAAAGCATTTATTTTATCATCCGGCTATCTGGCAATTAGTGGAATTTTCGTTTTGTAAACCCCGTTTTCTTGGTTGGGGCAAAAACAGTGAATTCTGAAGCAAATCGACTATCAACGAGCATAACTTTGTTGAAACTTCTTCCTTTGTCATCAGACTCGGACGAAATGTCATCAATAAAATTGATAATAAGGAAAACAATTTTGGTATCTCGGGTCTTCGAATAAGAGGTACTTCCTTGGTGTTCTACGAACCGGTCACTGTGAAGTACTGAAAATGTGGTCTGCAAAATTAAGTCTCCAATAGTACAGATATGTCCAGATGATGTCAAAACTATATTTTTTTAGTTATTTTACATAATACTGATAACAATTTGGCTCATGATTTGACCAGTGTCGTATTTTTTCATGGGGGATCCTAAGCTTACTTCGCGGCCAAAAAAACTTTTTTTTTATGCTGTAGGAGTACAAAACGTTTTCGGATAGACTGAAATTGGCTGTGGCTGTTATTTTGTATGCCAAATCGAATGGCATTCACAGATTTTTGATATCTCTTTTCGTTTTGTCAGAACGTTCAAAATTTAAGGGGGTCCTAAACTTATTTCGTGCACTGTAGAAAAAACAAAGAACTCAGTATGTATTAAAACTCGCGATCAGTGCCTTTACCACAACTTACCACTAATCGCGGATGGCCGACCAACTTTCAGTTAACCAAATGCATCCGTCACATGCATATTTCCTTGGTCACTATGGAATATCCACACTTGAATTACCACAAACATTTGTGACCCCCACTGTAGCAAGAGGGTGAGTTGCTACACAGCGACAAAATGCGGGCGGAAAATTCAAACCATTTTCAGAAATTTTCGCCGTATTACCTTGAGCCTTGGGAATGGTACCTATGTGATGCGAAAGACAATTTCACATGATCAGAGAGTCGTTAGATCTTACTGGCTACTTTCCGGCAGTTACTTTTGTGTCTCGAGGTTCATTCGTGCAACGGTCATTCGCATTACATGTCATAATAATAATAACTCATTTATTCACTTCATGCTCATCCTAGGTTTTCCATTTTGATGCCATTGTGGGGGACTAGGAAAAACAGTCGTGATGTGGGGTCTGATTTTATGAACAACCGCTTTCATACAGATATAAGTTGTTATTTCTCGGCAGTGTTTGTCAGGAATGGCGCAAACTTTACACAATTTCTTTTAAAAAAAAATTGCTTAAGGTTTGCGTACGATTGCTCTAACTTTATGCAATTTTAGCGCAAAATCAAAACAGTCACTGCGCAAACTTACAAGGGAACCTTTTAAGTGATTAAAGGAAACAGCCTAAAGAGGGTGTTGCGGGCGGTGACAATCGTGGCGCATGGCGAGGGTGTGAGGGTGGGTCGCCGCGCCACCAAAATGCGAAATCTATGGTTAAGAAATGTCAAACTTCGGACTGGAATTTCAGCATTTCAGAGGTCTCGAAAGCAGCTTTTGAAAACTGGAATATACAGGGTGGGGAATAAATATAGCGCCCAATTCAAAATGTCGTAAAAAGTTCAAATCGCAAGATTTTTTTCTGTAAATCTGCTAAAAGCTCTATTAAACAATAACAAAAAGAATGGCATTAGCAGTATTTGCCGATTGCACCTTTCTCTTCGTTGGCAGCCGTCAGTCCTCGGATACGAGTCAGCGGCGGCACGGCGGTAGTTGACGTAAAGATTGTGTCATGGCTTCCGTAGTTCAACTTTCCGGACTCCCTATTTTGGCTAATTGTGAATGAATACATACTAGGCAAACCACCCAAACTCGGAGAAGTCCATAGAAATCATATCCGACTTGAAATCCAGTCGTTCTTCTTAACCCTGGCTGGCGCCGGATTCGACCCTGGCTGGCGCCGGATTTCAGGCTTGGCTACTGTGTACAATTTGCGCAATTTCTGACAAACACAGCCGAGTTATTGACATGAAAAATTACATTTAAAAGGCGTCAAAGCGGTCTAATGGAACATCGTAGTCGGGAATCTGTGTTCCATTTCCTTGCATATAATTGTTTTGGTCTGCCAGTCCTCGATTTTTCTTAGTGTTGCATAGTAGACACAAAAAACACTGTAAATTGTTTGGTAATTGTTTGATCACAATAAATGCTAGACGTCATGATTAATACCGGCCGAGTTTGCGAAAACAGGGTTTCGGCTTTGTATAAAACAGAAAGCTATGAAAGTTTGTTGAGTCTTGTTCAGTCTTGCCCGGCCCGTCCCTAATAGGTCATTAACCTTTTTCCGTCCATGCATGAAGTCAATATAGTTTATCCATCCACAATTCAGTGAAATGCATACAAAACCCAATATTGCGGAACAGAAAAATATGACTATGGATCCAATTGTGATTGCCATTGTCCTCCAGCTCATTTCTCTCTAAATTCAACTAATCTGCCAAGTTACTTTAGGAGTCAAACCTGGAAGAAAATTAAGGATATGATGAGGCCCGCATGTGCCATTTGAAACAGAACAACAAGAATAAGAAGCGTAGTGTTGAGTATCACAGGGTCAAGAATTTCGCATCGTATCGTGCAAATGTAAAGAAGTCCAGTAAAAACCCAGATTCCACAGATAAGCACATAAACGAGCGTTGAAATTCGAATAACTTCAAGCCAGTCAAACTCAATGCCCTAAACAAAAATACAATTCCAAAAGACATCTAGGGTGACCTTACCGCTATGCGCACAGTCGTAGTTGGAACTTGTTCAATCCCAAATGTGGCATTTTCGATAAATTTATCCGGTTGAGAAATAGCATTAAAGAAGAAATCACCTATTTCCCCTGAGCTGACGTTGAACTAAAAAATTATTTTTTTTCCCTAAGGTCCTTCTTTCTTTTTACAATCAACTCAAAAAGTATCTTGTTTTTTATAGGATCTCAAAGAATGCTTGGAAACCCTGTTATACATTGCGCGAAATAAATTTTGGACCCTTAAATTTTGAACGTTCTGACAAACGATAAGGGGGGTCCTAAACTTACTTCGCGGCCGGAATGGAATTCACAGATTTTCAATATCTCTTATAGTTTTACCAGAACGTTAAAAATGTATGGGGTCCTAAACTTATTTCACTCATTGTATATCATCTGACTTTTCCTACGTTCTTACCAAGTTCGTCTGATTCAGAAAACTCCAAGTTCTTCCTGATGTCGACACCAACAACTCTGGTTCATTTTCTTCTTCTTCTTTTAAGGTAGCAGTACTCTCAGCTTGCGGTTGATGATGTTTAATTGGTTCCAATATAGTAGAGTTTTCGTTCCAGTGAGTATACTCGTACCCACCAACGTGATAGAAAAAGAACATGGCAGTTGTGGCGCTGATTATAATCAAAACGACTTGTATGAATAAACTCACTAGACCAGTAGTTTTTGGACGTATGAAACACGTTGATTGTAATGAGTTTAACCCCCGGCCATTTCCGATTTGTATTGGAGCATGTTGAGAATCAAAATAAGTTCCATTAATATTGGAAGTCATATTTGTTCAATATAACTTCGACTTTACAAACGAATCTGGCTCCGAATTATTCCTCTAAGCAACGGTTGGTATGGAAACGCGAAGACGCAGCAATAAATACATTTTATTTTCTTTTCACAAAACGGACGGGAGGAAATTCACATTCTTCGTGAAAAGATATAATCAAGTATTGGCAGTAAAGGCACATTTTGCATATAATCGAAGCATGAAAATCAAAGCATGAAACCGCAGTTGATTAATTACATTGATCGGTTGATTAATAAGTTTCGATCTTTTTTGGATGTTTTCTTGTTATATTTTTCTTGGTTCCAGGTTTTCATAAACTAGAGACGCATATGCTGAAAATTTCCGAATTTCTCAGTTTCAGGAAGGCTAGATAGGCAGAACACTTGGCAAGAAGCAACGCTACCAAATGGGCCAAGATCGCAACGGAGTGGCAGCTGAAGGATCGGAGGACGGAAAAGAGAATGAATGGGAATTGTATTTTCTTCAAACGTTGGGAACGTCTTTCATTGTATTCTTTATTCTTCGTCGAACGAAAAGTGCTTTAAGCCGAATTAGTACACATGTGCGGAGGCAATGCTGATTTATTCTAGCTGATCTAAAACATCCGTAGCGCCAGACTTGTTCCACCATTTTTCCATTCGTTGTCCTGTAAAAATATACATGCACAGCATTTAGTTTTATTAGGTTGTTCGGAAAGTTCCAGTCATTTTTCATAGTATGTTTTTGAAGACTGTTTTTTCTATCGGGAAGCAAGCGAGTAAGTTTTCGTTTTATCAGAATGTTGGTCAGGTATTGAAGTGTCAACATAGCAACGGATATCGTTCTCCTGTTTCCGAGTAGTGAGATATGCCGAACGTTTTCGTCCCTAACAACTTACATTTCCGAAATGTAATCTTATTTTTATTTCTATCTGATCTGAAAATGCCGACATTGATCGCCGTTTAACGGAGGTTTACAACAAAGATGCACCCACTCGAACTACCATTAGCACTTGGTTTCATCGATTCGAAAAAGGAGAATTTTCGATGGATGATCATCCACGTTCAGGAAGACCGATATCTTTAGGGGAGCATTGAAAAGCGAGCTCGAGATGAATCTATTTCAATCCGTCCGTGAATTATCAAGGACACTTGGGGCGAAAAACATGGGCAATATGTCGAATTAATTGGATAACTCTTTCACCTGTTTCACAATACATTTTTCTGAACCCAAAAATGACTGGAACTTTCCGAACAACCTAATAAAAGCAACAACTTACAACGTCTTTTGCGACTTCGGCTCGACACATTGGACATGTAGTTTTCTGATCTAGCCACGTTTCAATGCACACTTTGCAAAACACATGCTTACATTCGAGTTTGATTGGGTTCGTCATGTCACCATGACAAACAGTACACGGTTCTTCATAATCGTCCAACTTGGCTATGCTGCCAAAACTGCTGTCCTAGGATTCCGAGAAATTTTAACTATAATGAACAATTGTTTATTCAGAACTTACTGTGAAAAAACAATACATTGCTTTTTTGACCAACAGAGAATATCGGTATATTTCTCCCATCTCAAATAGGTAATGTAAAATTTTAGTTTTCTAGAACACCTACCTTCAGCGAGAAGTACATAACGGAAAAAAAACAGATAGAAAGTGTGGAAGAAGAGTTTGCAAAAAAGAAATATCGCATCCATGGTCCAAAAGGAAGAGCACATCTGTATAACTGCAACTCTGGTGTTTCAAAAAATTAATGTAATTTTCAAACCTGAGAGCAGTATTCCAAAATTTGCAAAATTTTCCTTTTTGTTGACATTGAAATGTAAATGTCGGAAATTACAACTAGCTGAAATTCAAAACAAGGAATCATGAAATTTGATTTTTTGTTTACGATTGATTTCGGTACAACAGTCACTAGTTTGAATGATGTATCAATGATTATGACTCCATATACGGTAGACATCATAGTGAGTTCTTTGAACTCACCCGTCATGAAATGCTGTAAAAGTTTATGCATTCATAGAAACAAGACAGCCATTTTTACAGAAAAGTTCAACCCGAACGTGTTTGAGAACTCGAAATCTGGCCAGTTGAAAAGTTTCAGGTAGAGCAGTGTGAAAATGCTGAACCCGAAACTGTAGCATATTTTAAACAGTCCTATTGAGAAACCTTAAAATTTTACTTTAACATGAAAAGTATATTCAAATACCTCCAGACACTATCCTCTGAACGTAAAAGTCTGCTTGGAAAAACGAAGCGAATAATAATGAAAACTGAAGGATCTCGTGCAAATGATCAAACACAAATTTTGCTGAGAAGAGGAGAAAGAAAGGCAGCACGTTTCGTACAATGCTCAAAAATGTCTGCCCTTCACGAGTGGTATCTAGACTCAAGCGAATTTGTTCCAAACCTTCCCGAATGTTCCGTTGACCAGTCCCTGAAAAATGTTTTTACAGTCACGTCACTAAGGATAGCAGAAGCAGAACAGGCCCCTAAAAAAACAAACTATTGAGAAACCGGCGCAGACGCCTAAAATCGCCAGTTCTGAAACCCTACACGTCACGCATAAACGCGTTATATAAAAAAATGAATCAATTAAGATTATAAAGACAAAATATCATCATAGCTTAAAAATACACTTCATCAAGAGTCATATGATTTAGTTTTTCCCTTTCAAAGATTCTGGTGATAAATACTCAAGATTCCAATTGCTTACTCTGTTCTCGTCCTAATCTTGCCTGATCCTCTGCTCTCTCGCCAGTAGAAGCTGGATGACGAGCTGGTGATTCTAAATTAATCTTTCATTGAGGTTAAAAAACAACTGACATGCCATCTGGTGTAGATTGACTAAAAGAGTCGATGATCTGGCCATTACTCTGAAAACATGATCGCGTAGATTTTTGAGAAGAAATCAAATTTAAAACAAAACGAAGTTGCCGTTTTTTCATTAAAAGGTGATAAGCTATTATTTATTATAGGGGCACCGGACAGAAAGGGCGCGCTGTTCGCAATCTGGCAGAATTTCTAGGCCGCGAAGTAATTTTCCACTGAAAACGTGGCCTAACTTTTCAAACACGGCCCCGAGGTCGCTCAATTTGCACTGCAAAAAGAGTTTCTCAACAGAGCGCCATTTCTGTGCGGTGCCTCTACAATATCATCACTTCACCGCTCCTGCCCCCTGAGAAAAGCCCGCGAAGTTCAAATGGGGCCCCGCCCCTTCAGCGTTCAATTCTTGCAAGTAGCGCGCGCAGTTTTCGCAACGGTGCCGCACACATTGCTCTGAACACTGAATTCTTGAAAATTAAAGCAGAAAATTATTTTTTTGTTATCAAAACGTATTCGGTCGCCTTGTTGCATCTTCTTTTCAGAAAAAAAAAACACTAAAAACCGACAACGAAAGTTTTTTCACTTACTTTTTCACTGGCGAACTGAAGAGCAAAATGCGCGCGGCACCTTTGCGAAAACTGCGCGCGCTACTTGCAAGAATTGAACGCTGAAGGGGCGGGGCCCGATTTGAACTTCGCGGGCTTTTCTCAAGGGGCAGGAGCGGTGAAGTGATGATAATTCCAAAATTATCATTGCTTTTACATACTCGGCATTTCGCAGCGCAGTTTAAGCAACTTCTAAACTCAAACTGTGCGTAAGATTTGCTTAGATATGGTTTAAGATGTGCTTAAACTTTTCTAGCAAATGCCGAGTGTGTGGACGCAGAATCCGACCGGAGGGAGAAAATCCTCTTGGACATGGGTCTCAAATTCACTTCTTAGGCTGGTAGAGCCGTTTGAGTGGCTTTAACGCCACTGCGCCACTGTCATTCTGCCAAAAACGTAAAACTTTGTGCAAATTTATTTCCAAGCCCTTTTAACTCAAAAAATTCACGTTAATATCAAAGTTTGGTATATTACCTCTAGAAAAGAATTGATTCCGTCTGCATAAGGTTGTATAGAAGAAGCAAAGCTGGGAAAATGTCCAGAAAATGATCGTGCTCTTGTCATGCTTTCATTTTCCAATACGTGCTGTGGATCCATATATTTCGAACGTCAAATGCTTCTTAGATGTTTGATGTTTGACGTTTCAATGAGGATACGTTTTTTTAATATTGGAGCGCACTTGCATTGTCGCGCACGACTGTTTGTCTGGCTGTTTTATTCTGAAAGTCGAAGAATGATTGTTTCCAAAAAAAACTTAAATATTTATTTTTGGAATTATTTGTTCTTATGAAAAATTCAACATTTTATTTTGAGAATAAAGAGCAACATTACTTGAATAGAAAACATTACATAGAATAACGTCTAATTCTACAATAGAAAATACGAAGTAGTTTGTACTGACTCTGAATAAAACAAAAATCACGTTCAACAAATAACAAAACATTAAAATTCGCTAAACACGTATCACTTCAAAGGCAATCCAATCGCCAAGAAAAGCTCTATCAGAGACCTATGAGTTGCCTTAGATAACAAATTAACATTTCAAAATCATGTAAATACAATCACCAATCTCGACTTACTGAAATGCCGCCAAATTCTCAAAGCCTTCCACTTCAAAAAGAATTCTATTTCTAATTGTACAATGTCTACATCCGCCCCTTACTGGAATACGGCTGCAAAATTTTCGTAATAAAAAAAACTTGAAAAACCACTTCGCTAAGAGACAATTCAAAAGGTGACAAAAAAATTTCACAAAAAAATCAAAAAATTTTTGGGTTCCCTGGTCCTTTAAATTCGATCTCACCCGTCTCATTCTCCCCGCTTCCCCTACATGTTCAATGTGTCAAATAAACCTCCAAATGTTTCCTTCACACTAACCTGTCTTTATGGAACTACGTCGCCAAACGAATTCCGTGTAAAATGAGTACAAAAGCCTTCGCTGCGCGCGTCGGCTCTATTCCCCTTAGCACCCCCAAACAAACAATTATTATTATTATTATAACATTCAGCAGATAATTCAGCAGATAAAATCGACAGTACTGACTTCCATCCGCGTGCAATTTTGTTTTCAGTAGTCATGAAAAATCAAATTTCCCCATTGCGATAATAATTTTTCAACCATTCCTCTAGCATTTGGATCTGCTGATTCCATGAAGGCAGTATGTCCTCCGTGACTTGTAATAATAGCAAGAATGTAGTCATTGTGTACAATTTCACGCGTAGGGATGCCTTAAAAGTAACATTACAGTCTGGAAAAAATGTGTTATATGCTCACAATCAACAGGACTAAAATAATCATCGACTGAGTTTAAAGTGACAACTGGAATTTTTATTTTTTCAACCTGAAAAGTTCATTTTTAAATTTTCAATCTAAAATTAGCGAAGTATACTTTTGTTTTTAAGGTAGCCATTCTGTAGTACTCCTCATAAGAGCTGAAGCCAAACATAGGTGCTATGAACGATTTATCGAACCCTCTAACAGTTGTTGATTTGCAAACTTCGTCAAAGTCAACTAAGTCCTTGAACATTTCTCGATATCTGAAAATTTTCAAACTGACTAGAGCATGATCCATATAAAAGTTGGCCTAGCGGAACAAGACCTGCATGTCTCAAAAGGTTTCCGAACCTGTTCTCATATTTTGCTGCTGACCTTTGAAACTCAAGAAAATCTAATCTGAAAGTCGATTGGCAAAAGCTAAACTTGCCCCTGTGAAAATAATTTGTATCTAGGGGCAAGATATATCCTAAAATCATTTTTCAGATGAGTTTTTCTCAAGTTTCAACAACACAAAAGGTCGACAACAAAATTAAAGAAGACGTTTGGGATCCTCTTGTTCTTTCGATCCAGGCAGACCTTGTACCGGAAGGCCAAGTTGACTCCAGATTAAAGGACCAGGGAACCCAAAAATTTTTTGATTTTTTTGTGAAATGTTTTTGTGACTGTTTGAATTGCCTCTTGTTGCCTCATACACTGGTGAAATGCTGCCTCTCAAAAATGCCAATGAACGAAACGGCATGCAGTTGAAGTTGTGGCCGTGGCCTAGCGCCAATGGCCGAAAAATATATAAAAATACATGCGCTTCTCGGCCATTTTATTTTTTCCGCGTTTTTTACCGGTTTTTTCCAAAAATTCACGGTTTCTCCCATTTTTCAGGTGATTGACATTTGTTCGGCACTTACTTATTTTTTCACTGCTAAAAAATTGTTTTCATTCAGTCGATATGAAGTGCCAAAATGGGAGAAACCGTGAATTTTTGGAAAAAAACCGGTAAAAAAGCGGAAAAAATAAAATGGCCGAGAAGCGCATATATTTTTATATATTTTTCGGCCATTGGCGCTAGGCCACGGCCACAACTTCAACTGCATGCCGTTTCGTTCATTGGCATTGTTGAGAGGCAGCATTTCACCAGTGTATGAGGCAATAAGAGACAATTCAAACAGTCACAAAAACATTTCACAAAAAAATCAAAAAATTTTTGGGTTCCCTGGTCCTTTAATGACGATGAGAGTGATCGGAAAAAACGCACGGTCTAACAATATCCACCAAACTTTTTGCAATAAAACTGTTAAAGACCAACTGAGGAATAAATGCCTGCAATTACACACTCAGTTTTCTCAAAAAAGTTTCTCAATAAGGAAGTTTACTTCAATCGAGTCAGAAGCTCTCATTGGGTCCCATGGTGATGAAACAATCATGCCAGCGTTTAAATGTGAATTGTCACCCGCCATTGCCAGGTAATTCCACAAAATCATTCTGAATCAAATTTAGTTTATGCCACAATTAATATAAACGTTACCCTCCCATCGAAAAACCGCATCCCAACTTTTTTGCATTAGGATACCTCTTGTGTACAATGCTTGCAATAAAAGCAAAATCAGTGGGAATAGCTGCGTTATAAGTTCGCGTAGTGCGCAATTTTACTCCTCCAAGGCCACGTGGATTTACAACTAAGCACCTCCATCCTTTGTCTCTTGCTTCTTTGACCGGGTGAAGTACATAGCTGCTATCGTGGGTACTTCCTGTGATACCTGGCAGAAAAATTACGATTGGTGTTTTTTCATCAGCTCCTTCAGGTATGAGCCAGTCTATTCCAGCCGCTCCTCCATCGTCAAACTCGACTATTTCTCTGCAACTTATACAAGTAAACAAAAAACCAGTTTATTATGAAAAAGATTTTACTTTCGCCAAAAGTTTTCTTTGTATAAAACGTGTTTTGATGTGTCTTAAAATGTGGCTAAACTGTGATCAAGTAATTAAAAAACTAGCTTTCCGTAGAATCTGGTCCTACCTGACAAATGGTAATGTGGGACAATCTCTGAATATTTGACGAACAATTGTTTGAGTTGTTCCAAATGGACACCACCAACTAGGATGGTATTTCTTAAAGTTAAAAAAATTGTCAGAGCGGAATCAGCTTCTCACCTGCTCAAGAATTCTTATGTTCTTCCTCACTTTCTGATGTAATCGGGTTCCCTGTTTGATAAAATGTTTGGGAACCTGAAAAAAGGAAAATTAGACTCTTGTGAATTTACTGTCACTCACATCCGAAATATACCACGAATACATCCATAATAAAATTGGCGCGATTAAAATTGATGTGAGAATGAATGCGAGTACCATACTGAAAACACTTTTTTGTGATGATCCCTTTCCAATTGTCGAGTTTGCTTGAATGAAAATTTTTATAAAGTTTTTTGGATACGCGACATTTCCCAACTCGCCGTTTCAAAACTAACGCAAACTTGCAAAGGACTTTTGCGCAAACTGTAAGCAACTTCTTAGAAGAGTTTTCTCACACAGTCGAAAAAAAGTGAATTCGAAGGAAGTGCGTATTTTATCACTTCAACAAAAAAACGAGGACCGAAAAAAATCGAGGACCGAGAAAAACCATAATCGAGGACCGAACAAAAAACAGAGGACCGAAAAGAATCGAGGAAAAAACACAGTACAGTCGGAAACCTTGTCAATTCTCCCAAAAAATTACAAATTGCTTTTCTCCGTCCGTTTTTACAGTTTTACACATTTAATTTTTCGGTACTCGATTATGGTTTTGCTAGGCCCTTGATTTCTTCTCGGTCCCTTATTTTTTCGGTTCTCGATTTTTCCGTCCTTGCTTTCTTGGTCCTCGATTGTTTTTCGCTCGGTCGTCGATTCTAGAGCAGTGACGTTTTGACAGTTTTTTTATACATCGAAGTGAGTACATGATACTGTGATTGCAGATGGAATCAATTGACGCCAGTAAATCCCATTTTTTGTGTTTTTCAGAGATCAAAAACGTAAGAAAAACGAGATTTGATAGAATTCTGGGTCGAACCTTGCTCATAGTAACTCCTATGTGAAATTCCCGTCAAGTCGTATGTGAATTCATTAGAAAGGATACTAGAAAAAAGTGTTTCACTTGTCTTACACTCGGAAACTTTTTCACCGACAAGGTATACTTATGCGAAATTTGATGAGGAATCCCAAAAAGCCAAAACTTCGGAATGCTTAGGTAAAACGATTGTAATCTAGCTAGCTAATTTCCGTTTCTAACCGGACCTAATTAGATTGCTAATTTACTGCGATTAGATTTCAAATTCTTCTAACTGGACTGATAAATTTTCTAATTAGAGTGGCGAAGCTAATTAGATTGCAAAAACACTGATATTAGATTCCAAATTTAGCTAATTAGATTAAAATTTCGGGCAAACCTAGCTAGATTATGTTTAGATTGTAAAATAAGCTAGCTAGATTTAGAAATCGGTAGCAATTTAATTTGGTCCGGTTAGAAACAAGAATTAGCTAGTTAGATTAGAAACGATTTACCTGAGTGCCTTTAAAGTTCCAGCAAAAGTCGATTGCTTTTGCCGCGGAGCCATTTTTCATTAGTTGATAGCAAGAAACAAAACTCAAACACCTATTTTTCTTTCATGCAAATATATCGATTGATGATAATGTTAATGAGAAATCTTAAAAGTCACTGTTTGCCAAAAGCTAAAGGGTGGAAAATAAAAACAGCGCACCCATATTATTATATCTTTGTAGTAGGCTGGTCGAACAGGCGACTTTAGGCGCCTGCGCCTGTTCGACCAGCCTACTTTGCAGCATCACGTTCCCTTCAATGCTTTGCTAAAAGCAAAGTTTAAAAAAATATCCATCAGAACGAAATCACTCAAAAATAAGACGCAAAACGCTTTTTTTCAATTTTTGGTTGTGGGCATATTGCAACTTCGTACTGTTGATAAGATAAGTTCAGAGAACGACCAACAATACTCAGAATTTGAAGTGAATGATCAGTAATAGTATTTTTTTTTCAAGCAATCTGTGCCCGCTTGTAGAAAACTTGGCGGACGGTCCGGCGGCGGAAATGTCCGCCATGGCACACGTTTTTGTGTGTGGCGGAAGTTTTTGTCCGCCATGGCGCATGTTTTCGTATTTCGGCGAAAGTGTTTGTCCGCCGACGGAATACAGTAATCAACATTTTTGTCTCCATTCCCCTATAGTTTTAAAAAAATAAATTTTATCTGAGCGATGCAAAGATAAACATGTAATCGTGGTGTCCTATTACAAACATGAAAACTTAACCACGGTTTATCGAGCGTCCGCCAAGTTTCTTGGAAGCGGGCACTGAAATCAATTGTGCAAAAATAATAGTAATAATAATCGTGTTTTCCACCTGGAGTATTATAAATTATTTTTCAGTATCTAATATTTTGATTGCAATAGCTCAAAGCTGTACTGTAAAAAAATAGGCAAAGGAGTAGTGTACTGTTCCATTTTATTGGACTTTATCGGATTAAAAAAATTGAGATACAATTGTTTTTGTGTGGGTGGTGAATCACTTCTGGTGATGTTGTTGAATAATATTTTTTGTGAAAATAAACACTTTTATATCAAATTCTGCTAGGCGTTTGTCTCTGCCAAAAGAACGCTCTCAAAAGAACAGACCGGCCGCCCCTAGCTACCTTGCATTTCCGAATCTTAACTGTATTATCATTATTTCTTATTGTTTGGTTCCTTCTTTTCAAATTATGCGTCCGTTCTTCCCGGAAAGAGAACTATTTTTTTAACATACGATCTTGAAGTTGTTGACATATGTTATTACGAGATTTACTAGTGAATTGTAAATGACTGTCCAAAGAATTTGACCCTGTCGAGACAATCCAAGGTCACTTTTCGTGTAGGCGAAGAATGGGTTTTACTCTATCTACCTCGTCTCTTGCATATAGATTGTTTAGATTCCGAGAGAAATAGGTCGGTTGCCAGTCGAAATCTCCATTGCCCTTATTTTTTCCAAACAACATTATCTTCGAAAATCATTCTACTTTATAGGGCCATGATAGTTGAAGGTCTATTGCTCTTCGATGCTGTTTTTGCAACAATATCTGGTTTCTTACTCTATGCATTGCCTAAATTTTTTGGAGATCATCTGTTTGTAAGTTTCTTAAAGTCATAATGTACATTCCAATTTTTCATTTGAGAATCGTTTACGATATAATTCAGAATTTTAAACTTTATTAGTTCTAGTTTTTTAAATTGCTCAGGCAAATCGTAATAAATCTAGCTTGGCTACGGGAATTGCTGAAAAAACAGTAACTATCTAGCGAAAATTATTCATGAAAATTATTCATGAAAATTGTTATTTGATTCACAAAAATACATTTTTTTAACTGAAAATCTGACATTGTTGCTTTTTGAAAGTAGACGTTTGTTGAAAAGCATTCATCCGAAACAGTAAACTACCTTCGGAGTCATTATATTAAGAGAAATGTTGGAGAATGACTTAAATGTTGGATTATAAGCATTACATTAAGCATATTATGGGCCCAGAGTATCCCCATGCGCGGGACTGCCTGCAATGCGTCCATCAGCGAACTTGCATTTTAGGATCGCCCTATAGACCTATCATAGGTCCGCGATCTCAATAGACCAATCGCGAAACACCTGTGAGCCTGCCGCACACGCGATTGTGGGTTCGACCCCGACTTGCTTTTGTCCGGTCCGCCTTTCTTTTTGCTGCACTGAGCAGACATCCAAAAGGACGTTGCGCAATGAAAAAAAGACTCGCTTTGTTCGAAGAAACAAAAAATAATACTGAGGTGCAAAATAAGCAAATGTAAGTTAATTGGGTACATCAGGTGAAATCTAGGCTAATTCAATATTTGCTTCGCTTTCAGCAAACCGAAACAGACGGAGTTCACTGGCATCTGACTAGGTGCATTGGTGGACAAGTTGCTGCTTCTGCACTCGTCTCTTACAAGTTGCGGAAATCTAGTGGTGTCAGCCATTCCGTGTGCCATTTTATAAGGATTGTTGTAAGTTTTAATTTAGTTTTAATTAGGAAATTGCAAAAAAGTGCAAAAGCTGAACAAAAAAGCTGTCAAAAAAGATGATTCAACATCTCCTACCCACACAGTTTTAATTTATGTTCAAAACTATTCAATTTCAACTTAATATTGGAGATACGTTCATGAAATGCACGGAATTAGAAGATAAAGTAAAAAATAATTTTAGATTTTTTCAGCCTTCCATTCTAATATTAATTCTTGTTTTCCAAATCGATTCTGTTACTCCTGATCTCGTGCAACCTATGGTATAAGATAAATACATTGTTTCTAAGAGTTAATGTTTGAACTGTTTGCAGATTCTAAAATGTTTAAAATGGCTGTTGATTTCTACCATTTTCGTTCACTTTGTCTTGCTATCAAAGTCTGGCTGGAAAACTGGTATGTTGATGATTCATGCTAAAATCTGATACGAGAGACTAAGATATAAAATTTCAGGAACGCGGTTGTCACCGAATGTTTTCGGAAACTTCCTCTACCAGTTAGATGCCCTTGCTTCAATTTGTATTGGTACTTGCTGGATGACCTTCCCGATGTGGTTACTTCATCGACAGGTAAAATATTTTTGTTATTGAAAGAAACAAATTTTCTCAGGTGCTTGTCGATCTTAACGAATCTCACGAGTTCCTTGGCAGAGTTATGGGAGCAAACTTTATAGCATCTTACATTGTTTCAACACATGCCCTGCACTGGGAATCGCAAGAAGACAGATTTGTAGCTGTTGACGGGCGGGTTATCTGCTGCATTGCTATTCTTGGTGGACAGATATGGTCTCAAACTTATGAGCATTGGTCCGGCAATCACTGGATTGGAATATTTTTATTCTCGACGTGGACTATTGTCTCTTTAATCTACCGCTCTTATCTTGTGCTAACGACAAAAACTCGCACTGAATAAAATTATGAATTATTTTATTAGTGAAATCCTAATTTCGATAAACTCTCGATGTGTCGCATTAAAATTCTTGCTCTGGAGACGCTAGTGGCGCATCCTCCGATGGTTCTGCGCTGTTTACAATGTGAGTTGAATTTCTGTGACAAGGCAAGTTTTGTTCTTCTAATAGTACAAATCTTACCTGTGTTTTGAGCTTTTACGTTGTTTCTTTGCACCGCCGCAATAATTTGTTAGTGGTTTATGTAGCATTTGAGCCTGAATGAAAAAATCGAAATACGTCAGTAGCCAATTAAACACAGAGAAAATTTTTCCAGAATTCAACTTTGCCATTCGAAAAACTTTGACTATGTCCTCATATTTCTGTGTTGCTTTTCACTTGGCCAAAGTGTGACATCTCGCCCCCTGGCCAAGTCTGACGGAGCGGGATTGCCACCTTTTTGCGGGTACTATCAGGGAATTTCAAAATTAATTCTGTCTGTTGAATATTTGTTATCCCCGGGCTTAGTTTTTGGTCACGAAAAGAACTCCTATTATTTTTCATTTTTATTCTTGAAAAGTATTAATTTGAAGCTTAGCCGGAGGTCACAATTTTAACAGAGCGCACTTACTTCGAAATTCCCCGATAGCAGGTACGTTTGTGCATGCTAATATTCTTAGGGAGCTTGAAAAACGAATTTGACGCAGATTTCTTTCTTAAACCAGAAAAGTTTACTATCATATACTTGGAATGTAAGGGCATTTGAGAATATCGTTAACAAAGAGGTCGTCAATAAGCGATTCATGCAGTTACAACATCGATGTCAATGTTTCAAACTCTTAAATTAACGAACAGTTACAAGTGTTAGCAATAAAGCTTTTGAAAAATACAAATTAATGCAAAACTCAAACTGCAAATACATTAAAAACATCGTGGAGTTTCGAGAAAATGAAGAAAATAACCTAGTATGGCTTCTTAAATCAAAGAAAAGCGTCTCCTTCTTCATCTGAATCCCCGAGTGTGTTATCAGGAGTTGTCTTTCCGTGATGTGGGTCACCAAGTGTCGAGGGGACTCCAAGAGGTCCTGACATCGATTCAGAGCTTTCTGGATTCGGGTGAGAAACTACAGTCATTCCACCACGACGCGTTTTTTTCGCTTTTTTCAACATTTGCGCCTGTAAAACGACTCGATTGAAACCGCACTGAAGCAAAGCTGTATATTTTAAAGAAATATGAAACTCCTGAGACAAAAAAAAACATCTGGCCGTTATTGAGCGTAAATTAGGAATTTATAAGCAAAGATGATCCACATCGAATATGAACAATAAAAATACGTTACTCTTACAGTAGCCGCATAACCGCTTTTTTAATGTTGATACCTGTTTTATTAATTTTCTTATTGTGATAAACCTGGTTCTGTTTTCAAAGGAAAAAACGATAAATTATGAAGAAAAAAAACGTTGAAAAACTTTTTTGAGCAACAGCTCGTGTTTTTACATTTCTGTGAAGTAATCAAACTGCTCAAGGCATGTTTTCCGTATGATTCAAACATGATGTGTTACGAGAAATCACGAAAATTCCAGGCTAATCCGATCTGACCCATATGAGGAACTAGCGTGAAACCGTTTGGTCCGTCAGAAAAAAAAGGTCGAAAATACCTTCAAAGCAGATTTCAAGATTGTTATTGTTCCCGGCGGTTGGATATGAGGCTCTCCGTCTACTTGAACAGGCCACTCTTCGTGCGTTGTTATACGTATCTGAAATGGGAAGAAGTGGGTCCGATTTGTTCAAAAATCATCTTATTATCTTCAAAACCTCGTAGATTATGTCACAACTGGAGTCGCTCCACGTTTTCACATTTTAGCCGTCAAAAAAGTTCAGCTCTAGTCATACAGGGTAGCGATCAAGTATGAAACGTTTCTATATTGCTGCTGCTGTCCGGAAAAATTTTGATAGCAGTCCAAAATTTGAGTTTTTAATAGACTTTTGTGTTTGGTTCTACCTTTTGAATCAGAAAAGAAAAAAATTTTGAAGAGGCGCTAGTTGACGTTTTACTATTCTTATATGCATGTTGATTAATTCCAGCGACGTAACTCACATTTAACTCACTTCTGTCGGAAACCCCAGTAATGTTTGTTCATGCTTCTCATGTATAATCCCCTATGTTATTATGGGGCACTTCAAAAACGACTCCAAAATCTGCACTTGTATTCGAAAAACTAGTGACAAATCGCTAAAATCTACAAGGTGGCAATTAAGTATACAACGTTTTTGAATTTTTTCTATAACCCTAATGGTATTGTCTATCTCTTACTATTTTTTTGTAACTTGGAAAGAGTTCCCAAATTTTTCGGGTCCTGAAAGGTGAGTGAAACTTGCTCCGCAGGCCACGTTTGACAAGATTCTAATGTTGACACAAAAATTCAAATGACAACAGCGAATACTCAAATCGTTCATAAACTAAATATTTGAACCATTATCAATATTTTTGCACAATGGGCGCAATTATATAAATTTTTCTGGCCCGATAGCAGCAATATGAAAACGTTGTACACTTGATTTCCACCCTGTACATTTCTTCAGTTTTTAAATTTTTTGTATATTTTAATACAACTGAAACTAAATGCTAGCATATGTTGTATTAGCACCTCAAAATTCTGGCACGCAATTGCCAGACTTCTTCGGCTGCAATAGTTTCGTGGAAGATTGGACTGGTTCAACCCTCTTTGAATAACCGTTTAAGAAATGGAGAATCTTTGAGAGAAATCACAAATTTTTCAATAAACTATTTCGATTCTTAATGTATATCTGATTTATAAAACCTACACTTCCTCCTTGAGCTATTCTAATACCAGCAGCAAGTTTCGATTGAATGAGACCAAGTCGGGAAACGTCGGATATCCCAACAACCTTAAATGAAACTAATTAGCGTTTCTTACTGTTCAGTAATAGTACTTCTAGTAGTCCGTCATAATGAGTAGGCTTGAAGAAATTGCCTTCTTCTCTTGACGTTCCCCAAGGATTAGCTCCACTTCCCCAGCTGAGTAAATTTAGAACAACAATCCCCTCAATGTTTGGTAGCTCGATTGTGCGTCCATCCACCTTAAGCAATATAATTTGAGTTTGGATGTATTTTTTGGAAAAAAAACATACTTCTAGTTCAATGCGTTTCCACAAGTCTTTGCACGTTCTTTCAAAGAACATTTTTTGCAATCCAATTTTTGCATATTGTGTTTTGTTGAACAACCTTGACTGAAACTTCTCCGGATTCGCATCACGCTGAAATAAGTAGAAGTTCTTCATTCTGGGATTAATTGTTTTTTTTTGTTTTTTTTTCAGGTTTTCTTGCGTCAAAGTTAGAATTTTCAAAGTAATACCTTGTTGTGAAACTTCAGACACACATCCGCATCAATTCCAATTCCGAAATAGTTGTTCATTATTATCATGGAAGTTTGATCTTCAGGATTGTTCATTGTCTGTTCACTCATTTCCGTTTGTGTTCCAGAAGATGTTGGTTGATTTCGCTCTTCCTCGTGAAAAACGACCGCCCATCTGTCTAGTTTTACAGTGTCTGCTTCAATAACATCTTTCAAAATGTCCATCGGATTTTCCTCTCCTGTGTATCCTCCTCCCCACCGTAGAACTCGAGCAAGGTCATTTCCTGTACCAAGTGGTACAATTCCACATGGCGGTGAGAAGCAAGCAGCATCCTGAAATTTTTCAGGAATTTGTAGTCTTTTCCGTCGAGAAATTACAAAATTAGATACATAATTTAATTCTAATCCTCTGAGAGTTACTCCTACTGTTTACGCAGAATGTCTTACCTGTTTTGCAATATCCAAGCACTGCAGGACCCATCCAATAGTTCCATCTCCTCCACATGCGAGTATTTTGTATTTCGGAATATTTCGGAATACATACAGCCCAACCAATGGCCCTCCGTTCAGAACATCGAAAACTTGGAATGGATTCAACAGCTTACGAAATGATTGAATAAGCTCTGTTCCTTGACAGCCACCGGACTTTACATTGACAAGCACGAGTAGAGGTTCAACGTCTTTGGGAATCATTTGCGGTTGAACGTTAGGTAAACATAAGACAATCAGTTTTTTATCCTCATAAATAGCAGCTTGCAGTTTCTGAACTGCCGCAGTTGCCGCTTTCGGTGTATTGAAAGTGATGATAAGGCTTCCATATTCAAAGTAAATTGGTCCAATAGCAGTGAATGGTTTTTCTGTATATTATCAATTTTATTTTATATTATGGCATCCAACCGTGTTTTACCTTTAGCTCCTAAAAGTTTTAAAAGTATTCGTTCATATTGACGTTGTGCAAGCGAAACAGGTAAGTTACCAACAAAAACAGCGTGATCATGAGGATCTTCTTTTTCTTGGACGTAAAATCTAACTACGTGGTAACGACGGAGAGAATCCTGTAAAAAAAAAGTTTGAATGTATAAGTCCGATCACCCCAGCTTTTCCGGGATTCCAAAATTTTTCTTGGGACGTATTACTTGTGTTCCTTGGGATAAGCTTTCAAGGCTCTTCGAATCGTTTTTTTTCTTAACTAGTGTTTTACCCAAAGTTCGATGCAATTTACATTGTTCTCTTTGTCCGGAAACGATTATTTTCTAATTTTCTCCAAAAAGGTTAAAGGTATGTTAGAAGCAAAATATTGCCACATGTCAGGCTAATAAAGAATTCCCTATTATCATGAATTCTGAGTTTTTCAGTTTGAATACCTTTCTTAAGTTCCGTACAAGCTGTAGGACGTTTTCTTGAGGGTTACAAGTTCTTTCGGCAACACCTCGATCCAATGAAACTTCGATCAAATTGTACCGGTTCCAATATGATCCATCCAAACCAAAATGAAATAAAGCATCTGTTATTAAATCTTGAACTATTGTGTCTTTGCTGACGGGGATTCCGCAGAACGTTACTGGCACTTTACGTAACCATCCTCCATATACTTTCACTTCGTCTTTATCTGGATCATCGTAGTATCTGATAAATATTTGAGCACGTTTTCCTTCCGGTCGTTTCACATTTCGTAAAGGAACTGGGTCTTCAAGAATTTCTTCTTCTACTGAAAGAAAGTTAACAGTGAATGTGACACAGAGCTGTAAGGAATTCTGTTTGCTTTGTTTTCTTTTTTTTTTCGAAAAAGGAAACTTCAGTTTTCATGTTTCTTTTTTCCGAAAAGTTGGTAATCCTGAAACGGGAAAACGGAAAAAATTTATACCGAATACTGGAAAAAAGACCCACAGGTTTTCATTAAAAAATCGGCAAAACTAAAATTTACTTCCATACAGCTCTGATGTGAAAAGAACTCTATTCGATTATAGTACCTTCACCAACTACTTGGGTGATGTAATATCTTTCCGGTGCATCATTTATATGGAAACGACGGAGAGCAGCATCTCGAACTTGTTGCACAGAAACGTGTTTGGCTACCACAATATTTCGAGAGTTCTGAAAACATGTTGTCAATTATTAGATTGGCATACAATGGTCTAACGGCGTGGGGGGTTATAACCGAATTTTCCCAAAACTCCGCAATATCCCTAAAATCTGTACTCGTAAAATTCCGTTTCTAATTACCGCCCAAAGAACGGAATTACCTGAAGTCTATAAGAGTTATTTCCGTCAAAAACTCGGATGACTTCAAAATCGTCCCGTTCCTTCACATCGTCTCCCGACGTTGAAATATCATCTGCTTGAATCTTGGATGGCGAAGAAACTGAAAAAAAAAATATTAACGCAATTCTGATAGGTAGTGAGCACGGGAGCGCAGAGAGGTATGTTGCTGTAAACGCGCGCTGAGAATACATTAAGGCCAGCCGTTTTTGCGGGTGGTCAAATTTGAAATTCAGTTTCAAAATAACACTGCTGATGTAAGTCGCTGCAAAATTAGTTGGCGGTCAGACCCATCAAATTGACGCAAATTTCAATTTTGATTTTTGACGTACCTCACTACGTTCCCGGATGTGGATAATTTCAATTAACGCTAAAGTTCGATGTTAGCAAAGAAAGTCTATCTATTGATTTCATGGTCTAACAAGGAATGCACCCGGATTGCATCCTCTGGTTTTGCTCGGGACCAGTAGGATTGGTAGACCCCAGTGAGGATATATACCGTGTAACGGCTTTACCCACCTATTTGCGGTTTAGCCGAGGTATGATGAAAAATGTCGAAAAATTGTACTTTTAAAAAAAAAAAATCGTATCTCCGTCAAAAGAATCGAAGTTTCCCTTCCGGCTCTTCCTCCCTTTTGTAGAAAACGGAATTCGGAAGATACCGTCACTGTGGCCTACCAATTCCTCCTGGTTCCGAGAAAAACCAGAAGATGCAATCCGGGTGCATTCCTTGTAAGTCCGATACAGAGGTCCCTTGAAAATACAAGGGCTCTAAGAAATTACAGGAGTTCCAGGAACCAGCTCAAAATATTTAGCTTCATAGTCTAAAAGATTTCTATTAGGTTGATCAATAAGTTTCAATATTTTATACCTCGGAATGCAACATTTTTTCTACTTCGGAATGCAAAATAAAATTAGGGTATCAAGGATGGTTATTCTATGTGTCCCAGACTACCTTCAATATAGAAAAAATCAGGTGCCCCAAGTCCGGAACTATTTCATTTTGAAAACGGTCACTTTTTTGGGTGTCTTTAAAAAATCGTTTCTCTTGTGGTAAGCATCTTAAATTAACGAGATTCGACCAAAAGGAGTACATTGAGTATGCGTCTCTAGTTTCATCAAAACCTGGAATCAAGAAAAATCCAACGAGAAAAAAATCCAAAAAAGATCGAAATTTATTGATCAACCTAATAACACTCTATTCGGAATTGAAACCCTTTGTTCCTCATTTTTAAAGTCTTTGTTTTATTTTTACTAATTTTTAAGACCCTTGTAACATTTTGAGTACTTCTTGGAATACTTTGGGACTCCTGTAATTCTACTGGATCCCTGTATTTCTATGAGACCTTGGACTTGAACCGAATTTGTTTGTTCACTAAACAGTTAATTTTTTTATAATTCATTGCATGTTCAGAATTTTTTCTATATTTTTAAATCTACGTCCGTAGTTTGATTCACTATCCAGATCTAGTCGGCATAAAACTCAACAACAGATTTAAAAATGTTTCTGACCAGGCCGACAGAAAGGATAGTGAGAAATCTGACCCTTACGAGACTGTGGTTGATCATGCGAAGAGATGTTCAGAAGTTGTTCCATTGGCAATTCAGTGCGAGGAATTGTTAAACACATTGGAGGTAGCATAATTTTTCTGAGAACTCCAAAGTCACATTCTTTGTCCATCTGTCGGTAGCAGAGAGCGTGTGCCTGAAATATAAGGAGAAACCTTGTCATGCATATCTTATTGACTTTTACTATTGATTTTTGAAAACTTGTAACTTTCTGATCAAATGTTACAAGTTTGATTTGCATCTATTTACTATCGGGAATTTCAAAGTTAATTCTCCCCGTTAGAGATTTTGATAATTGGTACATCTCTAACTTTTCCAACCCTTCCAATTTTTCAGAACAGTTGAGAAAATGGGCTATTGACCAACAACCAAAAAAAAGGGTGCACTGTCTTTAATTCTCTCTCTCTCTCTCTCTCTCGCTCTCTATATCTCTCCATATGAATCGAGCATGCCATCTCGGTGAAACTCTGCAACTTTTGAGCATTCAATGCTAGAAAATACTTAGCTTTTACGATTTTTTTTTTTCAATTTTGAGTTGTGCACCTTTGAGCACCTACCGTACAACCGTAACCCGGAGCTGGGACCCTGTATTGCGCCTATGGGACATATTAGCGTCTACGCTAACTATGGCATGCTCCAGTCTTACAGAGAATGGGTTATAGAAAAGAAATTTATTCACGTACCGTTTGTCCACACCATTCGCATCTCATCCCAGCAAGACATTCTGTAGAGAAGCACGTTTTTCTGCACACAACACATTTCGATTCCTTCGGAAGATTTCCCTCGCGCATGTGATGATATTGAATGGTATTAGCCTTAATGTAAAGTTTCACTTTCAGCTTAAAACGAACAAGGAAATCTGTACCTACAAAATTATCTATTCAAAACTTAACTCGTTTTAAAATCAACCCGGCCCGGTCCACTCTAGTGGACAGATTCGGAAAATGCGTGGTGAAAAACAAAATAAAACTTTTCTAATTTTTTCCATTAAAAATATACCGTTTCCATGTTAGCCACATATGTTGCTGCTTCTTTGCAGTCCGACACGGCAAGATCGGAACAGTCGACATGAACGTAATATTCGCACACTAAATTAAAGCTTATTGAACATACAATTAAAAAATGTTCAGATACCTTCGCATTCCACTGACATAGCTTCATCAGTTCGCTTTCGGCATACACAACAGTATTTACGTTTTATGAGGCATGGGGCTGACCAAGTGTGTGCTACTGGGTTTTTTATAAGTTGGAGAGCTACACTGCTACAGTAGGAGACGACTGTTCGAAGACATTTTTCGTGGCATATGAAGTTACACACTGAAATTTCAGTTTTTTTATGGGGTTATGACGTGGGTGGTAATTTCTCTGTTTGACTCGTACGTGTTCATTTTTTCCGGTATTTTTATTTTGTTTGAAATGAAAAAGTAGGGACAGACAAAAATACAAATGAATAAAGGGACATGCTATGTAAAAAATACACAAATGAGAATGATAACTCACTTTCACAACTGTATCCGGTAGTCAACATGCCCCATATTTTATCACAACAGTGATGACAGTATGTTGGTTTTCCAAATGTCTTTTTCACAAAATAGTGGCCGTGGTTTGGTCTCATTTCCACCAAGTTTGCATCAACATTATGCCCTTCTGCGGCCATCTGAAAAAAGTCAGGTAACAAACAAACTCTGATTTTTTTTTTATTGAACTGAAATCTAGAAAATCCTTTTCGATATTACTAGATGTATCTTACATGAAATAATGACAAAGTGTGCGTAAAACATTTTTGAATTGCATTCGAAAACTCTCTAATTGAATTGTAGATGTCAAATTTCCCTACGGAAAAAAAGATTCTCTTCGAGAAGACAAATGCGGGAGTCGTGCCAGTACCACATCCAAACCGTTTGGATTGAGTATATGTTCATCAGAAATGATAATTTGACCGGCAAAAGCAAGTTTCTAAAATAACAAAACAAATCAAAAGAGCCCACCCCCCATTGGTCGACATCATTCCCTGGGCGCATTCGATGCGATGTGTCTTGTAGCAATCAGTAATGCTCGGAGTGGGACACATGGCCTCACACACAATGTCCACATGATGTCAAAACTCAATTTTTTAAAGTAATTTCACATGATATTAATAAGTATTTGGCCCATGATTTGTCTATTTTCGTATTTTTCCATGGGGGTCCTAAACTTAATTCGTGACCGAAAAAACGTTTTTCTTATGGTGTAGGAGTACAAAACGATTTAAGTAGACCCAAACTGGCTCGGGGGTTATATTGTAAGTCAAATCGACTGGCATTTACAGATTTTTGAGATCTCTTTTCGTTTTGTCAGAACATTCGAAATTTAGTAAGGTTCTAAATTTTTTTCGCGCACTGTAATTGCCAAAGATCGTAGGGATGGATTCTGTTTTTTATTCTTCTCATTTTTTGAATCAGAACACTGTACACGTATTTCTGGCTAGCCACGTTAAACACATGTTATGACGGGGCAAAGTTGAAAATTAAAAATTTTTTTGAAACTTTGGACTTTCTTCCGTACCTCGGAAACAAGGAAGCTTGCAACAAAAAATCATCATGGGCGGTATCACCTAACTGCCCCTACCACTATGCAAAATTTGAGAAAATTCAACATTAATGTGAAACTTTTCAAGCACCATCAAAAGTTGTTCAAAGAGGGAAATTATTCTGTCCAAACAAGCACAATTTTGGAATGAAATTCTAGTTTTGATGAAATATCAGTTTTTATTAGCATGAATGGAACACTAGTTTTTTTGCTTCTCTTTTAGAAGTCTGTAACTCATGTAAACAAGAAAAAAAGTTGATGAAACTTACTTTTTCTGTTGATTAACTTTTATATGAACTCATATTTTGAAAACTGACGTTTTATAGAGGAGTTTAAGCTTGGTTGGGCGAGTGGAATCCAAATATAGTCATCAGAAGCCTTCTGGATCCGATGCCTGAGATAAAAATAAATTATAACGTTTTGTAAACTAAATTTCTATGAGTTCAGGTACTTAACGGACCGAGAAAAGTGCGAAAACAAAGTGTTGGAAGACGCCGAAACTAACTCGCAGACTACCAAAAACTTAATTTGTTCTGCGTGAACAACTTTTCGATGTTCACACACTAGAATAGGAAACTCTTAGAAAGCCGTAAATAGTGTCAAAAAAAGAGAGAAGCTAAAGAAAGAGAACTGGAAAGCGTAAACAAGAAAATGGCAACGAAATACGCATTCAACAGCAGCGGCACGCAGTCAGCTCGCAGCAACTACTCCGCAAATTTCTCAGCCACTATCCTCCTCTCCTTCTACATTTTCTCTCTTTCCTCTTTTCGAAACGCCTGAGAGAAAATGCACAAAGAGCCATGGGTAGCTCTCAGAAATCTCCGTGAACAACACGCTATTTCGAGTTTTGCTGGACGTGCCTACTAGACTTTCTATATTTGGCAGAGCGCTGTGAAAGTAGAAAACTAGTAAAATCTCAAAATTGACGTCTCACTTCAGAAATTGAAAATGTTAAAAATAAGAAACATATTAACAGAGGTAAAATCAGAAATCGACATTTCAGCTTGCTGTCGGTCACTATTCAATCATTCACATACAGGGTGGCGATTAAGTATGAAACGTTAATTTTCAAGATTCCCTGAAGCTTCATTGATTCCAATATTAAAAACCGATGACAAGAAACTAACAAGCAGGACCTTGTTTATATGCCACCAAAATTTTAGATCGACAGAAGTGAATTACCTGTAAGTTATGTCGCTGAAATTGATCAACACACATGTAAAAATTGTAAAGCATCAACTAGCGCCTCTCTACAAATTTTTGTTTTTTTTTAAATGATTGGTTCAAAGTGAGAAGCGACGAACGGCGCAGGAAATTTCAGTTTATTTTCAACTTTGGAACAGTTTAAAAATTTTTTTTTTTAATTGCTTAAAAAATTGCTCGGAAAATGATTGTTTTGAGTTCTAACTGTCATAATTAGTCAAGACTGACAACTTCCAAAAAATTGGCAAGTGAAATTATCAGGAGAAAAAATGTTGACTCTGTCCCTTTTATGAAACTCTGACAAGAAGTTTTAGGCTGGAGTGCGGTTCGATGATCCCCTTTTGCCTAGGTAACCACTACGATCAAAAATAGAAATGTAATTCTTGCAAACAATGTTTGAAGACATATTCTGGCAACTTTCTTTGAACTTAATAAAACGTTACCAATATTTTAGCACAGCAGGCTCAAGAACAAAACATTTGAATGAATGCATCCTGTTTGTTAAAAAAAAATTTCATCGTAATGCTCATAATCACAAAATCACATAGCAATATCATAGAATAAAGATGATTATTATTATTTATTACTCACCAGTGTTGAGCGGAATTCCGTCTGCCGTCTTCCGGAAAAAAACGTTTTTTTTTCCATTTTCTGTCTGCCGTCTTCCGGAAGAAAAATTTTCTTCCGTCTTCCGTTTTCCGTGTTCCGTAAAAAAATTTTGTTCCGTCTGCCGTCTGCCGTCTTCCGGATTTCAAAATTCCATTTCCGCTCAACTCTGTTACGCACGCAAGGTACGTGATGAAAAAAGGAGAGTTCGATAGTTCAATTTAACCGTTGCCAAATCCAATATATCCGTGACTACCTCCGTTTTTATACTTTTTTCTTTACTTATTTCTACCGTTGCACGTCGATTTGTACGAGAGAAGGATTGGGGTGACATGATGAGACGTTTTCGGGATCCGTTGAAACTCCATCAGACACCACTCCGGGTTGAGGGGAAGCACTCGGAGTTGCATCCATTTCTGACTCCTAGACTTTTTCAGCTTCTTCTGAGTTTCAGCTTCTGGGATTCAGATTCTTTGGTACACCTACACGTCAAACACAGTGGTCATCAAACAATATACCGTAAATACATGTGAGAAGGGCACCTTCAATAGAAAGGCAGCTATAATCGAAGGGCACCCAACACTGTTAGCTACAGCAGTTTCAAGTCAATTTTCTGACGTTTCACAAGATTTTGAAATTTAAAAAGATTATTTTTTGGAACATTGAAAAATAGAAGAGCATGCCCTTCTAATACAGTATTTACGGTAAAAGAACAACAATTACTAATTCCTTGTATGTATCAAACTTTTGCATAATTTTTCCTTAAATGAATGACTCACATAATAGTATATGGTCAAAGTTGTCTAGTGCTGAGTGACATTTCCACTTCCGTACATCATCCTACTACTACCATTCATACCGAAACATTGACCACGGGAGGTAAAATAGCTAGTTCCCAGTGGGCGGCGTCATATATAACAGAGACAAGTCTAGCAAAAGTGAATTCTCCTTTTTACCTGCTTTTCTGTGTATTATTTATATACTCGTACAAAATCGGTTTTACATTCAGCAATACAATTAGCGACTTAAAATATTGAACAATATTCCACAGGAATTTTTTTCAACTTGATTACTTTTTTTTGTCAGTAGAATGCATTGCTTAGTCAAGCCATAATTTTTATCTCTGTTTTAAGAAATTTCTGTTTTTTTTTTCAATTGTCCTTTGAAAGTCATACATTTCTCATTAGTTTTCAGGCAAACATGTTCTTCCTCGAAGTGTTAATTATTCTTCTTTTCTTTTTAACTCCAACTTCGTGTCAAGTGACTATTGCCAAAAACACAAAAGGTTTGTAACACCTTCGTTTTGAAATCAGTTCATTCTCCATTCCACAAATTATTGGTAAAGTAAATCGATTCACAGTATTGCAAACCTTCAATAATTATGCAGAGTAATTATGTGTTGAATAGTGTCATATGCCGGTATTGTGACTGTAGCGGTAATTATGAAAAGGATATTGTGAATTCACTGCCTTTCGGGACAAACCCGCACAAGGACAACGTTTGTGGAACATTTTTAGATGTAATAAAATAGATCAAAGTTATTCAATTTTGTTGAGCGTGATCATAACAGGGTAGAGAGCAGCGACACAAAATTCAGATTTCATAATTCTGGAAATATGAAAACAGCTTTTATTTGTAATTTATTGGAAATCACTACGGCTCCCAAGGAATCAACCCGTCATGATATCTGTAAAAATCTGTAAATCTGTAAATGGTTAAGCACATGGTCGGGAGGATGGACATCGTAGAGTGAAATATGGACAAGTTGCCTACTTTCCGAGTTTTCGTCAAGCTTTCGTTTTGAAAAACCTGTTTTGCGTCTCACTTTGTTAAGAAAACTAAATTTTAGGTTTCCAAAAAAAAATAGTGAACCGCGCCAGCTCGGCCACGCACCCTTTTCCATTTCTGGAGACCGGGACATTTTTCTGGCGAAATTCTACTTTTCTGATGTACGGCCATATCATTGAGGAAGCAACTAATTACTGTTTTCCTAAAAGGGTTAAGATTTAAGTTAAAACTCATGAGCCGAATTGACCGAAAAACGTGAATGACCAAACTGAACCCATTTTTCAGTAACGCCACGATGTGGCTCACAGCTGATTTCAATCGAGCTCAATTTCGATCCAACCCAGCTTCCTGACGGAAAATTCTCTGATTGGATTATAGTCGGAGTTTCAGGTGAGGACGCCAAATATATTTCTTAAATACAAGCCTGAACCGCGCTGACAACACCCAGCTTGTCAATAGTAAAACTGTTCAGGTCGTCCGGAATGTCGCTTGCGCGGGAACGGAGAAACCAAGTACATAATTGAAATTGCTGTTTTCAACGATCCGTGCTTAACACAAATAGTAAGTTATAGAAGAAAAGCTTACATTTAAGCGACCCGGCTGCCACAAGACACATCGCATCGGATTCGCCCTTGGCAACATGTCGACCAATGGGGGATGGGATCTTTTGAACGGTTTTGTTCGTTCTGAAACTTGTTTTGCCGGTCAAATCATCCCTTCTGATGAAAATCAGTTAAACCCGAACGGTCTGAATAAATGGAAGTAATACTGGTACAACCTCCACACAGACCGCTCCGTCTTCTCGAAGAGAACCTTTGGATAAGGAAGCCTCATGGCTTTGAAAGCTCTCCTCGACCGGATTTTTAAAGGCATTCAGATGATCACCAAATATATGTAACTTTGTACCCTGAATCCGATTATGAAGTCGCTGAGTCAGGAATTTTTCCGAGCGCCCCGTGGCAATGCACAACAGGGGTGACCGTATAATTTTGCATCGCATTGTATGTAAAATCACTTTGAAATTATTAGTTTTGCCCTTTCTTCGCGTTTCTCAGACAACGCGTATTAAGAGAATAATATTTGATATCAATAGAAACCTATTTCAGCCAGCACGCAATGTGTTCCAGAACAGGATTCGAATAGGAAAGAACCCCGTCGTTATTCTGGAGGAAGATCAGTCCATAACTGTGAAATGTGTTTACGGTTTGCCAACTGTTGAAACGATGACTTTACCCATAGTGAATGCTAATTTCAATATAGACAAGTTGTTATTAATCATACTCGGAAGTTACAATTTAGTTTGTTTCAGTATGTCCGATGCTGACAAGCAATCTGCTACGCATTTGTCAAATCTTATCAATTCGACTCCGTCTAGTTTTAGTGTGGATTTTCTAGCAAGGGTCAGTAGCTTTTCATCTATCCGTAAAAAAATTTAAAACACTTCCAGGAATTCTTCCAAAAGAGACCAAACATTACGACTCCCGAAAACAACCGAGAAGGTAATTGACTTTTAGGAAAGGGCACAAAAATAGACCCGAAACCACTCCCAGACTAGTCATTTTTTGAGAACTGTCACTTGAGTCAGGTTTATTTTTTATGCCGCGTCCAAAGTTAAAAAAAAAACCCGGAAATCACTCGGATTTTGCTGGGATTTCCTTGAACTTTAGACGTTTTTTTTAAACTTTGGATGTGACATTAGATCATTTGTTATAATGAGGGCTGCCAGTTTATAAGGCCACATCCGTTAGGCACTGCCACACGGAGCTTGAACATGTATTTCCACCCGACAACTTCAAAATCGGATTCAGGGCACAAAGCTTATTTGAAGATTTTTGTGATGATAGCACGAAAACTGGCTGAACTACCTTGTTAAAACTGAAAATCGGTCATTTGCAATCGTTGCAAGTTCATAAGACCACCCCAGGGAATAGGGCTTTTCGCCAATCTGGTTAAGACTTATGAGCAGAAAATAAGCTATACATCTCTAATAAGACGTTTCAAAGCTGTTTTTGCCATTCTGACGGTTTATGTTTTCTCGTAAGACATGCAACGGGGAACTTTCCCTACGAATACCAATTAAGTCGACTGAATGGTTGAACCGGGTGATCAATTGTCATCTAAGGTGCTTTAAAATCTTTTCGTGATCAGTCTCAACCCAAAAAAAAATCCTAGAAAGACTAGAACTGGGTGTTCATGCAAAAAGGTTCGTCATCCATGCTGTTCCAACTTCCATGGAGCTGGACCGTGGATTAAGAAAGTGTCTGGTTTGGGAAGCTTTTGAAGAGATCCTTAGCATTGTTTGTGAGGTCAAGTGGTTCACTCTGAGCTTTACTGATGGCCAACAAGACACATCGCATCGAATGCGCCCTGGGCATGATGTCGACCAATGAGGGATAGGCTCTTTTGATTGGTTAGGAAAATTTGTTAGCAGCAGCAAATGTGACGTTATGACAGTGTTTTGTTGTTTGAAACTGGTTTGCATGTTAAGTAGTGGAAGTAGTGAACATTTAGGTGGTACAAGAACTCATGAATACGCTAGTTTCCGGTGCCATAAGCATTTGAATCAATACTGATTTTTGCATTAGCAGCATTTACAACCTCGTCGATTATTTTTCAGAACTGAGTGCAGATGATATGGCAATTGAAGAAGTCCCATCAATGGTGTTCAATGAGAACCATCTTGAAAAAAAAACTGCAACATCAATAATCACCAACCAGGACGGAAATATTGAGTTTGTTAAACTTATTACTGAATCACCCTCTAAAACAGGGAGCATTTCTGAAAACCTTGGTGAGAATGCAAAATTTGCTTGATGTTAAAAAAAAAAGAGTTCAGATTCCAAGATACAAAAGCCAAACAGCTATTCATTTTCGATGATGTTTGTATTAGCAACTGCTGTCATCCTGCTCCTCTTTTCAGGATGTTTCGTGTGTTGTCTGTTGTTATTAAAGAATAGGTTTGCTTTCAAAAATCGACGTCTCTTGGAAAATCGCGTATTCGGTATTTGTAAAATATATATAAACCATTAATAGCAATGTTATCAGGTTTCCAAGAAAGAGAAAACATCTCCGAAAAAAATTGGGCTACTAGCAGTTCTGGTGATGGGTGCAGTGGCACATTGTAATATAGCTTCTTTTTTTTGGGTGATACATCTAACTCGTTTCAGAAATACTTTCAATCAACAGACTCCTAATCGTATTCTCAACGTAGGCGAACATACCTCTGGTTCAAAAAGGTATTAACAACTCATTTGGAGATTTTTCAATGCAAATATGATATTTTGTGAAACTAGTTTTAGTAGTTGCCTCCGGGGACATGTTTTTTCGCCACGTAATTATTGCGTTGTTGTGTCACACTGTTTTTTATGGGACTATGAACTTCTCTTCCACAGCATCACTCAATAGCTGTTTTGTCTAATCTCCGGAAGTTTTTGTAAAAAAAAACAACACTCAATATGCTGTTATCATGATTTTTCTAACATTAGTTTGGAAGCTATTTCGAAACTGCCCCAAAACAATTTTCCCATCAAATACATTATAGAGCTGACAATGGTAACTCTGCAATTTATTCACTAAACGAGGATAACCATGATGTGAGTTTTGTTTAAATCTAACAACATAGTTCAATAAAAATAATTTTTAAGGTTTTGAATAATGAAAGTATTTTGCAGTTGTACGGAAACGCTAGAAGGTCAATTCGAACTCGTCCTAGTATGAACGTTTCAAAAAAGGAAACCGCACTCACATCGTCAAATCTTCCTTTCAAGTTTGTTTACTGTCTTTCAAGACAACACAATTTTCTTTGCAGATCTAACTTACAAGAATTTGTTTCAAAAACGTATGCATTAGGAGAATACAATAATTTAGCAAGTCCTGCATATGCATTCACATCAGAAGTGTTTGATGAAAGAGAAGTAGATGTTGCTAACGGTTCTAAATATGAGGTCAGCGAAATGTTTTTCTTCTTAAACACATCGATGCTCAATATTCTGAAAAAGCGTAGAGACAGAACGAAAATTAGTTTGATAGCTGAGCCTTTTTATTTGGAAGTTTTTAAAGTATTTTGAGCACTTATAAAAATGGGCACTGGTTTGATATCGAGGACCGACCATAGTAAAGTCGAGAAACGTACCGATTCTCACCGAAAAATCAAAATTTTCTTTTCTGTACCATTCTGTGCCATTCTTTGAAGTTTTTTACAGTTCTAAACAATTATTTTTCAGACGACACATTCATGCCCTAGGGGTTTCTGCCCTAGGAAAGCGGAAGTCTTTTTATGAAATTTCACTCCTGCATCTGAACTGTACTACTATCATGATTTGTTCCGTTCTTTTCTCAGCAATCCTCTGTTCTCGGACAGAGCCGAAGATCTCCGGGACGTGGAATTTCTTGGGAACGTGTAACAAATCCAAGTATTGTGTTTCATGGAAGCAGCCGTGGACGTGGAGAGTATACCAGAAAATCGCCTCGCCTCCATGGAAAGATAATTTCATGAAAAGATTTCCGCTTTCCTAGGGCGAAGGCTTTTGAATAAGTCGTCTGAAAAATAATGGTTTCAAACTGTAAAAATAACATTGAATAATAGCACAGAAAGGAAATTTTTAATATTTCAGTAAGAATCGGTACGTTTCCAGACGTTACTATGTTCGGTCCTCTATTTTTTTGTTCCTTAATTTACATACAATCAGAAATAAGTCCGCAATAATGATTCTGAATTTTTGACTAAAAATTATTACACCAATACCATCGATTGTCAAAATTTACATAAAGCAGTATATTGTTTTTCTCAAAAATTATCCTCATTGTGTGGTTTAGGACCTGAAAGTACTTATTGTCGCTCACTCATCAATTCAAAAATAATAGCACCGGAAATTTCAGAAAGCAAAGGATAAAAAACGAACAGAAACGATCAATAACAAGGAAAATGAAGACAGTGCAGTATCTTCATTCCGGTCTATTACAGAAATCGTACATGCAGCGGAAACAGCAATTTTCAAAAAAGGCAAGGCTTAGGTTTTTCACATACATATCTAAAAACATGGTTTTTGTAATTCTTCAACAACAGCCTTACTGTTGAGAACATTTTCAGGAAGAGTTTCCGATCGGGCTGAATTTTTTGTGTGGATAGTTCATAGTCCTCTTATCACAAAACCGCTATCGGGAAGTGAGCTCGTTGCTGCTCCTAGTGGGCGTGCGGAATCAAAGTTGGAAAACCAACTTTTTCATGCATTTTCAGAAAAATCCAAAATTAGAGATATTCCCGATATCGTGAAGCTATTTCTGACATGAAGAATGCCGCCAGGATACTTCAGCAGGAAAACAGTACGGTATCACTCATCCATGATTAGACATAGATAGATGTAAAGAGACTAACCCTCATTTTACCAATTGAAATAGTTAGTCTCAATAGCTGCTACCCCCTTACCAGTCACTTTTCTGATCTTAAAATACTCAGAATTAAGAGAAATCTGGAAATCGGGGTTTTTGCCTTTTTTTTGTTATTCTACGACCCAAAAAACCCCTCTGGCCGAAAACCTGGACATAGCGGTCCACACACAAAAATGCTGACCTCATATTAGCGGGTTTGTGATTAGAGGTTCATAGGGTATCCACACAAAACATTTCAGCCCGATAGGAAACACTTTTTTCTACCGATGTTGGAAATTTTTCCACCGATGTTGACTGCTTACAAAAATATTGTCTTAACTTGTTTCATTTTAGATTCCAACACGTTTATTGGTTCCAACAATGGTCAGAGAGTTCTCATTGATTGCGTTAATTCCATTAGAGGATTTGGATATAGGAAACTAACCGAGCAGGAAATAAGTATATTTTTTGCTAAAACAAATGTTTAATCACATATTTATAGTTCGATGGAAAAATTTGATCCACCAGGATTCGAACATTGTCAATCTATTAATACAATCCAAAAGTTTGGCTGAAATAGAAAACATTTTTGAAAGAGATGATTATAAAAATATGTTCACTTTTTCCAAGTGGCACGAGATAGCCCTCTGCGTGCATCAAACTTTGGTATTAAATGTTGTAGTTATATGAGAGAAATACTTTTATTTTCAGACTAGTTCTCTCGATAGGTCAAATTCTCGCTCAGAACTTCAATTATTTGTCGGAAATGTTCAAACCGAATGGTGATTCAAATTTTCATGTCTGAAAACAACGGGATGAAACACGCTATTAAATTAACTTTTTTGTTTTTTCATTTTGTTTTTCCACAAATATATTCTGAATAGCTTATACTTTGCATGTTATGGCGACTTGTTAGCGACAACTTTCAATTATTCCTTGCCTCACCCCCCCTTGGCTTGCAAATGTTGATAAATAGTTACCTAGGTAACACTTCATATTTCTTGCAACTGCTCCCCCATTCGCACGCGTTGTGTTTTATCACCGTTATTCGACTGATTTCTATAAAACCATGGCCGATCAAGAACTACGTCAAAGGAGGATTGCTAGTGAAACAACGGATTCAAGAAAGAAAGAAAGAGCGGAAAGAGTATATAAAATTGAGAAAAAATCAGATCCACGTAAGTATCATGTTATTAGCAAATCATTTTGCGTTTCAGTGACTTGGTTCACCATCGTGGGTGTCATAATTCTAATTGTATTCATCGTGCTCTTCCTTGTAAGTGTTTTTTTGTTGATAAGTGAAATTAAATTTTATTTCCAGATTGAGGCACTCACAGGATTTAAACACATCAAGCATTTGCTCTGAATCACTATAATCCCGGACACATAAAAATAAATTAATACATTTTACTCTTTAATGTAAAATTAAAATTTTCATGTCTGAATGAATGAGTCAACGAAAAAAAAATTCGTTTAAGATGTGGCTGAACGCTGCAAAGCAATGTCGAGCATTTGCAGCAGCATACGCTTCAGCGTGATATTTCGAGAACGAAAACGTACTTCGCCAGAACTACATGAAGGTCTCCAAAAATTTGTAGCAAATTGTGATACTGAGTGTATTGTGGCCTTTATTGCGAAATTGTTTTTTAAAAGATAGTATGCCTATTAATTCAATTTATTCGGACTGAACTGAGTGTACAATTGCTTTGCATTAAAAAAAATTAGTCATGTAGCATCCATAAATTAATCAAGGATTTAAATTAAACACAGCAGAGAAAAGAAACATTAGATTCCAAATAGTGTGAATTTATTGGAGGCACAGGCAACAGTGGGCTAATGCTACTGGCGAGATATTTACTGAAGTGGTTAGGCCCTTGCTTTTTTTCATTCTGTCTCCTCCCTTTTCTATCTCCCATCCTTGCTCAAAGTTGATGCTTCTCGTTACTACTATAGCCGCTTCTCTTTCTTCTGCTCTTGGTTGACTCAAATTTTTGCTATTTTTAGTTTCTATTCCTAAATGCTCAAACTCCTATATTCAGTCAGAGTTTTTAAAGTCAATTAGTTCCACTTAGCAATCTGATTATTTTGAAACGTAACAACTATGGCTTTTTGCCTTTAATTTCATAGTTATAAAGTTAAACACAGTAGTATATATTTAACATGAATTCTCTCAATTTTAGACTGTATGCAAAATGAATTATAAAATGTTCTAAAATGTTTTTTTTACGAAATTTAATAGTTCTAAACTGTAATTGTTTCAGAAAGTAGTTAGATGAGCTCCGAAGTGCGCGGGCCAGCCTGACATGCGTGGACAATCCACGCAATATGCGGCCTTGCACGCCGTTTACAAAAACAATTTTTCAAAACAAACAATTGGATTTTTCCCGTACTATTCACGCCGGCCTGGGCGCTGTAAGATACTGGAGAAAAACTATTTTCATTAACCTTCTTTATTCACAAAAGTCCCAACATGGAATTGAACACAAAAGAGCTTCTGGCTCAAGCCCAATATGTTCCCGAAAACAATGCTTGAAATCATCAAACATTGTGCCTTCTCCAATAGTATTGTCAGACTCGAAAAAAGCCAGTTCCCCTAGACGACATTGGACCAATATTCTACGTATTGTCACTGATGTAAGCATTCTAATTAATTATTTTTAATAATAATTTTTGATTCCAGAGTTTTTTTATAATTCATTTACTGTTATTGTTCAATAGTGCTTCAGCAGCTCATCTACCTAGTAGCAACATACCATGCACCAACTTCGGGGTTTTTACGCAGGTATTCAATATGCAATGATAATTTTAAGAAATTTTTTCAGCGTAATGGCACTATCGCTGACAGATGCATAATTTGGTCAGACAATATTATTCCGGAAATATGTTCAGCTGGATTGCAGTCCCGCCTTCGAATACTCAGACATGTATTTCTGTTTTCCGAATTACAGCCATTATCGTTTTTCGAAGTTTTAATTTTTCAAAAAAGACCTAGAAGTAAAAAATGAACTGTTCAGCTTTTCTCAGTTGGTATGAAAAACGCAGACACGTGGCAATTGCACAGCGGAGAAAGAGGAAATGACTGCATTTCCGGAAGCATCAATCGTTGCACAACGTGCTTTCGTAAAATAGCAGGTGAGCGAGTTTTGAAAAATCGACTGTCAAACATTGCATTAGCTTTGAAATCGTGCAAATTTCTCCAGGTACTCTTGGAAAATTGAATGAAGCCTATCGATCTTTCGATACTACACTATCACGTTTTGACTGTTTGCCAGCAGTAGACACAGCTTCTGCAACTAGACCATTTTCACCTAATGCAACATGTGATAACTGCAAAGTAACCTTAATTCTGTTGTATTTTTTAATTCAAATATTGTTCAACTAGATATGGTATCGTCGATGGTTGTTGATCCATACCCTTCAAATATGGCAACGAGCGTCATGTATTAATTGGTGTTATTACACCCAGTTGGCATGTCCACATCTAGCGCCAGCAAAATTATGGGATTACGCAGGACATCCTTCTTTCCAATGTAGAGGTGTGAACTTTACAAATTCGTTTTTGCAGACAATGCTAAGAAATTTTAGATATGGACATTGACAGTTGGCGACATGAATGCGACTGCATTCATCCATGTGATGTCAAAGGCATTGTAGGACCTGGGATTATAGGAAACGCCCCTTCCGTTCAACATGACTTTTTTGCAGCGCAAGTATGGAGTTGTACTCACAGTTAATACTGTATTACAGGGCGTGTCCTTCTATTTTTCAGTGTTCCAAAAATAATTTTGCTTAAATTTTTAAATCGTGTGAAACGTCCGAAAATTGACTTAAGACTCACTTTGCTGGGTGCTGTTCCATTAGAGGTTCCCTTTTAATACAGTATTTATAACAAATTCATTACCACCGAAAATAGCATTCTTTCAGATTCACTGTGAAACTCGAGCAAAAGAATGCCACAAACAGTCAAAACCATCTAGAATAACAAAAAGAACTGAGGGCAACACATTCCTTGCTTCTTCGTCTACTACCAGCAGATCAAATTCTAGAACAATATTTATATCGGCACTTTTCATTTTACTGTTTTTTTCATTTTAGTCCTCGGCAGAACTCTGTAACTTTTGCGCCTAGCTTATGCAACTTCAGCTGGCAAGTTTCGCAAAAGTTACTAAAGGCAACTTTTAAACGAACTATTGGACACACCAACTTTTAAACAAATTTTGGACGAAAAAGGAATGTACTCAAAGTGAGAAGCAAGTGAGAACAAATGTTGCGGAGTTTGAAAAATTTGAGCAAAAATTGCAAGGAGTCTGTGCGAAAATCGCATAAGATTTTCTTTCCAAACTCACGATTTTTTCGTCCAAAATTTGTTTAATAGTTGGTGTGTCCAATAGTTCGTTTAAAAGTTGCCTTTAGTAACTTTTGCGCAACTTGCCAGAAGAAGTTGCGTAAGCTTTACGCAAAAGTTACAGAGGTTTGTCTAGTTGTTATGGAAAAACTTTTTTTACTGACAACACTTTATTTGAGAGCAGTCGGAGTTGAAAAAGACAGAACAGAACAGTTTTTTTTGCATACTGTGCTTCACGCACTATTCACACAGCAATTAAATAAAACATGTCATCCGTGAAAACTCTTTGAAAAACCGTTTCTAATACCATTAAAGTATTTATTTTTAATTGCCTGATTGGGAGTAATCTACCAGTTTTCGTATTGCGTCAAGAGCAGAGGCTTCATCAGCTTCGAGAGTTGTGCATCCAGTTCCGTGACCAACCTGCAGTTAAAGCAATTTTTATTGATTTTCAAAATTGATATTGAGAATTGAGCATACCAGTATTTTTTCGAGTCCAAGTGACACGATTGTGAAATGTTGTGATGGGCTTGCTTCAGGGAATGTTGTATAAACCACACTGAATTTAAATTGGACTGACAGTTGATCTAACTGATAACGTGCCGTTTGTTCATCTGTATTCAAATTTTTGTAATATTAGGTAGAAAATGAATAACCGTCAGTTTTGTCCGAATGATCCACGAGAGAGATGAATTCTTGCGCGCGACTGGATATATCAAAAATCTGTTCTGCAGTCAAAGCTCGGCGGTTTTCTTTTGATCGTTTTAATCTTCGCACTTTCCCCTCAACAATTGCATCTTTCTTTAGAGATGTTACAATAGAATTTGGATAGTCTTGGTCGCCTAAATGTTTTATTTCATTTTTCTGGTTAAAGAGCGAATGTACCTGGTGGTGGACAAGCATGAACTTGAGAATTAAAAGTAACACGACGTTTTTCGCTTTCCGGAGACGAGTGGCTTTCCTCGTGATTTTCTGTTGTAGATATTTCGGGGAGAACATTGTCAGTGATAATATCATTTGGTTCCCTTAAATTATAAAAATAGTTTCATACTCAATTTATTCTGAACTAACGCGTGGTAGTTAGATTCATCTAGAACAAAATTATCAGGGCAGTCCTGAATCCTTTTGAGTAAACTCTTTCCTGGTGTTGGCAGGGGCTTTACATATCCAATCGACTCAAGCATAGCTTCAGCTGCGGCCCGTTTTGCAAGCCGTTTGTTTGGTCCTTTTCCCATTTGTTCCTGTTCTCCACATTTGACGCGTATCATAAATTCCTTGTACTTGCTTAGTCCATTCTCTGCTATCAATTCAAACGAAGGGTGCTCTTGATTTTTAGCTTGAGCAATTTGAATCAAACGAGAAACAGGGTTTATCTGATGTCCATATAATGGATCCATCTTCTTGTCTTTTACAATTGTTTTTCGCTTTGGTTCTCTATTCAAAGCTGCCAATTTCTTCTGCGTTCTACAAACATTGTTCGCAAGGGTGACAGGATTATTCTCAGAATCTGCAAAACTTTTTTTTTTGTATAGAAAGAAAACAACTAACTGAAATGTTCAACGTTTTTCAGAAGTTGAGTGCAGGCTTCCTGTTGCGCGATTTTCTTTTTTCTTCCTTCTCCAGTCGCTTCAGCTTTCACGACGTTGTTACTGGTGACGAATGCGCACCGTACCAGATACAGTCGATCATGAGGTGGACCCTCTTCTCGTAAAACTTCAAAGAAAACATTGAGTTTTAGCTGATGTGCTTTTTCATGTATGTCGCTTATAACAGATTTTTGTTTGTGAACAGGCAGGTTCTTCTGAAACGAATGAAATGTATTATTGAGCGTGGAAATTAGTATTCTTGCCTTTTCTGTAACTGCATCTCGGTGTTCCTGTGATGTTAGTTTTTGATGTTCTCTCAATAATGGAGTAAGGATAATGAGAGCCTTCGAAGCTGCATCTTGTTTGGCTAACGGATAGGTTTCTCCTATACCAGTAGCAATTGATTTTCTATTGATATTTACTATCACCTGCGTATCATAAAACAAATAATTATAAACAAACTTTCACAAGTATTAATACCGCTTGCAGTTTGGGTCCATGTGGTCTACTTGGATCAATTGGGACCGTCGGATATGGTGGTCCATACATTGCAATCGCCGCAGGCGGTAGAAGGATGTGTTCCGGAACAGGACTTCCTGGATCAGGATACACTGGTGGATTACACGAAATATAACTCGGCGTGCTGTATTGTAGAGTTCGACAAACGTTTTGGAGAACTCGGTGTGGTTTTTTTGCATCTACAATAAAACGTTTTGTTTTTTTCTAAAGAACCCGGACAATTTTAGGATACCATTATTTTTCTTTCTAGTAGGTTTCTCAGTTGGCAATGGCAGCTTGGTTTTTTGGAGTGCTATTTCTGCAGAAGCTTGTTGCGCGCGTTTGATAGAGGCTCCACTACCTGAAAACTTAAAAAACATTAAAGAGCACCGGAGAGAATTATAAAATCTGACCTTCAAAAGATTCTTCTTTTGATAACACCAATTTCACCGTGAACAATTTTTTGTGAGCAGGCCCGCTTTCATCTTGAAGATCGTAAAAATGTCGGAGCTTATTGTATCTCGCAATCTAGATAAAAATGGTCTAAAAGAAGTTAAGTGTCTTCAAAACCTCCGCGATCCGACACATTGCAGACTTTTCAATTTTGCTCACACTGCTGTAGTTGTAAAAGTTGGTTGGAGAGTCTGCTTCTGATTTGTGTTGGCCACACCAATGTTGTGGATGAACTTTTTCCCGCTTCTCATCGATCTGTAACAAACTATGAAAAGTAAGTAAGCAAACTAAAAATACGGCCAGGCTGTTAAGATATTTTTTCTTTATGAAACTTGAACGATAGCCAATAGCGGCCGTCATTAATATTCTGTAGAAAAACGTACTTTTTCTTTTATAGCTGAAGGTTTCTTTCCAATAAAATCTTCGTTAGTAAGGACAAGTACCTCTCCATCAACTTTGATATTATCCATACGTTCTGATTCCGTATTTGTAGAGTAATGTGTTCTATCTGATCGATTAACACAAAATGCATCCATTCCAAAAAATACATACACTCTCGTTGTAAACATTCTCCGAAGAGCGCGTTTGCAACACGCACTAGCCAACGTGGTGAAAGACTTGTACCTCAGTCGCTTTTTCTGCATCAAAATATGGAGTTAACTCTTATAGCTCGGTGTCGCGATGGACTGATACTAGCTACATCAATTGAAGGAACAAACGACAGTAATGTAATCGTTTTTCTCCATCAAAAATTACGTGCAATATTTATTCATTTTTTCAGAACGACTTGGTGAAATACTCAAATCAAGCTAAATTAATTTTCAAAAAGTTGGCTGGCTCTCCTCAACAACAGAGTGTTGAAAGTGGTCCTTTTGTGTTTCAGTAAGTTTTATCTTCATATTCAGACCCAAAATGAAAAAAAAACAATTTCAGCTACACAATCATTCAGAACATATGTGCTCTGGTTCTATGCGAGCGAAATTATCCCCGAAAAACGGCATTTTTGTATCTTGTCGATATTGGTCAGGAGTTCCTGAACAGCTATAGCTCAAAAGTTGAACAAGTCGTGCGTCCATATCATTTCTTAGATTTTGGTAAGCCTTTTCTTGTGTTGCCCCAACACCGCACATTTTCTTCCATTACAGATAAATATATCCAACAAGCAAAAATGAGATTCCAAGACACCAACAAGTTCGCGATAAATGCTGTTTCAAATGAACTTCAAGATGTCACCAGAATCATGGTTACAAACATTGAAGACGTCATACATCGTGGAGAAGCGTTGAATAGTGAGTAAATTTTATATTTAAAGATTAAAAAACGCGTGCCAAGATCGATTCATTTTTTATGCAAAATGTGTTTTCTCGAGAAGGTGAAAAATGAATTTTGATTTCAGTTCTCGAAAACCGAGCATCGGAACTGTCAGGAATGAGTAAAAAATATAAAGATGACGCAAAAGCTCTCAATAGACGATCGACTGTTTTCAAAATAGCCGCTTCAATTGGTATTGTAGGAATTTTCTGCCTAATCATTCGCTTCGTTGTATTCTAATCAAGCAATTTTTTTCGATGTTTGTGTTTTTGATGGGTCTTCATTATCCAATTTTTTATCACTTCTGTATTTTTGAAATAAAAACTTGTTTGAGAAAAACGTTCACTATTGAAAAAAAACAACTTGACAAAAAAGCAATGTAAGCGGGAACCTTTAATGGTTAGAATCTCCGTCAGTTGCAGAACTGTTTACCGTAGTTATCTGGAATACTTAGGACAAAACAAATAATTTGATGAATAGCATGTAACTTGCCTGACCTCCCAACCAAGATGAATATTGAGTTTTTCCAGAGTCAGGATTTTGAATGGCTGAGTCCCTTTGCAAGCCCAGAAACTGTGGTGCAGATGATCTCTTATTTTGAAAATTTCTAGATCCGTTTACTTGTACTGGCTCTAAAATATAATTTTTCAATGCATATTCAGTAATTTAATTTTACGCAAAGAAGATAAAAATAAAATGCTTAAGCTCACCCAATTCTAAATTGACATTGGAATCTTTAGCATAATTTTCAGTTTGTGAATCTGACAGCATACCCATTGTTTCATCTCTGACGGACGTGCCCAGGACGTTGGTAAACTTTTTCATCTCCGAATATTCAAGGTTTTGAGCAGTGAATACAACTAGCGTGATTGATGGTATTAAGTTCTGCACTTTGGAATTTCAGACCGATAATGTAGATAACGGTTTTTCTTATTTTACTGAAGGAAAAGCCAATTTGAGACGCATTTCTGAGGAAAACTGAGAAAAATTGCATGCAAGCCGTTTTAGTCTAATTTGTTAAAAATTGTATCAGCAAAACGTTTGAAATCGGCATTTTCTTCAAAAACATAGGAAAAATCGAGATCTACCATATCCGCCTCAAATTCGCAAGCGCAGAACTCCAGTCCGTGTCGCTAGATTACAAATTTTTACGTATTTAAAAAAACGAGACTTTCGGAAGTTTCTGTGATTCCATGATAAAAGAAAAACAATGTACTGGTATTTCTAATTGTTCCAAATGCCGGTAAGCCTTTTTGGGATGCAAACTTGTTTGAGCCATACTCCCACGATATTACATTAGGAAGGATTATTTTTCTTTTATGATTAATCTCCTGTCGTTCAGCGTATTCCTATAAAAAAAAGTGGAAATAGAAATATATGGCGTTTACCGTTCTTTTTTGCATTTGAAAAGATTACTGGGAGACTTTAGAGACAGTGAGACTCGGTTGCGGCTAGGATCTCAGTTTTCGTAAATCAAACATAACTTTATTTTGAGAGGCTAATGTTTGCATACCAAACATTTTCAACGGGAATGTCATGAGATTTGTAGATTTGTTATAAACATAGTTTTTGTATATATATATATATACAAAAACTATATTTTAATAACTCATTTATTCACTTCGACCACCTAGGAAAAAAAGGGAAGATAAAAGAGAAAAGAAAAATTTACAGGAGAAGAGAGGGATATAGAGATAGTGGGTGGAGGAGGGAATAATGACTAAAATGACCATTGGCCGGCAATAGCCATAGGTCAAGTAGAATACAATATACAAGAGGGAATCTTTTCTATGAGCCTCGCTAAAGTCTCAGGAGACAGTCTTTCGGGGAAAATTTTGGTCACTCAGTTCCATAGGGCAAGATGGGTATGCAAGAAAGAGTCATGGGGTAGGCTAGAGAGGAAATAAAATGAAAAAAAAAGATTTTGAAAAACTGTTACTGTTTGTCTCCTTCCTGAAAATGAGAAAGAGAAAATGGTATAAAAACATTTATTTACAAATATTTCATCACTTTTGTTTTTTCTTTGATTTAAAAGTTGTGAAAAGCAGAAATTACATAAATAAAACGATAGAAAAACACTAAAAATTTAGAAAACAATATTCAAGCACATCCGATTCAAGTCATTTCTCGAACGTTCCAAGTTATAAAACAAGATTTTTAAATAAAAAAACTATACAATGGTGTTTCTCGATAAGCCTTCGCTTTTTTTTAACATGAAGTTGTTTAAAGTTACTTCAAAACATGAGAGAAAACTTCAAAATGTCAATTTTGCCATTACTCAGGTAAATCGTTTCTAATCTAGCTAACTAATTCGCGTTTCTAACCGGCCCTAGTTAGATTGCTAATTTACTGTGATTAGATTGCTTATTCTTCTAACTGGACTGATAAATTTTCTAATTAGATTGGCGAAGCTAATTAGATTGCAAAAACACTGATATTAGATTCAAAATTTATCTAATTAGATTAAAATTTCGGGCAAACCTACCTCGGTTATGTTTAGATTGCAAAATCAGCTAGCTAGATTCAGAAATCCGTTGCAATCTAACTAGGTCCGGTTAGAAACGAGAATTAGCTAGTTAGATTAGAAACGATTTGTAATTTGTAGAGGTATTCTTGGGAATTGGATGAAAAGTTTAAGCAAAGTTTATTTAAAGTTGTTAAAGATGTGCTTAAACTTTGCTATGGAATGCCGAGTTGCTATGAGTTTTTGCATTTATTTGCGATTATTTTTATGACAACAACAGTGCTCTGAAAAAATATTTCTTCGTTTGGAAAATATCTGAAAATAAACAGAAAAACTTACTAATATGACATGTAGAAACGCGATCAACGTTGTTGTCCACTGAAAACCTATTTTTTCCACAATCACGCTTCCAAACGTAGGCCCGATAAACGATCTAAAAAAAACAATGGAAGTATCATTCAGTTTCATTCTCTTACCCAAATCCAAATGCAGCTTGAAATATTCCAGAAACACATCCATACGTATGAAAGTTGTCCTCAAAACCTTTTAATCTGAACAAGTTTATTGTTTTTTTCTCCTTGTTTTATTCATACTTGACTTCATCAAGACACATCTGGAAACATGGAATGTACAATGCACTCGCAGCCAATCCCAAAACAGCAAGCGAGAGTCCAATAGTGATTAGATCTCTGCAAAATAAGATTTTCGAATTTTTAACCCTTCCAAATATACTTTGAAACGTATTTGTCAAGTAATGGTGATGGTCCAATGAAGATCATGGAAAGTAAAGTTGCGACAGAACCTAGTAATAACAATGTATTTCCGACGTGAAGTGCATCCATGACCGCTCCAAACACAAGCGACATTAAAGTATAGAATCCACCACACAACAAAAACATCAAACCTATCTCGGTAGGTGTGAGATTAAACTTTAAAAAGAGAAAAGAAACATTATTGCACTGAGAAAGTAGTACCGATTCTAGATGACTTGAAAGAGTTGGATCAAGGAAGGATAACGAAATTGCACATGAAACAACAGAAAAAATAGGTAGCCATATTTGTGAAAGCTTGAGTATTTCAAGCATACCTCTATTTTCCGGGTTACTTTCATCATCTGAACGTTTAATATTGTCGTTTTCTCCTCATAGGTTTTTAGCTAACCTTTTCTACTTTCAATCAAGAAAAATGCGAGAATGCTGGCCAGGAGCAGTACAATGCCAAGCACTAGGAATGGAAGTTGGAATCCGCCAATATCATAGAAAAATCCCCCAATAACTGGACCCGCAGTATAACCCAAACCCGCAAATGTTTCAAGAATTCCCTGAAAATTAAATAAGAATCTCCGAATTATTTTGTTATATATTACCACAACAAACGCAACATTTCTTGGAAAACTTTTCGCTGCGATTGCAAAACTTGATGTAACGAATGCAGCATCTCCCACTGCTTCTAATATCCTGACAAGTACACTGAACCAAAAAAAAATTTCTCCGGATGGTAAATAATTTAAAAATCTGGAATATTGTAAACCATTCTTGTTCTATTACAACACATACCCAAAAAGTATCGCTGTGATTCCAGTTACAGCAATACCGACAATAAACATTCGTCTGGCGCCTACAAAAATGATCTGAAAATTTGTGAGATTTATTTGTTTCACTTAAATAAGGATTCTCACATATTTTCCAAAAAGCGGAGATATAATGAACATTGTGAATTCGAATATTCCAAAAACTATTCCTGTTTGAGTTTCAGACAGAGCTTTCTGTTTTGCCTCCGTAGGATAGAAAGGAGCAATACATGAAAATGCGATCGTAGAGCATAAATTCGCAAGACTGAGCATTGAAATAGTCAGCAATTGACGAGATGAAAGTGCGGATACAGTTTTCAAGGCATTCTGTAAGTAACTAATTGGTATGAACCACTAATCCGGTTAATTACTTTTAAAAACGGCAATTCCTGCTCTTCTTCTTCAGAAAGATTACTACAATAACAATGTCTTCAGAGAAAATGGCTGAAAATACCTTTCTTCTTCCGACTCACTTGCACATATTTCTGTCTCCTGCTCTAGAAGAGCTTCACATGTGGTTTCACATCCTCCCTTTGTGTATGCAACCGTGGAACGAGGACTATCTACTGAGATTTGCGTCGAAATCGGCATGAACGGCGATATTATGAACGGTCTGTAAAGAACAATTTTTAATTTGCAGAAAAATTATCTAATTAAGATCATCTTTAAAATATTTTCTGTTTTGTTCATAAATGTTCAAAAGTTTTTAAGCAGGTTTTTTTATGCAACCTTTTTTATCTTTGATATTCAAATTGCAGAAATAAAACGAAACAATATTTGCGCACTCGGACAACCAGTTATGTTTAACACAAAAATGAGACTGCGCATATAAGAAGTATTGTCAACACGGGACACATTTTTGTAAATATGTTGTAGTATATAAGCAGTAGTATAATGTATTTACAGATATTTTTAAATAAACAATACAGCTAAAAGTATTCATAACCATGTTAGTGTTCTATTGGATCCGTTTTCTCGCCACTACAGTTTTGATCAATGGAGACGTTTTCTTTTTAAACCAAAAGACAATAATTTTAGGTGATAGTCTGGTTAATAATGCCAACCAATCAAAAGCTTAAAATCAATAAGAAACTAAAATTACCGCTGTTTACATCTCGAAAATCGAAGCGTACTATAGTGTGGCGAACGTCGTTTTTTCCTTGATAGTTCATGTCGTCCTATCTATAATTGTTTAGTTTAATACTTTTTCTCTCAGCAAGATACTTCGGATCGAGTGGTGATTGTACTTCGGCCAGGGTGATAATCTTCATGATAACCGTCATAGCCCACAACAGTCGGCAGTGATCTGAACAAGAACGATTATTCGTATTGTTATTTACAAGATCTCACATTGATGGATGAAGAAGAGGTGTGAGCTCAGTGTCAGCATTATGTGAAACTGAATGGTTGCGTGATTTTAACAACTGAAATATGTTCGTTTCCTATTTCATGTAACGAATTTCATTACTTGAACAGTAAACTTTCTTTCCGCTGGCTTGATTGAAACAGCCTTTTTTTCTTTTTTGGTGTTGCTCTTACCACTTGTTCCATAATCGAGTTTAGATGAATACTAAATTTTTCAGTAGAAGCTATAGAGCTATATAGTAGAAGCTATAATGACTCACATTGGCAGTATCAACATTATCAACATCAAGAGGATCTTGTGTAAAATCCTGTGAGTGAGTCTTTCTTGACATCTGTTGCAAAAAAATTACCAAACCCAGTAAACAATTAATCACAAGAAAGTTATACAATCTGAACTAATGAGAAAAATCTCATAGAAAGAGAGAACATCGTAGCCATCTCACTAAATAATCAATTATGTTTTCTTATCAGTAAATGAACTGATTACTCCACTCACCCATCACTATAATAATTCATAGTAAACTTTGCTCGGAAAGTCTGTGCTACTTGGCATTTAATTCGGAGGGTACAAAAATTAGGGGGTACAACAGGGTACAAATGGTTTTGGGGTACAACTTTCATGGTTTTGGGGTACAAAAAGTCGAGGGTACAAAATTTTCGATTCTGGGGTACAAAAATTTACCGATTCAGTAGGCATTGATTTAGGGGTACAACTTTTATGATTTAAGGGTACAAATTTCACGATTTTGGGGTACAAAAGTTGCACGAAGCACATTTTCGAAGTTTTCATTCCAGTTTTGAATTTTTGAGAGCTCACGAGACACAGTCGTGTGCATCCATGCTTTGTTTTATGCAGTATTTTGTGTCATTTCGAGAAAAAAACTTTACTTGGGTAAATTTCACACACAACATCAGATGCTGAAATTCTGCTGTGAAATTGCAGAATTTAAAGGGGCCAAAACAGCAAAACAACTTGTAAGTAATATTATAGGGGCACCGAATAGAAAGGACGCTCTGTTCGCAATCTGGCCGAATTTCTAGTCCGCGAAGTAATTTTCCACTGAAAACGTGGCCTAACTTTTTAAACTCGGCCCCGAGCTCACTCAATTTGCACAGCAAAAAAGTTTATTAATAGAGCGCCCTTTCTGTTCGGTGCCCCTATAATAACAAAGGGGTCGCCGTTTGAACCACTGTCTATCGGAAGCAAAACGCTTCGAAGGGTCATGAAATCTCATTTAAAAAACATCTCTGGAACTGATCAAGCGATTCGGAGTACAAAACATTCACGGAGTAAAAAAATTTTGTGAAACAACTAAAAACATTCACTGAATTGATGCCCATGAAAAAATGGGGAAAAAATTGTTGTACCCCAGAATCGTGAAATTTGTACCCTTAAATCATAAAAGTTGTACCCCTTAATCAATGCCTACTGAATCGGTAAATCTTTGTACCCTAGAATCGAAAATTTTGTACCCTCGACTTTTTGTACCCCAAAACAATTTGTACCCTGTTGTACCCCCTAATTTTTGTACCCTCCGAATTAAATGCCGTGCTACTTCTGAACAACATTTCAGCAACTTTGACGGTCAATTTTACACATATTTCCGACTGTTTTCTTCGACCCAATATTTTTTTAACTTGTTTGAAAGTTGTTCGGCATTCGGGGACAAAGCTGAACTATACTTCAAGCAACGTTTAGGCAAATTTTAGTCAAGTTTTACTTAGAAGTTTACTAAATGTTGTTTAAAGTTTGCTTAAATGTTTCTGATAGCAGAAGAAGCCTAAACCCCGGCGCGATCCAGGCGAATACGGTAAGTGTTCAAAGGTGCACAACTCGAAGTTTAACAAATCGCCACGGCCTGCTGAAACGTATGTGCAACAATAACATTTAAATTTTGCGGGAAAAATTTTTTGTTTGAATTGGATGCGCAGAGAGTAACGCCGGGTTTCAGGCTTGCTTGCTTGCTCCGTTCGGATATACAGTGCGTTTCAAAAGTATAGGGCCACCCCTAAAATTGAATATATTGTAATTCCCGAACAAAATACAAAGACAGGACCTTGAAAATCGAAATCAGCATCACAAATAACCCCCGGGAAACAATTTTGAGAGCTGTGTATAGGTTAGATGGGGAATGGTGCTGAAATATCTGAAAATGTTGCAACTGCAAGCGTTTCATAGGTATAGGGCCACCCCTGACAACACTCTGGAATCCTCTTAAACTGATAAACGTTATCTTGAATGTGGTTTTTTGCACTTTTAGGATGTCCAAAAAGTCTTTTTGAAATCATGTGCAATGACCCCGACGTCACCTAGGGCCACTCTCCTGGGTTTAGCCTCATGTTCTGTGTGAAGCTCGGGAGTGGAGCCGGGGGACTCCGATGATCTCAAATGAGTCAAATCTTGTTTGAAACTAGTTTTTTGAGCATTTTCAAGTCAGATTCGTTCAAGCCTCTCGATTAGCTAGCACCTGATATCAGATTTTTGGCCAAAATGAAGCCAGGCCCAACAAGGATCAGACTGGCTTGAGCGCCAAACTCCAGGCTGACATTGCCCACTTTTAAGACTTCATAAGGAAGGTTTGAAACATGACATGTTTGAGTTTGGTGTCAATCGGATCAGTTTCAATCGAGTTATGAGCTCCCGATTGCTGAAATGAAGAAAACCAACATTTTTCAGTACATTCCTGTTGATTTTCTTCACTTAAACAATCGGGAGCTCATAACTCGGTTGAAACTGATTCGATTGACACCAAACTCAAACATGTCATGTATATTCGATTTCTGATAATAGCTCAAAATTGTTCAGGTACATAAAAAACATTAGAACAAGAGTGAATGGCATCAATACAGTGTTCATTGGGAAATTTCAGATCTTCTGTAATCTTGAACTAATTTTTATGCAGTGACTAATCATACATACGTCACTAGAAATGTTTCAGCCTTCTACGAATCAAATTTTTCAAAAAAATTCGAGTTTTTACCGTACCACTGTAACCCGGAGTTGGATTTAATGTTGCGCACTTGAGGCACATTAGTCCCAAGATAAATGCCCATAACATTTAGATGCTCCAGCTACTCTAAATGCTCCAGACCACAACATGCTGTGTTCCAGTCTTACAGAAAATGGATTATAAATATAAGCTCAAATTAGAAAGTCTGAACTTTCAGTCAACTCATTCATATAAATTTTATAGTTTTGAATAATTTCAAAGCTTCATCAACTCTATTCAATACGATTAAAGTAAATTTTAAAAAATAAACGATTGGATTTGTATCGCCATGTCTTCACTTGTTAATTTTTCTGATAATTTTTCCTTTCCACTAATCTTGTGTTTTTCTTTAACAGTTTTAAAAGAAGTGGTCTTTATTTAATAAAATCTGAATGATGTTAAAGAAACAAAATGAGAAAAATTGTGCAGAGCAGTTTCGCACAAGAATTTTTCTTCTCAGTTTTTTAAAGCATTGTCATTTAATTTACTTTCCAAAAATGTGTATTTATTTTAATAATATCTCTAATCTGTTCCCGCTACATGAAAATATTTTTTTTTTAATTTCAGGAAAAGCAGCCATCAGATTTAAAAACTAAAGAAACATTCGAGTTGTTTACATTCTATGTGTTGTGCGTTTGTCACCCGTTGTCCTTTCCGTAGATTGCTGCATTGAGAAATGTGGATGCTAACATAACAGCTGTTTTGATATCTCGCTAATACTACTCTCAAAATTACGTTTTGAGACGTTGAATGCAGTGAAAGAAACATTAGTTTAACATTCATCTGCACGTTGTTTTTGAAACATTTTTTTTAACTGGAGTTCAGTTTTTGCAACACGTTCCCCCGATTTTTTGGATTCATATACAAATCATTCCTGCAACAATATTTTCAACCAACTGACAGATATTTTCAGAATTTCGAAAAAATGGGAAAATCACACAGTAAAGTGCAAACAAAAAACAAAGTAAACAAAAAGTTGATGCCAGAGGAAGCACAAGCCCTCGAGCAGGTCACCTATTGTAAGTTTCAGTCTTGACAATACGTTCACTTTTGAATATCGTTTCTAGTCACCCGAAAAGAACTCCAAAAATGGTACAAAGACTTTGTACGTGATTGTCCAACTGGTGAACTGTGTATGGAAGAGTTTCAAGGAATCTATAAACAGTTCTTTCCCAATGGCGACCCGTCTAAATTTGCTGCTTTTGTCTTCAACGTATTCGATGATAACCATGTAATTTTCATAATCAAAATGAAGTGTTTACGTATTTCCAGGACGGGCACATTTCGTTTGGGGAGTTTATTGCTGCTTTGTCAATAACATCGAGAGGAACTTTGGATGAAAAATTGGACTGTAATAGATCGATCTGCGAATTCACAAAAACGCTAATTTTTGTCAGGGGCGTTTTCCTTATACGACGTTGACAAAGATGGCTTTATAACAAAAGACGAAATGGCGGACATTGTTGAAGCAATATACAGGTAATTATTTTCAGTTTCCGCTACTTTTCCTGTTTTTAGCATGATTGGAAACATGTTGGAGTTGCCCAAAGATGAAGATACTCCTCAAAAAAGAGTTGAGAAAATTTTTACTAATATGGATAAGGTGACTTTTTCAAATTTTAATGCGAGAGCTCTTTCGAGTGTACTTCCGTTTATGATTAATTTGCAAACATCATTTCACTAAAACCGGGTTTCTCATTATAGAATCTTGATGGTCAGCTCACTCGAGATGAGTTCAAAGAAGGATCAAAAGCTGATCCATGGATTGTCCAAGCATTGACAATGGATATTTCGAGTTAACAATACTTGTCAGCAATAACTTTGCAAATGTATTTCGTAAATAAATTTCAAACGTGTTTAAATTTGAACAAGTTTGAACAAGAAAGTCGTCACTTGGTCCGCCGTTTTTTTTTCGAAAACAAGGTTTGCATCATCTTTTCCGGTCTACTTTATTCAGATGATATTATAGGGGCACCGGACAGAAAGGACGCGCTGTTCGCAATCTGGCCGAATTTCTAGGCCGCGAAGTAATTTTCCACTGAAAACGTTACCTAACTTTTCAAACTCGGCCCCGAGGTCGCTCAATTTGCACTGCAAAAAAAAATTCTCAACAGAGCGCCATTTCTGTGCGATGCCCCTATAATAGCTCAAAGGTTTTTTGTTTCTGCTCTGGGGTTTTAAACATGAAGACGCCCAAAGAACTTAAAGAACCCCGAAGCCGCCGGATTTCCTAGATTGTAATTCTACTGTCAAAAATTCATTCTCAAACGGAATATTTGATGTACCGGATATGTAGCAAAGCTCAAGCATCATCACACATTGACTTCCGAGAAAGAGCAGGAAAATAAGTGAACGGAAAGAGAAGGGCAGGAAGGACTCTTGGTCACATACAAGATTTGTTCTCCTTACGCACACAATTGATCCATTGCTTGATAAAAACGGATTCCAAGCACCCAAGTATTCGAGTAAGTAAAACAATTCTCTCAATAACCTCATAAGTTTGAAGCACATTGGTCCAGTAGAAGTTGAGAATGTAAACAAAAAACCGACAGACATGCAGACAAAACAAACAAATTTAAATGTTCAATAAAATACAAATGAATAAATATTTTACTGAAGAAATTTTCTAGAAAAGAATTTTATGAATAAAGAAATTTAATAACATTTTAAGGGGCAATAATTGCAAATCGGCAAGGTACTTTGGCTGCTCAAAAATGCAAATCAAGTAGTTGTTGCAGAGTGTGAATAAGGTACATCTAGAAGTAATGGATAAGCTTTCAGAAGATAGGATATATTGTGAACGTTATTGTGATACTAGTCGTTTTAATTTTATTGGTCTTTTTTCATGAATGCTCCAAACATTTCAACTGGAACCGGGAAAACAATGGTTGAGTTGTGTTCCGCACTGAAAAATAATATAGAGTATAGGAAACAGATAGAGGGAGGACTAACGCAATACTGTTCAGTGCTTGCAAGTGACGAAGCTGTAGCGCAACTGGGTTTGCTTGAATAACATCAGCCGCTTCTTTGAGAGCACGGGAAGCTTTCTGTTCTCCTTCAGCAGCAACAACTTTTGCCCTAGCTTCACGAGCAGCCTCAGCTTCAGCCGCCATAGCGCGTGTAAGTTGTTGCGGAAGACGGATATCTTTAACTTCGACTCGTTCCACCTATATATTTTATAATTTATAAACATTTTTACCATCATGATTACCTTAACTCCCCAATGTTCGGTTCCTTCATCAAGAATAGTTTCGCAAAGTTGAGCTATTGCTTCACGCTCCGTCAGCATTTCCGTCAACGTTTTCATACCTATAAAACATATTTTAAGGATGAAGCGTAATGATGACGAACCTAACGCATTTCTAAGAGTGGTTTGAGCCAACAGCTTAGTGGAATAAATAGCGTCATCAACATTGTTAACAGAGGCAATAGGATCAGAAGTACGGAAGTAAACAACGGCATCCACCGAAACAGTAACAGAGTCTTTCGACAGAATTTCTTGCGGGGGTACAGCGTAGGAAACCACACTGGAAGCATTGGATGTTGTGTGACAGAGAATCTGGTTTCATTTACCGTAAGTCAATCTTTCGATAAGTGTCTATGCACGGAATGATGAAAATCATTCCTGGTCCGCGAGCGCCTCCGAACACCAAACGACCAATTCGAAAAATCACCACACGCTCGTATTCTTTGATAACCTGTAAAAGCGTTGATAGTGCTGCCATTGAAAAATATTTAAATTATTCTCACCTTCAAGCATACGCACATTGAAAATGGGAACGTGACAATTATAAGCAACCATGACAAGGCTTGTAAAGCATATCCAAAAATAGTTCCAATTGTTTCGTAATCCGGTGGAACATCCTGAAAAAAGGTTTCACTACGAACATAACACTTTAACATTTTTAATGTGTTGCTTGCAATATATACAGTAGTTCCATGAATCGAGATTAGTGTGAGAAATTATGACGAGCACAGTACAGAAAAATGAATGTACATTTTTTTTAAACACGGATGTTTTGGTGGGAACGAATGTGCCTTTTCATGCAGAAAGAGTGTCTGAGCAAAAATGATAGTTATACAGGTGCAATGAATATGGTTAGTTTAATGTAGCGGAAATGTGAGTGAAACACGCACTTGCTGTGATACCTGATTTGACGATGGTGTTACCCACTGAGGTTCCGTCCTTTCTTTGTTAGACATTTACCTTAAAGTTTTCATAATAGCAATTAGAAAAATGAAATTCTAAACAAGATATTCAAAAAACGTAACATATAAACAGTTAAATAATACCGTTGAGAAAAAGTGGAGAGTTACTCTAACAATCTTTATTTCAGATGATTACTTTCTTTTTTATACCCGATGTCAACTCTAGCAAGCAAAAAGAAAGTCACTTTGCTTCTCAGTCGTAGGCTACGCTTCGCAGTACAGAGTAATTCAATAGGGTCCCTCTCGCTCTGCAGCTTTCAAGCTCCACCCACTTTGCCTTTTGCTATCTCAAAATTTTTCTGGAGCAAGGAAATAATTTAAAATAATAGTTTTTTTAAAATGTTGATGAATAGAACGGGAACGTGTTAATGAAATAACTGGTTTATATCTCACTGATGAGTGTGCTGAAAAAAGGTATGCTTCAACAACTGCAAATAGCGTGAAAGACGAAAAATCAAAAAATTTTCGCCTTGTTTTGTGCAGACAAAGCTCGTAGTAATAAAAGCAAGATGGAGCCAGAAGGAAAAACGTGCCACATGTGAGCTGCGCGTCTTGCCAGGGGACGCACAATCGATGCACATTTTTCTCTTCACTCCGTCGTTTCGTTTCACGCTTCACAACGCCAGGCATCTGAAGCTGGGACTTCTTCTCCGTCTATTATTTCTGCCGCTCTCATCGTCGGCTCTCTCCGCCTTTTGCTTTCCATCAATTTCTTCTTCTATTCTGCTCACTCTGTCACTCCTCGGGTTCTACTTGTCGTTTGTTTCTGTTGGAATTGAATGGTCCCACGAGAGATCTTCCCGGGGCAGAGAGAATCACGTTTGTCTGGCAGATCTTGGACTTTTTAAAGAAGGGCTTCTTTTCAGGGAGTTATGACTATACAACTTTATTTTCATACTGGATAAAAAAAGAAAATCAGTGAAATGATCAGCTGCAAACGAAATCGTGGAAAGAAACGAAAATTATTAGCTTTGAAATACAGTATTCTTTCCATCAACATATTTTTCCCTCTTGTTGTTCGAACAGGTTGAAACTAGCTCTGCGTTCATTGTAAGTTGCAACACAAAACATCTACATCAGCAAAGCACAATAGCTTTTCAACCTTTCTCTTCTTAAGCGTTTGCCGCAGCAATGCTTTCCAAATGAGTAACAAGAGAAAATTACATCTGTCAATGAGTCATGCATGTACATGTTCACACAAAATTGTCCACATAAAATGGTAAAATCTGATTATGAAAAAATATGGAAAGTAAAAATGTTAGTCACTGATTCGACGTTGTTTTCCTTTCATGTTGAGTTTATTTCCTCGGAATCTTCTTCTGAACTAGTGTGTTCCAAACTCTTCTCACGAATTTCAAAGTTTTTATTTATTCCAGCGAGCTCAATAATTGACGGAGAAATAGTCTAAAAAACGTAGAACCACCAACAGTAACTCTTTTTTTGTTGTTGTTGAAAGTAGGGAAAACGAATATCTTACGTTATTTGAATTTTTGTCTGCAAATCCGGACGAAAATTGATATCCAGTATCTGAGTGTTTAACACTGACATTTAGATCTACATCAACATATCCTGTGGTCGTTGTGCAACAAGCTTAATTATATAGTTCTCAAATGCATAATTTTGTTTTCCGACAAACCGTTTCTACCATCAGAACTTGCTGTTAGGAGAGGATCGATAAATTCAGAATTAACTCTACGAAGTTTGCTTATTATCAACTGGATTGTTGATGATGTTTCAGGAAGAAAACAATAAACTCGGCAGCAGTGTCTTAAAAAATGTTAAAAGAGAACATCAAGCAGCGCTTACTTTCCAGGCTCTGTAGGAATTGAAATAGCTCCATAACCTATTACACCATCTTTTCCAGAAACGTCTTTTGAGAAACAATTCAGGACAAGCCGTGGCCCTGGGAAAAATTTATTTACTGTCGAAATTGATTGTTCCGAAACTTACACATAAATGGAGACGTTCCTTTGAACGTGTATTCAAATGGAAGGTCAATATGAATTTTTTTATGATCTCCACGGTAACAAAATGATGAAAGCAAAGCAGTATCTCCATTTGAAATTTTCCAGTCTCCTGAGGAAACCGTATGAAGCTTGACACACAAGTTTGTTTCTTGTGGGAACTAGAACCATCACCGTTTAAAACGACAATCTGTGAACAGAATCTACCTCTGCGATTTTAACCAAGCCATGAATATTTACAGATAAACTATCAGAGTTGTCCATAATTAACAGACGAGCAAAAATGAATTTTCTTGTTTACGGGAGCGCTAAAGCATAGCCCCTTGGTTGCTATGGAGGCAGATGTGGTTTCTCCATTGAGAGCACATCTCGCATAAGCAGATGGCATAAAACAGCCCAGCTGTCAAAATCGGATGAAGTTACGGAACATGAATGACAAAACTGACTGACAAACAACAATTTTCAGAATAAGTTTAACGTGATAAAACGTTTGATTATTTAGAAACTATAGATAGTAAAAGGTTTTCAAAAAAGCCCGGCTGCTCTTACTGAACAGACGCTATTAAGCAATATTGCCTTTTATTTAGCTTTCAAAACTTACAAAGTTCACCTGTTCATATTTTTATAGTCTCCGCCATGATAATTTTTGTTTTGAAAACGATTAATGAGCGGAAAAAACTATGAATGAATGAATGAACAGAGAGACACACTCCGTTAGATTTTTATTAATAAAGATGCTCCATGATTCTAATAAATTAGAAAGGTAACTCAAAGAAGTTTATAGTGCTAAAGCTGCATATATGTCTTATTTGAATCTTAGAAGTACTTGCTAGAAGTACTATTGAAAGCATACCACACTTGTTAACGTAACTGTATGGTACCAAGTTTTAATTAAAACCAAAAAATTGGGCCGGTTGTTTGTTCTGGTATGGTGACACATACAGGCAATGTTAAAAACCGAGATGGGTTTTGCACAATGGGACCTGTCGGCACATGAAAAAGAATGAGTGAGTGTACTGACAGTGGTGCTTCTTGACAATATCAAGGTTTTGCCGAAGGATCTGCTATTTAACCTTTACTTTGTTAGTGAATGGTGTAAAAAGCATAAGGTAAATGTGGTGTTTCAATCATTTTTCTTTTGAGCTTTCAATAGGAATAAAGCATACAATGCACCATGTATAACTTTTCATTGATGGAAATTTCTAGTTATTTTTGCCTATTGTCAAGTAATACTAACATTTGGATTCGTTTGATGAAAATGAAAAATGTTCATGTGAATAAAAAAGCTGCGATGAGTTGCGTAGTTGTATTTCTTCCTATTCGCTTTATATGAGTGAGCATCAAAAATAGTGTTTTGATGAAACGAATGGATCAGACCACCCAACACCACCTGCCTTTCCTTCCGGGGTTCCTCATCCTTCAAACCAATATTGCACATCTTCAACCAGTTCTTATAGGCTTCTAGAGATTCAGGAGGAGAAGAGGGCGGCTCTTGTCGTTTTCCGTCCATCTCGTTCGTCTATTTCCCCCTATCCTCTTTATGTGAGCTACAGTATTCTGTCTACAAAGCTCATGCGGATCCGTTGGCTCCGCCTATTTGCGACATAAGCTTCTCGTATAAACTCAACCCATGGTGGCTATCGTGTATCTTTCAGCAATGGAGAGGTGAGTGACACATTCAAATTAGAAAGAAATGTTCCTTATGTGGTAAAGTTCATGAACTAAATTAGTTTTAGATACTCTTGTTCTCAACATTGAAGTAATGGTGCTCTCACTGAACATGGCCATTCAAATTTTGATTACAGTACTCTTTGATTTCAGAATAGACTGCGATATTGTGGACCTAGACCTACTCTCTCTCAAAAGCACGTTGATCAACTACAAAAAAAACTCGCCACTGGAGGATATTAGTACGTTATGGAGATAATCATTCATAAGAAACTTCTCATATAAGGTTTCGGAAAAGGAGCTAGGAACTGATTAGGCGGGATAGATTGTGCGAGAAGCACCTTATGAGCTTGATAATATTTTAAAAAAATGATTTTTACAGCAGGCACATCCAGTCCAGCAATATACAATAGTTGTCTTGGATGTGGATTCGCCATAAAAGATAAGTACATTTACAAGGTAGAGTCAATGAATGAATTCTAGTACAAACTATTTATTGTCAAGGTTATGGAGGACAATTATCATGAAGGTTGTCTCCGTTGCTTTTGTTGTCAATTATCACTGAGCTCTTCGAAAAAGTGCTTCGCACGAGATGGCAATATTTATTGTGAGAACGATCATCAAATGTAAGTTTGCGTGTCACTTGAAAGAAAATTCAGGTCGTTGGAAGCCATTGTTTTCATTCAAAAGTTTACCATTCAAAATGGAGTACATCCATTAGCGTGTACCCAGAATAAAATATTTCTTGTTTCAAGATGCATTTTGATTACGATATAAATCAAGACTGAGCATGTAATCCATAGAAGAGCACTTGAGTATTATTGCAAAATACATCTTATTAGACACGGTGAAGTGAATCATTGACATTGTCACCTGCTGAAGTACTGAGATTATATACACATACTCATTCCTTCTAATCATTTTCAAAAATTCAAACAAAAACGGGGTGATGTTTTACGATTTGTTGGTTTGAAAACAAACAATCAGATGCGATGAGATGCGCAAAACCAGAAATGAGAATTTCTACCGTATACCAGTATGTTTACTTAAGTTCCTCCCCTCTCAGCTTCATGCATTCATTGCATAAAATGCCACAAAACTCATTATGCTTGATGATTTCTGGATATATTTATGCAAACGAACTTGATATTGTTATAAATTAATCGCGTTAACACACGTACAGCATATATTGCGCGAAAACACAGTGAACTGACAGCTGCCCACGTCAAGGGTTGCGAATCAAATTCTTTCCAGGTTGTATGGTAAACGATGTCGAAGATGTATGACGTTTCTTCTCCCAACTGACATTGTGCACCGAGTGCATCACATTTATTATCATGCGCAATGCTTCAGCTGTTGCTCATGCCAGAGTCGTTTCAGAACAGTGAGTACAGATGCTGAAGCTTTTTAAATGCAGTGTTACAGGGCGATGAATACCACTTTCTTGACGGTGAAGTATTTTGCCGGAATGATTATCAGTCAATCTGCAACATAGGTTCTAACATAAACATCGAAAACATCGTCAGATCGGAAATTCATCGCAAAACGCCAAAGCGGCCCAGAACTATCTTGAATGCACAGCAGCGTCGTCAGTTCAAGAATGCTTTTGAAAAAAGTTCAAAACCTAGTCGCAAGGTAACATCTCTCTCACACAAAGGCAATTATAGATATGGTTTTAGGTTAGAGAGCAGCTTGCCAATGAGACTGGTTTGAGTGTGCGCGTTGTTCAAGTTTGGTTCCAAAACCAAAGAGCTAAAATCAAAAAATTGAACAAAAAGGATTTGGATTCGTTGGTTGATGGTTTCAAAAACCCTGAAAGTGAAGGACGCAGCACAGAAGACATCAGAAGTTCTGATGACGAAGAATCGATATTTAGTGAGTTAGAGTTATTTGCTATTACTGTTTTAAACAAAACTATTTTTAGATTTGGAGTCAGACGAGATGGAGGTGTTAGTTACATCAAGATATGCGGATCCTATTCAGAAACTCTACAACATGACCTCTTCTCAAGTTTATTTTCCATTCAACTCCTGAAAATTGTGATCAACTGCTGGCAAGAGTATTGCTGAATTCAGAAAAACGGGATTTTTTCTCTGTTTTGTAATTTCAATTGAATTTATTTTATAATTCAATTGTTTTTTTGCAGCCTCAGATGTACACGTTCAGATCGCATTCTCTTATTTACAGTTGTTTTTAACGGAATGACTTTAAATCAGAAACTGTTTAATCTTTATTGTTAGAACGGAAAACTAGTTTTTACTGTAATCATCAGAGAAGCAAGTTTTTGATAGCCTTTTGAAATCATATTTTTATTCATTTAATATCAAGATTCACAATCATTATAGTTTTTGGTCAAATGTATCCCACAGTCTATCGATAAACATACAAAACTTGTATATAGAAAAATTGAAAAATTTACTGGAAGCAGTTATTGATTGAATCTTGCAAGTATTCCAAAGTAACAAATTGACAAAAATGCAAATTTTAAAATGATGACAGTCAAAACATTAATAGCCGACGCCCTTGAAGTAATCCGCAAGAGCTCCCACTACTTTGCTGCACATTTCAGGTTGAAGTCCTTGTTCGTAGGTTGCGATGATGACAGCTGTACATTTTTTATTAGTTTTGATTAATTTACAGTCTAATGTTACCTTTTCCTGTTTTGTAAACAAAGAATCCCGAAGCTCCTTGTTTTCCGATGATTCTGTCTTCGTCGGCGTTGAGAATTAAGTATTTCTGCCCTTCAAAGCGTAGTCCCGTGCCAAGAAGAGCATCCTGAATTTTGAAATGAATGTCCGTAATTTGTTTTATCTTTTTGACATTTGTTTAATTTTAAAGTTTGCTACACAATAATTAACTTACGTATTGTTCGAAAGCTTTTCCAGCAATAACAGCTTCTTCGGTGGTAATCTAAAGTCGAATATCTATTAAAAAAATTAATGCATCTTGCATCTTACAGCAAAGTTGTCACTTTTTGCCCAAACAGAGCCGTCAAATCCCACAATGGCACCTTTGGTCACAAACCCCGAGCCTAACAAATTGTTTTTAATAATATCCGTCCACGACATTGCAAATTTATCTGAAATAGTTCTGTTAACAAAATGAAGAGGCAAAAATTGTAAGAATTTTCTGAACGTGAGTTGTTTCCTTCACAAGTCTCTCGGCTCGAGAGCATCACACATCGGTTGTAATATTGGAAACGAATGTCGGTGAGTGGGCGGAAACAGTTGTCAGGTTGTTTTTCTCACTGACTCACTTAGAGTTTTAGAAAGGAAGACTTACAAAACGCTCATAATCTTAATTTGAAAACTGGAGTATAATGTACATATGTAACCAAGTAAAAGATTTAAAAAATCAAACTACGAATCTCCACGAAATTTATTTCGAAAAATGTCAAAAATGCTAATTTTGTTTATGAGGAAGAGTGCATGGAAATTTTTACTAGAATAGGTTTATATTGGATATGTAGATCCACAATGGATGAACGCTACGAACTAGGTACAATCAAATATATTTTACTAAGTGAAACAGTGCACAAAATGAAGCATCGCAGGAAACTTGACAGCCTGAGTGTAAAGCTCTTGCCGTTTGCTCTTCGCCTGTAGCTCCTTTACTATGAACTAGATAAATGCAGAGGAAATGGAGAAACGAAACGAATACAGTCTTTGCATTTGAACTTTCTTCATAATAAACATAAATTTTGCTAACTGAACTTGGACTTTATCGGTCAGAATTTTCGAAAACGCCTCCCTCACATCTTCTCACAAGGAATTTGAACGCAACTTTTATCTTTGATATGAACCGAAACTGAGAGGAACTGATAGATTAACTAGGAAAATATTTTCATTATTGCGGTTTTTTTCTTGTGGTATTGTCAACCGTAAACGCCAAGCTCAGCCCCTTTGCTCGCTCAAAACTGCCGATTTTGGCTAACTTCTCCGTATTTGACAGAAATGAGTGACAGGCCCGTCAATTTTATTACGTTTTTGTCGAAATCCGGCGGAAAATCAGCAAACTTAACAAAAATTTTTTGTTTCGATACTTTCTCATTTGTCGCAGTCGCAACAGTTTTGTCGTCGGCAGACACTTATCCCAATTGGACACATTTGATACTCACTACATCTTCTAAGCGATTATTTTGAAATCAAGATACGACTGCATGCCACAATAACTCCTCCACATAGCACCTAAAGAGGCCCATCGGTATACATGTTTCAAAAGGTGCCCCGGCAGCATGGGTGTTTAGAAAAAAATTTTGCCCACCCGCTAGGGTTTTCAGGTGTTTGTGAAGAGGGCTGGATAATGGAAAAATAGGTTTTTTTTTCAGGCAAAGACAACCATGATGAACTACTGTACTGGAAGCAAAGACACTGAATAAATTATTTCGAAATATTTACTTATTGAGGGAACAATGTGTACTGTAATTGATTCTGATGATTTACTAGCATGAATGAAGTAAGAAATACCTCAAGAAAGAATTTCGCAGAAAAAGTGACGGCGTGGATCGTTTTGGAGATTGTGATGATCCAACATTAGACGATGTATCATCCTTTGCTGCTTGATAACCTGCAACCTGTTAATTTTTAAGCAATTAAATGCAAGGTATACCTTTAGCAAGTCCCTTCAAACGATTCCAATTTTTCCGTGCTGATTGCAGGCTCCTAGCCAGTCCGGTTGTTTTATTCAAAACTTTGGAAAAGGATCAGAAACAACTGGCTGAAAATAGAAACATTGTCATAAATCCAGAAAGAGCCAATTAAACAAAAATTTGCTCGGTGAAAAAGTTTACCTTCACGTTGTCTAACTTTTTCCCCCATAACTGCTTAGACCATGAGTGGCACTTTGAAAAGATTACATGTGAATCGAGAATAGTATTTTCTTAGTGCTTAATGAATAAATGTGCATAAAACTTGGCAAGAATATTCGAGGTTCAATTTTTAAGGAAGAAACATCGAGAACATGTCTACTAACATCAACCATAAGTAATTTTTCTTTTGTGCTGCACAATACTAGTAGTTTTCCCCATAACTTTTTTCCAGCTTGAAATGCAGTGATAGCACCAAATTGTATTCCTAGTTTGTTCGTGGCTCCGACGATCACGCTGGAAAAGTAAACTAGGTGCAATTATGGCGACCGACAAGCAACTCCAATCAGATTCAATTGTGCAGTTGTAGCAGTGGTTGTATCATCATACCAAATTTACAATCATAACCCAATTAATAATTGGAGTACAAAAAACGTTTTTGGGCCGTATGGATAGTTATCACCGATTCTTTTTATAATAATAATTTTTTAAAAAACTTGCAGAATTAAGAATCGAAATCCATTAAAAAGCAAACCATTTTTATTCGTTTAATTTTAAAGCAATACGTGAAAAAATTATTGAATATTCTAGTTGCTAGACAAAGACGCCTGAAAGTTAAACGTGCCATGGGCCATGGACCATTAAATCTAAGCATTCTGAAATAATCGTGACTGATGGTTGTTGACCTGGCCGACTATTACAAAAAACGCGTCTTAAAGTGTTTCACGTAGTCAATTTTAGCTTGTACAAATTGAGATAAATATTCATTTTTCTGCAGATGTTCGAGGCAGTATTGGATAACACTTTCGGAGCGTTTTTCCAAATGTGTTTTTTCAAAGCAATATATATTTATACAAGAAAAAATTCCAACTTGACACCAAATCAAGTATTTCAGGCAAGTTGAACAAAATGTGTTAAAATGCAATGTCTGAGCACCTCGAAATGCGTTAATTACACCAGGTCACTAAAAATTCAGAATGCTTCAATGTGTCCCATATTATACCCAATGGGTACTTACATAACAGTGATACATCAGACAATTTTTGGTCCGGCTCCGTGGTCCCTAGTCCGATCACGGTCCAAAAAAAAGGTCAAAACTGTAACTAGCATTTTTCATGTTGGCACCAAAAATTTAGCACCCCTCCTTCATGGAGAAAAAAATTGTTTTGTGACATTGTTCAGAATATTTTTCAGTTTTCTGTTCGTCCTGAAAAATTTTAACACTACATAGCCATGATTTTATTGCTGATTCTGAATCTAGACGTTATTGTGCTTCGGCAAAAAAAAGTTCACCCGATCCCGATTGACATCAATGGGCTTTTAGGCCGAAGTTTACAAAATTCAGAGTAATTTTGCATGGAAAGATGTTCGCAAATTTGAGAAAAGTGTGTTTTCTCAATTTTCAAAGGGTTCTGATCGCGATGTTTGTTGTTTTCGTATACTTTTAGGCATTCTCGATTTTTTGGAAGCATTTTGAAAATTAATTGTTTCACGAAAATTTTGTCATGACCCCCGGATCGACGACACACAATTTTTTTTTAATTTTCAAAATGCTTCCAAAAAATCGAGAACGCCTAAAAGTATACGAAAACAACAAATATCGCGATCAGAACCCTTTGAAAATTGAGAAAACACACTTTACTTAAGTTCGCTAACATTTTTCCATGTAAAGTACTCCGATTTTTGTGAACTTCGGCCTAAACACAAAACAATTTTTTTCTCCATGAAGGAGAGGCGCTAAATTTTTTGTCTGAACGTGAAATATACTCAAAAAGATGCGAGGAATGCAATGGCGTCGAGTTTGAGTCTCTAGGATTTTTTTGAACAAAGTTACAGTTCTGACCCATTTAGAGCCCATGCTCAGGCCAGGGCTCGCGGAGCCGTACCTAATACTCTTCTTGGCTATCAGTGCCATGGGGGTACCTATTAATTATGTTATGGGACAAAAAGGATCAATCTGAATTTTTAGTGACCTGGAGATTTTGAACTTCTCAGACATTGCGTTTTAAAAGTAATGTGCAAGAGGAATATTCACCCGAATACTACCAAACCTTGAAAAAACTTCTCAGTGCAGATTCAAGACCGTGTACAAGCAATAAAATAAAATAGTGACTACTCATTTACATCAGAGACGCTTTTCATTGCAGGTTTGAGAATGTGACCAACACGGTCCGTAGCGCTTTCTATGTCCTAAAAAAAGTAATTGAAAAAATAAGAAAATTTACAGAATATGTACCTTTATAAGTTCAGAGTGGCTCATGAGCATTTTGGAGACAGTGTCGTCATCACCTATGTGGAAAGATGAGAGAGATGAAACCTGGAACAATTTTATTTTTCTTCTTGTTTGAAAAAACGCCAACCTCCGAATTGTCCGAGCCGTCAGAAAGACCAATGGGTCTAGTTTTATAACTGATTGCGTCCTCATTTTCATGACTGAAAAATGCATTGCAGAAAAATTAGTTGAAACTAAAATTACCGCGCCGGGGTTGGATGATGTTTTTCAGTACCACTTCGAATCAACTGTTGAGCTAGCAATATAACTCCAGATCCCAATGAACGCATAGTTTGCTGCTCATTTTTTTCTTCCTGTTCAGCTTTCATCATGTTTAATACAATTGAATCATCGTCCTGAACACAGTGACAAATTTAGTTTTAGCAAGATTTTTCACTAACCTTTTCAATTAAATATTTATCATCATAAGGTGGAGGAGCCGTTGGGGCGTATGGAGGAGGGTTACCAGGAATGTCGTCATTTCCTGATTTTTCCGGACTATCAGAGTCCGGATGCTCGTCTGTTTGATTGGTTCCTTCTGGAAAGCCTGTTGAACGCTCTTCGTGAATTTGTTCACTGATTTTTTCCAAATTTCGAAGAGATGCTGTGTAATCGTTTTTCTTTATGCGAACCTGAATACCATAAACCAGATTATTACAAACCAATTTGCTTGCTCACCTCTGCTTCAAGACAAAGAATTGTTTTTTTCTGCTCTTCAAGAATTTTAGTAAACTCTAACCGTTTTTCAAAGTAGAGTCGCGATTTCTTGATTGCAGATCTATAAACAAAAATATTTTTTTTCATGACTTTCTATGACAGACCTGTTAGTTTTTTCCATAACCCTAATTTTTTCGGCAAGATGTAACATTGAATGAGCTTTGGCAGCATGAACCGATTCAGCTACTGATCGCTCCTCTTCTACTTCTCGAACTCTTTGAATGTGATGATTAAGAACCTGTAGAGCTCACATTCAAGTGTGATCACTCAAAGATATTAAAGTACCTCCAAGCATTCGGGGAGAATCGAAGTTTGCCGTGATAAGCTCTCTTGTGTGAGCGATACTTGTTTTTTCGCGACAGCGAGAATTGATGTTGCCCTTTCGAATCTTTCCGCTGCTTTTTGTGACTCTTCCCGAAGTGTGCGTTCCTGAAAAGAAATTTCAGTTGAAAAAATCAGTGCACTCACAAAACTGACCTCAACCTTCAATTCATAGAAAGGTCTTGCTTTTGCAATCTGATTGCAGTACTGTTTTGACAGTTCTTTCAGTTTTTCCGACCAATGCACATGTGTTTCTCTTTAAAAAAAAATCAACGCCTTTTGTTGTTTTCATATCGAATACCGGAAATCGGCTCGTGCTTGATCTAACTGTACTTCCATTTTGTTGATGACATCAGTGGAAATGTTCAATTTTTCCAGTTCTTCATGAATCATATTCAAATGCCGTGCTTCCAGAGGTGGATGTTCATCTTCTTCAAATTTTCGTGCCCCTGTTTCTGGAAGAGATAAAAATCATAATTTAATAAATTGTTTTTAACCGTACAAGCTTTGATTTATTACTACAGTGCTTCCAATAAAGATAAGACCCCAAAAAATTTTGAAGGTACAGCCAAAACGGGAATAGTCATAAGAATGAATTCTGGGCATGCTGTTCTATTTGTGATGTGAAAAAAAAACCCCGGTTCAAGTTTTTTTAGGTGGCTGCACGAAAACTATTTAATGACAAGACCCATCCCAAATTGAGGGAAATGTGGCTAATTTCCTGCTGCTATTTCGTGCAAGAGGTAAATCCTGAGAAATAAACATTATTTGTTTGTGGTCTTCACGAGCAACTCGTTTTCTGGTGTTCAGACAAGACCAGTAACCTCAATTCTTAACTTGAGAAATGTTTTTCAATAGATTTCAATTTTTATCCTATTCTTTCTATACCCGCTCTCCCCTGACCTTCACAGGATAAGAATGATCGTCTCTAGTACCCTTCGGATAAGTTTGACCAAGATCTGCCCAGTGTGAACCCCTCTTTGATATCATTTGATCTATCTGCTTTCTTCCATTTAATGAAGTGATCTTATTGTACAGAAAACATTGAACAACTGATATCATAGAAGGACGCAGAGCGGATAGATCTTGATCGCACTTATCCAAAGGGTACCAGAGACAATTATTTTAATCTTGTGAAGGTAAGGTGAAAGCGGGTACACAGAAAAGGGTAACAATACACAAGGTATGACTCTCTAGTCAAGAATTGAGGTTATTGGCCTTGTTTAAGCATCAGGGAACGAGTTGAAGAGGCTCTCACACACAAATGGTTATTTCTCAGGTTTTATTTGTATTTTTAATAGCCCGAAATCTGACAAATTTTCTTTAAATTGGGAGAGGTCTTATCATTATTGGACGCCTCAATAAGTGATTATTCAAAGCCAGTGTCCCAGTTTTTTTTTGTGCAACCACCTGAGAAAATGGGAACCGGGGTTTTTTTTCGAATCGCAAATTGGACTGCATTCACAGAATTTTCATAACTATTCTCGTTTTGGTCATACCTTCAAAATACAAGGGGTCTTATCAATATTGAACGCACTGTTAAATATAGACGAAAGTGGTCAGACTAGTCTGAAAAGCCCGAATTTTCAGATTTTGATTAATCTTGAATTGTTTCTATATCAAGTTTTCCATCAGCGCAAAATGTTGAATTCACTCAAACTTTTTTCGAAATCCTTCAAAGCACCTCTTTGTTCAATCGTCATCTGTGGTTATTCATTTATTTTCTTATTACTATGTAACTGTGTAGTCGTGTATATTTTTTGTAGTCCTAGAGTTCTATTTATATAAACACGTATTCAGAATTTGACATGAAAACATACCAGTTATAGAATCTTTAGAAACTTGAAAAGAACTTGTTGCTTCTTCCGTCACGTCTCTTTTTTCCATTGTTTTACTCATGCATTCGATTCGAGCTTCTGAAAACATTCTTCTTTGCAAGTCGATTGAAACGCGTTCGTATACGTATACGAAAATGTGAAAGGTGGATAATGAATTGAAAGGAGCTCGGAGAAGAAAGAGCGACAGGTCTTCATGCAAGGGGAGGGAAAAGGGGGAAGCAAATATTTCATGACTCGTGTCAGCAGGAGGTTCTGTATACGCAGCAAAGACATAAAGCATGCATGCATTGGAATTTGAACGGGCGCATTGCTAGCGCGCAGAGAGTAGCAAGGTCATGAAGTGAAAAAATGAGGTATAAGCAAAGAATGGTGAAGGCAAATACTGGTTTGAAAAAATTTCGTTATCGTTGGTTTTTGAAATTGTTATTGTACATCGGTTATCAGTTCCGCATAAACTAATCAGAAATCAAATGTCATTCAAACTTTCCTTACAACATTGTTCCAGAAAGCTGCTTTATTTAGGATGTTCAGTATTACACATTTATTATTGACAATTTCCAAATTGAATAAATGTGTTCGAAAAGTGTATAAAAGCAAATTCCAATTTGTTTCTATCATACACAACAACATAAGAGACATAGAGAAAAAGACAACGAAACGCTAAACTACGTCTCTGCGTTGACACAAATCAATCTTGTGAGACGCAGAAAAGAGAAAAATCGGTATATGCCTGCAACTGAAATTTTTTGTCATAGTTGAAGGTTTCTTGAAACAGTAAACGTGCTCAAAATAATAAATTTTTCTTGAAAAGTGTGCAAACTTTGAGAAGTTCCTGAAAGCATTTCGAGCAACTGCTTAGCAAATGCACAAAACATTTTGAGAAAAGTATTAAAGAAATCGTGAAACAAAATCAGGAATTGGTGCAAAATTCCAATAACTCCTTTAAGCACTGTCAAAAAAGCAAATAAAATAGGGTGGACGATAAGGTAAGAATGAGAAGAACACCAGAAAAAAAACTGAAATCGTAGTCCAAGTCAGTGGCCGGAATCCGGAAAACGTCAATTTCGATTGGCTTTTTAGTGGTCGAAATTACAACCCAATTTCTTGAGACAGGTTTCAATCTCTTATCTAGGGGTAATATTATATATTAAATTTTTTACAGACTGTTTTATACCTTTAGGAACTACTAGGGTTGAACAATTGTTCCGCGCAATCCCTTTGCAGTCAATAGCTATTGACGGTTGCTGGAATTGAATTCCAGAAATTTTATCTACAAGTAAGAAAATGTGCAAAAAACAAATAAAGATAGACTGATCTGGACCTTTTGAGGGTGGATATAAATGAAGTTTTAAATGAAGCACATCCTTGATGTTAAATGTGGATATAAAAGATTTTTTGTTCAGTGCATATACCTGAAGACGCAAATTGAAAGCTTTGCAATAAGAAACTAACCGTTTTTGTGGACATGGTATGCTCCGGAAAAACAAACTCGTAGGTTGGCATGAGATCAAGCAGCCTGAAAGTCAAATGTTCACCCACAGCGGTCAGTGATAATGTGGCATACTCTCGTTCGTCGATATAAAGTTCAGGTGGAATATCTACTTTATACAGAATTCGACATTGTGAAATCCTTTGCTTTGTTATCAAAACAGTTTTTATTTGTAATTCTCTGCCAAGTCCAAAGCCTTCAAGCTGCAATTGCTTTTTAAATTCAACTTTGTATTTATTGCGACTTTCTACTTGAAACTGAATTGTACTGCTTCCGCTAGAAAATGAGTCGCATGATTCGCTATTCCCCGGAAACAAAAAATATATAAAGAACAACATTTATTAATGTCCATGGAGTGCCGGTTTCATTGGTAGACAAGGATTGTCAGAAATATCAAGTGTGCAAACACGGTGACGGCACTATGCAGACATAATTGTTTATTAGCTGATTGTTAACAAATTGCATTTGTTTAGTTTTGCTTTTTATCACCATAAATAGTTCATCCTAATATTCTCTCAATTTTTTGCATTCAGCAGCATGGCAGATGTTATTGGAAGAATTCGAGCACAAGATGAATATTGTGAATTTTATGACATGGCCACACAAATCCGAAACCAAAAACTACTAACTGACGCAGAGGTGGGCACAGGTTATGTGGAGGAGCAAGAAATCAAATAGTTTTTAGCTCAACTCACTGAACAGACATCAACAAGAAGTAACGGATGCTGAAATCAAACTGTTGACAGAAGCTTGGAAAGGCTCTTGCTGGAATGTGAGAATCTAAACGTTGTTAAAAAGAAACACTTAAGCTATACATTTTCAGAATATTGTGCGACTACTGAGAATTGAAAAATTAGATCCTTCTGTTTCATGCCGATTGCTGAAAAACATTGATGAAACTGTTGCTCTTCCAGCCTACAAGTATGTTTAGTCTTCAGTTTTCCCAAATAGTGTTCTGCACAGACATGTTGGTCACTATTTTTCCTACCTTGCTCAACTTTTGTCCGTTCTGTACGAAAAACCGGACTTGGTGGCTGACCTGCTGAACAGCGTTGATCAGAATGATGTGAGTTAGAAAAATACTGGTTAAAAAAAAATATTTTCATAATTTTATCCAATGTGTTCATAATGAACGTCTCAAAGTATCAAATATTGTGAAACATTTGAGCATACGCAAAATAGTTCAATCTCAATTTTACTGGCTAGCCCCTTATGATACAGTATTCACGGTGGTTTTGCACTTAACAAATACATTTCAGGTGTCATCGAACGACTGTGTTATTCAAGTGTTTTTCCAATTGATTTATTCATGTGGACTATATCCCGAAGATGAGCTCAAGTTAGCAAGAGTGAACGACCCATTTAATACAACAGATGTTTTGAGTTTGTATTCTTAACAGGTTGTTTGCTACTTGCTAAAAGTGCAACTTCTAAAATCGGGCTCTGAAATGAGAAAAATGCTGAGAAAAGAAACATCGATGTCCACACGTTTTTATAAACATTTTGTGGAATTCATGCACCCATCAATGGTTTATCTAACAAAAGCTCTACGGAAAAGTGTTCTTGACGTGATTCAGCTTGGTAGCTTTTGGTTGGATATCGATGCAAAACAGGTAAGGCTTTATTTTCGTTCTGTCGCTCTTTACCTGAATCTTAGTTAAAAGTGCTAATTCGCATTATTTTTTCAGTCAAAAACCAGATATCTCCGTGATAACAAACAAAATGCAGACCGTCTGCCTGAATACAGAGCTTTAGTCGTATCAAAAATAGTTGAGCTTGTTGATACATTCCTCGAAAGTATGCCTTGTTTTTTAAACATTTTTAGTTATTTCTTTTATGTTTCAGATATAGCGCAGGCATTGCCAATGCTTCCACCAAATCTGAATTGGATCGTCAGAGATGTTTTTTGCTATTTGTATGAAGTTGTTGATGATGTTTCGGCTGTTGAGGTAGTCTTTTCTAGAACGAGCATCTAGACCTTTGGTAAAAATCTTTCAGGTCAGTCACGCGTGCAAGGATATGATAGTTTCCAATTTAATTTGTCCTGCAATTATAAGTCCACAAAAATATGGTATTGTGGATAACAATGTCAAAATTGGAAGTATTGTCAATCATAATTTGGTTCAAATAGCAATGATTATTCAAATTATATCTCTGCGAGAGTTTGAAGCTCCGCCAGAGGAATACCAAGAGTTTTTGAGTCAATGCACCGTGAGAAGGAAACATGTTTTAATAAATTATCAAAATTTTTCAGAAAACTCATCTCATTTCGGACATGATGGATGCATTGCTTATTGAACAGTCAGCGCCGGATGTTGAAATAACGTCCTTGTTTGCTAATGAGTCGGCTCAATCAGATCAGGCAAGAAAAACAAGTTTTGTCGGTTCTATTGCGGATGTCAATGTTCTGGTATATTGCTTACACCGTCATCGTATTTCTTGGGAATATTTCAGGTGAACCTTGTTAGAAGCGCCAACACGTCATCAGTTGCAAAAATATCGAGCATTTTAAATATCTGCGAAAAACTGCCTGAGACCGTAGTGTCAATTAACCAAAAAACAAAGTATACCAGTTCAGAAGTCAGTCCTAAAGTATCAACTTTTCGGAATATTCATAGAAAAGGTAGAAAACAAGCAAGTAATTTTTTTTGAAATTCAATTTGTTTAAAATTTCAGTACAACATTCACTGAAACGTTCGACTGAATCATCCAGTAACAACAGTGTCCCCCCTTGTCTAGTGAACGAACCTTTATTTGAGAAAGAAAACTTTGAACTTTTTTTCTTGGAATATTTGCCGTGAGTGATAACTTCATGGCTACAGAAATTGCTACGCAATGCAAAAAATACGGCTCTATCCTGGACGAGCGCTACTTTGGTGGAATCAGCGGTACCGAAAAAAATGGACGGTACTACGGGGGAACCAGCGGTACCATTAATTGAATCAACGGTACGAAAACGCGGAACGATCACTACCATAGCGGAATAAGCGGTACTAACGACTTAAAATAGTTTTCACTCGTTTTCAAATCAATTTTTTGTTTATTCTGTTTTATTTTGGTTATATAAGTGATGCACAGTCCGTTTCATAAGTATAGGGCCACCCCTAAAATTAAATATATTGTGATTCCCGAACAAAATACAAAGACAGGACCTTAAAAATTCTTCACTTCAACAATCGGGAGCTCATAACTCGGTTGAAACTGATTCGATTGGCACAAAACTCAAACATGTCATGTTTCAAACCTTCCTTATGAAGTCCTAAAAGTGGGCAATGTCAGCCTGTAGTTTGGCGCTCAAGCCAGTCTGATCCTTGTTGGACCTGGTTTTATTTTGGCTGAGATTCCACACGCTTTAACAAAATTTACTTGAAAATGCTCAAAAAACTTGTCTCAAACAAGATTTGACTCAATTGATATCATCGGAGTCCCCCGGCTCCACTCCCGAGGTCCACACAGAACATGAGGCTAAACCTGGGAGAGTGGCCCCGGGGTCATTGCACATGATTTCAAAAAGGCTTTTTGGACATCGTAAAGGTGCAAAGAACCCCATTCAAGATCATGTTTATCAGTTTAAGGGGCTTCCAGAGTGTTTTCAGGGGTGACCCTATACTTATGAAACGCTTGCAGTTGCAACATTTTCAGATATTTCAGCACCATTCCCCAACTATCCTATACACTGCTCTCAAAATTGTTTTCCGGGGGTTATTTGTGATGCTGATTTCGATTTTTAAGGTCCTGTCTTTGTATTTTGTTCGGGAATCACAATATATTCAATTTTAGGGGTGGCCCTATACTTATGAAACGGACTGTATATAACATAACAATAGGACAACGCCAATGAAGACAAAAAGAGACAGAAGACGAGCCCTAGTTTTTTTCTGAATTAGACAGTCCGATTAAAGTTTCTAGAAATTTCGGGTCACTTCCGAAGGGCCAAAAAGATAGAGAGTTTTTGCGATAAGGTATTTTGACTAATTAGCCGGCGGGCTCCCGGAGGAAGCCCCTATTTCCATTTTTCGCCGCGAGGAGGCTGCCGCGAGGAGGCAGTCATGAAGAACAAAAATAGGTTTGATGCCGCCCTTTCAGTTTCTGAAGTCGTTCATTCAGTCAATGGTACTGTCCATTCCGTCAGAGTACCGCTCATTCAGCTATAGTACCGCTGGTTCCCCCGTAGTACCGTTCATTTCTTCTTAATACCACTGATTCCATTAAAGTTCCGCTCATCCTAGAGCCAAACAAAAACACAGACAGTCAATTCCTGTGTTTTATATATAAGAAAAATTTCGAAACTCAATTGTAGACAAAGCAATTTGGAGAATACGCCGAAATTGTTTGAAGCTCCACATCTTTTTGACTTCTCGCAAACTGAAGTTGAAGACAATGACAAGGAAAAACACGGAAAAGACGAAGATGAAGCAAAAATGGAAAAGCGTTTGTCTAATGCACCGAAAGAAAAAGCGCAAACTATAGAAATTATACAGCATGCATCATCACAGTTGTGAGTTTCTTTCAAAAAAAAACGGACAAAAATAATTTCTCGAATATCACTGTAGGGCTTCCCCGGAATCATCTGCGAACAACATTACTTCGAACAAGTCCCAGGACACTCTAGATAGCAAACGAGGTCTTTCGAAATTCAAGGGACTGAGCGATAAAATGAAGAAAGGTTGGAAAGTCCAGGTTTCTTTAATTCAAAGCAATTCTAGGTTTGGCTCAATCCAACACACTTTCTGACATTCGGGAACACTTGCGTCGAAGCGGAAATTCATTGAAACAAGGACTCGCGCCCAGTAATAGCGAACAACTACTTTCTGAGGCAATGCCCGGTCCAAGAGACGACATTTTGGAAAAGTATGCATCTATTCCTGCTATCAGGAAGGAGAAGGCAGTTCTGACGAACTTTGTTGAGATCGAGAATAAAAGCATGTACAAAGAACGAGTAGAACCATATTACTCTTCGGATGATATTGTCACTTGTAGGTAAGCAGCAATAATCTTTTTTTTTAAATATATTTTTGACAAGCCGGCTACGCCGGTGTTACAAAAACCTACAAGAACTACAAAAAAGATCGCTCCGCTCGCATGTCTACTAGCTCGACCTTCGGTCTCGCATGGTCCGCTGGTGGTCGAAAGGTCACAGGTAGGCTGGTCGAATAGGCGCCTGAAAAAAACAGGCGCCTGCTTTTCAGGCGCCTGTTTTTTCAGGGGCCTGTTTTTTAGGCGTCTGTTTTTTCAGGCGCCTGTTTTTTCAACGGGCCGCCGCGTCCCTGCGTTGAGAAAACAGGCGCCTGAAATCGCCTGTTCGACCAGCCTAGTCACAGGTAAAAGACGATGGGATCCATATGCGTTGAATACGGAGGACGCGTGGAATATGTAGAAATATTATTAGGATTTTATAAAGATCCGCTCAAGGAGGCGCGTGGATCCACTAGAATTAACACGAGAAAATTCTCCGTTTTCCGTCCATGCGCTATCCACTTTCCCCGAAAACACGGAGCATAAAAATGGTCTAACAATGCTCTAGGTTTGCTTTATAAGCCCTTGAATTTTTAGAATGATTGCACACTCTCAAATTACGCTATTTTCAACTGAAAATGGTAAAATGGGATAAACTTTTGGCCAGCACTGTATATGATTCTATCCCCCCTCTCTATATTATATTTTTAATAGATACGCAGCTGTGGTAACAGGCAGGCAGCACTTGTTTCATGTATAAGGAAAATATCCCTTTTTCCTATAATGGGGTCTGTATTGACTCTGTTCTTATCGGCATTGGTTTTCTATGTTGAAACGTTGTTTTTGTTACAGAGCATTCCAAGACACTCTTCGCAAGATGTTGACTGTATTGGGAAATGTTTCGTATCTTCCCAGAATTGGTTATAGGAATAAGAAAAATGCAGAAACGCCAAAAAAAAAGCATTTGCTTGATCGATTTTTGGATGGAGTTCTAGTTGAAACTGAGCACAGAAGAGAGTACGGACAGGCAGCTCAGTTACGAGAAGTGAAACGATGCATTGAACTGTTTGAGAACGCTGGGTAATTATTGAAAGTGTATTTGACAAATGTTTTGTTTTCAGAGTTGAGATTTTGATCGATCATATCAAGCAAAAGGATAGTGAACAAGAGAACGTGATTTCTAATATGAGAAAAGAAAGAACATCATTGATGCGAAAATTGAATGATATGTCGTCATTGGAACAACGAGTATTACTGTAAGCACACTATGCCCTCGTTGAGAAGCTGTCAAGAAATTTCAAGAAGTTTTAGAAATGGTTGACTTACAAGGGGGCGCAGAAGTCTGACACTGATCTTTCGTCAAATTGGAGCGAATTTAAATTTTGATTTTGATGTAATCTGCTGCGTCCCCGTGTAGATTTCATCAAATCCTGAACACTTGGAGAGATTTCTCGATGTCTGTCAAAAATCCATTTATCGAGCATGCACACACACGGAGCATTTATTTTCCTTTTTTTTCAGAAACAGACTGTTAACAGAGGAAGTTCTTGTTGATTTTCTGATGCGAACTTTTTTGGAAACTGGATTCTATAAGCAGCATGCAATTGGAAAGACTCCTGAGGTCGCAGCGGTTCTCAAATTTTATGAAGAGTTCAAAAGTTTGCAAGCACACGATGAGCGAGCGGAATTTCTGCAGAACTTGCTGAGATTCTTGAAAGAACGACTGATGCAAAATCATGATTGGAATGTGAGGAAAATTCATTTCGAACAAATAAAGAACATTTTGGAATGAGGCAGGGTATCGAGTACGAAAGCGCTGCAATTGCGGTATTCGGCACTCCTCAGCAAAATTTAACCACATCTTAAACAATTTTTAAATAGAAACTGGTCAAAAATTGTGCAAACTAGTCCAGATAAAAAATTAGAGTGTGCGTTTCGAAAGGGCTGTCAGAAGATGTGAAGGCAACATAGAAAAATAGTTTTTGTGCTAAAAAAAGAAACACCCTGCCAAGAAAGTTTTCAAGTTTTTTTTAGTTTGCAAGTCCGTCGATGATTGAAAGAGCGATGACAACAATTGAGCGTTATGTAATGTTCTCAGTTTATGACTTGGCTTTTTATCCTAACCGAGAAGTTGATCATCATCGAGACAAGTATTTTCAAATATTATGAAACCAAAATGATTTCAAGTTTTAGACTTCTACGAGGAACAATCGCTAAAGTGATGAATATTGTGACGCCTGGAAATGATTCTTTGAAAATCCCAGAAGTTTGCTGCTTATTCAAAAAATATATAATTGCAAAAGTTGCAGCATCTACTTGGAGAGGCTCCGTGGCCTTCAGCGCAAGCGGAGTTATCTATGCTCGATGTTTATGTTACTGCTCAGGAAAAATTGAACTGTATTGTACGATGCTGTGATGTTATCAATAACTTGATTGCGCTGTCTTCGAAAAATGCAGTTGCCTCTGCTGATGATCTCACGCCAGTTCTTGTTTTTGTAATTATAAAGGTTTGTAAATTATACTCCTCAGCCCATCTTAACGTAAAAACGTTACAATTCTCAGATTATTGTGGAATACAGCTTTAAAATTTCCTCTCCAGTTGTTGATCATTCTTTTAGTCTTCTCGATATTCTACTACTTTTACTTGAGAAATCTTTCTTAAAGAGAAAACTGATTTTATTTATTTTATTTATTCATTTATTCATTCACTAATAAGTAAGAAAGGGGAGAAAGCGCAGAGAATGAGGGTGAACTGAAGTTGAACTATAGAGCTTCTCCGAAAAAAGGCCATATAATGTGTTCCATTTTCAGGCAAATCCCCGTTCACTTCTATCCAATTTACAATTTGTCGAAACATTTGCTGGTGACAAAATTGAATCCGGTCGAGACGCTTACTACTGGATTAACTTCAAATCTGCAGTCGAATACATCAAAACTATTTTGTGATAATTTAAATTAAAAAATTATTTGTTTAAACTCATTACAATTGTACAAAATGAACTATTTTCAAGCAAACGTTTTTTAAACAAATTTTTTTGCGCGAGCTTAAAAAATAATGTGTCCATTTTAAACATTTTAAATTTTGCTAGAAATTAGATTATGACAGACAATAAACTGGGCAACACATCTTCACATGACATTTTTTCGTTCTGAGTTTTGCTTGAACCATTTTGATGCAATGGTGCTCCATTGCAAACTGACGGAGAAACAAATGTCTGACATGGTAGAAATCTCCACAGTAATAGTGCACACAGAATATTCGTGCTTCCATTCTGATCATTTTTTTAGGAACTACTCGAACATCATGTTTAAGTAAAAATTTTCTCTGTTTAACATTTTTTGGTTGTGAATTTAATTTGTGTGTTGTATCTTCGGAAATATCGATATGTAAATTATTGTTCTTCTCTCGTGGTTATTCATTGACAACGCGGAGCGACAAGAGAGAGAGAGAGAGAAAAAAAGAAAGCGAGAGAGAGAGAGAGATGGCTACAAATCGTAGATATGTCCCTTTTCCTTTCTCCGTTCGTGTGCGGAAATTTATTATAATGTTTGGAAACGTGGGCTCAATTTATTACAATGTTTGGAAACGTGGGCTCACAGTTGTTCGTAATCGTTTTTATTCGGATGATTGACCATCTCTCTTTTTTTCTTTTCTTATTAACTGACATTTCAGAGTCTACACACACGAAAATGACTGTTGAGGGCGAAAAACCGACAAAAAGCTTGTCAATGCTCTTGGTAAAGAACAATTTTCAAACAAATTGGATATCATTTAAAAAACAGGAGGAAACGCCAATTGAGCCGAATGATCACCCCATTCAGTATTCGTACACGTTCTCTTACTTTATGCGTCCGACGGGAAAGTTTGACCCAGAGGACTACGCAAGTTACGTTCAACCGGTGGGGGTCATGAAGTCGGTGGAGCAGTTCTGGAAAATCATGATTTATTTCAAACGTCCCACTGGTAACCGACAGCTTAATTGAGACTATGGCCCAAGGCTTTCATTACAGATATGTGTGATAAAGCCGACATTCACTTCTTCAAAAGTGGAATTAAACCAGTCTGGGAAGATCCAGCGAATTGCAAAGGTGGAAAATGGATCATCCGTCTGAAAAAAGGACTTTCCGCTCGCATTTGGGAAAACTTGTTGATGGCAATCGTTGGAGAGCAGTTCCTTGTTGGAGATGAACTTTGCGGAGCAGTTTGTTCGATTAGAAACCAAGAAGATATTATTTCCGTTTGGAACAGGTTTGTTTCATTTGAGAAAGTAAAATATTGCTGAGATTTCCAGAAGCGCCGATTCAACACCAGCCACCAACCGTATCCGTGATACGCTGCGACAAGTTCTGGAGCTTCCACAGAACACCGTACTCGAGTACAAACGACACGACGATTGTCTGAGGGACCAGAGTTCCTACCGCCATACTTCAAAGACCACTTACAAAAACAACTGATACTTTTTAGAGATTCAGCTATTAAGAGGCAATTTCTGAGAACCTCGAAATTCGCTAATTACACCAGGTCACTAAAAATTCAGAATGCTTCAATTTGTCTCATATTATACCCAATGGGTACTTACATAACAGTGATACATCAGACAAGTTTTGGTCCGGCTCCTTGGTCCCTAGTCCGATCACGGTCACAAAATAGGTCAAACCTGTAACTAATTTCAAAAAAATGGTAGCGTCTCAGACTCAAGACCATTCGACTTCTCGCATCTTTTTAAGCATTTTTCATGTTGGCACCAAAAACTTATCACCTTTCCTTCATGGAGAAATTTCGGATTTTTCGTGAAAAAGTTGAGTTGTTCTGCAGTTTTCCTCCGTGGTGAAAATTTTTTGCACTTCATAGCCACGATTTTATTTCAAATTCATAATCTACGGACAATTTTACGTCGATATACCATACTGTCGCACATTTGCCGATTGACATCAAAGGAGTTTTTTTCAAAAGTTTGATCCGGTCTCAAAAAAAATTTCTGTTCTGCTTTTGGAAAACTTACAGAAACAAGGGAATTCCTGTTTATAGACGTTTTTTATGCTTAAAACTGTAATTCTGTTTGTGTATTCGTCAGGTACAGCTTTGTAAACGTAGTGATTAAAACATGTTGAAATTTTTTGTCAGCCGGATAGATTTTTCGAGATGTGTTCGCTTTTACCCAATATTTTATTCTTTCTCTCGTTTTTATTTTTCAATGTTTATCTAACTTTTTGTGAAGCATTTATTTGGTCGTTCTCCGATTGATTCAAGAACGGTAAACAAGAAGTACATATTATAGGGGCACCGCACAGAAATGGCGCTCTGTTGAGAAACTCTTTTTGCAGTGCAAATTGAGCGACCTCGGGGCCGAGTTTGAAAAGTTAGGCCACATTTTCAGTGGAAAATTACTTCGCGGCCTAGCAATTCGGCCAGATTGCGAACAGCGCGCCCTTTCTGTCCGGTGCCCCTATAATACACATGGGGAAACACTCAACAACAAAAGTACATCAAATAGATATAAAAGCACAAAGCAAATTTTGTGTAGCTATTCTTCTTACTATTTTCAAACTTCTGATATTATTAGATGGTCAATATTACAGATTATAATGAAACTCATTGTTTTCCTGATTGTACAGTTGCTCTTGCAATGGTCAATTTGTTCCGTCAAGTAATTTGATGTCATTGACTGGAACATACGAGTTCGAACATGCCGGATACACTTCAACTGTGATTGGGTCTATTGATGAAGAACGAAATGCTGTACTGTCGCAGAAGCAGACCAAGTTTTGGTACTTTCCGGAATGTGCTAAGTCAACTGATTCTCAAAACACTGCTTGCATTGAAGAAGAAGATGAAAATGAAGTGGAAAGCGATGAAGTGAGACCGCGGTACGAAGACGCTTTGGGAAAGATATTTACATGCCCAGAGGAAGGATGCTCAGCTACATTTTTGAGATATTCAAGCGTGGTCAAGCATGTTGAACGTGGACAACATATAATTCGACCTGAACGGCAGACACTTCGTGATTTTTCATTGAAATATTTTATTCGTGGTTTGGAAGAAGTGGTCAAAAAGTTGCCCAATAATTTCGGATGCTGTGAAAAAACTGAAGGAAACGAACGAGAAGACGGAATTGGAAGCTAGAAATCCGGACGGTTCTAAGCGGTTTTCAGTGGATCAAAGGAAACCCTTCCGTCACATTGCCGGTTTCTTCTCCCATGAAGCAGCGAAAAGGCAATCAAAAGCAGCACTCGCGACGCGCTCAAGAAATGAAGGATGAATCGTGGAAGGAAGACTATACTATTCCAGAGGAAGAGCATGACGATGCTGGAGTGATCCGATATTTGAAACTTGAAAGCACTTGGACTATCGGTGATTCTTTTTATTACGCACTAATAGAATCCAGTGATCCAATTTTTGCTATGGAAGAAACTGAAATGTGAAGAAAATACGCTTTACAATTTTCCTGTTTTAGGTTTTTCTCATGTACTTTTGTTGTTGAGTGTTGCCCCTTGTGTATGTACTTCTTACCGTTCTTGAATCAATCGGAGAACGACCAAATAAATGCTTCACAAAAAGTAAGATGAACATTGAAAAATAAAAACGACAGAAAGCATAAAATATTGGGTAAAAGCGAACACATCTCGAAAAATCTATCCGGCTGACAAAAAATTTCAACATGTTTTAATCGCTACGTTTACAAAGCTGTACCTGACGAATACATAACAGAATTACAGTTTTTAGCATGAAAAACGTCTATAAACAGGAATTCTTTTGTTTCTGTAAGTTTTCCAAAAGCAGAACAGAAACTTTTTTTTGAGACCGGATCAAACTTTTGAAAAAAACTCCTTTGATGTCAATCGGCAAATGTGCGACAGTATGCTATATCGACGTAAAATTGTCCGTAGATTATGAATTTGAAATAAAATCGTGGCTATGAAGTGCAAAAAATTTTCACCACGGAGGAAAACTGCAGAACAACTCAACTTTTTCACTAAAAATCCGAAATTTCTCCATGAAGGAAAGGTGATAAATTTTTGGTGCCAACATGAAAAATGCTTAAAAAGATACGAGAAATCGAATGGCCTTGAGTCTGAGACGCTACCATTTTTTTGAAATTAGTTACAGGTTTGACCTATTTTGTGACCGTGATCGGACTAGGGACCAAGGAGCCGGACCAAAACTTGTCTGATGTATCACTGTTATGTAAGTACCCATTGGGTATAATATGGGACAAATTGAAGCATTCTGAATTTTTAGTGACCTGCAGTTTTTGAACTTCTCAGACATTGCCTCTTAAAAACAAGCAACTGGATTTTGGGTTTCCAATGATGAAGTCTTTCTAACGAAGTATTTTTGGAAAAAGTAAGGAGAATTCTGAAAAAAATCAGCGTGACATTGCAAAATACTGTCATCTGCTTTTATAAGAAATTTGAAAGTAAAATCCTGTAAGACAAAAATGAACTGATCAAAAAATAATTTCCACTTGTTTTTTTACTGCAGTATTTGACTTCGAAAATTCATATAAACTCAGTTGACGCTATTTTCAAATGATTGACAACACGTTTTGATTCAACATAGCCTACTGTATCATCATGTTTTAATTTTAATTTTTCTAATTTCCGGAAAGTGCTTCCTTAGCTAGTTTCGAGCCTTTTCGTAACTTTATTAAAACGATCAACTGGGTTCCAATGACGAAATCTTATCTTTGAAAATTTCCATAACTTTAGTCATTGCTTTTTGTCTACGTTTATTGTAAAAAATTTGTGATTTGTTTTCAACAAATATTGCAAAGTCTATGTTCTGGCCATAATATGAATTGTCCACTCAACCTTAGTTTGGACGAATCTTTGAAGCTGAAGTAATTGCCTTGTAGAAACGTCAACTTTAATGGACATGAAAACTTGTTGCATCAGTGAACATGCCGACCCTCGTCAAATTTCAACCCTTAGGCAACTAGTCTGGTGGATTGAGTTGTTTATAATATGAATAATCTTCTCTTGAAATTGTTTCTGATGATATTGATAAAAGGTATTTATTGTTTTTGATTAATCTTTGTCTTTTGGATTTTTAAATTTCAGATTCCTTTTCTCGTTTACATATAAACATTTATGGAATAAACTCTCAGCGCGGACATAATTCAAATCGTGACGTGTTGTCTAATCACTGGCTTCAAAAACATCGTCTCGTATTGTAGGTATTTGGGCTCATGAAATAGCGGTACCATCATTTAACCGTCCAATCTGCTGTGATACTGTTAATTTTGCTCTTTCATATAGCCTTATCAGCCATTGGTATTTTTCATTCGTGTAAAGTACCCTCCAATCAACCACAGGTAACTATGGTAGTGCTATTGAAAAAACTTGCTAGAAAAGTATTTTCTGAGGCAAAATTCTAAATAATACTACTTTGCAACTTTAGAAACTCTTTATCGATGCTGAATAAAATATTGTATCACTTCGATTTACAGTGTTTTTCATGAACATACCCCTAAAATTGAATATATCGTCTCTCCCGAACAAAATACAAAGACAGGGCCTTAAAAATCGGAATCAGCATCTCAAGCAGTGCATAGGATAGTTTGGGAATGGTGCAGAAACATCTTAAAATGTTGCATCTGAAAGCGTTTTATAAGTATAGGGCATCTGATATCAGATTTTCGGCAAAAATGGAACCAGGCTGAACATCAGACTGGCTTGAGCGCCATTTTGGCCGAAAATCTGATATCAGGTGCTAGCGATTTGACATGATTGAACGAAATTGACTTGAAATGCTCAACAACATGCTTCAACAAGATTCGACTTAATCATCGAAATCCTCCGGATTCCCGAGCTCCACACAGAACAGTAGGCTAAGAGAGTGGCCCTATGTGGCGTCGGGGTCATTGCACATGATTTCAAAAAGTCCTTTTGGACACCCTAAGTGTGCCAAATATTCAATTCGAGATCATGTTAATCAGTTTCAGAAGATTCCAGGGTGTTTTCAGGGGTGGCCCTATACTTATGAAACGCTTGCAGATGCAACATTTTCAGATATTTCTGCACCATTCCCCAACGATTTTATGCACTGCTCTCAAATTGGCCTTCGGGAGGTTATTTGTGATGCTGATTCCGATTTTTTACCCCTGTCTTCGTAATTTGTTCGGGAGAAACGATATATTCAATTTTAAGGATGGCCCTTATGCTTATGAAAGGGACCGTATTCAATGGTCCTTACAGTCTTGTCGAAAATAGTTTTCTGCAAAGTTTGACTTTCAGGCGTCGTTATCCAAAAACAAGAGTATTCAATAATGTTTTCATGCATTGTTCTCAAACAAAAATAGTTTGTTTTTTAATGGATTTAGTTTCTTAATTCTATTTTTTCAGGAAACTCTCTTCATAAAAAGAATTGGTGGTAACTATCCATATGGCCCAAAAATGTTTCTCGTACTCCAGCAGAACATTTGTTATAATTATTTGAAAACTATTGCTTCAACTGCACGATTGGATCTTATTAAGGTTTTTGACTTTTGCCATAATTGAACATAGTTTACCCTTGCAGCGTGATCGTCGGCGCCACGAACGAACTTGGAATAAAATTTGGTGCAATCACTGCATTTCATACTGGAAAAAAGTTATGGGGGAAGATCACCAGTGTTGTGCAGCACAAAAGAAAATTTACTTATGATTGAAATAACCATGTTCTTGCGCATTATTTAAAAAAAATTGTTAGGCTGATCTTTTTTATCATGAATTATTATATTTCTGCGCATTCTGCGCCTGGAACCCCCTTGAAATTGTCTTGTAAGAATATCACATCCGTCCTGTGATCTAAAAAGTGTTTTACCCGTTATTCACAATTTATTGTCAATAGATCAAGAGCTGCAATTCGCTTATTCCCCAAATTGGCATCGTCTCACAGATCCCCCCCCCCCTATTAATTTCTAACTAATTTTCACTGTTTGATTGTATGTTTGAGTGATACTTCGTTTTTCATTTAATAAATGAAAATTCAATATTCGCCTCTCTTCTTCTAACTAATTGTCATTTTTAAAAGAGAGAAAGTTTTCTGTCAGTGCATGGAACACATGTAGTTCACCATTTTCAGATCAAATATGCTCTTTTATAACTTTGTTCAAATGAACGGCTTTTGAAGCCAAAATAAAGGCAACTAATATTTTCATTTTTTCTTCTGAAATCGGTAGCACTTTGCACGAGAAGTCTTCCTAACCGGTGCTTGCAAAGATTTTGTGCTCCTCCTTTAAACAATGGCGGTTTTCAAAATTGAGACTTTGAAGAGTTGTTCCTTCTTGAAAACTTGGTGCTATTGAACAGTGTGTGCCCTCTCGAATTTTTCGAGAAATTTTTCAAGTAATTTGAGCAGAAACGGTGCATGTTCTTGCGGCCGAGGAACACCGGGAAGGTCGTACAACGCATGTCCTTCATCAACATGGACCTGACGTTGGAAATCGAAGGCGTCGCCCAGTTTTTGTCTCCCTTTTGTTCGCAATCCAACAGCAACTTTTACTCCTCGACCTTTACGTGGAACTTTTCGATGTACACCGCCGATGTTAGTTTCTTCAAAGTGCGCTCATCTACCGCCTATTTTTCAAACGCCCATCCACACAACGAATCATCGTTCTCTTCTTCGTCGTCGAATTCAATGAGTTCCACGTGTTTCGGCTCGGTTCCTACGGCTCGATTTTACAGTATTTACGGTAAGTGTTCATTTCAACACTGGGCTTCGTCTGAGGCTTTTTCGGTCTGAAGTGGAACTGTGTGGTGAGAGTCAGATAATCCGGTTAGAGTTTCTATAATTTCAAGCTTACTTCCGAAGCTTATTTAAAAAAGGTATGTTGACTATTTAGCCGGCGTTCTTCGCCGCGAAGAGGATTAGTTCCTGGCGAGGTGGATTAGGCGAGGAGGATCGAGGAGGAAAATTGGTTGACTTTTTGCATTGCAATATGCCGCGTCCAAAGTTAAAAAAAAAACCGGAAATCACGCGGATTTTGCTGGGATTTCCTTGAACTTTTTACGCTTTTCTTAAACTTTGGACGCGGCATTAATGTCAGAGGGAGGAAGATAGGGAGTGCTGACTTCTTGCATTGCAATAACGTCAGAGGGAGGAAGAGAGGGAGAGCTGACTTTCTGCATTGCAATAACGTCAGAGGAAGGAAGAGAGAAAGAGCTGACTTCTTGCATTGCAATAACGTCAGAGGGAGGAAGAAAGAGAGCTAACTTCTTGCATTGCAATAACGTTAGAGGAAGGAAGAGAGAGAGAGCTGACTTCTTGCATTGCAATAACATCAGAGGGAGGACGAGAGAAAGCTGACTTCTTGCATTGCAATAACATCAGAGGGAGGACGAGAGAAAGCTGACTTCTTGCATTGCAATAACGTCAGAGGGAGGAAGAAAGAGAGCTGACTTCTTGCATTGCAATAATGTCGAATCAGAGGAAGAAGAGGGAAGTGGTTGAGTGACTGACACCCCATGGGTAGAAATGAAAAAAAACGAGGCAGCAACAGATAAAATGACTATTTCTTTTTGGCCATTCTAATTAGTGGGCGTGGCAACTGAGTGTAATTAGTGGGCGTGGCCACTGCACCTGGCTTTTCCTTCTTCCTGTTGTGGGCCTGGTATACTTTCCCATCGCAGTCCTTTGTCGGCATTCTTATCACTAATCTCCGCCGGTAATTAAGACCGCAGGTGTGAAAATGTGAGCTTCAAGCGGATTTGCGACAAGTTTAAAGAAGTCGACTTAATTACAGACGGATATTAGTGATAAGGACGCCGACAAAGGACTCCGATGGGAAAGAACGATTGGGATTTAGAAGCGTCATGGCACCATGCCAAGAGGATTCGGAACCTCAAAGCAACATGAAAATTCAACTATAATTTATTGAAACCACTATAAACAAGAAAATATTAAAGTGGTTTGGTGCGGTTGCCTTTGTTCTTGACAACATCCTTGAGTCTCTTCGGGAATGCCTCTACTGTAGCACGGAGGTATTCTGGAGATAGCTTGGCTCAGTCTGCCTCCAAATTTTTCTTCAATGACTCTAAATTGGGATGTGGATGTGCTTGAACCTTCGACTGAAGAACTCCATATAGAATAGTTCAAATCCGGTGACGACGCTGGCCATTCATAACTGCTGATAAAACGAGGAAAGTTGGCTGAGCACCAGGCTTGGACGACTTTTGCCTTGTGAGCGTCTTCATCAAAAAATTATATAAGCATAATTCATCGTCAAAAAAAACGCATTTTCGAATTCGTCGTTTACAAACAGTTCCGCAATGTCATTTGACACCTTCTTTCTGCTTTCAAAAGTTCTATTCAACAATTCTCGTTGTATTTCCCATGTCTTGAAGGCAAAATGTAAATTTAGTTTAAAAAGCACGCTTCATTGGATTTTCACAAAATCTGCCTAAAAACGGGTCAAATGCTCCGGTCCCGCGACAGTTACGATGTTCAAGCGCCTTTTCGCACACTGGTTCCCCCATGGTACCGTCCATTCTTTCTTGGTACCGCTGATTCCTCCAAAGTACCGCTCATCCAGGACAGAGCCAACAGTTGTACATCAAGTTAGTTTTTCATAGTTTGTTTTATAATTTGTACCAAAATGTTTTCATAAAAAGTTGATAAAGTTCATCCTGAAATAACACTATTATAGACTTCAAACTGTTGAATTCCTGCTTTTCTATTTTTTTTGCAATGTAAATTTTTTTCTTCTTACGTGTAACGATTTATGATACATCTCAGCTCATCGATAGGCCAGTCAAAAACAAGAGCAGCTGTCATTGAGCTCTTCCTCCGATGTTTAAAATAAATTCACAGTGATTTTGTTTGAACCGTTTTAAACCGATGTTGCAATATCAGGCACCAAGTGAAACACTGGTTCTCAGAAAACGTATGTTTTCAAAGCACTTTCTTATGCGGTTAGCGATGTACCTTTAGTTTAACACCATATGACAAAACGCAGCGTCTGCTGTGCTACCGCCTGCCACGCCAGATGCCAACGCCTGTCGTTTCTTCTACCTAGTACTCGGACTTTGTTTATTACTTTCACAACCTGTGGTGTACTCAGAAGACTCAGTTCTTTCTTGAAATACAAGCAGGATAACTTTCGTTTAAACTTTAAGAGGCAATGTCTGAGAACCTCGAAATTCGCTAATTACACCAGGTCACTAAAAATTCAGAATGCTTCAATTTGTCTCATATTATACCTAATGGGTACTTACATAACAGTGATACATCAGACAAGTTTTGGTCCGGCTCCTTGGTCCCTAGTCCGATCACGGTCACAAAATAGGTCAAACCTGTAACTAATTTCAAAAAAATGCTAGCGTCTCAGACTCAACGCCATTCGATTTCTCGCATCTTTTTAAGCATTTTTCATGTTGGCACCAAAAATTTATCACCTTTCCTTCATGGAGAAATTTCGGATTTTTCGTGAAAAAGTTGAGTTGTTGTGCAGTTTTTCCTCCGTGGTGAAAAATTTTTTTTGCACTTCATAGCCACGATTTTATTTCAAATTCATAATCTACGGACAATTTTACGTCGATATACCATACTGTCGCACATTTGCCGATTGACATCAAAGGAGTTTTTTTCAAAAGTTTGATCCGGTCTCAAAAAAAGTTTCTGTTCTGCTTTTGGAAAAACTTACAGAAACAAGGGAATTCCTGTTTATAGACGTTTTTTTCATGCTAAAAAAACTGTAATTCTGTTATGTATTCGTCAGGTACAGCTTTGTAAACGTAGCGTTTAAAAACATGTTGAAATTTTTTTGTCAGCCGGATAGATTTTTTTCGAGATGTGTTCGCTTTTACCCAATATTTTATGCTTTCTCTCGTTTTTATTTTTCAATGTTCATCTTACTTTTTGTGAAGCATTTATTTGGTCGTTCTCCGATTGATTCAAGAACGGTAAACAAGAAGTACATATTATAGGGGCACCGCACAGAAATGGCGCTCTGTTGAGAAACTCTTTTTGCAGTTCAAATTGAGCGACCTCGGGACCGAGTTTGAAAAGTTAGGCCATATTTTCAGTAGAAAATTACTTCGCGGCCTAGAAATTCGACCAGATTGCGAACAGCGCGCCTTTTTCCGTCCGGTGCCCCTATAATACACATGGGGCAACACTCAACAACAAAAAAATACATCAAATAGGTATAAAAAGCACAAAGCAAATTTTTGTGTAGCTATTCTTCTTACTATTTTTCAAACTGCTGATATTATTAGATGGTCAATATTACAGATTATAATGAAACTCATTGTATTCCTGATTGTACAGTTGCTCTTGCAGTGGTCAATTTGTTCCGTAAAGTAATTTGAAGTCATTGACTGGAACATACGAGTTCCAACATGCCGGATACACTTCAACTGTGATTGGGTCTATTGATGAAGAACGAAATGCTGTACTGTCGCAGAAGCAGACCAAGTTTTTGGTACTTTCCGGAATGTACTAAGTCAACTGATTCTCAAAAACACTGCTTGCATTGAAGAAGAAGATGAAAAATGAAGTGGAAAGCGATGAAGTGAGACCGCGGTACGAAGACGCTTTGGAAAAAGATATTTACATGCCCAGAGGAAGGATGCTCAGCTACATTTTTGAGATATTCAAGCGTGGTCAAGCATGTTGAACGTGGACAACATATGATTCGACCTGAACGGCAGACACTTCGTGATTTTTCATTGAAATAATTTATTCGTGGTTTGGAAGAAGTGGTCAAAAAGTTGCCCAATAATTTCGAATGCTGTGAAAAAACTGAAGGAGACGAACGAGAAGACGGAATTGGAGGACGGATGGGTACTTCAAGTAAGAAATGTCAACATGCGGATCCGAGAATTGTTGAAAAGAGAATGGCAGAAGCTAGAAATCCGGACGGTTCTAAGCGGTTTTCAGTGGATCAAAGGAAAGACTTCCGTCAGATTGCCGGGTTCTTCTCCCGTGAAGCAGCGAAAAGGCAATCAAAAGCAGCATGATCGCGACGCGCTCAAGAAATGAAGGATGACTCGTGGAAGGATGTAGTTTTTTTCACTGAAAAATGTGGCCTAACTTTCAAACTCGGTCCCGAGGTCGCTCAATTTGAACTGCAAAAAGAGTTTCTCAACAGAGCGCCATTTCTGTGCGGTGCTCCTATAATATGTACTTCTTGTTTACCGTTCTTGAATCAATCGGAGAACGACCAAATAAATGCTTCACAAAAAAAGTAAGATGAACATTGAAAAAAATAAAAAAACGAGAGAAAGCATAAAAATATTGGGTAAAAAGCGAACACATCTCGAAAAAAATCTATCCGGCTGACAAAAAAATTTCAACATGTTTTTAAACGCTACGTTTACAAAGCTGTACCTGACGAATACATAACAGAATTACAGTTTTTTTAGCATGAAAAAAACTTCTATAAACAGGAATTCCCTTGTTTCTGTAAGTTTTCCAAAAAGCAGAACAGAAACTTTTTTTGAGACCGGATCAAACTTTTGAAAAAAACTCCTTTGATGTCAATCGGCAAATGTGCGACAGTATGGTATATCGACGTAAAATTGTCCGTAGATTATGAATTTGAAATAAAAATCGTGGCTATGAAGTGCAAAAAAATTTTTCACCACGGAGGAAAACTGCACAACAACTCAACTTTTTCACGAAAAATCCGAAATTTCTCCATGAAGGAAAGGTGATAAATTTTTGGTGCCAACATGAAAAATGCTTAAAAAGATGCGAGAAATCGAATGGCGTTGAGTCTGAGACGCTAGCATTTTTTTGAAATTAGTTACAGGTTTGACCTATTTTGTGACCGTGATCGGACTAGGGACCAAGGAGCCGGACCAAAACTTGTCTGATGTATCACTGTTATGTAAGTACCCATTGGGTATAATATGAGACAAATTGAAGCATTCTGAATTTTTAGTGACCTGCAGTTTTTGAACTTCTCAGACATTGCCTCTTAAATCCTCCTTTTCTTTCTCTCATATATTCTAGTTGCAGGAGTCATCAGTGTCATGAAGTGGTTCATCCTCATTCTTTTTCTACATGCACTTGCCGTGGCAGACCAGATCTCAGAGCAACTATGCGCTTCTCCTAATGCCCAGCAGAGTTGTGGACAATGTATCAAAGCTCATGCTGACTGTGCTTGGTGCATAGACCCAGTATGTCTAGTTGAAACCTTTTCATTTCTATTTTTTAATTTTCAGCACTCTACTCTGATCGACCGGTGTCAGTTAAGAACCAAGTTCACCAACGAAACGTGTACACCTCATTTGATATACTCTCCGCAAATTGCACAGACAAAGGTTCAACAGGTAATCATAGATTTTACTGCGTTCTAAACTGTGTTGTCAATTTAGAATTTACCTCTTGAAACAAAACAGCATGATGGAAAGACGTTTGTGCGGTTGCAACCTCAGGCTGTTTCAGTCCGTTTGATGCCCGGTTGGTTGATTTTTCCGCATTCTATTGCTCTTTTCAAGTCTTCAGGTCACTCTTCTACTGTTTCTTTCAAATACCTACATCAAACTGACCCAAAACGTCGACCTGCTGAGCCAGAGGTTATGGAAATTCAAACATCGGATGTCAGAGAGTTACCACTCGCACTTAAATTTTTTTTAGATTGCGACGGGTTTGTTGATTCTTTTGTGTATTATATGTTTCAGTCTGTTTTAAGAGAGTTGAAGGAAACAAAGTCGTGCGCAGTAAAGAACAATCAAATTATTGAGTTCAAAATTGAGGTGAGACCGGAGAATTCATCGTGAAATCAAAACGATAGTCATGCAGATTTTTGTAAACTCGTGTTCAAAAACTGGAGATATCACATTGTCGGTCGGAGTGTTAGGACAACGAACAATTGCTGGGCTCTACGTCACAACAATCTGCGGTTGCGAGTGTGAAAAACACCCGGTTAGATAATTCTTACTTTTGTGAAAAAAACCGGAAAACTGTTCAGGAGATCAACTCGAGATTGTGTCATCAGAATGGCCATCTGGTGTGTGGTCAGTGTGTCTGTGACCAAAACAGAGGTGGAAACAAGTGTGAATGTCCATTGGCTCTGCATGGAGTCACTTCAGCTCTTGCTCTTGAGGACAAATGCAGATTGTATCAGAGAAATTGTTTTATAATGAAAACTGTTATTTTTAGCAACTCAACACAACCCGTTTGTGGCAATGTCGGCAAATGTAAATGTGGACAGTGCGAATGTTCCAAGCCAACGGTAAGGCTAATGCCAAAAAGTATAACCAACGTTTTCAATTTGTATCTTCTTGTACAGACAACCGGAAAGTATTGTCAATGTGACAATGATAGCTGTCCCGTCTCCCCCAACGGAAAAATCTGCTCAGGAAACGGTGTGTGTGATTGTGGAATTTGCAAGTAAGTTTTTACTATGTAAAGTTATCATCTAATTTCTTTTTTCATGTGCGAAATGGGATGGGAACGCAACGACTGCGCCTGCTCGACTAGTCTCAACAATTGCATAGAAAATGGGGTAAACAGTAACTATATTCATAATGCTACTGTGTTTTTGTTGTACAAACAGGAGATGTGTTCGAGTAATGGAAAGTGTGAATGCAACCGTTGCGTTTGCTATATGGGTAGAGCTGGGGCTTTCTGTGGATCTGTTGAAAAGGTGAAACCTTATCCTGTAACGGTTGCAACATCTTAAATTAAGCCTGTAGAACGGCGTGAACACTATGAATGCAAATTCTTAATAAACTTCTGCAACTTTTGCCTAATTGTTCGCAAATGTTGATATTGCGAAAAGTTTATTCTAAAGTCAAAAAGTAGAGGTTGTTAAAAATTCCGGAAAAAAAGACGGAAACAAGCGGAAATTAACTCAACAGTTGCAAAGGTTCATCAATTTTTTCTTGTAAATTTTTCAGAAGTAAATAGACATATGTAGGACTTTATCACAATATTTCCAGTTAATCCAATTCCAGGATTCCGCATCTTCTTCGACGGCTAGAAAAGACCTACCAGTGACTACAATACAGCCTGTCATTGTGAATACTGAAGATCCAACCACTTTGGAAGTCTCCGATGTTAGCCAACCTAGAGAGAACAACGCCAAGGAAAACGAGCCAAAATCTTCGATTACGTTGTTTTCCAACCTTTTCATCGTTTTGTTAGTTGTATTGAATGCGTTGTAAGATATTTGTGCTGCTCAATGATATGAATCGAAGTAATTTATTTCTTAAACTTTCAACAGATTGAAAATAATGTCATGCGCAGAATAGGAGCTAAATTTTTATAAGATAAAAGAGCTTGGCCTTGAGCGAGTTGTGGCATTACAATCATTATCCTACATTTATAGAATTTATGATAATTACAAGAGTGTTTTAGATAAACTTAAAAAAAAAGAGCAGCACCCATCAAAAAGGTTAACAAACATACCATAAATACTGTGCTAGAAGAGTACATGCCCTTCTCTTTTCCAATTTACAAAAAACAACAATTTTGAAGTTTCAAAATGTGTGATTCTGCTTATTTTTCGAGGTGCTCTTTTATTACAGTAGTTACGGTATTTGGCTTTACTGATGCTCGAACACTATTGAAAATGAATCTTAGGAACAGTAAAGTTCGTCACCGACAAATCTTTTTTGGAAGGTGTTCATGTTCTTATAGGACCGCCTGTGCCTCACTTCATCAGCAATAGACAACGTGCAGTAAAATGCAACACGGCAGACGTAGACGGAAATGGAAAGAAGAGTCAAAGAGATGCAGAAACCGATGATGCAGAATTGAAGAGTTGCTATAAAAATTATACATAGTATTGTAACATTTGTAGGTTGTAGAACGAACCGTCAACAAGATCTAGTCTAATTTGAGGCGATACTAATCGTACCATCAACTTTGTGCATTGCAAGAAAAATATAAAAATTTCGCTATTATTTCGGATAGTAGCGTATGCAAAAGCTAAGACGAGTATTCCACTGATAAAGGTTTCCAGAGTCTGTAATGAAATATATAAAGAAAAATATATTGTTTTTAAACTATAAACTCACCCTCATCACAACAAAAGGAATACACAGGAATGGTTGGTGACGAATGATAGCAAGATGCATCAAAAAGCTGCTGAGCACAACTCCTCCCATAATACCCGCAAGACAAATTACAAACTGGAATTTTCTCAACTAAAACAATTTCGTAAGCTTATCGTACTCGATTTTTGATTCCATAATAATACAAGAAACAGACGAGTGCAATAATGGTAAGTGCCAGAACAGAGTAGATGCAAGCAGTAAAATGAACTGATGATGTATCCTGTAAGTGAAATGTTCAGTTAAATTGCTACCATCAAACTGTTTCAGTTTTTTAAAATAATGTTTACTGACTTTACTTCCATTTTTGTCGAACTGATTTTTCGAAGAGGTTGGCTCTCTTCGAGCGGGGGCGAAACTTTGCATATGCTCTTGTGGCTCGTGTTTGGGCTCAATCCCGCCGTAGTTATCATCTCTCTAAAAAAGTATTTTGCTTCAAGACTAGTTTTTGAAAATGTTTCCAACCGCGGAGTATGTTGAGTATGTATAATAATCAGCTGTTAAACGAGGTGCTGATGGTCTGGTCATTGTTCTGTAAATAGTAATCGTGAACGTTAAGCAGAGCATGTTGAAAAAAATTAGATTATGATAAATGAAAAAGCTCTTTGCCAAGAAACTTGATTACGTTTTCCTAATTCTATATCTGAGTTCGAAAACATAGAAAATTAACAGGTAAAAAACGAAACTCCTATAATTTCAAGAATATTTGATTTTCAAAGCATTTTTCTTTTTTTCTCTCGGCCGCCGAAACTTCTCATTTTCTAATCCCAATCACCCGAATGGTTTTTGCGCTCCCCGATTTTTTGAGGCCCAATCTTTCAAAACCGGGACGTCTCGATACTCACATGTACTTTAACTGTCCAGTCTATCGCTGAGTAAGTAGTTCACGTTAGTTGCAAAATGTCGGGATTTGAAATGAGGGGTTCAGAAATGTTGGGGAACTTTTTTCGATGACTCATATTATTATTATTATTTTATTACCACTGTTACAATACGTGGAAATAAAGATGTCAAAGGGGGGAATTGCGATAGGTGGGTAATTATGCAAGAAATAGAGGGTAGAAAGTTAGATGGAACATAAGGTTAGTCAGTTTTGCTAGAATTTCGGTAGAGTGCGATTAACGAAAAAGTTGCGCCGAAGTTTGCTTTTGTATTTGCTCCATGCAAACCTAATTTTGGTATGTGTTTTGTTGTTAAGCGTGACAGTGAAAAAATCGGAGGTTCAAGAAATCGGAAGAAATCGGAGTTCATGTTTCCGAAACGATCAGAAATGGCATTTTAAGCATTTTGACATCTCAAACGATCAAAATGATTGAAAAAAAAACAAGTTAAATTCAAGAAGAAAATTTTCCATTTTTGCCCAAAAAATTTCGCAGTTTTCAATGGTTTTCAATCCGTCCGATCGACGACTTCGGTTAAACAACTAATTTGCTTAATTTTATATAATTTTTCTCATTTTATTTTGTAATCTAATGTTACTTTTCAATAAAATTCGTTTTGATAAGTAATTTTATTGTTGTTGGAACACAAAGGCTGTGGATAAGGAAGATTAAACAAACTTTGAGCAACTTTTAAACAAACCTTAGGCAAAGTTTAAGCAAAGTTTAAGCAACGTTTGAAAAACTTCTAAATAAAAATTGCTTCAGGTTTCTCAAGGTGGGGTTAAATGTTGCCCCCAAATGCCAAGTACTCAGTGTCCTACGAGCAAAGGACACCAGTGACCTCCAGATGCAATGACTCCGGAGCGTTCGTTGTATTGATTTTTTTAACGAGGGATACTGGCACTAGCATAAATTAATTCTTAGGATTGGGCTAGTCATAGGATATATATTTCATACGAGTTCAAGATTTGATACGGCGTGAATAGAATAGGATTTTAAAAGAAAATATCGTTTTTTTTGTTAAAAGATGTTCTATGAGAGACTCGAGAAATGTCTGGCACATTGTATTCAGAATTCTTGAATTCGGTTGAAATTAACCGCAGCCCGATTGTTCTAAGATTTTTCAAATTAGTATCATTGGGCTCTGAATTTTCTTACAGCATTGCTGTAGTGCCATATTATCTCCGTCCGGGCTCCAAATAAAAAAAGAAAGCTATTCCAGTATTCAAATAAAAATACCTGTAATTTGTTTCGCTGCAAAAAACAAGGTCTGGAAATTACAAATGTCGCGGAATTATAATATTAAAATTCTGGCAATGTCGCTCTACCGCAATCGCACGTGAAAACCCGGCCGTGGTAGAGCGCAAGACAAGTCCATTGTGGTCTCTTTTGTGGAATTTTATAACAAGCAAAAGAAACGTTTGTTTCATTATTCATTGTAAGCTTGTTTAACTATGACTTTATTTCAATTAGCGCGTTAATCAACAGGAAAAACAGTTATTCTTGATCTGCCCAGTTTCCAGATTTGTCCATCTGCTGTGTAGTGAATCTGGAAAATAGTTTGATTAAATGTAATTTGTCCGAAACTAACTCTTTCCAGTTCATCATTCGAGAAATAATCACCAGAGTCCGATTCTTGGAAGTTTTCAATAATCAGAGTTCCGTTTTCATACATGTGCTCTCTACCATCTCTTGAAATGGGCAAATCCTAGAAATCAAGTCCGGATTTTAAAAATTGAGGGGATACCTCAAACAAACGTTTCTTATCCAAACACCACATTTCTCTTGTTTCACAGCAGTGCACGGTTTAATTGTGTCTTCTATTCCGTTCCGGTTACGTTTCCATTCATTCACGTCTTTGCCAAAATCTAAGATGAGAGTTTCTCCAATCTGAATAAAAGTTCCAGAAGTGTATTCAAATGTTCTTCTGTTCTTCATTACCTTGACCGGATACATAGTTAAGCCGGCAGTAACGAATGTAATACCATAAGACACTAACGCAACACAAAAAAGATTCATCTGAAATTCAATTCCTTCAACAAACAACACATGAGTTCAAAGAGAATATGAAGGAAAGAACGGAGGCAATGTCTATAGATAAGAGTAATTCAATTAAATTTAACGTCTTGTGATCGACAGGTATATTGGAGAAAGATATCAGCCGTCCTTTCGTTGTTGAAGAAGAAATAAAGTGTTGATAATCACTGGCCTGTCAAAAACAATTGGTGTTTTTGAGATTTTCTAAAATTTTAGGGAAAACATCACTTCATTGACCCAGTGGCGATGGTTTTCGATTGTCTCCGTGCTTTTCCCGATTGAGATGGATCTTTGTGTTTATACTCGTAAAAGACTAGAGTATTTTAATGTCTATAATAAAAAGGTGCGCTCACAGATAAGCATTGCATAATTATCATCATTTACATTCTTGTCCTGGACGGTAACCTGAGTGGTTCTCAATTTTTAAAATAAATTTTTAACAACAAAAACACAATTACTCATTAATTTGTATTGATCAGATGAATAATTCTCCTCAAAGGATTTTTTGGGTTTGCTCACTGTTTTTGGCTTCTTGTGTACTTTGTGACTCTGGTGCTGCAACAAAGGGTGTTTATAAAGTTTGTAGCTTTGAAGCGTTTTTTCTTTGAAAAAAAAGGCATGTTAAATAGGTTGTGAACACAAATACCGGTATACCATGTGTGATCGTCCAAGCTGATATTTATTTGTATCTCACTTACATTACAAATGATGGTGGAGTATGTTACCCATGTTTAGTGCATGCAAATAAATAATTCTGATTCAGAAAGATGTCGTCGTTCATGTTCCAACGTCTTCCACAGTCGACACAGACTTCAGTTTATGCGATGGTACTCTTTCTTTGTCAGGATATTCGATAAAATCTCAACTTTTGAGAATCAATCTTTACCATGTCAGTTTGAACTCAAAGGCGTTAATCTAAATAATTGTTTAGATGCCCGGATGGTCCGTAGATTTAGCATTCACCAAAGACAACCGCTTTAAGACAGACAACGAAAAAGAATTTACACTATTTCAAGTTAACGTAACTGCTAACTTTTCCTCTGACACAGATGCTTTTCCAAATGCAAAATACCCTGTTCAACAGTATTATTTGCACATTGATCCTGAAGAATTGTCAGATATTGCCGGTTCAATTTATGCAACAGTAGACAATTCGTATTATTGCCCAAGTGAGCAAAAATATGTTATTAACAATGACAACACATACGGGCCCTATGCATAGTAAGTTATTGAGAAAACTACGAAATTCTAATTTGCTATTAATTCTTAGCATCAAATTCAAACTTGTCACATTGCAAGCATTCATGACTAGCTCCACGTTAGGGCCGAGTGAGTTGTGCCACTTATCTTTCTTGAAAAACAGCAAAATTGTTGCAGAGGAAACTTGTCCCACAGATCAGCAAACAACTGATCTTATTCCTGTTATTGTTGGTTCTACTCTTGCCGGACTCATAATTCTAACACTAATAGTTTATCTTGTACGCGCAATTATTGAACACATTCAAACACTAATCATAATATTTTCAGATCTATAGAAGTTTTTTGCCAGAAGAAGTTATCAATCTTGTGAATCCAGAATCACACTTTGATTTTGAAAACACTGCAAAGTTGGATGATTTGAGTATTAATTCTATTGCTCATCGTTTTTGATTCTTTTCAGTTCGACAATAAATGTTTTTTATTGACTTACTCTTTTTTAAAGGGTTGTTCATTGCATTTTCTTTTTTTACTTCGAAACACGTTTTCACCTTTAATCTTGTGGAACCACGAGGACTAATGTAGGATTGTTCCATCTTCGTCACTTCCATCGCTGTTCTAAACCTAAACAGTTTCAAAGGAACATAACGCATTTTGTTTTGATGGTCCCGCACCGATCACAGTTTTGCACTTGGCAAACAACGCAAACAACCACGAGTTGTTTGCGTCTTTGGCGTATTTCTGCATTGGGAAAAAACATAGTTATTTTTTGCACCAACTGCATAACCCAAGCGGATCAAGTTTAGGGGTATTGCGTCCGTTTTTCTGGCTGTCTGTTTTCCGTTCGATAAACTGCAAGTAGCCCTGTCTTTCTCATCATTTTTATTGCCGTGGCAATTTTTCATCGGCAAGTAAAATAGCCGGTCTTCTTTAATTCTAGCAGTTAAAAACATTATAGGAGTTATTTAGAGGAAAACGTGAAATCTTTTGAACGTTTTTTGCCAATACTTTGAAAACATCCTGTGAATGAACTAAGAGCTCAAAAATATAAAAGTACGGCAATGACACGCAAGATGCGCCAGTAGCCTTCTTTAGCCCCTTATTCGTGCGCTGCTAGATTTGTTTTGGCTTGTTGTAAAGTCAGAAATCAATTCAAGTTTGTTTATTTATTTTCCGAAAAATATTTAAACTTGCATTTTACGTTTATTTGTAATTTGATCCACTCAAACAATCGAGTCTCTAATAGAAATTGGTGCAACGTTTATAACAAATTCCCCTTTTCAACTTCATTGTGTTTGCTCGTCTTTCTCATTCCTTAATTTATTCTATTTCAGCGTTCTTTTGTGTCAATGCTGTCTGAGGAAGAAGTTCACTCAAATTCATACGCGGAGCGGATTGGAGGTGTCCTGGATCACCCAAACTTGTTCGGAGATGATTGTGATGAAATCAATCTTGCCAACGAAGACACTCCGCCATCCAGGCTTCGACTTCATTCCAATAATTTGAATGACTCAGGACAACCTGCTGTGATCAATAGCATTGATGATCATAACCAGTAATTGTTTAAGAAACCATTCCGTCATAATTCAACCTATTCAGATTCGTGGACAGTCAAAATGACACACCTTATGCGCAAATATCCCCCGAACCGGTGTCATCCAACTTCACTGTATTTGTTCGTGAATTTGAAAAGCGTGGAGACGGAATAAACGCGTATATTGTTTACAAGGTGGAAACTGAGGTAATTCCAATTCTAAAGAAAATACTATATATTGAAACAATGCTTACATTTCAGGTGAACGGTGTTATTGGATATGTAAAGAAAAACTATGAAGTTTGGCGTCGCTTTTCCGACTTTCTTGGACTCCACGGAAAAATTGTAGAGAAGTATCTCGAAAAAGGAGTTGTTATTGCGATTCCACCCGAGAAAAGCATATCGGCGTTGACAAAGACAAAGGTGTGGTAATTTGACATGTTTTTTTTTCAATGATATTTTGATAGACCAACTCGGATCCTGCTATGAGTCGTGATGTTGGCATCCATCGTGCTCGTCAACTGGAGCGTTATCTTCGCCGACTTATTCAGCACCCTCGTATTCGGAACGATTGTGATGTTCGCGACTTTTTGACAATTGAGTCGGATTTGCCGAAAGCCGTTCAAACAACCGCACTCTCTACTTTTGGAGTCAAAAAAATTTTCAAGAATTTCCAAGTTGTATTCTCTAAAATGGCTTTTCACATGGAAGAAGGCGATCGCTGGTTCGAGCAAGTACAGTCTCAGATTGATGAGTTGGATGAAGCACTTCGCAAGCTTTATGTCGTAACCGAAAGCTTGGTTTCCTCTCGTCGCGATATGGCTATCAGCGGTGAACAACTTGGAAAAGTATAGCAACAAATCTAGTCAATTTTTTATATTCTGTTGTGTTCTTCAGGCTCTGTCAATGTTGGCGGCTTGCGAAGAATCCACTACTTTGTCTAAAGCTCTTTCCGGACTAACGGATATCACTGAAAGTGTTTCTATGGTTTGGGGAAAACAGGCCGATGCTGATAATTCGAAGTTAGCAAAACGTTTCACAACAAAACATTAATTTTTTTTTCAGATTTTCTGAGTCTATCTATGAGTACATTACGCTAATTTCCGCTTTGAAAGAAGTGTTCTCTGAGCGAGTTCGTGCATGGCAAATGTGGCAAGACGCGCAGCAGACGCTGGCAAGAAAGAGGGACCAAAAAACCAAGATTGATTTGTCTTCGGGCGGCAGAAACGAACGTTCGGATCAGCTCAAAACGGAAATTGAAGAAACTGTGCAGAAAATGGACCTTCTCGAGCAACATTTCGGCGAACTCAGCAAGGCGATCCGAGAGGAAGTGGCGCGTTTTGAATCGGATCGAAAAAAGGATATGAAAAAAATTCTGATCGAGTACATGGAGAGCATGATTGAGACACACACTGAAGTATTTTGTATGTTAGCTTCAACGAGTTCATAGAAATATTTCAGCTCTTGCAACTATGGGAGAAATTTGAACCGCAAGCTCGAAACATCCAATTGTGAATGTACTCGTCAGGATGAATTTCAACAAATTATCTCTGTTTTGAAAATGGTGGTATAAGTGTTTGTCTAAATTTTATTTATTGCTGCTTTCTGTGATTTAGTGTTTGAGTCATTTGTAAACTTTGATAATTTATTCAGGTTAAATTAAATCATATCTCTGACAAGATCTTGCTCCAATGAACACACAGAAGTAAAAGAGAAAGTTTATACGGAGAAATAAGAAATACTAATGATATTTGAACCCGCAGAGAAAACGTCTATTTGTCGGGAAATGTTGTTTTCCAGGCAGTGTATTCTGAAATGTTGTTTCAATTTAGAAGCACACTAAACCTTCAAACAAATACCATCAGAAATCCAAGGCAAAAAAGTTTTCATTCGGTCATTTGACAACTGTAAAGATGGATTGATAGCCACTCGGTCCGACGTGAGTTGTGTGCCAAGAACCTGAAAGAAACACGAATAATTGTAAAGTAGAACACAATTATCACTTGAGGAGCAAAGGAAAATGTGGAGTTGTCTGAATTGGTTTGGATGACATAAGTTGAGTATCTAGAATTCAGATGTCTAGAAGTGGAAACATCTATTTTTGGAGATATTGTTGACGAAGATGCTATTACAATAATGTAGCTTGGTCGGCTAGAATTTACTCCAAACTCCACTTCATTCAAGATTACCGCATCAATTGCTCTGTAAAAAACTCAACATGTTGTTAGCTACCGCGAAATACCGTCTGAGATTGCTTGATCCGGAAGATGGCAAGATTTGGAAGTTATTAATATCATCTCTGAGCGATTCCACATCTTGACGATCATTCAAATTCCAGTTTATGGAAACCTTGAAAAACTTCAGAAAAGGCTGGAAAAATTGAACCTACAGAATTTCCGTAGCTGACAACTGCAAGTCTCGTGTCATTTCCACTGGTTGAGAATGTGCCAACGCTTTCCATAAAATCTCTCAAAAATTGTTGGACCTGCTGATTATAACTGCTCTCTAATTCGTTATCAATCAAAAAAATAAAATCAGCCTTCACAATGCTTTTGATTGGGAACACGGACGGGTAGATAACTTCCATGTAATCTGTGAGCTTGTTATTTCAGACGACGTAGTTTTTATAATAGCTAACCATTGTCAAGAGTTGTTAGAAGATCAACAACCGCTGATGAGTTCATGGTGAGGGTAGAAACATCGGAAACAATCTCGTAGAAACCGCTGTTAGTGAAATTCCAAACATAGTCAAACTTTTGACCATTCAGACCAAGTGCAAAAACCTAGATCACACATACCTCGCATGATAAAGCGCGTGTTGACTCACTGTTGACGAGTTTTTTACATTTAATGCAGTGCTCGTATCGCGGTTATAGAACATATCAGCATGTGAAAAAATAATTGTGTAAGTTGTAATATCTTCTCTCCATCCGTTTGAATCTAGAAGGAAGAAAAATAGTTCTTGCTCGATGGCTCCTGCTAAATCCGCATCTGTTGAATTTTCAGTGGCTTTCGCCAATTTTAACTGTTGAATTCTTTGTTGTACAATGCTGCTACTCGTAGATTCGAACAAATGGAAACCGTCCTGAAAACAATTCAACACTTTCAGAATTTTCAGAAACGTTCAGTTTTACGTTTGGAATAGTTCTACCGTTGTAAGCTTGAAGGGCAAACTGGGTCGACTCTGGACCAATATCAAACTGCTGAGTGAAGTCCACCAAGAAATTTTTCATTCGGGAGAAATCATCGTCAGTAAGACCAGTTTCATCAACCAGTAAAACAATATCTGCAGCGATGGAAGTTGTAGGGAACTTGTTAGCATCAAATGTTTGTTGCGCTGAAATTGTTTTTTTTTTAATCAATAGCCTTGCTGCACAATCTCAGTACTTCGATAGATATCGTCGTTCAACTGTAGAACTGGATTTTTCACTGTAACATCCAAGGGGAAAACGCGGTTCAAGAGTTCTTGGCTGTTCAAAACTCTAAAACAAAGGAGTTTTACTCAGGGAAAAGAAATCGGACTTACGAAAAAATGTGGTCATCAGAAAGCACCAAATTTTTGAAGTTGTCCTTTTTCGTGACATTGTAATTGATCACGTACAAATTTTGTTGTTTTAAAAGTTGAGTAGAAAGATCAGTTCCAGTAAGACTGAAATTTAAAAAAAGAGGTAACATGCCGATAGATTTTCTGAAACATACTTTGAAGCACCAACAACGAAAATGACATAAGAAGCTTTGTCCGATGAGTCTCCGAGCATATTGGAAACATACTGAATAGCATTACCAACATTGGCTACGGATGACGAGGAAGTTGAGCTCAGACTCCAAGACCTCAAGTACTGGTCGACTTCCTGAAACATACTTTGTAAGGAAACGTAAAAAATGTTTGTGGAAATGGAAAAATAAAACTTTTACTAAAAAATTATTTTCATTTTAAGTTTCACTTTATACTCATACTTACCGATTGTGAAGACGACAAAGACAGCACATTCTGGACCGAATCAGCAAAAGGAACAATGCTCACTTGTGTTCTTGAATATATTCTTTGATTAGGTTGCAATTTTAGTTAATGCTCACTTTGAAGATTGTACCAAGAAAGAGGATACTGATTTGGTAACATACTGAACAACGTTGCTATGATCCGAGTAACTGTTTGCTGACTGGTCAACAACGAATACCAAATTTCCAAAGAAGTTTGATGTGGATGGAGTTCCTATAATCATTATTCGATTGTTTTGATAGTCAACCAAAACATTACTTCTTTTTGTGGTTGCTTGGAAAATCAAATCGGCAAGATTATAATTTGTGTCAATACCACTATAAATCGAGTTCCAATCTGGGACCATGTATGCAGTTTGTGAGAACAAAGAAAGGTCGGTGTTCGTCATGCTGTTTGATAATCCAATTGAAATTGTCCTGATGCCTTTGCGTTGAATGTTCACAAGATCGTCAGTTGCAGTATCAGACGACCTGAATTTTATGCCGTCTCAAAATTGTAACGTATTGCTCACTGTCCCAATGTGAACAAAATGACAAAATTTTCATTTAAAGATCTGTATCCGGAAGTTGAATTTTCGTAGATGTTTCGACGAACGTCCGTGAGTACTCTAAAACATGGCATTTTTAAAGTTATTGTGTTGTGTGTACTTACTGAGCCATATTTCGATAGTCCTTGTGATTTCGTGAATATATCGATAGCCTTTCATTTTGGCAGGAACTTAAATCATAGTAATTGACTATCTAAATCAGTATACGGTTTGGATTTTGTGCTTTCTTTGTGAACAATTCCTACCTCCACAAATTTACACGAGTATTCCACAGTTTCTCCATCATAGGTAGCAATAGTGAATCGTGAACCCTTTTTTCCCACAGAATACTGTCCTAACAGAATGTTTAGGAACGATCGAATCTGAAAATTTAGTTGAAACATTTTTCGAGTTTGCGTCACCTTTTCAAATGAGATATCATCCATTGGATTCTTAGCATTGTTGGAAGTATCAATGAGAATTGTGAGATCAGGCCAGACATTTCGTGCTTTTACCACTGGAACAGGACCTGGAAGTGTAGGAACAACGGTAACTGGTTCCTGAGTTGGGACTAAAATAAGATAATTTCAATTTTTATCTGTAATTTAATTAAAATATGTACTTTGTACCGGTTTGTAGATACACGTATTTTTAGTCAGCGCGTTGGCAAGTTGTCTGAGCGAGTAAATATTTTGACTATCAATCTGAATTAGAAAAGTTACACGCTGAAAATATTTCTTTCTAATGTTGCCTGTGCTGCATCAACGTTAATTTGATAATCTGCTCCCGGAATTGTGTTTGTGTTGATTGTCAAAGCAGACGTATATCCTCCAACTAATTGTACCATTGAGTCATGTTCCGAGAAGGCGTTTTCCATATCACTTATACTAAAAATAACTACGATTTAGTGAAAAATTAGTTTAATGCATGAGCAAACTCCATAGTATCGGTGATGATAATCAAGTTTTTGCTGGCGTATGGTCTTCCATCTTCAAAAAGTTCAATGGCATTTTTATATGCTCTGTAAAACAAAAACATATATTTTTTAAAGTTTTTAACATGCGCTTACGTTGACAAAGTGGCTGTTCCCTTGGTTGCCGTGAAAGGAATTGAACCTATTAAGTTGGCATACTCGGTAGGACTCAGCAAATACGTGAAATCAGCGTGTGTCAAAACGTCAAGGTAGTAATAAGAGGCAATGGCAAAATTGATAGGGGTGGAAGTAGTGAGAGTTTTAGATGTGACTGATCCTGTTGAGCCCAAAAGATCTGGAATCAGCTGTGAGGCTGTGAAGTTCAAGATCAGGTTCCAATTGTTTTTGTCATCTGCGTGTAGAAGAATAAGAACATCAATAGGATCTTCGCATGGTGGGTTGACTGAAATAAAATTGCCTTTCTTCATCTTACTGAGTAAAATCTAGACATACCGTACGGAGGGACATCGGGGCAGTATTGTTTTGCTAAGAAATCATCAATTATTTGGATGAGTGGGCTAGAAATTTGTTGTGCAACCAAAGCGCGATCTTGAGTAGACTGAAAATGAATAATTGTGAGCAGAATATATTAAAAGAGTGTAATCACGCTCAAGGAACTGTTTCCGATGATAGAATTTGCATCTACGGAGTTTGATCCAGTAAGGGCATCAAGTTGGGTTTTTGATGAGTACGGTCTGATAGTTTCTTTTTCCTTGTTTTTTCTAGTTTTACGTTAATATACCCAATGACAACACCTTGCACAGTTGCAAGCTGTCTTACTTCAGCTGCAGCAGCGCTTGGATTTGGGCAACAATTGGAGAGCTGTTCATAGGCACCGCGAGCAAAAAAAATAACCAGATTCTTGTTTTCAATGATTCCTTTTCTGATTGTGTCAGCTGTTATGGTGAAACCTCTAGAAATGGTAAAACGATTATTATTGAGTTCTTCCAAACTCACAGTTCTAGATCAGAAGCGGCGCCAAGAGGACTGAAATTTGTATTGTTCAAAGTGTTGATTGCTGTTGTGCTGTCCGTCACATGATCAAACAGATTTCCGCTTTGGCCATCTTGGTTTGGTACCAGATTATCTGGTGAAGAAAAGTAAACTACAGAAACCGACATTTTGAACGGTGAAATCAGCTGTGCGTAGTTAGTTAAAATGTTCAAAACAGTCCGTATTTGCTGTAAAACAAACTGAAAATAGAATACACAAGAAGCGACTCACGACATCCAAGTAATTGGCGCCTTCTGCTTCGGAGGTTTCGATCACAAATGTGAGGCCAGTGTAACAGTTGGAGGAGGCTGAATTGGGTGGCTCTTAGACAGAGAAAACAATAAAACAAGTGGCTACCTTTGCATTTCAACAAGTAATTAGTAGAGTTTATAAGAGCATCGTTCAGAGCATCACTCGGCTGATTTACTCCAACATAAACTGACTGAGTGTATCCATCAAAAACTCCATACTGAATCACTTGTTGAACATTTCGTTTGCTTGTCGCAGTTTCCACCAGATCTGTTCAATGATAGGTTTTCTTTGAAAATTTTATAATTGTTTTTTTTTTACCAATTCCAACAACTTCGGTTTGCAATTGCGCTCGTATCGTTTTTGTCGTGTTAACAGCGCTTGAAATTGATCCACTGTTTTCGTTTCTGTAAAAATCCCACAATCATTAATCTTCAGCAGGTTCAAAGTACCCATCGGTTATGTAATACAGTATCGACCTATATGACTCATTATTGTACTGTGATTTGTTCTGGATGAACTTAAGAGCTTCTCCGAGTCCGCTGCAAACACAGTCTGTGCTTGATTTTTGAATTGATGAGAAGATAAACATACACGACTGAATCAGAACTTCCGAGACTTTGGGGTGCACTGTTGATTAATGCAATGAAAGTGTTCAGATCAGTGTAAGCATTCTGAATACAAAATAATTTAAAGTTATTTTTCTGAATGAGCGATATACGGATTCGGCGACAATTTGTTGATTAAAAATAATAAATGCAAAAGTTGATTGCGAGTTCAAGTTAGTCAATGATGTCGCTGATTTGATTACGTACTGAATTGCAACCTGAAATTTAGATTAGTTTTTAGTGTTTCTATTTTCGGCAAATGGTTATACCCTGTAACCATTGAGAATCATTGTTTGCGATTGATCTATCAAATACAACACGTTGAGATTGCAAGCAGAAATAGGAGGCAAAAGAGGGTTTACTGTAGTTTTTGCCGCTGGATTGACAGTAGTTGACGCCGTTGTAATAAGAGGAATTCTTGTAGGCGGGGCAGTTGGAGGTGCTGCAGTTGGATAATAAGCTTCACATGTCCATTGGGCTTGAGTTCGCAAGACAGATGGATTGTTCAAGTATCCGACATCACTCATTTGATAAAAATGTGAGAAATCTGTTGCGAGGGCTTCAATAACGTTTTGTTGTACTTCAGAAGTTGACATTAACAGGAACCCAAGGGAGTATGAAAATTGTTGTTTCAAAACTGTAGCAATTGTTGTTGCAGATGAAATTTCATCAAAATCACTGAACGTGTTTTTCATATTTGCTAGAAACAAAGTAAAAAAAAACGCTCACAATCCGTCTGCAATCACAATAATATTTCCAGCCACTCCTTGTACTGGCCTATAGTTGTTGACAACAAATCGAAGAGCACTGAAAAACCGAGAAATACATTAAAATATAAATAAATTTTATAAATTTACTCAGTCAGCTCATGTCCGTCAGCTTTCAATGGATTCACAATTGAAGAGTTAAGATAGCTAACAATTTGGTTCCATGATTTCTGGTTTCGTGCTTGGCCCAATGGAGACCTGTATTAAATAAAACTTTGTTATGTTAATGCACTCAACATACGGTTCATTTCCACCGTAGATGACAAGTTTGAACTCTTGGTTATTCCAGTTGGAGTTTTGGTTCAAGTTAACCAAGGAGGGGGCATTTATGAGAAACGTCGAGATCTGCAAGAGCAATTTTTGCATTAGAATGTTCCCAACTGCAGTGACTTGAGCCAATTTATTGTCGAGATTTCCTGTAATTGGATCCGAAACATCAACCAAAAAGACGTTTGTCAGTAGTTTTGCTGTAACATCGCAATAGGCTCTTGGATTTGGTGTTACTGTCACAGGTGGAACAGTTGGAGGGCTTGCTGGAGATTGTGTACTTTGTTGAGTTGGTGGAACCAAATCAGTGCATTGGGAAGTGGAACTTGCTGAAAGAAAATTTAGAGAATGATTTATATATTAATTTAAATTAACTGAAAGCATTTGTCAAGTATCCTTCCGCGGTCAAAGAATCAACCACCTCAGAACTAGTGACTGATGAATCAGTGAAGACCAACTCCATGTAAAAGTTCACTCCGTTTTGTCCCTGCCTGAAATCACTATTGACTGTTTTTATTTGCGAAAGATACTCACGAGAACGCGTTGATCTGCGTGATAACCGGTGAAGGTACAGTAGAAAATTGAACGCGGCTGTTTGGTTTTTGCAACCATGCATTTGAAACCTGAACGTTCACAAAAACTTTAAAAAATTTTATCAGCAAAGTGTCTACGTTCGTTTTCAGCGCAGAAGCCAAAGTTTTAAAAGCATCACTCGAAGGTCTCTGTAAGTCATTAGTCCAAGCAACACCATTTGCAAGAGATGATGTGAAAAAAACATTTGGTTGAAGAACTGGAGCAGGAGTTGTCGTTGGGATATCATAATATGGAGCTGCAAGCCATATGATTTGCCGTTTACTCTCAGAAATCTTACGCATTGGCGGAATACTTGCAATTGCTATAGCTAACATGACAGAACCGGCGATGAGCATGGACAAAGACACGAAGAAAAACCCTATGTTCACCCATTCTCTTACTTTTAGCTTTTTTATGAAGCCTAAACCAAAGTAATGAATAAAAATATTGAAAAAAATTGTTATCACCTGATATGCTCATACTGTATTTTTAATGTCTATTCAAATAAATGCTAGAAATGAAAATGGAAAATAAAATTTTTAGTGATTAACCGGTGGCCTTAGGAAGTCAACTGGACTTTATCAAATTGTCTTCTTATCTAGACGTGTCAGTGGCACAGGATTAAATCGAATTATGTCCCATTGTTTGTAAGTGTGCAGTTGCATCACATTATTAAGATAAGAACTCTCAATATCTTGAAATAAAGAAGCACAAATAAAGAAACATATCATTCACATTATATGATGTAATTTATGACAAACTTCTGCTTTTGCACATTGTGCACATGTCGCACAATTTACCAAGAAAAAAGGCCAATACAGTTTTGGATTTACTATTACAAGCAAAAATAAGTTTTGTTCTTTAATCGCAGATATTCTCGCGGATGGGGTTTTTTACAGGGTTTTTGGGTGGAGTTGTAGACCTGACTATGAAAGCAGGTTTTGTGGCTCTGTTCGGAAATGAGAGGCCGAAACGGAAATCGGAGGCAAAAAAAAAGTAATCGGAGGTCCAAAATTAAAATCGGAGGCCGAATTACTGTTGCTCTGTTTTCAAAGTTTCCCATAATTTTTCAGTGATAATTAGCCATACTAATATTAGAAAGGTTTTGTGGGGCCTTGCCGCTGAGTGAACTTTCAGAAACTATGTAATCGTCATAATTTTAATATTTTCAAATCTTGAATGGATTGAAAAGTCATTAATCAAAACTTTCAGCCAGCTTTATGGCATCTGACCACGCTGAGGGCGTTTAAAGGCAAGATAAGCGGCCATGTCGGCCTACTGAAAATTCGGGGCCAACTGACGCCCGGGGGCCAACCCTACCCTAAGCTTTTCACAATTAGGCCCGAATTCAGATAAATAGTATTGATGCTGTTTCCTACCAGTTTTCAGTTCAAAGAGCGCTGATCATAAGTTTTGTACTCTACGAAGGGGTTCTAAAGACTACGCGGCCAAACTCATTCAAATTTTCCCGCCTTTTTTGCAATTGGCTGCCTAGCGACTCACAATCAGTCGCCATTAAGCGGAGTTTACGCAAACTTTCAATTAAACTTTATATAAACTCTTTTCAAACTTTGCAGCGAATTGCCGAGTAGCTAGCTAGATTAATAACATTTACCCTGACTGTCAGTTTTTCCCTAGAAATCTGTTTTATTTGCAAATAAACACCGGCCGGGCTGGGCCGGACTGTAGAAATGTTCATGACTGCTTCAGCTCGTCCTTTCATTACCATGAAAATATAGAAATTTGCAATACGAACTCCTCTTCCATGTAATTTGTTTATGTTGTTTTTTTACTTATGTGAACCCTATTATATGCGTTTCCTCTCCACTGCTCTGAAACAGGTGCTCTTTTGAGCTATAAAGTTGGCTTTTGTCGTCATATAATACTCCTACATGTCAATTTTCAGTCAATATGCTAACTCATTCAACCTTATTTCCGTGGTTGTCTTCAGCTGAGCTGAGCTAAACGCAAACGCCCACACTTCCTGATTTACAATTTCAAGTTAGTAGTGGTAGTAACTCAAGGCTCATTTGAAATTTCGTTGCAAAACGGCAGCAATTTCCTAATGTCAACGCCAGGAAATTTGGTTTCGGCTTCTTCGTCGTCTGTAAGGATGGGTGGTGAGTTTGGTGGTAAATCGGCATGTGCATGTGTATGTGGTTTGCGGCTAGCTGATTTATAAAGTTGTCGCGTATATTCTGTCAGCATTTATCCTTTCTTTTGTGATGAGACATGAGTGATATGAGCCAAGCAAGATAAACGCGCTGTCGGAAAGTTGCCTTTGAGAACTTCATTTTGATTTTATGATGGATTTGCAAATAATCGGCTTATATAATTTAAAAATGGTACTTAAGTGTTAGAATTAGTAAACTATGGCAGTGTTTTTCAATTGGTTCGTGAATGGTAACTATGAAGCGTAAAACTAAGAAATAATAACTTGACATTCTAATGATGTAGAAATTTTCCTCGGAAATATTTGTTGGAATTGTTTCCAGTTTTCTTTTGTATGGTATGCCTTCTTTCGAAATGTGTTATTTGTTCTCTCAGAACAGTAATTCGATAGTTTTAAAGCAACACAAACATAGACACATCCGCCCACCTAATTTCTGTTAATGCTCTCTGCCTTCCACGGTTTTCTAGGACATTGACATCTCACTGAATTAGCTAGACCGCGATACATGGTTTCTTTTTTTATGATATTTTTTAAAAACATTTCTAAACGCTTCAATTTTATTTGAAGGTGGAAGAAAGATGACTATAGTGAATTTTATTTGTTTGCAATACTTAGCACATCCCTTGGGGTGAATGCATCAAGACGCATGCATGCCTACATTTTTCAAGAAATGACCTCTTTTTCATATAAGTAGCATTCTTGTTTAATTTTCAGGTTTTCTTCCGGAGTGCTCGTTTTTGTGCGATTTATTTCACATGGGGCTATATTTTTCGCTCTTTGTTTTATTAAATCCATTTCCAAAATTAAATTCTGCAAAGAATAGAATATGCCAGTTTTTTTTTACAATTTTACTTGGTTAGAATATCTTTTCTACATCTCTTAAGCGCCATGTGAAATCTTTTAAAGTCGTCATTAGATTGACATTCTCGGCATTCCTCAGCAAAGTTAAAGCACATCTTAAACAACTTTGAAACAAAAATAGCTCAAACTTTGTGTAACCTTTGTTCAAACTGAGCTTAAACTTTGTTTAAACCAAATTTAAAAAAAACTCTACGCCGCACCAATTTTTGAACAGATCATAAACAAAATTTATGAAAAGCTTGAGCAGAGTTTACGAAAACTTTCTGGCAGACTTCAATAAAACTTTGCTTAAACTTCTCAGCCACACGGCCCGGCTTTTCATGCATTTCATGCATCGGTGTTTTCAATTTATCTCCAGAAATCGAACATAGAGACCTCTGCTTTTTTGATAAAAGTATATTTTTATAGTGTTCTTCAAAATGAGCCAGGTAAGAGGTAAATGTAATGTTTCTGTGGGAGGTTACAGCTTCACAATTTCTGTCGCCCGTATACGGTTGTGACTTTTCCGCCCCGTGAGCTAATTGCCGATTTAGTTGAGAACTTCAGCTTCCTAAACCTATATGAACAAATGTTTTTTATTTGAAAACTCTCGTAGGTTGTACATTTCACAAAAAACGTTTCGATCAGTTTTATGCATAAATTTTCAGAAGTGGGAAGTGGAGGAATCGCTAGCGGTGTTGCGTGTGTCGTAACACCGACTCTGGCTCCAACTACTGTAAAAATGCATCAAGAATCACTTCGAAGGTCATCTTTACGGAAAGAGCACACACCAACTAACGAGAAGATAGTAGATTTGTCAAAGCAGGTAAGATGTAAGAGAGCACAACGAACAGAAAAAAAATATTACGAGATAGAAAAAAGGAAGATTTTCTTATTTTCAATTTTCTTTTTTTTTGCTGTGATGACTATTCTGTTATTCTTTCAACTATCTAAATGGCAACATTCAATGTATTGTAAATAATTAATTTTCTAAATTCTCATCTTTTGAAATTCAATTCACTTGGTTGTGAGTCAATGATTCAATATTCAAAAAACAAATACGAGCACTAAATGCTTGAAATTTCTGCAATTGCTATCTACAAAGTTGTGAATTTTTAGGACTCGCTTGGTGAACGTGCCTCTTCTAAGCTTACTCTGGATGACGAGCTCTATGATATTCTTTACGCATTTGGGTTGGTTTTCTTTATTGATCAGAAATCATCATTTTTGTTATCATTGTGGCAATGAAACCGGGGTAAAGCTTATGACGTGTCATCTGTAAAACCTGGAAATCCGTTAGCACAAAAAATTATTTAGGATTGATATTTTTTGTCCATATTATAACTATGAAAATTGCCTCACTATAGAAGGTTTTCAAAATTACTATCTTTTGGCTCGGCCTCTTCCTACAAAATTTTTCAAACCTTACCGATAATTTGTGGTCTCGTTAGACCTCCATGAAAACAACTCTTTATTACCAAGTACCTTGCAATTGCAGGCTATTTCTTACATTTTCACGAGGCGGAGCTAGAAGATAGTAGTTTTGAAAACCTTTTATTGTGAAGAACTTTCCGTGGTCACAACATGGACCAAAAATATCAATCCAAAATTTTTTGTGACATCGATCAGTACATGAGATGTCCAGTTTTACAGATAACGCGTCTTATTACCTATAAACCTCGGTGTTCATTATTTTCTCTAATAAGGCAAAATTAACATAAGTTTGTTAGCAATGTTTTATGGATTAATGATTGACAATTCCATGTAACAAACTTAACCAATATGTGTTTTCCCGCTTTGTGTTTAAATATTATAGGGGCACCGGACAGAAAGGGCGCGCTGTTCGCAATTTGGCCGAATTTCTAGGCCGCGAAGTAATTTTCCACTGAAAATGTGGCCTAACTCTTCAAACTCGGCCCCGAGATCGCGCAATTTGCACTGCAAAAAGAGTTTCTCAACAGAGCGCCATTTCTGTGCGGTGCCCCTATAATAACACACAGATTAGCTCTTGGAAGATCAATAATTTGAATGGTTTCACAGAAAGAAAAAACTGATATCGTTGATTTACATTGACTTTAAAAAAATGTGTTTTCTCTAGGAATATTAAGATACTTTTTCAAGCTTCTGGGTGCTATTTGAAACTCAATTAAAATAGTTTTTTACTCAGAAAATGTAGGCAAACTGTGGAGAAACGAATCAGAAATTTTCCATGCCTCCTCTTTCAATACTAGTAGTATGATGGGATGAGCTTGTCTGCGATCGTTTTGAATCCTATCTTCTCAGGACCAGCGGCTTTCCCATCCTTCCGCAAGACGGGAGACATTTATTATTGAGTTGTCAGAGGTGTATGAGACCTTGGAGCAATCATTGCGTAAAGAAAACGCACTTGTCATTTTATCGAACAATTGGTGGCCTACACATTTTTATTTTGACCATAGGATGATTTTATAAATCCCCTTTCGAAAAGTCATGAACGGAATCGAGATTCTTCCTGAGGGATTGCAAAACAATCCACTCGTGCAACGACGCGCTTCGGTGTTCCATGATCTGATCACAGTATTCCGAAAAAGCACTGTAACTCGCTTAGCACGAAATCATCCTTTTGAACATGTTTCGACGCAATTTTCGTCATGGTCACAAAACCAGTGAGTCGCGAATATTTAATAGATTTTAGCAGGCACTATTTGCCCACCGAGCAGAAAAAGTTATGCCAAAAATTAACTTCTAATTCTCAGATAATAAGGTTATTCTTTACAGTGAAACCGATGCTTTTATAAACAAAAACGACAAGCATAGAGAAACTGACGAAGATGGAAATCCACTCACCAGACAGGTACGTTAATCTAGTTTGTTTTAAATTATAATTAGTGTAAATATTACTTTTTTTGCTCCATACCACTTATCCGACGCAAGCCAAAAAAATTGAAATTTCGTTCAAACAAACAAACTTCGATGACCGTGAAAAATCAACTGAAAGTATTCAGGCTCTCCTCGAACGCATACGGCAGAAAAAAGAAGTTATAGGAAAGCTTAGATGCCAGCCATGGAGTATGACCAGAAAACGGAGAACGCTGAAGTAAGATTCACATCTAATACACTTTGAATGAAGGTCATGTTAAGATTGGCTCAAAAATATCTGGAGCAAAATGAGTCGAAGGTTTCGAGAAGTCATCTTTACATGGAAGAAATGAGAAAAAGAGTGAGACTAATGAAGCGAAGTTTCTCTAATTTCAAGACCTATTTAATACCATGGGAGTCCAAAATTAAACGTATTGAGAGTGAGTAAAATTTTAACTAGTTTACAATAATTTTTATCTAAGGCCATTTTGGTTCTGTTGTATCTTCATACTTCACTTTTCTCCGTTGGATCGTTTTTGTTAATATTATTATAACTTTGATTGCAGTTTTTTTTGTCGTGCTACCAGAGGTTAGTCAGAAGGGGTCAGTGAAACTTTCAAGAATATTTATCAGATCCTAGCCGACTCAGTTGCTAATGAGGACCGGTTCAACCGTACAAAAACAAGGAAGCAGATACCTCTGAATGAGAAAGTTCACGCTGACGAACTTGCAGTTGTATGGCATTATGATGTGAGCTACAAAACACTTTTTTTTACTAGAGATGCAATTTTCAGGGATATGTGAGATATTCCCCACTTTTCTATGGATACTATTCTGATGAACCATTCTTAGGAACAAAAATAAAATACGCTTTACCACTTGCGTACTTCATGGTTACTTTAACTATTTTTGCTTACAGTTTCTTTGCTATATTGCGAAAGTATAACTTTTTCATTTTATTTGAATGAGTAATGATTTTTACAGAATGGCGGCCAACGCCAGAATGTCAAAATTATCAGGAAGCAAAGCAGAGCAGTATATTTTCAACTGGAAACTTTTCACTGGGTGGGATTATACAATTGGAAATTCGGAAACTGCCAGTAATACTGTTATGGCTGTTGTGATCAAGTTGAGAGTGAGTATCTCAAAAAATAGTATAGTCATGTATATATACGTATTCTGAGCAAATCTTAGGAGTCAATAGCTGATTGTAAGAAAGATTCACATGGGAAATTTCGTTTGCTTCAATTCACACTCAGGTTTGCTTCATCGTGTGGGTGTTCTTGAGATTAGGCATCTTCAGAGTCTTCGCAAACATTGTTATTTGTGCAATGCTTGGATTCTCAATTTACTGTATTATCTTTGCCGTGCAAAAATCACAAGTTCAAGATGATGGGAATTTATTCACAAAAAACCAAGTCCCGTCCGTTGTATCGACGATTACTCACGTGTTTCCAATGATTTTTGATCTGATAGGTCGGATGGAGAATTATCATCCACGAACTGCTCTTCGAGCACATCTCGGAAGGTGAGCGGTCTGAGAAAATAGTTTTACAATTTTTTTTTCAGAGTGTTAATTCTATATACGGTAAACTATATCACTCTAATTTTTGCGTTGTTTGAAAAAATGACAGCTTTGCGTGAAAGAGTCAATGAAACTTCTCTAGTGAGCAAAAAGATAAAACGTCAGCAAGGAGGATGGAACCCGGTTACATAAAATGAAAGTAATTCTGAAGTCAACTGTTTTTCAGAATGTCCCACGACCGCCGCCTTATGCCAGCAGATCTGAAATTCGACAAATGAGCGATTTCCTTGCTGCAAACGCTCGCCAATTTCAAACAGTCAGTCAACGAACAACACGTTCTGTTTCTACGCCTTTTACTGTAATTATTTTGCAAATGCTCACAAGCTCATTTTTCTTATAGGTTGCTCCACAATTTGGCCCATTCAACGTTAACAACCCGAACGCTTTCTTTCATAATAGTACTCACTCAACAAGTTTCGAATCTCAAAAATTAGGTCCCAAAATTTTGCCCATTTTTACGCCACCACCGAGAAAATATCAAAGCCATTCTCCTGGGATTATGGGGCAACAATTCGGTGGTCCTGATTTCACACAAAACATGATTTACACAAAATCAACTCCATTGCCTCGTGTTCGCACAAAACCTCCCTGGATTTATACAACAACACATCCTCCTTTAATTTCACGTTCTGGAAACGATTCCAATATTGCTAAAGTTCCTTCAAGAAATTCGAATGATCTACTTTTGTCGAATAAAAATTTAGGGATGAATGGTGAGTCAAACGCAGAATTTGTTTGCTAGTTAATTGCTTTTCAGAAACGCTACAAATAAGTGAAGCAGCTCTTCGTCGTAATAGTGATGGTCATGGCAGTGATATTTGCTGGGAAACAATAATTGGACAGGAAATTGTGAAATTGGTGACGATGGACTTGATTTTCACTATTCTTTCAATCCTAGTAATTGACTTTCTGCGTGGATTATGGATTAAATATTGCTCTTCGTGGTGGTGCTGGGATATTGAAACTACATTTCCGGAATATGGAGAGTTCAAAGTTGCTGAGAATGTGTTACATATAATCAACAACCAAGGAATGATTTGGCTCGGACTGTTTTTCGCTCCTCTTCTTCCTGCCATCAACAATATCAAATTGATAATTTTAATGTACATCAGAGGATGGGCTGTAATGACTTGCAATGTGCCGGCTAGAGAAATCTTCAGAGCTAGCAGGTTTGGCTTTGGAAATAACTAAAAAGACATAGAAATCTGTTGTTTCAGATCTAGCAACTTTTATCTTGGAATTCTACTAATTTGGTTACTTTTATGTACACTTCCCGTAGGTTTTGTGATTGCTTCCATGAGTCCATCACGATCATGCGGCCCTTTCGCGTCAGTTTAGCTTTATGTTTGTGAAATGTATTCACAATTTTTACAGACGATATCAGCATTTCTACACGGTTGTAACCAGAGAGATAGAAAAGAGAGTTGATCAGACAGTGCTCTCTTATATCCGACATATTGCTTCGCCAGGAGTTGTCATCCCCATTATTCTCTTTCTTATGTATGGTGGTGATTTCTCCTACTATTTTTTTATTAATTGCTTTTTACAGCCTGATAATTTATTTTCTGTTCTCGTTAGTTCGTGGTCTGCGGGAAGCAAACACAGATCTACAAGCTCAATTAGTTCATGTAATCAGCGCTCGAGGCACTATTAAAATACATATTTTTTATTAAGGAACGTACTGAAGAAAAAAAGAAGATATTTGAACTTGCTGGTGGCAAGAAAAACAAATTTGACAAAGATCGCGATAAAAAACGAGCAAACGATTACATTCCCCTTATTGAGCAGCGACGGCGAGAACCCTGGAGACAGTATCACGAGGTGAACCAGGTTGCAAGTAATCTTCAATTGAAACATTGTTTAAGATGGACAATGAAAATGTATTGGCGTCAGATTCGTCTGAAGAAAGTGATATTGCTGAGGATGAAGATGAAGAACGCCAGCCACTTGCATTATATCCGCTCAAATCTTACGGAACTCCACCCGAAACTTTACAAGTTACGGCTTTCCATCCTTCTTTAGGGTAACTTTTGCAGGAATAGTAATAAATATTGTATCAGTCTCAGTTCATTGATCGAAAACAAAGAAATGGAAGACGAAGAAAGCTCGGAACCACTACCAATGATTCACAAATCTGTTTCTTTTCAAGGTAATTAACTCTGAGAAAAAAACAATTAAGACAACTTTTCAGGAGCATCTTGCATGCAAATGCATCAAAGTATTTCAACGGAAAGTTGCAGTCAGATCTCAAGAAATGCTATCCAGGTTGCTACGCCTGAAGAAATAAGGTGAAATATTTTTTAGAATTGAAGATTGAAACTTTTTTTGTGTGTGCATGGTGCATGTTTTGTTTTACAGAGCACTTCTTCGCCCTTACCTTGAAGCCAAATACGGCATACCTTATCAGCATGGAGTGAAATCTTTTCCGATTGATTTGAAAACTCCTCCTCATAACACGCCGTCGCGGAGATCGTCCAAGCACAATTCATTTGTTTCAGTTTATGAGTCTTCGAAGGAAGACAGTTATGCGAAGTTGGTTCAGTTAAAATTGAATTCGTTTGTTTTTGTGTATTTTTTAAATTGGAAATAGCACAGTTTGAAGCACAAAACGAACTCTTTTGTGATTTTTTGTTAGAATATAATATAATGCATTTTAGAAGTTTTACCACTTCCCGTTCAATCCAAAAAAATCAAAATGAAGACGGAGGTAGTAACGATAAAACGCAACACGGCATCAATATGGATACAAATGTTACCAATGAGTTCATGCCTTGGCCTTCAGCCAGTGAAGTATGATATTACAGTTTATAATATCTTTTATCAAAATCTTTTACAGGCAAAAGCAATAAGGGACAAAATGAAAACGAAAGCGCCCCTTATGCTTACAAAGACAACTGTTGGAGAACTACCGAAGAGTTCAAAAAGGGATTTTACTGAGGAATTACGGCCCCCAGTACCTGTACATCGAAAATATAATGTGCAGGTATATCGTAATTATATTGTTCATTAATGTCATCTCTTAAAATAATGTTACAGGAAATCGCTGAAGAACCAGGAGACACGTCTGATTCTCAGCCAGAATCATCTAAAAAACGGTTCCGAATATCAGTTTCACCAACTAAAGCTCTAGCTCCGACGTCGGCAAGCAGGTAATAGAAATTATAACTGTTCAGGTTTTCCACATAATTATTTGCAGAGCGCAGCACAAGATTGTTTCACAGACTTCTTCCAGCAGCTCCATTCTTCAAAATCGTCAATTGGATGCGCAGAAGAAGTCACTAGTCTTATCACCGCGAGCACCGCGAGTTCAGTTTGACGAAGACGATTCACCCAGACAAATTGATTAGTAACTTCAATCAAAAGTGTTCAGCCGGTGAAATTAGTATCTTGTTTCACGCCCGGTTATGCTGTTTTCTTTTATATAATCAGGTTTTAGAATTTAAAAAACTTGAACATTCCTTCACCGAATCCGCACATTGCTGAAGGTTACAACATTTTGCGATCTCAAATACTGAAGGAAAGCATTCAATCATCTTTTGAGACAGCCAACGTATACAGATGTTTACATGACTGTCACTTGAGCTTTAATTTTTATTTATTAATAAATTGTTGTACTTTGTATTACTTGGGAATATAAATATTTTGATAAGCACAAGTGATCGAAATTGTTTAGAAAACTATCTAAATGAGCAAAACAACTTTTTTTTTGTTTGTTATTGAGTATGTTTCCAGCAATTCAAAAATAGCAATAATATATTTAATAATACTACAAAAAGTTGGTTAAAAATACAAAGCATTTCTCAAATCTTCAGCAAAATGGGTGGAGTTTACTAGAGGTCTATGCTCCGCCCAGCTGTTAGATGAAAGAAAAAGAGAACCGCACTCTGGGCCTAGTCAAGCCGACCGGAGAGTTCAAGTTTGTTTTCTGTATTCGTATTGAAAAACGTAAGCGTTTTGTTTCAGAAATCGCGTGCTGAAGGTGCATTCAGCTGTTCTACTGTTGCTCAGCTGCAAGCTGCTTGAAAAAAGCCGAATGATCCGGTTATCACGTTTGTCGTTTTAATGCTGCAGCTGAAATTGAGTTTTATACCACTTGTGTACTTCACAGTTTTCCTCATTCTTCGTGTTTGCTCTTCTTACAGTCATTCCTATTCGGATTACAGGTATTTTAGTTGGCTGTTGTAAAAAAAACGAATTTTTAGCGTATCATCGAATTATTGTTATAGCTGCATGTCGGAAGATTTTCTATTGCACTGGCAGTATCTTGATGAGGTGCAATTCTTAATATATACCTTAGATAACCTTTGAAGAAAAAGAAAAGGGAAGTAGTGGATTAATGTCAAGTGTCGTGACGAGCGCGTTAGGATACAACTGTCATGAGGTGTTAAATTTCTGCGATAAACGTACAGTGGTTCCAAAGCGTATTAATTTTCACTATTTCACTTCAGCTTTATCATTTTTGCTTTCGTTTATACTCTGACGTACTGCAAAATCAAAGTCAAAAAAGAGAGAGAAAGGGATGGGATTTGGACTTGGATTTGATTTGCATACATTCGAGGGCTCTACACGTTAACTTTCTCAATAGATTAACGAAAATATTGAATCCTCAAAGACCAGGGTGTTGCCAAGTTATCCGCACATCTCGAACCCGTCAATTATTCTTTCAATTGCCTGAATCGCAATGTCAAAACCAAAACTTTTGCGACCACGAGCTGTCTGCTATTCCTTGGAGACTTTTGACATATATCAGAGAAGACGGACTAGTGTCGTCGACGCGCATCTTTGGTATTATTCCCTCTTGCCATCAGAAAAAAAAACGGAAAACTACAACTGAAGCTAAACCGACTGTGTTTCAGGTCTACTATCGACCAATGAACTTTACCGATTACTGTTTTAATATTCCAAACAAAGTTTGATTTTTGTCCCAAGTTCAACAACAAACTTTTTTGATTTGTAGGCTCAAATTGGTACAATGCCGTGTAGTCACTCGATGTGTGTAACTGTAATAGAACCAAGAATTTTAGCAGGTTGGTTTGCAGTTTTCTGTGACAAAAATAACGTGTTATTGAATTGGCTGCCAATGCGAAGAATGTCACTGTGAAAATGATGGATTTGTTACAATGCTGTTTGCGGTACTTCTTCAGCAAGCTTGCACACTGACTGCATCAGTCAATTGTCACTTCTTTCGAGTCGCACATCCAATTATCTAATCCCGTTATTTTTCTAAAGAAAGACGTCAATTAGGAGCTTTTTCACTTTTTCAAATCTTTATGTGAAGAAGTAAAACAACTTATTCATAGCTGTTATAAACTTGAAAGTGCGTTTTCACTCCAAAAAAAAAGATTAATGATGTTATGCACTGAAATTATTCTACTAACAAAACTACAAATGTTAGTAACAACTTTCCTCTTTTCACGAACTGATTTTGAATGACCCTTCACAAATACCTCAACAACTCTTAGTGGTTTTCCATTCTAGGATCTCTATTCTCAAAACTTTGATTGGTTTTTTCTGAGTGCGAAACAGAAGAAAAATGCCGAAGAGGACAGCAAAACGAGAGAGTAATCACGTTGAAAATGAAATTTGAGTGGGAAAGAATGTGCATTATTTTCCCGACATTTAGGATAGAAATGAGACAAAGAACAATCTTGTTCACTTCAAAATAGTTTCAGGGCAACATATTGGAAACAACATTATACGTGGTTGTTTCTCAGGTCTTTTCAAATACGGATCTTCTCCAAAAACTGTGAATCAACAAGTTTTAGGTGAGTCAGATAAGTACCTTGTATCAGAGGTTAGAATGCTTACTTGATACTTGAAAATCGGAAAACAATTTACAAAATTAAGATCGAATTGTGAAACGTAGGGTTGCAGAACATGAGCCTGAAATCGCCAGCTTTGCAATTTTAACATGAAAATTTTGCAAAACAGGCGATTTCAGGCGTCGGTTCTGCAACCCTAGTATAACGTTACAAAAAACCAATTTCTCGCATTAAACTATCAAGTCAACTAATCATTGAGACAGAAAAAGATGGTTCAAATACACGTTCAGACACTTCCTGCACAAGGATGCCTGCTCATAAACTCTTACCACCAAGACTTGCTGCTCGAAGTAGCAACCGAACGATAGAAATGTGCTGGTGTGCAGGGCAACTTTGCAATGATTATCCCAGCGTCGCTATGAACAACAAGTAATTTTATTAACTCATATGTATTCAAAATTTTTAACAAAAATTGGGGATCTCGAAAGATGAATGAACCTATCCAAACTTCCATACTGAGAGAAGAATACTGAGAAACCCGTGCAACTATTATTGGTCTGTCATGGAAAGAATCTGAATTTGGCATTGGAGTAATTTCTGTGTCAAATAAGACTAGGATCTCAAGAAAATATTATGACATTACTGGGGTACCAAGAAATGGTGAACAAGAAGTCCCTAAAAGAAGGATCAAACACGTTTTTTATTTCTCATTAATATAATACCGTAAAAACTGTATTATAACGGCACCTGTAATAGAACGGCACCTGTATTATAACAGCACCTGTATTATAACAGCACCCTTAGCTATCATTCGAAAAATATAACGGCATGCCGTTTTAATACAGTTTTTACGGTATATTTCCATAGGACTCCTATCAGACTTGAACCGCAGCACTTTTAATTGTCAATTTTTCACGGATAACGAGAACACTGTAGATTTGTGAGTTTTAACTTGAAAACGTAATTACAAAGACTTGTGGTTTAAAAATTAAAAACCCGGGTAGTGACACCGAGACAAAACTTGCATTGTAGCGTAAGAAATCAAGGCACGTATAAATTGAGCTAGTTTTTGAGTTGTTTCTCTTCAACTTTTCACTTGGCTTGGGCTGGCCGGGCGCAAGTTTGTTAAAAAGGCTTCAACATCAAATAAAATTTTTTTGAAATACATTAAATCAATATATTTTCAGTTTCAAAAAAACACTGCATGTAGTAGTTTCGATTGGCGCTGTGATTTTTGCTTCCTTCTACAAATAACGAAAATCACCTTAAACAATTTTTGAATATAGTATCTCTTCTTTTTTGAGTGAACAATCGTAGTCTTGAAAGTATGAATGTTTGGTTCTTCCAATACTTGTATCATTCTTTCATGAATCGAAATTAGTTTATTTTTTGATCTCTTTGTCAGTATTATACAGCTTGTATTCAAACATTTTGTCGAAATAAAACTTTCAAAGCACATTGGCCTGTTGTTCGAAGTTCAAATCATCAACTATTTTTCTGAGATGCCTCATTTCACTATCTTCAATTCCGCAACAGCCTCCCATAACAGTTGCGTTATGTTCAACCCATGATCTTATTAGTTTTTCAGAGAACACACCATCCGTTTTGCTCCTGCAACTTAAAAGCTATTACAAAAATTTTTATGTTGCAAACTCACTCTTTTGAAAGGAACTTTGTGTCGCCAAAATTAGGGTAGACAAAAATGTGTTGAAATTTATAATTATTAAGTTGGATAAGAACTGGGAGCACATTTTCCGAGTCAGTGCAATTGATTCCTATACCAAAAACCTACAATGAAAAATTATTCAATCGACACGTCTCAGAAGCAATCACTTGAGGATGGTTCGAAAGCTTTTTTGCAATCTCCTTTATCGTTTCTCCATGTCGTGTTTGTGCGTTGTCCTGAAAAAAAGCATGAGGAAAGTTTACTGAAAATTGTTTCACCTTGCATGTAAAAGAAAAAACTGCTTTGAAACAAGGGAATTGTTGCAGTACAGTCAGAGCAATCTCTGCTTCTTTTTCGGAAGGAATGGTTTCGAAAACAAGATTTCGAATAGCTGTTTCTTTTTCGAATATGCGCAAGATTGTGCTGTAGTAGTTTGATGTCGTTGCCTAAAACAGAAAACGTTGTTCAGGATAGGAGTAAAAACATTTTTACTTCTGAGCCCGGCAATTCGATGTAATTTCCGTGATACTCTGAGAGGTCATGGTACATTGTGGCAAGAGTGCCAACAGATCCTAATATTTGCGTGTCTTTCTTTTTATTTTGTACGACCAGTTGACAGAGAATTTCACAAGTGTTCTGAAAACTACTTTGTCTGAAATATTTGACTACTGTTAATACCGGGCAAAAACTATCATATTTTTCTGTTTTAAAGAAGGCGTCCGGTAAAAATTTTTTTATTTTACTGATTCTTTTTTCCGGGCCACGCCAAATACATTACATGTCGATCGTTTCTCTCTCTCTCCGCCACCGGCTCCATCGTCCGGCCCGCCATCAGCTACTCCACCGCCGCATTCTTTGGAATGATTGTATCGAGGTACATCATTTCCGCCGAATCGAACTTCTCCGGGATGACCACAATACGCTTGAGAATAAAAGAAGCAGTGCGTCGGAACTTTCTTAGACGACGAAGGCTGTGCCAAGCGGGTTGCGAATGAGGGCGAAGGGGAAAGAGTGGGTAGCAGGAAATGAGAGAGTCAAGGATCTGAATGAAGTGCTCGAATTTGTCGAACAAATAATTCCGTGAAAAATTGGCACGCTACAGAAACATTTCAAACTTTACAGGCGTTCTAGTTGTTCTCTCGTTTTTATTTTTCATTAAAAAAATGTCATCAATCAAAATTGTTTTTACCGGACGCTTCCTTTAAGTTGAAATCGCTTGAAAAATAAATCAGTAAATATGATGGTTTTCAAGAATCAACTGTTAAAACTTATTTTTCTATGTTGAGAACTTTAAGTGAAACGACACGAGAATAAAGATCTTACTAAATGGGTTTTTTGTCGATTAAACAATTTTCAACTGAACACTTCAAAATATTACAACTTTTATCTTATACTGTATTTCCTAAATTTTTATTTTCACACTAATTCTGCTGAATCAAGTTACATTCTATATTTAATTGTCATTTTTCACCTTGAACATCTTGATGTACTCTTCTCTTTTTTCTTTGTTGCTTTGCAGTGATTCATCTAATGTACTTCCATAATGATACGTATTTGTTGTAATAAAATCAACATTCAGCGACAAAAACCTTCAAAAAATTTTAATACTTTTCAAATTTAGAATACAATCTAAAAATACCGTCAAGGCACTCTATCGCAATCCTGAAAACTTTTATTTTGAAATCGGCAGTGACTAGGTCATTTGCGATTTTAACAATGACATCTCAAAGATTGCGGCAGAGCATATTAGCCTAATTTTTAAAAGGCGACTAAATAAGTTTCTTACGATGTGTACACAGCTTTCATAAGTTCTGCATTGTCGTTAGCCGGAAATGTCCAATGTGGTCTATTCTCCTAAATTTTTGAAAACTTTATGTACTGTAGATCACTGAAAGAAGAAACCAATAGTTGTCACGGGCCGGAACGTGATGGAAATTTCTACGGCCCACATGAAGCAAATTTTAATTTTATGCATAATTTTTGCAATTTCTAACTAATTTTCACACTTTTCTAACTAATTTTTTGTTCTGTATTCATTCGAAAGTTGTAAAAAAGTGATAAACTATGTGAATCTGGCAACCAAATTGAAATGGGCTGTGGTACAGGACTTTCCATTTAAAATGGTACATATACCTTTGCTTAACAGTTGCAGAAAAACCATAGTTTGCGTTACAGTTTCTGATTCCTTAACTTAGACTGAGAAATTACAGACTTGTACCTAAGTGATTTACTCACGTTTGTATTATATCCAAATTTTTGGAGTTGAGCAGACATTGACCCATCTAATAAAAATAGTTTTTGAGACATTCTGAAAAAATAGACGAGACAAATGCTGTTTTTTTCACTAAACGACCAACTGTTTGGAATTAATTCAAAGTTCAAACATGATTTGTTGAAGTGTATGTATGTATGTATGTATGTAAGTATGCATTCGTTTGTTGTGCTAAAAGAGCACGAGTTAAGCGAGAGAAAGGGGGGGGGGATGGACAATAAAACTAAGACAGTGTGTAGTACACACTGTCTTAGTTTTATTGTCCATGCAAGAGGTTACACTGCCGTCGTGTAAGAAAAATGTTTTTTTGTAAACCTTCTGAGAGCAACTTATCCCAAAAACAATAAAAACACATATTTGCAGCACCGTAGCACATTTCATTTTATGCTATTTAGAAAAAAACGATTGAAAGGAAGATATTCGGAGAAAAATTAAAAGAACAAACAGAAAAAAGCCGAAGCTTCTGCTGATTAACTCTTGAAGAATAGAAGGAATGTTGTCACTGTTGTAGAATCGTGGACCATTTGGAAAAATCGTGCACCGAAAAAAAAAATCGGGAACAGAAAAAAATCGTGGACCGAAGCAAAGATTTTTCCAAATGGTCCACGATTCTACGACAGTGCCGGAATGTTGACATAAAATAAAATGTCCGGTGGTGTTGCAAAGATGTGCTTGGCTCGCTGCCAAATCTCTTTTCAGCAGTAGATACCAGTAAATACAGAATATCTTGGCGATTTGAAATAAGGAAACATCGGCGAAAATCGGGCGGAACACACATACCACCGCGTTTCGCCACAGTTCCGCCGCTGTTTCGCCAGAACTCTGAGTGGTCTTGCCACGATTTGAGCTTGGCGAAACACCCGGTCACCCGCGGTTTACTCATTTAAAATCGCTGAGATGGTCACAGAAATAATTGACGATATTGTTTTCCTAATTTGCATCAGTGTTGCGTGTAAGGAAAAAGGTCTTCCTTTTTGTGCAAATAATTAACATAGAGGATTCACATAGAAAATATTGCAACAATAATTGTATTGAAAAACATTTTGCTGTTTTTTCGATAACGAAATTGCAATACATACTCACTTTATTATTACAAAACGCAAAAACGCACTCACAAAGTCGATAATATAAGACAAAAATTAAAATAACTGAACATTTTCTGCGATTGCATTCAGCAATTCAAGCCCGTGATTAAAATGATTTGCAATTGCGCTAGAACACTTTGAAGCAAGTAAATAAGATAATTTATAGAGGTGTCAGAGCTCTCATGGCGCTTTGAATATCCTCTAAGAGTTCGTCCATTGATAGTTTCGTAAGGCTGGATGTTGATGAGTGATCACTGTAATTATTGAAATAGTACAAATGTTTTAACAAACTATTATAACCTGGGATGATCTTCTAATAGTAATGGTGGCAACGACGTAGGAACGTGAAAAGAAGTTGTCTGCTTGCTGCAAGAATACGACGTACGGTGATTGTGTTGAACCGGAGACGTCACTTAAAAAATGTCTTATTGGTAAAGTATGTTTCAAAATTTGAACCAAACCTTTTTGGGTCAGAGTAGAGTCAATATTTTGCTCCAGTTTACTTATCCCGTTTAGTAACTTCCCTGTTGACACCAAATTCAATCGGATTGGAGTATCTCTTGACAAAAACGGATCGAAGTTCATCTTTTCAGATGCCGGTGAGGTTTGTTTTTCCGGAGCAACTTTGGGAATGTTTTTGTAATTGTTTTGGTAACTGAAGTAGTCAATTTCCTTGCAATGTCTAAGTTTAGGTTGGTTTGAAAAAACAGGTGCTGGTGGTGGCGGATCATTGAATTGATGAGCTCTATCTTTTGATCTGGGGGCATGATAATAGTCAGCCTGAACATAGTACAGGTTGTTTTGTGGAGAGTTCATGACATTCGAATTACAATTTCTTTGAAATTCCTAAAACAGAAACCGATTATGCTTACTGATTATACGACCTACTTTCAGTTTTTTGATAGCCAATCCTAAACGTTTTAAATGTCCAAGCCGTTTTATTCCAATATTTTCAAAATCTTCCCAGTTCAAGCTCAAAAGGTCACTGACATTGTAATACTTTTGTCTTTCGAAAAGAGAAATGTACTCGGCTAATCCTATTACCCTCAGCCATTCTCTGAAAAATGAGCGACTTGACTTATTTTTCTCATTTGCTTACCGCAAACAATTATTCTGTATGAAATGTGGCCAGTCGTTATTTATTTTCCAGCTATGAATACTATTAATCAATTTTTTCCGGTGGTTTGGATCTTTTATACCAAGACTCAACAAATCTGCAGGAGTGCATCGAGCTGCAAAATGAAAGTTTTGTGCAATGAATTAAGAGGCAATGTCTGAGAAGTTCAAAAACTGCAGGTCACTAAAAATTCAGAATGCTTCAATTTGTCTAATATTATACCCAATGGGTACTTACATAACAGTGATACATCAGACAAGTTTTGATCCGGCTCCTTGGTCCCTAGTCCGATCACGGTCACAAAATAGGTCAAACCTGTAACTAATTTCAAAAAAATGCTAGCGTCTCAGACTCAAGGCCATTCGATTTTTTGCATCTTTTTAAGCATTTTTCATGTTGGCACCAAAAATTTATCACCTTTCCTTCATGGAGAAATTTCGGATTTTTCGTGAAAAAGTTGAGTTGTTGTGCAGTTTTCCTCCGTGGTGAAAATTTTTTGCACTTCATAGCCACGATTTTAATTCAAATTCATAATCTACGGACAATTTTACGTCGGTATACCATACTGTCGCACATTTGCCGATTGACATCAAAGGAGTTTTTTTCAAAAGTTTGATTCGGTCTCAAAAAAAAGTTTCTGTTCTGTTTTTGGAAAACGTACAGAAACAAGGGAATTCCTGTTTATAGACGTTTTTCATGCTAAAAACTGTAATTCTGTTATGTATTCGTCAGATACAGCTTTGTAAACGTAGCGATTAAAACATGTTGAAATTTTTTGTCAGTCGGATAGATTTTTCGAGATGTGTTCGCTTTTACCCAATATTTTTTGCTTTCTCTCGTTTTTATTTCAATGTTCATCTAACTTTTTGTGAAGCATATATTTGGTCGTTCTCCGATTGATTCAAGAACGGTAAGAAGTACATACACAAGGGGCAACACTCAACAACAAAGTACATGAGAAAAACCTAAAACAAGAAAGTTATAAAGCGTCTTTTCTTCACATTTCAGTTTCTTCCATAGCAAAAATTGGATCACTGGATTCCATCAGTGCGTAATAAAAAGAATCACCGATAGTCCAAGTGCTCTCAAGTTTCAAATATCGGATCACTCCAGCATCGTCATGCTCTTCCTCTGGAATAGTATAGTCTTCCTTCCACGATTCATCCTTCATTTCTTGAGCGCGTCGCGATCGTGCTGCTTTTGATTGCCTTTTCGCTGCTTCACGAGAGAAGAAACCGGCAATCTGACAGAAGTCTTTCCTTTGATCCACTGAAAACCGCTTAGAACCGTCTGGATTTCTAGCTTCTGCCATTCTCTTTTCAACAATTCTCGGATCCGCATGTTGACATTTTTCTTCCAAGCCTCCGTCAAAACGCTCGATTAAAAATTTTTTTGACGTCATCCTCGAACGGTTTTCTTTTTTGTCTTACTTGGAGTGCCCATCCGTCCTCCAATTACGTCTTCTCGTTCGTCTCCTTCAGTTTTTTCACAGCATCCGAAATTATTTGGCAATTTTTTGACTCATCCACTTCTTCGAAACCACGAATAAAATATTTCAATGAAAAATCACGAAGTGTCTGCCGTTCAGGTCGAATTATATGTTGTCCACGTTCAACATGCTTGACCACGCTTGAATATCTCAAAAATGCAGCTGAGCATCCTTCCTCTGGGCATGTAAATATCTTTCCCAAAGCGTCTTCGTACCGCGGTCTCACTTCATCGCTTTCCACTTCATTTGCATCTTCTTCTTCAATGCAAGCAGTGTTTTGAGAATCAGTTGACTTAGTACAATCCGAAAAGTACCAAAACTTGGTCTGCTTCTGCGACAGTACAGCATTTCGTTATTCATTAATAGACCCAATCACAGTTGAAGTTTATCCGGCATGTTCGAACTCGTATGTTCCAGTCAATGACTTCAAATTATTTGACGGAACAAATTGACCATTGCAAGAGCAACTGTACAATCAGGAAAACAATGAGTTTCATTATAATCTGTAATATTGGCCATCTAATAATATCAGCAGTTTGAAAATAGGAAGAAGAATAGCTACACAAAATTTGCTTTGTGCTTTTATACCTATTTGATGTACTTTTGTTGTTGAGTGTTGCCCCATGTGTATTATAGGGGCACCGGACAGAAAAGGCGCGCTGTTCGCAATCTGGCCGAATTTCTAGGCCGCGAAGTAATTTTCCACTGAAAATGTGGCCTAACTTTTCAAACTCGGCCCCGAGGTCGCTCAATTTGCACTGCAAAAAGAGTTTCTCAACAGAGCGCCATTTCTGTGCGGTGCCCCTATAATATGTACTTCTTGTTTACCGTTCTTGAATCAATCGGAGAACGACCAAATAAATGCTTCACAAAAAGTTAGATGAACATTGAAAAATAAAAACGAGAGAAAGCATAAAATATTGGGTCAAAGCGAACACATCTCGAAAAATCTATCCGGCTGACAAAAAATTTCAACATGTTTTAATCGCTACGTTTACAAAGCTGTATCTGACGAATACATAACAGAATTACAGTTTTTAGCATGAAAAACGTCTATAAACAGGAATTCCCTTGTTTCTGTACGTTTTCCAAAAACAGAACAGAAACTTTTTTTTGAGACCGAATCAAACTTTTGAAAAAAACTCCTTTGATGTCAATCGGCAAATGTGCGACAGTATGGTATATCGACGTAAAATTGTCCGTAGATTATGAATTTGAAATAAAATCGTGGCTATGAAGTGCAAAAAATTTTCACCACGGAGGAAAACTGCAGAACAACTCAACTTTTTCACGAAAAATCCGAAATTTCTCCATGAAGGAAAGGTGATAAATTTTTGGTGCCAACATGAAAAATGCTTAAAAAAATGCGAGAAATCGAATGGCTTTGAGTCTGAGACGGTAGCATTTTTTTGAAATTAGTTACAGGTTTGACCTATTTTGTGACCGTGATCGAACTAGGGACCAAGGAGCCGGACCAAAACTTGTCTGATGTATCACTGTTATGTAAGTACCCATTGGGTATAATATGAGACGAATTGAAGCATTCTGAATTTTTAGTGACCTGGTGTAATTAGCGAATTTCGAGGTTCTCAGACATTGCCTCTTAATATAGAATTACTGTACCGATTGTCTGAAGATCATACCCTTGCTTCAAAAACAAGGTAAGAAAGCCGCTCATGTTCAAGCTATTCAGCCATCTCACAAGAATTTCGGCATGAGAAATTCCGTTTAATGACAAACTTGTCACATCTAGTTCTGCTGGTTTTTGACTCCCATAGTCTTCTGAGCCGTGAATTGACAATGAAGACCCACTACAGCTTTCGGCAGAATGAATGCTTAGAGTTGGTTCATACTCATTCGTCTGGACGGCCGAAGGAAATGATGATGCAGATGTGGAAGTTGAGCACTAAAATTATTGTTTTCCATTCTTCAATGCTGTGTGACACCTACTTTCATGCTTTCGAATCCAGAACTACTGTGACTGGGACTGGTACATGGAGGAGAGAACATATCAACTTTAGATGGGTGAAGAGATGTTGTCGAGGCATACATGTTAAATGGGGCTGAATTTTTTTTGTTATTTTTATTGCTGTAATTGATGGGCTCATAAAGCCAAGAAAGAAACCCGTCATTTCTGTGAAACCCGATTCAAAACAGGTAAGACCAAAAAGAAAGAAAAAAAACTATATTTTCTCCGACTGAATGAGCCCATGAGTTCCCTTAGAAACTAAGAAACTTTAGAAAAGTAGGCAAAATGAAATTTACATTTGAATTACATTTGCGTAACAGAAAACCAAAGAAATGAATTCAGAAATTGGTCCACTATTCAAACAAAAAAGCAAGTACACGTATGTGACTATATCAAATGACTTTGCATCAAGGGTTTCAAATCTTTCTTGTTGAATTTTAATACTGAACAAAGAATACTACAGAATCTGTCCATCCAAAACTACGAAACACTTTTGAATGCCGAAAAGTTTGTGTGAATGGAAAAGACTGGCACTTCCGTGAAGCTCAGAAATGTTATTTTCGAATTCATCGTTTGCAGATGTATTTTTCCTCAAAAAATGAAAAATCCTATTTTATTTGTGATGCAATGTACAGATTACAATTCAAAGAAAAAATCTGAGAGACTGGTGAATAACTAAACTAGACTGGTCACAAAAAATTCAGCGTACCCATACCATTGTAAAATTTTTGAAATTGGTACCATTTGGTTCTGCCCTGGATTCCCATAGTACGGTAAGTGCAAAAAGTAAAACATTTAAAAAAACATACTTGTTGATTGCTGTCTGTAAAAAAGTTCATGAGCGTCTGAACCAATTGCACCGGATGATGATTTTGTTGACGTACTTCTGAAAACAATTAATCAGATGAAGTCTTGTTACGCAAGTAATTTTTTCCTTTTGTGTCGTTGTTACCATTCCAGTGAGAAAAAAAAGAAAAAGGACATTACCGAAAGTTGAGAAGTTTCCTGTTAGGCATTGATGGCTTTCCAAATGAAGTCATGTGAATTCTGTTCACACCTGCAGATTTACATGATTCCTATTAATTAAACTGAGCATACCATTCTGATCTAATCCCAAAGGAGTCGTTCCGCAAAATGCGAATGATTTCATTTCTGATGAATCCGTTCTCGATCGCATAACTTTTGGCGGTAGAACTGCAATAAATGAGTTAAAATTTTAATATGAATTTAAAATATTACGAGAACTTACTTTGTAGTACTGCTTCGGATTCTTCTACTACAGTGCTTGGATCAAAATAACCACTTCGAGAGTTTCCTTTTTGGCCAAACACAATTCCTTTCCATAAGTTTTGATCAGAGCGATTAATAATCTACATTCAAGTAACGTGATTCTCAAATTCATTCATAATTGAAACTTACCCAAACTTTATCTCCTTTTGAAAAACACAGCTCGTCTGCTTTTACTCCGCAATGATTCTTCAATGCTATGGCATCCGTGAATGTGTGAAAATCTGAAATACGTTCATAGTTGTTTAAAAAAATCAATATTTTTTGTTTCTGCTCGGAACAATCTAATCGCGCGAAAGTCTTATTGTTTGTTCTCAATGCGAGCAATAGATGAAAAACGGAATAATCTCAAACACAGAAAAAATGATGATGATTGTGTTTGAATGGCCGTTCTAAATCTGGTTTTGAAAAGAAACACTGTGCATTTCTTATAGTAATTTTTGTATCGTAAAAGCGCAAAAAGAGGTTGCCACTGAAAAATGTGCGAACAGAACAAGGACTTACTCCGTCGGTAAGAATGCAAACTGCGACGCAAGCGTTCGCGTACGTATTCAAGGTCATAATGAATTGCGCACTCATGTTTGAATAAAAACTTCTGCTGTTGAACAAACGTTGGAAAATCACAAAAAAAAATTCATTCTTGCATTTAAGATCATTTTTGCTACTTTCATAGATTTCTAATGTTGCTGTAATTTTTCTGAGTAGAAGCATTTGCTTCTTGGAGAACCCATTTGATAGACTTTCGGTACATATTTTTGGTACATGTAGAACACATAGACCTATATGTACTTAAACTCGATCAAATGGGCTCTCACATAAATCAGAAACACGAAGAGTGAGATATCTACAATAAAAATTTTCTAGTAGTTCTGAAAAGATAATTCAGACTTACTTTTTAATAAAAAATGAATTTCTTTAAAAGTAATCGGATTGCGACAGTTCGTTTTCTTTGCCCACTCATAAGCCGTCATACCGTTTGCATTTTTTATGCTTCCATCAATCCTCGACTATGAAAAATTGCATTATTCACATTTACTTAGTGTCCAAATTTACTTTCAACAGGAACCTAACAGATTGAACTCGTCCAAAACCTGCAGCTAAGTGTAGTGCAGACCCTTCGTTTGTTTTTGTGTTTATGTCCCAGCTGTGGTGAAGTAGAACCGTCATAACCTAGGAAGAAAGTAAACAGTACTTCTCCGAAATAAAGTGAATTACTTGAACATGCCCATTTGCTGCAGCTAAATGAAATGCAGATGCAGTGTGATTTTCATCTGAACTTTGAAACTTTTCCGTTTTTATTCCGCAATTCAATATGACTTCTAACATCTGAAATAAAAGTTTTAATAAATAACTTCAACCAGCTTTTAACTTTCTCTTGTCCGTACTCGCATGCAAGATCAAATGGCGTTCTTCCCGTCCTGTTGACTGAGCAAATATCTGCATGGTAGTATAATAAAAGGTTGAACTAAATAAAATAACTGATGAATTGAAAATTGAACATAACAGGTACATGATCAATCATCCCATTTTTGCATGCAAGGTGACATGGTGAGATTCCGTCAAAGTCGACGCAGTCTACATTTGCTCCTCCTGCCAGCAGAACCGAAGCGAGTTCTATGTTTCCATGAACAATACACGAATGCAGAGCTGTTCTTCCTGAGTTTAAGTAAAATGAATGTCTAAATTTTTTCCTTTTTGTGTTACCTTTGTTATTTGGTTCATCAATCCAAACGGATTTTGAATCTACAAAATTTTTAACCATGATAGAGTTTCCGATCTTGATAGCAAATTGCAGTGGAGTATAACTGAAAACTATATATTTTTCGAACATGACTATAAAACACCAAACAATTCTTCGTCATCTTCCAATCCATTCTTTTGAATTTTCAGGAGATCTGAAGGATGTTATTTTCAATGACGTTCAGTGAGAAATATTAATACCTGATACGCTCGAGGAAAATCGCTTCAGCAGCTTTTTACTGGTCATTTGAAAACTGCAAAAATTCAGAAATTGAGCAGATTTTATTAAATTATCATTTTTAAGTGGTGCTCGAATCGACAGTACCCAATCCCAAGTTCAACGATTCTATGCTTAGTTGCTGAAGTGCCTCCGCGCGAGATTCAGTGATAACAATTGAGAGAGACTCTGATAACTAGACAAACACGAACATTTTTCTTGTATTATACACATGAACGGCATAGAGTAGTGAGCAATGATAAGCGTGTTTTAGTGTGCCCAATAGAACTCAGTTGAAACTCAAAATATCAGGCTCAAAATGTTTGAAAATGTCTGAAAACACCACAAAATGATCCGCAAAACAGCACCTGACAAATCGGTTTCAGTGGTTTAGTTTCGAAATCTTTAAAAGAGGTCATCAGTTTTAATCTGAACAACTCGATGAGCTTTGTCTAATTTTTTACCCGACCATTTCGGTAAACCTCTGCAGTTTATGAGCACAACTTTTGCCCAAAATCTGCTCAAAAGTTGCTGAAATGTTGTTGAAAAGCTGTTATCACCCCAAAGCTAGCTCAGAAGATGCCGGCATTTACCGAGAGAGAGTCTGATATTTACATCGATGAACAGCATTTTCATAATCATTCAAGTCAATGAAAAAAAATCTGCAGATAAGCAAGCAAACAAATAAGATAACTTGAAGCTATAATTCTTCATATTATAAAGACCTTGAGAATGGATTGTATGTTGAATTGATAGACTGTTGTCCGGGTCAATTCATACAGATATGTTATGATAGACGTTGGGCGTATGTCCAAGTACGGAATTGCGATGTACAGTTTCGTAACGTAACAGTGAAGTGTTCAATGAAATGCATAGATATAATACAATGTTGCGAGGAGTTTTTCTAAATTTAACAAAAATAGTTTCAAATTTTAATATTCGTTTATAAAAATGTTTCAAACGTTATGAGAAAACTAAATATACGATTCACTCAAGTCTTCAGTTGTTTCTTCACGGGTCTCCAAGTTCAATAGGTATGGAATTTCACTTCGAATTAACATTCCATTCTCAGATCTTGGAATGAAGTCGAGCAAAGCAAGCTTGTTAATTGTCAAGTGCACATCGCGTTCTGAAAATAAAAGATTTCACTTATGACAATTGCTCTGACTCACTTTTAAGGTGTTTTACAATTACATCGACGCTTGGGCAGTTGTTCTCATTTTTTAGCAAAATCCCACACCAGATTTCGGAATTTTTCTGCATAATGACAGCATCTTCAACCAATTTGTGCTCACAGATTATACTCTCTATTCTTTCGGATGAAATCTGTAAATTGATACAGAAAAGAATAGAAAAAGTGAAGTAATGTGTCACCTTGTTCTCTTGTGTTTGAATTAGTTCGGTAATTCGTCCTTCGCAATGCACTCTTCCGTTTTTTTCTATCATTCCAAAATCACCTTCAAAGCTGTCATTTTTTTTCTATATATAATTTGTAGCTAACCAGTTTTAAACCATATTTTTGAAAACTGTTGTAAGTTCTGATTGCAACCAGCATACCCACTAAACAGATTTTCTCCACATAAAATGATCTGTCCCCATTCGTTATTGTCTACTTCTCTTTCCGTTTCCAAATTGGCTATCTGCATAATTTTTGGTTTATCGTCGTAAGGAATTCATTGAAAAAATCACTTTTATTTTCATCAATTCTGTTGGGAATCCACAATTTACAAGTTCATCGTTTTCAGTTTCATTGAAAACCCCAAAACAGCTCACACCGAATTCGGGCGCAGAATATGCTTGTATCAAAGTAATATCCAGCATTTTTTTAATCCTCTTTGCAGTTGATACAGAAACGACAGTTCCGTGATTTGATATTATCTAGAAAAAAGTCAACATACACATGAAAACTATGGAAACTTTAAGAAGTTTACATACTTGAAGAGATTTCAGGTTGTACACTTTGTGCACTTCATATTTAATGAAACATTTCAGCAATTGAGAGTTGGAAATGAGTACTGGAATCTGAAAAAAAACACTGTAAGCGTCTATCACACCGTTAAAATAAAAACGCACTCGGTACTGTTCAATAATTCCTGCAATACGGTCCAAAAAAGAGGCTCTCCAAACATCAAGAGTGGATTCTGCTAAAACACAAGTGTCCCCTCTTGCAAGAATGCTAAGAAGGTGTGAAAAAGCATTGTGACAATGTAAACCATTAGAGACCAGATGATTCACGGAGGTTTCAGATTTTGGAACTAGCATTTTGGAAAGTTGCTCGAAATAACCACAATGTTGAAAACTACTTTTGGATGTATGTGAAATATATTGGTGTAAATAATTACTGAAATATGACATCCAGAACACTTTTTTTTAATTGTTTACCTTCCGGGAATGATAAATGCAGTGTTATTGTCTGAACGCTCTGTTATATTTTGTTCCGGTGAGAAACTCAAAAAACCAAAACCATCAATGATCCAAAGGTGTCGCGGAATGCTAATTGCAGAAATTTCGTCTGCCAATACAAAAACTCTCTGAAACATCAAGATTAACTTTTTTATGTGCAGTCACTCACTTCTATGCTTTTCATCACATTATGCGTAGTGCGAAGAACATGGCCATAGTTTTCAAAATCCACAATAGCTGCCGTACAATTTAAAATGTCTACTTTTCCAATAGCTGAAATAGACACATACTGTTTCTCCGGAAAGTTTGAATGTTTGATGTACTTAGATGACTCGGACTGACAAGAACAGGAATCGCTCCTAAGCAGAATGCCCCTAGTTGATACAGAACGTATTCCACGCAGTTTTCCATACACATAAATATTCTGTCTCCTTTTTTCACGCCATGATGGGACATAAAATTGGCCGTTTTATTACATCCGTCTACTAGTTCTTTATAAGTCAAACACCTGACTTCTCCAACTTCTTCTATCTAAACGTTATTTCATTAAAATCACAATTTATGTTGGAAAACTTGCGATAGCAATTTTTGTTGGGCTAGCCAACTGCTGATGCTTAAGCTTTTCTATCAACCAAATACGAAATTCCTTTGCGCTATCAAGAAAGCTACGTTTGCTTGTGTTTGATTTCACATTTTTAGTTTTCAAAAGCGCAGTACACTCTGCATTTACATCCGTACTGGCGTCTAGCTTCTGCAAAACTGAATTGAACCAAATAAGGAAAAAATGAATAATTTACTGGATAAAAAGGCTTGATCGTGCCTTCTTCGTTCTCCTTGACAACTGTATCGTCAAGACTGACAGTAATTTCGTATTGATCAATATTAAAGCTGCTCATGATTCTGGTGTAACCGCAGAGAACAGCTTAGCAGCAGAATGATACGAATATTTATCTAAGGCTCTTGAGAAAAGAGAACAGTGCAAGCATCTTCAGGCCCACTTGTTGGCAGCCCAGCTCTGCTGAGGACATGAACTTGAACGAAATCACATTTACGGAATTTTCAATTGTGCACAATTCGGTAAAAAATTGTTCCATGTCACAAACAACATTTCAAATTTCAATACAATTGAAAAATTTTAGCTATACACAAAGAGCATTCCCAGAGGAATAATCGAAAACTTGACTTTTATGTATTACATGACATCCGGACTTGCAAGCTGAGACTCGGTAGCGGCGTTGCCTCCCATTAGACAGTTCACGTGTTCTGTTTTCATGTTTTTCGTCACAACTACCGTAAATACTTTTCGAAGGGCATGCCCTTCTATTTTTCAGAGTGCCCAAAATGAAAATCTCATAACTTTAAAATCATGTGAGACGTCCTGAAATCGACTTAAAACTGCTCTAGCTCATTTTTCTGGGTGCCCTTCTATGCATTAGAGGTGCCCTTCTATGTATTAGAGGTGCCCTTCTATGTATTAGAGGTGCCCTTCTATGTATTAGAAGTGCCCTTCTATGTATTAGAGGTACCCTTCTATGTATTAGAGGTACCCTTCTATGTATTAGAGGTACCCTTCTATGTATTAGAGGTACCCTTCTATGTATTAGAGGTGCCCTTCTATGTATTAGAGGTGCCCTTCTATGTATTAGAGGTGCCCTTCTAATAAAAATGCCCATCTGGTACAATATTTACGGTTTTTTTTCAGGTAAGGAAAAAAAAGAATAGTTGGACCGGAATGATTTTTTAAAAATAAGAGTGACAGGATAAGGATATGTTTCAGGCATTCACTTTCATTTTTGCAAACTATCAGTGTTTTGTTTAGCTTTTAAATAAGTATCAAAGTGTGAGAAAACTAATTATTCCGTTAGAAAAATAACTATTTTTTCTTCTATGGTCAAATTGAATTAATCAATGTGGGGCAGTAAAATAAACACAGTAATATCCTTATTTTGCTATAGTAATTGTAACTTCCTGCACGGAAAAAGATTATCGTACATGTTTTTACCGTGCTCAATTTCTCTTTATCATCTCTATTTAATTTCGCATTTTATCAGTTGCATTTCGCCACGGTTTTCATTTGTCAAATAGTTTTTTTTTTCAGAAAATGGTTCAAGGATGTGGGAATTCCTGTATAAAAAGTTGTTTTTTTCTTGTAAACTTCTTTGTGTGCATATTTGGGGGACTAATTTGTGGGTTTTCGTTATGGGCAAATTTGGACAAGGACTTTGGAAATCACTTGGCGGATTTTGCGCGTCAAATTGACAAAATAGACGCTACTCTTGTGAATTCAATTGTTGAAGTGAGAGTTTTCGGAAAGCTATTTTCCAATTCAGTTTTTTAGTATCAAGCCTCTCTTTGGATTTTAGTCGCAGTTGGCGCTCTTTTATTCTTAGTGGGTTTTTTTGGATGCTGTGGTGCAGGACGTGAAAGCCCAGTTTTTCTTGGATTAGTAAGCTGACAGTCACTATAATAAAATATTTTGATTTAACTGTTTCAGTTTATTTTCATTGTCGTAATTTTAACCGCTATCGAGCTTGGAGCTACTGTGTTTGCAATGACAAACAGAGAAGACTTTGTTTCGTCGATTCATAAGGTGAGTCTCATTTTGCCCACAAAATCGTTTCACATTTTGTTCAGATACTTGAAAAATCTTCTGAAACTCCTGAACTTCGAAAAAACATCAAGCCAATCCAAGATGTCTTCCGATGCTGTGGAGCCACTGTACAAACTCAAAATATTTACATTGAGGATGGACTTTGTGGTACAAAACCTATTGCAGTGAGTGTTTTGCAAAGTAATAAAAAACTCATAAAAATGAAAAAGAAACAATACTGTTTCATTTACATTTTATGTCTGATTTTTTTCAGCACCCCGAGAATTGTTTTGATCAAATATCACACATGGTTCAGTCGTGGGGCGAATCTATTGTTGTAGTAGCATTCTGTCTTCTTGCTATAGAAATGTTGGCAATACTTTTCTCTTGCGTTTTGTGTCGAGCTTCTAATGAGATAAGGTACACTCCGTACTACTCTTAGGTTAATTTTTTGTTATAAATCACTGTTGACTTGTTTTTATTTGTCGCTGCTTCCTCATATTTTTCTTTCCTTCAATTTACACTTCTTGTTTACTTTTATTAAAAAGCCATAAAAAAGTTTATTAATAAGAATTGATGAATGAAAAGCTAACCAAAACGCAAATGTCCATCAGGCTTCCGGTAGAGTTGCATTATGTTGCTTCGAAAATCATCTATCCATGAATTTTTCTGGGGAGTACCGAACAATTTGAAATTTGCAGTTTCAGTATTAACGTGGAAATTCCTTTTAAACTGAATTTGTTAGCAACAAATTTACACGTAGGCTTACCTGCTTGTTAGAAACAATTGTTCCTCTATGTCGAAATCAGATTGATTTACGTATTTTCGGCTGTCTGAATAAAAACTATTTACTAAGAATACCTCTTCTGTTAGAGGACCTTAGATAAAAATTAAATTTAGCTTATCTAACAAAATTGTTTCTTTTCACCGTTGCTCAATTTTTTACGAATCACGAAAATGCAATAACCCGAAAAATCAGGAATAAATGTTTTTGTTTGAGAACATTCAGAAAAACAAAAAACAATGAGGATAGTACTTCAAAGTATGGTGAATATTTCGAGATCTTCAGATTCGGCTTTTGACTCATGTATGTGGTATTGCTTATGAGCTGATTCTTGCAAAAGTTAATCACATGTCTGATAGTTTTGAACTGTTTAAGATAAATATTAACAATTCTACTACTGGTTTTCCACACGAAACACCAGTGCTCAGTAACCAAATCTGGAGGTATCTGGAAAAATGTTTTCCATTCTTCAATGTACCACCCTCATTCTTTCTAAACATTTCCTTGCCCTTTAAGAACATAATTATTTGTAAAAGGAGTATTGCTAAACGTTCTCGTTTTTTAATCATCCGTAGTTTGACTGCGGGCGGTCATTCTTGTATATAATGGGGGTTTCTATAGTATTTAACCGAAATTTGGTCTCAACACAAAAATGCTCCAAAAGATGGAATAATCTATTTCCGCTAAGAGCGTGTGGACACTATCGAGGCATTGGGCAAATTAAATGCGCTCTGTTGCAATTGTGACCGACGACAGTTAAAAACAGCGAAAATTCTTCCAGAAATCAAATGGCTAGTTTTGTGGCTGCAAAATAACGCGGTTTCTCAACAGTGCGCATTAACATTGAAATGCCCTGATAGTATCTAATTCCGAACTAAGACTGATACACTTCGAGGAGCAGGAGGAGGTCGAAATTTTTACTATTTTGCACTGAAATACAGAATTTTTCGGAAGAAGCCTCTTTCTCAAAGTATATATGTCTTAAAAAGAGTCGTACAAAAAAGTTGATCAATGCTTGCAGAGAACTTGTCAAAGTGTGTGTCTAAAAGTAATAAAAACAATGAGAATATAGTAACAGATACTCGACCTTCAATTTTAAATGTGAGCCTCTAATTTTCATTTTTGTTCCCGATTTTTGTTTCGAGTTCCAAATTTTCTTAAGCTTATAATTTTAGAACAAAACCAAAAACTATCAACAAATTTTTATGTTACTCAGTCCAATGCAAGCAGCAACAACAGCTTTGTGAAGAACAATAACTCCAGTTTCTTTATCTCGAAATTTTAGTGATCTAAAAAATATATGATCTCAGAAAATTTTCAATTTTTGTAAGTACCTGTAATTTGGGGAACATTTTACGTTGATCCTGCTTGACTCCAGATCGTTCTTTAAAAAATTGAAACAAAGACAACGATTGTACTGGGTTGGAACCAGATTCCCAGTAATTTGTATTGTTTTGCATCGCGTTACACAACCTAAAAACATTTTTTTAAAGCAAATGGAACACTTCAATACTGCTTACCATGGACATTTTTCTGCTCAAACATCACATTAATTATTACAATTAAAAACAATGAAAACATCTGCATTTGTTGCGTAAGACGTTTTCGAACTATCTTAGAAAGCAAAAGATTTTTGCATTTTTATAGCCATGCACTTGAAAGCTGATCATCATGGATCTTGTAGCCTTTTGACGATTGCTTTTCGCGTTGGCGGTTTTATTTATGACATAAGATCTCTTCAAATGTTTGTTTGTTCAGAATAAAAATTGTGTTCATCCCAGCCTAAAAAAACTGCTTTCAAGCCAGATCGCGTTTTTTGAATGGACCGTTGAAAGAAAAAGAGCATCATGCAAAGTCGATTATTTTTTTATTAATGTTAAACTACTTCACAATTGCTCATCATGTTCTGCCGTACTTAGAATTATACTTTCATTCATTCTCTGAAAGCTGGTCGGCTCTGTAGTGGCTGTTTTACATCCACGACTTCGGAACTCAGTCTTCAGACTCTTTTTGAACGATTCCTGCTCTCCAAAGATTAATATCCGGAGAGATCTTAAAAAACCAATATTATTTCTTAAATCTGTCTCTTAAAGAGCAACCTCAATCCAACTCGATCGAACAAATAAATGAATTCTGTCCGAAAATTATGATTGAAGAAAGCATATATCAATGGATTCAAACAAGCAGAACACATTGCAAGACAATGGCAAATGCTGAATGTGGTCACCGAGAAACTGTTCACTAACTCGAATGTGTTAAACTAAAATAAATTGATTGAATTATCATCAAACCAAACTTACTATGTGAAAAACGTTCAACGGAAGCCAAGCAACAGCAAAGACTGCAACAACGCAAACAAGAAGAAGATGTGTTCGTCTCTGACGCTCGACTACTGACCTTAACATGAATTCATAGAAAAACCCGTAAATTTGAACTCGCACCTCCTTCTCTGGCTTGTATTGGGATGTGAAGACACATTTTGATTTCTAGTTGCAAACCTCAATTTCATTCTGTGTGCAATTCGAGAATATGCAAAAACAAGTGAGCACAATGGGAACGCGTACTGTGTAACAAGCACTGAGAGAGTATATGTTGCTTTAGATATAATCATCTGCAATTTTTTAGATGGATAACTCAAGTCTTGATTTTTGTAGCTTGTCAAAAACATGTTCAATGGCTTGGAAGCGCCCAAGATACAACTGACCTGCAGGTTTTGTGTGAATACTCCATGAACTTCTTTTTACAAAATTACTAATAAGAGATGGGCGCATTGCTGCTCCAAATGGACTCGCGCGTCGAGCCATGATTGGAGAGGTTTTTTGATTCGTAGAATATAAATTTTAAATTGCAATTTTTTACCAAATGCAAAACGTAGAGAAAAAATTTAGTACAAAATTGACTCATTCTCGAAAAACATAAAAACAGTCAATGAAACAGACATTCCCAGACGATTCTTTCCAAAACGTTGGTCCTGGGATTTGGTACGAGTAAACTCGATTATAGAATTATCCGCGAGATTTAACGTAAAATATTTTATGTTTTCTTTCAACCAATTGTAACGAATCGAGATCCAATGAAGCTAAAAAGCTCGTACTTGGCTACCAGGACTAACTTTTTGCAAGCAATTTCCTGACAGTGTTCGCTTGATATTAACTTTTCTGATTTATCTGGATTTTTTCACTGCGAGCGCACTCGGACAGCAATGAATCCATCTCCCATTAGCGGTTTTATAATAAAGCGATATCCACATACAAAATTACAGATAAATCAGAAACATATTGAGCAGTTTTCCTTATTGATATTCACGAATTATGAAACATTGACTTATAATGTTGTCAGTTTGTCAAAGTATTAAATTTTTGTGTTTTGGAGAAGAAAATAAGGTTCAATAACTGGTTCGTTCAAACTACCTTTTCCCAAATTTCGTTTTGTTCGTGACAGATATATAGCGCGAGGTTACATGTTGGCTCAACAAACACAGGAGTCAAATCAGATGCCTGTAGAAGTGGCACCGCCAAAACCAGTGATGTGATCCAGATCATTATGAAAAAACAAAATGACAGATTTTGCTGCCGTTCCCTTTTAGTCGGAAATATGATGAGCACATATCTGTTCCAATCTCTTCTGTATTATTTTGAAAAAATGTAGAGTTATTACCTGTCTACAGCAATTGAAGCTATCGAAAATGTTGACAAAAAAATGTTGAAACCTTGAAGAGATCCGGCAATTTTGCATAAAGTCCGACTAAACGGCCAAAACATATACAACACTGTATACAACGTGGTTGGTGCTGTTACAATGCACACCCAAATAACATCAATGATCCTGTTAACGCAAGTTTGATTGGACTTACAAAAAAATCCGACAGAGCCAGATTCAAAATAAAAAAGTTGCGAGTTGTCCGCATTGCTGGATTCAAAATCACCACTGTGATAGTTAAGAGATTTCCTATCGCTCCAAACAGAATTATTACCATGTACGCAAAGGTGATGATGTAACCAAACTAAATCGAACAATTTTAGTCAAAATTTATAGAATACCTCTTTTGGAGAAAATTCGGTGCCGTTTATAACTTGATCATCCCGGAAATAATAATTTATTTTTTTGAATATTTCCACATAAGTGTCACATGTTTCATTAATTGATCCCATTTTATCTGAACCATAATAGTTTTTAGAAGCAATGAGAAAGACTGAAAGAAGAAGAGAAGAAAAGAGACTGTATGAAAATAAATTTACAAGAACTAGTGCTGCATCTACTGAACTGAAAAAGAACGAAATAGAAGATAGAAATTGTGAAAAAAAGAGAATAATTTCTCTTGATGATGTTAAAATATATATTAATGTTCTCAGCGGGCCTTTGTTGAAAGCCTTGCGGCTAACTTTTTTATCCAATTTGAATAGTTTCCATTAAAAAATGTTGGATTCCACAATAAAAAAATGAGAGAAGACGATGGTGGATAAGAGAACCAAATACGATTGAGCCAAACTAGTCGAGCATCACACAAGAAATAAAAATTTCTATGACTTTGTTTTGACAGAATTCTTCTTTCAACTGCCACCTATTTCCTTTTCCAGATGGACATTTTTCTTGGGATATCCATTCAAAAACATTATGTTTTCGCTATTTATAAAAATACACAATATATCCGAGTGGTAAACAAAGTATTGAAGATACATAAAAATACAAATCAGTTGCTTAGATCCCATCTGCTGTTTAAAATTTTTATTTTTTAACTTGAGTACGAATGCAAGAAGAAGAATGAATGAAGAACAGAAGGCAGTAGTACAACGAGATCTGAGGGCATTCCTACTCATTCCTATATGTTAATACTTGATCACAGTGATGAAAACATCCCTTCATGGCGTGAAGAAAAATACTTTAAAAATCTAGGCAGCTTAATATATGTACAGTGCATTATATGCATTTCACTATACATGATTATGTCTTAAGAATTCTATGTGCTGTGGGATCAGTTACAGAGACGGCAGTTTTGAAGTAAAACTGTTATTGAAACGAAACCTCAATTCTTGACAGAATTTTGTTCAATTTCCTCCAAGTGACCATTCTCCTACATTCATAACTTGTCTGGATGAAGAGGTAAACGTGAGCAAAACACTCGCACGGCTAAAGTAAAAACACCGAATTACGACACAGACCTGCAGAGAGGAAATCTCAAAGCAGTTGTTTTCTTGAATGAACACAAATAGTTCCAAATACCCAGCGGAAGAAAATTCTTGACGAACATTTTGAAAAATTAGCAAACTTTTCTAATCACAAGAGAAAACTTTAGTTTGAAGCGAACATTTGTTATCCGCCCCATAGTTCAAAAATGTTTCTTTCGTTAGTGATTTTAGCATTTTTTTTTCAAAAAGAAATTGATTAGTTGGTTTATATCATCAGCTAATCAACACTAAAGTGATAATAAACAAACTGATTGGACCAATCAGTTTGAAGTAGTTTCAAATATGGAAAATTGTGTGAATCAGTTCTGTTTAATTTCAAATTTCCTTTCAACATTTGAAGCATGCTTGGATATGTGAGAGATTACCAGTAATCTGTTGTGAGTAATCATTTTTTTATGGAATAAATCCAGAATAAAATATTTTTCGAGTATCAATTAGATGACCGACAACAACAAAAACAGGATCTCCTTTCTTTCCGTCGAGAGGATCTCTCATTAAAAATGATTTTTGCGTAATACAAAAAATGCGCTCTTTTTCACACAATATCTTATCATCATTACATAAATCTGATAAAAAAACGCTCAAGTCAAAATTGAGTTTCAAAGTTTTCGCAAACTCATGCAAGGTTCATCTGCTCTTTTTTTTGTGGGAGTGGACTCTGTGTTTGATAATTCAATTTTCAAATGTACTGGGTGTAAGAAAGAACTACATTTGAAAAAAGTCTAGTTCCAAATTAACAAGTTGCGTTACATTTGAACCGGATCAATCAATTATTATTGTCTGAAAGTGAGGTTTTTGTTGTAACAAATGTGCTTTAACAATATCCGAATCTCAAGAAAATTTCGGAAAATAGCATGGAGTTCTCCTCAAATTCTAAAAAAAAACGCTATGCATAATGCAAACAACGTTGTTGACTCTCAATGTTTTTCAGAAGCAGAAAAGTTAGCAAGCTTGCTGAAAAAAGATTTAACTTTGATGGACAAGCATGAAAGATAGGAAAACTTTTTACACAGAAAAGTGTGCTTTATTAATCACACTTGAGAAATTTGGTCAAGACAAAGTTGACGACGTGCTCGTTAGTACCTAATTCAAAGAATTCATTTGTAAACGAAGCTAATGTCAGTACGATGATTTTCTTTGAGGAAACTTACATGCGTTTTGAATGAGTGCCACAGAAACAAACAACCTAAGAATTCGGAAAATTTGAATCAATAACAAGAAAAATAGGGAAAAGTGCACGTTTATTATTTTCAGTTGAAGACAATGAAGACTCCCATAGAATTCTGGAAAAAGGTTTCATTCACTCTTCAAAGATCCTGACCATCCTGAAACATTCTGAACTTGATTGTTGTGCTTTTATTACCTTGGAGACGTTCTAAACGAGCGTTGACCATCTCCCACAGCAACATGTGAGGCCTCCACAACAATACGTTTCATATTTCTGAATTCTATTGTTAAGTCCGGAAACAAAGAGAGCAGCCAGAACTAAAAGCTTATACTCATTAGCTCATCATCTCCCTTTCTCCCTGAATTGTGTCCTTGTTTCCTGAGATTATTTACAATGATGTTTCTACTGATGTCTGTTTTTTTCTTTTTGATGGTACCAGGTTTGGTAGTTTAATTTTGATATTAACATTGTTTTCAATTTAGAATCAAATTCCCTGAAATGCTACCAATGCAACGGATGGCACGGCGAATATCCCCTAAGGTAAAAAAATATCTATGTTGATTTTAAAATCAAATCGCGGGTGGGAGCAGAGCTCAGCAAACCGTAGGTTTGCTTGTCAGAACTGTATATTCATTTAGATATTCAACTGCAGCGACGTGCGACAACCGAAACAACCAATGCGAGACGACTCAAGTGAATTTTTTTCTGTAAACTTCTTTTAAAACATTTTTTTTTAGTACTGTGTAAAAATAATCGACCCAATGTCACCAGGGATTAATTATGTCACTTATAAAAGTGACTGTTTTTATCAAACTCAAATACAAGTGAACCCAACCAATCTCAGTTATGTACAAGGAAAAATCTGTTTTCCATACCAAGATGGATCAGCTCCAGTGAAAAGGTGAAAAATGCCATATTAACATTTGACTCTTCAATAAAAAAAAATTAATTAAAGGTGGTATTACTGCTTCTGTAATGATCGAGATTACTGTAACTCGGCCTTTGGATACTCGATTGCTTCACTTACTTTCACAATCTTTATTAATTTGTTCTCAACTTACTGATAAAAATGCCTTAATAATTATTCAGACACACTTGTAACCATTCATAATTCTATCATTTATTCCACTATTTTATTTTTAAAAAAACGTAACCAACTTGACATCTTATTTTACTTGAATAGCATATGTTGACGTACAATAAACTATTGGACAAATTAAATGTCAACTCAGCTTGGTAAGAATTGTTTTATCACTAATTTTGTCTGTTGGGGCACTATTCATTTTATTTTTAAACTTTGTGTTTAATGGATTTGCATACACAACCCAAAGTACTCGTAGAGTTTTCCTCAAATGACATTCCCATGTGTGAAACCAGAAGATGTTCAAATACGCATGTTTATTAAGGAATCCAAATCAAGACGCAAAATATTGATTGCTGGCGAGCAAAACGCTGGAAAATCAGCTTTCATAAACCGTGTGTGCATTAATGCTTGGAGTGAGCAGAAAATCGGAGAGAAACTACGCAGGTGAAATGCGGTTTAGCAATTATACAATTGCGCTAATTCTAGACAAGTTCTCGGCAAATCTAAACAAAAATTCCCAAATATCTGTTCGGGATTTGTCTAGAATTGGCGCAACTGTATAATTGCTAAACCGCATTTCACCTGTATACACCAAACAGTGTTTGAACAAAAAACAGTAATTGTACTTATTGAAACAAGTTAGTTACTATTTTTAATAGTCAAAAAATAATTTTCAGATTTGAAAAAAATTTACAGAAGGTGGCACAACACAAGATTCACGTGACGCAGACGCTGTTCTACTATTTTATGCGATTGATACTGTTTAATCGTATAACAATCTGAAAAATAGGCTTTCTCATGTGCAAGGAAATGTTCCTCCGATCTCTTGTATAATTTTGGTTGGAACGAAAGCTGACGTGAAAAAACACCTAGTCAATTGGCAGAAAGTCAACTACTTTGCAGAGAAAGAAGGATTATCATGCTTTGAAACAAGCTTCTTAATGTAAAAAAGGATTGTGGTGAATTTTTCTCCGTTTTCAGCTCAAAAACTGGAGTGAACACTGAGTTGATCTTGCAAGATATATTAGAAGCCATTCATGAACGCCGTTACAATTTACATATACATTTTTGAGCGAGCAACCAGTAATATTTATTTTTTTCAAAAGCAGTCGTATTATTTTATTTAGGTATACTCCAGATTATGGGTGAAGTCTACAACTGTTTTGACAAAGAAGAAGAACAGCCTTATAAAACAAGTGGATTTTTCTGGATTCCAAAGTTGCCACTGTTCTCGTTTTTTCAACGTTAATAAATTACTTGAGTTTGTAATGTCTTCATTAGCTTAGTTATGTCATTTCAGCTATTCTGAAAGAAGATGGAAAGACAATTTCCAGCAACATGTAAAATGTTTTTTAATTGTTTGACGAGACAAAAAATAATAACTACAGGAATATTTTTCAGTTTCTCGTTCCATTTTCAAGCGTTTTTTTGCCTGTTTAATGCGGGAAATTGCAAATCAATAGTATACATATACTGTCAAACGATAAAGGAATCAGAAATGAATTTCTAATATTAATAAATTTTTATACTCTAAGTCAATGTCAAGCTAATCATGCAGAAAAGTTTATCGGAGACAAAAGGATATCACGTCAACATTGGCCAACCTTTTTGCTTTTTGTTACTTTATGAAAGGTCCATTAGTGCGGATGCTTACTCTTTGTACATGCTTTTTCCATGTTCAGAAAATGTTTTTCTTCTTAGTATTCTGAAAATGGAATACGCAAGTTTTTGTTTAAAGTTCTGAAATTGAAGTTCCATTGTCGTACGGTAATGTGCGCATTGCTTTGAAAAATCAAAATAGTAAGTTCAAGACGTTTTCAGCAAGCTAATGTTAAATCTTATTGTGTCGCATGTGTCACAAAAACGTTTTAAGGCTTCGTTTTTCGTGTTTTAACGGCACATTTTGGTCCGCTGGTTGAACGTTCTTGAGAAAAATTCGTTTTATTGTTTCAACTTATTCCGACTGTTTAATTTTTTGAAATGTGGTCAAACATTGCTCAAACGTGTTTCCATTGTTTTATATATAAGGAAGGTGATATACTATCGGGGCGTTACAAGGTGAATACGCTCTGTTGTGAAACCCTTCTTTTTCTGATCTCCCGGTCTTGATTTTGCAGACACGAAACCAGTTTCAGTTGATTTTTGTTTGACTAAATAGGGGCAACTGTCTCAGAGGGGGCAACTAATTGGAAGATCAGAGGGGACAATTTTCCTTATTCTTAAGAGGCAACTTTGTTAATCACAGGGGTAAAGATTTTAAGAGAAAGAAAAGAAACTTCAGAGGGGCACAAATTCTAAGGGGAAAAGAGGCAACTTGAGAAAGGACAATCTTTTTCGCTCACAGGGGGCAAAGATTTTAGGGGGAATGGCAACTTCATGGGGGGATGAAAAAAATGGCTAATTCACAGAGAGCGAAGATGTCAAGAAACGAGCATAACCTTTCAAAGAACACTGATTTCAAATTGCTGATCAGAGATCCGTGGAATCTGCATTCCGCTAAACAATATAGTAACTGTACAAAAAAATTAAGAGATTAGGAATTTTCTGTGCGGTTGCATTTTCTTTCTAACATAACCTTTTTCGAAGTACATATGTGCAGCTCAAGTTACACCCACCTACATTCCCTGCATTTTCCTGTTGGGAAACAACAAAAACTTTTTAGATAACGCATTAAATGGAGCTTTCAAAAAATTTCCGCATCATTGCACAAAATGTGGTAGTATGCATTAAGAGACTACTTTACATTAATTGTTCTCTTGCTGGTTTTTTACCACCTCTTGGTTGAAAAACGTGGATATCTTCTCTGCAGTAGTGTGTTTTAGACAAGCAAACCTTTGTAGATCCATTCAGCTTCTCATTCTTTATGAATTCGTTCTTTGACAAATTGGAACAGAAAAGTTTGAAAACGATACTGGAGGCGGTCTTTGAAGAGTTTCATTCCGTCAAATAAATAAGCTAGAACCAATACTGTTTGAGAAGCTGTTCTGTGCATAGGTTGTTTTTTAGGATCTGATTTCCAAGATACTAATGAGCATTGAATTTCTATCTTGTCCTCAAAATTTTCAATTGAGAATCTGAACCTGAAGTCAAACCTTGAAGCTCTTGTAACACCACTTCGACTTAAAAAAAAGACCTTCATGTATTGACTGACTGAGCATATGAAAATAACCATTCATTTTTATTACAATTAGTTTTTTTTTAATTCTATGCTGAAAAATACATATTCAGAAAAGGATTCGAGTTCTATTGATACAACTAACCTTTGTTATTTTTTCAACAAAACCCCTAAACCCATTTCATCATGTTTTTTTCCTGGGCCTTTCATTTCGTTAGCTTAATCGCCATCTGGGTAAATCTTCGAATGCTCTTTTTTCCGACAAGACCCCGCCTACTCTCTTTGATTACATCTAGCTCGAATACGTCCGAAAGAAGGAATTGGGATTGTTCTCGATACACACGAACAAGGGTTATTTTGATTAGTTGGAAAACGATGGTCAGACCACCGGTTTTTCTTTTTTATAAAAGAACAATTTGGGAAAAAGTCTAGGCAGTTTTTTTCCATCTTGCGCTGGGACTTCTTCGAATTTCAAAGTTCAAAATTGGATAAGCCGGCCAAATTAAATTTGGCTGTTTGCTAAAAATATTCTACGAAAAATGAGGCCTGTGACACATTTTTCGTTTCTTCCATCTTTTTTTGCGGAGGACATTTTTGGCAGCTAAACCACAGTAGATTCTCTTCCGTCAGTGATTACAGTAGGATTGATTCTTAAACTTTTTCGTAGAGTAAAGAAGTTTCCCTTTAAAAAAACTGTTGTCTTACAGGCATTCTCGAGTATAAAATGCTGGCTTACGGGTCTGATCAAGACTACTCTTCTAATTTCACTGATAAATCACTTGCAACCGAAACTGATACCAAAACAGAAGAGAGTCAAACAATAATTTGGCGTCACCCAGTTCTGGCGGTAGTTTTGTTTTCAATTTGCATGCTCACAATAGCTGGAAATTGCCTGGTTGTCATTGCTGTTTGTACGAAGAAGTATCTAAGAAACCCGACAGGGTCAGACATAATAACAATTATTATGAACGAACAATGATTCTTCAGATTCCTTATTATCTCACTTGCTATAGCTGATCTTATTGTTGGAGTTATTGTGATGCCAATGAATTCGCTGTTTGAAATGGCTAACCATTCATGGCTCTTCGGATTGCCAATGTGCGATGTTTTTCATGCGATGGATATACTGGCGTCCACATCATCTATATGGAATTTATGTGTCATCAGCTTAGATAGGTATACGTATTAATGATTTATTTTTGAACACCCACTTTGTTATAGGTACATGGCTGGTAAAGACCCAATAGGCTATAGAGATAAAGTATCCAAACGTCGAATACTTATGGCAATTTTTTGTGTTTGGGTTCTATCGGCTATTCTTTCCTTTCCGGCTATTATCTGGTGGCGAACAAGCTCACCTCATTTGTATGAAGATCACGTGAGTTTGAATTTGTAACAGAATCAACATGGGAATTTCAGTCACAATGTCTATTCACAGACAGTAAAATGTATGTGAGTTTCTCGTCATTAGTTTCATTCTACATTCCACTTTGCCTCATACTTTTTGCGTACGGCAAAGTGTATTTAATAGCCACGCGGCACTCTAAAGGATTGAGGATGGGAATCAAAACCGTTAGTCTTGACTTGAAAAACAAAAACTTCAAATGATAATTTGAAGATTAAAAAGAAAAACGGGAAAAAGTCAAATACAGAAACGGAAAGTATCTTGTCCAGTGAAAATGAACCCACTTTGCGAATACACTTTGGCAGAGGAAAACAATCGAGTTCGAGTTTGCGAACAGGTCGTTTACATGCTCAAGAATCAACACGATTGTTGTTGAAGCAGGTGAATAACTAAGTTATTAGACAGAAAACAATCAACTAGAAAAGTAAAAAAAAACTCACTTTTTTAAAGGTTTCATGTAAGTCTCTGAACGACCGCAGAGATAACAGTAATAATAATATTCGGCAACCGCTACTGCGGAACTCTGGAGCTTGTTCTGACCGAACGCCAAGACAATTCCGCGGGCGCAACGCAACCCTCAGCGTGAACTGTTCCAATTCAAAAACAATGTTACAAATTGAACAGGTCAGTTTTTAAATGCTTCTTGATTTATTGAAAAATCTTAACCATTGCAGGCGGATAGATTATCTGCTTCTTTTTCCGATGCTCAACTGTCTTCTCCCACAGCAAACCGTCGAAAGTTGAATGTCCGAGAAAAATCTCGGCAAATGATGCGTTATGTTCATGAACAGCGAGCTGCTCGAACACTTTCCATAGTTGTAGGCGCGTTTATATTGTGTTGGACACCGTTCTTTGCTTATTCACCATTTACAGCTTTTTGTGAAGACGTAAGATAGTTTTGTAGAAATTTAATATGTGTTTCTTTCAGTGCTTTTCAAACAAAGAAGCTATTTTCACAATTGTGACATGGGCCGGTCACCTCAATTCAATGCTAAATCCTTTAATATATTCGCGATTTTCTCGTGATTTCAGAAGAGCCTTCAAGCAGATATTAACTTGTCAACGGCAGCAAAAAGTCAAAACTGCATTCAAAACGCCTTTATCTCTCGTTTTCACCCAACTGATATCGGTAACCCAAATGTGGGAACAGCCTCAGAATACATCGATCGATTAACTTTCTCTTTTTATTAATATTTTCAATTTTTTTAATGTGTTATCTTGCCCAGAAGTATGTTTCCCTACTATCCCAGTTGTATTGGAATAAATCTGCTTCGACGTTTTGTGAAATTAATAGGAATAGAAAACACAGGTTTCCCCATAAGGATTTGAAGAAGTTATCAATCGAACCCCGGAAATCTTTTTTGTTTTTCAAATTTGTCGCTTTTGAACCAAAATACTTGATTAATCAACTATTTTCTTTTATTTCTGCGTGCAGAATCTTTTGTTTTCTCAGTCATCTCTACCACAAGCCTGTACTAATCTTTGTCTCTCACTTGTAGTGTTGGGCCAAACCAGAAGCTCTTGCGGCCGTGGACTAGTTCTGTCATCAGCAGTGAATGACCATTTCTCAAAAGAGTGGCGTTAAGTAGTCAAAACAAAATCAACCTTTTTGTAATTGATATATAATATCCTGCAAGGAGGGTATTTTGTCATAAGAGAAAAATAAAGAAAATTATGAATTCGCACGTTCATTACTTTTTTTTAAGTTTGTGCCGTCCTCGTGGGAAAATCAATAATGTTAAACACCACCCGAACTAAAACTTCCAAATTTCAATTTCAGAACTGCAGTTGCGTTGAGTTCAGAAATCATGGATTCCCGTGAAGTTGTATTATTAAATTCGAGTATGTTTTCAACTTTTTCTGGTTATTAAACGATTGCCATTCCCAGTAGTCCTTACTGAGAAGCTAGTGATTATCATACATGTGCTTAGACATAACTATATCTACGATTCTTATTTTATCGTTTTTCCTCAAATTTTTCGCTGGGTTTCCAGCTTCACCGCGACAATCGTCTGATACGGAAATGAGCTCGTCTTGTGCTACGTCAACTGCTTCTGCCATTGATGAGGCCGATGTTCGGTACACATTCCACGACACAATTCAAGCCATCCGAACCTTGACAGTGTCGGATGATTCTTCCAATAGAAACGGATTGCCGACCAAAACAAATGGAACGAATTACACTCAGAATTCTAGTTGGGTTCGCTTAAATGTCGGAGGCAAGGTAAACATCTCTTTTAGCTATTGTCTGCCTCCATTCATGTTTCGGAGTCTCATACAGTGTGGGAAATAAGTTTAGGACCTCCCTAATGTTTGAACGATCTGTCGAAACGAGAAGAGATTTCGAAAATCTGTAAATATCATTCGATTTGGAATACGAAATAACCCTGGAGCTAATTTGGGCTTATATGAAAAAAATTTCGCACTCGCACACCATCAAAAAATCGTTTTTTCGGCCGGGAAATGAGTTTAGGACCCCCTCAAAAATTATAAACTTTTTTAGAAAACTGGCCATTTGAGATTCAAAACGAATTGCAGAATTGTTGAAACTACAGAAAAAGCATTTAGACATCATCCGGCTATCTGGCAATTACTGGAATTTTGTTTTGTAAACCCCATTTTCTTAGTTGGTGCAAAAACAGTGAATTCTAATGCAAATCGACTTTCAACGAGCATAACTTTGTTGAAAGTTCTTCGTTTCTCACCAGACTCGGACAAAATATCGTCAATAACATTGATAATAAGCAAAACAGTTTTGGCGTCTGGAGTCTTAGAGTCTTCGGAGTCTTAGAATAAAAGGTACTTCCTTGGGGTTCTACGAGCTGGTCACTGTGAAGTAAAGTCTCCAATAGTACAGATATGTCCAGATGATGTCAAAACTCAATTTTTAGTTATTTTACATAAAACTGATAACAATTTGGCCCATGATTTGACCATTTTCGTACTTTTTCATGTGGAGACCTAAACTTATTTCCCGGCCGAATAAACGTTTTTTTGATGGTGTGTGAGCAGGAAACGTTTTTGGATAGACCCAAATTGGCTTTGGGGGTTATTTTGTATGCCAAATCAAATGGCATTCACAGATTTTTTATATCTCTTTTCGTTTTGTCAGAACGTTCAAAATTTAGAGGCTCCTAGATTTATTTCGCGCACTGTATATATCTGATGGTCTGACAGATATCGGAGGATTCCATAAGTATCTTGGGTGTTCACCTTTTCTCGATCCAAAATCAGTACTTTTTCTCAGATAAGAGCAATTTTTCGGCAGTTTTTTTTGTGATATTGTCTAATTGCTCGCTCTATATGTACATTTTATAGCCTTTTTTAAGAGCTCCAAGTACACGTAGGGAGAAAATTGTACACTATGGGGCAGAAAAGCAAAAATTGAGTGTGTTTTTTTTAGGTCTTTCAAACCACAAAATCTACACTCATGCGTGAACCGGGATCATTCCTGTATCGCTTGTGTCAAGAAGAACAGGGGCTACCCAGTGACAAGGTTTGTTTCGGTACAAAAATTATAACGTTTGTTTTCTGCTCAGTTCAGAAGTTTTTCGAAAGCATTATAAAATGTTTTTCTTCAATAGCATCATAAAGTATTTCCTTCTACCAAAATCTCATTTACTTCTCTCAGGACGAGACCGGAGCCTATCTCATTGATAGAGACCCGAATTTCTTCTCGCCAATTCTCAACTACCTGCGACACGGAAAACTTATCATGGATCCGGGTGTTTCGGAGGAAGGCATACTCGTCGAAGCTGATTTTTACAACTTGCCGACACTGAGTCAAATGATTATGGATCGTATGCAAGACAGAGAAAACGAGCTTAAAACGTTTCAAAATAATAAGTTTGTGTATCGCGTTCTTCAGTGCCACGAAGAGGAGCTGGCTTCTGTGGTCTCAGCAATGACTGACGGGTGGAAGATTGTCCAGGTGAGATATTAAAAGCTCACAAGTACAGGAGAAGTTAAGGAGTTTCGGGTCGAGGAACACAAATTTCATGCTTAGAAACCCATACTTCAAAAGAGTGAAATTTTCACAACAATTTACGAAAAAGTCAATTTTTCTCAAAAAAGTTGCACTGTGGTCAATCAAACGGACTCTACCAGCTAATTCCTTGCAACTTGGTTTCAAAAAAAAATCAAAGATAGGTGAAAAATAAAGTTGGACTTAAAGGAGCTCCAAGGGGATCTACCGAAAAATGAAAAACTTCTGCACAAACATTTCGGCAATAGCAACTACTACGCAGAACTACAGCAACTTTTGCTCAGAACACCAGCAGCTATTGAGCAGAAGTTAGGTGAAAGTTTCTGAAGTTCCGCTGAGAAGTTGCCGACGTTTACTGAGGTTAGCTCGGCCCGCGCAACGCGCCCAAGATTCAAAATTCTAGGTTCACTTGCCAAACGCCATAAGACACATGTTTTCAATGTACTATAAAAATCAAAAAAATTTAAAAAAAAATTGCAGGTGGTTCCGATTAATTCGAATTACTCAGCCTATACCGCGGAGCAACCACAGGAATACTTATGTATAGTCGAAAGAGAGTGTCCAGATAACGGGAACATGTTGGAAGGACAAGATCGCGCTAAACTTTTGCAGCAAAGAGCCCGTCGTGAGTAACTGTATTATACATTATCATGAAAATCATTAATTCATACAAATATCCTTCTTGTTCATTCAAGTCTTCGATGTTCTGCCTGCCTGTTCGTTTATTTTTCTATAATTCTGTCACCACTTTTTATGTTTGAAAAAAATAGTTGTGATGGAAACATATTTTTTAAGAACAGATGCTTGAACAAACTTTCAGACAACCGTAACTTTGCCCTAAACGCCATATTAAAAAGTCATGTTTGTTAACATAATTTTATTAATATTAGTGTAAATTACTTTTTCAATAGAAACATTAACTAGGGCAGTTCTTATTTAACACATTCATATTTATTTTTCAGACAATTAATTGCTGTACACTGGTTCGCAGCAACTCTTCTCGATTGGCAAAACAATTGAATGTTATTAACCTAATGGGGCCACTCAGTGTATGTTTTGTTTTTACATTTTTCACATCGACAACCTGTCCAGCGACAAAAAAAAGCAAAAAAATGCATCCACTGAGAAACCTCAAAAGCAACTGTGCGATGTTCTGTGATCTGAATGAGTCGGAGACTTATGCTAGTTTTCTTCAAAATCATACGGACGTTTGAAAACCAGCTTTCTCAAATAAAATAAAATAGGCTCAATTAGTCAAATAACGCAGATTTTTATAGTTAAAATTCTCAGTTTCAGTATACATTTTTGCAATGATTACAACCGAAAAGGATTGCAAAATTGGCATTTGTTTTCAAATTGACTGTATTCATACACTGTAGTTTCACTATTTCGTTCTCCGAACTTAAATGACGTCTTGATAAGCTTCAATAATAAAGAAATCTACCATTGGAAAACGTTTTTTGGCGATGTGCAATTTAACTATAATCTGCCTCACTGAACGTGATTCTTCATTCTCCTGTTTTTCTGTTTTTCATGATCTCAGTTTTTCCGTTGATGATGCTAACTTCGTGAAGCGGACATACCTATTTCCGAGGCATTCCGCAGTTCCTGTGTCCCGTGTGTACGTTTGAAAGAAAGAACCGAAACAAATTCAAACCGGTTTGTGTCATCTTCTTCAGTTGAATGTTTAACACATTTTGTCTCTTGACGAGATCTCGCGATTGGATAAAGTGAAACTGGACAATTTTCCCGGATAAAGACTATGGATAACTTGAGAGACGCTTCTACGGGCGTGCCGGAGAAATGGGCGGGAGACACAATACGAAAAAAGAGAAAACACATATCTGAATGTGACCTCTTTTCTACCCAGAACGGGAAAAGGGAAAATCCAGTTAGGGCTATCTGATTAACCAGACTTTCCGACGAGATACGGAGTACTGTTCTATTCTACACTTTTATTCTGAATTGATATAATTCTAAATGATTGTCTATTGTTTTGTTTTAATAATTTTGCCGTTCACATTCGCCAGAAGCATTGTCAATGAAGGTATAAACGGTTTGTTGCTGTCTTAGTAATTACAAAAACGTTCCAAGGTTTGTGTGAGGAAGGCAAAACGTCATTCTTTGTTATTGATAATGCTAGCCTAAATTTGGCGGATTCCATTCTTTATAAGGACACCTCAGAGCAAAACTGTTTGAAAACTTGCACACAGAATAGAGTGAGTTTCATTTTTCATTTACGTATGTAAAATTCATGTTGTTTGGATTGTAGGATCAGTTCAAGCGGCCAATAGTGTGTAATGCATTCACCTACGATCATGCCAGCTTTTCATGCACAATTCACCAAGAAAAAGCTGTTCCAGTTGGATCAGCACAGATGCAAATGTCTATTGGAAAACGATACTTTGAGAAAATATGCCTATCTCGTGAGTTGCATTTATCATATCGTAAACTAAAGACCCTTCTTCAGACGAATTGCCAGAACCATGCAACCAAGCACAATTTATTCGTGTCGATCAGAGTGTTCTTGTTGGTTACGCTGTCAACATGACTTTAACAGACAGCATTGAATCGTGCGTCTCTCAATGCGTTCAGGAATCCGACTGCAAGGTCTCTTATTAAAATAAAACTTATTCTATTCATACAATTTTCAGTCCGCTATGTATTTTTATGAAGACGGAGAATGCATTACTAACAAAGAATCAGCTCTGACAAAACCATCCGGGTTTACAAAGGAAGAGAGTGATCGTGTCATCTACTTCCAGAATGGATGTGACGCAAGTGGTGCTAGAAGTATGTACTATCGGAGCATTTTAAAGTACGCTCTGCTGTAATCGTGATCTCCCGCCCAGCCCCGATTAAAAAAAGGGGAAAGTTCTTCTAGAATTTGAATGAAAATAACTGAAATTTGTTCTGCGGCTGAAAAAACTAGGCCCCGGTGATCACAAAAAGAGGAGTTTCTAAATAGAGCGTGTTTACTTTGGAGTGCCCTAATATTAAACATTTTTTACTCTCAAAATCAATTTGTTTCCAGAAGTTATTACATCCGAAAGTACGGATGTTTGGGAAAATGCATCTAGTTCTAGCTCGAGACAGACAGAATCAAGGAACGCTCCAGTTGGAGAGAAGGCTACAGAAGGACTGGAACCGAGACCAAGAGTTATCACCCTCATCTCGGAAACAACACCAAAACCAGAATCCGAGGTCGCTGATGTTGTTGAAAATGTGTCAGAAAACTATGAACAGATAGGAGAAGAGGAATATGGTTAGTGAAAAAGTGCCATGCTATCTAGTGAAATTGATTTCAGAGGAAGGCACGGAAGAACTTTCTGAAGAAACTGACGAATATGTAGCCGAAACCACAGCTATTCCCACGACCACAATAATTAGAGAAACTACCGCCAGCCCTCAAACTAGCTTTGAAACATTCACTAAACCAGTTAAAACTCTCATTCAAAAGAAAATCAAAAAGAATCCAAGAAACTTCGGATCCAAAACGTACGAAATTTTAAAGCAACAAGAAACCGGCAAACAACTCAAAACAGAAAATCTTATGACCGATAACGAAGCTATTGAGGAGGTTTGTAAAATTATCTTCTGAAATTTGATTTACTGTAATGATTGAGATTAGAGTAGTCGATCTAAAAATAATACAGTTTTCGAAATTTATTCAGACATATTTCTCCGAATGGTCTGACTGGACGCCGTGTACTAAGAGCCAGGAGAGACAAGTTAGAAGAAGACGTTGTTTGAATTTGAGAAAATGTTTGGGAGCATTAATGCAAGTGCAAAACTGTCCAGTCATCCTTCAAACTTCTAGTATGTTATTATTTCTCTAATGCTATGACAATTGTCAATTTTTCAGCACCAGAAAATCGTGAATCTGTGCGTTCAATGGTTTCTATCGATGGAGAAGATTACGATGAACCAATTGCTGTTGATAACATCCCGGTGGAATCAGTTCCGTCTAGACTTTTGCCAGTCTTGAACGAACAAGTTTGGGGATTATGGCAAGGGTCTTGTCAAGTAATTATATTTTTGAATAGATACTCTTCCATCAACAATTTCGTTTCAGCAATTTGCTTCTTCGCAACCGTGCAACAATGGAAACATGATTGGATTTGAGTCCCGTGAATGCATAGCCAAAAATCCATCTCAATGCGAAGGACCATTCTTCCGATATTGCACAATTAACTGTTGATTGCTTTTACTTTCCCAAACGTAAAAAAATGCAATTATCGTTTTCAACGTGTAATCTAATATGTTGTAACTGACATGGCAAATAAAACTTAATAAAGTTTGAAAACTAATTTTAAAAAACTTGAAAGCTCAAAAAAAATAAATCAGCTGGAAAAGTACTCCCGGGCTTTTCAAAGCAAATGCGCTCTGTTGTGGAACCCTTTTGTTTGGAATCTCCGGGGCCTAGTTTTTCATCAGCAAAAGTAATTTCAGTTGTTTTCATTTGAATTCTGAAAGAAGCATATCTTTTTTAAGTTGGCGGAGATCTCTATTTTCGCAGAGCATATTTGCTTTCAAATGCCCCGATAGTACATCACTTATAGCATTTACTGAAATATTACGCGCTAAACGCATTTCTTGCTAAGACCTGCAACAGTTACCAGTTTTTACTATTAAGAAGTTTAAAATTAAAAACTTCTGCTGCCTGTTTTTGCACTGGAAAAATTAATTTGAAAAAATGTACTCCTTCATATAATATATTGAGACAAAGACGGAAAGGTGAATTTTTCTGATGAATTTTATGTTACGTTTTTATGCTTATCTTTTTTCAACCTAAGCAAATAATTGAAATTTCATTTCGAAGAAAACAATAATTCTTTCGTTTTGCTTCTTTCAGAAAAAGTAAGTAAACGGTGTTTGTTTCAAAGAAAATTCAAATCATCGAAACCTGTTTTTGTGAATGTTCTGCATGCGAAAAACTATTCAATGTCAATGTGCGCGCAGCAATCGATTTTATCCGGCAAAACCCGCCTAATACACATAAAAGAATGACGTTGCTGGCCAGTTCTTCACTCAGTTCTCTTTTTGTTTGTCATTTCTTCGGAACGCGTCAACAGTACACGAGCTGCCTGCGTCTCTTCCTTCTGTTCTTTTTTTAAGTACTTGCTTTTGTTCAACGCTAATCGACAAAAACTTCTCTCGTCAATGAATAGATATAGCTCGAACAGCCTTTTATCGAAAAGCGCACGTTTGTAGAGAGAAAATTTGCTAAGATGATTTTTACATGCGATAATCTAGTTACAAATCCGCAGAACACTTTGTCTTCCAAACACTGAAATTTTATACATTTAAATGATTTCTTTTTTACAATATACATTTTCACATGCTAAAAAACTTTTTTTCAGTAATGGAAACGTCGCCAACGCCATTAAACACTATTTATAAATTCTCAACGCCTAATAAGAAAGAAAAGCATGTTTGTCACAAAAATGGCACAAATGGAACAATGGTTTGCTTAAGATTGAAATATTGAGTATTATTCTTAATTTCAGAAATTGGATTTACAGCAGTCTTCTTCAGAGACAGATCACGTTTTGTCGCAGAGTCTTATTGACAAAACATTTACTGATGGATGCCCCCGGCGTAGTGCGACAGATTTCACTTTCAGTCGCACTCTCGGAGAGGGAGCTTACAGCAGCGTCAGTGGCTTTGAAACTAAAAAGATAAACATTTTTTAAAAGGTTTTTTAAGGTGTTTCGTTGTATGGAAAATGAGTCAACTGCTGAATTCGCTATCAAAGTGATTCAGAAGAGCCACGTGCTTCGCCATCAGAAGATGGATGCGATAATTCGGGAGAAGAACATTCTCCAATATTTAACACAAACCTGTCTTTCTCATCCGTTTATATGCCAACTTTACACGTCTTTCCATGACAACGATCAAATCTGTAAGGGAAAGAACCGTCAAAATTCGGTAATAGTGTAAAACAAGGCAAGAAGAAGAAGTTCGTTATGCCCACAATTTTCCATTTTCTCACATGAATTGATGCTGAAATTGAACAAGATCAAACTTCAAATCAAGTTGGACTTCGATCTGAAAATCATTATCAGGGCCGTCTCAAACCTCAAACCTGTTCAGAGTGGATTTCATCATCAACTAATGAGAAAATGCACATTTTCGGTGGAAACGTATTCATTCTACCTTAACCAAAAAAAATTTGAGGATCTTTGTTTTTCTGAGAAACCCTTGCTTTACAGTAGTACCTAAAATTCTTTAAACCACCATATATTTCAGACTTTGTTATGGGACTTGTCGAAGGAGGCGATTTGAGTGAATCTCTATCTCATTTTGGTTCATTTGATGTTCCGACGACAAGGTTTTTCGCCTCGGAAATATTGACTGGCTTGAGATTTTTGCATGAACACAAAATTGTTCACCGCGACATGAAACCGGAGAATATTTTAATCAAAACTGATGGCCACATTGTTATAGCTGATCTGGGCAGCGCACAGGCCATGAACGAACTGGTTCTTTCTCGAGAAGGTTTCACAGTGGATAATCAGGCAAACAATAACAAATTGGCGCTTTCTCCACCGCTCACTCATCGTAATTATTCGGACGATGAAGGTTTGTTGAGATTATTGGAAATCAATTTATCTTATTTTATAAAGAAGAAAACGGGACACGTCGTACCACGTTTGTTGGAACTGCTTTGTATCTTAGCCCGGAAATGCTGGCCGATGGCGATATCGGTGCACAAACAGATATCTGGGGGCTCGGATGCATAATTTTTCAATGCTTGGCTGGACAACCTCCGTTCCGTGCTGTGAATCAATATCACATGCTCAGAAAAATCAAGGAATTAGATTACAGTTTCCCCGAAGGATTCCCGAATGGCGGTAGAGAACTTTTAAAACAAATTTTGGTAGTTTAACCTCTGAAACAAGTTGTCGTTACAACTCTTATTACAGGTTGCGGATCCAAGTGTTCGTTTGAATAGCGACAATCTGATGGTTCATCCGTTTTTCAAGGGCGTGGATTGGGAAAACATTACCATAAATATACCACCAATACTTCATGCGTATATACCAGCCACGTTTGGAGAACCCGAGTTTTACTCGAACATTGAAAACTCTGAACCCACTATTGATGATCGCGCTTTGATGCGTCTGATACGTTTGGATCGAGAATCTTCTGGATCTTTCCCAGCCACGTGCGTTTTTTGATTGATTTCTAAAACCTTTAAAATTATTCTTGTATGATAATTCCGAAATAGTTTCAGACCGACTAACGCCGAAGTTAATGGAGAGAATTTTGCACCAGAAATTGCTCCGTACGTTCTCAATATTCACGTCTGATAAACTTTTTGAAAATTTCAGGCGTACGGAATCACAAGCTGAACGATTGCGTGCAGAGCGTGAAGATAAACTGGAAAAGCAACGGACCACTAACATATTTCATATATTTACAAACAACTTGCTAATCTTGAAGCAAGGATATTTAGAGAAGAAACGTGGACTTTTTGCCAGACGAAGAATGTTTCTGCTGACAGAAGGACCTCATCTCCTTTATATTGATGTTCCAAATATGGTTTTGAAGGGAGAGGTTCCATGGACACCATGTATGCAAGTTGAGGTGAAAACTTTCGGAACTTTTTTTATTCATACGGTAAGTTTTTCAAGTTGTTATTTAGTGTATAGTCATTTTAAAATTTTAGCCGAATCGAGTATATTACTTGTTCGATGCTGAAAAGAAGTCGGAGGAGTGGTGCAAAGCTATTGAAAATGTCCGTGTCCGTTATGCCAAGATAATTCAACAAACGTATGAAAATGCAATGCGTGATGGCACTTTTGGTAACATCTATGGAAAGAAAAAATCTAGAAAGGTTTATATCAAAACCTTTTAAATTATTGTTTCCAATGTGTTCTTTTTCAGGAAATGATGCGAGAACAGAAAGCCATCCGTCGCAAACAAGAGAAGGAGCAAAAGAAAGCTCTGAAAGCTATGCAAACTGCGCAAAAATCGCCGTAAACAGCTGACAAAAACAATTGGAACCTGCTGAACCAGCAACATAAAAACTTCATACTAGCAAATAGAAACTTCTACTCTTTTTTCAAATCTAACATTTTATTTTATAGTCCCGTGACTAGGTTCTGGTTCTAATATAAACTCACTTGTTTCTGTGTTTCTTTTATTTGGTGTCCGGTTAGTTAAAGTTTCTCGTATTTTGTGAATTTTTCAAGGTAATTATGTGATCTGTGTTATAAATTTTTTTGTATTCAAAAATTGGTGTTATCATTTGTATAATTCGGTTTTTAATAAAACAAACACAAAGGCAAGAAACAAATTTAATATGACTTGAAAGTTCCACCCAAATGATAATTGTATTGAACGTCAGGGTAGAATGAAGTTGGACCGCTTATCTGAAAAAATTTGATAACTGGAACAGAAAAGCTCATCATCACTCCTATTAATAAAAATCTTGAGGGGATTCTCCCTCTGTTTGTTTTTTTGTTTGTTTATTTCTCTGTTTGTCCGTCCCCAGTGTCATTTGTAAAACGAAAATAGTTGTGACGGAGAAATAAGAGAAATGAACAGGTGAACTTTCGAACAGTTCTGAGAAACAAACAAGCAGAGACCCCGCCTTCGAGCGTCAGCTCGGTCCTAGTTGAAAAAGTCTTGTGAAATATACCTGACTGACTGAAGGGCTTTCAATAGTGCTCTCAGCAAGTTGTTGTTTATGAATCTTGTCTTTGTGACGGTTCATGAGCCAAACAGTTAGCAACGCCAAAACCGCAAAAACAATAGTGATGAGAACCATAACCAGAAGAGCTATAGCCCATCCAAATGAAGTGCTGCGGCTGAAAATTACAATTCCACGAGGTTCATCTCAAAAACAGTACGCTGCAATATCGGAAATGGTGCAACATCCATGACTACAGCAGCCGAGTTCGCACAAATATGGAATAGCAGTATCCGCAGTGTTGTAACGATAGAAACAAATAGTTTGACCAGTTTCAGAAATTTCTTGACGAATGAATCCGCCCAGACTGTGTCGAATCGAATTTATCGTATTTTGGGAAAGAGATGCAACGTTTGCCCTACAAAGATTTTAGTGATTAGTTCATTAATATTTTTTTAGTAGTTACTCACGCTGTTGTCGTAGTTGTCGAAGCTAAGTATGCTTGTTCTTGTTCACTTATAGGAAAACTTTCCCAGCGTGACATACCTAAAACAATAATTAATGAATAGGTAAGTACAAGAATTCGAATAAGTTTGAACGAATAAGAGAAGAGAACAAAAATGTTAACATTGTTTATCTGACACTTCATGCCCGTCCCTAATTGACCTTCGAGCCCACTCAGAAAATGGGACTGGTCAAACAGCAAGCACTCTTTTCAACTTGGCTTGTTTCTCTTATGCTCAATAATCGCAAATACATCATATCTTGTCCGAGCTCTGCACATAAAGAAAGAAAACAGGCACTTGATTCAATTTAAAAAGAAGCAAATGGGGATAAAATGCTACAATTAGAGTTTTTGACCAGGTATCTGATTTCAGGTGCTTTGATGAGCATCAGAACCAAGTATTGCTACAGGAGTTATTCTGAATATATCATGTGTCTGTCGAATTTATTTTCATGAATCTTGCTTTGTCAAAGAGATTGAAACCAAAAGTTCAGACTTGCATATTGAATAATCGCAGATATTTCACATTGTTGATTGAAACGGAAATTTCAATTTTTGTTCAAAAATAGACTTACAGTTCGTATAGTTCGAAAAATATAATTTTTAGTTTAGGTAACTTAATTGTTTTTCGGCTAAAGTAGTCATGAAAAAATGAATGCATGATAAGAAAAGCATCAGTCATACCGAAAAGAGCAAAACCGTATCAACACACACTTCTCAATTAGATTTCACGGCGAAAGGCAAACAGAAGAAGACACTGAGCAACGAAGGACAGTGTTGGTCATTAGCCGATAAGAAAATGACAGATTGGTCATGAAGAAACATCACACCACACCTTAGAATAACTTCCCGTTCAAATAATAGCAAAAACGAAAAAATCCGAACGGAATCATTGGAATAGTTTTGATTGTTCGTGATGATTCATGGTCAAACATGGTCAAAGCTAGTCGCCGAGTGCATGATTCAGAAAAAGCATGTCAAGTGTCTGCAATCAGTTAATATTAATAAAAACGCACGGCTCGTTTCATAAGATTATCCGCACAAAAATGTGGTTAAATACAAAAACACACCTGATCAAACAAAATTTCAAGTTACTTACGTATTCCTACTGTGACAGACAATTGAAAACTGAAAATGTTTTGTCTCTTGTTTTCTTTCTCACTGGAATAAACAAAACATGTGAGTTTGCTGTCCGTGATTTTCTGTTGTTTTTTTAAGAGATTTACAAGTGAGCAAAGGATAGTTGAACATCGATGACCGGTGTATCTTAGCTATTGTTTGTCAAACTGCGGCTTCACAAGAGCTACTCAAAGAGCATACAAAGAATTTGCTTATTGTTAATTTTTCAAGTGGATGAACAATATGAGTTAATCGCTCTGTACATGAAAACAAGTGAAACTGTAGTATTAGGAATAGAAATCTTATAATTATTTACATGTGACAAACATCACATAAATTAATGTTTACAATCTCGTTTTTCGTTTCCAAATCCTAATTCCAAATTAATTGATCCAAGATTGAACACAGGTATTTCATACAAGTCAGTGCTGACATATTTAGCGGGAATGTCCCAAAACAATCGTTTTTGACATTTCTGAAATATCAATTTGATAAATGTAATAACAAAAATAAAATACAATTTCGCCATCATTGCAATCATGATAAATCTTGAGTGCAGGTTCAATTGTTACTCTTTCGTATGTTCCCCCCGTTACATGGAACTTCCCTTCCTCGTCTGTTTTTCGTTCATCCAGAAGGTCATCCCGATCGTCACCTCAAACAAATACAATAAAAAATAGAAGGAAAGATACTTAACCAAAACAGTAATACTTGATTACTATGCGCTCTCAAAGGCTTGTATTATGTGTGTTTGCAAAACTTACCATGATCTCGATCGATTAGCTTCACCGGAACGCCTACAGCCGGATGCTGCCCACAAAAAAGCCTCCCGGTGGCAGAAACTGCTTGAATAGGTAAATGAGCCGCAAAAGCTATTGAACATTTCACCAGAAGAAAAATATACACAAGGAACCACTTTTTTTGTTGCAGCATCAGGTTTCAATAAAGATGGAAAATAAATCAATCCAAGGTCCGGAAGATAATGCCTGTAACAATTATCGGATTTAGTCGAGCAGATGAGGTCGAATAGTTAATCCGATGAGAATGATCTAGTCATCGACATAATTATTTTACAATAATCAGATCAAAAACAAATTAGCCATGAAAAAACAGGTGACAAGAATGACAGTCAATTTAGAAAACATACGTTTTAGTTATTTTGGTCTGAAAATTTTTGTTATCTTCTTTATTTAATTGTTGCTCGTTTAGAAATGACATGACAGTCATCTGTTGTCCACGATAAGAGAATCAGTACGTTGATTTTATATAAATTGTCCAAGACAGGCAAGGAAAAATAATTTATTCACGTCAGAACTCCAATTCTTACATATAATTTTTGCGACATTGAATTTATTGAACTTCTTGAGTTGAACTTAGCGAGAAATGAGTAAACATCCTATGGTTCATAAATCGTAAGATGCGCATTTTTAAAAAGGACGAATCCATCCCATATTCAATGAAAATTCTGTTTTATAGATTATTTTTTTTAACTGCTTTTGACTTGTATTTATTCATGATTCCTGTATTCCTGAGCACAACAACACTTTTTTACGCTCCGGCAGTGTCAAGATATTTGAGAGCGCAGACATTGAATGTATTAGAGAGAAAAAGGGAGACAGACAAAGATAGGAAAAAGAGCGTTAGTGCATAACGTAGCGCAGAGTCATAAAAACAACCTCAAGTATACTAGAGTTATCTTAGCAATTTTGAACAGTTTTAGAAAATAAACTAGATTAGGAAATAGTACAAACGGAATAGCTTTTTTTCTTGTTCGCACTGGCCAACTTATTTTCTGAGATTGTCATTGATTCTAAATTCAGTCAAATTGTTTTGAACATAAAATGAAATTCAGAAAACAAACTATTTATTTTTTTTTTCTGCCTACATATACAAACTGTCTTGTCTGGAGTTGGTCACGTTTTTTTAACGTGACTTGTCATGTTTGCTTTAGTTTTGAAAAAGCATTACAATAACCACTACACAGCAAATTGTTCAACTTCTCAAAAAAGTTTGTTATAACTCGCCGTTTTTCGAACAAAAAAAACTCCACGCTGTCTTCTTTCATTCCTAATTTCTCAGTCAAATAAATCGAGCCAAAAAACATTATTGTAGCAACGATAGAATTACGAGGAAATTTTTAGTATTATGAAATACCAACAATATCATAAATAATCAGCAATATTTTTGAAAAATTATATTGTTATCATGTAAAAAAGTAGTATTATGAGAAATTTCAGTAATATTATGAGAAGCCAGTGATGTTACGCAAATTTCCATAATATTCTAAGAACCTTTCGTAATGCTATAATGACTCGTAATTTTATTATTTAACTAAGATACTTTTTTTTTACTTAACTGAGTTCTCTCGAATGTACACTTAACATCAGATCACTCAAAAGTGACTGTTAAAATTTATTCTTTTGCAGATAGCGCTACATACTGTACAATGGAAAATATGCACAAACACACAGGTTGGTCAAAAAAATTTCGTATGAAACGGGGAATTAAAGAAATGCCTTCTTCGTTGGATTCGTTCACCTTTGCTCAACCGGGACCCAGTAATAGTAGTTCACGGACATATTATCCATCGGGGCAAGGAGATAATTTATTGGAAGACATTCCTGATGTTGAAGCATATGAGAGAAATTCGAAATCTGGTACTTGCAATGCTCCATTGTCTCACGGTAGCTTAACGCGTTGAACATAATTTTCAATTTTTTCTTCAAGATTTCTCTCAAATTTCCATAGTTCAACAGCAAGCTGATTTGTCAAAATCTCGCAACATGTTATACAGTAATGTGCGGCACAAAGTTAAAACTGAACATCATGATGGTGAATCGAATACTTTGCAATGTATTGATTTAATATATAATGTCCCCACAGCAGATGATCACACTCCAATGACATCGCCTACCGGATCAACTACAAAAATTATACAACGGGGTGGTATCAAAATGGAAATTCCGCCGTATTTAGATCCAGACAGTGTTGACGATGAGCCTGAAGAAGGAGTGGTTTATCCTGAACCTGACTTATGTACGTTCAGAAACGAAAAAAAAACAGAAGAACGTATTCAAAGCTTTTTTCAGTTGACATAAAAAACACGAACATGACAGAGTATGACCTTGAAGTTTTGAAACATGGAAAGCAAGCGGTGGATGACACTAGGAACAAGATCGAAGCACCTGACGCTAGTGCACCGCCCAACAAAATTGTCGAATACTTGATGTTTTATAGAACAGTAAGTTGATAGAAAATTTTTTTGAAGATATTAAATTTGTATTTTTCAGTTAAAAGAAGGTGAACTTGTGCAATTGAATGCGTACCGCACCAAACGAAACCGTTTGTCATTGAATTTAGTAAAAAACAACATCGATCGCGAATTTGATCAGAAGGTACTGATTTCGTCTACAGGAAAGAATAGCTCTGTTTTTCCAGGCTTGTGAATCTCTTGTGAAAAAATTGAAAGACAAAAAACAAGATCTTCAAAATCTAATCGACGTTGTGATCTCTAATGGAAAAAAATTCAGTGGATGCATTACGATTCCGCGCACTTTAGATGGCCGTTTGCAAGTAAGGATAAAAGCTTGCATGATTTTTCGAAATGTACGAATACAAATTATTTAGGTCCATGGTCGCAAAGGATTTCCGCATGTAGTTTATGGAAAACTGTGGAGATTTTCGGAAATGACAAAAAACGAAACCAGACACGTAGACCATTGTAAACACGCGTTTGAAATGAAGAGTGATCTGGTTGGTGCAGATAACAACTAACATCTTTCTTCAGCAAAAAAGATTTAGGTCTGTGTGAATCCTTATCACTATGAACTTGTTGTGGGAACAATGATCGTGGGACAACGAGACAGTCTTGACAACAGGGAGTCTGCAGTACCACCAAGGTTTACCCAATAGAGCTTAAAACTCACAACATTTAAATGATAGATTCCAAACGCCGAATCCTGTACCTCGTCAACAGTCCATGGAAGATATGCACAGAAACTCATTTTTGCCTATGTCTTCGCAAAATGGAGGAATTTTACAGTCAAATGTGCACAGTGTGCCGCCTCAAGTGCCATCAGTGTCGCAAATGCCTCCTCAGAACATGCATTCCAATACACCGATCCATCACAATAACGGCATACAATACGGGCATTCAATGCACGACCATTCAGGCAACAGTATGATAGTGAGCCACAACCGTCATCATCCACATCCTCCATCTCACCAACAATATCCAAATCATCATCCACAACAAATGGCGATTAATCATCATCAGTCAAACCAAATTTCCGTTGGATATCCTCCTGATCCATCGACATCAAACATCCATCAGAATATCAGCGAATTCGAAGAGTATGCTCGTACCGCAAACTTTGGATTCAATATCTATTCATTTCCTCCATTTGCAAACCCACCGCCCTCATTCAATGAATCGGAAACAGTTTCTCGAGGTATTTGTTTCAATCTTGATCGTTATTTAGTGACAGGAAACCTTATTTTACTTTAATAATACGTGTTTCAGTTGAATTAACCAAAGAAGCAATGGTGACTCTCTCTACCTTCCGGCGATTTTGCAAACAGGTTGTTAGAATTTGCTTCACGAAATTAGCAACAAAAAAAACAATTTTCAGACGTTTGGTGATCGATTCTTCGACGATGATTATGATGAGTCTCCTCAATCCACTGAAAATATACCTTCCAGTGTTAAATACATAAAGGTAAGAAAACAAAACATCAGTACACAACGATAGTTGATCGCGCATTCATAGCGGTACGTTTTAAATAGCTCGATGAAAAAATTTAACATTTCTGATTACGTTATTTTTAAATTATGAAAATGATAACATTATAAATTGACATTTAACTTTACGGACTTTGCCGTCTCAATCCCTTCGTATATATTCAGAAAGACAGTATGATGTCATTTTTTCAAAACAATAATACACGCAAACAGTGGAGAGAGACACATAGAGACTGAGAGAAAAAAAGAAAACGTTTAATAAAAGTGTTGAAAAACCATATAAGATGACGCAAAGTGAATCATTGATCACTTTTTCTTTCGTCATTGTCACTGTTCAGTCAAACGATTTTGCAGCAGAAACGCCCGGCATTGTTGGGGGTGGAACAATTCTGTAAAAGACTGGCTGAAGGAAACGTGTTAGATGGCCCCATTGTGCCTGACGATGCACCATATCATGACATGTGCAAGTTTCTTCTGAGGTAATAAATTCAAAATATAAAAATAGCTATTTATTTTGTAGAGTGACCTCGGAATCTCTGACAATGTCTAACGCAGAACCAAATGCTAAAGAAGGTTAGTTGAAGTTATGCTTTTTTTATAAAATGATTTTTCAGAAAACGAACAATGGGCAACTATTGTGTACTACGAGTACAGAACTGCGCTTGCCGAACGAAAAGTTTTTCGAAGCGAATTTCATGTGGATGGTGGGTTTATAGCTTCAGACAATCGGTTCAGTTTGGGACTTGAGCCAAATCCGCTTCGAACTCAAACAGCTTACAAAATTCGGTAGGTTGTTGTGATTCAAAGATGTCAGTTATGTATAGTAATATTCTCTTTAAGACAAGCAATCATTGATGGAATTCACATTTCCTACAAAGAAGATGGGAGTATCTGGCTGCAAAATTATATGAAGTGGCCAGTTTTCGTTACTTCCGGTTATCTGGACGAACAATGTGGAGGACTGAGAATTGATAAAGTGCACAGAGTGACCGGTCGTGCTAAGCTAAAAGTTTTTGGCTACGACATCGTCAAGGAAATTATTCGAGACTCTTTGTACTCTAAACAAATGGCATCTATGTTCATGCGTGGAATGGAAACACCAATGGATGATATTTATCGCAAAAAAGACATTGAAGAAGTTAAACGAGTAAGACACATTTTTCCGTCTGGTCGAATTAATCTGAATTATTAAACAGGAAGCTGCGCGAACACCAGACTCATTAATTCGATATTGCTGTGTGAGGGTGTCATTTTGCAAAGGATTTGGTGAAACTTACGATGCAAGGCCCTTTATTACTAATTGTCCAGTATGGATTGAGTTGAAAGTAAATCTGTAAGATATACAATCACAAAAAATAATGCACTGATTCGAACAATTCAGAATTTATAACTACATGGATGCAATTCTCAATGACATTGCCAACAAATACGAGCCGATGGGAATAGAAGATTTTGCTAAATTAGGAATAAATGTGTCAGAAGATTGAAACAGTTAATCTAATTAATGTGTCAAAAGATTAATAGAGTTAATCTAATCAACGTGTCAGAAAATTAAAAGTCATTCTCATTTTTTTGTAGTAATAATAATAATAACTAGTCCATGTATTTTGAAGTATACTACATTTTGCTCGCCATTAAAAATTCACTGATCAATTCAAGTACGTTATTTTATCGAAGTTATACCACAAAAACCGATTTGACGATTCTACAAGTTGCTTGAGAGGCACACTCTCCCATCTTCGTACTGAGCAGTTTCTTACGAAAAAAAAACAGAGGAGCATATATCCTGCGATGATTCTAAGGAATTATGAGTCGCGGAAAGTTCTTTATCTTGAAGACTATGTGATCATTTCAGCTTGAACGTTTTAGTCTGGCCGTGCGTGGAGCCCGTAAAATCCACCATTTTGAAGTTATGGATTGTTACTACGGCAGGTTCAGTTATGAACGCACGGTGTTCAGCAGATTTTAGGCAATCATCGCGTTCTTTTGGTCGCACCCCCAATCGTTGTATCTAGAGGACAACCTTTTCTTGACCGAAGCGGTAGAGAAGTAACCGTCCCATCCCCGTATCCAATGCAATAACTCCAAAAGCACTCGAACCAAAGTTGAGCGGAAATGGAATTTTGAAATCCGGAAGACGGCAGACGGCAGACGGAAGAAAATTTTTTTTACGGAAAACGGAAAACGGAATACGGAAGAAAGAATTTCTCACGGAAGACGGAAGAAAACTTTTTTCCCGGAAGACGGAACAAAAAAAATCGTCAATGCAGAACCTTTTTCTCCGGTTTTTTTTTTGAAAAAATAACTAAACAACAAAAATTTTGGATCTGGGTCACTGCCCATGGAAATTCGCGTTCTTCGAGGCTAGTAAATGGCTTCTGAAAAGCTATTACTCTTTTATGGGAAGAAGAAAAAATCCTGGAAGACGGCAGACGGAAGAAAAATTTTTTTACGGAAGATGGCAGACGGAAGACGGAAGAAAACTTTTTCCCGGAAGTCGGCAGACGGAAGACGGAACAAAAAAAAACACGGAAGACGGAAGACGGCAGACGGAATTCCGCTCAACACTACTCATCAAAATTTTCACCAAGCCGTTTGTTCTTTTTTCAAACGTTCTTGTTTTAACTGACCTTATTCTTTTTTTTACTCACAAAGCCATCCTCGTTATTATCTACTACTCATTAACTTGTTCAAATGAACGGCTTTTAAAACCGAAGCGAAGGCATCTTATGTTTTTATTTATTCTTTCGAAATTGGAATCATCACACTGTCTTTTTGAATATATACGAAGGAATTGAGAACCCGATTCTTAGGAGCTGTTAACGCTTTTCGCGGAATGGTTTCGTGAATCAAGGGTGTTATGCGCAGCTACAAGCAGCAAGTATTTCAAAAATCCGAGGTGCTGTCGTAGTTTGCAGTCGAACCTTGATTTCCTGAATCGCTCAGAAGATGTGGTGAGTATTAAAGGTTTTTATGACCCGAGTGATGCAAGTCCCTTGTTTCGGAACTTTTTTATATGAAAAAACCGCCGGATGAAATTTTCTGAGGTGATTGCACAATGCTCACACAAAGTGAAAAACGTCAATTCTTGACTTGAGATGACTTGTTTCACTAATTGCTTTCTTCATGTACCCGCGCTCCCCTTAGTTTTACAGGATCGGAATGACTGTCCCTGGTACCCTTTTTATAACAACAATCAAAATCTGCTCGTTCTTGGTCCTCCCATGATACCACTAGATCAATTTGCTTTAAAAAATTTTTTTCTGAGTTTTTTCATTGGGATGAGCACAAGAAAATTATTTGCTATAATTCACAGTAAATGAGCTACACGCGGAGACCCGTATTTTGTCTAAAAAGGTTTTTATTTTTATTTTTCACTGCCCAAGAAAGCTGGTTCGATATCCGAAATTGAGAAAGCGTGCTTTTGTATCATTGATGTATCTTTCTTGAGTTAAAAATAAATAGAAGCTAGGATTTCCAATGATTGATGATGCTCGCTCACTTGATTCACATGTTCTCGCCCGACCGCTGCCCCGCTCCTCAATTTTTTTCTCATTCTTTACTACATTTTAAAATATAGCTGGTGTAATTTGGGATTTGCTTCAGCGCTTCGGCTCATTCTTGCTGGTTGCGATGATACTACCAACGGCAATCACCACTGTTTTTCTTCTTGGATATGTTGCTGGTTTATCGCAATTAAATGTTGAGAACTGTGAAGCAGGCAGTTTTTTTGTTGAGAACTACATCAAGTACGAATGCTATGAAAACGAAAATGTGCGAGGAGCTCGAATTGTTGGTAAGTGGTTTTTGTAGTTATGAACTAAGGAACATATGAACAAAGGTTGCCAACCATCCAACAACTTGACTGGCGTGACACTTGAAGCATGGGAGACATTTGATGATCGTTGGTTCAAGTATCATTGTGTGATTGATGGAACTAATGCTCAATACTCTGTGAAAGGTAAAATGCTTCTGAGAATTTTTTATAAATTGTATTTTTGCTTAGCTTGTCTGGATCCTATCGGAGAAGTATTGCCTGTTGGAAAAACCCGTTCGTTTCCAGAAGGAGAGACATTCACTTGTTTTATTGAATCGAACAAAGTAAAACTGAATCACCAGACAAGTGAGCAACACATGATTTATCACGCAAAAGTTCCAGCTAATTATGTCATTGTTCGTCCTAATGGAGATGTGGAAGTCTAAAGTTATACACATTTTTATATATCTTTCTGTAACAATAAATGATTTTAAAAGACACAGATTGTTTCTCGTCTTTCAGCTGTTGGATGTCGCGTTGGGAATCAAGTTTACGGAGATGGAGCCACGTGGATTGATAAAAAAGAAGATATGATTGTTGTAAGATAACTCCATCAGAAAAATTGTACATGTGAACAAAAGGTTGGCTCCGAGAAGAAAGTTGTTGGGTTGGGAATTGCAATGCAATGCCAAAAGTTTAAGAACGGATCTTTTGTAATTGAGTTTGCAGGTCAAAATACTTTATTCTTATTGTTTTTCTTTTTTTTTTTAGCTTGCTTGACATCTCAAAACACGTATATCCGACTTGAAAACTACGGAGATATAGATGGCGAAATTGTTAAATGTGACTTTATCGATGGAAGGTGCCAACTAAGACAAGCTATAACAAAAGAATTACGTTGCTCGGTTGGTTCCTTGATTTATCGCCACAATCAAGAATGGAATTCTGAAGATAACTCTACAGCCTATGTCTGTTTGTTTGGAAAAGTGGAGAAAAAAGGTAACATTACAAAAATCCATGTTTTTATTAGTAAGAGTATGAAACTTACACAGGATGTTTGATTGGTACGGTTGTGATTCCTTTATTTGCGGTCCGTTACATCAACGATTTCCCATTTTACTGTCATCAGGGTGCGACGGTTCAGTCATTTGGAACATTGAGTAAATTTATTCTCACCAAATAAACCTAGTTAACAACATATTTTAGAAGGATGCACGACTTCTGATGGAAATGTGATTCCGTTTGAAAGCAGAGCAAGAAATGGCGACAAATTGGAATCATGTGGCTTTAAATTTGACCAAAACGGAGTTGTTCAATTTACATGGACTCAAGTCGGCTGCATCTATGCAAAAGAAATGATAACAGTTAACGCGATTCAAAAATTCGAAGAGAACTATGTTCACTGTGCATCTAATGGAACATATGGGCACATTGCTAAATTGATGACTAAAGCGGAAGTTGAGAAATGGCTTGCTATTACCAAACAACAATGGAGCAATGTCATTTCCGGTATTATTTGTTAATGCTACAGAATAGCTTAACATAGTCGTCTTCAGGAAACGAAGGAGGTGGAAGATCTGTAAAACGAGAAGTCCCAACTGTTGTGCCCTTCACTACACAACCTACTACAACCGCAACTCAAATACCAGCGACAACTCCAATACCAACCACAACTCCAATCCTTCCCACAACCACCACAACAGTAGTTCCACTACCAACATCTACAGTAAAAGAAACTCCAGCACCAATTCCATCTCCGACGCCAAAAGTAAAAAGATGCGTTGATTCAATTGAGGACTGTGACAAACTAGTATACTATTGCACAACGGATTTGGAACACTTAAATTTTATCAAGGAAACTATGCAACACACTTCATTGAGTTCAAACAAGAAAGCGAGGGTCATTGCGTTTATCAGTCATGCATTGTGAGCTATCCGAAATATTGGAAAAATTTGAAGTTTGTTTTGAATGTTATTCCAGAAACTCTGATTGCTCAAACGCAAAGCCTGATGAGAATGAAAAATGTTTCTGTCAAACAAACAATTCTTGTGCAACCAGAAGCTCACATTGTGAATGCGAATATCAAAAAAGCTTCAATAGAAAGATTGTTCAGTCATTGTGTCCAAAGACATGTCAATTGTGCAATGAGAAACGTGAGAAAAATTGCAAAAATTGAGTAATTGTGTTTCTCAGATGATCCAATATCTGCAATCATTGGATCTAAAACGTCGGCAGCATGCATTAATAATAGATGCAATTGATAAATTGTTTCCCTTTTCTTTCACCATCAAAACTAGGTATTCCTTTGGAAATAAAAACTGATTACAGATAATTTCTATTTATGCATAAAATTCTTAGAAGATATATCATAACAACGATAGTATTTCTTGATTTTTTAGTTTCACGACGTCCAATTGTTTTGAGATCAGTGCAATTCTTATGAGAATTTCGTTACACCTGTGTTTCCAACACTTGCTTTTCATCATTGAAGACAACAATGTTCCTATTTGGCTTCCACACTCGTTTTCCCATGACTGAAGCACACGTTAAACAATTTTTCCTAAAAACTCAATTAACTTCATAGAATAATATAATTACCTACCTGTACTGTTTTATGACAAGAATAGTGATAACTGCATCTAGAAAAGGGCTTAACGCTAGCCAAAGTTGTGTTGTTATTATTACGTGCCCATTAGTTATTGGCTCCGAAAGCAACAGTACTGAACTAAGAGTTAAAAAAGCGGGGACCTAAAAAATTTTTTGTGAACTGCAAATTTCTGTATTTTACCTGACAAACGAGAGGAATAATAGCTTGCGCGAAAGTTGCAATAGCAACTTGTCTAGTTTCAAGTAATCTTGCCTGATCCCTCAGATTTTCCACTACTTTTATGTGCGTAGCTGAAAAAACGGCTTTTTAAGTATCAAAAACTTATCTGAAAACACTGACACACAATACTGAAAACAATGTAATTTGTTGCAAAGGCAATACAATAGGCAAGAGTAGTAATTGTAGCAAAAGTGTAAAACAATATCTTTGCAATATCATGATCGACAATACATATCATCTGAAGTTTCTTATGTTTTTCTCGAGAGAAGTAGATATTTTTTATTTCTTAATAACACTTACATAAAGTATTCCGATTGGAAGTACATCTAAGAAAAGACAGAAAAAAAAAGAACGACGTCCACCAAAAAGCTGAAAAGACAATTGTGAAAAATGATGTAACATATCACTTTAGTTTACTCACCGTGTTGTAAGCATGTGGATTAGATAGTGCTAAAACTCTGCTCAAAGAGATGGGAACAATTGCGCATATCATTGTTCCAAAAGATCCGTAAAATGCCAAAGTCATGTAATACAAGAATCTGGGGATTATCAAAAGCTTATTCGAGTTATCGACACTTGCACTCACTGACTAGGTAAATGATGGTTATCATCTACGTTTATATAGCCCATGAACATAAAAACCAACCCACAAAGAATGTCAACAAACGCTAAATTTGCAACAAATAACCGGAAGTCTCCTTTAACGTGGCCGAAAGATAGCAAAATTACTAAGCAATTAGTGAATACTCCAGTGGCTGCTGAGATCATAACTGATATTCCAACTAACGTTTCAAAATCATTCTGAAAATAGATAGTAACTTCAGCACGCACCAGATTTGTTAACTCCGTCATTAATGTTTTTGAACTGTTCGATAGGAAAGTCATTTAATGATACATTGAACAAAGGGTTGTCCCAGATGAGCATCGAAGTTGCGTCAAATTCATTCATTTGGTAGATTAAGTTGTCTGAAAACAAACATGTGCATGATCAGGAAAGTAAAACATAATTAATGGTAACATTCAGAACAATATTTTTCTCTATTTACATAAGAGGAACAAGAGAGAAAACATTTAGAAAAGGAATGGCAAAAGAAAAATCAAATACTGACGTTATTAACAAACTGAGAAAGTTTGAGAATGTATCGAGTTACATCTGTACAGTTTTTTTTTGAAAAAATGTCAAACACATTTAAAGTTCGAATTCTTTCGAAGCAGTGATTCCGGGTAAGAAAAATTGCAAAAAACATATTCATATATATAAAACTATATATATATATATATACCTCTATCCTCGTAAACAAAACCAAAAATTTCAGATATCTGGTTTCCCATCACATTATTATTCTTCTCTAGTTGGTACTCTATTGAGCGCTGGAACAAAAAAACAAAATACATTGCGAACCCAGAAAATGGTTCTAAATAAAAAAACAGAAATGAATTAACTTGAAAAAAATTGAAAACATTTTTTGAATGACCACTTCAACTGGAACTTGTTTGAAATGCATATGCACTTCAAAAAAGTTATGTTTCTGATTTACAATCCAGCATTCCCTCATCTCAATGAGAAAACGAGGGCTGGGCAAATGTAGAGGGTTTTCGATCACTTCTTAAGGCTTAAACTGGTGACCTATCCAGTTGCAATGTTCGGATCGGATCCACTTTGTGGGTTTTTTACATTAGGATTTCAATAGTTTGAGTCCTAGTTTTTAAACGATCGGATTATCTGATCTGGATATGAATTGACTCGAGACCGGAACGACAACACTTTTTCTAAGAATTCTGCTTTTTCGGCTTCCATCTACATAACTTCAATGTGAATCATCCGATCGTTCTAAAACTGGAGCCCGAGAATTTAAGAAGACTGAAAAGTTTGAGATAAATCTGAATATTCCAGCTGGATCAAAAGCTCAGACCTCAAAGCATTTTAGCCTGCGTCGGATATTTGCCCAGCTCAATGAAAAAAGCAGCGAGCTCCAGACGTTTCTAATTATTTCCAAGTTACCGTATACGAAAGAGCAGAGCACATTAATTATTTCTCAGGATTTGAGTGTTACAAGTGTTATTCAAGAGAAATCTTGTCCAATTAAGTTTGTATCTACTCGAGGGTAACTACGTGAACTAAACCATCAAGACACAGTTCGGGGGTGTATCATCTATGTTGGTTGGGAATCTCTATTTCAAGTATCCATTTCCGCATGTTGATAATTTCTTTGAAAATGCTTTGCTCTAGCCGGAAGAGAAGATAAGTGGTAACGTGGTAAAGTGGCAAATAAAAGTCGCGTTGTGTGTCAGTATGTTTGATTGCTTCGTATACAGTTCTTTTGTAAAAAGATGTGCATAGAACATGTTTATTTCACAAGTTTTTTCAACAAAAAATATCAAAATATCATGAAAAAATTAACAATGCATCAATCGGTTGAACTTGTTGTACTCTGATTTATAAATGGAGAATTTATTGCAATATTGGAAGAAAAATACAACTCTGAAGTTAAAAGGTGAACTATCGTATATGTGAAATTTTTATTCATTTTCACTCTGACGTTCTGTTTTTACAAACATTTAATTTAAATTGTGTCATTTTTTCTAACAGACGTAGTCTTTTTTTCAACCAATTGAAACGTTTTCAATCGTCATTCATCAGAAGTCGGCAGTGGTTTCCAACATCCGCATCTTGTTGAGTCGCTCCTTTTACAGGAAGAAATAAAATTTATTTAAAAAGATCTTGAGCATCTTCAGTGTTCTTCAGTTTGACGCTCGCGGTGTTTCATGAATGTTCCAGCGGAAGTCGTTCAGCTTTTTCTTCAAGTATTCAGGTGCTGTCGGGACATTTCAAAGTGAATGCGCTGTGTTGCAATTCTCATCTCCAACCCGACGCCAATTAAAACCAGAGAAATTTTTTCCAGAATTCAAATGAGAAACAACTGAACCTCATTTCGCTGCTGAAAAAAGGTTTCTCAACAGAGTGCATTCACTTTGGCCCGATAGTAGGTTACATCCGGTGTTGCTTATTGGATTCGAAACAAGTTCAAATTTTTCAAACTCTTCTCTTAATCTACTAATTGCAGAATATATAAAGAATTATAGTTCTTCTAAAATCTCTCTGCAATTTTTCAGCAGAACTTCAGCAACGTTCACCTAACTTCTGCTCAAAAGCAGCTATTGCTATGCGCAAAACTTGCAGAAGTTCTGCTGAGAACTTGCTATCGCCAAAAAGTTTGCTTGAAAGCTGTTGAACCTTTGTTCAAAAGCTGCCATCACCTCAACGTTTGCTGAAAAGTTGCAGAGGTTTACCGAGTACACATCATGCGTACCTTAGATAAAGGGTATGGTAGAATTACAGATATCTAGCTACTATTCATCCGGATTCTTTCACATATTCAATGTTCGATGCAATGCGTCTTTGGCGGTGGCAACAGGAAATCAGAGCAATTTATCACATAAAATTGGAGACCTTTCCAGATTTTTAGTAGAAACCTATATAAGAATTGTCTCCCGTTTTTACTAGACGTGATGTGCAAATAAATTTTTATGGCGTTTGTATTTTAATTTGAGGTGGGACGTGTCTTTTTTTAATTTCACTTGAATCACGTTTCCGGCACTTTCAATCAGTTTGAGATGTTGATTTGTTAGCCAACAGAACCGATAGAATTCTCAATTTTTCTTAAACTGTCAGCTTGCGTCAGCTCAATGTGGCTTAGAAAATTCTGGAAATTACTAATGGTAACTTTTCGATCTTTTAAAAACAATTCAACATTTCATTAAGGCTACAATATGTGTCAAAGCGCTGTGCTTATTTTTTGAATTCTGTTATGTTCGATGGAGAGTAATGAGATCAAGATCCAGTGATTATGATGAGGATTCATTGGCTTCTACAAATGAAGAGCCGGAAAGAAGCGAGTTTTTGCATCTCATCAGAATTTCTGGCTATTATTTTTGTACTTCAGAAAAAATAGTGCGAACGTATTCTGTCTATCCTCCAGCTTTTCTGGAGCAAGTCGCAGATTCGCATAGGCCAGGGTGCATCGAAATTTATCGGCAATTTATGAGTTACGGTACACGGCAACATGCAAACGATAAACATTCATTAGTGAGGAGTATCTCCGATGTGAGTTGAGTTTTGAGAAAACCACGATATATTTCATTACGTTATCAAAACATTCAAATTTTGGTCAGGATCATACTGAAACGAATTGTTTGAATCTTCCGTGCACTGACAGCGAAGAAACTATTTTCCTGGCTTATATAAAATGGCTGGAGGCGGGAAACCATCACACCGTTTCCGATATTTCTGAAATTGAATCGAAATTTTCGGAACTTTCTCCATCAGCAAAACAAAAGGAGACTTCATGTTTGACAGCAAACGTCAACCAGCCTTTGTACGGAACGTTTGAGCATTACTGTAACATAGCGACTGGTAGTTGTGAAACTTCTACTTATCCAGAGGTATCAGACATTGATAAGACATAATTTTACAATTTTTTTGGCAGCTGCAACGTCAAATTCGGAGCTACTTTTTCACAGCGCCGCGCTTATTTGAAAAAGAGTTAGTGCCTAATTCTTTACCAATTTTCGCAAAAAAGGTGACGATAATTTTTGAGTTGAAGATAAGTTGAACGTTATTTCAGTTAAATGAAAACAGCTATGAAAATATTTACTTGAACCAGTTACAAAATGGAAAACAATTTGAATCCCATACAATTTGCAATGAACTGGAATCAGAATCAGAGCCAGAAATGGGTCAAGATCATACTGAAAAAAATAAAATACTGCGTCAGAAAAATGGTAGTTTACCAATTCTGTCAACAATAACCGTTTTTCGTGATGACATCAGCGGATCTTTTAGCTCTGATTATCAAACAGCCTCTATTAGCAGTCCTACTGCAAAAGAAGTAAACCCGATTGTGCAAAATGTTTTCTTATAATGAAAAATTTAGATATCTGATCGTTTTTCTCAAAAATATTGGAATGTTGGAGAAAGGAACGGCGATGGCGCGCTGGGAGCAAAAGATAACTATCATAATCGTTTTTTTGGTAAAGCTGGATATTATTTGACTCGCAATGCAATCGGAACTCAAGCCAATGTGAGTTTGTTTACAAAAAACCGTTTTATTTGAATTTTATTTTGTGCAGGGATTTTATGCAATGCCATCAATTGAAAGGTGGGAGCTGGAAAAAGAAAGAGAACGGTGGGAAGCTATTTATCAATCAACAACCATGGTTAACAGTAATTATTCATATTTTCACTAAAAAGTTTTTATAGAAGAATGATTGTGTTGAATTGAAAATTCCGGATACAAATGGTGTGAGCACTAATCATTGGGAAGAAGTAACATTGTATCAATTTTGTATAAACTAGTCATGATTTAGGAATATCAAGTAAGAATAGAACCACATACTAGTAGTATATGGAAAACTCCAAAGGTGAGAAACGTGGCAATTCGTGTATTTAAAAAAAACGCTCTTGTAGAGATATGTCCCGCGCTACACAAGCTTGTTCTAATAGAATGTTTATGAAATAACATTTATTCCATCACCGGCGTTGTTCAAACAATTAAAAATCCAGTTAACAAAAGATTCTCTCATTTGAATAAAGACATTTGGTATAATAAATATACTGTGTGTTTGAAATGTGACACACAACCAGAATAACTACGTCAACAATGACGTTACTCTTGAAAGAGTTGTCAGGAACATCAACTCCGAAAGAAAAAAAGATTGAGGAAAAGCGGGAGGTAAAGCATATGAAGTAATGGAATCACATTCGTAGAAGTCGGTTACCTCAGCAGAGGCCACAAGAAGCGGGACAGTTTTTTCTCATATAATTCATGAATATTCCTTCACAGAATCCTGCGCTCTTCCAATGCGTACAAAAGTGTTTTCTATCGGAGCATTCGTTAATGGATTTTGTGGTGGTTGCAGAAGAAATTGGTGTAATAGTGGTGGTTGTTGTAGGAACTTCAGCCGTTGTGGTCGTGATGAAGACGGGAACGGTCGGAGCCGGAGAACGCGAACGGACGACCGCTCTGAAAGCCTGTGGTTGACTTTAGAACGTGTTAAAAACCAAGCCATTCAGGGACAAAGTGGGAAGTGTGTGTTGTGACATGAGTAATGTTTGTAAGTGTGCTATCTAAAGCGTTTTGGGTATGAGAAACGGTTAGTATAACACTCACGGTGGAAGAGTAACAAGTGGTCTAGTGGTGACCACAGTAGGAGCTGGTCCACTATCCGGAATTTCAGTCGGAGGGGGCTTATAACAAAATCCACAACTTTTGGCACAATAGGATTTCATGAAGTTTTGTGCGATTTTGCAGTATCTGAATGGCAATTCTAATAACAAAAAATTATGTGAAAAGTACCTTTGTGAAACCAACACCAAGCAGTCCACACGAAGATCTTCGCAATCATCTGGGGTGGTTGGAGGAAGCGACGGGACTGGTGGTAAAGGTTGTGAGGGCAGGGTGACTGGTTTTTGTGCTGAAACTTAAGAAAAATAGGAAAAAAAGAAAAATGAAAGTGAGTAGTGAAATGAAACTCGAATCACTTTTTTGAGTAGTAGTAGTAGTTGGTGTCTGAGTGACAACGACAACTGGTTTTGGTGCCGCAGTTGACTTTGTCGGAATGCACATTCCGCATGAAATTGGGCAGTTAGCTCTCATCCATCCAGGGTTCCTAATGCACCAGCCTGTAGTAAAGCTATGAGATAAATCGTGTGTATTTCACATGGAAAACCTTGTTTAGCCAAGTCATCGCAATCTCCTCTGGTGTTTCTGCACTCGTTCGGCTTCAATGGAGACACTGTTTGAACGACTGGAGGTTTGACAGTATTAACATTAATGACAGGCTTGATAGTTGTTGATGGAGCTGTTGTTGAAGCAATAATTGTTGGTTTCTCTCCTTCTTAAATAAAAATTAAATGCGTCAATAACGAGTAAACATTGACATACCAACTGGGCAGCCGTATAAAGTATTAATCTTGAACTTGTCAACTTTTGAAAACCCATTTCTTTGCCCAATTTGAGCTCCAGATTTTTTGGGAACCATTGTTGGTTGACCGTTTCTCGAAAACGCTTTGGTTCCGTAGTGCATAATACTTCCATAATCATATGAAGTTCCCAAAGATTGAATAGTTCCATGACCATACTTTTCGAATTGCCCTTGCATTCCAGCTTGAATATTGTTCCACATAATAGTGATATGATCATCTCTATCCGTTCGGGATTGCTCGTGGAAAAAACCAACTGCGTGCATTAGTTCGTGAAGTATGATTCCTTTTTGAATGCACCCTGATCCCAAGGACAACGACTGTTTTCCGCCTGAACTTTCCATCCTAGTTCAGAAAACGTTTTTCTTCACTAACCCATTTTTCCAACCATAGAATAGCATCCTCTATCAGGGTAAATATGGACGTAGTTTATGTCACTTGCTTCTTTTGGGACCCATTGAATGCAAGTGTGCGTGGCATAGTCCTGCATCGATGCAGCAATAAGTGAGCGGCTAAAAAAAGGAATCCGGATTTTTATATTTAGGCTAGCGCTTTTTTCCTCAGTTGACCGGTGTTAAATTTCAAATCTAGTCTTTATTTGCACAGACAAAAATGCGAAAACTTCAACCTTTGTCCGAATGTTGAAATGAGATACAGACGCTTTTATTACCTGTACGAACTGTACTGCGATGAGATTGTGTATGGAATACGTCCATTTGGCCATAATTGCAGTCTGTTTTTAATGGCATTATACCATTTCCCGTCTTCATTTTTTCCTGATCCTCCATTCAAGAAAAGCTCCACAGTTGTCGCATTAAGCTTTAAAATTGAATAGATTACATTTGTCTAAGACGTCAATGTGTTTACGTTGTCATTGGCAATGTCTCCTTCAAATCGTTCTTTACTGTACATTGCATCTGAGTCCCAAATGTCACCGTTGTCGTGGGCCATTGCTGCAGCAATGCGTGTTCCAAGTTCAAAATCCTCCGGTGTAAGCACTGTTTCATATTCGGAATGAGAACGGTCAAACTGAACAAAACACACAATTTCAAACAAAAACTGACGCACTTACAAAGTTCTCATCGTTGAGAGGAGGCAATTCCGGTGGGATGTCATAGGGTCCTTTTATCACGGCATACACTGGAGCCAGTAGCAATATAAGTGCATATTCTCTCATTTTTGGACAGTTATCTGAAATTCATACAAGTTTGTAATGCATTAATTTTTCTCGGTAACAGATACATCCACAAACATCTTCAAAAATTTTGAAGTAAAAGAGGAATAGAGAGAATGTTCAATTACAGTGCTCAGCTGGCAAAGCAAAACGCTTCAAAGTGTTGGAAATTGGTTTGAGCGAGCTGTAAAAGGCTCATAATATACACAGCAGAATAAATAAGAATTTGCTTTGATTTTCCGGTTTTTTGCTCTTTTCCAGTTTTTCTGGTCTCTCCTATTATTGCACACCCATCTCGCTCATTCTGTTTGCTTTGAAATGAGCCAACAAAAAGTGCGGTTCGCAGTGGTCACTAAACATTCAGGAACAATTGTTGATGGATAGCAAAATGAGTTTACAAGCTCACTTATCCCTGCAATAAGAACATCTAGTCTCCAAAAAGATGCAGAGGAATACGGTGGAAAAAATGTTGCACCCATGGATGAAAAGGAGAAACGAATGAAATTGAGTATCCGGAGGAATCAAATCGACCTTGTCGGTTTCCTCCACTTTTTAAAACTAAGAGATGTGCACACTATAAAACAAGGAGGTAGCTCTCTTTTGAGGGCGGGTTTTGCCCCACCCTAAGACAGGGCTATGTCTATATCGGGCCGGTTCGTCGAGCGGAGAAAGAACATGATGACAGTGCGCCGTAGAAGGATGAGCTCTTTTCTCTTTCGCGTTTATCAGTCTAATCACTCGAAATCACGACTCTGCGGACGAAAAAACACACATGTCTTTCGGTATTGGGCGAAAGATGAACAAAAAACAAAAGAGTGCACGGAGGTCATGCAGAAAATCACTTTGAAGCAAAAATTACTGGAAGAAATCTGTGAATGTTTCCGTACAATCCAATCAGGTATCGTTTATCAAAAATGTTGTTAAGTTGTGAAATAATTCATCAATGATTATTCAAAATATTCACCAAAACCACTGAAAGCAAGAAGTAAGTATTGTCATCATCAGTCATCACAATATTGAATTAGAAAAGTTTTCTTGGTTTTTCCATGAACTCCTTGAAGACATCTGCAGCATCATTCGGCAAAACATTTATAATTTCTGCGTGTTCGAGAAGAGAATCAAATGTTATCTGCAAGCGAATTTAAGCAGATTTAATCGTATATATGTTAGTGTTACCTTGCTGAAAAATATTTTCGCTTCTGGGTCCTGCCTGAAGACACATTCTCTTGGTAGTTTTTTCTGTAAAGATTGCTTCTATTTTTTAGTTAACATTTCTCAGTTCACTAGTCCAATAAACGGTACGTTATTGTTTTGGTTTTTCAAGTTTGCTGTTTGCAAAGAGTCACACTAGACAAAGTCTATTGCTTTGTTCACGTTCTCCTTTTCTTCCTGATGAGGAGCGCAAATAAATTTCTCATCTATATCCAGTACACTGGGTGGCCTTGACACTGCAAACTGACCAGATCACGAAACGAACGTCTGCCCTCGGCTTTTATTTTTCTACCCTTTTTCGGCGGCGCTCGGCGCAAAACGACGAATACTTTGTGTACTCAAGGAACCGAACTCGCGCTGAGGTGTTCTTCAGAGAGTTCCTGCAATGTGATAGGAAACCGTGAGCAAATGGCCCGAGCAGATGACAAGACTCTTGTTACTTAGAGGACATATATCAGAAATCGTGTTTTTCATTAACGTCATTATTGTAGATACAACTACCTCTTTGCAGACGGCAGCTGAATGTTTTCCGTCAACAAATGTCTCTTCGAATACCCATTGATCCAAAAGTTTTCCATCTTCCAGGACAGTAGTAGAGGTAACAAATGAACCTGAAAATCTGTTCAGTGTACAAATATGACCTTTATCAATACCGGGACGATAGCGATCTTGCAAGTTTACGCGAAAATCAAGGCTGTTGAGAGTGTTGGTGATTCCCACTCCAGTGGCCTTCAGTATAGCTTCTTTGAGACACCAGTAACGATAAAACATAGTCATCTTCATGGCTTCGGTTGGCTGAGATCGCATCATTCGAAGCTCTTCCGGGGAAGCAGATTTGGCCATTGAGTTGATATATTCGTCTGCGGTTTTGTTGTTTCCTGCAATGAGTAGGCTATCATGGATCATTAAAATGATTGATTACTTTGAGTATCCAATCGCATAATATCAACTCCAACGTGAGAAGAGCAGCTGCTGGCAAAGGCAACGTAGTCTCCCTGTACGAATCTATAGAAAAAAGACAGACACGATAGCATACCTGATGCGAAGTATTCAATCCAAACTTAGTGTCGGCCGGTGAAACCAGATATGGTTTTCCCTTCTCTGTCCGTTCAAACTTGATGTTTTTCCATGGCTCTCCAGTGAACTTCTGAGCAGCATAACGATACAAAAGACGCGAAAACAAGCTAAGTAGCGCATCCTCACGATGACGCATTTCGGGAATTTTTTGAAATTCTTCTTCGCTTATGCATTGCACGGCCTTGCGAAACAGTTTTTGAAACTGTAAAACAAGATATGGGATGTATATGTTGAAAAAAAATTTCGCCTCACATCATCTCTTTCAAAAGAAGCTTGCAAGCTGATTACCCAGCGATTGCATTTACATTGCGAACTGAAAATTTGTGATGAAAATCAACAACAGACGCAGATCTTACTGTTCAGCCATTTCATCCGGATGTTTCGCACAAATACAAGTTTGCAATGTTCGACTGGCGGCTGACCTTGTGCCGAGTGGTGGCCGTGCTGCGTGGGCAATAGGAGAATGAGGAAAGAAGAATGGTCGTCAGCAAAGGAGGGAAAATTGAGGGCAAGGAAAATAGGCCAATCAAGATAAGTGCCATCATTCAGGATCGTTGTTATCAACACAGACAATCGTGTAAAGTGCCTCCGATTGAAAAGAATTTCAAACTTTCTCAGTGCAAGATAATAATTCGTGAAGTTTATTTTAAAAATGTATGGTAAAGATGACAGTTCATTCATCAATGTCTTTTGCAATTTTTCTGACTACGCGTTGCAGAGTTTTGATTTTCTTATCATTTTTCTGAAGAACATCACTTGTCTCATCCATGAACCTCATAACGTTGTTTTTGAATACTTGGAATTGACTGGACCATAGACGGAATGTTTCGGCTGCAATAAAATCTGTTTGCTTCAGAAAAGGGATTCAGATCTTAGGTTGTTTGTCAGAAATTATTATGTCAACTATAAAAAAACGGTGAAGCCACTTTCTAAATTTTTGAAGTACATAAATGAAAAATAATGAAAGACTAATACAAACTTTATTTTTAGTGAATCGCTGAATCATTATAGTTGCAAATTTTCTAGGAGTTTTTATTCAGATTGTCATTTCAGGTTTGATTAGTAAACCTTCAGACATATATTTAAATACCAATGTGAGCCAAAAAAGAGCTCACCTTGATCTTTCTGCACTCTAGCAAGGGCGACCAGAGAATCCATGCTTCCCACAACTCCGTCATCTTTTGAGGAACTCTCATTATTTTGATCTTGTGTGCGAACTCGTTCTTTGAAAATTCTTGACGAAGAAACTTCCTGGAACGAGTTTGTTCCTATAAACTTTTGAAACGCACGTCGAAACTCACGGCTTGCAGCGCAACTGCCAGAGAGAAAAGAATCACAATAATATGATGCTTCATTCAGATTGCAGAACGAGTTTTTCCTTAGTGCTTTCCATTTTATACTGTTTTCCTAATTGAATTGCATTCTCCTCTGTCCGCCTACGTGAAAGCTTTTATTGAGAATGAAAATGATTGATTCGAAAAAGCAAAAAACAACAAATAATACTAACAACCCGATGATTTCGATTACCTATTGCTGTTTTCAAAAATGAATAAGACACATACAATTTAATCACAAATTGTCCCATATATAATGAAAAAGGTAGGGAATATGGATGTGTTATAGTTATAGGCAAGACATATGAACAAAGATATCTCAGACAGGTTAGTAAAATCGTTTTCTTTGTCTTTCGTTCTTTTTTTGGAAATATATAAAGCCGAATCCCAAACCGGCAACAAGAACGATAATTCCAACAATAATCAATGTGATCGTTCCAACCCAACCAAGGCTGGACGGTCTTGCATCATCACTGTGATCTCTTGGTGATGCTGTGAACTGAGCATGTGGAACCACATTTCGTCGATCCGCCTGTAATATACCGGTTTTGATTATTATAAGCTTTGAAATAAACTAACAGTTTGAAAATTCAGAACATCTTCAGTTGTTTTCATTAGATGAAAATGTTACTGTCTGTACAAGTTTGAGATTTTATTACTACAAAGATTATCCGTTAAAGGAGGACTGTCACTGAAAAGTTAGGTCTCAAGCTGCTTATACCATTGAATAGAGCGGCAAAAATTACATCAGGTTGGAGCACATCCTTTTTCTCACAACCCATATTTAGAAAACTGCTTCGTGACACCAGATCAGGCCCTGAATATGGGAAAAACGAGTTACTGCAGCCTCGTGTAACTTTTGGCGCTCTATCCATTGGAATAAGTAGCTTTGGCACTAATTTTTTATTGAGACGCTTCTTTTAAACTAGAGTTTTTTAAACACTCAAGTAGAAAGTTATGTAGAAATTTTACAGCTCACCTCTCCAATGCGTTCCACATGAGCAAATTCTTGCTCAAACATCTTAACCGACACAACATCATGACCATCAGACAAATCGCCAGTAGCTGCGCTAACACCGAAAAAGTAGCCAGTCGGAAGTTGAACATTGTTGACGCTCATGCAAAGATTCCAGACGCCTTTGTTTTCAATGTCCGTGAAAATCTGAAAGTGAAATTTGCATTGTGTGTAGCCAATAGTAAACAGTTTACCGAAAGAGTGTCTCCAACATATCTAATGAGGAGTTGAGTGTCATGGTCTTTATTGCGGAATTTAGCTGTGCATCCAGTATTTTCTCCTCCGAGTTGCGTATGAGTTCCATCTTTGTCGTGATCGTAGTGTAAACTTCCATCAGATACCATTGCGGAAATGAAGGGATGTCCGTGCTGAATTGTTTTCCACAATATTTTTTTCAATGGATATTTTACAATAGAGATTTCAATCGCAATAGAATCTCTTAGTCTTTTTTTCTGTTTGCACGCATTATCTTGAGCGTTGAAAACTTACGACCGGGGCTCTCGAAATCGAAATCTTTGCGCTCAAAATTCCAAAACTTTAAATTTGGTTCCGATATAGCATCGGATTTTTCCGAAAATTCGCATATTCCGAGAAAGCCTGCTTACGACACTCAGCAACCTTGCTTTGTAATTTGCTGACTTCGAAATGGAAGCCAAAAATTCAAGATGTCGCATTTCCGTACATCTAAATTTTTGTGTACAAATAGTTTTGAGTCTTAGCATAAAAAGTTACATCTTCGAGGAAAATTTTGCAATTGGCAAAAAAGTAGTCAGCGGATATATTATATGTATTACACTTTTCCATGATCTATCAATCGAACTGTTCTTTTTTAGACATCCCGTATTCAAAATCTTGTCACTAACCTGATGAGGGCCATTGTGATTGCTGTAGGTATCCAAGAATACTGCAAGTCCACGGAAATAGTCTTTTCCACCAAAAACTGGTCCAAGTTGATTTGGTTCCGAAGTGTACCAAATGGCCATTCCATCTCCAAACAGATCTCCTGTGCTTCCAGTTACTTTGAACGAAACTTGAAGCTCCCAATCACGGGACCAAACAGGCTGAAATAAAATTTTGTTTGAAAAAAAAGAGACTATTAGGATTAACCTGCGTGTTCCAAAGACCTCCTGCTTTGCTTTGGTCATCACCAGTCAGACGAATTTGATTGGATGTGATGAAAGTACTACCCACAATGTTCCAATGTGGAATTTCAACTCCAGATCCTGATAAAAACAGTTTTTGATAGTGTTAAAAGATTCACCTCACCTGTGTAAGGCTTGATTAGAGAGTGCTCTCGCTTGTAGTATCCTCTGAATTCATGAACGGTTTGGCCATTTATGTTCTCAGCCAAAATTTCAGCAGCCGTCGGAGCTGTTCCTGGTGGTTCTTGCGATAAAGCGGATGATATAAGCAGAAATGCAAATAGAAATTGCATCACCTGTAAATTAATCAGTAATGTTCTGTGAGATATGTGCAACTAGCAAACAAAAAGTAAAAGGTATTTAATGAGAGATTGAAGTCATGTAGTACAAAAAGTGTGAAATTGAATGTATAGCAGTGGAAATGCGCTCCAGTAGACACCTGCAGCGAGAGATAGAGAACGAGTGTTACCGTAGCCAAACTACAACTCCCCGTCTGCGTATCTCACGCGTCGATGTTGTGTTATGAGTTCACTCGAACAGCGCAGCAACCATACGCAAAACGCGCACAGTTTTACACTAGATTGTGGTCATATTCGCACATTACTTATCCATCCACAAAAAATGAACTATTTTTCAGAGAAATGAACGTCTTACTTGTCGCTTTGCTGTTTGCAGTAGTTAATTGTGCTGATGTCGGAACTCAAACAAAGGTATTTCTTCTAGAAAATAGAAAAAAAGCATAACATTAATATCAGGATGCCTTTATTCTGGCACATAAGCAGCCACTGTCGACTTATGCTGTGGAAAACATGGATCTCGTGCTCGAATACGGTTTGTACAACGTTGGAGACAAGCCAGCACACAAGGTAGTGCAAAGTTCAAATATTTCATTGAGAAAACAAATAATTTTACAGGTTACTCTTGATGATCGTCACTCCTTCCCAACCAACTCCTTCGAAATCGTGAAGGGTCTTCTTCACGTTCACTTCGAAAACGTTCCAGCCAGAACTAACGTCACTCACTCGGTTGTCATTCGCCCGAGATCGTTCGGATATTTCAACTACACTAGTGCTCAAGTCACTTACTACACTGACAACGAAAACCTTCATGTCACCTCTACCAATGCTCCTGGAGAAGGTAAAACACCAGCGTTTGTACTTCTTACTCCAACTAAGACTTTTTCAGGATATATCTACCGTCAGCGTGAATACGACAGACGATTTGCTCCGAAGTACACCTTCTTCATTGTTTTCCTTGCTCTCATTACCCCCACAACCCTCGGATCTTTCATTCTCTTCCATCAATCCAAATCTCGTTTCCCAGCAGTTATCAAGAAGAAAGCTATTTAGATCAAGCAATAGTTGCACAAGTTTCCTGTCTTTTTTTTTTTAATTTAAATTATTGTAAGTTTTGCATTGTTGAACAAGTCAATTTTAAGAACTGTCGTGTCCTAATTGGGCAAAATTTCTACATTGAAAAATTGAAATTAAATGCACTCTCTTCTGCAAATGTTTGTGTTATTCCGATTTACTGGTCTGTCAAAAGTGTTTTTATTTGGGTAATAAATATTAGTTGTTACAAAAACAGAGCAAATTCCGAATTTCGATTGTACATAAAATAATTTTAAAATTCAGAAATTTGCAATGAACAGCTGAATGCGTTTTTCGTTTTTAAGAACGCGTCCACGTGCTTTGCTGAGCTCTTCCTTTATATCGTTTATTTCTTTTTGTAAGTTAGCTATTATATTATAAAGTCTGAAAAATATCTTTAGCTTACGTAACCAGTCTAAAATACCTGCTGCTGTCCCCATAGCCTGCTGCTCTTTTGTTCTGATCTTCTTGTTCATTTAGACGTTGTTCACTTCTCCATCGTTCCAACTCTTTTATCATAGATTCAATATCATCCTGTAATAAAATGTATTCACTTTTTCAAAATCTGCTCCTCACATTTGCAAAATCGAAAAGACGAGCGAATGGATATGCAGAACGAGTCAGATCTTGTAATTTATCCTGTAGCGCTCGCACTTTTGCTTTCTCCACCGACATCGTACGGTCCGCGTCTAAATTGCCTTCATGATCTTGAGTTGCTCCGTCTTCAATTTCGGCTTTTTTGTCAATTATTTTTTGAACTAAAGCTCCTCTATCTTCTTCATCAACCGCTTCAATATCGATTACAGGGTGCTCTTCCTCCTCATCGTTCTCCATAATGAAGTTTTCGGCATGTTCATTGATGTCATTTTTTTCGTCCTCATTTATTATTTTTGATTTCAACTCGATCACCTGCAGAGTTATCAAGTTTTTAAACTTTAATATGCTTTTGTTTACTTCTTGGGGAATTGCATCCACATTCGCGATTTGTTTTTTCTTTAGTTTAGGTGGAGCTGGTCTGGACGCTGCTGTTCCTGGTCTGCCCATTGATGTCATTGGTCTACCTCCGGCAGCTGCTGTCGTTGGCCTACATTACTCATTCAATACTAAGTGTCAATTCACAAATTTACCTGATGATCAGAGGTGTGTCTTCTAGTTTAATTGGACTTGATGTGACTTCTTCCCCCATTTCTGAAGGCATCAATACTGGTTGTTGCATTAAATATGTCTCGACATTGTTTTCACTCTGTGAGTTAGTCAAAAGCGGTGGTCCGACAACTTCTTGATCATTATACCCTTCATCGGGAGGATTATCAATGTCATTGTTAGGGGTACCAGGAGCATCTCCGTTTATTGCTATCATTGAGTCTGCCCTTTTGAGAGCACGTACACTTGAAATTTTCTTGCTTTTCTTCGGTATTTCAATTGCGTCCGTCGATTTTGTATTTGTTTTTTCTTTAGAAGATTTTCTTTCGGATGACTTGTTACGTTCTTTAGAAATTGAGTTTGGCTTCTTCTTTTTCCTCTCTTCAACAGGTTTGTCGTCAGCTTTGCTACTGGTTTTGCTTTTCTCTAATTTTTCATCATGAACTTCCTGAGATTATAAAATTAGCTTAGCATAAAAACTATAATGAAGATCTTACTTTTTTGCTTTTTCGTTCTTTGCTCAATTGTTTCTCATCGTCTTTTGATTTTTTGCTAGACTTTTTCTTAAGTATTTTGGGTTGAAAACTCGCTGCATTTGTTCCAAGTTTTTGCAACATCTGTGGAGTGACATAACGAAAAGTTAAGAAAAGTATATTTAACTCACTTTATTAGTTTCTTCAGCATCTTTTCCAGAAATAATTTTGGCTGCTTTCACATTTTTTAAACTACCATCATCCAAAATGTTAATGAGTTTCTCTAGAAAAGCTGTCTTTGAGTTTTTATCAGAGCCTGCACTGGACAGGTCTTCTTCCGAAAACTCATCCTGAAATTTAACTTTGTTAAGCATTAGTTTCATTGCAATATTTAAGTTGACCTTTAAATAACCTGTTGCCTTGATTACACTGTTAACAATGTCCACAATAAACTTAAACGGCGGTCGAGATAATAGTTGGTCTGTTAATTGTGGTTTTTGAATAAGTGCCGCAAATATTTCCTGTGTTTTTTCAACACTCATCCGAACAGCTGTAAATATCATTCTCATAAATGAAAACCTTTTTTTCCAATTTAGCACTGAATTTACGTGGAGAGCGGTAGAGCGTGATTGCCAGACTTCTGCGGTCGCGATATATATATATATATGTATATGTATATATATATATATATATATATATATATATATAAACTCTGTTTTAGGTTGAGACTTGGCTTGGTTTTTGCCTTCCGTTCTGCTGCGCTGTGCGGACAACCAAAGGGATGGACAGACAGACACCTTACGTGTTTATATATAAGAAAAAAATATAGATTTTTGAAAAATTATATATTTGTAAACACTAGGTTTAAGAGCTCATATGAGAAAAAGTAGTACGAACTGAATAGCAAAGCTACAACAGCAACGCGTTCTTGTGGTCGTCTAGTTGCTATGGAAACGTCGCAATGCCTGCGTCAGAGAAGGAGTGAGAAATAAATTGCAGAGCAATGCAGCACAATTTGTGTTTGCTTTTAAAAATTCTGCAATTGAAACCGGCTCGGAAGATGCAAATTGAACATAAAAAATTAATTTTATAGAATTATCTTGTTAACATTTTATTTTTCAGTTCAGCCTATCTCTTCGAACAACGAAGGTTCAATTTTACACTTAATAAAAATTTTATACTCGTTTCCAACCCCATCTCACATGTACTATCGGAACATTCAACACTAGGCCTCGGTGATCACAATTGAAGGGGTTTCTCAACAGAGCGTTTTTGCTTTGAATTCCCACAATTGTGGGTTTACCCATTTTTCACTTCACTTTTTCAAAATAACCGCAGCGGAATGCAGTGAAAAGCAGCGAAATACACATTTTGCCGCTTCGAAAGCCTCAAAATGTCCCTCTCGTCCTACTCTTTTTCCTCTTTTTCTCTGTCACTGAAGCTCTACTCTAGTTGCACCTCCACACTGCCATAACAGGCCTGTTTCTCTCGGCCTCACACTTGCTCCTTCTCTATAATTCTCTTTTTCGTTACTCTTTCTCTTTCATCCCTGCCCTATTTGTCTCCTCATTTCTGGCCTAACGAACCAATTCCACACATGATAATTGCGTGCGATTTCCAGTTTAATTTTCATTAACACTAAGATTCATAGAAGCTGATTTATTTGAGACTTCAATTACCAGGCGAAAATTTATATAAATCTATTGTGCATTTGCTAGAGTCGAATTTCTACTTTTGACGTATTCTGACTATATTTTTGACTTCAAACTGCATTTTCAGTATCCACCAATGCGTTTGTGATGACCGACAAAGAAAAAGAACTTTGTCCTCGCCTCATTGACTTTCTAGTCATTGTTGGAAAAAGAAATAGAGTTAGAGGGCCAAGTCAAAGCAGTCCAGATGCCACAAATGATCCGACGGTCACATATCCAGAAATTCTACGACGCTATCCTACCGATGACCACAAAGACTTTATATTGCCAACAGATGTAACTGTTTTTTGTCAGCCGGAAGGTTGCATTACTACAAGTGAGTGTTTTATTGCTAGTTAGAATTTTCTCTCAAAACTGTTTGGTGTTATTTTCAGGTGCGCGTTCTCGTAAAAACATCCGGAATGATCCACAATTTTTTGTATTTATGCTTACTGAAAAAGATTCTGCAAAAATCCGCTATGGAATCTGCTTGAACTTCTATCAGTCTTTCGAAAGAAGATCCACTCCGAAAGAAGAAAAAACATTTGCAGATGATGTTCACCATAGAAAGTAGCCAACACATTTACAAAACAGATTATTATAATTTATATCCTTCCAGAAGAGATTTTCATGTTTCATTGACAAGTCTATGCTTCATCTCACACCATCCGTTTGTTTCAATATTTCATCAAGTGCTTCTGCTCTTAAAGCGTGTCATTGACAGCTGCAATCATAGAGCAGCCCAGAGAACTGGACATAAGTATACAAAAATACTTTTATTTTTAGCGTATAGCTAAATGTTTTGCAGAGATATCGTCTGGGCGATTGTCACCGGGCATTATAATGACCAAATACCGCCAGAAGTTATGAAAGAAATTAAGGAAATTGAAACATGGATTCTCATGTTGTTGAGTTCTCCTGTTCCAGTTCCAGGAAAAACAAAAGTTCAAATTGAGGTGAACACTTGATTACTCTTGATATCGATATAAAAGTTCAACACTTACAATTTAGGTAATGCCACAAGATCTTTCGCAAGTGTTCGAGTTTGCCCTTCCTGATCATACAAGGTTCACTTTGATTGATTTTCCACTTCACATTCCATTCGAACTCCTGGGTATAGATATGGCTCTACGAGTTTTAACAGCGGCAATGCTCGAATTCAAAGTAAGATTTAATTACGATTTGTTTCTGACTTCAATTTTTATTGTATTTCAGATTGTTATACAATCTCGGAACTACAATGCTGTAAGCATGTGTATTCTCTCGATTGTTGCTCTACTTTACCCTTTGGAGTATATGTTTCCTGTCATCCCTTTACTTCCTGCCTATATGCCATCGGCGGAGCAACTTTTGCTAGCACCAACGCCTTTTCTGATTGGTGTTCCTTCATCATTTTTCCACCACCGTAAAATCCGAGAGCTACCTCCGGATGTAATTCTGGTTGATCTTGACACTAACTCGCTGCAAGTCCCTGATGATCTATACATTCCTGATCTTCCCGAGCCCGACGTTTCGCAGTTGAAAGAAAAGATAAAAAATGCCATCAACAAAATGACGACAATGACTATTGATAATGAGATCAGTTTCACTGACGCAGATCTGGGAATTGACATCGACAGTGTCGACGTTGCTTGTAGGGTGGCTATGGTATGCGGTTTTATTGTACGCTTATTCATACTTTATTTCAGGTTCAATTTTTCAATTCAGCAAACATTTTTGGCAACTTTAGTGAGCACACTCGGACTCTCCGCTTGTATCCTAGACCTGTGGTATCCTTGCAAACGGATTCGTTCTTACGCAGTCGCCCACAGTGTACACAGTTCATAACCGATTTGTGTCGTACCCAAGCTGTAGAGTATTTTGCCGAGTGTTGTCTTTGTCCTAAAAATGAGACGTTTGTAAGAGTTCAAGCAGGAATAGAGAGCGCTGAACAAGTCGGGGATAAGCCGAAATGGTTTAATGAATCACTCATGCCTGTTCATTTCATGGTGACTCAGAAGAAAGGTTTTCATAATGAAAAACAATTTTTTACAGGTGTATCCTAACAATTCAACACTTGACTCTGCCATCCGCGTTTACAACACTGAAGTGGATGTAGATGACATTGAGGATGAGAATCCAACTTCCACCGAAAGTTCAAATAGCATTGACGATTTTGTATTTGATGATAGCCAAACAATGGGTAACTTGTACTTGCAATCATAGAATTGTTGTAATGATGCATCTTCCAGCAGACGTTGGAGAGGTTACGAAACCATTGGCGGAAGTTAATTATGTTTACAAAGAACCGATGACACTGGAGTTACCTCCAAGTGAAAGTGCTGTTTCTATTGGCAGTTCTTTGAGTAGCGGCCGTAGCAGCCCTGATTCTTCGCTTTCTACATCGGCAGTTGATAGTGAAGCTGATTTTGCAAGGCTTGCTGAGAATCTTGCTTTGAAGTCTAATTCACAAGGCGCATTTTCTTTCGATCATGGCAGTGACTCTGAATACGAATCAACGCCTGTTTCACAGAGAAGAAAAACAATCCACAATCCACAAGGAAGTGAAACATCGGATACCCCAACTAGTCGGGGATCATTAAAATCTGGATTGAGAATGAAGGTACAACATTCTCTTAAGGAAATTTTTAAAACCACTTTTCAGGGGTTCTCAACGTTGACCGATTCTGGTGAGAAAGTTCTCGGACCGTCCTTCATGAACACAATCAACGGGTATGCCGAAAAAAGCCAAAGCGTGTTCAGTCAGGTTTTCATATATTTTTACAACAAATTCCAAAAATAATAACTCAGGTGATTAACAAAACTGCTCCCAAAGCTCAAGCCCTAAAGGAACGAACAATGAAACCTCTAGCAAGCAAGATTGAACAAAGCCAGCACATGGTTCGATCGAAAGCGTTGCCAAACCCCACTAGCCAGCAAACAGCAAATCAGCAAAGGTTACAAAAACACACGCACATTTTGCATATTTTATATTTTAGTAAGAATCAACAGACTGTGAAGGAATTCTGTGATCAAGCTTTAGCCGGACAAAGTGTTGGTATGTTTGCAGCGCCGAAGCTAAGACGGTTGATGGAAGATGAAAGTCTTCGCGAATTAGTGTGTTCCAAACTGAATCTTGGACTTGACGTAAAATTATCGGAAGATGAGTATGTGAAGGAAGTGGTAAGATCCAAGAAAAGTTGCAGAGAATTCAAACCAAACATTTCAGCAATTAACAAAAGGACAGTTTAAAGCTTACGTCAAAATATTGAAAGCCTGTTTGGAAGGCATTGAAATGTCATTCAGCACTCCGGGATGTTGTGGATTTGCAAGTGTGTTTCATGTTCTTGAAATTGCTCACACTCATTATTGGGCAATGGGTGGCGGTGAAGTAATAACACCAAGCAGTTCAGTTCCGAGCACGGTTGGTTGTCAATCTATCTGTCTTTAAAATTAATTTTCCATACTCTTATAATTGTAGATGACAACTCCTTCGGAACACACTGATGAAATGTTCAAGGATTCACAATCTCGAACAAAGCTGCCTGCTTCAGCGATTGACCTAAGAACGCCAACAAAACCTCTAGGACAAAGTGCAGTGGCAAAGACAGATGAAGAACAAAATACATCTCAAGCGGAAAAAGCAATTGCGGTTCCTCCGCCTATTCCTCCTCGAGAAGCTCCACCAGTACCAAAAAGAGTGCCTCCACCTATAAGTGCGCCCCCTAGATTACCCGAACCACTCAAAACTGCTCCGCCGTTGCCACCAAGACCGAAACAGAAATCGCCTGTTTTAATTTCTCAAACCATACAAAACAAAATAGAACAGGCTGAAGCAAGCTCACCAACATTCCCGGAAGATGTCGACGAACAGACAAAGCCCTTACTAAAACCGAACCCTCCGAATACGCTCTCTGTGGGAAAACAAGAGCCACACAAAGTGCTGCCTACTCCTAGCGAGCCTGTCCGCCACTACATTTACCAAGAGCTTATCTGTAAGATTATCTTTAACACTATTTTTTACAAAAAATAGTTCAGTGGCGATCCAACATCAAATCTGGCAGAATTTGCAATTCTGGGAGAATGCGTTTGTCGATCTGGTTGCACAAGAAAGAGAGATTGTTGGAATGGATCAAGAACCATCAGAGATGATTGACAGGTAGGATTTCATCTTCCTATTTCAATACGTTTCACCATTTTTTGCAGGTACTCAGCGCTCAATGAATCAGAGAAGAAACGGCTTGAGTTAGAAGAAGATCGGTTGCTTTCTACGCTTCTTCACAATATGACTGCATATATGATCATGTGCGGTACGGGACAAAAAGCACTTCAACAAAAAGTGAGACGTCTTCTGGGTAAAGCGCATATTGGATTAGTATGCTCGAAAGAGATCAATAAATTACTTGACGAGTTGCCTGCCACTCAAGGAAATTTCATTCCGCTGAAACCTCTTGGGAGTCGTTTAGTGCAAAAGCAGTCGTTTACTGTTTGCCCAGGTCCAAATGCAGAAGGACAAATGATGTTTATGGAGGTACACAATTTCAAAAAAAAAACACAGTTGATCAGGAAATTAAATAGGTGTGTGATGATGCTGTCGTCCTACGCTCAATCACTGGAGCTGCGACCGAACGCTGGTGGTACGAAAGATTAGTTAATATGACATATTCACCTAAAACCAAAATATTATGTCTTTGGAGAAGACATGACGATAAAGTGCATATGCATAAATTCTACACGAAAAAGGCAAGTCAACATTTTCAGTATGGAAAGCTTAAAAAAACAAAAATTCAGTGTCGGGAGTTATATCAATGCATGAAAACAGCAATGGAGCGAGCTGCAGCGCGAGGAAAAGTTTCCGTCGAAGGAAGAGCATTAGGTGGCGAATTTCCAGTTCACGACACTGAAACTAACCAAGGAGGGTTACTTCAAGTAATCTGCCATTATTACAAATGTAGTACTGGATGCTTTTAAAATTTCAGGTTCGTTGCGATGGCGTTGCTGTAATTTTTGCACACAGTCAAATATTCATTGCGTTATCCAACATTAAAAAATGCAATACATTTGGGGGTAATGTGTTTCTCTTGGAAGAATTTGGTAAGTTTTTCATACATTATTCGTTTTGAGTCAAGTTAATACTTCAGATCGCAAAAAAGAAGAGATTATTCAGAGAAGATATTTCTCTCAAATGGTAAGAAACAGGCAATTTGCTTCTGTTGCTATGGTTTTTGCACAACTTATATATGTTTACATGTAGACATATATTCATACATTTTTTATTTTTCATTCATTCCCTCATATATGTATTGTGATGTTTGTCTATTAGCAGAGTGTTTACAGGCTGTCGATATAGCATGGTCGATGCACCGTGTTTTTAGCGTGCAATTTGCGGTATCGTGTCAAAAAGCTGCACCGGATTTTGACAATGACAATACTGTCATACTTGATGTAGTCTCTTCCTGACACATTTCTGCAATAATTACTATTTTATTTTATCACCTTTGTGCTAACATTTTTTATTAACGTATCATACCAGTCACTTTATTTTTGACCGAGTGTTGTACAAACATGGTTCTTGCACAAAAACCATCGTGGCCACTGGGTAGGTGAAACATGCTTCATCTCAGTTTTTGTGAACTTTTTTGTTTAGTTTTGTTTCTTCGACTGTTGTTCTGTGCTATTTTACGGAAGGTCTGGGGTTTTAACGTCTGGAATATGCGTCACAGCATTTTTTAATCAGAAATTTTTGCAGGCGGATCAAATTTGCTATGCAGTTTTATGCGTTTTTTCATTGGCGGCAGCAGGTCACAAAAAGGAGGAGCACAGTAAATAAGATTTCCTTTATGTGAAGTGCGGGATGAAAAGTCACCTTCAATTTATCTAAAATATCATAATTTATGCATAGTTATATTGTAATTAGCTTTCTTGTAGATATAATAATTGTTCAGCTTTTCTTGCTTCTCCTTCTCATGTACACCGGAACCTATTTGAAAAGGTGTTAGATTGCCCTTGCAACATTCATTTTTTTTCTCAGTGCATTTTGATTTTTTGTCTCCGACGTTTCCTTTCAACAGTATTTTTCAAAAATTTTGAACTGAAAAAATGTTTTGGTAACGTGAATGAAACCGAAAAATGTTAACTTTTACACTGATGAACTGACTTTTACCTGTAAATTACATAAATAAAGCATTAGTCAATATCAGTGTTTAAAGTAGGCTTCTGTTTTCGCTATTTTTACAGGCACTTCCCATTTTGTTATAGTTTAACTTTATATCAAAATGAATTCCGTTCCTTTCAATTAACTATCGCAACATTTTTCGTCTCTCGAACAATTAAGCAGAAGACCACAGTTTATACCTAGGAAATTGGTTTCCTTTCGTTTTTGATAGTACAATAAAATTATTTTCTGTGGGTTTTCGTTACCGTAGAGAAGAGGGATCACGACGGAAGTGAAATTGATGAATGCAATAAATCGATCACGAGATTCAAAAATTATCTTTTTCTACGAAACAATTATTCTACAGAAAGGTTTAAAAGGCGCTCCAAACAGTTATATTGTCGCCGGTTCTATTGTGTCGCGGTTCTATTCTGCGCAGTTCTATTATGTCGCGGATCTATTCTGCGCAGTTCTATTATGCGTAGTTCTATTATGTCGCGGTTCTATTCTGCCCGGTTCTATTATGTCGCGGTTTTATTATGTCGCGGTTCTATTCTGCCCAGTTCTATTATGTTGGACCGCCATCTAAGTAAGTATCCACTTTGATTAAAAACATTTGTAAGCAGACAAAGAAACATGTGTGTTTCAATAAACAATTAATTGTTGACGGCACTGTTGTAGAATCGTGGACCATTTGGTAAAATCGTGGACCAAAAAAAATTATCGTGGACCGAGAAAATCGTGGACCCGAGAAAATCTCATGGTTTTTTACGAATTTTTTACGTTTGCACAAAGCAGCATGCAACATGGATTTATACAGTAACACAAGAGACTGAACAATTCGTATAGAAGGACAATCACTTTGTTGTAACATAAAAACAATTACTATTATTCATTTAACGTTTTTCGATATGATTAACGATTCCATGAGATGTTCTCGGGTATACGATTTTTTCGGGTCCATGATTTTCTCGATCCACGATAATTTACTTTGGGTCCACGATTTTTCAGTTGCATGAAACCCCCTTTTTTTCGGTTACTTGAAACCCTTGCTTTGGTCCACGATTTTTTTTTGGGTCCACGTTTTTATTCGGTCCATGATTTCTCCAAATGATCCACGATTCTACAACAGTGCCCAAAACCCGGCCGCGGCCGCGACCTTTCCAATTTTCCATATCAGCACAGAAATGACGTATCGAGCGGTAGAGCACTTCTGCGGCTGCAATTGAAATAATTTGTTTTTACAGAAGGAGCTGTATATGCTGGTGAGATTGGAAACATGATTGTCAAAAATAAAATTTTTCTAGTGAGGCCACCCTTAAGACACGTCCCTAAACGCTCTTCAATCATTGTGACACACTCAGCGAATTAAGTGAGCATAAGGAAGTCGACAATGATATGCAAGGCCGGGAAGAAGTCTGCAATTCCCCTGGCTATCTCTTTATTCCTATGGATTTTCTTCTTTTAAGTTCACCGCTTTTAAGTGGTCTTTTTCTTCACTTCTGAGATTTACATTTATTATTCCAGATTGCTTTTTCGCAAGATTTTTCCGTTACCGAAGAGTCGACGAGCCAATCTACAAACTAATTTTTCTCAAGAGAGAAAAGAACTATTTTTAATCAACGAAATAAAGTTGAAGTTCTGCTTCAATTACGATTCGAACATTTTTTGTCATGTACCGCGGTTTTATCATAGTGACTTTGTAGAATTTCTATTTGCGCACACGTTTTCTCTTTCAATCTTTATCTTCCAATTTTGGATCCAACAGAAGGATCAAGATATGTTCATTCTTACACGCTCTCATTGTTCACAAAAAAGGCAATTATTTTCTCAGAGCTCCAGGAGCTATAGTGCACGTTTTCTTGCATTTTTTGTACGTTCGCAAAACAAGCTCGAAGTTTATTCAACACTTTAAAAATTTTTGTTCCTTTTTGATTGGTGTTCAAAACGTCTGAGCTCACAATTTCCTCTCCAATTGACTTATTACGGTATTAGAGAAAAACAGCACATTCCTTTAAACTGTCTGTAGAAATTCACAAAAATGAATGAATTTTGCTCACAAAGCTTTGAATTTGAACTAATTTTGAAAAGGTCATTGTCATGAATATGTATTCTGTACTTGATTTACTCAATTCCAAACTAAGACAGAGCTGAGGAGAGCTTCGACAGGATGATTATGTCATTCAATAAAAAAGTTATGTTCTCATGGAAATGGCCCGTTGAGGAAATATTCAGAGGAAGCTGATATTTCGAGGCGCTTTACTTAGTGATTTTCATTGTTCCCCGACCCGACTTAACTCGTTTGCGTGCAGATTGGTGCTTCATATCGACATAGAACTTGATTTCTCGCTGTGCAGAAACTGAAAAAAATTTTGTGAGGAGAAATTCTCGGTTTACTATCTATCTTCGACGTTATTTTGTACTGACGCAACAATTCTCATTATCTCTGAAAAATTTTGACATATTTTCAAAAATTTGGCTGTTTTTGCTAACCAATGTGTAGAAATATAGAAAAATGTACATATTTGTGCGCACATGGAACAATCTTAAGAGTTTTGGTCGATGTTTATGAAACAATAACAGAAGCAAATGTGCCTTTGCTCCGTTTTTTTTTGTTTTGTCCATATTTTTTCGCACATTTCATATTCCAAATTAATCTAGAAGATAATTATAGAACCAACTAGAAGAGGTGTGCAAACAGTATCATGTTTCGAAAAGCCTAATCCGCGAATCCGAGGTGTTGAATATATCTCTGACATTGGCAGCAATGCCCCTTTTTTAGAGTTTTCAATCTTAGTCGAAGTATGTGGACTCTTTTTTCTAAACTCATAGTAACTGGTTGTCAGGAGAAAAAATACGGGAAACAAATTTCGTCTTAAGATTTTTTTGAACAATAAAAGACTTCTAGTATCTAACCAAGCTGAATTTATTCATTTCCTCGCGGGGTTCTTATTTTTAACGAAACCCATTTTCTTATAGCCAGGAGCAAAAAAAACTTTAATATTTGCTCAAGATTTACCGTCATTTAATGAGAATTGAGAAGAATTCTTATTGAAAACTGAACCTTTGAGAAATGAATACGTATTTTTCCAAAGATGGCAACCTCAACCTTCCAATCTCAACTGAAACACGTGTTTGATTTATGAATAAGTGGCCTTTTGGCTATGTGTTTCTGGCTATGTTCCCATGATATCTTGACACTGTGGGAACACGTCTTTTATGATACTGAGAACAAAAACTTTGTAAAATCACGTATAAAGTTTACTTAATCATCAGAAACTTGCACGGTTTTTGTTAGACATTTTGAAATTCAAAACTTTTCCGTGTATTCGCATAAAGCTTTATAATGGTACTCTCTTTCTCACTTGCATAAACTAATAGCTTTCAGGGAGACAGAACCACAACTACATCCAGTGAAGTTTTTGCGTAACTTTGTTAAAAAAAGACTGTGTACGCCAAAACTCAAACTTAGAACTTAACTTTCATGAAGTTCTCGACTTCAGTCGCAGAAGTACAACTAGTAACCACAACGGCGACAATTCCTGATTTTGCCACAATAATTCAAAGGCAAGTGTTTTATAAATTGACTTTTTGAATACCTTTCTTCAAAGTTTCCTATATAGCCAAAAAATATGTGATGCAGGATCAAAGCGAGATCTAGGCAAACTACGTATTGCGCAGCCGAACTTCACTAATGAACTTTTTTATAAATTTATGATTGACATCCTGGCAGAAAATTGATTCTCTAGATATGATTGAGTATCAACAAAACCGATCTTACTTATAAATCAAGTAACATTTCTGAGATATTCTCAGGAATCGCTCAATTCAAGGAGTGTGGTTTAACGCTTTCTGCCCAATTGAAATTTTAATCAATCAAAATTCGCTGCATGGCATAACTGCTCCTAACATAGACTTTTGTCAGGATTGTTCAATCTTTCCCAGAGCATACACTCACACACACGCACACGGAGGAAAAGTATAAATCTAGGCAGTATATGTTCCAAGTGCTACGTCGTTATGATTCAATTTTAGAAGTATATGGGGGACGACATCTTCAAGTGATATTAGAAAACTCCCCATCTTCTTTTTTTGCTTTTTGTCTTTTCTTTCATGAAAGTTATTCCAGCTCACTTTCTTGAGCCATCCTTTCTGCCTCCTTCTCTTTTGATATCTTCTTCAGGTTACGCGAAGCAAGACTAAGTTATGAGCTGCTTTTGACTCAATACAACTCTCTTTCCGTTTATAGAGCAAAGATTATACACATGGTTTTTCAGTTGTTCTTTGAAGGTAGTAGGACTGTGAGAAGTTCCGTGAATAACATGTTAAGAAAGTTTTGAGCATGGACCTAAACCTTTCAGTTGCTTTTCCATTGCGTATCGTTGCTTTCTTCGTTTAAGACAAAAAAACCTCCACTCAATTTGAATAGTAATCCAATAGAAGCCCCACCCGTTTTCAATTTCACTTCACCTTCTCCAAGCTTTCTCTGTTTTCTTGTTCTGAACTGTGTTTGTGTACTTAAAGAAGACGCCAGTTAGCATTTGGGAGTTAGAACAGCCTGAACAGATGAAGCTCCTGACAGGGTTCTGACAGCAACTATTGATAATCTGAATAACTGATGAACATTAAAATATGCAAAATAATGGAGTAAATGAATATTTACTTGACCTGCATTCTCTTCAATCTTCATAGTATGTGACATTTTTTATATGTTTCCCATAGACATTTTTCTGGAAAAGCGTGATCAAACGTGGATCAACGTCTGGTCATTTCTGTAAGATAAAGTTGATGACAAGATTACGGTAGAATTTTAAGTGACAGCTTAAGAAAGTGAGAACGTTTTCAAATCTTTTGAAAACACTTGTCTCCACAAGATTTTTCGCGACCAACTGAACGTTTTTTCTTCCAAAACACTTCAGTTTCCATGTCATCGACGACAAAATTAGCTTTGAAAATGCTTTGATTCTCTATTTTCCACATCCCAAAACCCACTCAGACGTGCAACTAGCCGTTTTAAATTTTCTCGAAATCGTTTTGCTTTTTTTTGCTCACTTTGTGCATTTAATTTCGAAAGAAAATCCTTTTGACAGCTTTTTTAGGAGAATGAATAAGTTATTAATTGGTTGGTCAAGACATGTTATGTTTTTGCATTCCTTTCTGGTACCTTCTTCCCGTTTTCATAATTTATATTGCTGATACGAATATATTTTCTTATCCACATGGCACGATCGCTTCCTGAATATGCTCCCCTTGCTACGTGTTTTGAAGTGTGTTAGTAAAAAATATCCAGTTTTTCTTATTGATCAGAGTAAACTAGGGTTTTTTAAAAACAATTGAAATACCAGTAAATCTGCTGATTTCTATCTTTCACGATAGCATGTATAGTCACACTGAGTTCGTTTTTGTCCTCATGCATGTTTTCAGAACGTTAGACGAGATTTCTGGAGCCACCAGATCCCATTGAACCTCTCTCTGAATAGAAATACCTAACGTGAAAAGGATGAGAAAAATAGGCAATGAATAGGCAGAAGCTCGAACAAAATCAGTCGAATTGTTCTCGTTTCATGTATTATTGAGTAACGGTGAGAAAGGGCTTTGACACTCTGAGTGTTTCCAAAAAAAAACCTTTTTCATTATTCATTACTCACCCTAGGATCGCACTTTGTTAAGAAGAAATTGGCGTCTAGGTTTCTTGAATATCCTCTGTAAACAGAAGAGTTGTATACGAAAATCAGAGGCGAAATGTTCTGTCTTTCGATATTTTCTTTTTTTCATTCGTTCAAAATTTTCTCGTTGCATCCCCCAATTCTGGTTTTACATTAAAATTACTGAAAAGTATCGTATCGCTCAATTCTCGAAATCATTGTTATTGAGGTTTTTTTTGTACTTGAACATCTGCTCAAAAGTTGTAGAGGTTTACCAAGAGATTACTTCAAAACTCTGGATGGTTCAAAATGATGCATAACCCCAATACCTGATCTTTTCGCAAAGAAGAAAAATCATTTCAGATTTTCAAACACAACTAGCAACTTTTAAGCAGTGCAAGTACACAAACTCCAGTCTCTCGTGCAACAAAATTTACTCAAAAATTGAAAAAGTTTTTTTTTTAATTTTGCTTTTTCTACCTGAAAATTTTCAATTCTCGCACGCAACCCATTCCACCCCCAGCCTGAATCTCAATTTTCATTCACGCCACCTCCAACCGGAAGTGTCTCATCTTTTCCTTTTTCAAACTTGAATTGTTTTGTTATTTAAACACTAACTGTAATTGAGTTTATATTCAAGCAGACTGGTTGGAGCGTGAAATTTGAACTTGTGATGCAACCTGACGAGTCTTGGAAACGGAATGTCTCCTACTTTACATTGCAAGCACTATTGTACGGTTCTTCAGTTTTTGGGGAATTCAGAAGAATTAAATTTTTAAAATCAGTAGTTTTTGAATTATGGGCAATACGTACAAGAAAGTTTTATTGATAATTGCATTTTAAGTACATCAACCAACCGTCGTGATGATTTAATCGCTGTGTCTATCTGGACAATAATGCTCCTTTATGCATTGATTTCAAATCTTCTTATTCTCGCAGGAATTGCTCGGAGTTCAACTATGCGGTCAGCTACCAGGTATGTAAAACTGCTCTTGTACCGAAAGTTTCAGTTTTGTAGTTATTGGTTCATAATATCAATAGCATTATGCGACATTCTTATGACTTTCATATCATTGGGGCACTTGGTACCCGCAACAGCTTTTCATGAGCAGTATGTTCAGTTCAAGTCGATTAGGAATATTGTCATGATATTTTTTTATGACTTGTTTTGGTATACGGGAGTTGTCCAGCTCGGTTTAATGGCGGGAAACAGGTTTTTGAACTGCAAGTCTCCGATCTTCACTAATCTTGTTTCAGATTTGTATCGATTGTGTACCCTATGGAGTACAAGCATATATTTTCACGGGCAAGGTCATTATATCTAATCCTTCTTGGGTATTTTCTCGGTTTTATTGTTTCTCTGCCAACTCTTTTTGATTGCTGTCATACTTTATGGGACTCCAATTACTACATCACAGTTTACGAAAAACCAGGAACATTGTGAGTTCCAGTTTCAGCCTTAATAAGGTTTTTCCTGCCAACTTCAAATCATTCAGGTACAAATATGTGGACATGGCCGTCAATAGCATTTCTCTATGCATGATGATCATTTCATATGCGGTTATCATTTACAAAGTTAGAGAAAGCGGCCGTGCAATGGCTAAATATCAATTAACCATTCGGACCAGGGTAAATCAAAAAAATAATGTGAATTTCCACAGAAAACAGAAACTAATTTTAGCAACAAAATGCGCTTGTTAATGGGGTTTCATTATCTTGTCAAATAAACGACTGTGGGAGAACATCATCGATGAGACCGCCAAGAAGTCAAGTCAGTAAAAAAGAAATGCGCTTATTCATACAAGTAAAGCTCTATGATTTTGAATTCAAAAGAATAATCAGTATTAATTTCAGTTTTTTGTGGTTTCTCTTGTTTTTCTGGTGACGTGGACAACGTGGCAGTGGCTTCCTTATATGTCCGAGTCGAAATGGGCATATTTTGTGATGACATCCCTGTTTTTCATCAACAACTCAGTCAATCCCACCGTTTATCTAATTTTCAATACTCAACTCCGCCGGGAACTCCACTACCTTCTTTGTCGACATCATGCCATCAGCACGGCTCAGAATAAAAGGAAACATACACTTTTCGGGCGGGGAATAGCTGCTTCAAATAAGCTGGAAACGGTTAGACAGTGTTAAACTGGATTAATATCGCGTTTTGCCGGCGTTGAAAGATAACTTTCATTTTTAGTTCACAAAAATCAAAGCGTTTCCACGTCTGCAAATAATGTTTTTTAATCCTGGAGAGAAAGTAATAATAAGTTTACTCGCTCAAATTCTTTCAGGATTTTCAAAATAACACACGAGATGACGCAACGAAATCTTTAGTGGATCAAGCAGGATCCCTTTCCTCTCAATCGCACGCAACAATCGACGAACACGTAAGAGCTCAACTTTTGATTAAGGTTAGCTTTTTACGAGACGGCTTCTCCACATTCGTTATTAAAATTGTAAATTTTTTCGCAACTTTTTTGTTGTTGTTTCAACTAACAGGGAGAAGTCAGTCTCGAAACTTCTTCCCTAACTTTATAAATTCCAGGAAATTCTTTATGTTTAGTGAGAAACAAAAGTGAGTACTGTGTTATCTGTTAATCTGCCTGAAACATAATTTTCGCCAGTATCAAACTTTGTTAAGCGCCTAAAGTTTGCTTTGTCTGCTCTTTTTTCCATGTGTCGTTTAAAAAATTTTGAAAATGTATTTGAATTGCAAGTTAGAAACAAAAACAAAAAGTGGTGTTTTGCAAAGCTTGCGTGAGTCTTATGAGCTCGTTTGATCGGTTGCGGTTCAACTTAGAAATTGACATCTCAGATAGACTAAAATTTGTTTCAGAATATGGATTACGCTGACAAGGATACAAAAATCAGTGCAGTTTGATATAATCAATGAAAAAACATAAATCAATTGTTGACCGGTTATACTGAGTTTATATTGAAGATTATCAAAGACGAAATAAAACAGTTTCTTATAAGTGAAATTTTCTTAAATTTGAATGAATATGTTTCTGTCACTAATAAGTTATTAAACATGCAGTGCAATGGGATTACAATAAAATGAAATGTACTATCTTTCATCTTTATCTTTCTATTCTTTCCAGTGCGAAATGACTCACATTCTACACTCTGAGTTCACTCAACACCACACTCGCCACAATTATCGATTGATCAGTCTGCGCACCATGCGTTTACGCGTTCTTTCGGGTTAACGCGTTGTACTCACCGCGGTGTCTGCGTCTTCTCCGAGAGGCGTCTGGCGCACATACTATGTTTGGTGGTTCTTTGTCTCATGCATTTATGCTTTTAAGAAGTTGTTCCTTTTATTTTTTAATGCTAAAGTCCGAGTATTAATGAGTATAATACAACTCCAATTTAAAGTATCAAAACAGTTTCATTAGACGACATAGTTTGTTTACCGGCGGGTTGATTTTAACAACTTCAAGATTTTTTCATCACCCACTAAGTCTACCCAGAACTTTTCAGCCCTAACCTGAGAAGCAATCAACTTTTCCCCGGGCGTCCGCCCACGTTTTTCATTTTACGAAGACACGAAAAATGAATGAGTCATACATGTGGCATCTTTCTCTAAACCCTCGTTGATGCTCTGTTCCTGGCTCAAATACTTTATTTCTTTTCCGTTTTCTCTTTTCATCATTTCCGAGCTTTTATTTATCTGCTCTCTTCTCTTTTTTCGGTTGATGCAGTTCTTTTCAGCGAAAAAAAATTTGCGGATGAGAAAAATTGTGTTCCTCACATTGTTACTCGTTGTTGTTCTCGAAACGTGAAAAATACGGTCAGTTTTACAGAAATGATAATAACGTCTTGATCCAACAATTTGCAATATCATCGTCCAGTGAAAATGGGTTCCATAAATACCATATTTCATCGTATCCATCGGCTTGTGAATGGCGGCGCCGCCAATGTGGTTAGTTTCAGTCTCACAGTTCAGTCACCTTTCAATTTCCAATGATTTAGCGATTTGTGCCAAACTCGACGTCTACAGACACGCTAACCGTTAGTCCGAGAGCAATTCCAAGCACAGTCTCTGTGAGTTTTTATTTTGTGGAAAAGTTTGAGTTCTGAGAGTTCATAATGTTACTTTTTCTTGAAATTTAGCAATTATTTTAGCTATTCAATGCTCAAGTCTTAGTGGAATTGCCTGGCTTCTGCAGTGATGAGGTATTACTGTACATGCATTGTAACATTCTAATGTTTCGTTCCCACACAGTTTTTCGGTTTGATTCGCTCGAGCTTATTTAGCCTTTCAGTGCAAAACAAGCTTAAAATTCCTCTTCAAAGCTTACTATTTTTTTCTATTCAAAATATATTTTCAGGATCGTCGTCTCTTGCTCAAAGCATGTAAAATCATGGATCAAGTAGTGAAAAGCTGTCGTAGCCCTAGGCTCAATTTGAAGAATTCCCCACCATTTATACTGGATATCTTACCGGATACTTACACGCATGTAAGTGTTGAACTAGAGTGTGTTTTTTTTTCTAAATATCGTTTTCAGCTAATGCTGATATTCACACAAAACAACGAAATTTTACAAGATAACGAGTACATCAGAATTTTTCTTGACAATCTCATCACCAAATGCAAAGAGGTTTTTGATAAAAGTTCATATCTATCCTACAAAACAATTTTTATAGACTGTGAAGCTGTTCAAGACTAATTCCATCTATAATGATCAGTCGGAGGAAAGAAGAAAATTGACTAAAATGTCATTAATGTTTTCCCACATGCTATTTGAAATCAAAGCATTATTTCCGGAAGGATTGTATATTGAGGATCGGTTCCGAATTACGAAAAAAGAAGCGGAGAGTTTTTGGAGTCATCACTTCCCAAAAAAGAACATGGTTCCCTGGCCGCTATTTTTAACTTCAATTGAAAAGTATCACGGAACGTCAATGGGAAAAATAGAAGCAACAGAGTTGAAAGCTACCGTTGATTTGAGTGGTGATGAATACATCTCAAGCTTCGAGTTTGACGTCTTTACAAGGTAACACCAGAGAAATCAATGTTTTCATTTTTCAGCCTATTTCAGGTTGTTCTATCCTTTCAAAACGTTGATAAAAAATTGGCAAACGTTGACAACTGGCCATCCGGGTTACTGTGCCTTTCTGACATACGATGAAGTCAAGAAAAGATTAGAAAAATTGACGCGGATGCCTGGAAGTTACATATTCCGACTGTCATGTACGCGGCCAGGTCAATGGGCTATCGGATATGTCGCCCCTGACGGGAAAATTTATCAAACAATTCCGCAGAACAAAAGTTTGATTCAGGCGCTTCATGAAGGGAACAAAGAGGGGTTGTGAGTATTATGTTTGACTGCACTACCTGATATTTGAGTTTCAGCTATATTCATCCAAATGGACGTGACCAAGATGTCAACTTGTCCAAGCTTATGGATGTTCCTCAAGCGGATAGAGTCCAAGTGACAAGCGAGCAATACGAATTGTATTGCGAGATGGGAACCACGTTTGAATTGTGTAAAATCTGTGATGATAATGAGAAGAACATCAAAATTGAGCCTTGTGGACATCTTTTATGCGCAAAGTGCTTAGCAAATTGGCAGGACTCTGATGGCGGTGGGAATTCGTGCCCATTCTGCCGATATGAAATAAAAGGAACAAATCGGGTGATTATCGATCGATTCAAACCGCAAGGAAAACATGCCAAAACAAAGATAGACTGCAATAAGTTGAACGCTCCGGATGTTCCACCCCGAACGGTAAGTCAAAGCGCTGACAGCTTCAAATTACTTTTGTCCGTCGTCTTTGTAGTATGTTTCCCAATCTTTGCTGACTGAATCTCATTCAATTCCATCTGTCAATGAGTTGCCGTTGGTACCCCCACCGCTACCTCCAAAACCATTGGACACTGCCAACTTAAATGTAAGACGAGCAGCAGCGTCTTTTCTTCAACCATTGGCTAGTGTTTGTTTCATGCGTGATTTTAAAAAAATTAACAAAATTTCTGCCGAGTTTTCAGAGGCAAGTTTTAGTTATTTTTCACTGGAAAAAATAAACAAACTTTCTCATTGTTCTTCTCGCGGCGCGAAAGCAACATCTTTTTTGGTTCAATAGAAACACGTAGTTACTTTTAAATTGACGCTTTTTTCAATTGGGCATATGGCAAACATCAGACGACAGAAAGGCATTTTATGATTTTTCAAATTAAATTCAGAATCATGTCCTAAGTTGACCAAAGAGATTTTTTGTGCTATTTCGTGCACTGTTCTACGCTCACTTAGTACAGAAATTTTCAGAAAATTAACTTGCTTTCTTCAGGTAGAACACAATTTAAATTTTTTCAAAGCTTGATTAAGCATGATTGGTCTAGGCTTTTCGGGGGTCTACCAAGACTTTGATGGGTCAAAAGTCGAAGCCCCGAAATGCCATCGAAAAGCGTTTGCCTGCTATTTGAAATTCTGCTTCAAAGTAAACTTCAATTCAATGTTCTATCTGGAAAAGACGATTTAATGTTCTAATGGCAGTTTTAAGTAAGAATAGAAAGGTGCGAACAACAAGGCGGGTAGTTTGCAATAATATACTTATTTACAAAATAAAGTGAGAACAAGTTCTTCATTTAACTTTGGCATTTTTCTGGCTCCAGTTTGATCAATCATAAATTTTCTTTTACCTTTTGATGTTGCGCTCTGCTGCTCTCCACATAAATTCAGTGCTTAATTGGAACAGCGTTTCCCGACCGTAGTCGGGTTTAAACGTGGAACTGCGATGAAGAAATATTTTCAGAATTTTGCACAGTCGACTTCTTCATATGTGAACATGAAAGAACTAGATACGGATGAATCAACTCTTGAATTAAATCGTCAACGGGCACCTTCAACACTTGCTCCACTGCTTCCGCTGCGCCAATCAGGTCGTGACTTTTCAGACCAATCACATCCGGAGTACACAAATACTGCCAATATGATTGAGCAATGACAGACTTGTGATTAACTTGCCATTTTTTTTCATTTTTGACGACTATTGATTTCGTAGAACTTTTATTATTTTTGTACTATTTTTTCATCCGCCCATCCTGAAACCCTTCCACAACAACATATTGCCGTGATTATAACTGGTAAAACAACATCCATTCTTTGTTATGATTCAGAAATTGTTCAATATCTTGGTAAAAAATCATGTCATATCCTGTTAAAATTTCATGTTACCCAACCCACTTTTTCAATCTTTGTTAAAAAAAATTTTACGAATCCAAATTACCCCAAGATACTTTACATTCTTGTCGTGTACTTTTCCATGTGTCAATTTACATAATTAAAAAAACTAAACTATTTCCTTCTGATTTTGAATTTTTGCATCTGTTTCCAAGGTGTTTGGAAACATAAAAATGCAATTAATTGGCTCTATGTCTCTTTGGGAAAAAGTGTTTCATTTATGCTTTTCAAACGAACAATTAGGCAGGCTATTAAACGCGGTAAGTATAATTTTGATGAACTTTCTCATATAAAAAAAAATTTCCTACGAAAGAAGGTGAGCTATCTTATGCTCAAGTACCGTTTACGCATGCCTTTCTTTCTTTTCAACGCGTTCTCGAAGTCCTAAAACATTTTTTCCACGACTTTTCAACGTTTCCCAACTTTCTAACATTGGTTCACACTTTAGTAAAGTAACTGTATAATAAATAATCAGAAAGCTCGAAAAAAAAGTGAGGTTGATGCGATTATTCCATACTCAGAATTTACTTGTACTAAAGCTTCATAAATGCTACATACTGAAACAACAAAAAGTTTGTGCATGTTCCGGCCAAGAAATAAATTGTGTATCAAGTAGGTTGACATTATAAATATGATGTGAAAAGTTCTGAGCTGTCCAACTCGAGTGAGCAAGTTTGCGTTTTGGATCATGATAGATACAACCGAAAGTTTTTGTTCTAAAGTTCTGGAAGGGAATAGGTTCAATTTCTTTTGTTTGAAAAATGTAATAAGTCACCACGACATGTGCTGGTTACTACTTTCGTTTTGTAGAGAAGTGACTTGTTTTTTGCCTGATTTCTTACTATTAAAAAACAGGAAGGTGATTGATATTGGTAGTTTGTAACATGTAGTAATTGTGTTTTATATATAAGAAAAATTAGCGGCAAGTTGCATCTATTCACAAGCAAGCAATATCAATTGTCTAAACAGTGTTACTTTCTACTCCTTTTTTGAAAACATTGGTGTCTCGCAGCCAATTCATTTTTACCAAATCTGAGCATGATTGAATTGTTTCTCAACGTTGTGTACACATGCTACCCACATAAAAACACTGGGGTTCAGAGCTACCCTTCAAAATGAGGAAGAAGAATATACTGACCTGAGCAGATGCAACTATAGAAAGTTTAAACGAATGAGAAAAAGGAAATGTGAGAGTGAGAGACATTGCGAACGAGAATTAGATAATGCATCTTTTTTGAAAATGACTGAAAAAAAGAAAAGACAAAAGGAACGAAAAACATGAACAAACTTTATAATGCTGGCTATTCAATCGGACACAAAAATGACACCTGCGTCCCCGTCCCTAAAAATGACCCCAATTTTCTAGCTACTACTATGCATCTTCCTTGCCGTTCTGTTTTTCTCATATTTTTTATACCACCTTTTTTTGTTCCAACATTTTCTCATAACGTTATTTTCACCCACAATATCTCCTTGATAGTTGTCAGAAATCATATTAAACATACATTGTTGCCGCTGAAGTTTGATAATTGCGATCTGCAGCGCCCATGCAAATTGAGTACTTAATTGTAAGAGCTCGAGAAGTTTTCACATAAATTGCGGTAGAGCGCTACCGCCAAAATTCAATCGGGCTAATGATGTATTTAGCTGAAAAAATTTGCCAGCGCATGCTTTCAGAATCAACCTTTATCTCATGTTCCTGTTAAGCTATCCGGTCCTCTGATCTTTTTTATTGTCACTAATTAATCTACATTGATTTTTGCTTTCAGGTACATAAAAATCACTGAAAATGCCTCAAAATTTTGTGGAGCGAGTAGAACGCCTGGCAATTTCAAATGGACGACTCCCAGGAAGATCGCTTTTGTTGGACAGGGAGCAAGGTATTTGAAGGAGACCAGCCAACTTTCCGGTTCCGCATATATGCTGTCAGAAAACAAATCAGTGTTGCATTGCAAGCAACTGAGCGCTAGAGACAATAAATAGGTCTCTTTCCTATTTCTTTTTTCTTTTTTTCTGTTCGTGTAGCAGTTTAGAAGTTAGGAAACCCGTGAATACTTTTTTGACATTTGATTATGTGGATCATTTTTAAAGATAAAGAGAAAGACCCAGAAACTTTGCTGAAACACTTTCAATTTATAAGAAGTTCTCATATATGTCTGCTCCCGAATAATACTAAAAAAATACTCTTCTAGCATTTTCCCAATTCTACTCCCAAAAATCTCACTGAAAAGCACGTATTAAAGTTTCACGTAAGATTCTTCTTTCATTTAACAGAGCTTTCTCGCACATTGGTATCAGCGGCGACGCTTTTTGAAACTTAGAGTTTGTCTTTGAGCTTTGTTAATTATTCTTCCGCGCTTCTGTCCACCGATCGCTCATTTTTCTTGTCTCGCCTTTTGATTTCGCCCTCTTTGTCCTACACCCTATTTACAAATTTTCTTGTATGCTTTGTGTATCCCATATTCGGTTTTGAATTGGCAATTAGTGATTCTATTCACCATGTATCCTAAAAAACTAATGTTTATAAAACAAAACGAGCGTGGCTCTTTTTTCATTCCATTCATACTCGGCTCGTTCTCTCTCAATCAGACAATTTCGTTTTGTTTCATAAACAGTTTTTTTCTCACTTTACGTTCTACACAATGGTTCAGCTCGTTTTTTTTTCCAGCAGAACGCATTTTGTGATACTTAAATTAGCTTAACAACTTACGAATTTGCCCGAGGGCACGGTGCGCCTTCACAGAAACTAACTTTCTTTTTCTTTGTCCACACAAAAAACGTTATTTTCTCTGTTCTTCTCGATTTCTTTTCTGCCTTTTTTTTGGACACTGTTTTCTCTTAGCTTGGTCGTCTTTTTTCTTGAACTCTAGTTCCGTTTACATAAGAAATTCAAAATTAAATCATTTTATTTGAAAAAAACAAGTTATGCAGTGCCAAATCATTCTTTCTACCATTCAAACTCATTAATTGGCACTCCAACTCCTCCTTCGTCCTCCGACGACATCATCCTTTTTTGCCATTCGTATTCAAAGAGAACGAAGAAAAAAGAATGCTAACAAATTCTGTCCACTTCTATTTTCTTTCGCCTTGAGAGAGTCAATTTCGTTCTAAACATTGTTTCACAGCATGTGTTCTCTTGTTCCTCTGCAACATCGTAATCTGAGTGACTTTCTCTTATTCTGACTAATTACTTCTCCTGATACTCTGACTCAAATTATTTGCTTCGACTTTTTTGCGGAAGAGGAAAGCTACAAGTTGATAATGGAAAATTAAACGAACAGACGTCGTAAAACCGCTGTTTCTACGTCACCTTCTGTAACTTCTATTTTCGCAGCACAACGAATGCTGGACATAGAAGAACCTCTTGTCAAAAACAAAAAGTACCCGTTCTTCAAAACGCCTCGACTTGGTGGATCTCGAAGAATTCGAAACAGGCTTGTTCAAAAACAGGTTGGATTTTTTGTATATTGCATAAATGCAGTAGCAGCGGTTGGTCGTTAGGCATACAATTACCACCTCAAAAGTCTGGTAATACCGCTCTACCGCAATCACACGCCAAACCCTTTCTCGATTTAGCACTGAATTCGCGTGGAGAGCGGTAGAGCGCGAATGCCAGACTTCAGCGGCTGCAATTTTGAGTTATCGTAAAGTTTGAAGCTGTTTGACCACGCCTCTTTGAATTCCAATATACTAAAAATTTACAGGGTCTTTGCAATATTAGCTTAAAGAATGTGCCAAAGCAAAGAAGGAAATATTTTTCGTAAGTATATAAAGATGATGCTCCATCATGATTCTTTTCAGCGACATTTTCACAACCGTCATTGAAATGAAATGGCGTTGGTGTCTTCTCTATTTCTCATTATCTTTTCTCATAAGTTGGTCATTTTTTGCTACTGTATATTACCTCATTGCTAAACAGCACGGAGACATAGAACAGGTGAATTCAAAGAAGTACAAAATAGACATAGTTTTTAAGTCTAGTTCGAAGCGGGCGATTCAAGTTCCCAAAGTCATGAAAGTTAAAAAAAAGAACCGGAATTTTGCTGAATTATATTAAAAGAAAACAAGATAAGGACCCGAGAAGTAAACGAGACTTTCGAGTTTTTAGACGGAACTCTTATAACTTTCCTTAAAATTAAATTTAAAATTAAATATGGTGGTCAGGGGACTAGAAAGCAACAGCTGCCGTGTACTTCTCGTTGTTTCCTAAAAATTTACAGAATCTGGGACTTGGAAAACATGAATCCCCCACTTTCAACTTCATTTTCAATATTTGTTCATTTTGTTTGAGACGACACTTTTACATCGTGGCAATTAATTAAGTATACAACGTTTTTGTTTGGACTTCGCTAACGTCCAAGTAGTCAAAATAATAACAACGGACAATGAAATACGATAGATTGGCAGTTCTTCCGAACGTGTTAAGAATCTCAAGCAGCTAGTAATTTTTTTGTTGACGGTACATCGTTTTTGTTCATGAATAGCTCTGACTTTGTTCCTTTTTACAGTAGAGAGGTGTAAAATTGTCTGTAGAATCCGAATTTAACGTTCTTTTTTTGGAAAAAAAGTACAAATATTTTCCAGAAAATCGAGTTTTTTCAACAAATTTTTGAAAACGACCACAAATAAATTTTTTTCTTTATGAATGAGGGGTGCTAAATTTTTTGTCTCAACATGAAATACGCTCAAAAAAATGCGAGGAATCAAATGGAGTTGAGCCTGAGTCGATAGGTTTTTTTTAAAGTTACAGTTTAGAGGTACTTAGAGCCAGTGCTCCGACCAGAGCTCGCGGAGGGGCCAAATATTATTCTTGGGTGTCAGTGTCATGGGGGAACCTCATGATTATAATATGGGACAAATAGGATGAATCTGAATTTTTTGTGCCATCCAATTTCTCAGGAATCGCCTTTTAAATCGTTCATAAGCTAAATATTTGAACCATTATCAATATTTTTGCGCAATAGCAATTATCTAAATTTATCTGACCCGATTGCAGCAATATGAAATCGTTGTATACTTAATTGCCAGCCTGTAAAACTAGAAAACTAGTAACTAGTTTGAAAAAAATTTTAGATTTCAAATGCCACATGGACCCCGTGTATCGTAAACGTTCATAATGAGTTAAACGCGTTCCTTTTTTCATTTACAACACAGACAACAATTGGATACGGTTTTAGGCAAGTTTTCGGACTAATACTCTTCGCCACTGGCAAATGGCCAGTGAAACTTGAATTGGAAAATTTACGTCTTAAAGGTACCCTACGGATGCTTGTCCTCTGACAATTGTGACCATGTGTTTTCAGTTTATGTGGGGTGTTATGACACAGGTTTTTTTTCTATTTTCAGCATTTTTTCATCTTACCATTTTCAGACACTCATGGCTGGTATAATATTCTCAAAACTAGCACGACCTATCAAAAGAGCAGCAACACTAATTTTCTCAAAAAACGCGGTTATATGTCTTAGAGATGGAAAACTCTGTCTACTTTTCCGAGTGGGCGATATGCGAAAATCAAGCTTGGCAGAAGCTCATGTAAGATTACAGGTATGCCGAAGCTTTATTACAAAAAAAATGGTTATCACCTCGTTGTTATTTATGTGGACTTCGGAGTTTCTCATAGTCAAACAAAAGCAGCTTTTAAGTCCACATGTCCTTGAGCGGTCATAAGGAACAAGATAATGAAAATGACTGTGAAAAACAAACAGAGAAAAGAACATTTGATGAGAAGTTTTCTGATTTTTCGCATTTTTTCTTCTGAAATAAACATTTTCCGAAGAACATATAAACTAGGATACTTACTTTCCTTGATTTTTTTGCGAAACGCTAGGCGATAAGGGATTCCTCTAGAAAAAGCATTAATCGTTTTTGTGGAATGATAATTCAACTCAGAGGCGTCTATCTCAGCGAATGTAACTGTTCTTTTCGTCCTTAAAAGGGAATATTTATCGAATTCCACAAAGCGTTTGTTCACTTTTTGCATTGCTCTTCGACTGATACGTCTTGTTCCATTGAAGTTTGCGCACTTGTTGACTGTGTACAAATTGAAATATTTGAGATATTAATTGACCTTTCTCCCACGTTCATTGAGATTGACTGTTGATCAGAAGGTGACGACATAACTGTAACATGTGAATAATTTTCAGATGATCAAAAGATGTGTCACTTATGAAGGAGAATTACTTCCTTTTCATCAGTTTGATATGGACGTAGGGTAAAAAAACAATTGAATTTATTGAAAGTATAAAAAAACATTTTCCAGTTACGATCAAGGATTGGATCGAGTTTTCGTTATCTGGCCAATAACAATTTGTCATGAGATAGACGAAAGGAGTCCACTATGGGATATTGGATCTGATGATTTGAAAAGTGCCAAATTCGAAATTATTGGTAGACTTTATAAACCAAGAAATTGTGTCTGTAATTCTGTTCATTTAGCTATACTAGAAGGAGTTGTGGAAAGTGTGGGCTCGACTACTCAAGCGAGAACCAGCTATCTACCATCTGAAATTCTATGGGGCCACAGGTACATAATAATAATTATTTGGGTATCTGTCACCAAATTATCTTTATATTCTATATCATTCGTCAAAAATGAAAAAAGTCTAGGAAGCTGGGTGAATGAGTCGCGTGTGGCACGTTGTAAGGCATTAAAGTTTTACATGCTACTGTCTCGTATGCTGCATAGACACTGTAATATTCTCTTCAGTAGTAGCAAGCACTGAATTTAGTTATAAAAAAAATAATAACAAAAATGAAAATGAAAAATAATAGAGATCATAGAAAAAAAAAGATTTTGTGACTATTACGTCATTCGTGGATAAAGCGTCACACTGGAAAGATTTTCCAAAAATAACAAATAAAGCAGCATCAGAAGATAAGCAACACCAAAACTATCAGAGACTATTAAAATATCAATTTTGACATTCTTTTTTCAGATTTGAAAAGTTGGTTCACTATAAGAAAGAGAATGGGCAGTATAACATTGACTTTGGCAAATTTCACAACGTCTACTCGATAAATACACCCACATGCTCAGCGGCGGAAATTGAACGGTTAAGAGTGAGTTATTCCACTTCCGTTCTGAAGTTGTGTATAATGAATAGAACGCTGACTGTTCTTTAATACATTTTTAGGCCGAAGGAACGTTCAATGAGTCTGAATATCAAATGTATCCTCCGTCAGACAATAAACTTAGTCTTCTGGACAACGACGAACTTTCTCCAATTCGCGATTCAATGGACCTTTCCAACCAGGTACCACAGGTAACTCAAAGCTGCGAGAAAGCTTGCTATGTGATGAAGACCAGCCTGTTTTTATTTGATTCCGTTGAGTAACTGGTGAAAAAATCGACATGCATGATTTGCACTGTCTTTCTGTGATTTCGCATTTCAGTGATATATGAAAATTCATAGATCACACAAGTTCTAACGTAAGTCACGAAATAATCTAACATCTCTATTTCTTTTCATTAATTTTCATTAGCATGTTATCACAGCTTTGAGCTCTTTATTGTCCACAAAAAATAATATTTGTTTCTTTTTCAGATTCAAATCCTTCGTCGAGATAGTGATGAAGATCCCGACGCAGGAGAAGAGAGTTTGGAATTGGTAAATTTTGTGTTTGGTTGACTCGGTTTTTAACGTATGTTCACTCAGGTTGACTTAGGAATCCATCACAAGTGTTCCATCCGTTCACAATCTCCAATTGTCACTTCTGCATCTCATCTTTTACAACCAGGCCATAAGAACTCGTGTTCCGTCAGAAGAGGCATGTTAGCACCTCCAGCTTCTCATTCTTAGAATATTTGTTGTAACTTTATTGTCCGTTACTGCGCCATGTTTAACGACATTTCCAGCGAAAAATTGAGGTGAATAGTAAACTCCCCTAGCCCAGATAGCATATTTTTTGGTAAATTTATTTGCAAACGAAATCGTATCAAATTTATGAAATTTGAGAAATCCGGATTTTTAAACCATTTTTTAGAGTTAAATCGGCCGGGGACTTGAATTATCAACAGAGAGCAAACAAATGCAGTTGAAAAATGCCGCACACCAAATTTTTTGGCACATTTCTTTATCCAAAGCGAATCAAATTAAGAACAATCATATATGTGAAAAGGTTTCTATATTTGGTTTGTAAAAGTGGCCGAAGACTAGGAAAAACAGGCGACTAATAATGTTTTGATCCCGTAGTAAACAAATCATGATCCGTCTCTTTTCTGTTGGCAACAATAACTGTGGTGCAGCACTTTGTCTGATTCTGTTTGGCGCTCGGCCGGAGATCACAATTTTAACCGAGCGCATTCACATCGAAATGCTCTAATAGTACCATGTGATTGGTCACTTACAGTGTTATTATCAGATGTAAGATACGTTTAGTAATAGCGAAAATAATTGGGATCCAGACAAGTCTATTGACATTCTATTGACATGTCTATTGACATGCGCAATGCAAAAAATAGTTTTGCACTCCTTTAGCATGGTTACGTTCAATGTTGCGAACGCGAACAGCCGCAGATTCCTGTTCGCACATTCTCTTCAAGTGGATATATATGTCGGGGAAATGGTAGCGGGTTCTAACCTGGGCTCTACCTTTTTTGGACTGCTGCACGTATATCCAAAAATTCAGACAGACAGACAAACACCTCATATAAGAACCGCTATTCCCGCAATTCTGTTGTTTATCAATGTTTTCATTTTTGTTGTGACAAGCATGAAAATCTACTGTTACTCTGTTCGATTTTATATTTTTGCCAACACCTAACATTTTCAGCGGAAATTTTGCAGGTTCTTCAACGCTCAACGTCAGTCTTCATGGATAACATTTGTACATGTGATTCAGATTTTAGCGTGTTGTGCCACTATGTGATATGCATTTCATTGCTTGAAATGATTTCCATACAAAACAGGTTGCCTTTGAAAGGTGTTTATTCATTCAGAAGTTCAATAGCAGTGATAATAAAAAATTAATCTTATAAAAACCGAACATAAAGGGAGACGTTTTAAGTAATGATGGACCCGATCTCCCACAACATGAGCAGAAGACGTGAGGCAAAATCTGTCAATGAAGAGTTATTATTTAATTTTATACGGTGTAAGTTAAAAGTAAAAATGCAAAAAAAATTAGAACATTGTTGCATTCACAATTTCAATTCTAATAAAAAATGATAAGGGTCCCACCAGCATCCAATCATACGGTTGTTGTAAGAGGATGAATGAATCTGGAAAACGATTTCGTAGATTTAACTTAACTGTATCTATTAAAAATATATTATATACTCAATGAAACGTGTCATCACATCACTCACCATGACAGACATATTGAACAAAAACATGATTTTACAGCGAAGTATCCTTTACCTAGCTCCACTTGAACCAAGAAGACGATTGCTTTCTGGTCCATCTCTGCAAAAAAAAAAGTTTAATCTATTGAACTAAAATAGTTTTCTAGCCTTCCAGACTCCAAATCCCTCTGTTTCGAATTGGGATTCTTTCCACATAAGTTCAAGCAAATGCATGAAATGAGACCGCATCTGTTGGTAAGGAAACATCCCAAATCAACAAGGAATAGTAGGAAAAATACTCCGATCGCTACTAGTGTAATCAGCTGAATGGTATCCATTCCTTTATCGTATTTGGATGGGCTTTCTGAAAAATAATTAATTTTCATAATTTTCATAATATTAATGAAACTGACCGTATGTCTGGTGCTCAATCTCAAGTGGCTCTCCTTGTCCGATAGCATTAACAGCCGCCACAGAAATTTTGTAATAAGAATGTGGCTTAACATTAGTAAGTTGCACTTCATTGTCACTTGCGTCAACTTCAATTATTATTGGACTTCCGAATGGAATTTTTTCATCTTCCGTATCACTTTCGTTTTCCTCTGCGGAGATTGGGCTATCTGTAGGAAGAACCTCGGCAGAAAACTCATCTTTTTGTTCTTCGTTGTCCTTGTTTTCTTCTGAATTGCCACCTTTTTCCTCTTCTGTGGTGGTCTCTTCATTTCCACGAACTTCGGGAACATCGTCTTGTACAATACTGTGATGGGTAGGCAGCTCCGCACTGACGGATTTACTGTCCGCACTTTCGATTTCACTCTCACTTTGATGTTTCTTCGTTTGCATCTCTTGCACCAAAATTTTGTATTTCAGAAGTGGACTTCCATGATCATTTGGAGCCTCCCATAAAACATTACAGTACTCCGAGCATTCCATTTTGACACTGGGCGGTGACTGTGGAGCCCACGGATCAGTTGTCTCAAGACTGATCTCATCCGTGTATTCACTGCTTCCGGCCTCATTGACCGCACGGATTTTGATAACATATTGAACGTTTGCTTCTAAGTCCGGAATATGGGTAATATTTTTGAATCTCACAGTAATATGGCGTGCATGACTCCAATTGTAGTCAGATTCCATCTCTTCTAATTTCGCAATTAAGACCTCCATTGTTTGTGGCATGCTACTTTCGCTTTCGTAAATTTCCATATCGAATGAGCATCTTCCAAAGTTTGGATAGATTATTTTTTTGCAATCCATTCCGACAGGTGTCGCTGGTTTCACTCAAAAAAATACATTACCCTAGGCATTTTTTTATAGGTTACTCACCAATTTCAATAACACTTATCTGCTTCTCAAGCTGACCAATTCCGTTATCAGCTTTACAAGAATAATTTCCGTAATTATCGTTTCCTTCAAAAGTTTCCAGAGTTAGTTTTGTTGAAGAGGTTTGAGTATCAATTTTGATAGATGCCCCGTTTGCTTCCACTTCTTTTCCGTCTTTGAACCAATGCCATTTAGGGCTGGGAACGGCGGATACATCGCAATATATAGAAAGCGTATTTCCTTCGAACGACCTGACTTGTGGGCCAGTGTAATGGCGGAGTTGTGGTGAATCTAGAAAGAGAGTTTGATAATTAGATGAGACATTGAAAGAACGCTCACGAATAATTCCCACGTTCGTTGTTCTGGTTGTTAATCCAGCTTCGTTGGAAGCGACACAGTTGTACTCTCCAGCATCTTCAAGTGCAATTCTCTTGATGGTGAGAATCAGTTTGTTTTCCTCATCTCTCACGGAAATTCTCTCTGAGTTGATGTCTTCGGTGAATCGTTTCCATTTATTTATTTCAGTCTGCTCTTCTTGTTGTTCCTTTTTCTCCTCAGCATTATCTACTTCTTCGGTGGATGTTCGTAAAACGAGCTCTTCTTCTTTCTGGGTGCTAACTTCTTCAGAATATGTATTTTCAGCAGAAATTGCAGAGCTCTTCTCCTCTATTCCGTTTCCAACTTCATCCGATTGAATATCAGTTTCTCTATTGACCTGTTTCAAAAAAGGTTATGTTGTGATGTTGCAACGTTTGAATGTACCGTGAATTCGCGAGATCCCGAAACAAATTTAGCTGTGACGTATCCATCGCCATGATAACTGCAGACAATCTCAATGTCTTCTCCTTCTTTTATCACGTGCTCGTGTTTAAGTTCAACCTTCGGCTTCACTAAAATAGAAAACCGGATAGACATTTAAAAATAGTTCTTACAGTAAACGGCCAACTCAAAACTGCGTTCGTTAGTGCCGACGGTATTGTTCGCAATGCATTTGTAAGTTCCGGCATCTTCAGAGTTGAGAGATTCAATAATAAGAAGGCCTTCCTCGACATTATGTTTATCGGAACGAGCAATTGGTACTTCATCATCCTGAAATCATAATACATTTGTTGGTCAATCTAATTGCTTTTTCAAACTTTCCAGCCCCTCAATATATACAATAAGTTACTAGTTGACCGATGAAACACAAAGCGTCTCTATATATTTTTTTTCGATCCTTGAAACTGAATACTTTTTGCAATCATAGTAAGTGCTTCTTTCCTATACTTTTCCCCCAATCCCTTCATGTTGACAGCCGGCTGTGGTATCTGAATACCTGACTAGACATGAATAAAATATGAGCATTTTGTTATTCTCGCTCAATCCGAGAAGAGAGAAACGATTAAGTTTTCTTTCTTTGTTCATTCAACAATAGACAGAACATCTGCAGTTCATTGTTTGGCACAGTGAATATGGTTTCTTCAGTCTATGTGCCCTAACACAATCCTCGAGAAACAACTCTAGAAATTTACTATCGGGGAATTTCAAACTAACTGCGCGCTGTTAAAATTGTGATCTCCGACCGGGCGCTAATAACAAAACAGAGAAAGTTATTCCAGAACTGAAATAACAAGCAACAGAAATTCGTTTCGAGGCTGAAAACTAGGCCCCGGAGATTACAAATAAAGGTGCTTCTCAACAGAGCGCATTTACTTTGAAGTGCCCCGATAGTATTAAAGAATCGGCGGATCGAACACCGTACAATTTTTTCAAAAATGCTCATCTAAATACCTCACTCTTGTTACAAGATTGAAAACGTTTCTTCTCATGTTTCAAGGTTTTCTTGACAAAAACTACTGTATAAGAACATCTTCACTTCTAGTGATAACCCGAACGCTCTGAAGTCACTCTTCTCAATTCCCAGTCGTCCGAAACCTTTATCCGGCCTCATGCCGAGATAATAATCGGTTTATTAGTGAGTCAAGTCCGTCACTCATCACGAAACGACCTTTTGCGTGATACCTCATGCATATGCTAACCTTCACGCCAATGTGTTTATCTTCATTATTTTTGCTCCTATCAAGATATATACCTTCATCAATGATTAACGTTTATTGCCTAGTAGGTGGATTCGTGAGAGAGGCAACCATTCACTCAAACATAACTATGTTTTTGAAAACTGCAAAAACTGCATATTGGAGGGAAAAGTAAAAGAAAACCTAAGTGTTTCGCAAGATACGGTCTCTAGAGAATAAGGAAATGCATAATTTGCTTTCTTCGACCCTCTGAAGAACTAGGTACCCATTGGTCCTACTTTTCTGTAGGCCTGCGGTTGACTTCGTTTAATTGTTTTCCTGTTGTTAATTATGTTGTGTTTCATTTGCTTCCGTTTTTGGCCTCTGACCCTTACGACAGTGTGCGAAAGACCTTCGAATGCAAGAAGTGCCCGCAAAAGGCACGCGGTCTGTGTTCTCGTCTTTTTGTCTGAGAGTCAAGGTGACATGACGCATTTTTTGGCAGACGGAGGAAAGAACAAAAGCTTCAGGGATACTACAAGTAAAAAGGAGAAGGAGTTGTGTACCAAGAAAAGGTCTCTCTCCCCGTTTGCGCACATACAGAAGATGCTTTGCGATCCGTTTTGTTTGCTCTTTGCCGTCCGCTCATCAAAAATCTACGCCAGGTTTTGCACGACAGACATAAGCAAGCAGATTTGACAGGTGTGCAAAACGCAAAGCTACCAACTTAAACGAATTTGGTTTTGAATAATCAGTGTGGAACTCCAGAAGAATTCAAATCCCTGAATACCGTCCACCTTATTGGGTGCAAATTATCGGAAAGCGACAGGTTTCTAATCTCATTACGTTCAGGTGCCATATTGAGACCGCACAAAGGTTACCGCTCAGTTTCAAATTACTAATTGATAAACAGTGCGACAGGTGGCGGCCTTTTCGTACCTCAAAAAACCACTTATAAGATGGCTTTGGTTTTCCGACGGCTCCGCACTTCAGCTCGATTGTGTGCCCCTCTATTCCGTTGTTCCCGTGCGGAACATCGAAGACAGTAATTGTAGGGCGTGCTGCAATAATTAATGTGTTGCGAAGATAAAGCAAAGATATTCATTTGTATATGAACGAGCACTCTCACGATTCGAATAAAATATTCTTTTTTGCTCACCATAGCCGCTAACATTCACAGACAAAGTTTCAAAGGAAGAGTACTGAGCCGCATTGCAGTTGTAGATTCCGTCGTCTTTTTTGGCAGTGAAATGTGGGATGTACAAGATTTGATTGTTTTCCGAGAATTCGTATTTTCTTTGCGAAGCTGAAGATGAAATATGATTAGAATTTTATAATTGACCGGAATTTTATTGGATTCAAGTCCCTTCTCAATATACTTTCCATAAAAATTATTTATGAACAACAGGTCGTGGATTAACCCCTATCCAGATGGTTGGTTTCCTGGATATTCTCGGAGAACACACAGACAGAAAAAGCTTAAGGAGAGGCTAAGCGCTACTTGACCTGCCAAAACGCGTTATTCCGTGAATATCCTCTAAATTGCACAATCTAATTATTTCATGTTATACCGACATCTAGCGGGAATGAAACAATGATGATCACTAGAGAAAACGCATAGCATACAATTTATTTCAATACCCATCATTATTATTGTTTGAATAGGCTGGTTGTGGGTTCTGGGGGATTGGTTTGGAATCATTCTTCGTATTCTGTCCATGATTAGATGGCTAGATATGATTTCGAGGTGACATATACACGCATGTTGCGCAATTTGGTGCAACAGGTCAGAACCGTGTGTGACTTACTTTCATCTAGGGTAACACCGTTGAACTGCCAGAAAACTTCAAGTTGGTCCGTTCCTTCTACTTCGCAAACTATTTCGGCCCGTGTTCCTTCCTCGGGATGCTGCTCTTCTTTAATGTTCACAAATTTTGGCGGATCTGTTTAAAAAATAATTTGAAAAATCGAAAGACCTAAAAAACATACCGACAAAACTTATATCGGCTAAAACCTCTTGTTTTTCCCCATTAATTTCCGTCTTGCATGTATATTTTCCTCCATCAGCAATTTTTGGACGATTTATCATCAACTGACTTGAATAGGGTCGCTCGATGGTCATGGTGCTGCAAACAGACCATCATTCATCACACACAACATTGCGTCATGATCGGTCAAGAAAATGGAATCTATTGTGAGCAAATGCAAATGAAACAGAATGGGTCCGTCTTTTCTAATTGATGGCCATATGTTCAATAATGAATCGGTTCTTTTACCTTCCAAATCGTGGCACGAGCTTATCTTCGCGATACCACTCAATCTTGACGTCGCTAGCGGCACCATCGAAGTCTTTCACTTTGCACACAACCAAAAAGTTTTCTCCTGATCTCCGGTTTTGTATCCTCTCTTCTGATGGGCTCAAGTTTAGACTCCATCCTGAAAAACAAAAAAAATATTCTAAGACACTATTTGAATTTGAGCTTTTTGCAGATAGCAAACAAGGAAAGATGAACATCACACAATGTCATTGACACATTGTTTTGTTTTGCTACACTTTCAACTTTTTTCTCAGAAACCATGTTTCGAACAAGCCGGGATATTTGTATTTGCAAATTGTTATCGTTAGATGTGAAACATGTTCTCCTAGCAATCTATTTCCGCACTCCATCGGTTCTTAAACGAGCCAATCATCAAAAGCGGGTCGTCTATTTTCGAGTGCCGTTTTGTTTGGTAAGTTGTGTGATCCCACCGACGTGGGGGCTGTGGCCGCGTCTGTACTTTCTGCGAACACTCCTCTACCCTCTTTTCATCCTACTTATTTACCCATAGCTAATAGGCAACTTCTTATCGGAGGCGGTTTACTTAGCCATCCTTCTGCGCCGATTTTCCTCCTAGTTCTCAGCCGAATCTACCTCTCAAATAGTGTGTTTGAACATGGGAATTACAATAATTAATAGGCAAACGATGGAAAGTGTTTGACAGCCTAGGTTTCTACTTCCCGATTGCTAGTGACCAGAAGAAAACGCTTTTGCTCTGATTAAATTTGTTTATGGATTATCAGCTACTGCCTCCTGCTCAAGGAAAGCCAGTCAGAAGCTGAAAAAACTCACACACTCTCCGAGCAGCAAAAACGCACATGACACGAGAGATATGTTCAAGGTTATTATGTAAATAAGTGTGCAGTGTTGGCGCCAAAAGTCTGCGCAATCCACCCTCCCCTTTCCTCAAATCGTCTATGAAGAAAATTTCTACTCGAGTTCACCTTTTACTATAGAATTATGTCATTTTGGAATCGCTCATGAGGAAAATTTAATTCTCAGTTCTCAACTGGCCTCTTTAACACTACACCAAACATTTTATCGCGACTTGCTCCATAGTACCCTTGGGATCAAAAAAGGAAACTAGAGAAGCAGAAAAAGAAAAAGCGAAAGAAGTCAGGAATTATTATTCTTTTTTTATTGGGCAAGAGCTTTGCTGTGAGTTCAGAAGAGTATTACGGCTGATTTAGTTAAAGAATACACTATGAAAAACAAAGCGGGCTAAGAAGAACCACATGGAGAAAAAAAAATTAATAAGATTACTAACAGATAATATCAATTAGAAGTTTAAACAATGAAAAACATACCTGATATAGATGGCAATGCTACGAACAGTAACAGAAGCAGAATCATCCGTGTCATTCTACGGTGTGCTCCTCGGCGTGTTTCTCTTCTCACTGAATACTCCTGCATTCTTTCCTTTGGGTCTCCTTCTCTCCTGCCCCTACAGACCACGCCCCTTTTTGCGCACATCCTCCTGCGCAAACGTGCTATTTTCGCATGCTGGCACGGTCAAACGAGACAACTCCGCCCAATCGTTTATCATGAGATCTGCCACATGGTTAACGATGATTAGCATAAATCAAATGAAGCTAACTGCAAAAAAGGGAATGAAAATTTGGAGGACAAAGTCACTATCAAAAGGGAAGGATGAAGTATACTTGAGCTATGTATAGTTACAGCCACATGGAAGAAATTTGATAACAGGCGTATTACGAAAAAGTTTTAGAATTATCGTGTAATTATACAAAATACTTGTAAAACTAGTTTTCAGGTCTGTTTGTGTAGGGTACCTCAGTTGCTACTAAAAACACCCCACTGCAAACGGAGAATGACGAAGTGCTCCAGCTTCCTCCGAAACCGAAACTCCATTTATTTCCCTATAATCCTACAGAACTTACATTAAAAAAACTTCTCAATCAATTTACTCACTCACAAATATATTGTTTATGGTCAATAGTATTCTCAGGGGATATCCGACGAAATTTTCTTTTCGTCTGTCTTTCTTCTTTTGGTGAAAGCCTTCCTTTTTCTTCAAAAAAGAGATGTGAGAGAAGAAAACCGAATGACAGGCGGATTATGAATCTCAATGAAATCCCAGAAAACGAAAGAAAAGAGCGTCATCGTTTTTTTACTAGTATTCTTTTTCAATTTCTAACACATGTCTAAACGTGTTCTGTTCTTTTTCTGCTTTTAGTTGGACTTTGGAGCTTTTTTGGTAATTTGATTTTTTCCAGACTCTAGTCATGTGTGCCATATTTCTTTACGACATCTTATCTTATCTGTTTTCTTTTATTCATTGTGCAAAACAATATCGAGCAAACATTCTTATTGCACAACATCAGTGTAGTTTCGCATAGAATAATTTGAATAACTAATCGAAAATTCGCAATACAGATTATTTTTAAAGTAGATAATAATGATGTTGATCTGTGAACAACCGCGTCAATATAAAAAAGTGTGTAGTTTTGAGAAGAAAACGAAGAAGTGAGACATCATGGAGATCCAAAAAAAAATTGGCCTTGTGTGGCAAAAAATTCGTAAATCAACGTTTTTCTTGGAGTTTGGCATACGGAACGAATATAATTTACTGTGCTTTCCAAACTTTATGTACAATAAGCACAGTTGCCAATAGATCGTTTCTAAGAAACATTTATCGCGCAACAGCTCAATTTTCTTGCGCACCATAGCATTTTATTCAGCGGCGTTGAATTTCGGAATGTTGGAGAATTGAATTTCCGGCTCCTATCAAATAGCATGTCATATTTTCAAAATGGTTGGATAGATCTGGATTCAAAATTATTGCCGTGTATTGTTTTAGTACGGTCAATGTAGTCACTTGGCATTAGCCTCAGAAAATGCTCCATTGCTTTTCAATTAATTCAAGCGTGACAGATGTCATTCTGAAAAAGCCAGAATTATAATCTAAACCAGCTGCTTTTCACATGCTCATCTGCGCATCATCTTTAGTTTATTTTTCTTATAACTTATTATAATTGCCAAAACTTCGAGCACGAGAAGTTTGTGATATTCTTGAAGGCGTTCGTTCAATACAATTAACATTCCGCATTTTTTCATCATTTCCTCTTGCTTGCAGATGGTTGATCCTGTTACCACATATTCACTCTCCACTCCTTTGCGTCACAAGCATCGGCTCACAGAAGACAGGTATGTTATTTTTGAAAATTTAATGATACATGAGTGTCATGAATTTCATCAAAATCACCTTGGCAACGATTCAGACTGACACGTTAGCTGAGCTGTGCATTTCAAAAAAAATTACGAGTTCTTCTTAAAGCTGTCATTTTCACTGAAATTTTTTGCTCCGGAAATTTTTCCTATCTCTGTGACTTTGCTTTCATTAAATGTCTTGTCAACCAATAAACTACCTCCACAACTGTTACGACCTCACTTCTCAGATGGGTATTTCTAGTTTCTCCCGTATCTTGAGCATTAGTTCTCCTATTTTCTCCGATGCCGGCGTGGAACATCTATATAGCTTTCGTTTCCGTAATTACACGCCCGCGCTTGTGGGTTGGGGCTTCCTTCCTTTTCTCAAAGCGCATTTGAATGAAAACGAGTCAAAAGGAGTGGCCAAAGTCCCACTTTCCTATTCTTTTCCATTTTTTTCAATGTATTCATTCATTTACTACTTTAATCTTGAGTAATTCATTTTGAGAATATTTTTCATCCAAAAACAAACAGGAAAAAACTTCGAGCCATATGATTCCTTAAACATAGCCAATCAACAGATGACCATGCTTCAATTACGTTTATTTTCTACTATGTAGTATATTTTCGTTTACTCAAATGCAAAACAGAAAACACGCATTCATTATACATAAGACGTTTTGATAGAGTCTTCAATCCTTTTCTCGTGCTCTGTTATTATATTCAATTTGGTTAGAATTAGAGTCTAGGCAACAAATCAATATAAAAAGCATATTGATACTTTTGGAGTTTTTTCATAGTGCCTCAGAAAAATTCTTTTTAGACAATTTTGATTGCTCCCTATAATTTGTTGATGTTTTTTTCTTTTTTCTTAATTCCGTTCTTTGACCGGATAAGTCATGTGGTTTTTTTCAAAATAGAAGATGAATGGGGTTAGTATGGTAGCTGAGAAGTTCTACGACGTTATGGATGAGGATTATCTCGATAGAGATGAAAAAATAACGAAGATGATGGGCGTTACTGATGAAACAATTGTTAGTAGAAAACAGTCCGCCAGCGATCTGCAAAGCCGTCTAAAAACAAGAAAGCTTCTTGGAGTTGGTGAACTGGCTGGTGACAATGGAGATGTTTACAAGTCCAAGGTTGGTTCAACAAAAAACATACTAAGATACCTAGCTTAATTTAAACTTAAACTTTGTCGTTTGCGACATCCCTTCGCAAATATTGCCTTGTTTGTTTCTGATATAGCGGTGGACGTGCTGATTTCTGAGGGTCTTGGTTAAATTCGATTAAAGAAATCGTGTTGTTTTTAAACCGCAGTCTTACAGATATCACAGTTACTCGGAATCAACGAGTCTTTGTACGTTCGTCTTCCACGCGGAATGTTTGTTTGGAACACTCTTAACTCACTTTATTTTTTCCTATTAGGAGGATTAGTGAGTTTGTGGTATGATGTAGTGTTTTTTGACAAGGTATTTGCAGTGTCTTTTCCTTCCACGTTATGGAATCTATTTTGACCACGGAATTGAAGAAATTCCAAGCGGAGCTTTAGTAATTTCCCGTTATTACGGCGTTTTGCTAATTTCTTTCGGCGTGTTGTTCAGGTTCTTGCATTTATTTTGTTTTTCAAATAGGATTTTCCCAGATTCATCTTGCAACAGCGCGAAACGCGAGCCGACATCGCTCTTTTGCTTCTTGTCACAGCTATGTACCATAGTATCATCTTGATAGGTGAGAAGAAACGCTTTCCAATTTTGAAAAGAAAGTAACAAAATGTGTCCTCTTTCAGTAGCAACTGCTTCAAATGGGAAAGTTGCTTGGTGGTCAGCTACTATCCGTTTGGGTATTATTCTTGGGAACGTTTTTTATCACGCATTCGTGGATGGACAAGGTGTGCAGATAACGATTTTTGTTTTATCATCGGTTTTTTCTTGAGTCTGCATAAGACACGGGGTTCCGAAGACTACGGAGCCAAACTAATTCAAATTTTCCCGTCTCACGGCAATATTCTTCCTAGTGACGCAACCGTATTCCAATAACTCATTTATTAACCGTATTCTTTTCAGTCTAAATAGGAACATTCGCACGGCGTAAACCGCGTCGCTGCGCAACGCATATGATATCTAAAAAGCGCTTGCTCAGCCCGTTTTCTAACTCCCGTTTTGAAAAACGACTTGAAAAAACGCAGCAAGTTTTCTCTAGTTTCAATTTTTTCAGGAGGTCTTCATCGTCAACTTATCCGCGTTATTGAAGATTCTTCGTTTCTGTCAGCGTCACCGATTATAGAAAAGAAAACTAGTGTCGGAGTGGCTGAGGAGTTTGTTGACAAACTGGAGACTTTTGGAAACGAGAAGAAAAACGATTAATGTTTGCACTCGGCACTCTATTTATTATTTACTATCTGACACAATTGCACCCCAGTCACTATTATGTAGATCAGAAATGATCTCCTACCACTTACTCCTGAGTTTGTTGTAATATCAGTATCGTATCACTTATATCTGGAAATTTTCATCAACATATATCAATAAAAACAATGCTTTGAAATTAAATAATAAATCAGCGTTTTGACAAGACTTGTCAAAAATCGTCCCGGGATCGGAACCAATGCTTACACAACCCACAACTTGTCAATGACGTGATACTTTTAGGCAAAAAATCTATAATGCAAAATTTTAATCTTCCTGTATACTGAATTTTAATATTATTCGCTACATTTTCGGCGTAAGTATTTTCCCAATTCACGCGCTAAAAAGCTATGATAACGTCATTACATATATTGCTAATATTTTTAACAGTAAATGTAAGCTTTAATTTGTAGTCAATTGGGTGCTTGTAATGAAAAGAAACCAGACAAGTTTTTGTACGGATTACGATCAATATGACTACGATTGGTTAACAGTGAAACCTGAGACCGAGGCGGAGATTGCAGCTTCCACAAGATCTCCTGATGATGACGACGTGTTAGTGAATGTATAAGAAATTTGAAACGTCTTTATTTTCCAGTATTATTGATCAACTCGACAACCGAAAAGCTGTCAACAATGAAATTCTTGGCGGATTTTCCAACGAGAAAAGTTTTTCATGTCCTCATGCAAAACCAATTCTTCATACCGTATTGAAGACTACAAATTTTACTCTATTTTTTATTTTCAGGGAGAATCAGTTGCACAGATATCACCTGAAGACATTCAAATTGTTGGAGCGATGGGAGATTCTTTGGCGGTGTGCTACGTCGAAGTTTTCGATAAAATTAAAATTTTCAGTCTGGGAGAGGACTTTGGCCGTTTACGGATGTGGAATTTCGTGGGGCGGCATTTCCTATTGGTGGCGATGCAAATATGGATGGACTGGTTACCATTCCAAGTAACTATAGTGAACAATGCTGAAATTGAAACAAAATTCAGATATTTTGAGCCAGTTTGTGAAAAAATTGGAAGGAATATCTCATGGAATGGGTTCCAAACATGCGCTTCCTGATTATCAGTTTAATGTTGCTGAAATCGGCGGAGAAACGGAAGATTTACCTGCCCAAGCTTTTGAATTAGTGCACAGAATGCAGCATTATGTAGGGAAGTCACTCAAGAAAAAATGGGCACTTATAACGATTGTAACTGGCTCTGAAGAAGTATGAACTGTCTTACCGTATTAACCAATCAATATTACATGTAGTTTTGTGAAAAGTGCGAGCCTCCAAGTCGGACGTCTATTCGGCGCGCTTTGGGCGTTCTCAGGCGAGGGGTTCCACGAGCTTTGGTAGTCCTTTTAGGACCAGTCCACGTGGCATCTACCTATCGTCAAAATATAAATTTGATGCGACCTCGATGTAAATGTCTTGAGAAAATGACCGGGAAGGATTATAGACAGTTATTCGATGTATGGAAAACTTATTTTATAGAAGTGGAGGTAGACGGTCATGGTTAATGTAAAATGACTGAAATTTTTCTGACAGGAAGAATTCAATTTCGACAACACAACATTCGGAGTTTTGTCAATACCTTCCCTTGCTATTCATTCTCGCAATCCGCAGTCACTTTTAGTGCCAGGAAAACCACTTTTAAATCGCAAAGGTCATTCATACGCTGCAAAATGGCTTTGGAATCGGCTTATTGCTGGTCCAAATTACAATATTTCGATGATTGCTCTTTCTGAAGACAGCTATTATTGTCCTTCTCTCGGTTGTCCGTACTTTCGTACTGTCCAGAACTTCAAAACATGCACAACTATAACAGAAGATGAATGGCAAAAACAACACGCTCTGGTCCATGAGCACAAAACCGGAAAAGAAGCGAGACAAGAAGCAATTCGGACCAATCTGCTTGGTGTCATTCTTGCTATACTTGGATTATCAATTTTGAGCGTTTTGTGAGTAAAAAACCTAAGCCAAAAAGTGAAATGACTAATTTCAGAGGGTTCGGAACTTATTTCTATTGTCATGGCATGAAAGCAACAAAGGGAAGGTTTGACTACGGGAAGACTATTGTTGAACCCGAAGAAACAGAAGAGAAATAAAACTTCATAAACCGTCATCAAATTTCTAGTTTCATATTCATAAAATATGCAGTGATTCGATTTCTAACTCATTTATCATTTTCACAATTGAATTTCTTTCGATGTAGTATCCATAGCAGAAAACTCCCAGAATAATTCCATAAATGAAAAAGCTGATTATATCGAATGAAAGAGCAGCCAGCCGACAACAGTTCCTTGTTTTTCTACAATAACGAAATAGAAGAACAAGGAAAAATTTCGTGTATACCTGGTTTTTCGTTGTCTTAGATCATTCATCTCTTCATAAAGCGGTTCCATTTCATATTTGTCACGACGACGCTTTGAGTAACAACATGTTCTTGAACGGCCTACACTGGCCAACAAAGTGATTATCACTAGTTCGACAACTATAGCAACCACAAAAACGTAAGAAAATAATATCCACAAAGAGAAAGCGTTGACTCCAGTGGAATATGGAAATTCTGGTAGATTAACGTAATTGTGAATGGACAATAAGATCAGAGAAGTCATTAGAATACAACATCTTGTTATTGCCATTGGCCCCAGTAGGAGTGTGAGCCATCTGAGATACAACGCGATTTTCTGGGTTTAAAAAAAAAACTAACGGAGGTATCAAAAACAAGAAGGATGGAAGAAAAAAGTGAACAAGTATTTCTTGAACATTCTGTGAAAAAATGAATGTCAATTGAACTTGATCACTTTCCCATGTGAGATTTTGAACGTCTTTAAGGTAAAGACTTGCTGCATGGGATGGAGTCCGGTAGTTTAAAGGTTCTTGTGATTCTATGTCAAACGTCAAGTATTTGTTGTCAAAGATAGTGTTTTTCCAAATAAGAGGACACGAGGTGTTTCCAAATGGGAAATTATCGTAGGAAGTTTCACAAAGTACTTGCTGTTCGATTCTGAAATTAACAAGAATAAACTATTTTTCATCTGCGTATGTTACTTCTCAAACAGCACGATAAGTCCATCGTTAGATAGGCTGATTTTGATGACGTTTTCACTTATTGTTATTCCAAGAGAATTTAAAATAGCGGAAGCATCCAACCAAGAAACTGCATTATGGCGTGCTGAATTAACAATTAATAATAGTTTTTATGTGAAATAATAACTTACTCAATTGAATTTTCTCATGACACGGATTCAGATTCGAATATTGGAACAATTTACTCTTAAAATCAGTATGACAAACGTTTTAAACTGAAATAATCTTCTTACTTTATAACTCAACAAAATTACGCCATCTACTTCCAATTTATTCTTCTGCCTATGGAAAGTCCAGTCCTCTATTTTGTAGTCTAGTCTTACTTGCTCATCTGGGTACGTAACTTGTTGTATTTACGTATAATTTTGAAGCTCACCAAAACTTTCTTTGTTTACTATTGTTGGCAAAATACGTTCTAGAACATCTTTATCACTCAAACAAACGCTTCCATTCACAAGCATCGGTAGAAATCCAAGCAGCGCCAGAAAATATAGGTTCTTTTTCATACTCACCTACAATTGGTAAAAATGTTTTTGAATGTTTCCTAAAATGAAAACAGTTTGAAACTAGTTCGGAAACAGTGGGAGTAACCTTAACTCGTCAACTAAATCTAAATCGATTCTTATCAAATTTGGCCAATATCACTTTCTATGTATATCATTCTCTTTTAAACTTAGTTTTAGTAGTTTGTACAAGACTGTTCGAAACATGAGATATGAAAAGTAATGTTAAGTTGTAATGCAATCTTCACAATGTTTTCAATAAAACTGAACATAAATAATAGAACACAAAAACAAGCTAAATTTGAAATCGAATCACTCTTTTCTCTCGCTAAAATGATAAAAATCAGGTTTTGGCAGGACGTCTCTTTTTGTTACACTGACGTTCTTTTCTTCATCTTTGGTTGTATCAAAATTAATTCATCACCATTACCACTTTTTTTGCGAAAAATTTGAAGTGGATATACCCGGTAAATGCCGACATCTTCTAAGCAGAACTTCAGCAACTTTTTCCCAGAAGATGTAGACATTTACCGAGTGGCAGTGGTCAACTCTAGAAATGCACATAAAACTGCCGATAAGCGATTCGAGTGACCGGCACGAGAGAACACTGACCTTGATAAGAAAAATAGTCATTTCACTTTCTTTGCCACAGCTGCTCCTTGTATTTGTTGTCAGACAATTTTCAAACAGAAAATGGTAAAATTACCTGAGATACTGGAAATTACGCAAAGCAGTTTGTCAGGTTATCCATGCGTGTGTAGCTCATCAAGTTCATCAAAATGAACCTATCTTGGAAAAAAGTCGAGGAAGCTGTAAGCTGGTAGTTTCCGGATTAGGATTAACGTGACAAATTCCCACAGACTACCATAAAGATACTGTTTCAGAACGATTCCAAATTTGGTTCTTAAAAATCGCGATTACATTGAAGTTCTTCATATAGATAACAATTTTCTGACTGAGAACTCATTCAATATGCCTAAATTCTACAATCTTCGAGAACTTTCTGTAAATAACAATAAAGTGAGTTTAATATTTTTAATTAGCGAACAACATCATCTCTAGATTCGTCATATTGGGCAGTTCATTCATAACTTGGAAAAGTATTGTCCTAACCTGGAAATTTTATACATGGCAAACAATCCCGGGTGGACAAGCGAACTGGAAAAACAAGGGTTCGGTTAAAAATGAGGCCAATTTATAATAATTGTCACGTAGTTCCAAATACTATTTGATCAAATGCTACAATTGCTACTTTTCAAATTTTTGCGCTACTTTTGGTAAATTACTGCGTAGCGACTCGCATGTTAGATCGATACGGAGTTTGAAACATTTACTGTGCCCCCTACGTGCAGAAAATCACGAACATTGAAAAATCGGTAAAACAATGCTCAAATAGTAGTCTTATTTATTGTTTTACCATTGCTGCAGCTTGCCAAGCGCTATTCTCGTCGACCGCGTTCCACTGCGTGCGTGTACAGCAGAGTTGAGCGGAAGAACTCAACGGAAGAAAACGGAAGAATTTTTATCTTTTTTAGAAAATTTTTTCATGAAATGTGATCAACTGACGAAATGTATAGCAAAGTGAACTCTGCTCACAAAAAAATAATTGTAAATTTAACTTTTCATACAAAAAAGTTATTCGAGTTGTTCCGTGAAAATGTCCTTCCGTCTTCCGTTGTCCTTCCGTTAGCTCTTTTTTCACGGAACAACTCGAATAACTTTTTTGTATGAAAAGCTAAATTTACAATTATTTTTTTATCAACAGAGTTCACTTTGCTATACATTTCGTCAGTTGATCACATTTCATGAAAAAATTTTCTGAAAAAGATAAAAATTCTTCCGTTTTCTTCCGTTGAGTTCTTCCGCTCAACTCTGGTGTACAGAGCGCACCTCAATATGTAGCTTTTGAACCTCTGTGGTCGTCAGTTGAAAACGGCATGGTTTTGCAACCCGTCATTTCGAAACCCGACGTTCCGCAACTAGCGTGAACTACTTAGCAATAGAGTGCACTGTTGAAGTTCACGTGGGTATCGAGACGTCACAGTTCCGAAACGTCCTGTTCGGGTGACGTCGAACGCAACCGAACCCGGATGTGTCTTGTGGAATCAAACCATGTGCAGTAGTTCTAAAAATGATTTAGAGATCTTTGATTTATTTAGTTTATTTCCTTTTTCGTAAGTTTTTTTTTCTTCAACGATAACTTACGAGTTACCAGTTAACTTCGAAAATCGTGTTTCCCTACTTCCTGTGTACTTAAAAAACTTTTCAGGTCAAGAATGATAAGCGACTGTTTGAAGCATTTGAAAGTTTTGAATGGATGCGAGACACACAGACAAAAAAGACTTTCCGGAAGTTTATCATCATTTGTACCGGAGTAAAATCATAGAGCTACATAACGTAATTATATTTGTGAAAATTGTATTGTCCGTCATCATCACATAAATTATTTTTGTTTTCTCTGTTTTCGAACCTTCTCGCATCCTTTTTCATTTCAATACTAAGGGTAAAAAAATAAAAATGATTGAGGATGCATTCTCGCTCAAATTTTGTAGTGCTCTTAAGGTTCAAGTATGTGTTTAATCGAGCGGAAGGTTGTACCAATTGTTTTGGTTAGGGATGATCGAATTCAGGTAGTGAGTTGAGTTGCTCGACCACTTCAAACATGTTTTTTCTTTTTTCACTATTTTCGCATTCCGTAGATCTTTTTTCCTCTGTTAAATCTACCGTAAGACCGCAAGCAAAACAGAATCGGTGTATCATAATAAAAATTCAGAATTCAGGGGGTTGATGTTTTTTGTGCATTGTCAGTATTCTTGAAGGTATGGAGTTTAACTTCTTAGGGGGCCTTTTCTGATGAATGACACGTTATACATAGGTTATAACAGAGAGGTTCTGATGCACAGTGGTAGGTCCTCTAAGGGGTTAAGCTCCATACTTTCATAAGAAAAAAAGTCTTATTAGATATATATACATATATAAAATTTATTTATTTATTTTAGAGAAGGACGAAAAAAAGCTAGGCATTGTTGTTAATACTAAAACTAAAAGTTGTGCTTGTTCTAGTTACGGCCAATTAATTTTAATTGAGCTTGTTGTAGAATATGAATGAGGAAGCCACGTCAAGTTCAGTCATCAACTCCCGGAGCTCCAATGCTCACTTATTTTCAATATCTTTCTTTCCTCTTATTCATTCCCTTTCTTTCTTTGTGTACAATATTTCAGAATATACTCTCTCAACACACTTATTTGTGAGAATTTCGAAATGCTATTTGTTCGGCCCGCTCCATACAATTTTAAATTTTTTTGGGAACTATCATCACATTACTTAATTAAAGTCATTGAATTTGGAACATAAAGAGACAGCTTTTAGTTTTCTTCAGTTTTTTGTTATTTTCGAGTTGAAGCTGAGTTTTTCTCTGACTAATGAGGAGCTTTGGGACCAAGGAGAATGATGCGCTTCGTAAACAGTTCATAACAAGTTTTATGTTTCCATTTTCTCACACTTTACTTAAATCGCGTGCCACACACTTGAAATAAAATGGCCTCAGGCTAATTTTTTAGGCCCTTTCACATTTTCTTACTTTTGTTGTTTAGTTTGTTTCCGTCATTCAGACCTCTTATTTTTCCAGCTTCGTCTTTGAAAATGACCTCGAAGGATGGTAATGGAGCTTCTGAGCTTCGTCTGAACGTCACCAACTTCTACAACGACCAGGAAACGCGTCATCTTTTGCTCTCCGAGCAGGCCGCTAGAACTTTTAATCGGGACGATTCTGATCCAGAATTTGTCGGCGAGCGAATTTACGAAGTAAGTTTACTGTGACGTTTTTCAAGTTCTTAGTACAAACCCTAGTGGCCGATAGAAATTTAATTTACATGAGCCCTACACTGTCTTTTCTGCTCTAAGCAAAGATTGTATCATTCTCAAAAAAATAAAACTGTGGTAAACGCGTTGCGTAGAAGTAGCACAGAAAACAGTCAGTAATTCATCAGATATAATTAGAAATGTGTTTTTCCGTGCGTGATTGGTTCATCGGTATGGAGAGTTTCTCGCTCGTCCATGCTCGCTCTTTCCTTGTTCTGCACAATCGCCGTCGCCGTTATTGTTATCGCCATCGTTCTTCTATGCACATTCATCACTTTGTCTAGCTCTTCAGAGGTATTCCATTTACACATTTGTAAATTATTTTCCATCAGAAGTGCTTTCAGATTCCAGACGACATCACAAATGAGGACGTCATTGGAGTCATCAACTGGCTTCATTATCCAATAGGCGATTTGGCGCTTCGCCGAACGAATTACACAAAGCCTCACCAAAAATAAAAGCCTCATGGTCATTTTGTGTGGCATTGCCATTTAGTTAATAATAATCTCAACATGATCTGAGCAGCAATTTTCAATGATTCCCATCCCAAATAAAGAACATTTGTTTGAGAACACCTATAATTTACAGTGCTTTTACAGTGCTTTTTCGAGACATAGTAAACAAAGTGATTTGTGGACCGATGGTTAGAAACCGACATTGTGCAAACAAATATGGACGGTTTATTTTTGTCAAGTCTTCTCCTCTTCTCTGATCTATTTGTTCGCCAATCTATCTGCTTCCGTTTTGTTTCTAATTATCTTCTGACCACGGCTAACATGCTCTCTTCTAATTGTGTTCATGCGCATGAATGTTTTTCTACGTCACCACAAGAGGTCCAGAGTCTTCTCCTCTTCACAACATTTTGTGCAGTCGATAAGCAGCGGAGAAGGATGAGAGCACCGTTTTTGGGGAGAAACGCAGAGTTCTCCCTTTTCTGTGCTCTCTCTCGCTCTGTTATTTTCTCCGTCCTCCCCCGTTTTGGCCAGCAATCCATTTCCTTTCAAAGCATACGTCATTTTTCTCCTAAATCGAAATAGGGCGTTGACGTGAATTCATATTTTTTCTATTTTTTTTCTCAAAATTAGACATGAATTTAGTAACTCGTTAGTTATAAATAAATGTTATTTCACCAAGAAGTGTGTTTCTCATTCACAGAAAATGTAAAGTTTATCATTACCATTTCACTCAGTCATTGTTTGTGTTTTGTGCACACTACTGTGCATAGGTGTTTCAAGAAGAGGTTTGCTCACCTGTAGACACACCACATCACATGATTCCATAAATGTTCTATGTTTTCTGACTGCTGTTGTTCTCTCCGCTTTTTACCTTTTCTACATGTAAAGAACTTATTCTTCTTTAGATCAAAGATGATGAACGAATTGGAAGCTAGTGATTTACTTACGGAATTAGGAAAATCTTTAAAAACTCGGCTTTCCGAAGAATCTAGGGACTTGCCTGACGGTCTCGACTTCTGTAAGTCATTGTTTCAGACAAGAAAACAAAAACTCATATACAGATGACACCATGTCGGAAACTGAATGGAAAAGCGCTCGACTATCTTCCAGTCACAGCGACGATATCGGGTATTTTTCTTTTAAAATAATAAAAAAGACAACAACATCTAATGTTTTTATTCAGAAGTCTGAACGACGCGTTGAAAGTGCAACAGCTAGAGGAAGAGCAAGAAAGACTGAACAATTCGTTGTTTTCCCTCAGCTCTCACTTCGCGCAAGTGCAGTTCCGAATAAAGCAGATGAATGAAGCTGATACAACCGACAGAGAAGTGATTCAATCGTATTCTTCCGTAAATAAAACAAAATTTTCAGAAACTTCTGAAAGAGCTACAGGAATTCGCATTTAAAGGGTGCACAGACATGAATGAACTGCAACGGTTGAGAAGCGAAAGTGAGAGTGGGAATGATGTGCTGGAGAGACAGAATGAAAGGTTTTCACTATAGTCGATAACTATTATCACTTTATTCCCTAAATTTCAGACAGAAAGAGCTGCTCAGGCAGCTACGAGAGCAAGTTGAAGATCTGGAAAGAGCGGCTTATGAAAACGGAGAGGGAACTTTGCCGAGTACTGTCATACTACAAAAACAGGTAAAACATAACACTTGCAAGCAGATAAACAATAAAGTTTGGTTTCAGAAAGCTGTACTTGACAAACTTCGAGAAAAAATTGAACTGAACCTGGACATCGACAAAATGAACCAGTCAGAGATACAACGGCACGTTGACGACGCGTTGAAACAAGTAATTATACTCGAACGTTGAAAAATATCAAAACTTTAAATATCGAACCTGTACACCTAGAAAGCCAAGCAATACCAATTTTGAACAGATTTGAAGAAATTAAAACAGTTTTGAATTTTGTTACGCCCAATATCTGCTCGACTGTTGCTGAACTGTTGTTCGAAAGCTGCTATCACTCCAAAGTTTGCTCAAAAGTTACTTCCGTTCACCAAGAAGGTCGATCAGCAAAAACATATCCTTCTGTTTGATTGTTTCTTCTTCATCTATGACTTTTCTTCATTTAGCTCGTCAACCCATTCAAAGAAAAAGGGCAGCTTGTTGATCAATTGCAAACTCAAATCACCGACTTGGAACGTTTCGTGAACTTTCTTCAGAAAGAAAACTCAGAGAATTCGAATCAAAACACTCCAGTCAGGGTTAGTTATCAGAGTGGAATTGTGAAAGGTCCTTGTGCAAACGCATTACAGAGTATGGGATCGACACCTTTGTCCAGTGCTAAACCAAAAAACGCATCTTTTTTAAGTGGCATCATCGGTTGCTCAACTAGTCGTTTTCAGAAGAATCAGCTTAAGAACACCCTGAAAGGAAATCATTACGGGTATGTTGTCGTGCGTGAATCAACGTAAAAAACGAATATTTAGTGATGAAAGAGCACATGTTCAATTAGCAGTTGATGCGACTCAACAAATTTTGGAAAAGTATACACTTCTTTCCTTTGACTCTGCTTCAAAAGGACAACTTGAGGAAGTTCAAGTAGAAAATGACGAAGTGTTTGAAAGATCCGAGGAAGAGGTTGTGACAGTGGTTCGCAAACAGCTGTGTCCAGCTCTTAAAGCTCTTTTAGAGCATGGAATGTTACCGGAAACTATAGTTCATAAAAGGATACCAGGTCTTGGCTGTTTTGTTACAAAGCCAGCACTGAGCGAGAAAGCAACAACATTAAACCACATTTGGGATGTCATTTTTTATTTTTACAATATGAAAACTGGAAGAGATACCTCTGACGCTCCCGTGAGAAAACTCAGTCAATCATTCAAGCTCGATCATGTTGGTGGAAGGAGTATCACTTCGAAGCAGGTATTTTTCGTAAAACATGGGGGGAAGAATGGTAATGTGGAGGTTTAGGTGTTATTGACAACCATAGAAAACATCATTTCCACTCATGCAAAACTCAAAAGATCTAAAGATGCCCATTGGAAAGCATTTGTGTCTGCAGCTATGAATGAAAAAAAGCTTCCTGCTTGGTTGAGGTTCGTGAAATTTATTGCTCTAGTAAAAATGCTTTTTTCATTTATTCTATTATAGGATAATTTTTCGAACGAGACAAGTCGTTGAGATGTGCTACAACTCATGGAGCTATGTAGCTAGAACTGGTAGGCTCAACGTTTTTTTTCGTAATAGATAATTCAGTTCAGGTTGCGAGGAATTATACACTTTACTCGAAGATTTGCACAAATACAGCATTCATTTGCCGGTGGATTTAGCTTTAAGGCCATTTGAACAAATAAAAGATGCGTTTTAAAAGAATTTCGAAAAATCGAACATGAACATGTCAAAAATTGGTCCGGGATAATATTGTGTCTGATCTGTCTTTAGATTTTGTGGTTTTCAGTGCATATTTGAAACTTGATTAAAAAAATAAATATTTATTTCATTAAATAAAATGATTCAGTAAATTGACGCGCTTCAATGAATTTACCCGAAGAGGTCTGTGAGAACATTTGAAATATAATTGATGGGTGTAGCCTTTTTACATTTTGACCAATCAGCATAATGAACAGGATTGCTTCTGAAGAAATATATTAATAAGAAATTTTTCAAGAAGTCACGATATTATTAACCCTGTGACGTCATCCATAAAGCCAGCGTTTTCCAGATCTGTCTCTACTTGATCTTTGTAGTTTTTATAGAAACTGCGCAGATCCCTAACAAGTCCGATCATTGGGAATCTTGCCCAGTTCGACAAGATAGCATATTCGTATTGCTTGTGTTGCTTATTTATTGGTCCGACAACCACGATTTGATCTTAATGAGCACATTTTTCGCACTTCTATTTGCTAAAAATTACATGGGCATGGATCATCCTGCATGTAGACATAGGTTCTTTCGCGATGAATCATTCCGTACCCAAAAGCGACCTGTGAAGACGTTGAAGACAATTTTAATTAGATGCTTTCCGAAAAAACCTTTTCTCCGGCATCCACACTTCCTGCTCTGAACTTTTCTTGCAAACTAAACGCAGATGAGTTTCCGGACTCCGCTTGTGGCATGACTGAATTTATGCTAGTTAAAATTGTAATGATTGAAGAAATCTCTCACATTCTGTAGTCGCGCAATAGCGATTATGAACGGAAGGAGTGTCCATAGCCTGAAAATCATCAAATTACAAAAAATTACAAAGCTGTTAGATTTATTATCTCGAACTGTCACCATCACACCATCGTTTGGTATTTACTGCGTATAGCGGATTAGTTAACTCACCCATTGGAACTTTCCATAAAGTGCTTTGACGTTGACTTTTGGCGCCGGCAACAAACTGGCCAGATAATCCTGCGCGCCCGGTATGTTGCGTAACATGTTTTGGAAAAAGCTAGGCGACCTTGAAAAAGCATTTCGGAAGAATGGGAGTGGTTTTTGGAAAGATCAAACAATTTCCAGAAACTTACTTATCTTTTATCAATGGTGATCCACGGGGCAAACATGAACCTGCTCCTGGCAAACTTCCCATTAGTCCTGGCACAACTGGAACTCCGTCTATGAGGTTCATCGTTGGCAATGGGTTTTTTAATCTTAAGGAAATATTCTATTTACTATTATTTTCTCGGTTCGATAACTTCTTTGCCAAGTTATTATCCGGGTTCTTCTGAACGGTTTGAAGGAATTTGATCAAACCAACTGATTGACTGAATCAATTTTATTTTGAAGAAATGAATCAAAGAGAAAAACCTGGCCAAATCATGGAAAGGTTGACGTTCAACAGTTCCTGCATCTCCAGTCGACAAACCAAATATCTCTAGTAGCTGGCCATTAATTGATATCGCACCGACAAGAAGAATTAATGTTGCGTGATACGGAAAATTATGCATCATCATCATTATAACGGGCATTCACAATATGGAATAGTGTCGGTGACAAATATCGCATCTCCTTTCTCAACGTACAAGGCAGAGAGACTTGAAAGCAGACGAAAAAGAAAAAGATGGATCACAAAACGAAAAAGCCGGATTTTTTATTGTGACTTTCAAGTGGCCACGATCGCTATCTTATGTACGTTAACAGAATACGTGCAAAACTTTTAAGGGAGAATCTCATCATAGCAATTTATAGCACTCAGAGTCTACAGAATTTTAGCAAATCCGGCTTTTTGGCTAAGGTCGTTCGAACTGACAGTAAACAAATATAATTATGGAACAAGTTAGAGACCTTAAAGAATGTCCAGCGGACTTTCTTTTCGCCCCTTGTGTGGTTCCAAGCAGATAAATGCAGAATGTTTGGAGAGTAACTGCAGTTGTAGTCCTAGTTTCCATGAATTAATGTGGTACAAAAAAGTGACATCAATTGATTGAAGGTGTTAGTCTTGTGACATAAAATTCTGCAAATCTCTTCACTACTTTTTTCCAGAATTTTATTTCATCTTTTCCAAATAATTGCTTCTCAATGTCAAAAACACTCTTAAACGTGTATCAATGCACTGCATTTCCGGTTTTTCAATAAAGATGGAACCTCATGGTAGAACCGAAAGAGGATTAGCTGAATACAATTACAGACAATCCTGACTTGCGGGAATACTGAAAAGGCGGCATCACTTGACGATTTTATTCTGAATTTTTAAACATTCTATTCCGACATTGTTTGTTTGTGATTCCCAATTATAGTTTGACGAGTTATCTGCATTGAGCTAATGTTAATTTCAACGGAATCGGCAGGAAAACAGTTTGTGGAACAAAGTACACAACCAATTTGGCAAAATGCAAGCTTCAGAGCCCAAAATCATTGCATTCCTGCGGAAGTTGCAGATGGCTGTAAATTCAAAGAATCACCTCTATGCACACTTGTCGTGACATTCTCCGACAATCAGGTTTGGTTTTGCAAGTTTCAGCTTGAAATGGTTTTTATTCAAGTAGTTGTACCATCAAACGTTGCTTAACATACAAGACCGATAAAACCACTTGTAACTTTGCGATTTCTTAGTGAATTTCTTTTAGTGATTAGTTTTGAAATTACTTTTTTTCAGTTCCAAGAGAATTTGTTGACTTAAAAAATTTTCAGAACAAAGAAATAACATCAGCCCATGTGTTCACAACGACCACTCCGCAACTATACCCCCAGACAAGAAAAACAGTCTACCAGAATGGTAATCACCTCAATCTTTTCCCCTCGAAAGCTAAAACAACAGGAAAACCCAGTCAAGTAAAAATATAGATAGATTTGATGTTCGATTTACTTCTACTTCTGTTTTCTGCGGAATTTTTCCTGAATAGTCCCTTCTTCTCGTTTCTAGTTCTTCGTATTCTCTGCTCGCTATTGGCCAAATGTGGCTTGCCATTCTATTTGCCTGCATTCCTTGGAAATGTTTACTCTTTCAAAATGTCATGAGAATAGGAAAAAAGAAATTGCTCCGATAATGCCGATAACAAAAAAATGTGGCCAAAACTCAAATTTTAGGACAAGGAAGAAGACTTTGAAAGAAAACACTTAAAGGACCAGGGAACCCAAAAATTTTTTTATGTTTTTGTGAAATGTTTTTGTGACTGTTTGAATTGTCTCTTATTGCCTCATACACTGGTGAAATGCTGCCTCTCAAAAACGCCAATGAACGAAACGGCATGCAGTTGAAGTTGTGGCCGTGGCCTAGCGCCAATGGCCGAAAAAAATATAAAAAAATAAATGCGCTTCTCGGCTATTTTATTTTTTTCCGCTTTTTACCGGTTTTTCCAAAAAAATTCACGGTTTCTCCCATTTTGGCACTTCATATCGACTGAATGAAAACAATTTTTTAGCAGTGAAAAAATAAGTAAGTGCCGAACAAATGTCAATCAACTGAAAAATGGGAGAAACCGTGAATTTTTGGAAAAAAACCGTTAAAAAAGCGGAAAAAATAAAATGGCCGAGAAGCGCATTTATTTTTATATATTTTTCGGCCATTGGCGCTAGGCCACGGCCACAACTTCAACTGCATGCCGTTTCGTTCATTGGCATTTTTGAGAGGCAGCATTTCACCAGTGTATGAGGCAATAAGAGACAATTCAAACAGTCACAAAAACATTTCACAAAAACATAAAAAAATTTTTGGGTTCCCTGGTCCTTTAAGTGAAAATTTTTTCAACAAAAATAATCAGTTTCCGTCTAAAATCTAAAAGGAAAACCCAAGTTTATGGAAAATCTATTTTGTTCTGTTTGGAAAGTACTGAGAACGATTTCTCCGTTGCCGTATATAATCCGCGACCAATTGCACAAACAACGATCAACAATAGAGGTTCTTTGTGAAAAACTAGTAGTCCAAAGAAACAGTGTCACAAATGGGAACAACCGTGTACATTCTGTCTTATTGTGTATCTGTTCATCGCTATTCTTGCTGGTTTGAATAACCAGCACCGTTAGAAGTTACCTGACAAGCACAGCCACGACATACATACATCGAAGCTGCTCTTCACAGGCGTGAAGTGAATTGAAATAAAATTTGAAATTTATTTTCATAGGCTACACTTCGGCATCAGTTTAGAAAGTTTGTTCACAGTGAAATAGTGTTCGCGCATCTCTTACCAAGTGCTTAGCAAACAGTCACAGCAACTTTTTTTTAGATTTGAATACACAAAGTGCTAGGATGGGGTCATATTTGTGTATTTTTTGCTGTAAAGCGCGTTTGGCACGCTTATTTTCAGTTCGATTTTTCCTCCTTTTCTCACAGACGCTAACGCGACAAACCTTCGGCTATAGTAATACACTTCTTTTGTCTCTTTTAACCACGGGATAGTCCGGTAATACGCAAGGCCCAGGAACTCCTCTATTTTGATCGAAAAACCTCCCGGAACGCAACAAACAGGGTCAACCACGGTAGCAAAGCAATTAAAAATAGCTTACTGGCCGATCGTCATCGAGGCTATTAACGTTTAGTCAAATTGTCGCGGACTTGAATCAAATCCGTCTTACATTTATGATTATTCAATTTATTTTACAGGCTTACAAATGTCTCTGACCTCCACACCGTTTAGTACTGATGATGAGCGTTACAGCGGATATACTAACTCAGCGGTGAGTGTGCTGCGTCCTGTTTATTGTATTTATATAAAATATCAGATTGTACTACAAAAAAGGTAAAATTCCAGACCTCCCCCAAACAGTTAGTTCAAGAAGTATCACTATCTTACTCTTCTCCATATACTTCCACCGTGAAACGATCCAGACATTATGATCTTCCACCAAGTCATTCACCGTATTTGCTTGAATCAGAATACGACAAGAATGGTTCGTGCCTCAGAAACTCTTTTTGTAGAAATTGGTTAAACAATGAGTAATATAGAAACACCTCCGCACTGGAGTTAGCCAAATATAGAAGTGCCTCTTGTGAGAAAGAGAGCCAGTTTTTATTTCTTTTTTCTCAGACTCCCACTTCAGTCCTTTAACTTTCAACACTTTTAGAAGAGCTTCATTCACACACTTGTAGCTACGATTCACGTTTGTCCCAAGGTGTCGGTTCTGCCGCTAACAAATTTTATTCAGTGGAGCGACTTTTGAATTCTGGAAAAATTGAGACAGAGTTTCCAGGTAAGTCCCAGTTTTCAGAGAAGGTGGTAGATGCAAAAACGTTTTTAGCAAAAGTTTCGCCTACTGAATCGGTTCCCTATTTCTCTGCTCAGTCCGCAATCAAAGCAGGAAGAATCACTCCCGTTACCACTCCGAGAGCTACTCCGACATTCGATCAAGCTTCGACCGTTCGCCTTAATAGTGCTCTTTCCCAAAATACCATTGTTTCCGAAAGCACCACATTTGAAGAATTGACAACTATAACTACTTCCAAGTCAGTTTTATTTGCAAAAACGAGTGAAAGAATGTGAAATCCTATCTGCCTTTCCTCCCAAATCCCAATTAGTAAAGGAGATAATGGTAGTAGCGGTGAAAACCGATTATATCTCTAACTAAAGTCTGCATGTCTTGTTTGTTTTGGCCTAGATTCTGGCACCAGTTTCCCATTTTCACCATCGCATGGTTTTTTTGTTGATTTTTCAACCAAACGTTTTTCAGTAGCCGCACAACTAGAAAAAAAGAAATCAAGACAGAAGAAATGCCAACGGTGAACGCCCTTACCAAACAATTTGAGGCCACCACTCAACAGGAGAGAGTTGTACCGTTGCGCCCAAGAAACCAATCCAGTACACACCAAAACCAGCGGGAGAAATCAAAATCACGCGTGATTGTGATTGACAAAACAGAAAGTATGTACTTACTAGTTATTCGTGTCTAGATATTACAAAACGGTTGTCAATAACAATAAAAAACCAAGCAAGTTCAGAGTATTCAAACTCGACCCAGCCAGCGGTTGTTTACTCCCCGGGAGGTATTTTGACGACCACTATTGTTGACATTGAACCCGCGCGTTTCGGAAGGCACACAGAGGAATACAAAGTACTGAATTTAACTCGTCTGTTTTTCAAACTTTTTTTCAATTCCAGCTTCAAGAAGAATATATCGTTAAACGCTATGACAGAAATTCTCCAAATTCACGAGATTATAATAACTCTAGAGAAGTTCGTGCTTATGCAGAAGAAGACAGGGAGCGACAAGATTATGTAAGCAGCAAAAACACTTGAAAAATAATATATTTTGTAGTATCGCAAGAATTACACAAGAAATGGGAACTCGCCAGATAATCGCGAGAATATCGAATCACCAATTGACACATCTCCAATCGATGTAGTTCGAAATGTTATCGACCAGTTCGAAACAAAGATTGGAGGTTTCTTTAAAGTTTTTATTTTCAAAATGTTTCTTTTTTCAGGAACCACTCGTTCCTATTCTAGTGAACAACACCGGTCCATTTCAAGAATTGACATGAACGATAACAAATCGAACTTGCAAGAGGTTTTTTCTCGTTCTCAATTTCAAGTTAAAAGATCTTTCACAGAAAATAATTGTTCATCAAAAGAACGAATCAGAACCTGGCAAGCATGTGGAACGAATTATCCCAATATCTTCTTTTCCTGCGACTCAATCTGGACTTGTACAAAATTATGAAGAAATCAAGACTGTTATTATGAAACACACGCCGTCTGAACCGCTTCCTGTTACTCCACTCCCTATCCCCAACACCCAAGAAGAGTATGTTCCGGAAGAAACTATTGCCTCACCGCCGCCCGTTGCAACGCCTTCTCCGACGCTAGATATTGCAGAAGAAATTTTGAAAACCGACGTCATTCTCCAGGTTCTTACAACCAAGCCAACTGTGGTTGAGCACTCTCGCTCGACAATGACACAAGCGTCGAAGGGCACTGATAAGCACCCAAAAAAAGTGGAGTACGTCATCAGCGAAAATATGGAAAGACATCATGATCTCGTAACCGAGGAAAGTAGTCCAGCTACGGAAAATCAAACTGAACATGAAGTTACCGCCAGAACAAGAGACGATGATTATCTGCAGAACTTCTTTGATAGAGACTATCAGATTAAAACTTATGAAGAGTTGTTAACTACCACAAGAAGAAGAGCTAGATCTCAGCAGCCTGAAAGAGTTTGAATCTTGTTCAAAATTTTAAAGAAAATCAAAGTTTTAGCAATCGCCAGCTTCATACTCTTCAATGTCGGATAGATCAAGAACTATCGATAGATGTTACGGCCGAAATGCGTTTGGAAGTGGTCTATCAAGAACGTATTCCGAAGGTTTGCTCACTTTCTTCGAAATGACTTCACAAGTAATTCGTTTCCTTTTCTCAACTATTTCGAGTTAATTCATTTGCCGTGCCGCGTAGCATTTCATTCCGATTGTTAACTGATAAGCGTGTTAAACCGGGAAAAAACTATGGAGCCAACTGATTATCAATGGCATTTGAGGGCGGAGTTTGGCGGTTGGTTCAAAATGCGTATAAAATAGATAATCAGCTCTGACTTTTCACTCTTTTGTCATCGTTAGCAAGAGAAATGTCGACATACAGTGCGCAAACGCTTCACTACAACACCTATTCTTCTGCTTCTCAAGGTCGTGGACTTGCTAGCGGAGCCTATGTCACCGGAGGGCTCATCAGCGGAAATCTGGTCAGCGGCATGTCGTCGGCCGGAGCTATCTGCACTTCGCATATCCGCGACGCTCGTGAGCGCGAAAAGAGAGAGATTGGTCTGCTGAACGACCGTCTTGCCGACTACATTGAGAAAGTACGTTTTATCAATTTTTTGAATACACTTGTAGATAAAAGGTTTAGGTTCGTTTCCTGGAAGCTCAAAACCAATGTCTGAGCCATGACATTGACATTCTACGCAAAGGATTTAGCGGCGGTGGTCACGTTTCAGCTCTTTTTGACTCGGAAATCAGCGTAAGTTTTTCTCTCTGTTTTCTTTGATCACGACAATTTCTTATCAGTTGCTTGCTCATTAACCGTCTTTTATGATTTCCTTCAATAAAATTTTTTCCAGCAAGCCAAACGAATTCTTGAGCAAACCATCGCCTCCCGTGCTACATTCGAAAGAGATATTGCTGGACTTTCCGCTGATATTGACGTCTTTAGAAAGAAGTGGCTTGATGCCATTTCTGCCGTAAAGGCACATCGCGAGGATCATGACGTGGACTTGGACAGACTTGCCAAACTCGAAGCTGAGATTTCGCTCTTCAAAAGAAAAATTCGTATTGTTGAGGAAGACGTCATCAGAATTCGCCGCGAAAACGACGGAATTGCCAACGAAATCGCCAGAATTCGCCAACTAACCTTCACAGAGGTTGCTTTGAAAAACGAGCGCAGTTTGAATGTCCAAGACCTTCTCCAACGCATCAAGCTTCTTCAAACCGAGAACTCATCCAGAATCGAGCAAGAACTAGTTTTCATCCGCCGTGACACCACTGCCGAGAATCGTGACTACTTTAGACATGAGCTCCAGGCTGCTATCCGTGACATTCGTGCTAACTATGAAGAGGTAAACCTAGTGGATGCTGAACATTTTTCTTATTTTTATTTATTTAGATCAGTCTCCGCAATCGTAACGACATCGAAGTCTGGTACCGCGAACAGATCAGAAAAATTCAATCCGACGCCGGACGCGTCAACGTAGACTTGTACAGAGAGGAACTCGCTACCATTCGGTCCACCGTATTGAACGTCAAGAGCAGACTGGCGGAAGTTGAAAGCAGAGTGAGAATTCGTAGATGCGAAAGTAAGCATCTTTCAACTAATGTTTCAGAACTTCTTCCTTGAGAAGCATATTGCCGACCTTCGACAGTCAGAAGAGGCCAAGTTCTTTGAGATAAGCTTGGCAGAGAAGGACGCTCAAATAGCTAGACTTCGGGATCAATGCACAGAGCTCAGCATTCAAATGGAGAAGCTTTGCGACAATGAAATTGTGAGCACATTGAAAAGTGTAGTATTTAATTCATATCTCTAAATTCCAGTCCCTCCGAGCAGAGATTGAAAGATACCGAGTGCTACTGAATGGAGCGAATGTGACAACATACGTTTCCAACACCTCAGTCCCTGCTGGTCACTACTCCAGTTCTACCAGAGTCGTCTCCCAAACCACAAGAACTCATAGCAGTAGCAACACAAGTTACACCGGTGTCCCTGCCTCCCGAAGCGGTGGAATCACAATTGGTGGTAACATCGGAGGAATCTCGGTTGGGGGAACCATCGGAGCAACCAGTGCTACTGCCCATGCGACCACCGGCGCCGCAGGAAGCGGTACGTACCAGCAACGCTACACCTACACCCCGCCAAACCAATAAAAAAGAAAGTGATGCTTCCTTTCTTTTTCGTCACTTCCTGCTTTCTTTTTTAATTGTTGCCTTCGTATCCAATCCCGTGTCTTACTTTCGTTCTTGAGCAGATCTTGATTAGTTAGCAGATATCTGTCATAAGTCTCCTCGTGTGTGTATTGTTTTGCTTTGCGCTAGCCTCGATATCTGCTAAAGTGTTGTTTCATACAATACCATTAACTGTTCACGGTTTTTTATTCACTAAATAACCGTGAATGGTGATAGCAGATATACTTTTACAGCTCTACACAATACACTCTAAAAGACTTTTCCGCTTGCAATGTATGTCATCTATAGCGTTCATTTCTGCTCTCTTATTTTCTTAATCCGCTCATATGATTGATTGTAATCATTCTTTTTACATTAATAAACGCTGCTAATCAAGATCCGCACAGCAAAAGAGAAAAACCGACACGGATATTGTTGACGTAACAATTTTTAATCAATCTTTTTCAGTGCCACGTCCGGAAAGAATTCACGATGAAACTGGCACCGATTATTCTGGACGTAACTTCCATCGCTGGTACCTCGGAACTATTTCTGTTAATGTAAAGCAAAAAAAGTCATTTCCAAAAAATGCACGTTGCGAGTTTTTCAGCAAGTCACTCCAGATTTCATTGAACTGAAAAATATCTGCAAGATTCGGAAAGTCGATGTCGGTGGATTCAGAGTTGAGCAAACACGTGGTGGAAGTGTGTTGGGATCCACTACTATCAATGTCCCTCTTATTCTTGAACCGCAAGAAATTCTGAGAGTAAGGCGCCTGATTTTTAAGTAGTATACGCAGTTTTTTGCAATTCCAGATCAATTCCAGTCCCGGAAAGCATATTGGACAGTTCTTCATGGACGTTGAACAATTTGACATTTCGACCTCGGCGCGCACATCTCTCTACAATTACAGCGAGCCTGATCAGGTATTGGTATAAAATATTTCGAGTTAATATTTTTTTTATTTTTAGGAACGCGGATGGTTCGTTTTTCTTAACTAGATTGATTTCATCGTCAAAATAATGTTAATGCAAACATTTTCTAAGTGATCAAACCAAAATAAATTTGTGCATCTATCCGTATGTCTCCCATTCAATAACATCCACCAAGTTTTGTGAATCTATATTTTATGACAAACAAAAAAATATAAAATTTTTGTGCTTTCCTTTCAAACCTTCTCAAAGAGCCGTTGCAATCTTTTGGCCTTCCTTCACTTCATGTCAAATGTTTGCGACTGTATCATCATCATCAATTGGAATCACTTGGATCATTTCAATGGGTACAAGTGTTTGTTTAAGTGCGCTCTGATCATCGCAGCAATGCGTTAAGACGACGTTAAGCAGCACTCAATCAAAACGCGCCGATTCAAAACAGAAAACAACTCTAAGCACTCACCTGACCTCATTTTGTTTGTGTTTACATTCACTTCCGGGAAATTAACGTTTATTTCCAATGATAAACGTTCAGTAACCTAACTATTTCTATCCAAATGGGTGTCATCGAGTTCCCGGTTTGATCGCAAAAATTAAGCAGTTTCGTATTCTTTTTTCTTACAGAAAATACCGCAAACTGTTAAAATCTACTCGACAGTAACGCCAGGCACGAGGTTCGTATTTAATGGAAAATGTGAAGAGAAAACATTTTCATTTGCTCTTGTATCCACCTCCAACATTGCTTTGCTACTGGAGTTCGATTTAGAAAACGACAAATTGGTGAGAGCAAAGTCGTTTTTCAAAGGAATTTGGTCAGCTGAGGTAAACTTGTTTTCACTTAAATGGTTCATACTCGAAAATGTTACAGAAAATTTCCAAAAATCCAGTTCGCGCAAACACTGACTTCTTCATTCAGATCGTTGTGTCTAGAGAGAAATTTGAAGTGTGAAATCTGAAAATCATCCGCTCAAAATAGGCTTTATAGGTGTTCTCGGACGGGAATCATATTGTCTCCTTGAAACAAACAGTTCCACTAGACGAAGTGAATGGAATTCGTCTAATGGAAACAATGGAACTTCGCAGAATAGAAATGGATCAACAACAATATCAATAAAATTTTATTTGGTACCTTTTGTCTATATCTTCCTATGGTAGCAAATAATGCGGTAGATGTTTCGTAAACACATATTAAGAGGAGTGTCATACATATCACACAACAAACAAAAGATTAAAGACGTGCCGAATACAGTACACAGGTACTTGTCTTTGTGGTGGGTCAGTGAGCGAAGAGCCGATAATCTTCTTGTAATTCATTCACCTTATTTTTTGACAAAATCACAGAAATTTTCAGCAAATATAACATCATTAGTGGACTTGACATTCCAGTAGTGCACTTGGCTACTACTTGAAAAATGTTACCATTGCAAATTCGAGTTGGAAATTATCCTAATACCCTGCAATGCTTTTTCCACTAATAAGTTAGCTCCGTTTCGTTCTTTTTCCATCTCCTCCGTTTCAGTCCTCACTTCCTTTTTAAAATGTTTGCATAGTTTCGTTTTTGTGCAAACACGAGTTACACCGTGAACTGTCATGAATACACCCCGGGAGATGGAGGAATCAACGCATTTAATGGCTCTGCGTACATCTTCTTTGATTACATAGTAATGCCAATCTGTCATCCGATACGATGTATTCATTCACTTGTTGCGTATGAGATGACCGTTTAATTGAAAGACCTACATGATCGTGACCTGCTGATATCGTTTACTTATGATATGTTGAGTTTCCGATTTCACACCAATGCATGTCTTTTGATTCTTCGAGCACAACAAACAGCAAAACATGCCATCACTCTGCCAAAATTTTTAAAATGTGTTTATTGAACAGGAAACTGGAGTACCCCGAAACACGTTCTCTTCCAATTTCTCACTGATTCTTGTCGATTAATGGAAGGAGGCAGGATACGAAAAACCGCCGTGTTGAGTGATGAGTGCTTTCCGCTGTTTGAGCATTGAAAAGTTGATGAGAAAGCAAGAGACGTTTACAATGGATTGTCGGGACGACCGCCGATTGATATAATGCTTTGATGATACCGTAATTCAATTGTGTGTTTGACAAAAACGAGCAGGAAAATATGTCGGTGATAGGCCACTGATTTGATTATTTGCAATGCAAACAATGACATTTTTTTAGAATCAAAGATTTTCCATGTTTTATATTAAGCTCCACAAAGAAATTATTAGAATGTGAACCTCATTGTTTTATAAAGGGTCTCATGTTTTAGGTTTAGACTCACTGTAAAAGGGTTTTCTTTGTTCGCATATTTTGAAAAACTCGAATAGAACAAAAAGTGTGTCTGCAATTGCTGATAAATGTTCGGTGTGCATTGTTTCTGTAGATATTTTCAGAAACTTCAGTCAGGCAAAATTTCAGAAAACGCTTGCTTTTGCTTCTTATTTCGAATGAATTTCCAAATCTAAGACATGTGATACCAACACATTAGTGTCTTGGAATCAGAATAGGAAAGCTATTTGCTAAGAAGACCGGGAGGAGGGGGATGCGCGGAAAGAGCCAAATGCTTTCTACCGTACTCCCGCCCCTTTGTATACACCGAGACAAGACGGGCTATCGCTTTCATTGCTCTTTCTCTCCTAACACCACCCCTCAATTGCCGCCCGCTCAATTACGATAAACTAATCAGTAAAACTATGGATCAAAAATTTTACATCTCTAGTTTACTGCAAGACACTCTAGATGTTGTTAAGGTATTAGTCGTTTTGTACATTATTAAAATTATTACTTACAATTGTTGGTCTAGAAAGAAAAAATAGCCGTGGAAGATAGAACGCTTTCTCCAGCGCCAACAGGAAGTGAGTGTTCTATGAATGATTCGTCAGATACAATTCAAGACCAGAAGGGATTTGAAGATTCACCTGAATGTAAGCAACGCCATAGTGACATAATCTTCATAATACAGGTTTTTTTTTAGCAAAGTTGGATGGAACTGCTGAATTCAATCCCTGGATGATCATGACACAACAATTGGCGCAATTGTCACAAGCTGGAAGAGCGCGGCCAAATGTTTCCAGTCAAATTCCACTTTTGAATAGTAAGTTCATGATAATCCTTAGCAATCTGGTGAAGTTTTGGGGTAAATCTTTCATACAAATATCAATACTTGTTAGCAACGGATTACTAACCATAATGCTTTGTTGGATTAAGGTGGTTAATCCAATTAACTGTGTAAACAGAATAGATATGGGAATGATAATAAGAAACATTATTGCAGTGAACCAATCCCTTGGGAACTGGGACCCACGCTTCTCATTTTTGTATCCATATATGAGCAAGTCTCCGCAGAAAAGAAAAGGTGGACAGATAAGGTAGATAGCAGCTTTGTCTCAACGTCGTAGACACCTGAAATACGTTTCAGATTCACAAATGAACAGACGGATGCATTGGAGCACAAATTTGACTCTCACAAGTATTTGAGTCCTCAGGAACGCAAAAAACTTGCCAAGTCGCTCAGTCTAAGTGAAAGACAGGTGATTGCAATGTTTTTATTGGATACGCTGCGCAAAGGAGGGTCAATAGTGGGTTACGGTAGCCCGTTGCGCAAATTTCGATAAATTCATATTTCATTCTTTACAAAAATAATTGATAATATAGTCTTTTGAATATTTTTGCGAAACGCTTAAAAAACCAACGCGTATCTCTCAGAACCCACAATTTTTAATCATATTTTACTAAGTCTTTCAAAGTGGCTTATGCCCACCCACATACGTAACATTATTCTTTCTTTTGTGTGGATGTGTTCACATTTTTTCTAAGACGTGTTTTTAAGGTAAAAACATGGTTCCAAAACAGACGTGCAAAATGGCGGCGAGTGCGCAAAGATGGAGAAGAAGAGGAAGAATTGCCGAATGGGGCATCAGCCAGAAGTCTGGGACAACTTCAATCTACAAATCCTTATCTTCATTGCTAGGGAGCAGTGCACCTTTCAGAGTTGTCACAATATCATTTGTATTTATTCGATCTTCATTAATATACTTGTGGTACATAACAGATAAAGTAATATAGAAACACTGTCGTTTTTTTCAATTGAATAGATTTTGTATGCTTATGCCATCATAATGTTAAACAACTGGCATTTACTTCATAACATTTCCGTAAGCTAGTGTAATTCCATTTTATTGTACACCTAAACATTATCTTAATCCATTTCTCATAACACCCCCACCTTGAACTTTGAAAGAATAATCCGATTCATGTTTCTTGTGTTCAAATGGCTTCCCCGAGAAACAGATAATCATTTTTCCAAGGAATTAAGAAGCTTATACAAATGGAAGTTTAAAGTTACAGAGATTTTGCGACGGGAAAACCTAGATGAAGCTGACTGGTTGCTATCAGATTACCACTGGGCGTATTACCAAGCGCATAACTTTATGCTACTTCGTTGTTCATCTTGTTAATGTTTTATGACGTTACTGTTTTCCACGTAGCTTTGAAAAAGATTAGCATTACTTAGTTACTTTTGTTTCAATTCAGATGATTAGTCTGTGCTGACGAATTAGCAACAGATCTCTAAATAGTGCAGTCTAAAATTGATGCACTCCTCGGAGCGATCTTTGGTAATATCTGAACAAGAAGATCTGACATTTCCTTGTCAACCTAAAAAGTTCTGTTCGCTTTTCTCCACTTCTTCTTTTCCTTCTTCTCATACATCATCAGATTTTGTGTTCACGCGGCTCAGTTTCAGGATTAAAGAAAAGTTTGTGGGAGCGAGACCACCTTCGATCACTTTCCATGCAGTGAAACGCCCCCTCGTCTTTCTAACGCATCAGGGGGAAGTATAACCCCGCCTTTCAGCAGGGCATCATTACCATGTCTTCTGAAAACAAAGTGTGGCCCCGCCTCTCAGCACCTCCGTCCCCTGAGAATACATTTCCGTTTTTGAAAAAGTCAAGATGACCTTCTTCCCGAAGATTAGAAAGCAACACATGTTTTGTTAAAAAGGAGGAAAGAGCAAATTCGTTAGGCATCAGGAAGTGACGGCATCCGAAAAGACCTTAGAACCTTTATGAGAAGAGGAGGTCTTCTCATCATACTTTTCTATTCCATTTCCGGCTCCATCTGTCCTGGCATCCGGGCTCAATTCTTTTCCCATCACCCTTTTTCGCATTTGTGAACCAAACCCAAATCATATATCAAATCTCACCCACAACTCATTTCATTTCATGGAACCCGACATTACTATTGTCTCTGACGTTTATATCTTGAGATTGGCTCTCTGACTTTCGGACTCCGATTCAAATTCACTCTGACGTTTTCTATAAAATCGGAGCAAAAGCCAAAACATGTATGTGTACTGGGATTTTGTTAGAATCCGTTGAAAAATCTCTCCTTACCCCTGATGAGACATGAAAAAATCATGAAACAAGGTTTCTCTATGATGTTTTGATCTTTGCTTCATTATTGAGAATTTCAAGCAAAAAGGACAGATAGAGACTCTTCAAACCCAAGGTCGGAAATCCGAACAAGTGCTCATCTGTCTTAGTTTTAAGGAAAACTTGTCACTATGAAACTATCGTTTATTCGCTTTTCACTCTGGTTTTGTACTATGGATTCGTAATTCTCCATTTCATTTCAGATCACATAAAATGTACCTAAGACTACTATTATCCACATTGCTCATCACTTCCTTTCCGTCCTGGGTTTCCACTATGACGCTGGTGAGTTTTACCTATTCCAAACTGCACTTCTTTATCAAATTGTGGTTTAGAAACGACACTACCGTAGACCAATTTGTGAGCCGTCTCAATCCTGCTCCTACAGCTACCAACAATTCACATTTGAGCTTTGTGATTGCCCAAACATGAAAGTGTGTCCTGTGAATAATGGCGTTCAGCTCAAAGGAATTACATATCAGGTTTGTGGTGACGACGGTGACGAAACTAATCTGAAGAGCACTTGCGTCACGGCAACAAAGCTATAATCAAAGTACACTGGCGTTGTGAAATTCCAAAAATAACCTTTTGACGCCTGTAATTTGTCTAGGTCTTGGGTACTTTGAGGCTGTTTGGAACCTACGCGTTGCTTGAAATGCTTAGAAAAGGTGCTGCGGAGGTTTGAACTAGAAAACAGGAAACTATGAATACTGGGTACATTTGAGAACAGATTTTAGCCATTTGGAAAGTTGGAACTTTTATGAAAATACGATTATTGACACTAACTTCCAAACGCAACTTGCTGTTTTAGTGGTGAAATAAGTTTGTTCTACTGAGATGGACACGTTTTTTAATAAGGAGCTGAATATTTCTTGGTAACGAGCAACGGTTCAATTCAGCTAGAGAGCCATACAATTATTTCGTAAACTATTAAAGTCCACTTGTGAAAAATACATTTGAAAAGGAAAGCAGCAGATGAAAACAGCTTCTAAAAGTGCTCTTTACAGTTCAAATTTACTCATGTTTATTGTGAAATTCCAGTTCTGTTCTGCACGAGATCTTCCCGTGTGCAGATCCGATGAGATAGCAGCCGAAGTGAACATTCTACAGACTTCCATTTACTGTGTCTGCCCAAACAACAAAATTTACATGAAACAGAAGGGCACCTCCAACGCAAATGCTAAATACGTGTGTCAGGAAGTGAGTTTGTCAGTCACATGCCTACATTTCTGTCAGGTCTCTCTGGTTTGTTTTGACATAAATTCTATTTTTGTTTGCCATTGAGCCGGGGCCAATCAAAGTCAGAGTCTTACCGAATGACCTGACAAATACAGGATAGAAAAAATTGTTAAAATAAACGCATTTCTAGAAGCGAAAGTTCCGGAAGTTGGCTGAACTTGAACTTCGCATTCGACAATCTATAATCACGGGTAAAAAGATTGCAGATCTGACGTATTCTTCTAATAACAATACCCTTTGTCCAAAAACCATTTCCTTGTGTGTTCTGTTCTTCGCCAACCCATTTTCTTTGGAAAATTACATTAATAATTCCTAAGCATGGTGTATTCTTATGACGAGTATAGCTTTTTTACTCAGATGATGTATAACGACATTTATTATTCTTTCCAGAAAGCAATGTGCGAGCCTGGACATATGTGCGGAGTAGGAAATCCTCTCGTCGGAATCAAGTGGGACATACCAAAATCTGGAAAACATTTGAAACCTTTCTGAAAATTTTCAGGTCGCTTTGTCAATGCGCCAACCATTACTTGTGCGTGCCTTCGACTCCAGATATCTTCAGTCCACTCTCGATGTTGAACGCTACTTGCAAACACAGCAAAGATCTTCCTTAGAGACTGTCCCTAGCATTATCATATCGATATTAATCTCGAAATTTTCGGATGTGTACATTTAACCTATTTTAAGTACTATTCATATGCTAACTTCCATTACGTGTTTTTGTTTCTCATTTTTCTCATTTTCACATTTCCTCCCAAGGTCAACGTTAGCTGCTATGCTCCATTTTTTCATTTGCTCTTTTTCGTTTTCTGATTGAAAACACAACAGGACATTCTCCTATTTCATTCACATCGCCACTTGACGATTGCATGCTTGAAGATGAATAATAAATGTCAAGAATAAGTTCGGTGTCAGCTAAACCTAATAATATAAAGGTCGTGGAAAAATCAAAAGAGTGGAAACTTTGAAACCTTCAAGTCACGTTCCGTGTTTTGATTGTTAGCTTGAGTTTCGAGAAATTGAATAAACTGGATTGAAACTAGTAAGGAATGTTTCTTACTAATTGAAAAGTGAGAAATGATAGAACCAGTTGCGTTTGTGCTGCCCCACTGAAACTCGATGCAATGGCCGGCGGGAGAGATTGTGCCTCCGGGTATTTGGCTGAGCAGCGCTCTCTCTGGCTTTACACACGTTTTCTGTTGAGAATCCCGGGACGAGAAGGGAACGTGGGGATCAGAGAGATACAGAGATTCCCGGCGGGCACACTTTACTCTCCGTCCCCGGCGCTCACTCTCTCTCTCTCTCTGAGCCGCAGCAACCCCCACTCTTTTGTCCTCAGTATGTGTAGCTGTTTTCCTTTTTTATGCAGTGTTTCATATAATTCATCCGAAACACTGTCCTTGGAATGCGCTTTTGAAATCTTCCCACTTTGTTTTAATTAAGCATCTTCAAACTCTTTCAAACTCTTTTGTACTTGTTTACTTTCGGCTATATGAATGATTGCATACATTTATCGCTTCAAGAACAATTTCTGATACCTCCCATCACCTAATAAAATTAGTGATAACTCTGAATAGCGATATTTGAGAGAGAGAGAGAGAGAGAGTGAGATACAGAGAGAAAGCACATTCTTTGAGCATTCATCCACCCGCTCGGCTTGATTTTTCTCTTTTCTCGACCTCACTGTCAAACAGAGATATCTCCCATTTGCTCGTCTCAGTTTTTCTTGTTTTAATGTTAATCCTTAGCATACTTTCTAAATACTTTTCAAGTTCATCAAAGCATAACACATAAATCCGGACCATTTTCCAGAAGACTTGGATAATGAGTGAGAACGAAGATGGAAAATCAGAGAATGATGTGGAAACTGTAATTACTCATCCACTCTCTATGTTTTCAAGTATCATTAGTTTCAGAGAAGAGATAAAATGTCAGGAGCTTCATCGCTTCTGATTGAAGAGGGGCTGTCACTATTGAACTTGAAGTCGTCACTGAGTCCAAATGTCAGACCAGTCAGCCCGGATTTATTGGAAAGAGCGACACCAAGTCCTGATTTCGGACTTTCATCGTCTAAGTGAGTTGTTGACGAGTAGTTGCGCTTGTGTGTACAGCGGAAATAATACATTACACTCCCGACAAATTCTTCGTATGACTTTTCTTGCATTCGATTCATCTGGAAAACTGAAACACTGAAATATCAAGATGATTTGCTTTTTCCTGCTTTCTACCCTTATTCAAAATGTTTTCTTTTCTTGAGAATTAAATAAAAGAAAGCGTTTTGCAAGACAGCACGAGGAGCCCGTCCAAGTACTTCGCGTAGGTAAACACTATTAAGTAAAAAAATGTGGAGGTGGCTTTTGCGCGGGCGTCAGTGGCGCCGCTGTGCACACTGTATGCCACCACAAACATTTGGAAGAGGAAAACGACAATTCCAAAACGTTTTCGGCAAAGCGAGATCTTAGCCACTTAAAAAAAGCGAGATACGAAAATAGGCAATTTGATAGCAAAAACTGATTTCAGACTCGCCAAAGTACAAGTACCACGGTTCAAGAGAATTGACTTTGATGATAGATTGGAAGATATCAACTCCAAGAAACCGGCATGGAAGTCCTGGCAGGAAAACATCAAAGATTCTTATCACAAGGTTCATATTTTTATTCACATTCGGCTCGTGAATGAACTAGGCCAAAGAGACAAAAATATGTTTTCTGTGACAAATTGGTAAACTGACAGATATGCGGATCAAATTGACATAGCGTTGCCGCTACAAATCTATTTAACAATCCCAAAAATTACAGGCAAAAGTGAGTGCCGAGAAAAAGAAAGAAGAGAATGAGTTTATGGAAAACATGACACTTGGCCGTTCTCGTCCAATTCGCGGAGAAAGTCCGTTCCGAACTCTTTCAATGGATACTGGCTTCATTCCATCTGTTAGGTATTATTTGGCTGAGGGAATGGCCCGCACTTACCTTGGGCTTTTGGAATGGGACCTATATGATTCGAAAGAGAATTTCACGGAGAATCCGAATCTGCTCTCCATTTTTGCTAAAGAGCACGTGCCTGTTTCTGCCACATTTTCTAGCAAGTTCATCTTCGGCGACCTGTATCTCAAGAACCACGCGTCCATTGCAAAAGTGGTCAACTAGTAAGTTAACGCAAATTATCTCATGAATAACTTTGTAGTTGATTGTCTATTTAAAAAAAAAACTAGTTTTCGAGTTATCGTCGCGTTTTTCTTGTCGCTCTAGGAAAACTGTTCATAACTCGAAAACTATTTTTTTTAAAAAGACAATCAACTACAAAGTTATTCACGAGATAATTTGCGTTAACTTACTAGTTGACCACTTCTGCAACGGACGCGTGGTTCTTGAGATACAGGTCGCCGAAGATGAACTTGCTAGAAAATGTGGCAGAAACAGGCAGATTTTTTCGCCAGCCAGTGCTCTTTAGCAACAATGGAGAGCAGATTCGGATTCTCCGTGAAATTTTCTTTCGAGTCATATAGGTCCCATTCCAAAAGCCCAAGTAAGTGCGGGCCATTCCCTACTGAGCACAGTATACCAAACTAACATCTACATATGTTCAACAGATCCCGCAGCAGTATAATGTCTCCTTCGCTATCCGATCGTTCGCGGCTAGCAACTTCCTCCTCGATTTCTAACATGTTTAATGGTAAGAAATCTTAGAACTTCTCTGACTTATTTATGTGAAACAGCTGGTTCGGGACCATATGCAGCCCCCGCTGTCGGCATCTCGCAGGGAATTGAATCGAGATATGAGGAAAGAGCGAATAATGTGGAACTTATGTAAACTGAAAAATTGCACAGGAGCGTTAATTGACTTTTTAAAGGCTTCTGAAATCGGCGCCACTTCCAGAGCGGTATAAGACCATCACGACGCGTGAATTCAGAAAGGCACCAGAACCGTCAGCAGGAAGTTATTCAGAAAAAGACGACTATGATTTTTCGGTAAATTTACTTTTGAAAAGCTGTTATTTCGAAGACATCACAAAAAATCTGTGATGATTCAGCACTATACAACGGCTCGTCCATACTACTCACGTCCCAATCGTGATGATCCAGACTACTTTGATTTTGATTTGCAACACTCCGTTGATATGTTTAAACGTCCTGAAGGGAAATACATTCCAAGAAGGTAATTTGTGCAATAGATCAGTCATTTTGAAACGTTGTTGTTCCGTAGACCACAGGATTGGGAAAACAAGTTGATAAGCGAGTCTGCTTCTAAAGGTACCGCTCCACTTTCTGGACACATGTTTACAAAGGTTTTAATAGTAGTAAGAGTCCTAATAACTAGCAAGAAATTCAGACTGACACAGACTGGAGAAATAACGGAACATCATACTTGAGTGCAGCATTGCGAACACCAAAGTTTTGGGAGCAGCGATTTGAGAACATTGGAAAACATGTGCGAGACAGTAATCCGATTAGTCTGGAGAGCATTAACAGGTAAGTAACTAATATTTTGCAACCTGTTATCGGATTATTATTAGTTTGTGCGTACTGAGTGAAATTTAAATGAAAAGTCCTTAGGAGAGGTGACCGAATTGTCATTCCCTGATAAAGGATTATGAAAAATTGTCTTTTTGGAATAGTAATCTAACATATTTAAGATAAGTGTATAACCCCTTTCTTGTGTTGTAATTGTGATGTTTTGTTTTGTTTTTCAGAAGGATACGCACACTTCAAGACATAAGAGCGTAAGAAATACTTATTAATCAAAAAATTTCTAACATAAATGTGTTTGAGAAAATGTAAGTCAACTACCCGCATACAATAGATACTACTTTCTGTTATTAATCATCTTTGAGTCTCTGAATGAACTAACAGGTATTGTATAATGCGTGAACTCTTAGATTCCACTACTAGCATCTTATTATATGTTCTGGAAAAACCGAAACAACTAAATATTATGTTGCTCATGCGCTTTAATAGCCACTAATATTTGTTATATATACTTCTTCTTGCTCCGTCTCAAAATCCCATCGTTCAATTTTCCTTTTTTTTTGAACCTCACACAACATTATTTTTCAGAAACCGTCCAACTCCAAGCCGTTTTACTGAGTATCGTGACCCAGATTACGATGACTACGAAGATTCGTTGGATGATTGAGCACATATTTGATTCTTGCATTTTGGCATCAGATCCAATTCTGTTGTCTATCCAAGACAACAGACAAGACGTCAGAACTCTTTCTCTGTTTTCTCTCCCATAAAAGTCAGCTCGTATACCTGCCATTATCGGATTCTTTCCGAAATGTATGCTTTCGCCTTCTTCTGCTAAGTTCACTTTGTACTGTTTAGCATTATTAGTCTTTTGGCACTCTCAAAAAACGTTTAAAAAATACTTTTAAAAACTATTTAGTCGCGTGTAATATATCTGGTAATAGGTTAAGAGAATGGTCCCTCATAAAAAGAAGGATTCCCCTTAGACCTACAGGAAAAACAAGGGTCCCATAAAAAAGTAGAATCCGTTGTCACTGAAAATGCCTATTTTATCACTAATTGATTATGAACACCGCTCAAAGAAAGTTTGAAAAGTTTATTCGACCGCCCTGTGAGTCAGTCTTATTAGTTCGATTTAAAGAGCTTGCTCAATTTCAGCATCAATTCATGTAAGAGAATATAACTTTTTTGGAATAACGAACTCCTTTTTCAACTCAACAGAACGAAAATTGAAAATTCAGAATTTTCGATTTTTTGACCATGTGCGATTAGAAGCCTTGTTTTTTTAATCGGACTCTTATTTTTCAGGGGATTCTTGTTTTTCCGAGGGACCCTAGTTTTACACTAGTACCATATATATCCTTGGTCATAAAACCAAACCTTCTATTATACTTTTCACATACTTCTTTCATTTTTTTGTATCCCCACATAAGTTCTAAAAGTTTTCCATGTCTTTTTGACATATCAATGGTTCGTGCATATTGTCTCAGTTGTATCATATAAATGAACAGTTACTCTTCACAGCTTTTTAACAATCATTTAACTAATAATGCAATGAGAACAACAATTCAATAGTGAGAGCAAGAAAAAAATACATGAAACTCGCCCCTAAGGAATCGAAAGGGGTAATCTATTGACCAAGACTTTCTCGGTTGTCAGCTATTACAAGCACATTGTTTCCAAGCATACCGGTCAAAAAAGATCGACATGTTTCTGCAAGAAGTCATATGCGCTCTCAAATTACAAAGCGCACAGCCGTAAGATTAACTACGAGATACACCGCTGCAAGTTTTTTGTTCTGTGTACTCTAGTGAGTTAAAACTACCAGATTCGTTAGAAAAGATACTTTGATGTAAGAAAAAATAAAAGTGAGTATAAATTCAGAAACAGATGACTGCGCGTAGATTCACGTGTTATTTTGTCAATTTCGCTTTTGTTTCGATGTCACATTTCTAGATAATTATCCTCTTTTTATCATAGTTTTGGTAAAAAGGCATAGCATACATGCTTCAGTTTTCTTTAAATTCATTTTCAAATTGAGATTAAAAAAAATATTCTATCAAAAAAACCTCCGTTTTCAATGGTGAGAAATTGAAATTCCGCGGTGTCCTGTATATGTAGAAATGTTTGCTTTTGTAGGTATGGTGTGGATTGTCGCTATGAACTCAAAAAGTGGTATGCGCGAAGTAGAGTGGCAAAGGCAGAGACCCTATGCTCACGGATTAGAGTGGATGTGCTTATCGATAGAAGTTCTTGAAAGCCCTTGAAACCCATTGAGCACGCAGCGTACAATGAGGGAGGAAATGCTTACTTGCAGCGCAACCTCCCACTGTTACCACAAGTACTTTTACCCGCTACTTACCGATCCTCGGGACAAGAGTAGGTAGAGTAGGAAAACTATGTCCTCCTTCTTTATCAATTGTTTGGTTCGTGGAATGCATTCGTCTATAGTTCGTTTTGCAATCCGCATAAAGAACTATCTCATAACTTTTCATATTTGCTATTACTTCATTACTTCACAGTTGTGTAATTCTTACAGATCGAAAATCGAAAATGCGATTCTTTGCCATTCTTCTTGTACCAATTGTCATTGCCGAAATCTGCCCCATGGACAACCATGCTGTCTGTAATTCTGGACACTTGACATGCACTTGTTCTGTAGCTCAAGTTGATGCGAGTTTTTTGTCAAATTATTAAACGACACTTTTTAGTATTAATATAGTTTCTAAAAAATTTTCAGGAAAATCCAGTGCCGGTGGTATCATGTAATTCATTGATTGCTAGAGACTTGGAGACAGGAAACTTCCCCGTTGTATCTGTAGAATTCGATCTGAACAACTCCGCGGAAGCCCTCGAAGAGTTCCCAGAGGATGCTTTCAAAGAAAAAATATCTTCTTCTCTTCGCGTTGAAGAGGTTTGCAAAAAACGTTGAATCGTTCGAGTTGAATTTTTTCAGGAAGATATCGTGATTCTTCGTACAAGCTGTCTTGGAACAGAAGACAAATTGACTGTTCAGTTCGTTATTCAGAAGAAGGTGAGATACACGGACTGTTCGACTTAAAGCTCATTTTTCAGGATACCAATTCCACCGTGCTTCCATTTGAAATCGACCAATTGATTGATGCCGAGTCCATTGCTACTAGAATGAAGGCCATGGGTCATCTTTCTCAGATTGCTAACCTCGACGTCGACACCATAGAATACGTATGTACAGAAGGAGCTTCGTACAATTTTTTCTTTTGAACAGTATCACAGAAGAAAAATCGAAAACTCGAACTTGTTTCCAGAAATGCAGATATCAGATTTTTTCTAGTTTTCAAACTCACATTGACTAGCCTTTTTGTTTTACTTTTCGGGAGCTTCTGTCTTCTCAGCAGCGGAGGAGAATAGAAGCTACTACCCCAATCACGTGATTGACTTGAAACCGATTCGAAAATATGTTTTGTATGTTGCTCAATTTTGTTTTGGCAGTGAAGAGATCCCCCACTCACTCATTTGCACTCAAATGCGTCGTAACAATCACATGTTAGTATTGGAGCAGCTGGTCGATTCTCTCTTTTTCTTCTTCTTTTCAAAAAACAAACGTTCATTATCAACTGACGTAATATTAAATTTCTAGAGTGCAAAAAAACACAAAAGTACATACAAATTGGAATTTGGGAGTAGACTTGAGAACTTTTAGAACGTGTTTCTGTTGTTTTTGTAGACAATATTGAATACCTTCCAAAAAACTAGTTTCTGATGACGTCAGAAAGTTACAGACCGATGAACTTGTTGACTTGGAATTCGACCCCAGTAACGTAGAACTCATCTTCAAGGCTGTTCTCCTTGGCCTCGTTTTTGGATTCTTCTTTGTGCTCGGAGTTTGGAGACTGACCAAGAAGGGTGACGACTATGCCGACGACCTCCAGAAAGCTTAATCGCTTTGTACTTTCTTTGTTTTTTATTTGAGTTTTCCTGGTTTTTCATTTTTTTTTCCCTAATCTTCATTTCCCGACGATATTATATTTTCCTCGTAGAGTTCAATATTTTTCTTCTCCGTTCAATATAAAGACTGAACCACTTTTTAAATTTTTAGACATATAATGTCAATTACGGCAAACAAAGAACAGCGCGAAAGAGATTTTTATGGCATTTTACAAACATCACAGAGGACAAAGAAAAAACAGGATGTTACTTCAGACGGACAACCAGGATGAAGAAATAAAAAAGGACCTGCAAACAAAATAAGTACAATATCATTTTTACACTGGAAAGAGAAGTATGATCAATGCAAAAATGTTGTTGAATCTGGAGATACTGTCGGCAATGAATATTATTCCGGACTTCATTCCTGAAAATGTATATTTTTACAACCTCTCTAAACGTTATCAAATGTATCGACTCTGGCAACTGATTGGTAGTTTTCCTCAATCTTGCCAAAAAAACTTTTTTTTTGGAAATTTAAGTTCAAAAATGTAAAATACCCATTTTATTCTCAAGATTTCACACGTGTACGCTTGCTTTCCACTTGTTTTTGCGCTCCCTAGCTTTCATTGTTATGAAATCAACCCGTCCGCAAGAAGAAAAGTCACCGGGGAGAGCGGCAAAGTTCGAGAACAAATAGAAAAAGCAGAAAAACAGGCCTAAGTAAAGAAAGCTATTCAGAACAGTGCATTCAAAAGGAAGTAAACGTACATTATCCTGAAGAAGTGCTCCTGTTATCTGTCGTTTTATCGCGTGCTGTTTTGCGAAAAGTGTTTGTGATCCATCTGAGAACTCCGCGTTTTTTTCTTGTCTCTTCCTCATCCGGTTCTATTTCGCCAGAACTGTCATCTTCTGAGTTAGGCCTGCTGCGTGATTTAGGTTCGCTTTTCGCAATTTTCGGTGAAGCTCCAATTTGAACACTCGATGACTCGCTGAAGGTTTTATGCCGTTAATTTGCCGTTGAATTCTTTCTCACCTTCTGCTATGACTGATTAATTTGTGGCCAATAGATGATGGCTGATCGGCCAGCTCGACACCTTCCTGAATCGCCGACAGTGTAGATTTCCGAGACATCATTGACTTCGGTGGGCTTCTCGGAGCAGATTTGACAACAGCCACTGTCTTGCTGCTGCGACTTGTGGACGGTTTTTGAGAGATGTTTCCAGTTGAAGCGGAACTTCGTGGCTTTACAGGAACTAGCCTGTCGATTGTGGTCGAACTGTTTTGAACTTGATGGAAGTGATCCAAGGATTGCGCCCGACTGCGAACATTTTTCACAGGAATCTTTTGCATTGGAAACAATCGCATGTCCTTGGTGATGATTGGTGCCAACATTCTGGAAACGTCTGGTTATTCTCGGCACCGAAGCACATCCATTTATGTATGCGTGGTTCAAATGCAAAAGAGCGAGAAAAAAAACTCAAAGCAACGCTGTCATGTCTGGTCAAAAGAACAAATTACTAATTTTTGAAGGGATTGCATAAAACTTGTGTTTTTGAAGTTTGTGGTTATTTGCTCAAAAAAGAAGAGAAGACAGTTAAAGGTAACTAGAACGCTGTGAACATTTTGATGATTTAATTGTGGAAAATTAGAAAAAAAGGTGTTTTCAGAGTAGGTGGTGCTGCTGGTGGCAAGGCAAGACAACGAGAGTCCGTGTGGAGGGGTGAAGGCGACCACGCGACTGCAAGAGACCAGATGGAAAGAGGAGTCCCTTCCCTCCCCCTTTCAGAGGGGACGCCCCGCCGATTCTGGCACATGCCTCTCCTTGTTTTGCACACTCTATTTTACGTGTGCCTCCACTTGACTGCGGCCGCAAGACAGACGGCTGAAATAAACGTGCCTGAGAAATAACTAACGCGAAAAAAGGCAGGAAAATAATAATGACTATAAGAAATGCGCTGCCTACAAACCGGAGGAAAAAATTTATTGGAATAAAGATTATGTATGCAACGTCATGTACTCGAGTAAAACTAAAAAGCACAAAGCACAAGGAGCATGTCGTAGTCATTCTGGCTCGATTTGGTGAAAACTGAAGTTGACCTAATAGCCTTGTGAGTATTTTGACAAGTACGAGCCAATTTACGGCAAACTTTAGGACATAACTCCCCGTTCGAAAAATGTTCAGTAAGCCCTTTCGTTAGCCATTGGAAAGGTGTCAAAACACAACGAAAAGTGATTAGGAAGGAAAAACAAGGTGGCGAACCGATCAAACAAACGGATTGTTTGCAGAATGTCTCCAGCGAAGCTGATATAAAACAGAAACGACATAGCCAATTCCGTTTGGATAAATTAATTTACATGATGCTTCTCTTGTTGTCCTTTATTTATTCAATTCTCTTATCACTTACTTCGAGTAAAAAGATTAACATAGATAAAGTGTATAAAGATCCAATGTTTGGTAAGAAATTTTGGATTTTTTTCTGATATACTGTAATTTGCAGCTAGTTTCCTCATTTCTGAGTTTAATTATACATCTTTTTTAAAAAGAGCTGATTTCACAGCTGAAAAATATGTTCCGTTTCAAGATACTAGTAATGACACTTATTTTAAAGTGGGAATGTAAGTATCGGTGTAATTTAACAAAGGTGAAGCAAAAATTATTCAGTTTACACAAGTCCCAATTAGAATCTTATACGAAAATTCGAATGGAGGATCAACTGGGAACTTTAAAAAACAAACCTTGGATGCCGGTCAATGAAATAAGAGAAGAATTTGCAAATTGTGCTCTTCTAAAGTACGGAACATTCAGTGAACACGATTTTAAGGTTTGTACCCGTCATCGAAGAGTTAACACTTTTTTGATTCGTTTTAGTACGACAAAGGTATGTATGGATGGATGAATATTATGAAGTTCTCCTGCGTTTTCGTGAATGACCAGTTTCTCGTGTTCGCTATGGCATTCACTAGAACTAGGTTTCGGCTGAAACAAGTTATACTCAAGAGACAAAATACGTAAGAATTTACTAATTTCCGCTGTGATACATATATATATATATATATAACTTTTTGCAGGCATTGGGCAACATCTGGTCGGAGTCTCATTACTAGAGATGTTCAGAAAATGACAGAAGTATTCACGATCCGATTTGCTCAGTTCGTGAATGAGAAAATAGAGGATGAACTCAAAAAACATGTCGCCCATCATAAGCACATTGAAAGTACATCTCAAAAATCGTTTTCCAAGATCAACCAATGGTTTCTTATTGTCCTTTTTAGATAATCCGATGGGTTTGAAAAATGAAACATTCGAAGAGCTTGCCGTCGCATACGGGCGGCTTCGTAAACACATAAAGCTATCTGACAGCAGAGGACATACCTTCAGTACTATCGCATTTGGAGTGAGAATGTTCTTTTGAGACACCTATAAAAAAGGACATTCAGATTAAATCACGGATTATGATGGCGTCACCTAGTAATGCACCTCAAGTTGTAGAAGCGATTTCTGATGAATTAAGTGATGCTCCATTGAAAGTGTTGGATACATGCCACAAAGATATTTGCACGTTTGATTTTATGGTAAGAGTTATATAATATTCACTTGAATCAAAATGCCCTCAGAAAAACGCTACGTTCAATCCCAAAACAGAAACATACGTTTATTCTAAAGAAAATGCACTCATACACACCGTCCATCCTCGATATTCTTTGATTGCTTATCAGAAAGCCAAACCATATTTTTCCTTTGAAACCATGAAACGAAAAACCGCCACAAAAATCATGTAAGTTAAGATGTAGAAAATTCAAACAAAACATAAAAGCGTTCAGAGATGTGAAACAGAATTTAGATGCAAAAGCAAAGCAGCTTTGGACATCCCTTCTAGATCAGCAATTCACGTTAGCTATTCACGTGCACAATCAAGAGCTGTTTCCGTTTGACCGGTTCTATATGACACTGAACCCTCTCGAATGAGGGACCATTATCATTTATCATACCAAACAGAGAAATATCAGCTTATTACGCAAGCGTATTGGATTTATAATATGAAGCGGGAGAGAGTGAAAAATGTATATGCTTTATTTAATGTACATGATATATATTTTCAAAAAATGTGTGCTTGACTATCATTTTTCATTCACAAATACGTTTAAATATTGTTTTCAGAGTTTGATGCTGTTTAGAGAATGTTACAGACCATTTACGAAACATTTTAGGGATTCTGGGTAATTCTGATAAAACTTTTAAAAACATCTCTAGACTGTCAAAAAATTATCGAAAGTTCTCAATTCTGGTTAGGTTGTACGATAACATTAAAAATTCAGAAGGAAAATAAGTGACATATAAATACCAGCAGCGCAATTTTCTGGCAATTTCGCTCTACCGCAAACCCACATGAAAACTCGCGACCTTTTTTATTTAGCACTCAATCTAAGCGGAAAGCGGTAGAGAGCGATTGCCAGACTTTTGCGGCAGAAATAAATACGATTGGTCTGTGGTGACCGATAGAAGCCAAATTTTTATGTTTTTAAGTTGAAATTTTTCAACTTTTTTTTGTGTGTTTAATAAACTAGTTGAACTTACTGTTTGAGATTCTTTTTCAAAAACGGTTTTGAAACTGTGAAATTTGTTTTGATTCTGTTACACACACATTCTAAGTTGATAATTTTAACTTAAAAAGATAAAAAGTAGTTCTTGCTGGTGTATGTGACGATTGTCAAAAGCATTGCATGTGAATGTATGAAGAGTTAAGAGTGTGTTCCATCGGAAGTAGAGTCAGCGGAAGAAGCGACTTCTCCTGGTCCACTGGCACCGTTCGAAAATTCCTTCTCTTCGGCATCTTCCACTGGACTGTCCGGAGGTGTAGCTGGTGACTCGGAACGTTCATGGCTTTCTGATCTGTCTGCAGTTGTTCCAGCCGAAGAAGCTAAAGGCACATCATACATTTAGAAAAAACAACGAGCTAAAGCCAAACTCACCAGCACATTCTTCTTTCGGCTTGTCCTCTTCTTCTGGCTTTTCATCTTCAACTTTGTCTTCTTCTTTCTCTTCTTTTTTAATCTCCACTTCTTCGTCATCTCCGCCTTCTCCCTCGTCGTCTTGATCTACTCCGAACACATCATCATCCTCAGGAAATTCTTTTTTCCATTTCTCCTCGAATGCCTTCAGGAACTTAATTGCCAATTCGGATACGGGATCTCCCTTGTTGTTGTATTTGAGACAATTGTTGATCATCTGGAACATATATTAACTGATAAGATACCTACATTTAAGAATTTTTTGGCTGCGGTTTACTAATAAAATTCAGTATTATCCCTATAACAAAAATTATATAACAAACCAATTTGAAATCATCTTTAAATTCAACGGCAGTTTCATACTCCTCGCCAATAAGTTTCTTTTTGATTGTAGACATATCCATCGGCTTCTTGATGATTTCGTGATAATCAGTAAGTCCAAGTCCAGCTGTGTCTACTGGTTTGCGGAATGGAAATGTGAACGACTGTTAATAAACGGATTATTGAAAATATAATTTTTAGTGTAGATATACCTCGTGCTCATCTTTAGAAAACTCTACGAGAATGCCGAGACACTTCTTGAGTTCTTCATGAAGATGGTCCGAGTCAAAGTTAGATGTTTCGTCTTCAGAATCCGACTGAGCCGCCTTCTTTTTTCGTCCTCTTTTGGCTGGTGGCTTTGAAGAAGTCGCCTTTGGTGCGGCTTGACCACCCCCCCGACCTCCCCTTCCTCCGCGACCACCTCGTCCGCCTCTTCCTCTCGTGGGTGCTCCTCTCTTGTTTTCTCCGCGACCTCCTCTAGTCGAAGCGGTTTTTCTGTCCGAGTAATCGTCCTGTAAAAAACGTATTGTTCATTTTTCTTTGGCTACAAAGGGTAATCTATAGAATGATTTCCACACCTGATCGTCGTCGCTGTCTGCATATGCTCGTTTGGCAACTTGACGGTTTGAACTGCGAGTTTCCGGCATTTTCTGAAAATTATATTGGAAAAGGATAAAGGTGAAACGGAGTAAAGTTTGATAAGAAATGTATTGCGACTATTTTTGAAGTAAAATAAATGAAGTTAAGAATGAAATCGATTTCATTCTTAATCTAATTTACATTTCTAACCAATGCATAAGCAACGCGAAAATTCTATAGAATATGCGACAGCACATCAATAAGGGGAGGCTAACTGCGAATGAATACTAAAACCAACCCTTCGACAGCAATGACCATTAGAGATAACGGCTGTTGAAGAGGAGGGCAAGAAACGAGAGGGCAGCCCATGTGTCAAAGAGAAGGAGACTCGACTTGGTGAGTTCTGGGCGAGCAGCAGGAGGCAGGGGCCGTATGTAATAAAAGAATGGAGGGGGAAAAGAAAAGACGGGACAAAGCAAGGCAGCAGAATAGAACAGACCGATGGCAGCTGGTGCCCGCTGGCAATGTATGACGTTATTCTCTCTCTCTCTCTCTCTCTCTCTCTCTCTCTCTATCTTTTTCTCTTTCTCTCTTCTTGTTGGCTATTTACCCATCTGCAGTGAGCGAGCGATCGAACGTGCGCGCGCACACACACACACACACATACACACATAATAATAGATATAGTGACCCAAAAAGGTAATTAGAATGCACCTGAACATCTGTCGTCCAAAAAACGACGCCATATGAGGCTTAGTAACTAACTAGTAAGATTGTGGCGTATGATGCAAGCCCAGACAGCATTCAACGGAGATTGCGATTATCTGGATACGGCTAGAGTATCAAGAAAGCCACCTAGACTACAAAATATAAGTAGAAGCACATTCCACTTTTGTCACTGTTCTGACACTTTATTAATGACTATAGAATTGCTCCTTTGTTCTCTTTTTTTGTATAAAAAATCATATGAAGGAGAAAGGACTCCAACATAAGAACTGCTTGAAACTGAATCGCGCCGAGTTTCGGCAATGCTTTCGGACGAATATCTTGTTTTTTCTGCATCTTGGTCATTCTATTCTCTAATTTAACACTCAAAAAAACATTTTTAGACAAATATCTGATAAAAAATTTAACCACCGTTTGTAGAAAACGTTAAAATTGGTTCAAATAGCCCGAAAACATGATTTCAACAACTTTCTCAACAAAATTCTGCAATACTTTGTTTTCCTACACTGAGACTACACTCTAGTCGAGGTGATGCATATACTACCCGCTGGTTACTGGTGCGCATATTGTTCACAGGTGGCCTGCATAAAATTAAGATAGAAAGGATGAGAAATAATGCAGCTCAAACACCATGATCAGTCGCATTATAATGTGGAGCGCTGTATGCAGATTTCGAAAACGCACAATCAAACCTAGAAATTTATTTTCTGAAATCAAACATTTGTAGGTTAGTTTGTTTGGCTAATCATAGCATTAACCCAAAATTCTGTTTGGATTATTTTTGAGATTAAAGTTCATTCGCACATTTTCCCTGAATAGTCGTATTATCCGTGTACTGAATGTAGTCGTGTTTCTATTATATACAACAATTTACGGATTAGATTGGCAAGCGCTTTATGTTTTAGGGGCGGCGTCTACATGTTGTTTAGTTCTATAATCCACCGATTTTTACGGGAACCAATGGCATTTTAGAGTCATTTCATTTCCGAGTTCACAAATTTTGCAATGGAATTTGTTTGATTTTGCTAATTCAAAAGGTCATTGAAGAGACGACACGTACACATACGAAATGAATTGATTGTTGTCGTTATCTTGCGTCAAAATGCATTCCCGATGAACAATGATTTCTTCGAGGATTTGCGTTTACATTCATCACAAATATTCCAACAAACTTCATAGTTTTGCTTCATAGATCCAAGCTATCAAAATCATTATTATAGAGTTACTAGTCGTCAGAAAAGTGAAGCTCTGTTGAGAAACAGTTCTTTTTTTGATCTCGGGTACCTAATTTTTCAGCCGGGAACCGAGCTCACTTGTTTTTAATTTGAATTCTGGAAGAATTTTTTCTGTTTTTAATTGCAGCCGGGCTGGAGATTACAATTGTAAAAGAGTACATTTATTTTGAAATGCTCCGGTAGTGAAACCCATTCCATCAGAAGCAAACGCAGTTTTGGTAGGCTAAACTGAAACACACACATCACCTTGCTAACACATAATAAATATTCTTATTTGTCATCATTTTCCTAGAGCTTGGAGCTTGGAGCTCGGAGCACATCACCATCGCCTTTCACTCTCCCTGATCTCTTATGTTTCTTCTTAGCGTCCGTCTTTCCACCCCCTCTGTGCTTTCTCTACTACTTTCCGTCAAACAAATAATGCGAAGTGAGTGCGCTTTTCTCCTCAGCGAGTTGTCCTCGAAACATTGTCAAGTATGAGTAACGGGGCCGAGCGAATCACCGATGAAATTATTGTCAATTAGAGGAGAAACTGCAGTCCAGTAGGAGATCTATCCGCGGGCCGCTACTTCTCGCGCACGCATTGCACATTTATCTGCCCTCTTTTCTCTCTTCAAACATTGAAATCGCTTTTCTCTCCTCTCTTTTTCAAATTTTTTTTCAATTTGATCCGCTTCACTGTCACTTTTTTTGGATTGAATCTAGTAGCTCTCAATACTATCACTGTGTGTTGCGGAGGTTTCTTTTGATACATGTCTTCAAATCACATAGTTCAGAACCAAACATGGTCTAAACAAATAATTTTGTTTTCATTGCGTCATAAATTAAACTTGAATTGCGACTTCTCGCCGGCGAGTTGGTTCTGAACTGCGTTCCTAAATCAGAATATAATCCGTGAACGTGTTGTTTCGAGTTTACTTTTGGTATGAATTCGAATTTTCTCGACTTACTTGTAAAATTTATTTGCCACGAGTCTGATTTGCCTCCTACTCTTTCACACTCACTTCCTTGCTTTTCAACAGCAATATGTTTAGTTGTCTTTAATTTTGTTCAGAAATTGGTATCGGTTTGCATCTAATCCAGTCACAGGTGCGCATTTCGTTGCGTTACGCAATAGTAATGCATTGCGAAATGTGTGCTTATTCCTTTGAACTGGACATAGAAATATCTCGAGCAAATCAAAGAACATTGTGATTTTGAACAAGTCACAATTCTTGAATCCTGTGCTCTCTCAGGACAACTAAAGATTTTTTCAAAATTTCAATCGTATTTGTACTCGGAAGTGAAATAGACGGGTGGCTAGACTGAAAAGCAAACACATGGGTGGTTTCTTCATGTCTGCCGTCACCTTTCATTTTCATTCAAGTTTTTCTCTGCGCTTATGCTCAATAACGAAATATTTGTCATCGTTTTGTGGTTTATGCCTATACTATCATCATATTTCACACCTTCTTTGCCCGCGGCTTGTGTTGCTATGCTGCATATAAGCTTCTCCCGCTCGCTCGCACAATTTTTTCCAACATCTTTTTTTCTAAGCCGTCTTTTTGTTATCGGAATATGTATCACCATATTCACATTTCAGAACATCGGATGATTAAACTAGCTATATGACCAATCGAAAACAGTTGTGAAAATGTTTCCGCAAGTACGCGAAATCGTTTGTGGAAGTGATAGCGAGGTAAGCATATGGATCATCTCAAAAAAGTGATTTTATAAGTGTTTCAAATCTTATGAGGTGAGCATCAGATAAGACAGCAATAAAGTTGATGGAAAAAATTACTCCGCTTTTTTTCTTCTTTTTTTTGAATTTTACTGGCGAAACTGAATAGTTTTCTTAAGTGAAAAAATAGGAAAACTAAGAAGTCATAACAAACATCTTGTAGGTAGACACATAACTAAACGAGCGAAGAGACTGACCTAGCGATGCCCGTTTTTTTTTCTTCTCGGTTGAGTTGATCGAAGGGTAGCAAAAGAAAAGAGATTGCAGAACACACCGCGTGCGACAAACAACGTGTGTATGTGTGTATGTGTGTTGTGTGTGAGTGGTCAGAAATGGAAAAAGAGCTAGAGACCGAGAAATGAGGGGGTTAGAGCAGAGAAGGGACAGAACTCCCTATAAAATGGATGAATACGATGTGTCTTCTGTTTTCTGTCCGGCAAAATATGAATGTAAAATCGCTGCTAATTTCAGTTACTAGAAAGTGGATGGAGAAACAGTACAAACATTCCGCATGTGACGAACTGCGGTCAACACACTGACTTCTCATCAATACCATCACTTTTCCTTTTGTTGTTCTCACCAATTGTCTTCTATGAACTTCACAAAAGCAGATTATCTCACCTCCGGAGTTGCTCGCCTATCTCTTTAAGAATAGTAAGTTTGATTCTGATTCGATTATAACATAAAAAATCAATATTCTTAAATTTTTAAAAATATGGTTGCGATCTACGGAATCTTTTCAGATCTTGAGTTCTCTTCTTGTTGTCGATCTCACCGTCACCGTTCTTTACGATTTTTATCTTCTTTTCACCAAATCTCCTGTCTACGATGCCATTCACTTCTATGGTGACCTTGTGCAATACGCAGGTTTGCCAACAACATTTGCGAAGCAACGGTAAATTGTAAAAATGAATTTCAAGGTTTCTGCTTGGCATTAGTTCTCACAATAGCATGTCGAAACAGAGGAATAGTTACGTCAGGAGTGATCACTTTGTACTGGTTGTTGATTGTGATTTGTGGAATTCCGGAGCTGCGATACATTCTAAGTGGACTGATATACGAAACACATGACGTGGATTCAATACGATCAATACTCTACATTGCTGCGTACGTGTTCTCTTGTCTGGAACTTTTCTTTTGCTGCTTTGCTGACACACCGTCAAATGGATATATTGGGGTAAAAAATATGCAGCATTCAGTCAGATAAAATGAAATATTTTTAGAAAAACTCTTGCCCGGAATATACCGCTTCATTCTTGAACCAACTGACTTTCGAATGGTTCTCGGGGCTCGCGTATCTTGGCAACAAGAAATCGTTGGAAAGAGAAGATCTATGGGATTTAAACGAACGAGATAAAGCACAAAATCTTATCCCATCTTTCATGGAAAACTTGAAACCAGAAGTTGAAGGGTATCGACGTAAAATCAAAAATAATCCGGAAGTTGATGTGCCCAAAAATCATCCATCAATTTTGTTGCCGATTTTCAAAACTTATAAGTTCACTTTGTTTGCTGGCGGATGCTACAAATTGATCTTTGACTTGCTGCAATTCGTAGCACCAGAATTGCTTCGGCAACTTATCAGTTTCATCGAAGACAAGAACCAGCCGATGTGGATTGGAGTCTGTATTGCCTTCATGATGTTCCTTTCTTCCCTTGTGCAGTCCATGATTCTTCACCAGTATTTTCATGAAATGTTCCGATTGGGAATGAATATCCGATCCGTTTTAACAAGCGCGGTCTATTCAAAAACACTGAATCTGTCAAATGAAGCCAGAAAAGGCAAAACGACCGGGGCGATTGTCAACTTAATGTCAGTTGATATTCAAAGAATTCAAGACATGACTACCTTCATCATGTTGTTCTGGTCGGCACCATTACAGGTGAAAACTGCTGTAAACATTTTTCCAAGTATTTTTTCCAGATTCTGCTTTCACTCTTCTTCCTCTGGAAGCTGTTAGGTATCTCCGTGCTGGCTGGATTTATAATTCTGATTCTTATGATTCCCTTCAATTCGTGGATTTCTATCAAGATGCGAAACTGTCAAATGGAGCAGATGAAGTACAAAGACGAACGGATCAAGATGATGTCCGAAATTCTGAACGGGATGAAAGTTTTGAAACTTTATTCTTGGGAGAAGAGCATGGAGAAGATAGTGCTTGAGATTCGAGAGAAAGAAATTCGAGTGCTGAAAAGGCTGTCGTACTTAAACGCAGCAACTACGCTTTCATGGGCTTGTGCGCCGTTTTTGGTATGTTTGATGTAGCTTTGCTAATGATAGGAACACATTTTTTCTAGGTTGCCGTCCTTACTTTCGGTTTGTATGTGCTTTGGGATCCCGAGAACAACATTTTGACTCCTCAAATCACCTTCGTGGCTTTAGCCCTTTTCAACATTTTGCGCTTCCCACTTGCCGTTTTTGCAATGGTTTTCAGCCAAGCAGTGCAATGTGCTGCAAGTAACACTCGTTTAAGAGAGTTTTTTGCTTCCGAAGAGATGGCTCGACAGGCATCCATTGCCTATGGCGGAACCGGTGAGAAAATGAAAGTTGTCAATAAAAACGTCTTGAGTCTCAGATTCTGCAATCAAAATTGATAACGGAGCATTTGCCTGGGGATCGAAAGAAGAAGAGAAGACTCTTCATGACATCACATTCAACATCAAACGCGGTCAACTGGTCGCCATTGTTGGACGTGTTGGTTCTGGAAAATCTAGCCTACTTCACGCTCTTCTTGGTATGAACGTTTCGTTTATTCTGGCGAACACGCTTATTCAGGTGAAATGAACAAGCTTTCCGGAAGTGTGCAAGTCAATGGATCTGTTGCTTATGTCCCTCAACAAGCTTGGATTCAGAATTTGAGTCTGAGAAACAATATTCTATTCAACAAGCCTTACGATCAACTTCACTACCAAAATATCATCAACGCATGCGCATTGACTCAAGACTTGGAAAGTCTTCCAGCTGAAGACAGAACGGAAATTGGAGAAAAAGTGTGTTAAAACATTCACATAATCACATATACCCTATTCGAACAACTTCAGGGCATAAACTTGTCCGGAGGTCAAAAGCAGCGCGTATCTTTGGCAAGAGCTGTCTATCAAAATTCTGAGATTGTTCTACTTGATGATCCACTGTCTGCTGTCGATTCACATGTTGGAAAACACATTTTTGAAAATGTTTTGTGTATGATTTTTACATCGTTATGTCCATTTTTTACAAAAAGTTTCAGCATCAGCGACCGGGTGCCTTGGCACAAAAACTCGTGTTCTTGTAACACACGGTTTAACTTACTTGAAACATTGTGACCAAGTCATCGTAGTAAAAGATGGCACCATCAGTGAAATGGGAACATATCAAGAGCTGATGAACAGTAATGGGGCGTTTGCGGAATTTTTGGAAGAATTCCTTCTCGAAGAGTCCAAGCATCGAGGAAGAAGCATAAGCTTTGGCGAAGATTGTAAGTTATTGAATTATTTCAAGTAGACCTCGATGTCATTTCAGCGAAAGAAGTTGATGAAATTCTGAGAGATTTGGATCAAGTCAGCCCCGCTATACGCCAACGAATTGAAAGTCAAATGAGCCAAGAGATAGAGAAAGATGAGAAAAATGCCGACATTATCCGAAACGGACTGCTCAAAGAGGAGCAGAATGAGTCTGCGGCTCACAGTCCTGTGAGTAGAAATGAAGAGAAAGAGGCACTTCTTGGAGACAAAATCAAAGAAAAATCCCTTGTTGAACCACCAAAGCAAGCCAAAACTCAACTTATCGAGAAGGAGTCAATAGAAACCGGTAAAGTGAAGTTCGAGGTGTACATGACCTACTTCCGAGCCATTGGAATTCCAATCGCAGTGCTTTTTTTCCTTGTCTACGTAGCGAGTAGTATTCTTGGAGTGTTCAGTAACCTTTATCTTGCGCAATGGTCGGATGACGCAAAGGAAATTGCACTTTCCGGAAATGTGAGTACGACGGAAACTCAAATTCGATTGGGCATTTACGCAGCCTTAGGAATGGGACAAGGTAAATTTCCATGATAAAAATCAATTTTTCAAATGACCTCTAGCTACCTCTGTGTGTGCTGCCTCAGTTATTATGGCACTAGGAATGGTGCGAGCAAGTCGTCTTCTACATGCTGGTCTTCTCCACAACATAATGAAGTCGCCGATGGCATTTTTCGATGTGACACCACTCGGAAGAATCCTCAACAGATTTGGAAAGGTATTCTTTTTAAGTGGGGAGAAAATCAAATCAATGGTTTCAGAAATTACTAGATACTTAAATAATGTTTTTAAACGGTATTGTATGGGCGAATTGAACAACTTTAGTCTAAAAACAGAAGCACTTCATTCATTCACACGCACGTTTTTGTTATCAATTTTTTACGGGTTGTTAGAATTCGCTAACTCAAAAAAAGGCTTTCCTAAATTGTTCACAAATAATTTCCCGTTCAACTCAATTTCTGTTCCTTGTATGTCTCCCTATGGACAATGATTTTCTAATAAGAGTCTGACAGGATATTGATGTGGTGGATGAGCGTTTACCGGACAATATTGGCGATTTTCTCATCACCTTTTCCGAGCTAGTCGCTTGTATCGTTTTCACATCATACGCCACCCCCTTCGCAATTTTACCAATTGTTCTTATTGCTATCGGATGCCTTTTGATACTGGTGAATAATTTGATATTCTACTTTTGCAACTACTATATCCCTTACCGCATTACCCTTCTGCTTCTACTCTAACTCAACCTTTCTCACCATGTTTTTGTCTACTGCACCGGTTAGAACATTTGAAATTGATTTTGTTTCTGAAGAGTTATAAGTCATCTTAGCTTGGGTTTTGTTCTTGTCTGGGAAAAATTACTCTGTTCACAGGATATCGAAGCAGTTGATCAAACTTTGCCCCACTCCATCCGAGCCATGGTGATGACGATTTTCAATGTCGTCTCGACAGTTGTCGTTGTCATCTGGGCAACACCGTGGGCGGGAGTAGCGTTTGGCGCACTTGGCTTCATCTACTTTGTTGTCCTGGTACGCAACATGGCCTAACATTCACATTGCCCCTGCATGCTTATTAAAGTGGAGTGAATTGAATTGAAAATTAATTAATTTTTCCTGAGATGTGCAAAAAAGAGTGAATTGCATGTTTTGAAGTTAATTATAGGACGTAGATGTGGTTGACTCAAGACTTCCTGGCTGTATCATGACATTTGTCGGAGCTATCGTGCAAGCAACCACAATTTTTGCCGTGCCCGTGTATGCGACACCTGGTTCACTGTTCATCATCATTCCGACTCTCTACGGATATCTACGTCTTTTGGTTAGCATGATTGTCCGGCATGCATGATCGCAATATGTTACACAAGTGTTTTATAAGACTGAGAGAATGTCAAAGAATGAGTGAAACTTCGGAAGACTTGCAAGAAATCTTGAGGTAAAATTTTGATCCATGGTAAACAGTACATTCACTTTTAGTAGTACTTTTTGAGTAAAACGGTCTTCTTCAAAAAAGTTTTCAATAGAGATTTCGTTGGAAAGGCGTTAATTTTGCCAATTTTCTAGTTTTGCTTTTTCTCTAGCATTCTCAATAGTTTTTCCCTTTGTTCATGTTAAAGTCGTTCAATTCGTCACCTGTAGTAGAATTATGCCTTTTCTGGATTTATCGGGGTAATGTGTGATTTTTCGTGGTGTCGGTATTGTGTGATTTGTTTTGGCAGGACGTCGACGGACTAGACACCGAAATTCCCCGCTCTATCTCGATGTTTATCCGGACTTTCGTTGCTTCCATCGAGATTTTGGCCATCATCTTGTGGGCAACACCTCTTGCCATTGTGCTTTTACTACCTCTGTTGATGGTTTATCTTCTCGTGTTGGTGCGTTCGAGTTGTCACATGTTTACCCATAATTTCGTGTGTTTGCGAAGCTTAATTTTTCAATTTTTTCTTACAAAATGGACAACCACCAAATGTTCCATTTCTTTCTTTTTCTGTTTATGTGTGCATGTGTGTGGTGTGTTGCATGTTCTGGTGAACCGGTGTTATTCTCTTTTACTATTAGGAAACATTAAATTTTCAGAGATTTTACGTTAGTACATCACGTCAGCTCAAACGCTTGGAATCTGCTTCTCGCTCGCCAATTTACTCGCATTTTCAAGTATGTTCTAAATAAGTTCTGAGAAAAAGAAAAGTTCTGTAAAAATACGTTCAGGAGTCAATCCAAGGAGCTTCATCAATTCGTGCATACGGAGTTGTTGATCGATTCATCAAAGAATCTCAATATCGAGTTGATGAAAACTTGGCAACTTATTATCCAAGTATTGTTGCAAACAGGTTCTAAACTTTTTATTTGATTCATAAGCTAAATCGTTCTGTTGTAGATGGCTAGCCGTACGTTTGGAAATGGTAGGCAATCTTATAGTCCTTTCGGCTGCAGGAGCAGCCGTATGGTTTAGAGACTCTCCAGGACTTTCGGCTGGACTTGTCGGCTTGTCTGTGTCATATGCATTGAATGTGAGTTTAGACGTGACCCTGATATGATCAAATTTGTAATATTCTTTCAAGATCACACAAACCCTGAACTGGGCAGTAAGAATGACAAGCGAATTGGAAACAAACATTGTAGCTGTGGAAAGAATTAAAGAGTACACAGTAACACCAACAGAAGGCAACAGTTCAAACAGTCTCGCACCAAACACCTGGCCAGAAAAAGGAGAAATTTCGATCAAGAACTACAGTGTGAGATACCGTCCAGGTCTCGACTTGGTCCTTCATGGAGTTACTGCTCACGTTGAGCCTAGCGAAAAAGTTGGTATTGTTGGAAGAACAGGAGCAGGAAAGAGTTCTCTCACTCTCGCTTTGTTCCGCATCATTGAAGCAGACGGAGGATGCATAGAAATTGATGGAACGAACATTGCTGATTTGCAATTAGAAGTGAGTTGAGCTACTCTCCTATCCAAAAAATGTTGCCTTCTGTTTCAGCAACTACGATCGCGTCTCACAATTGTTCCTCAAGATCCTGTACTGTTCTCGGGAACTATGCGCATGAATTTGGATCCATTCTTTGCTTTCAGTGAGTTTTGACAGACTGGGCGAATAAAAATTAGATTTTTATAGATGATGATCAAATATGGGAGGCACTGCGCAACGCACATTTAGAGTCATTTGTTCGATCTCTGCAAGAAGGTCTTTCGCATCACATTTCTGAAGGAGGAGAGAATCTCAGGTATGCATGAGAGATTATTAAGACATTATTGGAATATTTCAGTGTTGGTCAACGTCAACTGATTTGTTTGGCTCGAGCTCTGCTCAGAAAAACTAAAGTTCTTGTTCTCGATGAAGCTGCCGCGGCCGTAGACGTAGAAACAGACAGTCTTTTGCAAAAAACGATAAGAGAACAGTTTAAAGAGTGCACGGTTCTCACTATTGCTCACCGTCTGAATACTGTCAGTGCCAACTCCTTTGAACTAAAAGAGTAAAAAAACTATTTCAGGTTATGGACAGTGACCGGCTGTTGGTATTGGATAAGGGACGAGTGGCCGAATTCGATTCCCCAAAAAATCTACTTTCAAATCCCGACGGAATATTTTACTCAATGGCTAAAGATGCTAATATGGTTTAATGTGATTCTAACTTAAGAGAAAAAAACGCATAATGATTCCGTAACTTGTCATCTGTCGATATTATTTTTTTCATATCTGAACAACTTTTTCATTGAACTATTTATGATTTCATACATTCATTTTTCAATAACAATAGATTACGATACAATATAGTACACATACATTCCAGTAGAGATACACTTAATATACATACCTTTTAATGCTCGCCACGCATCATCCGTTTAGCAATCAGCGTGTCGTTGCTCTTAGCGTCATGAATATTGAGCAAACTATTTATAATTTTGAAAAATGGATTCGACTCAGTTTCAAGAGCAGTACATTGATCGGCGGAACTAAATAATATTAACGTTAAAATAACCAGTACTTTTTTTTACCGGAATAGCCCAACACAGCATCCTCGCCATAAAATATGAAACTCAGAATTGTTGATGAGAAAATTTGTTCCGTCTGGGCATGCACCAAAGTTACACGGACGTTTTTCATTCGTTCTAAATGTCTTCGTTATCACAAAATTTATTTTAAAAAAAGAGCACCTGCATGCTTCCTTCTTGCATTCTCGCTTTCGAATGCGATGTCCACATCCTCCACACTGCTGCGAGCATTCTCCTTGCCATTCTGACCATGATCCGCAGCCACATTCTGATCGGTAATGTTCGTAGTGTTTAGAAGCAACGAATTCTTACCCAACACACTGTTGATAATATCTGGCGCCTGGGTAGATGGAAGCATTCCAGCCAGTGAATTAATCGGTGGCAATCTGATGTGAGTATTTGCTGATTACTTCGCGTTTTATCAGAAAAGCACTCATTCAGGACAGCGTCTATTAGAGAACTGCTCTGACTTGACACCAATAAATCATAGAAAATTTACTCACATTGTCGATAAAGACGGGAATAATGTTACTGGTGTGCTGGCAGTAGTGATTTCCGTCTCCCCAGTTACGAAAGAAGGCTGTGTTGTAGTTATTAAAGATTCAGTTGTCCTAGAAGTCTGGAAAATAATAATACAGTTTTTCGAGATCAGTAATATCAATTACACTAGACTGTAGTGTAGTTGTTGTGATTTGTGCAGTTGTGAGCTTGACAGTTGAAGGGGCAATAATTGGCTTCCTTGTAAAAAAGTTTTTTTTTGGAGTTGGTCGAGGAACGGTTGTTATAGGCTGTTTTGTTGCTTCGATGCTGTCTGTTGTTACATCTGGCATTGGTGTTACTACCTGAAGATTATCGATTTAATCAGAGATTCAACAAGAAATAAAAAAAACTCTTACCCCTTCCGGCTCTCCTAAGTTGGACCAAAACTTGGCTTTGAAACCGGCACTCGAAGAACGATATCCTCTCATTATAATAATCATTTCATTTTTGAAAGATATGAAACGGTTTCGGGGGAGCAGAGAACAACAGAATCGTGCTCCAGTAAGGCGTTTGTCACTGTGATATTTAACTTCCACATACGCTTTATCGCAAGTATCTTCACACAAAAAGTCGAATTCTCCTTCGAAATCCATGAACACTCGTCCTTCTTTAATTGTTGAGTTATGAAACTTTAAATAAAAAACAACTCACCAATGGGAGCAGCAATAATCCAGTTGCATTCAGTGTTAAGCGGGAATTTCTCTGGATAGTTGGGGCTTGTGAGATATTTGACCTCTTTAGTGGCCTAAGACGTGATAATCACAAGGTGTTTTGACAAACATTGACAAACTTACAAAGATGATTCCGCCGCATTGTGCGTTTGAGGGATGAACTTGTTCACAGTATCTCCCGGCTAGCCCTTCTGGACAAGCGCATGTCGAGCAGTTATTAGGATGCGGATAGCCATTGCGCAAACAAGGTAATTCTGGACAGATGTTTGAGCATCCATACGCTGTGTTAATCTGAATTTTTTCAAACTGGAAAAATAAAATTTTTTCGCAAACTAACTGCTTGATAATCTAGAAAAGATGGTCCAGCTCTCTGACCAATTGTAGATTGTTGTACTCTCTCTAATGTCCGAATAGTCGGAGTATATGGATCTGATGCAAATCCATAAGGACCATAATGCATTACACTGCCTTAAAAAACATATTTTTTAGTTTACTAGCAAAAATGCAGTCCAAACCTGTATCGTACGGCAAATCAAATGTTTCCGCATGATTTTCTCCAACTGCTTGAAAATTATTCCATCGATTCAAAGGAATATTGTTATAATTTATAGCAATATGTCTTTCCTATAGTTAACAAAAAGTCAACTATTCCTTTTTGCGCATTATTTTAATTTTACCTGATCTGGTCTTGCTTGTTCGTGAAAAATTCCCAAAGAATGTCCGATTTCGTGACTAATGATTCCGACAACGTCGCACCCTGGGGTTGAAATTGATATTCCCTTCAAATTGAAATGTTACATACAAAAATCTTATAATAACTTGCCTGGGTTCCTCCCACTCTTCCCACAAACGAAGAACAACCGCCTCCATCAAAAAATTCCAATCTGTCAACATTCGGGCCCCCTTCTTCAAACCTGATACATGTATGCTGTTGCCATAATAACATCGCATGTCTTAAAAAAACTTGACGTTCAAGTGCAGCTGTTTGACTAACCGTATTTTATCGCGGGTTTGTGGAGGAATACTTTCGGAGTAGTCGAAACTAATAGGTCCTCGGGTTTCCCAGAGTTTGTACAAAGGCGTTCTACCAATCTGGACAAAAAATTACACGATTAAAGCAAAACTTTAATATCTCACTTTTCTCTTCTCTCTTTTTCCAGCCGTGAACTGATCTTCTATTATCTTAACCTGCTGATCAGATAGATCGACATCGCCTTGGAAGTATTCGTCAGCGTTGTTCACCGCTAATTCATCCTGTCAAAAACTGGTTCAGGTTTAGGTTTTCAAAAATAATTGCTTACGTGATGTTTTCCAGCATTTGGGTTTCTTTGAATATTATCGAAAACATCTACAGAGTCACTTTGAATCAAGGAATTCCGTCTGAAATTTGGAGGAATACTTGATAGAACTGTATACAAAATACCTCTCCGCTTCATCATTCAGAAGTTCTTTCACCCTAGAAAGTTGTTTTTTGGATGCTTTCTGAACTCGTGCACCCAAAATTGGTGAAAATATAATGCAACAAGATGCGGTGAGAATAAGCGCGATCCAGCAACGCATGTAGGAAGATGATCGAAAGCGCTTAGCGCTTCTGCCGCAGATCGTTGGCAGACAGTGGTTCTGATTGCTTTTCGTTTCGCTTTCATCTTTTCCTTCTTCGTCTGACGACAACGTGACTCATCTTTTTCGTCCCTTTCTTTGTTGTTCACGCTGTAAAATTCGCAGATTTCTCACTTACTGCATACACGATTTCCTCAAGGTTTTTCTCATTCATTCATTTTTACCTGGCTATTGTTCCAGTATGAGTCACTCTGACGTAAGAAATCACAATCTTAGAAAGTTAATTCGCAAATTTGGAACATCTTGAGCTCAGTTCTTCCCACACTCACATTGTTATCGAGAACAGCTGTTTCCAACACTCCATTATATCATCCACTTGAGAATACATGTGTGTGTGTGTGTGTACTCAAGTGATCACTTAGAATAGGTTACAACATCCTTCAGTTGCTACGATTGCCCTGCTAGGCTGTTATTCCATTATTTCTTGTGAAACGTTAATTTAAACCTTTAAATAAAAAAAAATGTCGCGAGAAAGAGCTAATGAACGAGAACGAAACCGACAAAAGTCGTAAGTTTAGTCTGATTCCTCTTGTGTTCCACTGTTATCACGTTCTTAGGATAGGCAAAGCTTTCAATGCGTTACGCAGTCATCTTCCGAAACAATTGCGCGATCGGAAACCGTCAAAAGCAGAAACGCTAAAGTCCGCCGTACAATACATATCTCATATGTTGCGTGTATTAGAAGCGGAAACGCAAAAAAGTAAGTTTTCAATTCGGTGATTTTTAAAATGATTAGTTCTTGCAGATTTTTCACCTGTAATTAAAAAAGAGATAGATTTCGCATACGCAACAAATGTATGGATGCCTCCTGAACAAAACAATGGCAGTTAATTCCGAGGGTACAACAATTTTAGGGTACAATTGTACCCTGAAAAAATCAAATTGTTGAACGCTAAAGTGTATAACAAAAGTTGTACCCTAGAATAAATGGAGTTGTACCCTAAAATTAAAAAAATTTGTACCCCGTTGTACCCTAAATTTGTTTTACCATCGGAATTAAATGACCAAAACAATTGACAACGTTCTGTATTCAATGCATTAATGACTGTACAATGTTTTATAATTGTATTCTTTACAAGTTTAAGAAATGAAAGAAGTTCGTGTATTGTTTTTCTTGCCATCTATCAATGCACTGAAAATGAATAATTGCAAAATGTTTAATATTTCTGTGAAATTTCGGTTCAGTTCAACTACTAAATTGCATTCATAAAGTGTACCTCTTATAATAATACGTTTTATAAGCTTTAATAGATACTTACTGATTTATGAAAGTTTCGCCTACAAGAATTACATCTCGTATTCTAACTTCTTCTAATCTTGACTATCTCTTGTGGGGCTATTCAGCGTATGTTTGTTTTCCGTTTTTTTCGTTTTTTTACATCGCTGAATTGGATTTTTTGACGTAAAAAAACGAAAAAATCGGAAAACAATCATTTTTTTCACAGCCTGAATAACCCCATTGAGGTTTTCTCAAACATATTTGTTTTGCGGACGAAAACAGTCGAGCGGGGCGCACGAAGTCCGTTTTGATCTACCGCCCGCCAAACCGCGCATTCTCTTTTTCTCTGCGTCTTGGCCGGGGGTCCCCTTTGCCGATATCGATCGAATCACTTCAGAATGCCCCGATGCCGGTCCGACCATCTCGAGATTCCACAATCGATGTGTGTTCTCATTTTAACAATTACTAGAGACATTTTTGGAAGGAAAAAACACCGGTCGACAATGAGGTAGGCTAAATTCTGCAACTGTTTTGACGGAAACACCCTTTATTATAGAGAAGTATCGCGAAGGATTTATTTGACTCAAGGCGCTATTGTCGGAAATCTATCAGATGTTGAGGGTTGCGATTAACTCAATTATTAGGAGCAACCAAAGATATCAAGGTTAGTTTTATTTTATAGCCCGCAAAAAACACCCCGGGGAGTGGCAATCAATCCGTTTAGAGTATATTTTCCAACAGATGATCGTTGAGCATCTGCGAGGTACCAGAATGCTACATGGCTTGAAATAATGTTTTCGGCAAACGATGAAAACTAGTACATTTCAAGAAATTCCGAGTAAACTGAAAGAACACGGACATGATAGACAGAAGTTTTCAACGTGTCTTATTACCCCGGAAAGTGTCATGACAAAGCATGAAGGGGCGTCTCCGATGAGTTACGGATGCTGTGGTTTGAAACGTTTCAGTCCTAATTTCAGTCCCGATGGAAAACAGTTTGGATATTACACGGCCTATTGCATCCTGACGCGTCCTAGTCAAGATCCTTCGGACTCCGGACGAGTCAGCGGAAGAGGAAATGTGACGTTTAGGTTTGATTCGTTTTTCAGCAGGATGTTCGTCAAAAGGATAATTCATTTCAGTAAATTAATGATTGTTGGTTCTATTCCCGGACGATGTTAGCAGATGACGGGTATTAATTTTTTATTGATGAGGCTACCAGTTACACTTTTTGATTCTACTTTTCTTGTGACTCTCCAAGAAACCCCGGGAGCCGGTAATCCTGCTTTTCAGAGTTTACCATTAGAGGTAAGTTATCCCTTTTGTGTAATACTTTCAAGATGGGGAGAAGTGGACTGCTGGTTAACGCTAAGAATATCACTATCGCCAAGAAAAGTGATGAAGACTACTATCACCAAGAAAATTAATAGCATCTACTTTTTCAAGCCGTTCATACAGAGGTGAGTGTGTCTTTTTGGTAGGTCAGAAAAAATTATTACGCGTGTTGTTGCCCTAATTTCACCGTAAAAGCGTGATGGCATTTTAGAGGTAAGTTATCCCTTTTGTGTAATACTTTCAAGATGCGGAAAAGAGGACTGCTCGTTAACGCTATGAATATTACTATCGCCAAGAAAAGTGATAAAGATTAAGATCGCCAAGAATTGTTCCGACTATCAGTGGAACGGATGTTATTGAGTTCCGGATAAGGAGATACTATGTATTGTTACTTTTAAAATGTGAGTTTGATGGTCCAGAATCTTATAAAAAAAAATTTAGTTAATTTTAGCCCGCAAATATAGCCCCGGCGCCGCGCAATTATTCCGTTCAGGGTCTAGTTTTCAACAGATGATTGTTGACCGACTGGGATTTTTGGAATTCAATTTAATTTTTCAGAACATGACTAAATTTATCCTTTCAGAGGTCCTTCAGAGGCAGAGGCCTATCAGAGGTAAGTTATACATTTTGTATAAGCTTTCCGAAATGGAGAGGAGAGGACCGCTGAGAATAATCATGAAGTTGCCCATCGAAAAGAACTCTTTGGATTTTGGCTGGAACCGATGGCACTGAGTTTGGGATAAGAACATATTATGTGTTGTTGAATATAATCGCGTGTGTTAGTTGGTTCGCTTCGAGCAAATTGGAAGACTCTGCTAAGTGAGAGATACTCCCGTTGCGAGTATTTATTCGACAATATTAACAATGCAGAATTCGATTATAGTACTGTTCGTGTGTATTAGTGCGAAGAACGGCTGTCAGAGGAATCAAAAAAATCTGCAAGGAACCAGACACGGTATAAAATGATGGCTTCTGCAAACAATGAAAGCTAGTACATTTCAAGAAATTCCCAGTAAACTGAAAGAACACGGACATGATAGACAGAAGTTTTCATATTACCTCGGAACGTGACATGACAAAGCATGAAGGGGCACCCCAAAAAGGTACAAAACAAATCATAAAGAGGCGTCTCCGTTGAGTTACGGATGCTGCGGTTTGTGACGTTGCAGTCCTAATTTCAGGCAGGATGGAGAACAGTCTCGACATGAAACGGCTGACAGCATCCTGACGCGTTTCAATCAAGATCCATTAGACCCCGGACGGACGGACACGACAATTAATCAGCCGAAGGGGAAATATGAAGTTTAGGTTTGATTCGTTTTTCAGCAGGATGTTCGTCAAAAAGATAATTCTTTTCAGTAAATGAAAGATTATTGGTTCTACTCCCGTACTTATATACCGATGAAAACTATATTTATTTGACTCGGAGGACTATTGTCGGACGATGTTAGCAGATGTCGGCTGCTAAGATCTCATTGATGAGACTACTAGTTGCCCTTTTTGATTCTATGTACTTGTCTCGAGCCTGAGCTCCGGGGTCCGGTAATCCTGCTTGTCAGAGTTTACTATCAGAGGTATGTTATCACTCTTGTGTAATTTTTCTAAAATGAGGAGAAGAAGAGTGATCATAAACACCATAAATATTACTATCGCAAAGAATTGTTCCGACTATTACTGAAATGAATGTTATTGAGTTTTGGATATAAAGATACTATGTATTGTTACTTTGAAATGTGAGTTTGAAGGTCTACAAAATCATCCAAACTGAAATCAACAGTTCAGATTGTTGTTTACACTTGCTAGTCCGTTTCTATCTGGATGGGACATGCCGAGACATAGGCTGGCCTCGCCCGGCCCAGTCGGCCCAGTCGGAAGTTGCACCTCGGGATGGAATCGTCAGCACTGTGTCAGAAGTCGAGGATTGCCATGTAAAAAGACCAAAAATAGTTGTTGCTGCTATATAAGTAATAAGTCTGTCTGAGTGCACTAACAAATTTATTCATTCTTTTCGCCAGTAAAAGAGAAAAAAGTAAGCTGGAGAGTTTCCATACGTTTCTTCATTTCAATCAAACTAGCGACAAACACAATTTTTTTCAGACTCAATTTTCAGGCATGTTAATAAACGGCCAAGATGCATTTATAAACGGCCAAGACGCAATAAACGGCGAAGACGCAACGAATCACTCAGCTCGGATTCGGTGAATACTATTAGAACGTTTTCACTAAACGAGCTATCATCGGATCCCATTAAATCAAAAGAGCAATATCGATTGAATACTCTGAGAGAACTGTGGTTTGTATCCGATGAAATTTACACGGTAGATTCTCGTTTTTCAAGAGATGAAAACATCATGAAGCTGGAAACTGAATTTGATGTGAGAGAACATTATACATAGGTAACACGAAAGTTGTTTGACATTTAAGGTTGTCACCAACCCAGATCGCAGTGACGCAAATCACCTAGTGAGGTGCAATTATCATGCTTTGACAGTCCAACGCATTGCTTCTTTTCTGATGTTGCAACCCTGTGGGCTGTACATTTCGATTGAATTTGAAAAATGCCAGAAAGCCACAAGCGAACAAGAATGGAAATACTTCAACGGTAAGTTCCCTTTTGAGCTTTAAGAATTGCGACTAGCTATGTGTGCAACATGTTTAATGAATGTACTATAGCATCATAGTACATTTGCCCTATTTGATATTTTTGCGGTCCCGCCTCACCTCCTCCACCTTTGTGATCGTCACCGAAAGGGGCGTGGTGGCGGTGAAGCACGGCTGAGGAGTGGCCGAGTGGGCGTGATTTCACTGTATCTATATAAAACGAGTACAACGTTAATTATGTCTATCTCGTAGCTTTTGTCGCTTGAGTGTCTCTCTCCGACGTTATTGCTATGCAAGAAGTCAAACTCTTAACCATCTCTCTCTTCGACATTATTGCTATGCAAGAAGTCAAACTCTTAACCATCTCTCTCTCTCTCTCTCTCTCTCTCTCTCTCTTGCTCTCTCCGACATTATTGCTATGCAAGAAGTCAAATTCCTAACCATCTCTCTTTCCGACATTATTGCGATGCAAGAAGTCAAACTCTTAACCACCTCTCTCTTCGACATTATTGCTATGCAAGAAGTCAAACTCTTAACCATCGCTCTCTCTCTCTCTCTCTTGCTCTCTCCGACATTATTGCTATGCAAGAAGTCAAAATCTTAACCATCTCTCTCTCTCGCTCTTGCTCTCTCCGACATTATTGCTATGCAAGAAGTCAAACTCCTAACCATCTCTCTCTCTCTCTCTCTTGCTCTCTCCGACATTATTGCTATGCAAGAAGTCAAGAAGTCATCTCTTCCGAAGATGCTATAAGAAACATTTTTAAACGAAGCCCTTACTTTGAGGTGGCTATCGCGTTTTAAAAAGTTCATGATTGTTTCTTTTAGTGCATGACTTTTTCTTTTAGTGCATGATAATTTCTTTTAGTTCATAAGATTGTGCTTGTTCAAATTTGTTTACATCTATTCTCCTATTTACAATAAACAACTGTTGGTCACCTTTTGATAATTCATGTCCCACGCCTCCACGCAACCCTTTTGCCCATTCATTTTTCCATATATTCTTTTTTTTTTCGTTTTATGGCTTTGCTCTCTACGACACTGAATCGCTTGTATTTCCATTCATAATATTCACTCGCCTTCAACGTGTATTGTCATAGGGAATTTGACGTTTGTACCTCGCGACGAGAGCTACGTGGAATTTTCTCAGCGGGAAATAGAAGGAAGAATACGCGATACGGTGAGACAAATGCAGTTTTGTCAGCAAGAAGGACTCGTTAAACTGTATGCCTTCATAGAGAACACAGTTTACGGTTCCTTCATTCTGGATGCGGATGAAAAGGGTTAGTTTTTTGCACAAACGCATCTAACTTAAAAAAGAGTACTCTTCAGGAAAATGATAGATTCGATTTCATGGTATATCTGTCCGATGATCAACTGATAATTACAAACAGTTAGTGATTGACCCGTGTTAGTGATTGAACCCACAGAAATTTAAATATTTCAGTGCATCCAGTTTGGGACAAATATAATTTTCTAGCCATCGACCACATGGAAGAAATGGATTTCAATGTTAACGGTGAGAAAATTAATAAAATCTCTAAAAATAAACTATCACCGGGGTTCATAAAAAATTGGTAGCGCAGAATAACTGCAACGAGCTATAAAACGATACCTAGCCATAACTCTCCCATAGCAAAAGACACCCTTGATGCTCATGTGGTAACTGGAAATTTCAAAAAATCCATTTTCACTTTAAAAAGCAATGGCAAGACAAATCTCTTCCCTTCGCGCACAGATTATCGAAAACACAGTCCGTGATGTGACATCTGAACGGGATTGCCTCTACTACAGACATCTTCTGGACAACTGGAGTGAAGACGTAACAATTGATATCCTCTTTTCCGTATCGTTGAAACCAGCCTCCTTCACTGGATGATTTCGAATCTAAAAGCCAATAATTTTGATAACTCGTTTTCTGGTCCGGCATACTGAATTTGGTGTGTAAAAGAATTTTTTTTTCAAATAAATTAGGTTTTCCAAGATTTCAATGGTTTTCAAATCAACGTTTGCCGTCTGATAACGGATCACTACTTCACATTTTAGATACGTGTTTCACTTTATTTCTTCATGTGGATTTTGTCGTTTGTCCAGCGCCAGCGGCAGCTCTCTTTGGGTAAGAAGACATCTACAGCTTTCAAGGAAGTTGAATTTTCAGAATTTCAGCATTGTACGTCTCTTTCCTGGCTCCCAGCTTTCTTTCTTTTGCAAAAAGGCATAACTGCACATAATTTTGGCATTCATTTAGTCGGCAGCCGTGTCTCGTCATACCCGCTTTCTGTCTCGGACAGTGTATGACTCAACATATGCCCCCTCCACGCACGACCTCCTGAGTGTGTGGAGAGGGGTAGAGGACATTCGTGTTGCCGCCATTCCGTTTCTCATTTGGGCTTGCATTCACCCTGTAGCCTCTTTCTTCTCTCCCTTCCTCTCTCTCTCTCTCTCTCTCTCTCTCTCTCTCTCTCTCTCCCTGTTTCCCAGTATAGTGTACACATCTACAGCGTAAAGTGCATGCAAAACGGTTTGGCGCTTTCTTCATTTCATTGCCCTAGACAATCTTCGCAGCCGCTTTTCCTCTCTTTTTTCCTCCATCTTTCCCCGTCACTTTTCTCTCCCTTCTCTTGCACTTTTCAATTTTGAAATCATTTCTAGAAAGACGTTTCCTCTTGATGTATGAGGAGAGCACAACGTCTTCATCGTAAGTTTTTTTGAAAAATAATTGTACAATCCGAATCAGATAATCTCTTTTTTAGTGCACCAAAAATGCCCGCCGCAACAATCGATCAATTCGATATCATCCGCCACATTGGCAGCGGAGCGTACGGAGAGGTTAGAATCGCAGACATACGCAGAAAAAAGCCCGATTCCTTCCCTTTTGAATTTTGAATTTGAATTCATTTATTTACAAAATTAGGGTTCCGACATGTACAAGAGAGAAGAAGAGGGAAGGACTAGTGGAGAATAAATAGGGGAAAAACCTCGGACACTATGACGTAATTGGCAGGTTGCGGCTGTGCGCAAGATCGATGGAAAAGACAAGAATGTGGTGTACGCAATGAAAGTGATGGACAAAAAACGAATGAGCAGACATAAGGACATGGTTGATGTGAGTATTTTGACGTAGTAGTAAGAGAAAACATTGACCAGCCCGGGCTTTTCAAGGGCCTGTCTGGGCTTGGACTTTTGAAGCACTGCAATATTCCGATTGGACCTAAACTCTGCAGACTTCTTGGAAATGGATAGAAATATTTTAGGTACAAGTCTCAGCCCGATTGAACTATCTGGATCGGAGATATAGTGATAGACCGAGAAAATCTGGGCTTCTAGGCCCTACATCAGAAACCTCTGGACCAATTCTTTCGATCGGGCTGACCTTTAGGCCCATAAATTTTAATCCGTGTCCAAGAATTGTTTCGCCGACATCAAATGTTGGTCGTTCTTGGTAGCTCGGTCACTAAATGAAATATGGTTCCATTAGTACTGAAAAAAAAATTTGACAGTTTTTTTAAATGTAGCTAACACCAAAAGAAGTGAAGCGAAATAAGTTGAGGCCTCAAGTTTGGTCCCTAACTGATTTGTGAGAAAAATGATGTACTTTAATCGTGTGTAGCTTTTTACGTTCTATCCGATGATATTAATATCTCACACACTAATTTTTTAGTGACCGGCCTCCTTTAAGAGGAAACACAAAACAAACACGTTAAAAAAAGAGAACATGCAAATACCGAAAAATTGAATTGCTCAATACGGTGCTTTTTGAGTTCATTATGTATTTCTACAGCACGAATGGAAAATCTTGACAACCATCAACAATCCGTTTTTTGTGAGGATGTCACACTCCTTTCAAACAAATAGAAAATTGGTGTTTGTGATGCCATTAGCTGGCGGAGGAGACATGTTGTCAATGGTCGAAAGGGAATACTTGAATGAGACTGAAGCTCATTTCTATCTTTGCGAGCTTGTCGAAGGTGTCAGTTATCTTCATGAAAAACGTGAGTTTTTCGACAGTTTCGTCACATGAACTGTGTTTTTTTTTAGATATTCTTCACCGTGATATAAAGCTCGAAAATTTGCTTATTGGAATGGATGGACACTTGCTGCTTACCGATTACGGACTATCGGCTACTCACTGCGGTGGAGATGAAGCAATTGAAGGCTTGATCGGTACAAGACGTACGTTTTTACAATCAGTCACTCGGAAAAAATTAACCGTTTCGTTTTCCAGACACAATGGCCCCGGAGGTACATTTGGGTAACAAGTACGGATTGGCGTCCGACTGGTGGGCAGTGGGAATCACCTACTGCGACATGAGAAGCGACAAGTGTCTTTTCGACGGTGAAGATAACAAAGAATACGCAGACAACACAGCGAAGGTATTCAAATACATTTAAATCAAATGAGACGAAGTGTTTAGAAACGCCCGAGGTTCCCTAAAAACTTGACACCCCACGAAAGAGGATTTGTGAACAAATTAATTGTTCGAGATCCGACCAAACGCCTGGGAAGTGGCCAGAAAGGAACGGCTGAAGTCAAAGCTCACTGCTTTTTCAAAACAGTCGTGTGGACTGAAGTTCTAGAAAAAAAGGTGTGTATTTTTTCAATAATCCAGTTTTAACTTCAAAAAGCTCTTACTATTCGTTGAGCTACTATGTGAATGGTAATGCGCTCGGGAGAGTTACCACTGAATTGACGCTGTTCCTTGGCTTTCACATAAAAATTACCCTTTTCAGTTGACACCTCCGTTCATTCCGACTGCCGAACAGATTGCGAATCTTCTGTTTTTCCCAAAAGCTGCAAACGAGAATAAGTTCCCAAAATTCGAGTATGTTTCCAAGCAACTGTTAAAAACACTATGTTCTTTTTCAGAGAGAACGAAGTTCCAATTTTATGGGATGATGTCGACTACATGGACCCTAGCCTGATTTGAGTCTTGGACAACTATGGTTCGACGCTAGAATATTGCTATGAACAACCTTTCCACATTCTTCGGTCTCTTTTTTGCTTTTTCTAAACGCATGGCGTTTGCTTGTTTCTGTTTTGCTTCCACTTGCACTAAAATCTTCCCGATGTTGACCAAGTTGTGTCATGTCTCTAAAAACTGAATCCCAAAGATATTATCATGGTTAATCTGGATTTTAGAATTATCAATTGGAACTTTTATGGGTTTTCTGTCATTTTCCATTTCGGTTTTTCACTTCCCCTCCTATTTTGCCACTTTTTTGGTGATCAAAGCTTTATTTTTCGGGAAAAGAGGAACTCGCGTCCTAGGATGCATGTTTCTTATATTCAACGGTTTTATTTTAATTCTTTATGGAAATTTCATATATGGCACTTCAATGTTCATTTTCTTACGTTTTCCCCTTATCGCTTTGATGGAACAAATTGGAATAAAAATTTGAAATATTAGTAATTATCATTGAAAGTGCCGCCGACAACGATGCTGAAAGACCCTTCAGAAAAAGAACCCTAGGAGTTTTTTCATTTTTTTTTTGGAGAGTGTGAAACAGAAGAGTTCCAAGATTTCACAGCTGTCATCAACGTGGAGGCACATATCTGATTAAGTTTTGTTTATCAATTAGTTTATCATTTCGATAATATAGACTTTTTGAATTAGTTTAGCTAAAATAGACGACAGCGGTTTTCTTTTCGACCAAAGACAATTTTGATGCATCTTTAAAGGTGAACAGCTATGGTCGTGGTATGTCGAATTGTTCTTCAAGGATTAAACGTATGTTTGTTGCCCTTACACAGTGACGTAGCACTTTGTGTGCCAATTGTCTTTATTTGCTTTTCAATGAGCAAGTCTAGCATAAATCAAGGCTTACAAAACATATGTTCAAACATGATTATCATATTGTTGGTCTTGAAATGTGGTATATAAGACTAGAAAGTGCTAAAGTCAAATACACCTTCACGAAATCTGAACAATATGCTTCAAACGTTCACTCTTGCTCTTCTTCTTGTGGCTGTCGTTGCCCAGTCGGTTCTTATCGAAAAGGTAATCAAATTGAAAGCTCGTCTTCCTAATTTGTCAGGAAAATTTCAGACCCCTACTTCTGATGGGACTCAACCAATTCTTAACACGGACCTAGCCCTTTTGGGGAATGATGTTCAATCGTTGAGCTTAGATTTGACCCAAGAAGGTCAGTCCTCTGATGTCGTCGTGCGTGCGAAACGATACTACGGTTGTGGATGTGGGTGTGGGTGTGCTACCGTTGCCGCCGTTTCTGCTGCTCCATGCGGTTATGGATGCTGTGGATGTGGATATGGAAAATAAAATTCTGCTCGGGCAGATTCAGCTGTTTTTTAATAATATTTCATTTCTCATTTATGAATAATTATCAAAAAAATTATTATGCTCCATTTTCATCTTGTAGAGTGTAGCCACATAAAAATGTGATTAAACTCACAAAGAACAAATCACGGCTAGAACAAAAAACCGGCAAAGCTACTGCATCAATCGTAAAATTTTAGTGCTTATAAGTAGTCGTCGCTTTTCGTCGCCATATTTTATCAGTTCTAGAATCTAACTGATTACATGTGTGTACACAACCAGTCCAGTTTCATTTCCATTCTCGAGAAATGCATCTGACGGTGCTGCCTATGCTGGCAGTAATTTTTCTAGCTGTCAATAGAGTTAATTGTTACAAAATTCTTGTGTTTTCTCCCGCTACCAGTAAATCCCATCTTATCTCTAATGGGAGACTTGCGGACGAATTGGCTCGTGCTGGACATGACGTGGTATGTTCAAATATTGGAAGAAAAACATTCAGGAACCTTCTTTTCAGACAGTGTTGGAACTCGATTTCTTGCAAATTTCGGGAACGACCAAGAGCGTGAAAGTTGCTAAGAAGCGGATCATAGGAAAGTTTAAACACGCTGAAAAGTTCAAGGAAGCACTAACCGGTCTTGTTACAATTAATGATTTACTTTATGTCTTTGTTTGTAGGTTTTTCAAAGAATGCTATGGACGAGCCTTCCTTCACTGAAAATTTGAAGGCACATTGGGCTTATCAACAAGCGTACAATGATCTGTGTGCAGGTAGCCTTATTTTTACTTCAACGTATATATTTTTGACTGTCCTTCTGAAAGCAAACTCATGAGAAACTAGAAAAAGCAGCACATCTTACACAAATATTTTTCAGAATTTCTGGAAAAAGATGATATTTTTTATGAACTCAAAAATGAGCACTTTGATGGATTTTTTGCTGAACAAATTAACACATGTGGCTTTGGATATGCTCATGCGCTCGGAATCGAAAGACGTTTCTTAATTGCAAGGTATTCTGATGTAAAAAGAGAAAAGGAGAACAATTTTCATTCTGGTTCAGCTGTCCGTTTTCTGGTCCAGTTTATGAGTTAACGGGTCTTCCAATGCCTACATCAAACGTGCCGTTTTCCACTGATATGAGCGTCAATCCCACGTATTTTGAGAGAGCAAGAAACCTTTTGGTCACAGTTATCGGTAATTTGGAAAACATGATTCTTTCTAACCAACTCGCTGCTCATTTTCATCTGAAGTTTGGGTTAGTTTTATTTTGAAAAAGAAATTTGTTCATACTAACTTTATACAACCCTTTGCAGAGAGAACTTCCCAACACCCCAGACTATTGCACGAGACGTCGACGTGATTTTCATTGCTACCGACGAAATCATTGACATTTCTTCTACAACCCTTCAGAACATTGTGCATGTTGGAGGTATCGGGGTTGATGATGATGCTACCGATATGGATAAGGTTGGCAAAAGTCAGACAAAGATACATTACAGTGGATTCAGATTTTCATGGCTGAAATGCAAAAAGGGAAAGAAGGCGTCATTTACTTCTCTTTGGGTACAGTAGCCAACACCTCGACTCTCGACAAACAAGTGATGCAATCCGTGTTAAATATTGTTCAAAAATACCCCGACTACCATTTTCTTATCAGAGCTGATGAATATGACAAGGTATTGACATTTTGTATACTATAAGGTCAAAGTTTGCAGAATACACGGGCATATGCGAAACAAGTTGAAAATGCATTCGTTTCGGATTGGCTGCCACAGCCAGCAATTCTTCGTGAGACTACATTGAAGGAAAAAATGTGATTTAATAAAAGTTTTCTTCAGATCATCCTCGCCTGAAGATGTTTATAACACATTCTGGCTACAACAGCGTAGTCGAGGCTGCCAGAGCAGGTGTTCCGTTGATAACTATTCCCTTTATATTTGATCAAAATTTGTAAGTTTCAAAAATATCAAGAACAAGAAACATTTAAAAACTCGAATGTTTCTTAGGAATAGCCGAGCAGTCGAGAGAAAGGGGTGGGGAGTGCGTAGAGACAAACGACAACTCTTGACGGATCCATCAGCTATCGAGGCCGCAATTGACGAAATCCTTCACAAGGAAGGGTAGGATTTGATCTTAGTCGAACAGTTGTAATCATTATTTAGATATACCCATCAAGCTCATAGAATCAGAGACCTTATCAAGTCCAAACCACTCAGTTCAGCAGCCAAACTTGTGAAAACTACTGAATGGGTATGTTTCTGTTTTGGTTTATGTACTTATTAAAAACTTTTCATTTAGTTTTTTTACATGCGTTCCTTTAAAAGCTATAAAAAAGGTATTTGACCAGGCTATCAAAAATGGCGGGCTGAACGAGTTGAAATTCGAAAGTCGAGCGGAGAGTACGATAACATACTACAACCTGGACGTTCTGATCCCCATTTTCTGGATTGTTGTGTATTTTATGATTCCGACCATACTTGGCTGGTACACCTTCAGTTGCTTCGGACACATCGAAGAGAAGAAAAACAAGATGAAAAACGAATAACTTTTTGAAGTGATTTGTATTCTCCATTTCATCTTTAATGACATGTATGTGTCTGTTTGTCAAGGAAACCTTCGCAACAAACAAAGGTTTTTTATTTTCACCTTTCCGCTATCATTTCATAATCAGAAGATGTACATGTGACTATGTAGTAGCTTCGCGATTTCCGTTGATTTTCTATTTTTGTGACTTCCGCTGTTTCTCCGAGCAGGCAAAATCTTTATCGTGTTGAAGCAAATCTGTTTTATTTGTTTATTTTTCTGTCAAAACCGCATTCGCATACCGAGCAGCTGGCAGTCATCAATTCGACAGCACCTGCTAAAGAGTGTTCCACGTTAACGGTTCAGATTTCGGCGTCATTCTGAGCATGTGCCTTCATCGTCGTTGTCCCACAAAAAAAATGTTCCAATTTAGAAGTCATCATTTCCATGACACACTATGTTCGGACAAAGTTCCCGCTGTCCTGCGTCGGCAAGAATCACAATGACAAATGATTCTACCAGATAAATTGTAGCTAATGTAACTCGTGAAACCAGTTTAATTGTGCCAACAAATGCGCAAGTTGCTGAGCCTAACCCTATTCGAGTGACATTTCTACAGGACTTTCGAAGGGACGGAGTGAAAATGGATGAGATTTTTGAGTATCATAGCATTATGCAACCTTTACTCACAAAGGAACTCCATTCCCTTAACTTTATTTCAAACGGTTCTGAATGTTCTAGCCTGCTCGTTTCGATGTGGTTTTCAGACCTAATTTCTTCAACTATTGACAAGTTTTCTCGAAGATGAATGGTAGCTGCTCTCGTGAATACATCTATTTTTGCTTTCAGTGTTCTATTGAATTACCCTTTTTTACATCCCATTCGAAAGCATGATTAGCACTTTCCGAATCGTACCCTTCCTATTCTGCCCATTTGTTTTGCCGCCCCCCTTCTTTTCACAATTTTACTTTTAAAACATTTTCTTTTCACAAGAATATGATGTAACAAATTTGCATGACCACCACGAAACTGATAACTAGAAATTATGAATTTGCGGTAGCTTTTTCCGAGTTGTACTTTTTTTAAATGAGTTTTTTTAATGTTCAGAAGACTAAAATTTCAGATTAGTCAAATGAAGACAAGTTGGAACTCGATCACCAGTACATATCCTTGGGAAAAAAGTGATGGATTCCGAGAACTGTACAAATGTCTTCTGCTCCAGGCTAGTGACTTCTTGTTTATCACATACTCTTTCAGTAGCCGAGTAGAGTTTAAAAACCAAAATTGAAATCGATGAAAACATGTGTTTTAATGTCGCCTGGAAATAAGTCTCAATGTTTTCGTATTCCATATACAAAAAACGGCCCCCTCCAATAAAAATCCTGGAAATAAAAGAGAAACTTAGTAAACAAGTGGCTGTCATTTGGCTCGTCGAATCCCTGAACCAACGACCCTTCTTCACGATGTGTAACAATTTGATCGAAACACAATGCAAGAGTTTTCTTTTCCGTTTCTTCGAGTGATGTTCTTCATCTCGTAAACTTCTCACAAACACACTCGCAAAATCTTAACTCGGCGGCTGCCGAAGGCCGCTAACCCCGTCCCCTCACTTTTCCGAATGTGCAGGCTGATCTGTTGCGAGCAATAGCAACTGATCGCTTTTGCCTTTTGGTTCTCGAATATTCAAGCTCAAGCATAATTTTCGAATATTCTCGAGTCAGTAAACATTGTGAGTAAGAGAGACGACTTGAGTTTTTGCTTACAAAAGTTTTTCAGACTGAAACTAATATGAATGATGCACTCCGACAGAGTCATTATCTAAACATCATGTGGCAGCTCTTCGCCATAAACGAAAACGTACAAACGTAAGTCCGTTTTTTTTTTCGATAGTGAATTCGGTGCAAAATTATTTTCTCCTAATATTCTGGGGTTTTTCTTACCTCAACTATGGTTTAATTGTATAATCCTTGACTCTCATCTTAATCTTTAACTCCCTCATCATTGGCTCTGCATCACAAAACTCTAATGATTCGGAAATGATTCTGACCTGAAATATCCACTCTCAAAGTCGTACCAAATTTTGCAAAAATTTTTGACCCAGAGTCTTATTCAAATCGTGAACGTTTCCGAATCAAAACTCTTGTAAATCACAACTAGGAGGGTATATACCATCCGGAAAAATGCGTTAACAATCTTTAAAATGAGAATTCATGATGACTAAGTCAGAGATCAAAGGTCTTCTATCAATATGTGTATCATTATAGAATAGACGACAACAACTGTTGCTCTGTCACTTCGTATGCAGGAGTTCTCTCTTCCGGAAAACCTGAACAGAAAAACAAATCGTTAATCCAGTTTGTGCCGCCCAAGTTAACTCCTGGAGAAAATGAAACTGTGAAACCGGCTGCAACTGTTCGGTTCCCGAGAATACCTCAAAAAGAGCGTCGCAAGAAGGAAAAAGAGCTACGTGCCAAAGCTGTCCGGCAAAACGCTTCTGCTCGCAATGAAAGCGCGAGAACACCTGGACAAAAACCAGAACGGTCACACTACTATACGATTCATTTGGTTGGACTTGATGAGAAATGCGAGAGTCATCCAGTTGTTGGAATGGACGTCTCGACAGTGCCTGTAGACCCGCATTTTTATGCAACAGGCAAAAAAAGGTACAACAGACGTGGCAAGAAACATTTCAAAGCAGCGGAAGTGGTGCAGATTCAGGCGACCGAAAAAAAGTGAGTAGAATAGAGAGGCATTAGGGGTTTATGAAACTTTTGGGCAGTCACGAAACTGTAAAATGCCAAATTTCTTCTTTAGGAACAAACCGGTCATGGATGCGGATGGATTCATAGAAGTGAGCAACAAGCACAAGGCGTGGAATCACACTCGAAAGTTAACTGAACAGGAAATAGTTCAAGCAGTCCGTTTGCAACAAAATAGAAAAGTTTCTCAAGTTAATGAGATCAGCAAACTTACGGAAAGTCCTCCTCTTCCTATTGAAGAATTGCTTACCTCTGTTGAAACCTCTGAAGATGCTAACAGTTTTGAGGACAGCTTTGAGCAGGCTGCAGAAATCGCCGAAGATGTGAGCAACATTTTGATCTCGGAGAGCGATTTGACCTCGGAGAGCCTTGAGCTGACTCCAGAACTCGCCGAGGATGTGAACAACAAAAACAGAAAGTGTGAGAAGAAGAACGATTCAGGTAATTATAAATTAGCATCTAACACATTGAGCACGAAATATATTTTTCAGAAAACAGTTCGTCAAATGTGAAAAAATCTGTTCAGACATGCTCACTTGACTGCCCTATTCAGGTACTTCTGTTTTTACGAACAATACTTTGAGCTGAATTTTCAGAGCATGAATACGTGTGCAAAAGACACCGAGAAAGAATACATTTCGCACAATGTTGAATGTGTTCCGTTTGAGTTCAACACTCTCAAGTTGAACTTCTCCATCGAATATCGATTATTGATGAAACATCCAGTACTGGAAACTGTTTTTTTCATAGTTTTCATAAAGATCTTATTGGTTATTTTGCTTTTTTTTTAAGTACAGCATTTTCCGAATTAATTTTTAATTTCTGCTTAGGTCTGTTTGAGTGTTGTTGCTTTTTATCCGTTACGTTTTTGATTTTTTTGTACTTTTCTTATCGCTAAGTAGACTTTGAAACGAATAAATAAATATATATTAAAAAGAGCACGTGAAAAACCTGATTAATTTTGAGGTGACCGTATTCTCTTATTTATAGCTACACTCGCCTTTTGAAAAAACGCGGTACAGGTCCGATTGCCGCGCAAAATAGATACTTTTAAAGCAGTCTATCTAAAAATAGTGACGATTCTTCCGTCTTTATCATTTACCGTGACATTGCACGATTTATTCAGTGAATCATATGCTCTCTTTCACAACAAGGTTGGACATGCTCGGCATACACACCTCAAAGAGACAACAAATCATTATTCATCTCAACGAACGGATACTCTTCAACAAACAATCTCGGGAGGAACCTGAGAGAGAATAGCGCATGTTTATCCTGAAACTGGTGTCTTTTAACTTTTCGTTTAAATAAAATCGGGCTTTGGGTTGTAGTTAGTGGCCGTGTCAAGAGAACATCACAGATAAGATTATGCACCCGTTGGTTAGCTCAATACAGTTTCCAATATGCACGGTACGATAAGATATCAAAGGGTGTGTGCCTTATTACGCAACATTCATAACATGTCCTCTTTGTGAGACTTAGCGTAAAAGTTTCCACTTTCTGTTTTTCAACGGACATACTTAATCTATATTCTTAAGTTCAGACATTCTTCACATCCCCCAAATTTTTCCATGTTTATTGTTCAAATCTACTCTATAGAAATGACGTTTTCTTTTACATTTATTCGTCTTTAAATTTCTGAGAATACCCTTCTATTTTCTACAGGTTGAAAGCAATGACGTCTTTACTTCAAAAAATTCTGATAAGTTTTGCTTTTGTATACAAATGAAAAATCCTTCGAGTGTTCGAAAATAAGAAAAATGAAGCAAAAACACATCCATGGCTACCAAACATTTATAGTATATATGAACAGAGAGGAAAATTTAGTCTCTAAATTTGGTTTCAAAAGTTATTTTTCCTCCTTCAGATTCAAAGAATTTTTCAACATGTTAGCATATTTCTAAAGACGTTTTATATTTTTCTCAGGTGTTCTTTGTGAAAAATTTGAAAGAATGTCGTTCACATTCAAAATGACATTTCTTAAGGATAATTTTCCAGTAAATGAGTTCAATGGCTACCATTCATAGACATTCCCAGAAACCTAATGCAATTTGTCACCATCAGAAAAGATGCGGTAACGATCATCATTTCCATCTACCTGGAGTCCTTACTTGAACTCCGCCCATTTTATTTGTCAAGTTCTTTTATGTCCATTATGTCTTTTTGAGTGTCTTCCTTCTTTTTCCGTTTCTTGAAACAGCATTCAAACTGGAGTGCTGCTCTGCTACCTGGAAAAAGGTTTTGGGTTCTGAAGAACTTCTCGGAAAGATTAGGAATTTTCATTCCAAAACAGTTATTAAAGCAGAAATTTTCAGTTCTCAGCACTTTGGGAAGTCAAGTTCATAACCATATACATTGACAAGCTTCTAATTTGTTGAAACACGTTAGGAACACTCCCTGGCAATCTGATACCGTTCCCGCTGTTTACGTTCAACGCTAAGTGTTCCAAACCGTAACACCTATCTCTCATAAATTGACGGCGTCTGGATCTCGACCGCGATTTGCGTTTAGTTTCGGTTCGCAGATCCTTATCAACAGATTGTACACACACAATCACTTGTTGTAACTCATTGTGTGGAGAAGAAGACGGAAGGAAGAAGAGATGGGGCCTCCTTCTCCTCATAGTTATCATTTACACGCCTACTTTTGCCCTCCCTCTTCCTCCTCCTCCATATTCCGATTCGTCCATTCTCGACAATCGGTTGCGCCCCCCCCCCCTTTTTCGCTTCCCCCTCTTCGTTTCTCTCATCGTTTTCGCCCTCCGATTCCCAAACAGTCCGCCATCAATTACACCCACTTCTTTTCCAGACACGGATGGAGTCTTCAACGTCTCTCATGGAGTTCTTCAGACAGCAGATCGTAGAGCCCATCACCAAGACTCTAGGGGAAAAGAACGCCGAGCCTGCGGATGAAGTGTGCAAGGCTTTGCAGATAAAAATTGAAACTTTCAAAGAGAGTTTACTAGAGGAAATCAACAGGTATTCCATATCAATATCTTGACCCACAAAACACACTTCAGAGCATATGCGAAAACTACGGAGCAAGAGCAGGAGATGAAGAATGAGGTCGCTGAAACAGTGCACCATTTAATTGAGCGAATTGTAGAAAGAGAGATGATTCACACACAGGTAAGAATTATGAAAATGTGGTTGCGCTACTAATTATAGTAAATTGACAATTCTAAAATGTGACAGGACGCATTTCAGGACGCACACTCTTCTTCAGTCGAGTTGTCAGATGCCTCTGTCCAAAATCAAAACTTTCTGATTGACATGTCCGTCGCAGAATTGGTTCCTCCGGAGTCTCCGCGGAGAGGTGTTGTCTTTTCGGATGACGAAGATCTTTTCAAAATTAGCCCTCCCATATCCCTCGACACTCTAATCAAGACCGAAAAGTTATTCTCGATGACTTCTTCACCAACTTCTCCAGAAAGTGATAAGGTTGGTTCCTTTTGTGAACGCGTGAGAGTAAGCAGAAACTTGTCATACATAGATGCGAAGTAGAGTATCAGATTCAGATTCCCACACAACTTTCGCTCCATCTTTCTATTTTTCCTTTTTTCAGAACGCGTTGTGATTTTCCTTTTCCATTTATTCTCTTTCACTTTCAAAGCAAACACATCATTCATGATGCGAATATTTGTTGGGTTTCAAACATTTTCCTTTTTCCAGATGCCATCTCGCAAGAGAGCCAAGAGAAGCCTTGAGGACACCGTTCAAATGTTGTCAGATGACATGAAGAAGGTGTCAAAAGAAGAAGATTCGGTTTCTCCCCCACCTTCCCAAACTGCTGCTGCAGTTCTTCCTTCTCCTCAAAATCTTCCGTTCGTTCTTCCGCAAGTGCCGGTGCCCTTTCCCAACACGATGATGCAACGCTGGCTAGGATCGCCCTTTGCTAATCCGGTTTACCTCAACGCGATGAATATGTTTCATCCACCAAAAACTTCGGAAGAACAATTGGCTGCTTTGATGAAAATGTGAGTTAAGCATATAAAGGGAAGGGACATATAACTGTATCAGTAGGCGCCTCTCGGTGACTCATTTTACCCATTGTTCACAATCACTTCCACCCGGGGAAGGAACAATTGTCCTATCGCTATCACCACCCAATTGTTTTCTATTTTCTATTTCCCTTTTTCTTTTACCCAATTCAATTGGTACGGTGCAGTGTGAAGCAAACGGGGAACAAAGTAAGGGAACTACAGTAACCTGACAGAGTATTCATCAAGCCGCAAAAAGAACGACAATTTTTGATAGTAGTAACTTGCCCCGGGACCGCATTTTTGTCGTCAAGAGACACAGTAACTGACGTAGATCATCTTAAAGAGTAAACAAATGTAGGTGATAATAAATCAACTGGTAACTGGTCTTACCAGTGATCAGATGGCAACACACACTTCGTTTGTGGCAATTTAGTTCGTTTTGAGTGAGGTGGTTTCCCCTCCCCATACTCAAGATGTTATCTTGACAAATAGCCTGCCCTATCTGATCAAAAGAAAGAAGTGAGAGGTGATGAACTGCGTGTGAGGTAAACTTGGTCAGGGAAAATGTTCGGATTTTTGGCAATCAATTAAGTGTCACGTCTCAATCAAAATGTCACCAATCTCGCATCACGTAAAATTTGTAGTTAAGGTTATATATTCATCCAAAAAACGACGGATATGGCGTAAGACCTTGAGTGAAAAAGAGAAGAAGATTTCCACATTTTACAACCCATGCGATGAAAGGGGATCGGAAACCCTTCGCTTTCTCAAATCACATAAATATCTCAACTTGTTTTAACACTAATTCAATGTGAAAACTTTAGGCTGTCGGTGCCTTTACCTCTTTTTAAGATTGCAATCATCGATATGCTCTTCCAAGAACAAACCCGTAAAATTATATCCCCATCCAAGGTTTTATTTAGAATTAAATTAGTCAGGAAGCAAAGGGAGGGTTTATTTATTGATGTTGCGGGAGAGAATGAGGGCGCTGGCGGTTACTGTAGTGAATGGACACAACAATTTGCCGCGAGATGATAACAGAGGCAGCAAACGGAGGTAATTCGTCAAGATTGATTACCGTTTGCAATGGGTGAGAGGGCGAATATGAGAGAGAAGTGGAAATTGCAGATCGGAAATGGAACAATGGTCACGGGGAAGGGACAATATTTCTATTATGAAGTACGCAGATTTAATGATTAGTGATTCAAGCAAGAATAGCGCTAATCTTGGTGAAGAGTTGAAAAAAACAACTTGTTTAACTAGTAATATGTGCAGCACAATTATCATGTTATCATGCTCATATAAAATAGTTCATATTTTTAGAAGCCTGCAGGCAGCCAATTTCATAAAGCATGTCGGACCACAACAAATGCAAGTTCCATCCCAACCCGAATCCAACGCTGATGACATCAAAATTGACGTGGAAAGCGACGACGGAGAGGTAGAAGTGTCCCCTTCACCTTCCACTGGAGATATCACGGAAAATGAATCATCTTCTTCATCCAGCGGTGTTCCACTCACATCACCAGCAAGTGAGGGTGATTCTGGTAGGGAGTATCTCCTTATCGCACCTGTTAACTTTAAATATTTAAGGAGCCGAAAAACCGTTCATTTGTATGCACAACAACTGTGGGAAGCGCTTCGCCAACAAGTTCCTGCTCAAGAAGCACATGTTCATTCACACCGGCCTCCGTCCACACACTTGCCCGCACTGCCATAAAAAGTGAGTAATTTTTTGTCCATCTATTGAAACAAAGAGTGTCAAGTGTCATGTGATAAAAGGAAGAGAGCGGCACGTAATATTGTTAACAAGAGGGGATGTGATGAGGTTTTTTCAAAACATTTTGCAAAAAACTTCCAATTCGATGAACAGTTTTACACAAGAACTATGTATACCGATCCTACTTTGTTTTAATTGAGAAATTAATTTAATTCACACCAGTTCCGTTCCAGATTCAATAGGAAAGACAACTTACTCCGCCACAAGAAGACACATTCACCAAATGGCGGACATTTGGGACATATGCTTCCAAAACTTGGGTTCCCGGCTATTCCTCCAATTCCGGGATTACACAACATTGCCCTTACACCTGGTTTCAACCACTTCCACGCTTTAAAAATGTCACTAGAAAATGGTGCGCCTGCAGTTCGTAGTCTTTCTTGAAGTTTTAACTCGATTAGATAATTAATATAGCATAATCCCCTAAAAACAACCCACTTTTTAGGTCTATGAATGGGTCTTATGGCGATATGTGATTTTATTTCAAAATGTGATTTGCATTTTTCTTGGGTATGTATGTATTTTATTCATTACTGACAAAAGTGCAACAGTTTTGCGCGGATTCCAGTCTCATCCATTTCATTTCGATCATTTTTCTATCAGCAAAACCTTTTAGAAAAAAGGTCAATTGTCGAATTTCCAAGCTTTAACTCCCATTTTTATGCTCCATTACAATCTTCCAAAAAGTTGAATAAAGTGTTCTCTTTTGTTTTCCTTCATTTCATGTCCGAATATTACACCGTTTGCAGCATGTTACTTGGTCATTCTTTAGCCCTGCAATTAAAAGAAATAGAACCAGTTTACTTATACACTCCCCATTATCACCCATTCTTCGGACACAAGAAAAACGATTGGCGGGGAAAAGAGGGGAGTAAGTATCCGCAACAAACAATAAGTGATATGAAAGTTGATGCTATGAGGGAACGACTCAAATTGCCTTGCAAAACGCCAAAAATCAGTGAAGAACTGAAAGTGTCAAAGAATTTCAAAATGTGGGACACCCTATTACAATAATAGATAAAATGCCGTTCTACCGCACCTTTTCGACCATTCTCAATTTTCGCAATTTTAAGCCATTTTAAGGCTTATTATCATTGATTTCTAACCTTCGGTCATCAAAAATGTGTCATTTTCAGCAAATTTCAAAAATGGGGAAATGGTCGAAAAGTGCGTTATAAAAAATATGGTCGAAATCCAGTGGTCGAGATGGTCGAGAAAAATGCGGTAGAACGGTGAATAAAAAAAAAAAAGCTAAATAAATGATCTTTTCAGAAAATCTTAAACCTCTGACAAATTATGATCTTGAAGAACTTGTAGACACACTAAAGATCAAGAACTTCCGTGGTGTTTTTATGCGAGATACTTTGCCGGATAAGGTACTATCAAGAGAAACTGGTATTATAAATTTAGATTCTTCAGAAGGTAAAGGTACTCATTGGGTTTGCTACTCCAAGAATAATAAGAACATTTATTACTTTGATTCGTTCGGACTAGATCCACCATCAGAACTTCAACAATATTTGAAAACCTCGAAAGCTAAAGATAAAAAATCAGTCATCGAATTGTCAACATTTCAAATTCAAGAATTTGGAACACATCATTGTGGTTATTACTGTTTATTACTTTTGAAACTTTTGGAATCCACAGATTTCCAAAAAATTATTTTATCATTTCTTGAGGACTAAAACCGTAAGCATTTGTTTCATATGAATTTGGTATGATAATCCTCTTGAAACTCAGCAATTTTGATTCAGTCTCTTCATTGTCAAAAACAACTTTTTCTTGTTCTTGGGTGTATAATTGTTGTTTGATACTTCGAATACAACATTGTTTCTTTCTAACAATACTCTTATTAAAAAGACTTTCTCGAAAATCTTCAACCTTTCAACTATTGAAGCTTTTTTATCTGAATAAGTTGAAAAGTGATTGATTTCTAATGATTTGAATAATTTATTCATTTCTTTATTATAATACTCCTTACCATTATCAGTCTGCATCTTTTGTGGCCTCCTTTTACTTTTTGTAAAGACTAAAGAAAGAGCATCTGCAGTTTCTTTGCCTGTTTTACTTTTAAGAGGAACAACCCATGCATACTTACTAAAACAATCAATGATGGTCAAGAGATACTTGAAATCATTATTCTCCGAGGCATAAGGAATCATTTCTACTAAATCAGATTGCCATTGATCATCTATTCCACAAACGTAAACTCTTTGACTCTTGAAATTCTTCCTTGCTGGTTTGTGAAGAGTGTAGACATCTTGCTGATTCAAGAATTCTTGAACTTCCTTGATTGGCAATTTTGTTTTTCTTTGCAATTCATTGATACCACAAAATCCTGTTTTTGGAGAGTAATAAGCTTTTTCTAAGAGATCTTTTGAATCCTTGGAATCCTTGATTCCTGAACCTCCTTTAATTGTTGATTTCATTGAAATTAACTTACACTTTGTTGTATTACAAACTTCACACTTTCCCTTTATCATTGATCTGTTGTTCTTTGTCAACATCGATTCAACATCAAGTGTATTCGTCTTTATCTTGCATTTGAAACAATATACATGATCAGACATTTATTATAATGAGAAAATGATGAAGATAAAATAATAATAACAATGCAAATCATTATTACAAGCACATTGATAGTACAGAGTCGAAGACTCCTAGATTCTTAAGATTGAATGGATACCAGTATGATCATATTTTATAAATACCGGTAAAGCTATATTTTATAAATACCAGTATGATTATATTTTATAAATTACTAACACAATGCAACAACTTTGTTAGTCTATTTGGTAGGAATTTGTATATCCTTTAATTCCTTTTGTGTCTTCTTTCTTGCTCTTAGAGCTTCGAGAACCTGTTCTTTTTCATCTGTCTCATCACGTTGACGCTTACGAATATTACTACCAGTATTTTTACGATCATCTTTTACCTGAAAAAAAAGATCAATCACTTATGAAATAGTTAATTACTAAAGTACCTTTATTTTGTTATCGTAAACTTCTCGACGTTTATTGAGACGCTCCACTTCATTATTCTTATATTCTTGAGCTCTTTGAAGCTTTGTAATTAGAATATCAGTCTGGAATAAAGAATAATTTAAAAAACTTAAAAATTTCAAAAGCAAACCTTTGATTGAAGACTTTTGATATATTCTTCCTCTCCTTTTCTACGATGATGTTCTTTCCCCTCTTGAACAGTCATTTCTTCTACATTTTTCGGAGCATGAAGAGGTGTAGTATTAGTCAACTGTGAAGAAGCCGTTGAAGAATCCTTCTTAGTCTCAACAACTGTAGTATCCACATCCATAGGAACAGATCCACTCATAGGAACAAGTCACTGAAATTAACACATAGAAATATGCAAAGAAAACTTGAGTCGCAGAACGAAAAATTTTCACGTTGAAAGAGTGAAGATATTCTCTTCTCTTATAACCAATACACTCTTGAAATGGCACCTTCGAGAAGGTTTAGGGTGTGGCCGCGCTCTCTCTCTCTTTCTCCTTCAGTTCTTTCCTGTGGTGTGACGTCATTGTCCTGGAAATTTTTTTTTCTCTTTGTGTGACCTTCTTTTCTCTTCCCCACTGTGACCGAGCACAATCACACATTTGCCAGTTAAACTAGGCGCACGCGACGCGTTGGGCTAGAGTGGAAGGGTGATGAGAGTGACGCGTTGAGCAGAGACGCAGAGAAAGGCGAGAAACTGCCAACATCGCATTCTTTCATCAACTTTTGTAAATAGAAAATAGACTTCCTTTTCTTCTGTAGTTCGCGTTGATTTCGTGATTTAACATGATTATCATTATTTTCTGCTTAATTTTGAATTTGTAAACAACTTTTCCATATCTTATTGTCTGGTGTAATGTTTCAGTTTTTCAAAAGCATTTTAGTTAGTCAAGTTTTCCGAAAAGTGAAGCTTATTTTGTACTTATCTTGAGATGGTATTGATAACTAGTATTAAAACTGTTTTATTTATTCAATTTACTTATTTCATTAATTCTTTGGTTTCAGAATGGTTTTTATTGTGATCCGACTAGTTGGTGAAGCAGAAGATCGCTTGTTCAAGAACGTTGTTGTAGAGCAACAGGTTTGAACATTGATCATTGCCTTTATCTACATAAATTCTGTTTTATTTATAGATTTCGCGTGTTGATTTGGTGAAGCTGATTCAGGATGTCACTCAGATTCCCGTCATTTTTCAACAGATTAAGTTATGTGGTCAAGAATTGCCCGATTCTCTAAATCCTTTAGAGTCGATCAAGGATTTTGAAGAAATCGAAGTGGTAAGCTGAATTTTTATATTTTTATTTGATTAATTGACTGATTTCAGTGCCATACTATGTTGGTAAATTGGCGGACATACATCCAGATGATAAGTGAAATCAAACGATTGACCACATCGGGTGTTACGGCCGGAAGAAGGGAGATTGCTCTTAAGGCTCGTATTCAGCTGTCCCCACTCCATTCGTCAAAATTCTTTGCTGTGTATCCCAGTTTCGCAATCGAAGAAATGAACATCGGCAAGAGTGTGAATTTTCTGATTCATAACACCAAGAAGTATCTTCACCGATCCGTTTCGGCATATTTTGAAGCAGCATATCCGGAAAAAACGGTGGAACTTAAGGACAAATCTGAAGAGTTTGCAGGGATCCATGTATGTAATTATTGCTTATTATCTTTTATTTTTACGCATTTTTAGCTCGGAGTCTTTGTGTTCATCGATCATGAGCCCTCTTACTATGCGAAAACTCTTGGAAGTATTCCGGGACCTGACGAGGAGTCCGACTTCCCAAACTGCCCAAAAATCGACCTGATGGAAATTTATGTTTACTTCCTCCTCAAATTAATTGGTGTGGGACCGGTGGAAGTTCATGTGATACCAAATATTACCAAATCTGATCTGGTCTTCATGGCAACTAAATTAGGTGGGCATCAGTTTGATTTTTAATTTTATATCTGACAATTTAGTTGACGGATTTCGAACGGCTTCGGGAATCTCAGCTTCTGAAATAATAGCGAGTACTTCTTCTGAAGGTGATATTTAGATTGTTATACATGAATCTAATTTATTTTTAGTGATCGGACCAGTCTACATCGATACGGAAATGAGAAATCAGATGAAGATCTTGTCTTCCCTACTTTGTTTAAGCGATCTGCAAAGGAACAAGGGTAATCATGGAGTGGTAGAGCAACAAACCACTGAACTCGAAAAGAAGGAAGACAAACATTGTTCTACTCGTGAATTGAGAATTATTGACTTTGGGGTAATTTTTTTATATTTTTGTGCAACTGTTTATATATTTTTTGTTATTTCAGATCAACCTTGGCATGATCGACAGCGAACCAAGCATTCTGAACTCTTCCTTTGATATCGCTTATTTGAATACTTATTTTGCAAAGTGGGATCTTCAGAAAAATATATACAGAGCAAGAGAAGCAATGAATAACGTTCCTGCCCTGAAGAACAACCAGAACGTTAATCGCGCGACATTCGATCGGTATTTTAAACGCCTCGAAAAGGCTCTAACAACTTTTTTAAAATAAATAATTTACCAATTCTATGTTCAAAATACAACTTACAATTAGGTATACTTTGCTGTTAAATTGAAGTGGGTTGGATAGGGTTTTGGAATTGTATTAGAATTTCGCGTTTAAAATTATTGCTAATTTAGTCCTATGTTTGTGATTTGATGGCTTAGCGCAATATTTCGACCACTGGATTTCGACCATATTTTTTATAACGCACTTTTCGACCATTTCCCCATTTTTGAAATTTGCTGAAAATGACACATTTTTGATGACCGAAGGTTAGAAATCAATGATAATAAGCCTTAAAATGGCTTAAAATTGCGAAAATTGAGAATGGTCGAAAAGGTGCGGTAGAACGGCATTTTATCTATTATTTATTACATTTGTCAATCATCAAATCCATATGATAAGGATTCAAAATCAAGTGGAAGAATTTTAAGTGAAGTGATAAATCTGAATTAATCACATAGAGGTTATAGGGTTTGGGAACAAAGCGAAGAAAGAAGAAAGAAAATCGGATAAAGGCGGAAAAGGAAGGGAGCAAATGGAATTCTTTACAATTCTTGGCTTCTGAGATGACTTAAAGAAATTGTTTGCATTTTCTTCAGTTTAAAAAATATTCAAATGACGACGTGAATGGTTCTCACTAAAACTTGTTCATAATTCCAGGTAATAATTCCAAGGCCTTTTTTTTTTCGATCACTACAATAATCTCAATTTAGTAATGTTGTCCCTCCGTATTTGTAGACTCAAGCCAATATATCTGAAATAAGTTTTGAGTACACAAACACCAAGGATGAAGAGTGGTACATTGAGAGTAAGTATCCCATAACATTCTTGCTTTTTTGCCCACCGGAATTGAATGCATAACTTCGGAAATGGCATTTATGAGAAAAGCGTCAACGTCTTTCTTCTTTGTTTTTTTTTTCAAAGTGATAATTGGTGAACAGCACGAAAGACAGTGTCACTTAAAGAGACGCGAAAATTTGGAATGGCGAGAAAGTTCATATCAGCGCTCCAAGGTTTGATTGATGTTCTTGTGTTGCGGCCGATGCAATAGCGTCTTGCGGCCTCCTTTTCCCTTCTTTCCCCCCTCTCATATTCATTCTCTCTCATCCTTATCATCACCGAGACGAGAAGAGACAATTGTTGCCTCATTCGCGTCTCTTTCTCGCCTCAATCTCAATCTTCTTTACTCTAATCAACCGTAATTGGGCTATCAACTAAACTAATCAACTGCGGGGGAGAGATGAAGGCAAGAAGAAAAAAGAAGAAAAAGAAGGAGGAGGAGGAGGAGAACTGATAAATGACAAATGAGTGACCATGAAGAAGTGAAGAGTAGTTGAAAACAATACGCCGATTCTGTTGACAAAAAACTCGTCAAAGTGAGTGAAGGCTTACTCACTTGAAAATTAGAGGGAAAAATCTGATATATTTTTAAAGGAAATATTATTAACGACAAGGAATACTTATAAACATAGGTGGGATTGCTCTGAAGTAATATCAAGATCCAGACAAACATTTTCAAACTACATGTTGTTTCCAGATATTGCAGTGTTACCTATAGAGAACCGTTAGATGTGATTGCAGAGTTTTGGAAGGAGTTCGTAGTCATGAGGGTGCAAATTCAGAGTTTTTCGAAGCTTTGAGAAAGCTACCCTTTGCATGGTAAAGAAAATATACTTGACACAATAAATAAGGAAAGAGAAGAATAAAATAGAAAAGTTCATGTTCTGAAAGAAACAAATTGATTCGTGAAAACCAGTTTGAACTTGTTCTCACTAACTTGATATCAGAATTCACTCTGGATAAAAATGTTTGCCCACCCGTTTAAATCATTTTCCGTGAAAAACGCCTTGTAATGCACAGAACTGTTTAAACAAATATTGGAAAGTTTTATAGTGATGTAGGTAACTCATTTTGTACATTTTACACGTTGCACCTAACAAGATCTACGCTCACCGTTCACAACTATTGATAAAATATATTCAAAATGAAAGCGCTTTCGAAAAAAGAAAAATACGTTCATATTTTGTGAGAACAAAGCTATTCCTCATTCATCGTAATCGCTGAGCTCATCCTCGTTTTCTTCTTCTATTCTTGTTGACACCGACAACTTTTTTTCTTCGTTTTTCTCTCCGATCCATCTCTCGACGCCACCGCACATCCTGAAGGGTCGTTTTTCTTCAATCAATAGCTCTGTGAGTTTCTGGTGGCACCTGTTGAAAGAGTATTCAAATGGATGAATGAAACGTTCAATGTTGTGCTGCATTTCTTGATAAAGAGCTGTTATGAGAGCTAATCCAAGAACCACGACGCAATATGGAAGTATGCCGCTGAAAAACGAAAAATGATTTTTTTCAACTTATTTTTATAGTTTTCCCTCTTTCATCCAAAAAGACAAATGTTTCATGACTTCTGTGTAAAAATGGAACATGCCCATTGCCTTTGAAAAATGATGTGGGAAATCCTCATTTTCATTTCAATTTTTTTGGGGAACCACTTCCAACTTCGACCATAACAATCTGCTCAAGATTTGGCAGCATTTCATGAGACTCACTGGAATTCATTGTCCACTTCCCCAACAGTTGTAAATTGCAGGAAAATGGAAAAGACTGCTTCGATAAATGGCTAAATTCACTTCTTTTTTTAATGTTTGCAGTCATATTTTACCACATCATCCGAACCGCCTTCTACGATATCATATATAATGGCGGAGATGAAGATGTAGACAATTGTAACAATCCAAAGGGTCGTTCCCTGAACAAAGAAGATGGTTTTCACAGTTTTGCTATTGTTTCATGTTTCAAGGTTGCTGACCTGCCACAGCGACGTTACCATTTTGCCAAGCTGACCGATAACTGTCAAGAACAAAGGTGTTCCTAAATGTTTGACAAAACGACGCGTGTAAATTTAGCAGCTATACACTTACCTATCAAGGCGTACAAAACTGCAATAAATTTTCCGAGAGTGCTGAAATCATCAACGTCCAGTGGGCCAATGGTTGTGGAAATAGCAAACGACTTCTGAAGTCCGGCAGCAAAAGACTTATCCGATTTGTCAAGATCTATTCCATAATGTTGCAGGAGCGCCTGAATATTACAATTATTATGTATCAGCTGCTCAATTCAGAAGATACAAAATTTAGTTTCCATCACTCTCATAATACTCATAATCAGTTAAACTTCATAATTGCGTATCTTACTTTGCTGCCTTTCTACACTCGAAAAATCTAATTAGCCACTCACCTTCTCATAAAGTTCCAATTTTTGATCAGCAAGCTCCGACCAGTCGTCTTCTCCGTTGGTTATTGTTTCGGCCCAAAGAACATTCAGCAAATCTGATCGTTTTGCATCTAACCGGAACAAACTCGCTTCATTGTCATCCTAAAGCATCACTCAGTCTCTACAAATAGCAGCTAGAACTTACTTGTCTGCTAGCAACTGTGCACAGAGCAGGGAATAAGATCATACCAATGAATAGCCAGGCTACAAGAGCAAATGTGTAGAATAGACATCGTCGGAATGCTAATTGAAATTTAGGCGAAAGTTCGGAAGTTCGCATGATTAAGGAAATGGTTGATGAAGAAGAAAGTTGGACAAGTCAAGACAAACTAATAGCTCAGCACATCGAATTCGTTGAGCCGGGAAGAGTTTTGCTCCCGTTTGAGCCTCCCCGTGTGCTTTCTCTATCTTTCTCTCATCAACTCGAGCACTTTCTCTCCTTTACACTAACATTGCCGCTCGGCGTCAAGATGCCATTCACATCCTTCTTGCTTTCTTCGTATTTCTCTTTTCCCCTTCTACCCGCAGGTTGATCTTCTTTCCGCGTGTTTTCCAGAGGGATCTCTGGGTGGCAGGAGACAATGTAATGTAATCCAAGAACACAAGTTTTGATTGAGTTATTGTGAAGGAATGAGATGAGATGGCACATGGGTTCTGGATTCTAGACACAAAGTAACAACAAAATACTTGTGCGAAGTAATATAAAAACTTTTTGAAAGATGTATCACGCATTTATGTGTTATCAAGCTTTCAAACCAAAAAAATGTACAAGAAATCAAGTAATTACTTTGACTTACTGGCATCAGTCTAGCTCAACTGTGAAACACAAAAACAGAAAAAATGTGTAAAATGTGTAGAAATTTCAAGATGTTGTAATCTAACAAAACTCATTTGAACAAATATTTAGGAAAAATATAAAAATTATAGGGCAAGTATGTGCAAGGTGCTGGTCGATTAGAGTAAATATAAGATCATTGATATTTCGGACGATATAAGCTATCATGTGAAGCTGACACTTTTTTCAAAAAATTTGAACGGTATGCGTTATAAGTAAATGAGGAATGCTCTAAAGAAGGGGTCGATTTAGGCTTGACAGCAGCTTTGCAGTTATTTTTCTCGGACTCTGGTACATAACGCACCAATTTGATCCAGTCAAAGCAACGGGGTTTTAAGTGGTAGGAAAGAGGGTTTTGGAACCTGCCACGCCCGTTGAATCCTAGAAAGAGAATAAAAGTTAGTGTTAGCGGTGAAAGCTTACCTAAATATAAATCTGGTTTCCAAGCTGATCGGAACCTTGAAAATCCATTATCATGGATCTCTTCTATGAAAGTGCATTTGGAATCCGAGCCATTAAACTGAAATAGAGATTATTATCACATACATCTTTTTTTCCTATTGCTCACTCTCAATGTAATCCTGGCTCTTTTGTTAAAACATACAAATTTTCTCGACTGGGCATGTTGTAAGCGAAACTTCCCATCCCACTCTCCCACAACGTTCCAATCGGCTGCAAACATGATATATTCGCTCACTCCCAATTCCCATGCTTACGTTCGTGAACAGAACGGAACGCAAACTCTTTCTCTAGATGACTCATTGGTATAACAAAGGAAATTCTTTGTTTGATACTTTTGTTCGAAATTTTGTACGTGGACTCACTGAGACAGTGCCTATCCGGATATCCGCGAGTGTTCAACGATCCGATGAATGACTGAAGCATTCCCTGACTGCACTCGTTGAATAATTGCCAATGAGTTTCCCCAACTTGGTGCACATTTGCCTTTAATGCAAACCGAGAACTGAAAACGGTTCTCGTGGTGTTAAAAAAGAAAAAAAAACTCACAATATGGGCGGAAAGTTTGAGTAGAGCATCAATATAGCTACGATTTTGAGCATAGCTCACATCATCGATACCTAAAATATCAACAGAATTTCAAAACTTTTGTACAGAATTTCCAGTTGCTACTTTCGAAATATAAACGCACCGGAATTTTGGTTTTGAAACTGTCAGAGTTTTCTTCCGAATAGATCCCTCAGACGTGACAAATTTGATTCGGAAGTTCACGCTGTTCAAAGACAACCTTTAAGGAGACCAATATAAATTTCTGAAGTAAAAAAAAGTTCCTCGGACATAGGTAATTGGGACAGAAAGATGGAGAAAAAATTGAAAAGAATCTAACTAGAAGAAACCTCGAAGGTGGAATGGAGAAGAAGCAGACACGGAATCAGAACAAGAATTTAATCAACTTTTTTGTCTTGACACTTTCAAAACACATTGTAATTACAACTTCGGACAATTGTATCGGGAGGCAAAGAGGAAAAATCAAAAGCGGAGAAGGAAAAGAGAACAGTGACCATTGACTGGATGAACATTAGGCATCTAGAAGAAAATGAAATGTTCAATGTGTATGTCTCAAATGACTTTTGACGGATAATGCGGCAGTTTCTCTTGCGTTACCTACGGCTAAAAGTTTAGCCAAACCGGAACGATTTCAGAAGGAAGTTATATTAGAATTAGAAAAGGAAATTATAGTCAACCTAAAGTGGCATTTATGTGGGAAACTGTAGGTCGTATTTCCGCCATATGTGCTGCGCAAGCAAACACATATGAAAATCACCAAGGACATAAATGTGAGGGCGGGGAGAGGTGATTAATCAAACCAACACCAGGGGGCACAGAGGAAACGGTTTTAAAAAATTTAAATTTTCAAAATGCTCATCAGAAAGTTAATAAATGATTGAGAATCAGACAAATCACAGTTTTCATGAAAATACTATTCAGAAATATGTCCAGAGAAAAAAATATCCACGATTAATTTAATTTAAATTTCCGATAATTTTGTTCAAATTTCTGTCCGAAATTTTCAACATAGTAAAGTTTGACGCGGTCTTCGGGTTCGTTTCCATAACTGACCTCATCCTACAGTTTGATGAGGCGGGACACAAAATGTGATAGTTTACTTTTCGTCGTTGGTGGTTTCTTCTTTCTCCTCTCGTCCATTCTCGAATAGCAAATTGCATAGTTCATAGTGATGAAGAAAGGAAAAAGTACAATCAAACAGGAGGTCAAGGAACTGGTCAAGAAAAATACTTATTCGATTACATTACACGAGATCTGGACACAAAACAGCTAATTATATACAGTCTTGTCGCACGATATCGTCACATAATTGCTGGATCGAGATTTCAAACCAAACCATGTATTTCATCGTGAAAGAACCATCTTCAAAAAGCGAAGTTTGAAGTAGACAAAGTTATGAAATTTGGTGTATGCCAAGTCTCGAAATGGAAATGTTATCTCCATCAAATCACAGTCACCGACGAGAAGAAATAGTCTAATCCTTTTTGGAATTCATAATCAGTTTTGCGGAAGTTCTTGAATAGCATCAAACATCCATTTGAATTTGGGAGAACAGAACATTCCGAGGACTAGAAAAATTGGGAAAAATCACTTACCGTACTTAATTCCTTTCCCAGAACAGATTTTACGAACAGATATTGTGTTCTCGCTTATTTATGTGTCCGTTTTGTCGCGTGCCGACAAACGCTTGTTCATGTTGACAACCGCGCTTTCTCGAAGAATTATTATCCATTGTTTTGCCTATTTTTTTGAATTCGCAGGCGTTTTTTGTACCTTTGGAAAATTGAAAGTATCACGAGCTCGTTATTCAAGGTCCTGTCGCCCCCTTTCCGGAATCTCATATGGACTCCAACTCAAATATTTTGTAATTGTGAAGTTCTCCAGTCTATTATTTTTGATGACACAGCTCTAGAGACCTGTGCATCTAATTGGCTGTATCCTTTACAGAGAAGACAGGACCTTTTTAATTGAACATTTCTTCCGGGACGTTTCTCGGAAAACTATTGAACACTGGAAGATCCCGCCCTGGCCAGATATTACAACGAAAAGCGGAAACCATAAATAATGTAATTCAAGAAAAAAAGCATTTCAACATCAGATCAGAGCCGCGAGGCAGGAACCACGTCAATTTTCAAAAAATCATTTTGAGGTTTATGGTTTCAAAAAACACTAGCGGACAGATATATTTTTGCACGATTTTTACTTAGACGCAGGAAAGAAGCGGAAAAAATGAACATGTAAAAAAAGGTTTAATTCATTTTCACAGCATAACGTCGCCTTCTTCCATGCCTTGAAAAAGTTCTTGGTTCGTCGCCGACAGTGGCGGAACCTGTGGCGGGTGCCCCACATCCGCTTCGGGTCGCGCTTCTTGCACTTTGAGAATTGCCCTTTCCTGGGGTGTAGGAGAAGCGATCCCGACAGGAATTGGTGGCGGCGGAGAAGTGGATCTTTGTTCAAACTCGTGTATTATCGTGTGCAACAATTGGCAGTAGCGTTCATACTCTCCGAGGTTCTGCAACCATTTCCATCTCTCAATTTTGTTAGCAGCAGTAGCGTTTTTCAAACGACGCCATCGTCAGACCCTTAGTTGACATAAAGGTCGAGTTCTGTATCATTCCAGCTACTGTCATTCTGATCACTATTATTTATTTGGCATGTTTGATCACTTACGAAGGATGTCCTGTCATTCAGTTCGATAAGCCTCCGGCAATTGGCTACTATCCGATTGCACCGATCCACCTGTTCCTGGTCTCGATTACGTCTACGAAGCTCAGCTTGAAGCTTGTTGTGGTACCAATTGTAGATCGCCGGAAGCTGTTTTCTCACTAGTTCTTGCTTGCCAACGTTCGCCATAGTTCTATCTAAAAATTGGATATGCAGATTTGTAGATTAATAGCTGTTCTAGACTGAATTGAACAAAAGACCGTGAACATCTAAAATGAAAAAAGGGGAAGACGTTGAAAGTAGAAGCAGATAGCTCCTCCCTTCGTATTCTGAGTCTTTCAGTTCTTTTGGCATGAACTTAGCTGATGAAATGGAAAGGAGTGGGAGTTGGAAGTTTCTCACAGCCAAATTAAAGAGTTCGGAAAAAGGTTCTGATTCACATAATGATGAGAAACCTCCTTTTTGAAATCGCTCTTTTCACGCGATTACATCGATAACGTCCGAGTGGTAAACTCGAAGTAATCTAACACGCAGAAGACACACTCCCAAGAGACGCGAAAAATCTAACTAATTGTAGAGCGAAATGTAAAAACGTATGTTTTCTGTATCAGCTCTTATCAAGCTGACAACCGGCTCAAAACAACTCTCTCAAAATAATTGAGCCCTAGCATAGCTGCGACTCTTTTTTGGGTTGTTTTATAGGAAACTGAGTTTGTGCTCAAAGACATTTTTATTTCAAAATGTTGTCTTAATAGAAACATTGCATGATCTGATCATCAGGTTCAAAAGCTACAGTATACTTCCTTTGTCCAATTAGTTCGTCTCATCTTTTTTGATTGCTCCCATCCTGTCTCAAAGCGGGCGACTATGTTTTTCATCGGTCTTCTCTTCTGAAATGAGAGAACCAAGATGGAAAGAGAAGAAGGGAACAAAGTTCTGAAAAAAAACGCAATACGAAAGAGATAGTGAAATTTTGCATTTCGATTTCAGTCATGCAAGTAGAAATTATCAGAAAAATAAAGATAAATTACAATGAAAAAAGTTTAGGTTATCAGTAAGTTCCTTTTGCTCTTTCCGCGGCAATTAGCTCTCGTATATGAATCCAGTCCACTTCAACCTGGAAATGAGCAATTTGACTCGCACCTTTTTAATTCTTCCCAAGGCTTTATTTGGCTAGTCTACATTTTTTCGGTTCAACCTATTCCAAAACTTATTCAGATTATCGAAGTGGCGTCGAACTTCAATTATTTCAGTTCAAGTAGTTTCTTTGACAGAAAAAATTCAATTCTCAAATTTTATGTTGGTTGTTTCTGTACCTCAGATCTATGCTTCAAAAATTGTGGATCTGTTTCTTTCAATCCACAATTTTTGAGATACTTTTCACGATAACCAATCACAATCTCCAGCCATTGTTTGTTCTTTACAGCAAGCTCTAAAGCTCTAAAAAAATTACTGTTAGGAAAATTATTTTTCTAGTCGTCGTGTCAACCTTTTCCACTTAAACATCTGTACGTTGAGCATAAGAGAACGAAAACTCTGTCCGTTTCTTTCCAATAACACATCTGCATCAGCAACTTTTCCCGTCAAGACAACTTGCAACGCTTGTCGAACATCTTTATCACTTTTCTCCTTGATTTCATTGATCAGAGCCACTTTTTCGTCGTCTTCTAAGGCAGCATAAGCAATTTCCATTGCTATCATGTTTTTGTGTAAAATGGATAATCCAGCAAATGTTGCCCAGAGAGTGTCGTTCTGCAATCAAATTTTTATTCGCAACATTATGAACAACTGACGTACGTGAATGCTCCGGCATAATCGGATGGCTTGATCCCATTTTGAATGTGAAGCCATGGAAATGGCTGTTCCATAGAATGGCGCGACGCCTGTGGGAAGTAGACATCCGTCCGATTTCCTGATCACTATGGTGTTCCCGGCGAAATTGGCAAGTTGTGGGAACTTGCCGACATTTCCAATACTTTTTTGAATTATTGACTTTTGAAGTAAGTTCCGATCAAGGAATGCAATGTTGGGAAGAGGCCAGACAACTGTGAAATGTTTCAACATTGTTAGAAAGTTATTAAATCAAATAACTACCAATTTTCCCTTCCGAAATGCCACACAACATGTTAGTGACGTCATTAAACACCAATTGCTCAACGAGCGATCCAATCTTGGCAACTCGCTGACTGACTCCGAATGTTTTTATCATTGCCACGTAAACAGCGCCAGTGTGATCGCGGAAAGCTACATTCCTGTCGTTGAGAGGACCGCACTGATTCACAGTTAGCTCAACAATCTCATACTGAAAACACACAACGTTTTCAAATAAAAAAAACTCCCGTTCGCACTCTCTAGCACACCTCATGCTTTAAATTTCCATCTCCTTGAGCTTTTCCAGTTGTTGGATCAAAAAAGTGCAAAACTTTGTGATCAGCTCGATCACGAACAACGAGCGTGTCATTTGCAAGGTCGATTTTTCTCTCATCTAGCAAAGCCATCACTTGTCCTGGTGGATTGATCGTTATTAGTTTTCTTCCATCATAATTATAAATTGTTATTGTAAGGCCGTCTGATACCAGAAATACTCTGAATTTTCTCAATTAAAAATTCAGTCATTCAATGTTACTATCAAGTGAATGCGCTCTATTGAGAAACCTTCTTAATTGTGATTTCTAAGTCCCGAGCCGTGATGGAAATATCTACAAGCCAAAAAATCACAACTATGAAGCTAAGGATACTTTGAAACAAAGCGTATTGACTTCAAAATGCCCGACAGTATGGTTTTCTTACTTTTCGCACTGCACAATGATATTCACCGTTTTGTCGCTACACTCTATCATGGTTGGAGTGTTCCAATTTTTTGAACTGAAAAAGCAGTTTCTTCATGAAAGTGGCGCATGACTTACCTATAAATATAAATGTACGAAGATGTCACCACTATTAGATATTGGTAAAGAATTGAAATTCTTGAAATTCTCTCTTTTGTCTCCAGTGTTTCTCTAGAAATTTCACTGCTAACATCCCTCACTTCAATTACTGTCTTTTGAGTTTGCACGATTTCAAATTCCTCATAGGTTAGTCTTCTGAAAAATACGAGACGTTTCCATTATTACGCAGCTAGCATATGCAAATTTTAACCTACTTGTCAATAATATGAGCATGGAAAACAAGTCCGGCGGCCGTTCCAATAGCGAGCTGAGTGCCATCCGGAGACCAGCTCATTGACATCACAGACCCCGTATTCATTTTTTCTAACGAATGAGACCACTGAATTACTTATGTTTCAATTCTGAATATTCACAGCCTGCTTTCTTACCCCTGACTTGTCACAAAGTCTCAAGATGTTGTGAGAACCAACTGCGAACAAACTTCCATCGACGTTCCAGGATATGCTTGTGATGGGATAGTCATGAACGGATGAATTGAATAGAATTTGACCAAATCCATCCCAAACCTTTTTTAGAGTTTTAGAACGTGCAGATTCATTTGTATTATTACCTTGAACTTGCAATCTTCAGCACCAGTAACAATGATGGCGGATGTTGGATTCCAGTCACAACACAAAATTATTCCGTCATGCGCTTTCCATTTGAGTGGTGCGACTTGCATTTTTAATGACTTAATATAACATTGATCTGCATTGCAATAAAGAACATTTGATGAAGTCGAATCCCACGCGACACAATATACTGCAGTTGCGAATTGAGCCAAAACTGAACGGAGCATTCCACTTCTCGACCACATTTTGACATAGCCATCTTCTCCGCCTGATAATATAGTGTTGACGCTTTAGGAAAAAGAAAAACTAACATGTTAACAGTCCTGATCCATCTGAATTCCAACGAGCACAAAGAGCAGCCCCAGAATGAGCATCCACAACTTTTTCAATTTTTCCATTACGTGATAAAATGTTTATTTTACCTGAATTAGTTATTTCACTCACAAGACTATAACAATATACCATCTGAAGTCGAAACTGCATAGACATCATTTTGAGTTCCTTTTAATTGACTCCTAGGGAACATGTGTAAACTTGTAGGAAAAAATGAACTGAAATTCAAAGTTGATCAATAACATGGTATATGTTATAACTTTGAAAACTTACTTTTGCATGCTCAATATCTGCTGGGCTTCATTAGTCGCAGTGTTAGTTAGAATAAAATTATGATCATCAGCGGCCGATATAATCGATTCTGCACCAATCCAACCAACTCCACAGACCATTTCGGCATGGCGAACTTTTCGTGAAGCCGATAATTTTAGTTTCATTCGCTCAGGGAATTGCGGCCGCTCAACAGCGTATTTGCAACGGGAGAAGTAGTGACGAGCCGTTGCTATGGAGATTGGTAGCAGACAACACACGCGCGACTGGCACCTGCCCGTAGTTAGCGAGAAACGCATAAAAGCGGAGTGTGCGGAAAAGACGGTGGAATGTTCACAGCAAAGAGAACAGAGCACAGAATAAACGAGAGAGGTTACGAAAGAAACCTGTTTCTGTGAGAAATAACAGCTCCACTGGTCAAAAAAAAAGGCCCAGCCCGGCCCGGTCGGCCCGGGAGGATGCACCTAAAAAAATTCAAAGCGAACTAGAACTTCGAAACGAACATAATTTTATAGACTTAAAATTTTATAGACTTAAAAAAAGGCAATGTTATAGCATAAAAACCTGTTAAAAAATAGAAATTGCTGTTTAAAGTCGCAAAATTTTCACAAAAATTACGAAAATTTTCTCAAGAGTGGGCGGAGCCGGGCCGACCGGGCCGGGCCGGGCCGACGATTTGCTGGCCCGGCCCGGGATTTGGCAAGTCTGCTATTATTGTTTCGTTGTTTCGTTTTAAACCTTGAACTACTTATTTTCAGTCGATGGTACTAAAATTACACTTGTTTATTCAATAAAGTTTTTTGATTGTTGGTTTCGCTGATTATAAACTAAAACGCATCAAGATAGGACGCCAACCCATCTGCCTGTTTTTTCAGTCGTCTCTAATGCCGCGTCCAAAGTTTAAAAAAAAACCCGCAAATCTCGCGGATTTTGCAGTCCAAAGTCGGCAGAAATTTGCGGGAAAACCGGGGTGCGAACAGTTGAAACGACTGCTACCGTACTCGCTTTCGCTTCGAGACCGCGTGTTATTTCGACACGTTTTAAACGTCCACTGACAAAACAGAAAAAAATGGGGAAAAACACGTTTGAAACGTGTCGAAATAACACGCGGTCTCGAAACGAACGCGAGTACGGTAGCAGTCGTTTCAACTGTTCGCACCCCGGTTTTCCCCGCAAATTTCTGCCGACTTTGAACTGCAAAATCCGCGAGATTTGCGGGTTTTTTTTAAACTTTGAACGCGGCATGAAGGATTGCTTTTTTTAATTTGTTCACTTAACAACACTGGCATCCGTCATCGTTTCTCTTATTTTTCTGTGCTCCGCTTTTTTTCGATTTTTTCTGGCCTCCTTCATTTTCTTCTGCTGTGTTTGACAGAAATAGCAAAGGGGGTCCAGCAGTCTTTTCGCATTCGGCCGATGGTTCGCTGGGCTGGCGCGTCGTCTCGTTCGTTCCGACCCGTTTTTCTTTTCTTCTTTTTTTCGAGAGTCTCGTGATACACACGCAATTTTGAACGGCCAAAAATGGGCTAAATCACTTCTCAAAGTATGAGAACTTTTGCAAAACCTTGAAAACGATGACTGCTGATGTAACGATAAAGATCTTTTCTTTTTATTGAGAAAAAAATGCATCGAAAAAAGTAGCGTGAAATTTAATCTGTTGAAAATTGAATTATTTTTGTTTTCATGAGAGAGAAGATGTTTCTTGGGCTGAACCAGGAAAAATGAAATTTCTAGTTCTCTTTTTTCAGAGGTTTTCTTATCTCCTCTGCATAAGAATTTTCAATTTTTTTACAGCAATGGCCGTTGTACTCGTAAGAGATAAGCTGCGGAAGAGAGTAGAAGATGATATGCTGAGTGATTACGATCAAAACCGGAAAGCGAATGGTGCATCGAAAGATCTCGATTCTGAATCGGTAATAACTCATGATGTTATAAATTGAAGTTGGCGTGCACCTTTCCATGATAGCGCAGTTTTTCAATAACTAGAAAGTGTTTTTTGCAGGAAGAGGAGTCCGACGATTCGGCCTTTGGATCGGGATGTGATGAATATAGGAAGAAGAAAACATCAAAGCTCAAGAAACCGTGCAAAAACGGTTCCGCTGGGACCCTAGATGTGCAAAGTGAAGCGCTTCTGAGCAGTCCATTAGCAGAAGTACAGGCTCTCGAAGTTTCTGCCGAGACTTCAAGAGAATGGAATGAGAATGGAGTTTGCTATAATCTCGGTATGTTTTCTTCACGTTGATTTTGCAATGCATCCAGTAGACCAACGCCTTCATCGGAATAGTCCGTCACGGGAACGGGGACGGGGAGAAAGAGAGAGGAGATGGTGATGTAATACAATCATTTATCAAAATGTCGGAAATTATCAGAGATCCGTCAATCTGTGCTTCTCTTTGAAAAATGGTTTGAAAAGGAAGCCAACCGAGCGGGCAATAACGTGCATGTCATTATATTTCAGCTAAGAGAATTGATTCTCTCCATACCCATTCTATTTTTTTGTTTTTCAAGGACAGTTTACACAGGATGCACACATTCCCTTCGTTTTCCGTCAAATTGGTCTTTTATTCTGTCACACTTTATAATTGTGCATGAACAGAAGATTTTAGAGACCAGCCACGACAAAATGTTTGAGCTGCCAGAACTGAAGACCCGTCAGATTGATCCTAAGCTGCTTCAATTTCCTCAAGTCGCGGAAGAGGAGGTCGGAACCTTCAAACACCCAACACATGCTCGCTTTGAGGCCTTCAGCAAACACCACGGATGGATGTTCAAGCAACACATCGTCGATCAGGCTCCAAACATCCCTTTCCGTCAAATTGGTCAGTGATAACAACCAAAAAACAAAAAAAACAATATGAATGTTTTCGTAGTTCTTCACAAATTTTCCTTAGTTCCAATGGCTTCAGAATTTTAGTTAGAAAGCAGACTGTATGATTTCTAGAAATCATAGTTTTACAAACATCAGTACGATGCGTTAATTTTTCAGAAATCAACGGTTATGCGACCAGTTGGATCCGTGCACGTCTGAGGGGAGTAAAACCGGTTGACCCAGTGACCAAGCGCATCCTCGCCATGTACAACCACATCACCGCAAACTTGACAGAACAAACATGCCGCGAAATCACTTTGATCACCCGCTTCCGCAATAAGCCAGGTCTTTTGACCTACATGGAGATTCACCTCTCCTACAGATACGATACATGCTATGATTCACTCAAGGAAACTTCCCGTGGTTCTTATAAGCCAGTTATTCGAAGTCCTTGAAATTTTTAATGTGTCTGTCATTTCTACTAATCTCGTGAACAAATTTGTGAAGCTTCTGATTTTTTTTTTCCTTCGGTGTTCGAACATATTTGTAATTTTCTGATTCTGCTCTATTTTTAATTCTACAAGCCAATCACCGAGTGCATTTTGATGTTCCTTTAACCCCCCAATGAACCTTATGTGAACCCAGTGTCCAAATGTACATGCATAAAAACAATTTCTTCTACTATTGGGCATTTTAATGATAATGAGTCCGACAGTAAGTCCGGAGCTTCAGATTGCAGGTACGTAATGAATGAATGCAACTAGTGAGAAAAAAATCTCTGAAACATTTATTCCATTGCATCGTTCAGAACATTGAAATGTTTTGCTCATTGCAAAATTTTAAATGTAAAAAAACAAAATACCCGAAAAATTAATTCAAATTTGTCACGGTTCGAAGAGTTAGCATGATCGAACAGAGAGCAGATCGCGTGTTAAGGTTATGGTTGAAAATATTGTCTATTTTAAAACTACTAGCATTAGAGAAATTGCAAATAGGGAGACTTTCTGAAAAACGGAAGCCGAAGAAAGATAATAGCCGCTATCTTTGTATTGTTGGGCAAAAGAGTTGTTGGGAAACACTAACTGGTCGTGTTTATGACCGTGGCTGGCTCCATCTTTGTGGTGATGATGATGATGATGTTTTCTGCAACGAAAAGTTGGTATAAGATGTGAAAAAAACCAATAAAAACCCCCACTTTCTATGCATTGATGGAGTAATTTCAGTAGTGGTTGTGGCGGGACTTGTTGTGGTAGTTGGTGCGCGGCATACATCGCATTCACACTTTTGGATATGCTCAAAGGCACATGAACCACCAGCGCTTACCTGAAAACCGTAATATTGGAAAAATGCAGTTTGATGTGAAGTATTCATCAACTTTCGAAGCAATCATGTATTCCATATTAAAAAATTATTTACAACTTCAGTATCTTCTACCCAATCACTAACACCTCTGAAAATTGAAAACTAACTTGTTTTATGGATTCATCTGCCACGTAATAATCTTGATAAGAGATGCATCGGATTGTGTGTTGAACTATGGCTGGGTCTCCACTGAAACATTAACATGAGAATAAACTCAAAAACTCTTGTTCATTTACATACCCATTCTTCTCGTAGACATTCAAACATATTATCAAAGAGCTGGGATCTCGATAGGCGCATTCGATAACGTCTTTGAAACAATGCTCGTAAGTTGAACGGGCTTCCACACAATAAGTGCAGTTGACAGTGGAAGATAGTGGGATGAACTGTACTGCCGTGGTCAGCAGACAGATCGCGGCGCAATCCATCTGGAAATATGAGTTGAGGCTCATATTTTCGAGTTCAAAAAGAGAGGAAAAGGTAGGGGATATGACGAAGTCTAGAGAACTCCGGAAGTTTTCAGATAAAAATGTAGAAGTAGAACAAATTCTTTCATGTGTGAAAAAGGTTGGCCGGATGTTTACTGAGAAAAAATGATTGAAAAAAATGGAAAGAGTTGCAAAAAAGGATTTGGAAGGAGGATTGACGATAATAATAGAGAGAATGTCAATTATGCACGGTAGAGGAGATTTGTTAGTGGAAACCACTCTATTCACTGAACTTTTGTTATGTTTTCATTTTACAATGGATGCAAGGGGATAGGAAATCATTGAATTGGAAGTGCACATCACTACATTTTTTTAAAACAAAATCATCTGACAAAACAACTTTTTTTTTCTCAAAAAAACAGAATAGACAAAGTTTTTTCTTGTTTGTTTTCCATTTCCATCAAAATCGTCAAACCTGATAAATAAATAATTGAATTGTTGGGTGGTGTTGGTCCCCAAACAGAAAAAAAACAAATCCGTCGTCGACATTACTAACGATGTTTAGTTGTTAAACTTAGAAAAACTTTGTGATTGGTTCCATAGTTTGGGACTATAAAAATTGAACTAAATGGAATTTTTAAGCACCCTAAAAATATTTTTTCCAACTTTCCTATATCTTTACGGAAGGCTTATCAGAAATCAGTTGAAATCGAATTTTGGAAATAGTCGCTAGTAGTCCATTAAGTTCTGAACGAATCGGGTATCATTTTGCCAAGTATGGGCCAAGTTTCAGAGTTTTAAAGTCATTCAGGTGTATAATTTTTACAAAAATCTGGAAAATCTACGTATTGAACAAATCTAAAGGCCAAAACCCAATGGAAGTTTCTCAATTCAAAATGAAACAAAAGGACGTTCTTCTCTTCACCCGCCTCCCCCTCTTTTTGTAGTCTCGCTCTTGCAATTTACGTCTTCTCATTGATGTGTTTTAATCGAAAGAAGTGCGCAACATCTCTTTCTCTCTTTGGTATCAAGTTTCATTTTACACGCAAATTTTTATGATTCACATGGAGTAGTAAACGGAGACCGCAATGGAGAAGACAATGAATGTGAGAGGGGTCATGATTAGTAGTAGGAAGCAATTCTTCGTCTCAGCGGGGAGCAAGATGAAACGGGTCAACCACCAACCCCATAAACCGAGGCGCCTGCGTCCGTTTCGGTTGATTAAAACGAAAAAGCGACTGACCTACAGAGGGGGGGGAGGTTGTTTTGTGACAATCTACTGTTTTATGAGCGTTGGATAGAAGACAACTGGCCCCCAAACCGTTAAACCACTAAACGATACTGAAAACTATTACTGGGAGGAGGAAAGCTGATGGATTTTTTATGAGGTGTCCACCAAAGAAGTTACGAGACACCTGTTGGGCCTGCTTGACTACCTTTTTCTTGTTTTCTATGAGAAAGCAAACCTGCAATTAGCGAAAAATAAGAAATTTGTTTTCCATTTTTCCATAAATCCAATACTGACAAATATAAAAAAAAAGAATGGGGAGACCAGAAGTACCCAATAGTGGTCGGTGATCTAAATTAGCCCATTCACAAGTTGTGGCAGATGTCCAAAGGTTGTTAAGAATGCATGGTCCTCGTCTTTCATGGAACGTCTTCTTCTTTTCATTTCCTTCCTTCTCTTTTCTCCGTATGATATTCTCATGAGAATAGATGAAAGGGCACTTATATGCGGATAAACAATAAAAAATAATCGTATGTTCAAAAGATCCAGAAAGAAAATAACTAAATGAATGGATTCGAGCAGCAAGAGTGGTGTTCAATACGCATCTTTCCTAGATGATGAGAGGTAGAGAAAATGGAGTAGAAGCTTCGTGAGAAGATGGGGAAAGAAAAGTAAACATATGCAAAAACTATGATGGCGATGAGATTCGTGTCTTTGAAATAGAGGCTTCTAAAAAAAAGTAGTTCTTGAAAAAATTCACAAAAATAGATAAGCACAATGAATTTCCTGTCGAGAGAGTTCATTTGTCACTTGGAAATGTCATAAGTTTGTTAATTTCAAAAAATGACCCGTTTGGAGTAGTCCGGAGGTTTTGAGAAATCTCTTTGGTCATCAACGTTTAGTGGGACCACTTCCAAGACTACTGTAGCATCAAATAGTTGACTCTCGATGCGCTCACTGGATATACATAGACCGGTACCGCAGGAAAGACCCACTTGTACTTTCCAAGCGGTTTTCATAGATTCTATCAAGCAAACACTGCTAGGAATCGTGTATGAGAAGCTAGTAAAAGTGTGTAAATATAACGGAACTGCTGGGAATATCGTGAGTGATGATGTGCGGAAAAAAACAGAATCGTTATCATTTCTTTGTGGGCCTCCAGGGATCTAACGTACCATGATAAGAGAAGCCGAGTTAGTTTTGGAGGTCCAAGCCCAAAAATGACAAGAGGAAGAGGCAGCAGATGGAAAACATAAGCGGAGAAAAGCCGACCCCCACGGGACGATGACAAGTGTTGTGGACTTGGTTGGACTGAGGTTAAACAACAAGTATACGCATACATCCGGACTTCCCAACACTTTCCTTAATGAAAATCGAGTAGTAAAGATTGTCTTAAGGGAATTGGTGTCAAGAAATGGGGTACAGAGTACATTTTTCTTTATTCATTGGAAAAAAGTTATGGTGGTATTCATTTTACGAGGTGCCAGCCAAGCCTTTGCTCTCCAAATATTTTATGTTCCGCAACATCCTAGACCTCAAGAAATGGGAAAAGAAATGAGGAATGAATCCAATAATTCTACTACAAATGACCTCTTTTACCTTAGATTCTCTGTAATTGCAATGGGTCACTTTCACACCTCTTACATGCTATTATAACGTTTTGGGAATGGACGAACTAATGAGAACAATCTGGTTCTTGTTCCAAAAAGGAAATAGGTGTATAATTATTTTTCGGAAAGGAAAGGACAATGACGAAGGTGGAAGAAATTTTCTATTTATATGAGAGGATTCATGAGAAGACTCATTACTTGAAAGAGCGAATGCTCAGAGATGAGATGAATCACCCGGTTCACAGATCGTCTGGTCCCATTGTCAGTTGGCAGGATGTCATGCAAAGACATGAATGATGAACATTCAATTCAAATTCGTATTTTCTTGCCACCCATGTGGTGAGAATGGGAGCGAGAAGAGGACGGAATACGATGAAGCACGTGTGAACCATCTGCCTAAGCAATATTTATCATTCTCTCGTTTTACCGGCTCATTAAATACCCAATGATGCCTTTCTTCTTTCTTTCCGCTGCCCATCTCATGGTCATCAATCTTATTGTTTTCGTTCCGCGAGTTTACACAAAAGAGGTAGTAATGGACACTTGTGAGAAGCAGGTGAGTCATGGGAGGTTAAACGAAAAAATGAAAACGCCGAAGATGTTCTTTTTTTGTTTCTGATCTGACACTTTCAACTTGGAGCTCTAACAATGAATTTTTCTTATGCGTTGAGAGTCTCCTTGAAGAATTGTCAAAATAATTTGAATGTGTTCAATCTTGACATACGCACTTTATTCACGCACTTCGTTCGAGCCATTCTGGTGACTTTTATCGAGCAAAGACACACTTTTTGCAATGTTTTATTTCTGTATCGACACTCTTTGCTACTCATTTATTCAAAAAATAAAAAATAGATAGAACCAAACAACCGTAAAACATGATGAGAATACAGATAGAAATTTAAATGTAAGACACCTTATTAATTACAACTGGAAAAGACATGAATCACGAATGAATGTCAATTCGGAACTCGCGAGTCACAAAAGCACCCGGTTGGGCAATTTCCATAATGAAATTATCGCGGTTGAACTCGAATTCCAAGTCTTCTGGCGAGAAATCATCCAAGAAAATGTGCGCGTTTCTTGGGTAGAACTTGGCGCCACGGATGACGATTTTTTCAATGTACACATCGCTGTCAAACTTACCCTTCTTGTCCAGGTTCTTGTTGGTGATTGTGTGAAGATAGTCGTGCTCCCTGAAAAAGTAGTTTTCTTTTTGTTAGAACATCATCAAAACAATGTTACCGCTTAAAAGTGAATCCCCAGTAAGCAAAATCTCCTTTTTCATACGCGTAAGACTCTCCATCATCCAAGTAAATTGTTCCGTTGGCAAAATCTCCCTTTTGGTTGACGGCAATGTAAAGAATGATTGGTTGTTCATGATTTTCCTTGGTGGTAAGCTTCACTTCCGACAACTTAGGGATAATGGTTCCTGAAAAAACAGAGAAATGCAAACATGGAGAGAGGTGTTTGGGATATTACCTCCTCTATGATAAAGTCCTATTGTGTTCAGATTTACAGGAATTTGAACAGCTCCTGGAGATGGACGAGCCTTATGAGTCTCCCAATCGTACCAGACCTTAACATTTTTTAATCGAAAAAACTGAATAATACAACCAACCTGTCTCTTTCCTGGCAAATAAATTGAAAGCTCCTTGGCCTTCTCCTCGAGAACGGGCTTGACAAGAAGTCCACTTCCCACCATCCACTGCCTGTCTTCATCCCAAGACGATTCGTCTTCAATGAATTCCAACCAGAATGGTCTCATTATTGGCTTTCCGGTCTTTGAATGCTCGTAGAACAACGTGTACCAGTATGGGAGGAACGAATAGCGGGTCTTAATAGCAGTACGGATTGCGTCAGTGGTGTTCTGAAAGAAATGTTTGAAATCTACGTATATTTCTCTGATCAATTGTACGTCAGCAAAAAGCCAGGGCTCGCGTCTTTTGGTGTCTTGATGGGAGTGTCCTCTGAAAAATGGTTGGAACGCTCCTGCTTGGTACCATCTGACAAGAAGGTCTTCCTCTGGATTTCCAAAGAATCCACCAACATCAGCACCAACAAATGGAAGACCAGCAGTAGAAAGAGACAGAAGCATTGGAATAGAGGCCTAAAGAATGAAATTGTTTTATTCTCTAAGAATTTCTCAACCTTGAGATGAGACCAGTCGGCTTTGTTGTCGCCAGTCCAGACAGCTGCTGTTCTCTGAGATCCCGCAAAGAACGATCTCGAGAGAACAAAAGGACGAACTTCGTTATTGCTGCGAGCTTTGAGTCCTTCGAAAGTGGATGAATGTTGATGGAACCCGTAAACATTGTGCACATCTCTATGCTCAAACCCTCCATGATGCTTTGCGTCTTTATGCATTGTAATTTCTGGTCCGTTGAAAACAGACGGCTCGTTCATATCATTCCAAATGTGCACATCTTTTGTGGTTCCCTTGTATTTGTCAAAAGAAAATTGTTCAGACCACCACTGTCTAGCTTTTGGATTTAAGAAGTCTATATAAGTGGAGTCTCCTGGCCAGCAGTTACCCTCGTAGATAGTATCCTTGGCGTCTTTCACCAGATATTTCTATAAAAGCACTACAGACTCCACACGTTTCCAATTCACTCACATTCTTCTTAGCTTCCTTGTAGATGTAGTATTTGGAATCTTTCTTTATATGTGGATCGACAATTGTAACCAGTTTTCGATTCTGAAAGAAGAAAAATTGTCAAGGGTACATTTCTTAGATATTTCGATTCACCTTTTCGGCAAGATCTTTAATCATTTCTTCAGGCGCTCCAAAAGCATCCTTATCAAACGTGAAATAAGCCTTTTGGTCAGTGTGTTCAATATCTAGCCACAAAACATCAAGCGGAATGTCATTCTTTACAAAGCCTTCATGAACTTCCTTCACATCCTTCTGATCTTTGTAATTCCAACGAGATTGATGATATCCAAGAGCAAACGCAGGTGGAAGAGGGGTCACTCCAGTGAGAGCAGAAAGCTGACGGAAAATGTCATTTGGCTGCGGTCCAAGAGTGATGAACACGTCGATGAGTCCGGATTCCGAATAGAAACGAGCATTGTGCTGTGGAACATCTCTTGGCTTTGTATCCGCATCAAGGACTTCTTTGCTAAGACCACCCTTGTCGGCGGTAGTTGGCTCGATATCAACCCATGTTTCCGCGGCATTCAACCAAAGTGCTCCGACGGATCGTTTCTGGTGAACTCCTACCAAATAAGGAATCGATCCGTAAAGAGCCATGGGGGAGTTCGTTTCATACTCGAATACGTCCAAGTTGTACAGGCGGTATGGCTCGTAAGTTCTAAAAAAACAATTTTTTGAAAGAAAAGTGAGATTATGCATACCTAGTGTCTCTCAACGAATATCCTTCTGCATGCTCAGGAATTCCAAACACGTGTTTTGCTCCCACAAAGGCAATGTCAACACCAACTGAAGAAGATCCGTGAGGTTTAGTGTCTTTGATGTCTTTGAACGTTTCCTCCCAGAATCCTTTCTCTCTATCCGTCAACAACACTTTCTTTTTAAAGGCTTCAAAGTGAAGGGTTTCCTTGGCGTTGATAGAGGATGCAATCTTATCTTTCACAAAGAAATCAACTCTGAATGGTTTGTGCTGCAAAACAACACGGTGACCATCACTCGTTAGAATTTTAGTGGTAGAAATTTCTTCCTTCGCTTTTTTTACTCTGAACATAATGACTGTTATAACTGCTTTTTCAAATCTATTTTCCTCACTTTTGCTGCGATAGTTCTCTCTCCACTAACGCTTCAAGAGGCTGATATCTTTTTCTGAGAGCTCCCTCGGCCTCGTCAATCACCACTCGGACCGTGGAGTCTTTCAGGGTCACAATGCTCACTTTCAATGTGGTATCCTTGTTCTTGATAGTTGCGTGGAGGCCAGTGTCGTTTATCTTTACGGAATCAGAGACCACTTCATATCCTGTCGGCGCTGTCACCGCTCGATGACGCCTTAAAAAATCGAATAATTCTGGGACTGTCAGCTACTTCCGCATTTGAAGACATGAGAAAATAAAAGAAACCTGTTTTTAATGCGAACTTTTGCTTATGCAACGTGTACTTCTCTCAACTAATGATTTGAATTCAAAGAATGTTCTTATGTTTCAAAATAATTTGATTGAAGTGTTTACCTACATAGGAATTTATTGTTATAAGTGATAACATTTTAGAGTGAAAGTCTCTAGAGTGCTGCAACTCTCATACATTGCCGCAGTTTAACTGTACAAATAATCAAAACACCTACAATTAAGAAAAACATACTTGCAAAATGCAGATTGGTCACAAGTCTTGAAATTTTGTCGGTCGACGGCATTTAACGTTCCGAACAGCAGAAACGCTATTGCCAGCCACATCACCTGTAAAGCAATGAATTGGATTAGAATCGAAAAAAAATCGATGCAAATGAATGGAGATCACTTTCGAACGAAGTTCCACGTCAACCGACCGTTGTCTCAGAAAAAGGGTCACATACTAAGGAGATATGTAACGAGAGAGACCGAGAAAGAGTGGAAATGAGATTCTCTGTAGAGGGACAAATGCATACAGTGAGAAGATGTCCATGACCTACGCAGATTGTAGTGGGCGGCGCATGGAGACGCAGAGAGGAATCTTCTCGATAAAACACGCAAAAGGCGATGAGTTGGAAGTGGAATTATTAGTGTTCCTCGTAGGTTTAATTGTTTTTCGATGACTTCGCGGTAGTTGCAATAATTCACAGATAACGGCTGCGACGAAAAGGAAGATTTCAGGATTCCACGTGTTTTAAATTTGACTTTTCCATAAAATCGTATTCTTTGTTTCTTATTCCGTGAATATGAATGACAAGACAAGAAGTAAACAGGTTTACCGGATTCTTTCAAAACATGCAATGGGTGTACAGTGTTCTTACTGACAGAAGTGAAGTTGACACTCACATTTACAGAATTTCAAACGGATGTTGAAGTGAGAAGTTTACTTCATTTCTAATTTAAATTCATTTTCCCATTGTTGCTGATAACTGCTTAGCTTTGCTGGTTTCTTTATTGCATTCAGGTTTTTGCTGCCTCAACCTCAACTGAAATGAAATTATCAATACTCAATATGCACTAAATTTCCATCCAAAAATCCTCAATTGTTGGCGGAAAGAAGGCTGAAGTCAAAACCAGTCCGAAAAAGAGATGGCTATGGCATTAACTTGACCGTCGGCCGAAGCTGCTGCTGCCGCCACCGCCGAAGCTGACGACGTCCTCCGGCCATATCTCGTTCCTCCCTCGTTTTCCTCGTTGGATCCCTCGGCCCCTTCCCCCGAAACGCATTCAGCTTCATCGTCTTTGCTGTTGCTGTGTTGATCGTCTTAAACAAAGTCAATCGGTCGGGCGCACCACTTTTTTCCATTTAGTTTGTGTTGCCCCTCAATTCGTTCTCGAAGAACTGACCATCATGCGCTGGTTTGACGGTACTTTCTTATTATTATTAGTTTCTTCAACTCATGCTCAATTCGGAGAAATTGCTTCTCTGGCCACGTCGCTTTTAGGAGGTGCCCTAGGTGAGTTGTTTTCTTGTCTTTGTTTGAACTCCGGTTTGCTTGAACTACTCCAATTACCCTTTCTTCCTACTCTATCTAACGAGTAAGGGATGAAGCAGAAACTTATTTGAGGTCCTAACCATAACTTCCTATAACTATTATTTTCATTTTCTTAGCTAGCTAATTTGAACACAGGGACCCGCAATTCCATGCCGCTTCATCATCTCTTTTTATCAGGTTGATAATAGCAATTTACGGATATATATTTAATTTTCCGCAAGTACATTTTCTGAAAGACAGCTACTTTTCTTATTATCATGTTGTTACGTTCACGTTGCCAACGACGTAGGCATCCATCATTTATCTTCTTTTTTCTTATCATATCGTATGCGCAGCCGTTCGGCACTGGATTGGATTACGTCGTCGTCGTCCTTCGTTTTTCTCCCAGTCTCTTTCACGCGCGGCATCATTATCCTAACCTTTTTTGGACGGAAAGAAAGATACGGCATAGTGCGTGAGTGTGGCGACGGCAGAAGAAGAAGCAGAAACACTTGGACGACGCAAGAACTGGATCTTGCCTCAAATTCATTAGCTTTTTCTATGGTTTTGCCATCTTTCGCGCAACATTCACAGATGGAAATGAGCGAAACGCGTCTCGTATGAATGGGATCGGATAACGTTTCCCGAAAACACCTTTATCGTCTTTTTGATCCATGAATACCTGTTTGACAGTTTGAAAAAAAGATGCAGGTTCATTTAAAAATGAGACGAAGTTAATCTATTACAGATAATTTGCTCTTACAGGAAATGGAGCAGGATTGGGAGCATTAGCCGGAGCAGGAGCTGCTGGCGCAGGAGCAGCTGGGCAGGCTGGAGGCGCGCTCGCACAAATTGGACAGTGTAAGTTTATAATTAGTGGATACCTTTGGAGAAATTTTAATTTAGTATATCAACTTGCACAAGGAGCTCTTCAATTAACTGGAACAGGAGTCGGAGTACTAAACCAGGCTTCAGAAGGAAACTGGTTTCCCGCTGTTTTGGAGCAAACTGCTAAGAACTCACGTTAGTTTCTACCAATTCATTCCGTCAAACTGGCAATGAAATTTTAGAAGCTTTCATGAAAGGAGGAAATAGTGGAATCAATCTTGGAGCTCTCGGCCCTGCCCCAGGGAAATCTGGAGGTGGCGCTATTGGACCCGAGTTTGGAACCAACTTTCCAGCGCCAGACATTGATGATTATGATGAGAATGCTGAAATTCCGGGTGTGACTACTGACAATAAGACTCCAAAGGCTCCAGATGGTCTTGTTGACATTGAAGACAGAGACTACGAAATTGAGACCACAAAAGCTGCTACCACAACTAAAGAAATCATTATCACAACTACAGAAGCTGTCACGCCGTTCCCAGACGAGGTATTTTTTTTGTTATTATTTATTAAAAAAAAATACTCTACAGGATGAAGAAGAAACTGAGCCGACAACTCTTCCTCCACGACAGATAAGAATTCAATTACCCGACAAAAACGGAAAAACTGAGCCAGAAGAAGAATTGGACTATGAAGACTTGGTGCGCCAGATGAGATGAACTTATAATCTTTCAAATATTTTTTTTAGATTAACAAAAAAACGCATGCCGTTGTGACGCCAATTGTCCCAACGATTGACGCTGAAAGCACTGAAGAACTGAAAAAGAACGTGATTGCTACTCACGGAACAAAAACCCAACCAATTGTTCCAAAACTAGATAAACTTGTTGAAGTGCTTCAAAAAAGCAAGCTTTCACGAGAAGAGATTGATGAAATTGTAGCGCAAGTGAGTTTTGAACACTTTTCCGTTTCTAGCACCATTTTGTTATAGGTGGAAGGGAATAAACACATTGAGAAGCCTGCAAAATATGATTTCAACGCCGCAGTTCAAAATATTCCTGATAAGAAAAATCTGATCCGACAGAAAATTACGGATGCTTCACGAATCATCAGTACCAGTTTTGAAAACCAAAGAAAAGAGCAGAATGTTGTGATTCAAAAGCAAGTGGATGAGTTCAAAGTTCTGCCTGATCTCACTGAATCTACAGTTGTAAGTTCACTAGCATGGCTATGCATGTGCATGTGGGCATGATGTAACTTAAGGCATCGATCACTGCAACAACAAAAGCACCACCAACAACTACTACTATCATTACCACCGCTCCGACCAAAACGTCAACAACCCCAAAACATATTCAGCAAGCTCGTTCGGTGTCACATGTCGCTCCAGTTGCTCCTTCAGTAGCTCTTCAGACTACTGTTCCTCAAACTGCTGCGCCACAAGGGCAGGTCCAACAGCCACAACCACAACCGTATAACAACTATTTGTACCCTCAACAGCCATTACAGCATATCCAGCATCCATTCCATCAACAGCAGCAGGTTTATTATACTCAAGTACCCAGCAAAATAAATCAATATTCTGATCAAGGAATCTATTTTCAGGCACCGTTTTATGGGCAACACACTCAAAACTATTGGGGCCAACAAAATCATTTTGCACCACAGGTACGATTTTGAAATTTAATTTGAGACCTTAAACTTGTTATGAAATTATCCGAAAATCACAACCTTTCTAGAACATATTTTTTAGCTTAACCAATATGGATTGCACAATCAACAACCACAACAGCCCCAACCTCAGCAAGTTCAGCAAAACTTTGGTTACTCGACTCCACTTGCAGCACCTTCTCAGCCATACCCACAACAGCAAAATCAGTACTACGCAGTGAGTGAGAATAATTTAGTTCAGTAATAATAGTAAAAATTTCAGCAGTATGTGCCACAACAGCAACAACAACAGCAATTCTTTCAACAGCCACGGTACTCCACAACAGTCCCACAACAAATTCCTCATTCACCAACTCAACCTGTGCAACAACCAGCAACATACGCTCAGCAGAGACAGCCAAGTGCCCAACAAGTAGTTTATCAACAGGGGAGTGCACAGCCAACTGCTGCACCGGTTCCGCAAGTACGACCACCTGTCTCCTCAGCGTACCCCCAACCAAATGGAAATACCAACCAAGTCGTCCATTACTATCATGATGGGCGACAGATTGTTCAGCAAATCATCCCGAAAAAAATTGCGGCTACTGGAAACCTCCCATTGAATGGGCCTTTCCAATCTCAAAATGTAGGCGCTACAGATCCAGCAGAGTATCAAAGAAAACAGAGAGCTCTCCAACAAGCTTTCCAACAACCACAGACGAGAGCGGCAGTTGCTACCAAGTCAACTAATGCAGGACAACAATCGTACGTTGTTTAATTGTCTGAAAAGAATATGACTGTTAGGTTCAGGCCAGCAAATCCACAACCAGCCGCTCATGTTCAACCAAGGGTTTATGAATCAACGGTGACAGCCACTGGAAACAGACACGCACATGCCATACGCACGTATCAGGCAACAAAACCTGATTCGCAGCCAGCAGCAGCGACACGAAGTTCTGGAAGAGTGAGTTTCTCTAAGAAGCGAATAAGCGGACATGTTCTCCCCGGACCTACAATAGATCATAGGGTAACTGATGGATACTTTTTCATCCGCTACTGTAACAAAATTTTCAGAGCCTTCTGGAGAAGCGAACTACCGCAAAACCCCGCTATGTTCGTGTGCCATAAACTCATTTCCCAACCATGATGATAATGATAATTTGTTTATTTATTTTTTCTTCACACCTTCAGGTTTTATTTATTTGAATAATTTATTGCAAAAAGTGACACAATATTGCTCGTGATGTGTCTTTGTTTATATGCGCTTCAGATATCAATGAACTGTTCTCGTTGAAATAGTACATCATTAGAATTCAGACCAAAGTTTTGTATCGTTTCTAAAAAGAATGTCGTAACTTAAAAAATTAATTTTGAATGAAGTGAAATGACTAATGTTCAGATGAAAATTGTACAGCAGAACTATACAACCGAACACAGTGTGCAGAAAGATACACACTCTCTCCACTCATTCATACTTTTTCTTTCCTGTATTCAGAACAAACCTGTCTAGTAGAACGAATTTGTCCAGCTAATTTTTCATAGATATAACAATTTTTCAGAACAAAGAACATCTTGTGATTTTCAAGCCATGCCTTTCAAATCGCAGTGGCCTCCCAGAAGTTATTTCAGGAAGAATATGGACATAAAAAATAAGATCCATTCTCTTTCCGAATATCTACCCAACAGTGTGAGTTATCCTACACGTTTCCCATTCATACAATGAAAATTTTTATTTACTCAATATAAGCTTTCTGTTTCGAAAATATAAGCAACTTCGTTTTTGATTAGATTCTATAATCGTTTCCTAATATTTCTTACAAAAAACATAACACGCAACCGGCAAACTTAGGCTATTACCGCTCAAATGTTTTTTTTCGATTTGTGATTGCGGAAGAAATATTGCTCGAAAGAGGTGAACGAGAAAGATCAAATGACACCTCATCGTGGGCAAGGCGGAGCTTAAAATCCTAAAACCTCATTCTATTCTCCTTTTCATTTTGGTGAAACAAAGTCGTTTCGGTTTCTAAAAAGTGCTGTACAACTCTTTCAAAATGGCGGACACATCTCTTATGGGACATAGCAGTGATGTAAGTACACAAGCACTAATTAGTCAATTCTAGGATTTTAAATTTGTAGTTGATGTTTTTTTTTTCTGACATCTGCAGAAATCGTTTTTTTTTCAATTTTGTGCTCAATGCAGCCCCGGCCATATTTCTATTATAATCAGGTGTGATAAGACGTTAACAAAGGCACTTGCAATGAATATACCTGACTATCACTGAACATGCTCCAAATAGTTCTGTTTTACTGGTGCTAGTTAGGTCTGAGAATGCTGTTTTGTTTGAATTTCACCAATAAACGAAGTGCCACGTCACAATATTTCGAAAAATTGGAAGCAAACATTTCTGAAAAAAATCTATCAAAGCTTGAGAAAATGTGAATATTTCCCGTCGATATCTGAAAAACAGTTTTTTTTGGGTACAAACTAGAAATCAAATACGATCATATCTGACTATTGTCTGTAACAATTTTTGGCAATGACTCACAAATCTCTGACTCACATAGATTGGGTTTTTTGGTTGTGATGATTCATATCGCTGTTTTTGAAGCTAACATTTACTTTTAAAAAATGTTTCAGTTTTGAGACTCTGAGCTTATATGATAGTGCTACGTTTTTAGGGTCCCAAATACGAAAAGCTGAGAAACGAAGGGTATTGTGAGTCGCATCCCGACACAATGCCAGATACTCCCAAGAAGACGTTTCTGAATTCGATATGGGAAAAGCTCAAGGTGACTAACTCTGACAGTTTTCAGAAAAAATGTGTAAAACTAGATTTCAGATCAAGAAGACCGCTGTCCAAGTCAAAGAAAAAGAGACTGTCTCTGTGCAGCAACCAACAAACATATTTTACGATGATTTCGACGTTAGTCAAATAGATCAAAAGTTATCCCACATTCTTATTTTTAGATCAATCCAGCTTTAGATCCGGTGTTCCCATCCGCGGTATGTTTTTCAGTATTCCACCTTCACTCCCATCATGATTGTTTATTTCCCTTGTTTATTTTATTGCTACTTTTTTCTTTCTCGCAGACTTCTCTTGCAACTGGCTCATTTTCGGTTTCTCAGTTGCTTCCTGAAAACGTGCACAATGACTCTGCGGACTACGCGAACCAGCCCTCCCTCCAGAAGTTGACAAATCCGATGAATGAAGGCGGATCATACGGCAACTTAGGCTTTTCCGTGCGTCAGGTAGATGTTTTCATGTTTGTACAAAACAAACTCTTATACGTAAATAACATACTTTCAAAATGTTGGCCGAGGATTTTGCTGGCCCGGTCCGGTCTGGAAATTACACCTTGAGCGAATTTTTTGCGAAAAATTGAAAAATATGTGCGGAAAAGTCTCTGAAAAAGCACTAAAAATTTTTTTTAGACGGGTTGGAACCTGCCGGGTCGACCGGAGAATTTCAAGTTTCGATCCGGCTCGGCCCGTTGCAATAAACACATCTATTATTATAGTTTATAAGCGGGAAAAATCGGACTGTGACCACATATGCCAGATGTGAAATTATAAACTTCTCATCCCATTTTTCCTATTTTAATTCACAATTCGCTTCTATTCACTCTAATGGATATCAAAACAGCATCTGATGACGCAGAACTGCCCGTTCGACTTTGTTCTCCAGTTTTAAAATAACAGAAGGGATATTTTCAGACCAGCAACGCGCCTCTGAAGCAGCATCAATCTGCTTCGGTCTCCGTTTTGTCCGGATCTCGTCCGCAGCTCACGCGTCAGGTGAGGAAGAATAGCAAAACCTTATGAAATTCCACAATTTCATCTGATTATTTTCAGAAAAACGGTACGTGTCAGGAGCAGAATAAATCTTCCGCTTCCTCCGCTTGTTTTGCTCTTCGTCCACAGTTAACGCGTCAGGTAAGCGTCAATAAAAGAAAAACTTGAGACAGTTGTATTTTTGACTGATAATTTCAGGTTAACCATATGATTCTGAAAAAGCAGAATTCTGCCTCGGACCCCATTTCGTACGCTTCTCGCCCGCAGCTTAGACGTCAGGTAAGCAAAAATAACAAAAATCATTACAGTTATCGTGTTTAATTTGATAGAAAGGCACTCTAAGGCTGTATTCTTCAAATTGTGTAGAATAATGGAGATTTTTACATTAACATTTGTCATTATTTTCAGCTAAAAGCTAAAACGGAATCTTCTTGCTTTTATAATACAAGTATTTGAAGTTTAGTGAATATCTCTTCCAGAATGCTGTCGCCATAGATGTTTCGCCGACCACATTTGATGAGCAGTGGAACGTTCTGGTAAATAACATGATTTTGTGAGAATTTGAAAGAAATTCAAAATGTTGAAGGTGGCCGACAGTAGTGATACCAAAGCAAAGGGGGAGTGAATGATCTTCAAGAAAAGTTTGATGCACCTGTGTAATTTTTCGAAGTCCTTTGCATTTTTTATTGTATTTAAAATATTTAATTGAATCATTAAAGCATGAATATCTAACCATTTTTATTTCGAATTTTTAGTCCCGGTTTCAATTTTGGTAATGAATACATTTTTGAAACTTGAAATTCTTTTCTTTCCCTTTTTCACACAGCAGTATCCGACAACTCTTCTCTTCTGGCAAGGCAGAGGCATGATGTCTCATTTTCTCACAAACATTGGGGCAAGATGTAACACAAAAAACGACAGAAAGATCGGAGTGTGATACATGAATAAACCAACAAAAACGGTCCCTACAGACTGACGGTCAGCGACAAATTTGAAAAGTTTTTTCTCTCGTTCTTAGGATGATGCGGAAATTTAATAAAAGCAGCAGGCGCTGATAGAAAAAGAAGAAAGAAGTCGGTGCCGCCTGTGTAAACTTTGTCAGCTGCGAACGACTACCACTAATTAAGAATTGTACCGGACTATGTATTTGTTGATCTGACTCAAAAAAGAGGAAAGAAGATCACGGTATCTTATTTTTCTACACCGGCAGTAAGCACAAGTGCATCATGTTTTGTGACAAGAAGAACTGGGTACTGAACAGCAAATATGCCACATTGAGAGCCTTGAACGGAGAACTGTACTGAGTCGCAGGGGAAACCACTTTTCAAAGAACCCGATAGCAACTTATTATGAAACACTCGCAATACGAGTATAAAAGGAAATTCGCATAGAATGTCAGGTATTTTTCGAAACTCTTTTTTTTTGGAATGTGATGTTTCTACTGAAAAAGTTGACTTTCCCGGTATTTCAGACCTGAGAATTTGTCCAGAACTGCTGTAAAGTTTCAATAAATAACTTCCCAGTCAGTTGATATTGTTAGTTTTGAAAAACTTATGAATTTGTATGACTGAAATTTAAATACCCAAACCCCTCACTCTCAAAGTAGAACATTTTTTCTCTCAAATCCCACGACAAGAAGACGTGATTAGACCCGCGAAATCCCTCTTCAATGACACAAGTTGGTTTGTCAGAACGGATGATCGAATCGAAGCAACCAAGCCTCAAATTTTCTTGCGCAATTCACTCTCCCGGTCTTCTCAACGATATAATAACGAAAACGACGGTGTCGTCGTCGTTGTCGGGGCGGCTGTAGAAAGGGAGTGTGCGGGAAGAAAAGGGAAGACGAGGAGGAACTTTCACTGATCGCCATACTTTTCAGGTCGGTCGAATTACCGTTGAGGTGAAATGGCAGGGCAGAAAGGAGACATTGCCCTCTGAAGTAGAACACATTTCCTTTAATTTTCACACAGCGATCGTCTTTTGCTTTGTCAGACAATTTAAAAAGTTAGTACGGAAAATTACGCGTGGGAAACGAAACGGTAACGTCTTTGTCCACGAGTTAGGTGAATGTGTCCATCTGCAGTCCTCAATTACTGTTTTCCCTTCAACCATTCCGTGTACTATTATTGAGAATTTCTGGCGCAAACACGATTGATATAGGCGTAATCTTCTTACTCTCGACAGTACTCAAGAGCACGGTACTATAATAGCGATATCTCCTACGGAACTGAGATTTGGAATTTGAAATTCAAAATCGGATTATGTTCAGATACTCCATATTTCTTTCTTTTCATAATCCAAATGCGGATGCGGTGAGGGAAATCACCAAACACTTCTGAAGAGAGAAAAATCGGTAGAAAGACCAAGATTTTTCAATTCTTTTGACGGTAGCCGCCCTCACGTACTTTCAAGTAAAGAAAAGAAAGAAAACAGTGTTTACACAGCAACCATAATCCGTTGGTGATACAAAGGAATGTGTTGGGAGAAAGGAAGGTGACTTGGATATGGGACTAGATTCCGTTCAGTTCCGAAAGTGACAAGTCATATAGTGAACTGATTTTTAAATTTTTCTGGTTATGCCCTTTTAAGCTATCTGTAACATTTTTGTCGAGAAGCTGCAAGAATAGAAGAGTTTTTTGATTTTCTACTGCTATTGTGAAACAACGGCTATCACCGCGATCATCGCGATTTTATGCCGATATTTGTCCCTCTCATTTTATTTCTCTCACTCTCTTCATCTTTCCCAGTTTCAGTCGAGTTTCAGCCGTAGAAACTTTTCTCCTTCCCATACAAATCTCTCTTTTCCGTATATGTACAATATCAGCAACAAACTTCTCTATCTGTCGTCGGAAGTGCTTGCGTATGTGGTATGTGGCGTCTCTTTCAAATCACAAGATGTGAATCCACAGCGATTCGTTATCAGTTGTTTATCGGGGCTGGGTATCGATGTCGGATTGTGCTCTGCTCTTTCCTCCAGAGCTCTGCTGTAAATGTGACCGACTAGCTGACTGACCCATCCTTCATCAAATATAGAAGATTGTTAGAGAAGGGGGCGATAATAATGTCGTGTCATTCTACATGTTTGTCCCGGAGAAGACAAGATAACACATCAAAAGGCTAACTGCTTTTAGCTAATAACTAAAAGAGTAAAAAGTGGCAATCTGTTTCGAAGAAACTCAGAATAAACTATTGAACCAATCAATCCGTATTAGTCAAGAAGACCTCATGGTTCCAATTATTTTTACGATCAATTAACAGTCAATCGAAGCACTGCCATAATACTGATACATCATACGGTGATCAATTTTTATTTATATTCCCTTTCCAACTTCATTTTCCTTTTTGCGCTTTCAGATTTTGAGTGACTTTGTGGTGATAAGAGCAGAAACTGCTGCAAGTCAGACTACATTACACTGCGTGGTGATGATCCACGATCGAAACTGATAAAAAGCACAATGTTGCGTGTATATGCACACTTCGAATCCTCTCAAAAATCGGCGCCATTAAGTCCCAGATTATGAAGTTCAACTCTCTTTGAAGTCCGTTTTATGTCCGCCCCACTTTTTCTCATTATCTTTTTAAACCGACGTAGTACAAGCGTATACAAGGAAGAAAGAGAGGCTCGGTCTTATTTGATCCTCCGGCGCCTTCCCATCGACGATGACTCATTGCTGGTGTGAAAAGCGAGCACATATAAAAGAAGGCACCATTGGGTCCCAAATATCTCAAAAGATCTGTAAAGAAATGGTAGGGAGGCTGGCGCCCTGTAAGGGCATCGGAATTCAAATATTGCACATTATGGTATTTGCGCTGGCATTTATTGGATGTTTGACTAGTGATCGGCATGATTCATCTTGAAGCTTGGTGGGATAAACAACCGAGGAAGGAAATTGTTGGTATTATTGGCACAGATATTTTATCACTTATCAGCAAGGAATTTCGAGTTTCGCAACACTTTTATGCCTTGATCGGCTACTATCAGTGCATTGTCATCTCCGGTTCCAGTTCCAGATGATTCTTTTGGCGAATTTCATATATTGTACAGTCCACGGCTTTTGTGTCCCGAGGAGGATGACAAAGACAACATTAGACAAAAGGAAAAGTTAGGGGAGACAAAAAAGGAAATCAGCACCAACGATTCATCATTTCTACTTTTTTTAATATATGGATTTCAGATTTCAAAAGTAATTTCTCAATAAATGATTGAATCAGTTCTCCCTGACAGAGAGTTTTCTTATCTAAAATTTTTTGGAACACTGACTGACTGGCAAGGATGTTGAGCAAACATCAGGCGAGAGACGCAGGTGCAAATTCAAAACCTTCAACTTGTGGGCGGGACAACCTAGACGTTCCGCACTTGGGTCTCTAGTCTTTTCTTCCGTATTCACCTGTATTCCCTACCAGTTAACAATATTCTACCTGTCTAAAGGAAAAATGTGTTGCAGCACTGTCCGGGTAGGTCTCCTTCTTATTCTCTTACTTCTTGCTCCAAAACCAGATGTCTTATGCGATGTGCCCTCCCCGTTCTTTTTGCATGTTTCTGTTCGTTTTCCAGGATCTTCATCCGTGTTTAATGTCCATAAAAGAGAACTAAATGTTCTCTTGACCAGCCCATCCTTTGTCTCCACCTACTCGCGCCTATGATGATTTTTCTCCCATATCTGTTTCCTTTTGCCTGTATTATTCACCGTCTACTCATGTATGTAGATGTGGTGCTAGTGGTGCTACACAGCGGATTATCAGGCTCGCCTATTGATAACCGGTGCGTGGCTGGTCGGCTGACGTCGTACAGTCATATACTGTTATCTTGTACTCTATTCTCGTACCACTTTGAGCTCACGATCATAGCGCGATCATCATCATTCTTCTTCTTCGATAAGGACTCCATAAAAGTGGGAGAGCTTGATGTGTTGGAAAGCGCGCTTTTCCATCTTCTTCTCAAAAATTTTACGATTTGTTTATCTTTTCAACAGTTTCTAAGCACTTCCATCTCTCGTCCTTTTCTGACGATATCTGACTGTATGAAACGAAAAGGCGCATGCTTCAATAATTTTAATGATGGGAGTTAAATAATAGAGCGCAAGCAAGCATAACCCATTCAGAGATCCTCTCGAATAGGGGAAAGAAATATGATCGGTCCATTGAATTGGTAAACATATAATGTGTATATCGATAAGGCCGCTGAATTTCAATGACTTTTCTTTAATCTCCCCTCTTTCCGCTCGCACCGTATTGTGTATTGGCATGTCATATTCATGCATGTACCCCTCGACACTAACTCCACATTTTCCTTCCTCTGAAATCAAAACGTGATCGAACACTTTTTAGTGAAAAAAGGAAAAGTCGTTTTCTTCCAACAAAACATCTGTAGCGCGGCTCGGCTCAAGATGGACAAGGCCAAGAAATTTGTTTCCAGTTCACTGGATTGTCCCTTCATTATTGTAACAAACAGAAAACGAGGACCCTTCCACTTCCACATCGGTTTAATCCCATCCTTGTGGTGTCTTGCCTTCAAGCAACTGGGATTACTTTCCCAGCTTCTTCTAATGCCCAACCCATCACTTTACCCCAACAACATCTTCTCACTCGTGCTATTGTCTGTTCCCATCTTCATGATTGTTTCAATTAGGCACCAAATCCCGGAGCTTAAGTTATCTTAAATGATGGGTTAGGGTCTTAACTAAGATTCTCAGATTCTCAAGGATTGGTTATATTTTATCTCATCCCAGAAAAGAGCAAACTTCTAGTTTTATGTATTGTCTTATCTGCCCCCAATACCTTTCATTACTTTTATCTATCGCCTATGTAATTTCTTATGCGTATCTCCTCTGTAATGTTGTAGCATCGTTATTTGCGATGGGAGAAAGGCGGGGTAAAGGGCGAAGGCGAAGACAGAGGGAGAAATCTTGAACAAGTGGATTGTCTTTGTTCGATGCCATGCCACCCGCCACAACGACCCGAGGCTTTTCTCGAACTAGTACATGATGATCGTTGCTGACAGTAGCAGCAGCAGCCAAAGCGACGTCTTCCTCCTTCTCCTACTTCTTTTTCACCTCGTCTGCCATTCCTAAAAACGCTCTTCTCCTCCTCATCTTCCGCGATGCCTCGATCGTTTTCTCGCGCCAGCCCCTTGCCCCTTCCTCCAACCCCCTTAGACTCCTCCAGCCATCCGGTTCCTACATTATGCCATCTCTCGATCCCGACCCGACCTCCTACCTTTCCTTTCTTTCCAGTCACATCTTCTACCATTCTTCTCGAGGAGCGAGGCGCGCACGCCTTCTTCTGTCCCTCCCTCTCCTGCCTTCCTTCTTTCAGACAGATTTTCCATATCATCTTGTTTTTGTCGAATTCATCTTCAATCTTCTACAACTACTACTACCTGTCGCCTGATCTTTATTGTTGTTTTCTAATGTTACTTGTGAAATCTTTTGACCCGCTCGATTTTCTGTTAGGTTCGAGGCCGAGCGGCGTTGGGTTGCTCCCAACCATTCAATCTTTTATCCAAACTTTTCTAATCGCCTTAACAAATCCTTTATCCGCCGCGACTGTCGATCGCAATTACGGTTGAATAGTGCGCGAGCCTCCCCGCACCAATCGCGAGACCACCATCGTCCCCCTATTTGCTCCGAGCCGTTTCGTCTTGTCTCTTTTCTACCATATCCTCTCTTGCTCTCGCGCCGCTCCGCTCACTCATTCACCTCTTCCAAAGGCGGACTCCGCCCCATCCATATCTATTCAACCCGAAGGCCCGATGGTGGCCTAGATCATCTATTTTCTGTCTTGCCTTGTCCTGTTTAATTCTTTTTCTGGTGTTTTCTTGAAATTCGTTTTGCAGCTCACACCATCTCCACTCAATCCAAATCAAAGTACTATGTTCCCAATGAGGGTGATTGTCGAAACCGTTCGCACTCAACACTGCCTCACGTGCTCGCATGAAGGACATATGGTCACTGACACCTACGCCATTGTCGCTGGAACCACGACTCTCAATCAGCTCGTGGACACCGTGCTCGCAGCTCTTGGTCATTCTAACATGTCGACCAGTGCCAGAGGTAAGTAATAATGCCTAGCTTTAGCAATATAGTACAAATACCCATTCGATCTGATCATTTGTAAATGTCTACTTGACAAATTGGATAAAGCGCGTGATTGTGAAATCTCTTTTGGTTCGGCAAAGTCTTCAGCAATTACTTCGGGTATGTCTTGATGCGTAGAGTGGTAAATCGGATCAGATCAGTCTCGCCACTTCCACTTACTTTCAGTTTCACTGAGGCATTGCGTAATCTATGCTGTAAGATCTTTGCCGAGCGACTGCGAGATCCCGTGTTTCAATCATTTTTTTGCGCGCCAACCTCTCCACTCCTCCATACGGTGTTTTCTTCTGCGCTTCTCTCGTTTTCTCACTTTCACGTTTCTTCCACCTTAGTTGAAAGTGAAACAGACGATCGAACCTGTTCTTTTCTCGGTGGCTTTGCCTCCTCTTTCTCCTCCTCCTCCTTGGTATCTACTTTCCCAAAGATTATGCAATCGGTGAAAGGAACGGAATAAAAAGAAATAAGGGACGAGAAGGAAGAGGGAACAAATCAGAATATTTTGAAATGAACACTTGTTCCTTTTTTCCAGGTCTGATCCAAGTCAACAACTGGAAACCGTTGCCATTTGATCAGATAACCGAGAACCTCGATGAAACTGTTGAAAATTTGTTCAAGGACATTTCATCGCATGTCGTGCTCAAGATTCTATCCAAACCGTGAGTAATTATTATTTTGAGCTCTTTATTTATATGCAAGAGAAGAGGAGGGTTATGACCATTACATGTGTCGTATTTCGCGCAATTCATCCCCATCCATCCGGCCAGACGGGTGGTACTCAGGTCTCCGGCTCCGGCTCCGACTCCGCGCTTTGTGTGTCAGAGAGCCCTGTAGAGGTGAGCAAAATCGCACCTAACATACATACATCCTCTTTAGAACTACTCAAAGAAAATGGCAAACATAGGCACAGACTCGTGTACAATGCGCGCGCATACACACATACAGGAGAGGGGGACTCATTGAAAAAGTCTACTGAAAGAAGATACACTCCCCTCAGCCACACACATTTTTGCCTCCTCACACTCGCTCTCGAGGGAAAGAGAAGATTGCTTTTGTAGATGATGAACATGAGGGCGCGGGGCAAAGGGATCTTAGGCAATTATGACCTCTGATGTCTCTCTTCTTTTGTAATTTCAGTCATTCACAACAACTTTCTCTCCCCTCCCCCCTCTTGGATTTAAAAGTGTTGTACTGTCAGGGGATTGAATCGGCAGAAAAATACAAATTTGAATTTGATTTGCATTATCTCATTTGAATATACAGTGACAATTCTGAAAAAATTTCATAGGATACATAGATGACTTATCACCAATCTGTTGTTTGCGGATTACTATCTTTTGTGTGCACGTAGATGTATTTGTGTGTGTGTTGGTATCAAACACCGCAGTTGGGAAAAAGAATAGGCTTTGTCTAATCGATTTTTATTACCATCCAATAATAGCGATCCACCAATCCATGTATTTGCACACTACAACATTCTGGAGCGAAATGGGCAGGGGAAAAACTGTTTTTGATTTTCAGATCAAGTGACTCGACCGCTGTTCAATGCATTGCTGACATCAAGAACAAACTTCTGAAAGCTGCGGTACACAAAAACCCAAACGTTCTAAACAGTGTGGATAACCAGCAGGTTAAGGTAACGAGATATTCTGTTTCCACTCTAAAAATCAGTGTTTTAGGAGATTATCAGCACTATCATCTCCGGTGATGAATGTCTCTTGAGCTCCGAACAAATTGGAGCTGTCAACGAATGGCTGGACACTTTGGAAACATCTGAGGATCGTAGAAGGTATGAATGGCTACTGTATATAATCTTTATCCAATCGCATGCAAGCTCCTCCTACTCTTTTGCCTCTCAATTTTAAAGTGTGGCTGCTGTGTCTGACTTGCTCGGCGGAGCCACCGTAATCCCTGGTGTGTGTGTGTGTGTGTGTAGGATGTGAGGCAAGGCGCAGAGGAGTGAGGGGAAAACGGAGAAAAGACGAAACATCCGCGCCCTGCCTCGGGAAAGAAGACGAAGAGTTTTCGAGGCAGAGCGGTGACACGGGGGTAGCGCCAGTTAAGCCGCTATTTGGTGCTCGAGTTAAGCCCTCTGCTCGGCTTGTTTGTAGAAATAGACTCTGTGGATTGGGTAGGAATTTTAGCGAGCTCTGTGCTGGGATTGTGTATACATTGGGTAAAGGGAGCCCACAAAATTGTTTATGAATCGCGAATATATTTTTGGGGAATCTTTGACTTTCCGGATTGAATTCTTTGTAAAGGATACCTGATCAGATATCATTTCATCCAATATAAACATTCTTCGTTCTGGGATAGTTATGTCAATAGTCAAAGTTTCAATCATGCAGAATTGAAGGGATGATGTAAAGACTTGAGACTTTTCAATTTCCACCACATTTCAAGAGTAATTTCCGGGGGTTTCGAACTTGCCGAAGCAAGAAGCGCAATTGTTTTGAAGTAATGATCGCACCAATGGATAACCAGTCGGCAGGGGGATTAGCGCAACCTCTCTACGCAACGCAGATTGTATCATTTGTGACACCACGGTTTCCTTTGGTGCACGTTATTGCACAGAACACATTCATCTTGATGGTGAGACAGCACACAATGTGCGAAAATGATGATTGTTTTGGATTAGAGGGGAGAAGAACAGGAGGCGCTTGTTGAAAATGGAGGGGGTAGAGGTTAAGTGAGGAAGATGAATGTTCCTAGTGTAATGGAGAGGAATCCAAATCTGAAGTGAAAGGAAAAAATAAATTTTTTTTTGTTTTTGTAAAAGTCGCAAGACAGAGTAGATTAATAAATACGGATCATTAAATCTACTCGATCTCGCAATGAAGACACCTAATTTGAGGCCAACACCTATCAAATTCTATCTTTTCTCATTCGATATCTTAATTGCCCGCCATTGCCATTTTAGTCAATCTCCCGACTGGTTTCACCTAGATAGTCTCGGTCTCTCAACTGGTTGACTTGACCCCCACTTCTGAAATTGAGATAGCAAGCTAAAAACACAAAGAAGGAGACGTCTTGAAATAGAAAACAAGTGTGGGGGGGGGGTCAAATTATCGACTTGTTTTGGTAGGGCATGAAATGGACAAACGTTCGTTCTTTCTTTCTGCAATTCAATTCTGGTTTTCATCTAGCTTTTGTCCACATTCATTTCCATTTCTAGACTAAACAATACCAGAAACCTTCATGAGTAAGCTTATTGTCAGAGGGATACGCAAAATATTGCTTGTGGTGTGTATACAGAAAACGATGACTCATCCCAATTTCTATAGGCTTACTAATAAAAACGAAAGCAATATCCTATTCAGCCCGACTCATGTGCAAAGATTCAACGCGAGCTATGAGGTGCCACGTCTCGAGAAATGGTTCAAACAGGACCCGAACCCGAGTAAACATAAGTTGAACAACTACTTGACTCAACTGAATCAAAGTCCATTCCGTAGGAACAACACCAAGATTACCTACCAACAAGTAAACATTCATTCGAAACAGAAAATATTTTCAAATATTTCTTTCAGATATGCAACTGGTTCTCGATTCAACGTTCCAGCAACCGTAAAACCCCAACCGCCGAGCAAATCACTGCTGCAAATGCAGCCACTGCTGCCCAGCTTGTGAACCAAGGCTTCCAGATGAACTTCCTTCAATCTTTGCTGGCAGTTAATGCTGACCAACGGCCCAAGTTCGATTTTTCGAACCTCATGACTGAAAAAATTGATGACTCAAGAATTTTGGGCGGTTCCGATTCTCCATCGCCAGCTGATGATGAGATTCACAGCAACTCGGATGAAACTAACCAAGACACCATTTTCAGCGTTAAACCGGACCCAGAAGGGGTAAAAATTTATTTGATTTTACTTGAAACATGCATTTGTTTGTTTCAGGAAAGCACCGCCTCTTCTCCGGATATGACTAATTCAATGCGCGAATCGTTGTCCTCTACGTCACCAAAACTTCCGAGTGGACTGGATCTGGGCTCATTCAGTAATCATTCATCCTCCACCTCCATGTCGAACGTCAATGCAGCAGGTACAACAAAGAGCCAGATTTCTGTGGTCATAAATTAGAACGAGCACACATTGGAGCCCGCGCGCGTGCTGTTGTCTGTCACAACAAAGGCGCGAAACTAAGAAAAAGTAGGGTAGAATTTCGCGGACAAGCAGGCAAGCAAACGAGGCTTTCGGAAAGCAACTTCTGAGGGAACTTCATAAAAGAGAATTTTGCAATATTTGTGTTATAGTTTTTTCAGCGGCCCGCTCTCGCCTCATGTTTGACCCACTTACGGAGCTTCCCGTGCTTGAGAAATGGTTCGAAGAGAACCCTCACCCAACATGGATGCAAATCGATCATTACACCCAGAGCCTCAACAACTGCCCCTACCGAGAGAACTACCCGCACATCAGTCAACATAATGTCAAGGTAAGCATTACAGCCGCAGAAGAAACATTTATTGAATGAAAAACTTGAACCACTGGATGTTTTTGCAGATTTGGTTTAAAAACCGTCGAGCCAAATGCAAAAGGATGCAAAATGGGTTGCTCGAGAAACTGGAACAAAAAGTTTTCGTGTGAAAAGGATTCAACAGCAGGAAAACTCGGAAGTTTACTGTGTTCGTCAGGAACCGGCAGGATGTCCTTTTGCGGCACAAAAACATGTGGATTTTTTCGTAGAGCTGTAAAGGAACGTCCTGTCCATTCCGGGCACGCACGGTGAATCGGCGAGCGAAATCAGTCATTAATACCATCTACTTTAACCTGAACACTGGTGTAACCCTTTTCTGATCTTCAATGTTAATCCATTATATTTTTACTCTTGGTAGTTTGTACAGCTTTACCGTGCGAACTTGTCATTTTCTTCAAAGAAGAGTATATACATTGCCCTCCAAACTAGTTTTAAAGCCGTACTGGTCTAATTCATTCTCTTTCTATTCTTTTCAATTGCTTTGTCTTTCCCGCTAGCTGTATATCTGTTGTATAGTAATCAAAGACTCTGCTTTTCTAGTCGCGTCTCAAGTTTAACCTTGATGGGAAATTAAGCCGGCTTTAATTTCCTCTTTCTTTCTTCGTTTTAGCTTCATTCACAATTTAGTTTTAAAGCTTTCCTTCCCATATTCATTCTTCTATTCCTTCATTTCGCTTTCCATCAGCTATCTTGCCAAATATTCCAACTATATGCTTCAGCTTTCAGATAATCTACAAAATTGAGCAAAATTCGCGAGAACTGTTCCTTCTGCTCTCTTTTCATTTGATTTTGAGAAATGAAGTTTTTTTTTCGAAATGAGATTCTGTTAACATTTTCACACCGTAGCATTTTGGATGCAGTGATTGGGTATTGAGGGAAGAAGGTGAAGATTGGAAGTAAGATAAACGAATCGGATCTAAGAACAAGATAACAAAAAACTGTCGAAGTTTTTTGCAAAATGGACATTAAACCAAAATTAGGAACATGAGTGGAAAGGCATCAAATTTCCACGCAACATTAATCGGATTATTGAGGGTGTGACTATGTAATTAAGAGTATCAACGACTCAATTGGCTGATAGAATGATAATTCATTTAGTTTCATTTCAATTCTTTCCTGCAAGTAATAATACCATAGCCTTATGTTTCAGCAAAATGCTCAAGTTTGTCTTCTTATCGTTGCTTTTCCTTGGTTTTTCATGGGCTAATGCGGACGGATTCACAGAAAGATGTATGAGTCTGTCAAAATGAAATATTAGGAAGACCCTCTGATATTTCAGTGAACATCAAACTTGAAAAGTATTCTTCCTTCAATCTACTGCAGCCACTTGAACGATATCAACCAGAATTCCCTTTAAAACCAAAAAACTTCGATCAAAATACCATTTCAACATGCTACAACAAGTCATTTCCAATCCTGCCGCACGATGGAACGGCAAACTATGGAGATTTGATTGAGAGTGATTTCAGGTAACTAATTCCCCTCTTATTGTCTGGAATCACATTTACATCATATTATAGTTCTACATGCTCTGATACTTTCACTTTCTACGTTGACAGTTTTATTGAAGAGTTCTTTGTCATTATCAACACTCTTGATGCACTCAACCCTAGAGCTGCGGTCTATAATCCCTTGGGAGGTGAGGTGGCCGCTTGCAAAGACTTTTCTACTTCGAACACTCAATATATTCATCTAATTTGCAACGGGAAGAATATTCACGGAACTGGAGCATATACAGTAAAACTGTCGGCTGATATGAACAAGTAAATTACACAAATTCAAAACAAAAAACGAACACTACTTTAGGCCATGTATTTTTGAAATTCGTGCGCCAACAAAGTTGACTATCGATGGTGGATTTGTTGAAGATATAAGGGACGATGATGTGCAGCAGGTTGTGCTGTCAACAGCAAATCAAGGAATTTTCCGCTGGCCTATTGAGTACTCTGCTTCGTATCTCGCATTCAAGGTTGAAAGCGAAGAATTTCCAATTCATCCCGATGAAGTGCACATTTATGAAAATGGGCGTTTTGATCAGAAAATGGATTTGAGTATGAGGTCAGCTGTTTGCGTAGTTGTACACTCACTCAGTGAGTCTCACTGTCCAAGAGAATATTCTCTCTTTACTTCCGGTTTCATATATTTTTTCGATTCTATTCCCTCAAACATGAAAACAAAGTATTTTGTATCAAAGTTCAAAAATCGGTTAATTCAGATACGGGTGTAACGCTCCTCACATTACACAACAGTCTTACAACTGTACTTCGCAGAACTTGTATCACGTGAAGTTCAGGGGTCGGTTGAAGTTTATCGAGGAAGTAGAACGCAATCTTTTTTTAGGATATGATGGCGATGGAAACCGGTTTCAGAGAATCTATGATTTCAATTGTGACATTGGAGATGTTACTTTCCCAACGCCTTCTGCAGACGTTTCCACAACACCTGCCAAGTTTTGTGACAACGGTGGTGTTTTATATAACACGGTGAGTGGGATTGGAATGCATGTTTTATTTGGATAAGAAAGGTTATATGAATCACTGATGGAACTACGCCTTGTAAACGGCACGAGATGGGCATGGGCAATAGCCGGCATCTGGTCCTGGGGCAGCATCTTCTCCGCGCTCTCCTGGAACTCCGTTCTTTCCTGGTGGTCCTGGTGGTCCTGGACGTCCAGCGTTTCCGTTCTTTCCAGCCTCTCCGTCGTTTCCTGGAGCTCCCGGGTTTCCAGCTGGTCCAGCCTCTCCACGTGGTCCTTGTGGTCCTGGACGTCCTGGGTTTCCAGGCTTGTACTCGGTTCCTGGCTCTCCGCGTGGTCCTGGTGGTCCTGGGCGTCCGGCGGCTCCTGGTTTTCCAGCATCTCCTTGTGGTCCTGGCTGTCCAGCTCCTCCAACTGGTCCTGGTGGTCCGCGTCTTCCGTTTCCTCCGGCTGGTCCAGCGGATCCTGGTCCTCCTGGTGGCCCCTTTGGTCCTGGACGTCCTGGTGGGCACTTAACGCATCCTCCGGGAATGTCGTGGGTAATAGCAACAATGACTCCTGGAGCTCCCGGCTTTCCGTTGTCTCCGTCTGGTCCCGGGTTTCCACCTTGTCCAGCCTCTCCTGGTGGTCCTGGTGGCCCAGCTGGGCATCCATCGGACTTTGGTCCGCAGTTGCACTGCTCAAATCCAGCTTGACGGGCGCTACGGGTTCCGAACAGAGTCTCAAAGGTTGGTGGGGCATCGGTGAGTCCAGTTGGGTTCATGTGCTTGGTAACCATGCGGGCCCAAGTGTCTTGAGTAATGGCCTAAAATAAATTGTTTATTGAAAAGTAATGATCAAATAAAAGACGACTTACTCTGAATTCAATCATACCATCTTGGAACTCCTCCTGAAGCTCATCAATCTCATTGAGAAGATTGCTGATAGTGTAGAGGGAAGCGAGAACGCAAACCAAGATTCCGCACGATCCAAACACGATGAGCTTACCCATGATGCTGAGTGATGTCTTTTTCGTTGTCCTCCAGCCGTTTTATACTGCGCCGTATCAATGCGAGTGAAAGTTTTCCTTTCTCTGCGTATACTCTGCTGTAATGCTACTCTTTAAAAAAAATGTTTACTGCCTCTCTTTTTTGGAAGATAGCCCTCGTTTCCTAGAGACGCTGTACAGTGATTTTTCTAATGAGAAAAAAATCGTTGGGTTTGGTTTGCAGTTCACAGTTCCCTTTCATCTTCTAATAACAGTTTTGTTGTGACGTTATAAGTTCAAAAAACAGAAACCCAAATATTTTTTTCAGGGTTGCTATTGTGGACAGTTCTTTTCTGGAGTGAACTGCGAAGTTCCACTTTGTGTGAACGGCGGCACTGCAACTGGAGATGAGAGAGGATGTATTTGTGATATTGGATACAGTGGAGATCATTGCCAGCATATTTCCTGCCTTCAACAGTCCTCGGATGACTTTGAAGAAGCGGAAAGCGCCATTGCATTTGTGGTCCGTTCCGCCAGTTCAATGAAAGTACAACTTAACGAAATTGCTGAAGCGGCTGACTTGATTGTCAACTACTATGAACTTCATTACCCAATTTTCTTTCAGAAGTTCATTTTAACTGTTGTTTCTGACAATGGTATTTACAAAAAACTGAGAATGCCTTTAAAGCTACTGTTTGTGCAGGTATCGTGTTCTCCCACGAATACGACATTGGCGAAGATTTTGTCAGCTCTATCCGCAGTCTTATAGCCCCGCCAACTGAAACCGAATGTGATGATGCTTTACTGGCTGGAGTATCTCAAACTTTGGACAGTGCAACATTTAAAAAATATCCGGTTATTACGCAACTATCAGAAAAAGTTAAAACTTCCACAATAATTTAGAACTCGCCAGTGTTTGTATTTTCTGACGGAACCTCTAATGACGACTTTACTACTGTTGGCTATTTGATGGAACAAATTGTGAACACCCATGCTCAAATCTTTTTCATGCTAACAGATTCTGCAAGTGGCAGCTGCAATGTGGATGTCAGCTCAAACACTTTTGATCAGTTAAGATCCATTTCTCGGCTGTCAAAGGGACTTTTGATTCGAACTAGTCTTCTTCAACTGTCAAATGCAACTTTCTCTGTTGCTCAAGACCTTTGGCAGTATGACACAATTCTCACAAATGATCTTGAAGACTGCAGAAAAGCTCCTCAATTCCAGCCGTTCTTTGTAGACCAGTCCATTGATTTTCTTACTCTGCAAGCTACTGGATGTGAGTGATATCACGTTTTTCTTTAACTACTTGAACGTATTGTTCAGCTAACTTGGCCCCGGTGCTCACGTTGCCAAATAACACACAGTTCTCGCCGCCACTTTTTTATGCAAATGGAGATTTTTACGTATGGAGGACTGAAAAACCACCAGTTGGAGCTTATTTCGTGAGTTCAAACTGTATGGTTGAGGACGAAATGTATATTTTCAGTTGAACATCAACACAAACACATCTCATAGCTCAGTTTGTCAATATCGTTTGATGGGCAGATCTACTTACCGTCTCTATACTTCTGTTACTGACAACATTGGCACTGATGACGTCTATCATGCACCAGTTTATCGTATGATTTCGACGTGACATAAAAAACAGTTATAAATTTAGAAGCTACTTCTCACTTGGTAGCCAGAATGGATTCTTTGTACCTTGATGATCCATTGGATGCCACAATTGAAGCTGTCATTTGGTATAACGGTAACATAAATTTCACTCAAAAGGACAGAATTGATCTACGGGATTAAATTTATTTAGATCCGCAGACTAGTGAACGGCAAGTTCTTTACGCTTCATCTGGAGCGTGGCGAGATATGTGTCAATATGAGATGTACTTTGGAATGTTTGTCTGCCCGCAGCCATATCTCCCGCTTTATATAAATGTATTAAAATGGGTCAGGGGTCCAGAAATTAAACCAGTTTTAGGTGTATACAAGTGATGTTTATGGACAAGTTGTTTTAAGAACCGCTACTTCCTACTGCTCTGCGGTAGCTCCAAATCCAATTGACAGCAACTGTTTGAACGGCGGTGTCTACTATAACAACACATGCCAGTGTCCCACGCATTTTACTGGAAACAAATGTCAACAAGTACGTGTGACGTGTATCGAACAAAACAAAAATATCATATCTTCTTTATTTTAGTTTTAGAAAACTGAAAAGTCTTTTACTTGAAGAGAGAGTCATATATGTTTCTTAGAAAAAGGCGGATAGTACCTGTTTGTCTAGTACTCCATCTACCCAGTTGACAACCGTTTTTTTATACTACCGCTGAAAACTTAACTAGACTGCCAATAAAACTAAACAACCAGGTCAGATAACTGCATGACAGAAGGCTTAAAAATTTGCGAACTCACGAAAAAATGTTTTTTCTCTAGATATCTATATAAAAGTATAAAGGTGTCTCTCAGTATTTCAAAGTGAAGTAAATAAAAGTATAATCGTCTTCTGAAACTCTACTGACTGTATTTATAAGAAGTTGAGCCGCAATTTAATTTAGATTCTGTGTGAGAACGGAGGAAATGCTTTGTTTGGATTGTGCCAATGCCCCGCTGGCTTTTCTGGACAGTTTTGCGAAGTTGCAAAGTGTTACGAGTACAATGGTTATGGCTTCTGGGGATACAACCACAGAAGTTTAACGGTTATGGTACATGATTCCCTAACCACAAGGTCCACGCTTCGAACGCTAAATGACGCTGCACCACGTGTAATTAATGATATTCTGTATCAGCATCCTAAGTGGATTTCCAACTATCAATTGGTTCGATTCAATGACACAGCTCACTCTTTAGTGGTCGACAGTGAGAGCGGACAAGATTTAGTGACGGGAATTTCAAGCCTTTACGATCAAAATAGAAATCAAACTGGATACACTTGTCTCGGCCTCAACTTTTATGCCACTCTTCTGGAAACTATTTCTCATGACAAGTGAATAGTATTCTGTTTGTTTTGAGAACTTTGATTCTATTCAGTGTCCAATGGGGAGGTATAGTTTACGTCTTTCTGTACGGCCAGCCCACACAAGATATGGATTCATATGAAAAAATTCTCCAACGCATCGAAGTGAACAAAATTCAAATCAACATTGTCCAATCAAGTCTCAACCCTTGTGGTCAGGATATCACTCTTGACGGCCTTATTTCTCTCGCACAATTCTCTGGAGGAGCTTTCATTACTGCTACCACTCCAAATGCAGGAAACGTTTTCAGTCAGATTCCGACACATTACATGTCAAACTTGATTTTTGAAAGCACAGTTGAAGACTGTACAGATGCGATTTTTTATGTTCCAATTGATGATGGCACACAATCTTTCACTTCTTACACACAAGGATTTTTGACTGCTGATCCAACTTACACACCACCGACAGGTAAAGCTTAAAAACCCATTACTATGTATACAATAAACGGATTCAGATTCCCTTGCCACAGTAACCACTGTGTTTAATGATCTTGGAACAAACGCAAGAATGGATCATATTGCTCGAGTTTGTGATGATGGATGGACTCCTGACGGCAGTCACTGCTTCAAATTTGGGTTTGACAGGAAGACTTGGTACGAAGCTGTAGCCGATTGTCACAATGAACAGGCGGTGTTGACTGGAGTATTCAATCAAGGGGAACAGGATGGAATGAATAGTTCGTTCGCAATACTACTGAAATTCAAAAGCAATGAACGTTTCAGAAGCTTCCGAAGGAGCTCAATTCTGGATTGGTCTCAGTGATGTTCTCACAATGGGACAATTCGAATGGGATACTATTGATGGGAAACTTAATCTGACTCTTCAAGACACTCAGTACACAAACTGGATGACTGGACAACCTGTGGTTACTTCGGATAAAAGGTTAGAATTTCTTCCAAGACTTGAATGTTATATAGCACATTGCAGGTGCGTAGTGGACTGGAACACAGGGCCTAAAGAATCCAGAGGCTGGATGACGGACGATTGCACTAAAAAATACCTGTACGTCTGTCAAAAGCATGCTTGTAAGTTAATTTTTTCAATTTTTTTAAAGCTTCTAGCTACGTATGTGACAATCTTTTTACAGATAGCACCGACTACACGGCATCCGACCCTGAAATCAGTAAGTTTTCACAAACAACTGCATATTGCACTATAGGCGGGGCCATAACGTGAAACTCACCGGCCCAGCAGGCTCCAAAATTGTGTAAGAAACTGCAAAATTTTGAAATAACTAAAAATGAAAGTTTCGGGCCTGAAAACATAGAGTAACAAAAAATGCATTCTTTCAGATCATCTTGCACGTGGAATTTGGAAAATACGTGTGCAAGCAAGCGGACAGTGCAGTATTGCGGTGAGATCTCAGTCAACAGTTCAAATTGCCACCCGTTTCACTACCAATATTCATGATGATGTTGGAAGAGAAGAGCCTAACAAAAATACAGGTAAATACGAGGTACATTCAACGCATCAAATTTTGCTCGGTTTCAGAGTCCAATAGACTTATTGTTTACGCAAATGGCGTCACAAACCAAAAAGGAGTGGAGTATGCTCATTTTTACTATGACAACTTTACCATGCTACAAGCTCAATCATTGAGTTATCGCGATAATTGCATGTACAGATTCATTTCAACGCCATTTGCGTGTCCAAACTTCTATTATCAAATGTTGATCACAGGTAATAGTCAATAAATAATGAACATAAACAATAATCAATTCAGGAGTTGATGATTCCGGATACCTTTATCAAAGAATTATGCCGGCTGCATGCATTGGAGGAGTTAGTGAGAATTCCTGCACAAATGGAGGTGTTTTTCACAAAGGAAACTGTATTTGTCCTGCTAACTTCTACGGAGACTCATGCGAATACGCCTACTGCCAGAATGGTGGGTTCCTATCTGCCACACTTGACCAATGCACTTGTCCTTCGAACTTTGGTGGAAAGTTTTGTGAAACTCGTAAGTTCGACATAAATTCAGCATGTATATTTATTTTAAATTCAGCGATTTGTGATAGAAACCAGTTAGACGTTCCAGCAATTGGAGACAATGGTCGGACTTTTATTGTTGTTCTCGATGGAACTTCAAACGATGCTATGAAAACTGTGAATGAAAACTTTGAGAAGACACTGAACGGTGTTTTGAGCGTCATTCAGGTTACTTGCAAATAAGATGAAATCAGATAAAAAGATTATAGGAACAAGATCCATCGTGGTTTACTAGTTTTGTTGGAGTTATATTCCGAGATGCAGAATCTTTAAAGGCAAATCCGTCTGTGCCATCCACTTCCCAAGTCTTTACTTCCAAAAACTCTACGGAGTTCTCATCGATGTTAGCGGTGCGATATTGTTTTTGAAATTTATTCAGCCAAACAATTGTTTCATTTAGAATGAATTAAAGAACACTCCGTACACGGCCCAACAACAAAAACGTGATGTATTCACTGGAATTGTGAAAGCAATTACTAATACGAATGTAATGCCAAACTCGAAAGTCTTCGTTATCACTTCTGGAAATGCGGAAGATACTGTTGACCGTCAAACTGTCATTTCCGCTCTTGCTCTTTCTCATACTTCGATAAACTTTTTGTTTATTGGCGACACAAAGCCACCCGGAGATGCGACCAGTTATGATGATCCAACAGTAAACTCAATGTTCGAAGCCGCCCATATCACCGGTGGAACATCCTACCAGCTCACTTCTCCAGATGATCTTCAAAGCACTTGGACCTTAATCTTGGCCAGTCTCCATCAATCATACTACGTGGTTACTCATCAGTTAAGGTAAAAACGTAATGAACAATTAAAATGATAGGTTCCACCGAGATTTGAACTCGGGTCGCAGGATTCAAAGTCCTGAGTGCTAACCGCTACACCATGGAACCGCCACAAATATGCGCGATGATGCAGTATTTATATTGAGAGGAAGAGAAAAAAGAAAAAAGGGACATTGCCGCTTTGCTTCAGTCAACACCCTCTTCTCGTTTTTTTTTGCATCGGGAGGTGGATTCCGTGAACAACACTCTCTCATCCTCCTCCACCCTCCATCGGTTCTGTGATGACTTTACACGAGAGATACGAGAGAGAGAGAGAGAGAGCGGAAAAAAGGGTTTTAATCGAGCGGTCTTTTTAGTACCGCAAAAAGGTGGCAATCCCGCTCTGCTAGACTTGGCCAGTGGCCGAGGTTTTACGTTTTGAAAAAGTGGAAGACAAAACACAAAAATTATGACATGGCCGAAGTTTTACACAGCGGCTAAGGCTAGACTCTAGCCGAGCGTAATTTCCACCTTCTCGCGGGGCAAGTATAAAAATGTTTGATTGGTATTTCTATTTTCCAATAATTTCAGTGACTGCTCCAACTATCAAGATTACATCCAACTTGACGCAAATGGAACTGAAGCTATCATTGACATTTTTTCCCAGGTTGCTCCTGACATAGCTGTGTACAACACTGAAAGTAATAATGGGCTTCATGTAACTTTGTTCAAAAATTATGATTTCAGACAAACAAGTAGACTCCTTCACTATTGTCAAATCCAAAACAAACACAGTTCGTGCTTTCAAGCAGTCTGGGGAGAAGCCAGGAGTATGGACAATTGATGTTGACTATGGAATGACCAACTCTGGACCATGCACTGTAGGACTATAAGAGATTATTGGTTCAATGCTTATTGTATTTAGTTGAACATTCGATCGATGTCTCAATTGGAAGTGAACCTTGGATTCACACAAGACGTGGCAACCGACCAAGGGTACCATGACGGAGGAGCTGTTCTATTCCCAAGAGCAGGAGATTTTGCCAACGCCATTGTTGCTCAAATATCCGGGGGAGGAGTTCTCACATACGCCCAAATCTTCGATCTTGCTGAGACAAGAGTTGCATGGGCTAGCCCATTGATAAAACGTGATGGATGTGCTTATCCTTACGTGTCGCAGAGCACATTCCAATGCTATCGGAACCAATTCGTAGTTGCTCTCGATGGACTGGACTTCGAAGGACATCCGTTCCGACGCACATATACAATTCATTGTGATGGAGAAATTCGCCCTCAGTGTAATAATAACCTATTTTTAAAAATTGCATTGACGCTTTGCTTTTAAGCTACTTTCCAACCTTTTCCAACCACTGTCGAAGGCACTGCAGCAACTATTACTTCGCTGGCACCATGTGATTCATCAACTGCTAAGCTTGACATCATAATCTCATTTGATTCTTCCGACAGTATTACTGAAGATATGTATTACGCGGTAAGTCTTTGTAGATAACAAAGTTTAAAGGAAATTCTATAGAACCGTTTTCAAATTAATTTTTTTTGCAGACTATCGCCTCTGTGAAAACTATTGGCAACGCAATTACGATTGGAAAAGATTACTCGCGCATCCTCCTTGGAACTTATGATGCTAAAGCTCACTTCTCCGGCGATCTGAACACAATTGATAGTTTTGACAGATACCAAGAGGAAGTTGCTGAATTGTTCAGTCTAGGTTACACTGGCGTCAATGGCAATAACATTCAATCGTGAGCTTTTTTTCGTGAATAACACATACATATATGAAAAATTCAGCGTTTTTGATTTTATCACAGCCGAAAACAATACGGCACCACTACGCCCGTCGCCGGTAAGAAAATTGTTGATATTGCTGAGTTCGCAAGGATGGGACAAAGGAAATGTGTCTGACGGAAAAGAAAATGGATTCCCTGACCCAACAACATCAGCAAAGAGGTTGCAACAGGTTGTATTAATTGTCCTTATCATTTTAATAACTAACTTTAGGCGCGTGTTGAAATGTTTGCTATTGGGCTTGGAGACACTGCGAACATGACTCAACTGGCCGCTATTGCCAAATGTCATCGTCAAGTAAGCAGCCAGGACGACCTCGCGAACACAGCCGCTTACATCACTTCACTTCTTTGTGGTGAAACAGCTGTTTGTTAATTAATTTGATTCAATTTTATAAATGAACACGTTCTGATTCAACATTTTATTACTTCAAGAATGGAATCACAGTGGCCGATTGTTCACATTGACCAATTGCATTCGCATTTTTTCAGTTGCTTTGTTCGTCTCGATTAAATTGTGGCGAGTTCCTTTGTCTTCTCTCTGCCCATCAAACCAGCGGAACGACTGTAACCATGTACATAATATTTTTTATTCTACAAACTCAGAAATGTACAAAATCCCTCGGAAAACTTGAAGGTTATAAAGCTATCATACCTGTGAACACAACAACCACAAGTATTGACAGATAAACAAAGGGAAAGAGAATAGAAGCAACTGCATCTTGGATAATGCTGTAGCTTTTCTTGGGAATGTTCACAATATGGAATGAAAGAGTTCCAGTTGCATTAATCTCTCCTGTGATAAAAATTTGCATTCTGAAAAATCACTCGAAGAACTACAACATAATTCCAAAAAAAGTTCTTTCACCTGACAACAGAAAATACTAACTTTTCATCAACGTCTTATGAAGTTTCTATGATGTTCTATGAAAATTCAAGACAACAGTTAGACTCAGTCAGTTGTCTAATGTATCAGAAATAGGTCGTGTTTCCGAATACTTTCAAAATTTGCAGTGTTCAGCTGGGTGATAATACTGGGAAGAGTGTAAAGGATCGTTTTAAAGAGAAAACAATTTGTTCGGTTGAAGAAGAGTCAGTGTTTAGAAGAAAAGTTGCAGACTTGCCAAATCCCGGGCCGGGCCAGCAAATCGTCGGCCCGGCCCGGCCCGGTCGGCCCGGAAGTTAGACCTCAAAAAAAATATGCAAAAAAAATATGAAGGAAAAGGAAAACGCGTGCGGCAAAATTGCTAAAATGGCGTGCCAGAGTTGCAATCAATCGCTCCGCCCACTCTTGAGAAAATTTTCGTAATTTTTGTGAAAATTTTGCGACTTTAAACAGCAATTTCTATTTTTTGACAGGTTTTTATGCTATAATATTGCCTTTTTCGTCTTTTTTTCTATTTCTGCTGGTTTTTACAATGAATCTTCGAAATTGAAGCAAAACGACGATAACGTAGGTTCGCTTTGAATTTTTAGGTGCATCCTACCGGGCCGACCGGGCCGGAAAATTTCCAATTTTGGCCCGGCCCGGCCCGTTGCAAGTCTGAAAAGTTGCGATGAGGCGAGATCGCACAAATTTCAAATAGGGCCAGGCAAATGTACTATGGAACTAGTGTAGAACAAGCGTTCCCTTAAAACAGAAGGGTTTTACTGGTGTTCCTTTTTTTTCTGCGATGAATAAATGAATCGAATTGAATTGAAGGGTGTCCTCTGGAAAATAAGTGTTCCTGGGCAGACTTTTTGAGAATATAGATGATAAAGACCGCTCTAAACTAGTCTGAGTGGTTGAGTGATTGACTTCTTGCATTGCAACAACGTCGGAAGGAGGAAGAGAGAGAGTTCGACTTCTTGCATAGCACTAACGTCGGAAGGAGGAAGGAGGAAGAGAATGAACGTTGTACTCGGTTTATATAGTGACAGTGAAATCCCGCCCACTCGGCCGTGCTTCACCGGCATTACGCCCCCTTCAGGTGACGATCACAAAGGCTAGAGAGGCGGGACCGTACAAAATTCAAATAGGGCCAGGCAAATGTACTATGGTACTAGTGTAGAACAAGGGTCCCCTTGAAAAAGAAGAGTGTCCTCTGAAAAATAAGTGTCCAAGAGAATGTTATAATCAGCTGAATTTCAGCATCAACTCATGTAAGAAAATGGAAATCATACATAGATTATATCAAGCTTCTTCCTCAGCGCAACAGAACGACAATACACACCCTTGTTTTTTTACTCATAGTGTCTAAGGGAAGAAGAAATAAAAACGCAATGGGAAGAGGAAATAAAAACACAATTGTGGCGCATTTGGAGTCAGAATGAGAATATGAATACGTGGAATATATGGAAAATATAAATAAATCTTCAATTTTTTGTAATGTGAAAAAAGCAAACAACTATTGAATTTAAATCACAAATAATAGCTAACACAAAAAGTTGTAATGATAAAGCGTTTCTGAATTTTACAATGCACATGCATGTTTGTTAGAAGCTATAGTTTAAAGCAAGGTACATCTATATCTCATACGTTTTTCAACACTAACATGTGCATATTTTTTTTTAATTTTATTTTGAAACAAATAACACTCGACATTATAAGTTATTTTAAAGAGCTGTGTAAACAGATCTGACTTGAGTATACTCCGTCCAAGTACGGTGGTTTCCATATCTTTGCATGATTTGGTTGCATAGGCAGCACATCATTGGGATTGCTAAACATGAATAATGAACATTGACTCGGATATCCGCAAAACTAACCCGCAAAAACGGTTGCAAGCACGAGAATTGACCACATAATTGGATAGAAATACAGTATGATAGTATTGGTGAAAAGGGCTGGAATAGTTTTCGGAAATTCCAAGATGTTGAACGAAATAGTTCCCGTTGTATCGAACTCTCCGGTTATGAGCATGCGCAATCTGGAAAAGGTATTTCCTGTTCGGAACAGAATGCTTCTAGTGATTTTCTCTTACGGAAGTTCAGATTTGTGGCAGTGCATCACACCAGAATCCGATAAAATGTATATGTAGTAGGGTTGAAAAATAATGGATTCCTTGTTGAAAAGAGTAGTTATAGGCAATGAGCGCAAACCACACTTGTCGAGTGAGAATGTCACGTTTCTATCTTGGTCAACGTCTATACGCATGCTCAGCTCGTAGTTCTGTCTTCTTGCTGAAATGGCTTTATCTCAAACATGCTGTTACGACCGGCGATAATTTACCAACAAGAGCAACACCTTCAATGCTTTTGAGGTGTATATATATTCCTCGAGAGTTGTCAATATGAAATGGATAAACCAGAATTCCGGGTCTTTCATTCACTGTCACCATTTCCTTTTGGGTGATAATCTGAAGATCCTTCGGAAACGAGAAAGGCCCGGTGAAGTAGGCATTGGTGGAAACCGCCAGGAGGAAAAAAAAGATGATGAACTTCATGAAGGCTAAATTTCGAACATTAATGTAATTGATTTGGAAGAAAGTATGAGAAAGCTGATCAGCTGAACGGCCGACACAGGGAAAGCGAACCTAACACTAAATTCGCGATTCATTTTATAAGCGTTCAGTTTTGAGGCGGGACGAGCATGTATGTCCAATAGGAGAGTTTGAAGCGGACTCGAGGTTTGTAGTATTGTAGAAAAGATTAAAGAATACGAGAGAAGAAGAAGAGAGATGGCAGAGGGGAGAAAGATACATGACGTTACTAATGTTCTCATCGAAGTGGGATGATTTGTGTTTAAAACTTTCAAAGACGGCAGTAGTTTCAAAATGACTGAACGTATTGCATCAGAAAACTGAAAATGAATAATAGTTCCGCGTGCGCACCGTCGAATTTCAATGTTTGACCACGATTCTAGGAATCAAAACAATCTGTGACTACATCATACGACTTGAGAATCTGGCCAACCGCTCGTTCAATCTATATGCACAATTTCTCCAATAGTCAATTTTCTCTCTGATTACTTCCCCCGACATGAGACGCATTTATGTGATTGGTTCCTGGACAGATTGTTCTTTTTTTCCTGTCACTTTCGATTACTTTGAATGAGAAGTTCTTCACGGAAAAAAACTATTTATGTTCTATGAAAAAGTGTAAAATCAATCACAGATTTAGTACATTATTGGTGCATACTTCCGAGGTTGGTGACGTTGAGGTAGAGGAAAAAAATTTTTGCGGAAATGCTGCAATAGTTTAAAAAAAAAGGGATACTCCGCTATTTCCAAAAGTACTTATTGTTTACATAGATCGACGTAAAATTTCGCCAAGATCAGAAAAAATTTATAGTCTCTAACGGTCTTGAAAGTGATTTTCGGATCACAGTTCAGGAGCATTTTCTGATCTCGACATGTAAAAATATAGCGGAATCCCACGGAATGAGAAAAAAATAACTCACTGGGATGGGCCACATGCCTCGGAGAACAACTGCGTGTGGTCATGATGGACAAAAACTTATCGGCAAACTCAGTGCAATTGTGCAGAATCCGGAAAAAGATACGGTGGTTCTCCTGAATTTTAACTATTTTTCCTATTTGTTCTAAGTTTTTATACATTGAAAAGCCCGTTTCCAACAAATTTTCCACTAAAAAATCGTGTCGAAACTCCAGCACTCTTGCAGCGTTCATGAATGTGAATGGTGTGATAGAATCTGAAATGAAAGCTACAAAACATCATCCAAAAACAAAAATAAATAAATGTACTCACTGATGCATGTGATCTCTCTCCCACGTCTCGATTTTGTAGCACTATCTGTGACTATAGTAACACTCCATTTTATACTCAAAGTTGAGCTGCTGGAACGAGCAAGTGCTTGGCTCTTTTAGGAAGTCCAAGATGTTTTGGGAGTGTGTACTAACAAGTACGATGCTGAGAACTGCCAAGTAATTGACGTATTGCATAGCGTCGTGAACCCAAATTATCTAAAACTAAAGGAAAATGACGGAAAAATGAGAGTTACGAAGACACGGTGACGTAAGAAAAAAGGCCCATCACTGTCATTTTTGACATCCCTATTGAAATAGACTGAAAACTTGAAAAAAGGTTTATATGTTTCTACCTCGGCCCGGCCCGGCCCATGACAACTATGAAAATATAATATTTTGCGAATGTCACTAGTAACAACCAGACAAATGACTTTGACAGCTACTCAAAACGATAGAAGAAAACGGATCAAACTTCTACAATACGAATCGCCATCAAATCAACTTCGGCTCCTCAAATTATTTCGTATGCTTTCTTCAAGGGATTACTTAAGACTTTCTTTTTCTAAGTTTAAGCAGATGGTCTAACACTTTCTAACAGCTGTGTAAAAATAATTTCGTTCTAGAGGGGTTTTCAGTAAAAAGTGCAAAAAAAGGACTTTGTGAGCAGATTGTCAATCGGTCAATATACATCAAAGACATAAACAAACTCAAAAACGAATAGCCCACACACAGTATTAATTTTTTGGCTTGAGAACAAAAAAGTTGCTTATAGGAATAAAGTTCCGTATAAAATAATGAACGTTTTTGAAGGCCTATCGAGGTCTGGATGTTTAAAGGACCAGGGAACCCAAAAATTTTTTGATTAATTTGTGAAATGTTTTTGTGACTGTTTGAATTGTCTCTTATTGCCTCATACACTGGTGAAATGCTGCCTCTCAAAAATGCCAATGAACGAAACGGCATGCAGCTGAAGTAGTGGCCGTGGCCTAGCGCCAATGGCCGAAAAAAATATAAAAAAATAAATGCGCTTCTCGGCCATTTTATTTTTTTCCGCTTTTACAGGTTTTTTTCTAAAAAAATTCACGGTTTCTCCCATTTTGGCACTTCATATCGACTGAATGAAAACAATATTTTAGCAGTGAAAAAATAAGTAAGTGCCGAACAAATGTCAATCAACTGAAAAATGGGAGAAACCGTGAATTTTTGGAAAAAAACCTGTAAAAAAGCGGAAAAAATAAAATGGCCGAGAAGCGCATATATTTTTATATATTTTTCGGCCATTGGCGCAAGGCCACGGCCACAACTTCAACTGCATGCCGTTTCGTTCATTGGCATTTTTGAGAGGCAGCATTTCACCAGTGTATGAGGCAATAAGAGACAATTCAAACAGTAACAAAAACATTTCACAAAAACATCAAAAAATTTTTGGGTTCCCTGGTCCTTTAATCCACTTGCAATGATCAGATCGGACCAAAATTTTGCAGGATTTTTGGACTTGGATTGAAGTATATTGGGTCCGAATTTCAGACCGATTAGATCATATATCTCTGGACTGGATGATCCGATCGGACTGAAACTTGGACCCAATATACTTCAATTCATTTACAAGAAACCTGCAGAGTATGGGTCCGATCGGATATTTGCAAGTGGGACGAAAGTCCAGGCCCCGCTTGCTCTGGTTTCAACCAAACAGAAGCAACAGGTATCGTAAAAGGCCGAATTAAATAAAAACTGAATCTTAATGAATATGGAAAAAGGAATTAATTCAGACAGTTGGAACAACCTAGCAACTTGCTACAGTCGCGGTAAAGTCAGAAATGACCTGATTGCAGCGCCTTGCCTAAAAGGAGCTGCAATATCCCATATTCTGCGTCAAAAATTTGGATGATACCAAGTGCAGTATCCGGAACAAATATTTTCAGACATTTTCAGACAAAAAAAAACACGTTTTTTTTGAGAATTTTATGATCACTCAATTTGTATTTTGATTGTTCAAATTTCCGTTTCTCAACATAATCATCAGTGTTTGTTTGTAAGTAAAATTTAATCGAACTCTTGATTTCTTTGCATCTTTTTCTTGATTTCTTTGCATCTTGACTTAAAGTCTTCCAACCGGTAGTCAGAAGTTTCCCTGGCAACAATCTTCAGATCCGCCCAACAGAGCGAGAGTTTTTATTTTTTCACTTTTGTTTGTCTTCTATCATTCAGCTGTGATTCCTAACAAACATGCCTGTCGTCGGACAGATTCGCTTCTGGCTTCGCATCGTCCGCCGAGATATTGCCCGCGTGCTCCGTGTCGTCATCAGATACATTTGGGGGTGAGTGTATTGAGACCAGATGTTATTTTGAAATTTTTACCAGAATCGCATGGATCAGAGACCACTTCTACGAGAATCCGCGTCGCTGGAATCGCTATCGATGATCGAGTCTTTTCGATGATTACCATCCATCACAACCGCTGTTCAATAAGTAAAATTTTTCGTATGTGTAACAATTCTATTTATTATTCATTTATTTTGTTAAAAGTTGATGGAGAGGGATAAAGATAAAATGAACAATATTTATTTTATTCAACAGTCGTCTATGACATCCCAATATGGTCAGGTCTTAGCGATAGAAAAGAGAACGAAAATACGCGCCACGGGCGTAAGCTCCGTAGTTTTGCATGAGGCAGAAGCCATCGTGGCACAGGTGTCCGGGAGCACATGGCACTTTCTCAGAGCAGAAGTCGTAGATGGACACTTTGGTGTCCGATGGTACGGTAACCAGGGCTTCGATAACAGCCAAGCACAGAGCAGACAACTGATAAGAAACAATTTACCTGCTTTCAAAGAAGAAATACTGCGAACTCACTAATAGTACTCTGAAGAACATTGTTGGGTCGAGTTGAGTCGATTTCTGTCGCGTGAACTTCTCAAGGGCAAGCGAATGAGTGAGAATAGAAAGATGGAGCGGTGGAGCGCTCGTTTTGAGGAGTGGCAAAGTTTATGATCTCATGAGCCAAGTCATGTGTCCCCAGAGAGCTCAGACATTTTAGAAATAGTGCGAAGAAAACGGAGATTTTTAGAATACCGAACACCGGAAAAAATGCCAACATCATGCGAGAGCACCGCCCACAATTTTCATGCTTATGTGGAGAGGAGATGACTCGGCGGAATGTTGTGCCTTTTGGTGAGCATGAAACACATTGTTTGAAATTGGAAAAATACATCTTTTCACCAAAATAAAACTGAAGAGAACAAATTGTTCTCAATTGCATCAGCAGACAAAGCAAATCTTAAACATTTTTTAACTCGTGCGGGCAACCTAGAGGCAAACTTTTTCTGATTCCCCTAGAGAATATACTTACTCAAAGATTTAAGGATACGCCTGTTCCCCCACAAGATTCCAACTGATAACAGAATGATGTTTGAATCTTCCAGATCTTTGTTCAACTATGAAGACACGTGTGTGCTTTTATTATTTCGAAATCGGCTCCTCCGCCAAGTTTCACGGTCCAGTGGTTCTAACGAGCAGAACAAGAACACATGAACACTTCTACTTTCCGTGTTCATTTTAATGCACATGAAGTGTGAAGAAGGAAACTTTGTCTGAAGAATTTGATTTGACAGAAATTGATGTCTGAAACTGTGTAACTTATTCATGTGATATTAAACAAACCAGGATTTTTGCTCTCAACACTTGCACGCCGACTTTTCGCGTCTTCTGGGAATTATGCGCATTTTTAGTGGTCCCAGACGAATGTAAAATAAGGGCACGCGTTCTTTTTTTGCTGGTGAACAGAAAAGAAAGAGCAATGACGCGCGAAAAAGAAGATAAATGAGAAGGACAACGGGAAAGCCACTTGAATTAGTCTGAAATATAGAAGGAATGGGTCTTGAGCACATACTATCAGTTGAAAATCTGAGTATATTTTCATAGTGTTAGTCTATGTAAGGAGCCGTTCTACCTTCATCTAGGTTCCTTAGTTTAGTCGTATCCTCTTTTTTGTCATAGAGTTGTTCAAAACGCTGGTTTCACATCATTCCCAACAAATATAATTTTTTGGCTGGCACTTCTCTTATAACCTATGATTATTATCTTGTTGATCTAACCTGAAATTAAGCGTAAAAATCTCTGCCAAATGTATGTCTCTGGAATATGTTCTAAGGGATCTATGGTGAAATTTTAGAAACATCGCGTGTTGTTTTCAGTATAAGGTTTTTGAAAGTCTCAATCGCTCTAAAAAATTTAAATTACAAAAACCGTTGGTGCAATTCAGAGAATTTTGATATTATATGCAAATCCTGTATTTTTCAAAACGTCGCAAAATATTTTTCTTACCAGTAATCGTTCGAGTTTTAGTCAAAATCCAAACTCCGTCGCAATATTTCTTGACCACCACACACGATTATATCCTATTTTTGTTTCACAGAACTGGCGAACTGAACAGAGAGGGGGACACGACGATGAGTATCTCCGCGCGGGACGCTCACCCTGCGCAAATTATTTATCTGAGAGAACCACAATTGACTTTCTGAATACAGACGTTCGGAAAAGAACAGAAAATAATTCTCGAACCCAATGTAAAAAATATATATTTGCCTGTTTTCCTGTTTCTTTAAGAAGTTAGTGTCCCTCTCCAATTATGACGAGGTTACCAATTGATAGTGCTAAAAACCACACGTTCTAGTGAAGACACACACACGCAAGAAATAGTGTGTCGGTCGCAGAGACGAAGACTCCTCCGCTCACCTCACAATTGTGCAAGGCGGAAGGATCAACAGGGAAGACGAGACAAACATGGGCTATTTTATTTAAAGGAATGAGCAAATTTTTTGACAATGAAATCAAGTAAAATACCACGATAGAAAGCAGAGAAAAATGTGTAGAAGTGAAAAAATACCAAGCCAACTACCAACAAGGCGTCCAAATAAAAAAAAAGAGAATTGCTGCTCAATCTTTTAACAGTATACGTACATGCATACGGTACAATTTAGATGATACGGTGGGGAACTGAAAGCTTGCGCTTACGAGACCCGCGGATGGCCGAGAAATCTCTGTTTTCTCCATCCGAAGTATTGTTGTCGCCCTCCGACTGCTCGGTCACGTAATCGTACAAATGGGTTTCGCTCGACTTTCTATCCGAAGAAGCTGATTTCTTGGAAGTGTAGTTGGAAATACGTATATTTTTCAGCTTCATCTTTTCCGTCTTCACTTGCTCAGCCTTGGCGCGAACTTTTGACACCGCATCCTCGACGTGTTTTTGCTGTCTCCGTTTGAAATCAGTCATCACAGCTGCAAATTAAATGAGGTTTAGATCTGTTCACCAATTTCTGGACGGTTTTGCGGTCCAAAATTATGTAATTTGGTATACCTTCCGCGTCTATGGGATTTCCGGTCATTTTGCAGAAGGCGCTGTAGAATGGCAAGTATTCCGGCTCCATAATTCGGACTGGATTCTTTTCCTTATCTCCTGAAAGCATTTTTTTCAAAGTACAGTAGCTACTGAAAGTCATATTTTGATCGATTTTGAAAAATTGTTTTGAACGCTACAGTTCTCCATTTACTTCGAAGACACAGAATTGTGTTTACTCACCGAAATAGAACAGGTTGGAGATGTAATCGAGAACACTGACTAGGTTCATGGTGTCATAGTTGGCTCCGATATAACCAAAAAGCTTTGGAAGCGTATTTTGAAATTGCGGGAACCAGTTCAACGCCCAGACGACCGAGCTGGCTTCCAGAGAGATGTCGGCGGTATCTCCATTTTTTACCTTTTCCAGAATCTGAATATGAACAAATTGGAAAATTGAAATCTGCACTATTTTACATTTTCCAATAGAAAATGGACTTCCAGAGCATTGGCAACGACCTTTTCGTGTTCTTTTTGTTCCATCTGAAAATTTGTTAAGAAATGAGTGAATGGTAAAAAATGTAAGTTAAGGATAAAAAAGTTATGAATGTATTCAAATGGTTTTATGAACCAAGTTCAGTAATCTCAAACTGAGTTTTAAAAAAGTATTGAAAATCAAATTGAAAATAATATTTATTCTAGCTGCAAGAAGGCAAAAAAAAAAGTATAATGCATACAGAAAAAGAACGTAAGGGCTCGATTAATCTTCAGATATCTGAAATAAAAAATCCAATCCGAAATTTGAAATATGAACTCACATCTTCGGAGAGGCGAACCATGCGTTTCCGGACTAGTTATTTGTGAACTGGATGGTGTGCAGTTACGAACACAACGTATTTCTTCTAGTGAATTGGCTTCCTGTTCAGGCTGTACATCTCCAAGACGAAGAAGTTCGTGAAATAGAAGTGATGGCCAACCTGTAGAATAATTTGAAAGTTTTCTGTTCATCAAATATACACACCAGTAGCGTTCTCAGCTTTCTCCCGAATGTCTTTGCAACTATTGTAATGTTCCCACAGATAAGAAAACAAAAAAGAAAAGAAGCATTGCCTCCAAATTACGAGGTGACACACAATAGCGGAGTCAACAATATTAGCTTTTCTATGTTTGAGGAAAAAATTACAAGTTATCTGAATTAAAACAAATTACGAGTCTGAGAGCAATTTTGAATGAGAAATTAAGCGTTGAAATTTTGTACTAAAACCCGGACCAACTAGACCGGAAAATGTTTTCTGCTTTGTTCGACATTTCTTTGTACACACTGAGGTTTTCAGATAAAATTATGAACTGCTAAATATGTCTATCAAATTGAAAGATTTTGGTGTACCTGACACAATATTTGCGATAGTGTCGGTAATCATTTCGATAGCCACAAACTCGTATCCGATGGGAAGTGCTTCTGAAGGGTATTGTTTTGTTGTAACACTCGACAGACTTTTAAGGTACTCACTTTGATAAAACATGACATTTCGCTTATCGAATAGGAGTAGTCCTTGATGAAGTAGCTGTTGTACTACATGTCGTCCTCTGATCACAGTTCGTTCTTTTTTGAGCTCAATTTGAGGCCAACCTGTGAAGAAAATCTATGAATTAAAAACTACAAAGTTTCTACTTAAACCTTCAACAATCCAGGCAAATCCTTTTCCATCCCACTCGACACATGCGTTTTCATAACCAGCTGGCAAAGTATCAAGAAAGAACTCTCCTACTTTATGATCGTATATGGGGATACGCTCTTTTAAAAGATTATTGATTTGGGAACCAGAAAAAAGAGATTTTGATTCCATACGTATACAGAATAAACAAAACGTTTTGGATTGACAGTAGATGTCTGCCTAAAATTAACTGACACGCCATGAAATTGGGAGAAGAAAGAGGGAGGATGGATGGATGAATAGATGTAAGTGACAAGCATGTAGTAGGTAATTTCAACATCGACATAGGGCGAAAATTAAAACATCGTATGCCAGAATAGGAAAATAGCATTCGTTATTGTTTTTGCACATTGTTCTACACGAGGTTTCTGATACACATGCCAATTCTAAGTTAATTTTCATCACTTTTATAGAAAAATGTGTGTTGTCTCGTTGCAATCTCAAAAGTTCGAAGTCGTAGCTGATTCGTTCTATTTCAGTCAGAAAACTTGGCCATGTTCATGTTACTTTCATAATTAAAACTTAATCGTAAGAATTTTGGTGAGAGCAGAAACATTTTACAAGCAGAGGGAAGACGAGGGAAATCGGAAAAAAAGTTAATCGGTAGGCCAATGAGAAGGAAAAGATTTTCAGTTAGTCTCGGCTTGGCAATAACTATGTTCGACGCGTCTTTCTTCGTCCTGCGGTGCGCATAAAGTTGCCGTCGGGTCCCGCCACGAAAGATTTTCTCCCTGCGCCGCGCCATAACCGAACTACGCGCGTGTAGTTTTGGTCAATACATCTTGCTGTGGAAGAATAGCTTCGTGTACTGTGCCATAACTGAACTACGCATTCAGAGCTGCGACGAGTGTCGCCAAAAATATGTGTTCCATGCGCCATAATTGAATTACGCTCAAAGAGTTGCCGTTGAATCTCGTTACAAAATATGCGTTCCCTCTGCTACGTCCTGACTGTAAATGAACTACATGTAAGAAAAACATACGAATACCGTGAGATAAGACCACCAGAAATTGTGATTGAAGTACCGTGCGTCAGCGCGAGAAGAAGTGAAAAGGATGATCAGAATTTTCGATTGAGCAACAGAACAATAAGGGAAAAAGAGAGGAAACGCTAAACCGATACCACTAATTGATGGTTATTCAGAAACAACTGAATTTGCTTGGTGAGCACAGGTTCCCAGCCCCATAAACAGATAATATCTCTCGGAAGGCCGCGCTGTTGAGAAAAAAGTTTGCTCCCATCCCATATCGATTAATCTAGACAAAGTCGTAAGTAGCGGGGAACAGGGGGAACAGGCGGGAGGAGGTGGCGGTGGTCGAGGCGCCCACATAGTGTTTGTTTAGTCATATTCCTTCAATCCGCCGGACCTCCCCACTTTTATCTTTTTCCTTCTTTCTCACAACCATTGATGGAAACAGGCTACGCATTCTTAAAAGAGTTTTAAGTCTGAAGACATTTTACAAGCTTTTCGGAAAAGGGGATGAGAGGGATGAGTACAGAACTTTCCAGGATTATTTTGAAATATTACCTCTTTTCCTCCAGAATTGTCTAGATATAATCAATTTGCAGAATGGCAGAGCAAGAGGAGCGCCATGTTGCCAATGTTAGAGACCTGACTGTATCGGAAAGAGGTTAGTTTGATTATTAGGTTGGAAAAAGGGGGTGTGTGTTATTATCGAATCGATCGGGGTGATATTGTAGAAACTATGGAGCAATCTAAAGTAACTACTGTCATTAGCCCTTTGTTTACTCGTTTATTTTTATTAAAGAGAGGCAGGTTTGATGAGTTATTTGACACATCAGTTTTCAAGCCGATTCATCAGTTTTCAAGCCGATTCATCAGTTTTCAAGCCGATAATTTTCAACATAAATTTGGTTTCTTAATTGAAAACGTTTAAAGTTTGAACACATACGTGTAGTTCAAAATCAGGGCTGTGCAAAAAACCGGTGCAGGATTTTCGAAAACTTTTTCTCAAAAGACCTTGACATTTCACACACTTGCAATAACCCGATAGGATCTAAAATCTGCAGGCTTCTTGAACTTAGATTGAAATATTTTGAGTGCAAGTTTCAAACCGATCATATTATCTGGTCCAGAGATATGCTGGTTTGAGAAAAAGGCAGAAATTCTCTCAAAAACCGGCCTTTTCGGCTTCTGATTCACATAGATTATGCGATCGGTTTGAAACTGGGACCCGAGATATTTCAGTTCAAGTCCGAAAAGCACACAAAGTTTGAATATGATCAGATCATTGCAAGTTTGTCGTCGAGACTTCGGTAGGCCTTGAAAAAACGTGACCGGCCTTTCGTCCAGCCCTGCCAAAAACAAAACAAAAAAATATATATGTGAATAATGAGCTTATGCATCGTTGTCTTTTACAGAAAATTTATTTCAGTGCTGCTGAACGACTGTCAGTCTGTTTACAATACTTTCACCGAGTATTATGACTGCGAGATTGTGGAGTATCAGAGTGAGTTCATTAATCATTTTCTGATAAGGGGACTTAGAACATAGGACTGCGCAAAACATCTGGAAGACTGAACGTTTTTTTTCAGGAATGAAAGATCGCGTCAACGATTTTGTGCGTGAGAGAATCGCCGAACTTGCCACCAGTCCGTACCCGGCGATGGGCATCATCCAACAGTTCTACCTCTTTGCCCGCCACAACCTCGATAACCTCAATCTGCTCATGGACATCTTCCTTCTCGTCGTCATGGATGACTGTGGAGATCACAGAGAGGGTGTTCAGGTCGAGTACTACCTCCTCTACAAATACGGACCGTATTAGATCAACCTTTCACCTTATTACCATTGGCCTCCCACGTTATGGTCTCATTTAGTCGAGTAAACAACTGGTATTTTGATATGTGACCCCCACGGTAAAACCGAATTTTCCCGCTATCGAACTGAGTTTTTTTCCGATTGAATGAGCCCATTACCAACATCTGCGTAAATTGTTGCAAAATGCTCACTAGTACACCCCATTAGAACCGTACTTTTTTTGGATTTTTAAGACTAACTTTTTTCACAAATATATTTTTTCTGACTCAAAGACTAATGCACTTTTTGTAGCTTTTCGCAGACAAAATTTCTGTTGCAATCATGCATAATTACAATAACACCTTTATTGGAGTTTCACCAAGCAATAAAAAAATCACAAAACAGTTTAAAAGGTTTTTTTAAAGATGTATAACATATTTTGTGCTCGTAGGCCTCAACCGGATTGGCGAAAAGCCCTATCCCCTGGGGTGGCCTTTTAAACTTGCAACGATTGCAAAAGGCCGATTTTTGGTTTTATCAAGACAGTTCGGACATTTTTTGAGGTATCGTCACGAAAACTATCGAGTATAGGTAACCTTATGCCCTGAATCCGATTTGGAAATTGTCGGCTTGAAAATATTTTCAAGCGTCATGTGGCAGTGTCCAATTTTTCAAGCGCCATGTGGCAGTGGGGGTGGTCTTATAAACTTTTAGCGCACTGTGTAATTATGACTGACAGTGAATAAGAATAATTAATTCATTATTCTGAAAAAAAAGTGTGAAAATAATATCACAAAATACAGACAAAGTGATAATCAATTATTGCCTGCTCAATAGAGAGGAATATTCATCGGGGTATTTACGAATCACCGAGATAAGTAAAAATGATAAAATATACGCTAGCAAATGAATGAACGCCTGAAAAAATTCAAACTGAAGTCCTTATATTGTCGCCTTTTTGCCTGTTCTGTATTGTTTCGTATGTCAAGTCACTCGAATAATTGTTGTCCTCTCCACTGGAACTCTGGAACATTTTGATATAAACTTTTTTTGATAGAGTGCACTACAAATTACGCACCTCATCTACATGGTCTACTTCCATATTTTCATCGGAAATGTCATCGCCGGGTGTGTCATGGTCGTGGTGGGTTTCCTCCGAGTCGTCTCTCAAGTAGCATTGCTCCGCCATTCCCGCCTCCAGTACACTTGTTGATTCATCGGAAATGTCGACTTCAACATAACGGTAAACAAGATTTTTTGCATCTGAAAACGGGTTTTTAAACATATTTTTTTAATGCAAAAAAGTGGAACGAACGTTTGGACTGCAAAAGAGGTGAATAATCTCTTGGACTGCATCTTATCACCGAGTAATTTGACTCAACTGGTTGTTCTAGATGAAGTGAGTTATTATTTAATGGCAACTGGAAACAGAAAATATGAATAAATTGGTTATTATTAGAAAATGCAAACCATTCGTTTCCTAGCAAGTGGCCGGACCCAGTGACTTGGCAGAGTGAGCTCACAAATTCCACTGTGAAGGTTGATTTTACAAAATTATTCGGTTTTTTTTGAAAACTAACTTAGTCAAATGCTCCATGAATGGTGTTGGTGTCACACTGAGGAAATGACGTTTATCTCTCATAGTCCAGTTTTTTCCTTCTTTCAGCCAAACCAGTCCAAGTGTCTTTTTTATTTCTTCGAGGTGCTCGCTATCTAGTTCATCTGAAAATTTACTTACAAAATTTAAGTTCATTGTGTTGACACTTGCGAATCAATTAAACCGTGGTTCAGTGAAATCATGAATTATTCGCAATTAAAATCACATTTCTACAGGTATTGAATTTACAACACCTCAATGTGTTCAATTTTCGGCATGCCAGCCAGCCACTATACATCATATGTTGCGTAATGATTAAAATTCCCGTCTATTATCTATCGCAGTATTAATAGTTATTTACGTACCAACTAACAATTCGTTAGCAAGATTCAGCTTCTCCAGTTTTTCCTTGGTCTTGCAGAACACTTTGAACCAAGTTTCTTCGTTTGCTTGAAATGCTTTGTTTGGTTCGTCCAACACTCTCAACGTTGCTATTGGAGTATTCGCGGTAAAATTGCGTTCTTTCATCACCAGGATAAGGGTTCTGAAAACATGTTTTTGTTATTTTTATTCTCGATAATACGGTTTATCTGGACTAACGATTTATGCAAGTCGTTTTCTTCTTCCAACATTCCCTTGTCAACGTTATCTGATAGACGCTGTTTCAATGACGGATAGTTCTGTAGATGGATAATAAATCAAAAACCATCCGAGTGATAGTATCACTCACCTTCAGCATGCATTCGCTTCCACTGGTCGATAAAGTCAGAACAATTATGTGCCGGAATGCAAATTTCGCAGCTCTGTGAACCTGAAAAAGTAGAAAAATGCCTAAAAAATAAACTAACTGAACACCAATAATTTTAGGTTTCCGACAGGCAAGCACTATTGCTACTTCGGAATGGCGAAAAAGACACTCTTTTGCAACTTTCAATATTTCCTCATAAACTCTAGCCACAGTAATTTGCCTTTTGCTCACCGAAATTCCGAGCACGTCTGCGAGCGTCAACACAATTTGTTCTTTGATCAGATTCAGTACAAATCGTGGTTTGTCATCAGCAATGAAAAGGCAATTTCCGCCATCGATAGTTTTGACAGCTATCTGTTGACTTCCAACGAACACCTGTTTGCAATCCATCTAAAACAACTATTAATCAATGATGATTTTAAAGACGGGTACCTCTAATTGATAATCAACATCCAGATCCTCAAACAATTGCTTACAATCGAACACAGGTTCATGTCTCAAGCAGCTTTTGAGTGTTGTTTTTATTGGCGGGCACTGAAAAAAGGTTAGAAAACTTTGCGAAATTGGATCAACACATTTCTCACCTGCTTCTGAAGATCGTCCAATAGATTCTGGATTTCTTCTCGATAATGATCAGATGTTTTTGGTTTGGGACTACTGAATTTTGCATTCATACCTGACAATTGAGGGAGTTAAGAAAGATAATAAAATAAACAAACGGCGTTTAGTTTAAAAGTTTAAAGAATATACACAACCGAAAAACGATAGGTGGAGAGAGAGAGAGAGAGAGAGAGAGAGAGAGAGAGAGAGAGAGGAAGAGCCGTTTGTAAACCAAACGTGTTCGCCCGACAAAAAAGGGTCAGTCATCTCGCTGTCCATCAAACACACTATTTCATCTTCTTCTCGCATTGTGCCATATTACATATTGCGATGCGAATCAGAGAGATGCACGGATATGAACAGCTATATTATATCCAATCTAGGGGATTATTTCAGCCTATAGATTAAAATATCCTGTAGCTGAAAGACCGAGAAACCATGAAAGACCACATTGAGATTGAATTCTCAACGCATGAGACAATATTGTACGTTCACTTTTAGAATTTTTCTATGTGAACTTGGTTAGATAAAAACTAATTTCTACCAGTACCTAACATGTATGATAAATGTTTCTTTCCTGGCCCATGGTGTGTCGAAGCGTATGAGCGGAAAAAAAAGCAAAAGTTGTAAAATCTTGTTGTGCATTGAATTGGCCGCATGGCGACTCGGTTGTGATGACAGACGCAAAGACAGTGTACAAAAGCGATACGCAGTGTATTTTTCACAATATAGCGCACTTTTATTAACAAACGCGCAAACAAGCCATGTGGTTACATGAAAAATAACGATATGGTGCAAGATCCTTTAAGATGAATTCAATGCAACTTATCAGAAAGCCACACGAAAAAAACTAATTTCAATGGTAGTATAGAGACAGTCCGTAAAAGGCTATGAGCTAACCAAATAACACAATTCTTTTCAGATAAAATTGGGCGTTTTCGAACATTTATCACATTTTAGGCTAGTTTTTCATCACAAAGGAGAACGAGTTCACATGGGGGAAGAAGAAAACCTCGCGCATTTTATTTAGTCTCCACTCTAACAAAATGTAGTTTGAGATAGAATTATCACTGAAAAGAAGAAGATTTGCTAGAAGTCTGTGGCCTAAACGATTCTACAAAGAATTGCAATCATGACAACCAGCCTTTTTCATTTATTTCACCAATCTATTTTCCTCTCTTTCTTTTTCTTTCATGCAATTGATGCAAAAAGATAGGAGAAACGCAAAAACTAGTGCGATAAGAACGTCAGTTGGTTTGATGAATGACAGCGCGTTGGTTCGTCTCTCTCTCTTCCCCCTATCTCACGAGTTTTCCGTCTTCATGACCTTTCATCAGTTTTTCTTTTTTCTTGCATGCTGAATGCATGTACACTTTCTGAGAGAACGACAAATTGAGTAGAAGATTGAGTTCTTCTCGCGGAACACAAACGGTCTGCAAAAAGTGTTATTTTCACATATTCGAATGAAAACTGGCTTTTCTGAATGAGAAATGTGCGGGTGCGCAGGGATAACCCAATTATTCATGACGCTCCGACGCATTACTCTCGTGGTAAAGAACCCTTCCGCTATTGAGCCACCTATGCTTTACACATAGAGAAACTGGAATGTGAAAGGATTCTGAACTGGTAACCGTGAAATTGGAGCAAGAGTTCCACGGGTAAATTCCACGTTTTGATTTTTTGGGACATGTGAAAAAGCAAAAATGAAATGAAAGAGCGGTTTTCAGACAGCATGTGACATGCCACAAAAACATTGTGCTCACTATGATTGCAGGCAATATTGTTTTAGTTATTGACACAATTTCCCCAAAAGTTGCAAAAAAACACGTCAAGAAATATTTGTGCTTGCCAGAGATATCTCAGCCAGAGGAAAAATTGGATGCCATGGAGGATGGAGTTCAACAAGTTTTCTGAAATTTTGACTGTTTTCGCTAGAAAGTTTGTTTCTGTTTAAATACAGTTCGTAGTGTCCTTACTCAAGTTCATTAGCCAGAAATGATGACGAAAACTTTCCGAGCCTTAATACGTGTCTCTCTGGCTCCAATCTCCACACATTATTTTCTCGGATGCAAACTAATCGAAGTTTTTTCAGTAGTTTCCACCATTCGCTGTCTGATAATTGTTCTGAAACCCCCAACATTCGGAAATCATCAAAAAATACTTAACTCTTACTAAATGATATGTAGTATGGGCACAATGTAGATTCTTCCAGCCACTTAGGTACATCATTCATAAGTACACGTAATGCACCCTTTGCATCCAGTATGTAGGTGACATCTCGTTCTCCAGTTTTGATTGTCACATTTGAATACACTGATTTTGATAGCGAGGTTCTATCAGGTTGCAGTATGCAAATGAGGTAACTAAAAATAAACAGATAATAATTGACATATTCTTTTATAATTTTTACTCACTTCTCTCCGCTAGAATTAAATGGCACCATACTGTTTACTCTCAAAGAAGGCCTTTTCTGCAAAAAAAAGAATGTTATCCGTTTATAAAAAATTATCCTCACCATGTACATAAAGTCAATAATAGAATCAGTGACAAACAATTTTACAGCGGGAGGGAAACTAGTAATTTCTGGGTGACACGCCTATAAACATTTTATTATTATTATAGCTTTAGCTATAGTACAATGCTAACTTTTTCCCTTTTTTAGTAGATAAGTAAGCGTTGTGTTAGCTTAAACTATAACTCACATCAATTTGGAAAATTTCTGTAATTGGAATCCGTAAATAGACTCCATTGCACAGATTGATGCATATGTGTCTTGCTTCGTCCGTGAGAATAATTTTGAGAGTTGCAACTTTGGGTCTCAAATGAACGGCTTGTTCGTTGAGAAAAAATTGTTTTATGAAGAACTGAACAGAATTGGATTGAAAGAGGCCACGTGATAAACTTTTCGGGGATGAGATATGAATACCATTGGACAGAGCGTCAACGTGATCAATTGGAAAGTTGACTTAAATTATCTTGTGGATTACTTTTTAGTTTGTCATATTTTTGAAAAATTCCGAGTTATGAACTGTAAATAGCAACGAGAAAACAACAGAAAAAAGCGAAGTGATAATGACAACTGCGATCAGAGCGACGAGATTCATTTTTAGAACTTTGACGGCGTATGTCAGGCCTAAAAAATTTTTTCCTTGCTACTGCCGCTGCAAATTTTTATACCTACCCGTTTTTTAATACTCTATCCAATGATGTAAATATCTCATACACGAAAAGTTCATCAGATGGCCTCTTTTAAGATTTTGATATCCCGCGGCATTTCTCTTCATGTGGCAAATTCATGAAGAAGACATTTAGACATTGGAAATGAGAATTTGTATTGCGTTAAAAATTTCAGAAACTATTATTCACACATGTAAATTAAATGTGCCCTTCCTTCCAAAATCTTTTACAACTGTAAATACTATACTCACAGTCATTTCCAGCTTCTCGAAATCATCTTGAAATTCTCTTCTCACTTCTTCTTGTTCTTTTTGTAGAACTCCCTCAGTCATCAGACATTTTCTCACATAATTTGGTGAAGGTATCACAAAGGTTGATTCTAATTGCGCAGTGGTGTGTGGTTGAATAATAGATGGAGATATCGCACTTGGAAATCCAGATTGAAACGATTTATATTGTAGACTTAAACATTTCGAGGGAAATATTGGCACATCGGTCCCATTTAGTAGCATTTTCTGAAAAATGAATCAACACAAAAATAGAAACGTTTGAAAAAAAGAAGAGAGAATGTATCTCCTAGAGGTCGAACATATTCGGATAATTTGCCGGTGTCATAACGTTTTATGTCGAATTTTTGAATGCACTAGTGAGCAAAAAATGAGAAAATGGGAGAGACACCGAGATTTGGAATTTATAATTCATGTGTCTGGTAAAAAAAGATGAAATCATGAGATAATACAATAAAAAAGGGCAAAAATGTTCGTGACTGAAGCGTCCTTGGCAAACATTGATGTGTGAAAAAGTGGAAAACATAACCGGTGACATAGAAACATTTTAGGAAAAAACAATAGAATTAGAGAAAGATAGAGATAGTGTACACTGCTGTCACACTCATCTGACAGTCATACTCTTACAACCGTAAGATAATTCCTTACGAAGGTTAAAAAATGACTATGTAAAAAACCGTTATCACTTTGAAAAATACGTTTTCCAAGTATGTACTCAATGAGTTTCATAGGAATTGAGCCGTGTGAAATTAGGGAGCAACATATCGAGTACAAAATGATAGGCCTTGGGCACATGCTGGGAAACACGGAGAGACATTTTAAGCAAAGATTACGAATGAACAAAGATAATTCTAGGTTGGGTTATATGAAAAGTTCCGTTTATGTTTTGGAGGTATGAAATGGATTTCAAGATGCTTTCTCCACCTACCTAAAAAGTTGTTGCGATGGAAAGGTTTTGTTGCGATGGAAAGGTTAAGGGATATTCATTGATTTAAAAAAAACGGAGAATCATAGCTGTTACGGGCCGGGCGAGGACGTGATGGAAATTTTTACGTCTGGAAAAATATTTGAGCACTTAATTTAATTTTCAGCCGTTTTTTGTTCTTCAGATTTGGTAAATGTTCACATTATTTCAGTTAGCCGAACAAACGGAAATGTGTGGTAGATCAAACCCGTGAAACGCGAGCAAGTGCGCTACACTCCATCGTACCTTTAGTGTGTTCAAGAGGCAGAATTGCTTCGACTATTACTGGAAAAGAAGTTATTAAGTCCCGGATATAAAGACTACTTGGTTTTAATACGCGGAAGTGAGAGGGCTAAGCTTTTCTTCCGTCTTACTATAATTATATTTCAGGTGCTTAGCTATGAAGACGCATCAATGGTTACTCGTTTTCAAGAGACGGAGGAGCATTTTGCGCGTCAAGTTTGGCAAAGAAAATACGACGAGCAGGCAAGCAAATCATTCGTTATACAACGGATCTTATGACGGAAACACGGCTTATTACCGAAGACAAACCAGAATTCAGAAAAAAAACGAGAGTTTGTCGCTTCTTCTCTAGTTTTTTGTGGAATTTCAGCAGAAAGACGGAATGCTATTGATTTGCAAAGAAAGCAATTGAGCGGGGCGTACCGAGTCCGTTTCGACCTACCGCCCGCCAAACCGCGCACTCTCTTCTTCTCTGCGTCTCTCGGCTGTGGGTCCCCCTTGCCGATCTCGATCGAGTGTTCCAACGGAACAACCGCCGCTTGAGGCTGCACTGGTTAAGGGACCGAAACGATCAAGAAAAGATAAAGTGAGTTTCCACAATTAACGTGTGTTCTCATTTCAATAATTACTAGAGACATTTTTAGACGGAAACACCCTTTATTACAGAGAAGTATCGCGAAGAATTATTTTTGCTCAAGGAGCTATTATCGGAAATATGTGGAATGTTGAGGGCTACGATCATCTTAATTATTAGGAGCAACCAAAGACATCAAGGTTAGTTTTATTTTATAGCTCGCAAAAAACGCCCCGGGGCCACGCAATCAATCCGTTCAGGGTCTATTTTTCAACATAGTTGAGAAACTATGATTTTTGTGAAGGACAATAAAACTAGCCGTGAGGAAGAAAAAATATGATACGAAGGATGAGAATTTCTCGTTGCTAGAAAAATGCAACAGAAGATTTCAAGGTACGTTTCGCCTAATGTCTATTGCAACCAAAGACGGAATATACAATGGAATAAGGTTGGTTATTAATAAAGGAAAAACAGAAATCAAGAAGAAGCATCTCCGGTGAGTATGGCTACTGTTGTCAGTCATTGTTTCAGGCAGGCTAAAAAATAATTCCGACATGACACACATACAGATTTATTTGACTTGGAAGGTACTTGTCGGATGGACTGCTGATTAACGCCATGAATATTACTATCGCCAAGAATTGTTCCGACTATCAATGGAACGGATGTTAGTGAGTTCCGGATAAGAAGATACTGTGTATTATTACTTTGAAAATGTGAGTTAGAAGGTCCACAAAATCATCAAAACTGAAATCGACAGTTCAGATTGTTGTTCACACTCGCTAGCCCGTTTCTATCTGGATGGGACGTGCCGAGACAAAGATTATGCTGGCCTCGCCCGGCCCAGTCAGCCCGGGAGTTGCACCACGGGGTGGAATCGTTAGCACTCTGTCAGAAGTCGAGGATTGCTATGAAAAAAGTCGAATGAGTTCTTGGTTACCAGCTACTTTGGGACCGATCTATAAGATGCTTGTAAGCTGTCTTTCACTTCAGCGAACCCTGATGACTATTTGATTTCAGGCGGGAGCAGCAGAAGAGTTCGAAGACGCACAGAAAAAGCAGTTGGAAAAATGAACGATGAGCAGGTAGGCCAACGCTAGAAGCTTGTGTTCTCATTGTGAATTAGTAAATACTGACAAAGAAGTGCAATTCATTCGGTAGAAGTAACAGAAAAAAATTGTCAATGAAAATAAGGTAATAATTGCTATTGAAAATTGCAATAAATTGTCAATAATATAGTCACTTTCAAATAGTCACTTTCAAACTTAAACTGTTTAACATTAAGAACTATCATTAGAAGGACAAGTGGACACAAACAGAATAAATTGAAAAAAAGAGTGAAGAAGCAAACAATTTCATGATGAAGTTAATAAAAGGTTTACGCAGATGATCACTTCTTACATTGCTGACCGTCTTCTTTGGCGAGTTTCCTGAAAATGTGAGTGTTATTTATTTTAGCAATCGTTTCAATTTGATTTGAAGGGGAATCTGCAAAAAACTTGGGTTTACTGAATTTTAACAGAGAAAAAAAAATATATACATAGCACTTACTGCGCATCAGTCCAATCATATTTGTAGTCGTATGTGAAGCCACTCTTGAAAGCAAGGCTTCTGAACAGACTTCTGAGAAAATCGTAATCCGGCCTTTCGCTGTGCGCGTATTTATCGACGGTGTCGTAGTACGCTTTGAACTCCTTCGGACAGGTAGCAAGTAGTTTTGGAGTCGCATATTTTTTCAGATGATAGACACGCCAGATGGTGGTAGCTAGCGAATCGTGCTTGTTCCCTTGCCACGGTAACGATCCGTGAAAGAAGTACATGAAAATGTTGAATAGAGCCATCATGTCGTCTCTTCTCGACATCTCTGCAAGTAGTTTAATGAAATCAACTCAGATATTATACATATGTCTACCTGCTCCATTGTGAGCGTTCATGCTTAGATAACGGACGGTTCCACATACGTGACCGCAGTGTTTCTCTGGGATGTGCACATCATTGTCATCCAGATAGCGCTTCACGTTTCCAAAGTCGATAAGCTGGAATTTTAATAATTTTCCAAATACGGCTAGTTCTCTATTATTTATTTGCTCGCTTCTGTACAGCAACTCACATATATCCACCAGTCGTTAGTTCCGTGTCCAACGCAGAAGTTGTCCGGCTTCAAATCTCTGTGAATGTACCCTTTCGAGTGCATAAACTCAACGCGGGTGATCATCTGATCGGCAAGAAGAAGAATAGTCTTCAGTGAAAATTTTTTCCCACAATAGCGGAAGTTATCTTCCAGCGAATCGCCCACCAGTTCCAGGGCAATGGCTCTGTGGTCCGCATCCTCGCAGGAGTGAATCATTCTTGGGAAACCTGGCCAAGAACGCGTTTGCTTATAGAAATGAACTTCAGTCTTGAATGACTGTTCCTCTTCTTGCGTCTTCTGAAGTTTGATGGCAACCATGTAGCCGCTGCGGATGACTTTTCCAAGGTGAACCGTTCCAAATCCACCTTTTCCAATGATTGTCCTGTACACCATAATTCCTCTATCCAATGTTTTGTACTCCCTCTGAAAATGAACGGTGTCCGTTTGAGTAGTCCGCCAGTAAACCAGTTAATTAATGCTAATTTCTAGTTCATATTCAAACATTCTATGCATAAAGTGACTCTATCCGAGTAATCAGATTCAAAAGGCAGGATCCAGGTTCCATATTGATAACCAGGACCCATTCCACGAATACACAGGTCCCAAATATCAAGAATAAGCAGGTCCCAAATAAAATGTATCTGTGCACGAAATGACCAGTAGCTTCAACTTTAACATACGTGATTAGAATCGCTTCCGTGTATCGATGTTTTGTTTGGAGAAGAAGGAACTTGAGCATCACCCTGTGAGCTTCCCGGGCTTTGGTTTTCAGTGCCGGGGATATTCATGATCTGAAAGTTTAAGAAAGTTTAAGAAGAGCCTGGACTTTCGACCTACTTGCAATAAACCTATTGGACCCAAACTCTGCAGTCTTCGGGGACTTGAATTGAAGTATATTGGGTCACATTTCAAGCCGCACGGATTATCTGGTCCGTGCTTTTGCGAAAAAAAAATCTACATATCTCTAAAGTGTATGAACCGATCGGTCGGGAACTTTCACTCAAAATGCTTTAAATCAAGTCCAAGAGACTTGCAAAGTTTGGGTTCATTTGGAGTAATGCAAGTGGGTCAGGCCTTGGCAGACATTCGAAAAGCCTGGGCCGGCTATTTACCTAGCCCTGGGTGAAACACAGCTTCGAAAAATTGTTTACCACTCTGTTCAAATCAGGTGACAAGAAAGGGTATGACGATGAAACGCTACTCGACCTTTAGCAACAAAATTTATATGTAATTGCTAAGGATTTTGTGAAAAATAAAAACGCTTAGACACTCGAAAACAATTATTTTAATAGTGCACTGTCCGTATGTCGTTATGACACAAGAAAATTGGTAAGAGATAAAGAAAGAGACAAAAGTTTGAATCCTTTCTCTGCGGTTAAGGCGCAGTCAAAGGTAACCGGCAAAGGAAAGTGCATCAGTCATTTACGATTTCTGCTGACATGCTATCTATGAAACTATGGGAACTGGAGCGCCAGATGAGCATTCCAACAATCTTCAAACAATGCCCTACAAAAGTACACATGCCCTCAAAAAAGTTGGAGGGAAATGAGGGAGTGTAACAGCTGCATATGTACATTCTCATTGGAAAAAAACGAAAACGCAAGAGAATGAGCAGCCGTCGATGACAAAATTCGAAATAACATTTCTAAAATAGTACTCTTCGAGTTTCCGCTCGAAAAGGAAAGCACGGCACGTGAGCATCTGGCTCAATCCTCATTATAATTGAGCCAATGCTGAGTAGAAATATGAATCATAGTCCATTTCACTTCTGATTTTGCAAGCTTTGTTTTGAGCAACTATCAGAGGCTACAACTTCCAAGAAATAGGCTCATTTCTTAGCTTTTTCGAAATATAAAAAGAAATCCGATGAAGACGTTTGACATCTATTATTTACTCTTGATAATAATGGCGTGGCCTCGGCCAAATAGCGTTTTCATGAATTGAGCAGGTTTTCTCTGATTTTTGTGGTCAAAGACGGTGAAAAATGATTGTTCGACATGAAAACACACTAATTCTCAGAATTAATGACGTTTTAGCGCATTTTTCGCGGACTTCGCTTTTTCGCCTTCGTCGCCGATCGCCGCCTCAAAACCGCACTTCTCATTTTGCGCTTTCTTGACCGTTTTCAGACAGAATTGGTTTTGAGAATGATAAATCACGTAAATACAAGCATTTTGAGCGCTCGAACCGCGAAAATTACCGAAAAGCAACTGAAATTCACGCAGTTTTAGCCAAAAACCTTCAAACGGATAAATGTGATTTGCGACTTGACCAAAATTAACGCCGTTGCGCTTAAAAAATTTGTAATAGCCTATACAATCGGTCTATCGAGAGAAAAATGAGGAATTATCGGTTTTTCGTGGCTAATCTGGCAAAAAACACAAATTTCGCTGTTAAAATTTGAATTTCGCGCCAATGTATCGCTCCATTGGGCGGGGCGCACTTGCGCCCATTGTCAGCTCTGGAGACCGTGGGCCGTAAAAAGAATAAAGTTGAAGGGAAGAAGAAAGTGGAGGAAGAAGACAAACGTATGCGACATTTTGTGTGTCAATATCTATATCATTTTTGTATTTTTGTTTGACACAGAAGCATACGTATCAAAACATAATGGCCGAGACAGAATACAGATGATGTCACCTGTATTCAACGCTATCAGACTTTTTGAATACCGCAGTGTTGTAGGAGTTTTTGGCATAACGTGTATTTTTTCAGCAAAAGTACCATATTCACTCTTTCTTTTTGAAATTTTTGGAGTGCAATAACATAAAAGATGCCAGCGGGATGCAAGAATTAGTAGTGTCTTTGTAAATATCATTCTTGGAAAGAAAATGTCTAATTGTTATTTGTTTATTGGGAATAGAGATTTCTGGTCCTAGCATTACTGTCTAAAAATAGTCGGAGAGTAACGAAAGCATGCTAAATTTAGAATTTGAGCGGGTGCCACATTACGCGTGAGAAACCTTCAATTATCGTCTCTTGGCACTGCACTGCAAAATTTTCGCATATTTACGATTTCTTACAAAAATGAGAGAATAAACAGTCAGATATTTCGTGTTCTAAACTCAGCGAAACTGAATTAAATTTCATTGCGAGAGCTCAAACAATGCCGTGGATTGACTGATGAGAGGAAATGCAAAAAAAATATTGAGTATGGCAACCAATCGCATCGTAAATTAAAGTACCGGGGCACGAGGGCACAACTTGTGCATGGAACCCTCAACAGACATTGACTGCAGCTGACTCATTCCATAGAACAAAAAAGAATTGTTTGATTGTGCTACCGTGTCATTCTTACATTCAGGGTAGCATTAAGAGCAGGCACATGCACGTGAACAGAACAAATCCTGGACAGAAGAATATAATAATCTATCTGGAACCACGTGCATGTTTGATGTCAGAAGTTCTGATCGATGACGCCTCCAGAATCTCACGAGTGACAAATGTAAAAGTGCAAAATGTATCATGCTCTTGAGTTGCTCATATCCGTCTAATGTTTAGTGAAAAGTAGCTAAGCGCACCTAAAAGAATGACGGAAGTTGTCACACTTGTTAGTCGTCGGCATTTCGTCAATTACGGCTCCTTCTCCTGTTTGTAGAAAGTCATGGCTTTGTGTAATAATGTGACTTTTTTTTTAAAGATTGTTTTTTTGTCCGGAACACAGAAAGTTAGCAAAGTAGTTTTCCTTTTCCCCGGTGGGTGAGTATGAACGTGTTGAAGAGTTATCTGTTTAAACCACTAGCGATAAGCGTTTGCAGAGTTTTTTTAAATTATAGTTTGATAAAGTTTTCAACCAGATTTATTGCTCATAAAGAAAAATTTCAAATAATTGTAGTTTAATCGGGTAATTGACCTTCTAGCTTCTTTTACTTCACGTCGGCCCACTCACGCAATAACAAATCACATAAACAAACGGAACTGTATTGAAAAAAACCTTGTACCTGTATTCCACTTATTACAGCAAATTAGACACCTTGTAATTGACCTTGTAATTGATTCGAATCTGCATAAACAACGATTTTTCCAAAAACATCAGACCAGGGCTGGGCAATTGGCCGGCACGGGCTTTTCGTTGGCCGACCATTGACCTGGACATTTGAACCACTTGCAATATTCCGATCGAACCCAAACTTTGCAGGCTTCTTGGACATGGGTTGAAGCATACTGGGACCAAGTTTCAGCCCGATCGGATCATGTGGTCCCGAGATATGTAGATCATTGGCCGAAATTGGCCGGAAGCCCGGGCTTTTTGGCAAAATCGGCTAATGATCCACATATCTCGGGACCCGACAATCCGATCGGGCTGAAACTTGGTCCCAATGGCCCTCAATCCAAGTCCAACAATCCTGGAAAGTTTGGGTCCGATCGGAATATTTCAAGTGGTTCAAATGTCCAGGTCAAGGGCCGGCCAATTGCCCAGCCCTGCATCAGACAAAATTTCTGATCTCTCTTTCTCTAATGAATATCAACACAGAATCTATTTTACAGAGAGATTAAGAAGACTGTGACGACCGCCAAGTACTGATTCACGTCGATAGGTTCATAGGTTCAATAGGATGTGACCGGCACAAAAAAGATTCTAGACGTTGGAGACATCTGCAAACCGCCATTTGACAACGTCGCCAAGGATTCGTGCAGTTCAACCAGTGAAGTTGAGATTGCAGTCAAATTAAACTCAATAAGTTCAACAATCTCGGAAAAGTGGCAATTATTTATTTCTGCGCTGGTCACAAATACCAACATCAGCCAACAACTGATAAGTACCTAGTCATTTTTTCCAACGTGGATTACTGTAAGTTGCAGTCGTTCCCATCAAAAACTAATGTTTCAGCTGTGTTTCTCACTATCGAAAACCCCAGTGCTCAAAAACGAAAAAAGTGACAAGTGGTCTGAAGGTATCGAAGAGGCTGTGCGTGCGTGTCAACTCACAAGCGCTGTCCGGCCACTGCACCGCGCGGTGGCTTTTGCCTGCTTCCTTTCGGACCTGAGCCATACACCACTCCTTATGCGCCCGGGACCTCCCATCTTCCGACGGATGGCCCCTGGCGACGCAGCGCTTGGCACGGACGCTCGGTCGCCGAAGACAGCGACACGCACAGGACTCCTCCTCTCACTTCATCCACACTTGTCTACCGCCAAGAAGCTGGCTCACAGACGCCCGCCACGACGCCCGGTGGTTCCGCAAAAAGCGAGAGCGTATATAACATACGAAGAGGACGGGCTAGCGATGTGGTCGGCGGGCAGCGCGCGCGTATCGCTCTCTCCGCGTTGTGTGTACATGTAGGAAAGAAAGCTATCAGGCAAAGGGTTGAAAAATAGCAGGCTGAAGTTTTTCAATGATACCTGGATAAAATCTTAAGTCAAATAGTTGCGTAATTCTTCTTTATAAGTTTATTTTAATTATTTATCATCCTCACGGCATGGATGATATTGTTTTCGTGCTCTGTTGCATCAGTATTGAGTGTTAAAATCTTCTTTCCGAACCATTTGTGTTTGAACTTTTTGCACGTTAGGTGAATGGATTTTTAATATGCAAAAGGTCCAAACACAAATGATTTAGAAATAAGATTCTCCTAACACTCAATATTTCTTATCCCTGTCTTTCAAAAAATTATTAGATGTTGAGAAAATGCGTCTTCCTTTACATATTTTTCACTTGTTGTCAGTTTTCCAATTATGGTCTTAAAAAAATCTTTATCAACATTCGTGTAGGCACTGTTTACTTCAAAAGTAAACGCGCTCTGTTGCAAACGATAAAAAAAAGAGTTTGTTATTCCAGCATTCACATGAAAAATTACTGCAATTCTTATCACGGCAATTTTTTTGAACTTTTTTTGCAGGCGACGTAGTGAAAAAAACGCCAGGTCGATAGTAAACCTCTTTCATTCGATGTCACAGCCGAATGTCTAGTGCACGCACAACGTGTCCTCCACTTTGATTTTCTCGGTGTGGCATATGCGCTCTTTCCCCGCTGTGCGGCCGTTGCGCGTCGCAGTGTACACGGAAAATCGATAATGGCATTCCACGGCCAGTACCTTCTTTTTTTAATAGTTCCGTCATTTTAACTATTCATGCGACGAGTTGAAGCAAATGTGCTGCAAATCTGCTCAATTCCAAACAACTAACACATCGAGTTACTATGCAACAGTTCCGCTTTCCGCCTGCCGTCTGCAGTCTTCCGTCTTCCGTAAAAAAAATTTTCTTCCGTCTTCCGGGATTTGTTCTTCGTACCGTAAACGAGATAGCTTTTCAGAAGCCATTCACTAGCCCCGAAGAACGCGAATTTCCACGGACAGGCACCCATATCCAAAATTTTTGTTGCTTTAGTTATTTTTTTCAAAAAAAAAACCGGAAAAAAAGTTCTGCATTGACGTTTTCTTCCGTCTTCCGTTTTCCGTCTTCCGGGAAAAAAATTATGTTCTGTCTTCCGTAAAAAAAGTTTTCTTCCATCTGCCCTCTTCCGTCTTCCGGATTTCAAAACTCCATTTCCGCTCAACTCTGCTATGTAGCCAATTCAAATTAGCGATCCTTCCCGTAGAATTTATATTTTGATACGTTTTATGTGTTTCAGGTAGAACAGCCAAAATGAAACGATTGGCGAAGGACACTTCCTTTGGTCCAACTAATGGACTTAAGGAACCGAAACCAGAACCCGAAGACGATTTGGACTCCTTCAACTTCGCGAATGTAGGTGTTTTCGCTTTACAATCATTATCTAATCCTTGTGATTAAAATGCTATGTCTTCATAATTTTTCTTATATTCAGGGTCACGCGGCCAATTCTTATGAGCCTAAAGAAGAACCAGCTGATGAGACTGCGATAGGAAACGGGTATCAGGTAAGCAAACAACGCTGTAATGTGTAAAAATGTTAGTTTTCCAGCAAAAATTCGAAAATTTGATTGATCGCGTTCCGAAAGAAGATTCAGAAGCGGGAGCAAACCCATCGTCTGGATCTGAAAATTCAGTGATCAATACGAGAGACGAACGGTTTGGAAGGGTATTGGAATCCGGAATTAAAGAGGAGCTCAAGTCGGAAACCATTGAAAGCAGACTGGACAAAGTAGTAAAAGCTGAAGTGCCAGATGAGGTGAGATTGCCAATTGGATAGTTCGAGCCAAAGAATTTCCAGGGTCTCGCATCAGCTTCTAAACCATTCGAACTTCCCAGAAATTCCAAGATACATGAAAATTCTTCAGGAGAGAAAAAGCCGAAAGACGAGCCTGTGGATGTTAGTACTTTTTTCTACAACATCTTACGCGCAAAATTGCCTTTAAATTCCATACCAGTGGCAATGCCAATGGAATTTTCCAGGATCCGGCCCGGGCTTTCCGAGGACCGGTCTTGGCCTAGACTTTTGAACCACTTGCAATGTTCCGACTCTACCGAAACTCTGCAAGCTTCTTATATTTGGATTGAAGTATATTGGATCCAAGTTTCAGACAGATCGGATTATCTGGTCCCGAGATATTTAAAGTTTCGGCCAAAATAGGCCCTCCGACACGGTATCTTGAGAGTAAATCATCCGATCGGTTTGAAACTTGAACCAAATTTTGTTAATCCAAGTTTAAAAAGCGTGCAGAGTTTTGAGTCCGTTCGGAAAATTTCAATTAGTTTAAAAGTCCAGGCCAAAGCCAGCGTAATCCAGTGTGATCTCGTTCTCTAAAGAAGTATCATCGTGTTTTTCCAGGTTCCTCCGCCGGTGCCGGTACCCATGTGGAGGCCAAATGTCCGGTCGCTTGCAGATTTGGTCGATAATGAGGACGTCAGTGATAACGACGATATCGGCCTGGGCAATTCGATACTGTTTGATAGATACAGAAAAATCAAGAAGAAACCATCTCGTGGGCCTCTCGTTCGCTCTGTCGCCAGAAATTCCTCAACTGACGAAGAAAATGGTATGTTCACTGATAAGCAAAAATCATAAAAAATAAATCAAAATAAAAAATGATGTTAATAACACTTCATAATTATCCCCACTTTCTAGGTGGCATTTTTAAAACAAATTCAACATTTTTTGAAAATGTGCAATTATATCGTCTAGTTCTTCTATCATTTTGTGGGATTCCTAGCACTGGTTATCATCTGGAAATCCCATGTCGGTGTCACTTTGGTTAGGGAAAAACCCGGAAATAGAGCAGTTTTGTATAGTATCTAGCCACTTCGAACAGAAAATTGCGATTACAGACTTCTACGAAAATAACATAAGTGATGATGAAGGCGACAATGATGATGATGAACCGCAGGCGCAAGGACAAAAAAAACCGATGTCACATTACAAGTACAGAGCGTACTTTAATCAGGAATACGTGAAGAATGTTCATCCATCCATACAAGACATGCTGAAAATGGCGGAACATTGCGGAGTCAGATACCGTACAGTCTGGGAGAGCTACGTCGAAAAACGAGCAAGGCAGCGGGTGAAGTGTCAGAAAGACGACCATTGCACGAAGATTTCGCTGTTTTTCCTTCGAGAAAAGGAGAATATGGCCTATGCAAAAATTGATGATGCCGTGAGGAGTGTGCTGGAAGATGAAATTGAAACGCATCTTCTTTCTCGCAAAAGATTCAGCTTGGGTTATGTTCACTTGGTGAGTGTTCGTTAGTCATTTCATTAACGTGTAAGAAGCCCAAACACACGGGGGGAAAGAAGATTCTTCTAACACTCAATAATTATACAATCATTTCAGATAATGGAAAAAACAGACTTGGCACCCTCTTTCATTCGTGGTCAGTACGAAGGTTGGAAGAAGAAACTGCTCACAAAAGACCGTGACGACTACAGAATCAAAGATTGGAAAAGGGAAAATGAAACGACAAACAACATGTTTTCGATTGAAACGTTACGTAGATTGGAAGAAGCGTATCTGAAGAAAAAGTATCAGAGCACGTACAAAGATTGGGTCCCGAAGGAGGTCAAGGAACTTGCTGATCAGCTTGGACTCGAAGAAAAGCACGTGTCCAACTGGATGGAGAAGAGAAGCGGAGCTGTGCTCGGTCTACAACACGATATCATCGAGTATAGACGGGCAAAAACTGCAAGTAAGAATGCGGCCAAAGGAAGAAAATTACCAATCCACAAAACCAATGTTCTAATCGCTGAGTTTGAAAAGAACGACCGTCCGGGTCAGGAGATACGGATTGAATTGGCGAAGCGGCTGAATTTAAGCGAGCAGCAGGTCAGAAATTATTTTAATAAGAGGCGTATCAAACTGAGGCGTGACGAAGAGTGGGCAGAGGCCCGGAAAGTGATCACAAAAATACCACGAAAGAAGTTCGAGATTCTGGACAAAATAGCAGCTGAAAAAAAGAAATCGCCTACTGAGTACATGGTGGTGAGTTCAGCTGTTTATCATAATCTTTACGGAACGGACAAAATAATTTCAGATTGCCGAAAAACTTGAATTGTCCTATGACACGCTGTGTAATTACATCGACTGGCGGAAGTCGTTAACGGTTCCCGCAAATAAGGTTCCATTGAAACAACCGGTCAAAATGGAAAAATAACTGTATTTATTATTTGTTTATTATGATTGTCGATTTTCTCAAAATATCACTACAGAACACATTTCTCGCCATGAAGATTGTTTAATCACATTCTTTGTTTGTATTTATCATGTTTTGCGTAGATTTCGTTACGTTTATTTAGTCTGCAAATTCCACAGTTTGCCATGGTCTGTGAGATCTTCAAACAGGCGGAGTGCTACCTGAAGAGATTCATGAATCAAGCCACCTATCATAGTGCGCGTCCAATTTAGCTGCTTCAAAATTTGCTCGTTTGCTTGCTAATTCTCGAGAATTTCCGTTTCTTGGTTCTCGTTTCTTGGTTCTCGTTTCTTGAGATTTCAACGTCAAAAATCTCAAAACTTGTTGTTCTCGAAAAGATTCGGTCCCAGGACTCTCGATACCAAATCTGATGAAAAGTATTCACATTGTTCTCAAGAATTCCTTTAGAATTTTTTCAAAACCTAAAAAGTTTCTCAAGACAAATCTCTGAACTGATACGTCTCGAATATGTGGTGAACATAGTCTGTTGACAATGGTATTTCTCCTTGCTTCCTTCCATTCGTTTGTCAGCCGCCGCGTATAATCTCCTCTCCGTACGACTGCGCAAACATATGCTGTCTACCACTCTCATATTACAACGCTCTCTACTCATGTCCGCAATTTTCCGTCGTGGTGTTTGCAGAAATATTTTAGGAACCCCAATATTTTTGTTATCAGACACGTATAACTTCTGTTTTTTTATTCCTCGTATCGATTGACAAGGTAAACTTGATAAAACATAATTTTGTTGAAACCTGTTAACTGCAAGTTGCTATTCATCTTTTTTAAGTCAGAATTTCTCGGTTATCACCGCTGAATCAAACAGACTTCTTTCAGAAACATGGGTGACGAGCAGAAGCCAGCCAAAGCTGCGCATCAAATCTTCAAACTCCGCCGTAACTGGACATGGTGGTACGTATATTTTTAAAACTCGTCGAAAACGCGTAATATCGATTTTATCAAGGTATCTCAACGACGAGCGCCTCAAATCGTGGGAAGAGCGCCTCAAAAATGTGCACACTTTTTCTTCGGTTTCCGAGTTCTGGGCTCTCTACGACTCCATCAAGCCGCCAAGTGGACTGAATCCGCCAGCCGATTACAACGTCTTCCGTGATGGAATTCAACCAATGTGGGAGGTTAGTATCAATATTTTCGGGACACGAAACGATTTCACGACCTTGTCGTGCAAGCGTGAAGTTCGCTTTGAAATAAGCTTTAAAAAAGAGTATACGTTCGGTAGTTACTCTATCTGGGCTTATCTCTACTGATGACGGTGTCAGCCGCTCACGCTGTCTTCTTTTTACGTGATATTAGCAATAGCAATAGTTACGGATAATTTATAGGTGCCGGAGAATCAGAACGGTGGACGCTGGCTCATCACAATCGAAAAGGGCCGCACTCCCGAAATCATGGACACCATTTGGCTCGAAATCCTAATGGCTATGATCGGAGAGCAGTTCGGCAACGACATGGAATCGGTGTGCGGAATCGTGTGCAACGTCCGTGGAAAAGGCTCGAAGATCAGCGTCTGGACCACCAACTCGGCCGACGATGAGAGCAACATTCGCATCGGGTTGGTTTTCTAGTTTGATTATTCGTAGAAATCCAGACAGTTGGTGTTTAACATACATCCTATCAACATTTACACAATGAAAAGAGGGATTTCGAGAAGCTACACAATACCTTTTTTCCGTGTTGCGCTTTTTGTCGTTCTCTAAAAAACGTTTCTTTACTCTCCTGAATAAAAACTTTTCAGAGGCGTTCTGAAGCAAGTGCTGAACAACGCTTCGATCATCCACAATAGACCGTTGTATGACGTGCTTCGCTACGAAGACCACGACAGTTGCCAGAAGAAGACAAGCTCGGGTGTGAAGGCGAAGCATGCCCTCTATGCGGTGGAGCCACGCGAGGAGAAGACGAACTGAATACATTCCACCTGTTTCCCGCAAAATTATTTTGATTATTCTTATTGTTAACCCTTCCTGATCAATACACATGCCTTTTTGCTCTAATTTCCTCAAATAGCTCTATGCAGAGTCTCAGTTTGTATTAAATTATTCGAAAATTAATGTACTTGTTTCTTGAAGGCCAATAAACTGTTGTAGCATTGAAGCATGAATTTTTATGTGTTTGAAAGAGGGGTTTGCGCCTTGAAGCTGTGATTATTTAAAGCATTGATTGTATAAATGGAGAAAAGATAAGTTTATTATAATTTTAAACTATTGGTTTTCAATACGTTGATGAAATCCTCATATGGAAAAGGTGCCAGAACTTGGAGGCTTCCACGTCTGCATACCAGCTAGAATGAAGTTTTTTGAAGTAATTCCACGTCCAGAACAACTGTTCTACCGAGTTTCCCCGTGGAAAACAAGCAATTTCGTATCTGATTGCTTTCTTGACAAGGGTACTTAGAGAATTCGGTTCTGATTTTCAGATTATTTGCAGCTCCACGGTTTCAAACATTTTTTACCTGAGAAGCACTTTATCGAAGACGCCGAAGCCTGCTAAATTTTTATAAAGTGAGTATTACAAATGGCGGCAGCACTTTTAATAATAACGTATTTATTTGTCGGGAAACGTATTTATTTAGATTCGAAGTTATGCAAACTCCTCCAACGAACAGAAACGTTTCTTTGCAACGATTCCGATTGCCATGAAGGTAATAACAGTAATTAAAATTTTTCAATAGGAAACTTGTGAAGTTACAGTGTAATATAATGCAAGGCTGGTACGGAGAGCATAATTTTATCACAGAGAGCCAAATTGAAATTAAAGTAGATACGGTGAGTCTTATGAACCCCATTCATGCATAAATTCAAGCAGGCCGGATCGATGACCGTCCCCATTGTTAAATTTGATATACGAGAAGTTGATGGAACAACCGTGACAATGATCATGCCTATGCAGCACTTCACCCAGCTCTTGGTTAGTGTCCATAACTTTTAAAGTGTAGTAGAAGACGAGTCTACTATTTTTTTATTTGCTGTTTTCAGTACTTCGACGCAAAAACCGACAACAGTCATCCAACCGCTTTGATTTTCCGCCTGAACACCCTCGGATTTTCACAGCTGAGGAAATCTGTGCCTGGACTGTTCAAAAAATGGAAGAAGGTCAATGCGAAGGAGAGAAAAGCGTTTGCGGAGTGAGAGACTAATGTTTGATACAAGAAACTCAGAAACCGGATATTTTCAGTACGGTGATGTTTGTAATTGACTCGGCAGGAACAAGCAACCTTCCCTATTCCATGAAAACGGCAGGCTCGAATAATTAATTGTTAATACAAGTTCTTATTTTTTAGTTCGCTGAATTTTGGCAGTCGCATTTGATACGGCATCGTGGTAGCAAAAAAGATGACGTTGAAGACTTGATTGGTATAGTTTTATTGTTTTAACTTGAATAACTCAGTTTATTTCCAGTAAACATTTGCGAGGTCCAATTCTGTAAAATATACACGCAGTTTGGTCTGAAGAGTGTCGATTCGAAATCAATGTCGGGTTCTAATCAGAATCCAATAAAGATTTTCCAATATGATCCTGAAGGTTTATCATATTTTTTTCTAATATTCTAGTTTTGATTGTTTAACAGTTGCTAAAGATGTCGCGGAACAGAGCAAAAGGGTCAGGACCGTATCTGGATCAGATTCCGAAGAACCTTCAGAAAAGCGAGCAAAGCCGGATTTTGATGAAGAAGAAGAAGAAATGTTGATGATTGAAAGAGAGTTCAGGCGTCAAAACGGACAAGAGTCTGATTCCGAAAATGAATATGATGGTACGCTCTATTAAACGCTTATATTTGCATCAATCTCTCATTCAAACCCGCTCACGCAGACAAATGTTTCTTAATTGTTTAAATTTGACTTTCAGAGACGTCATGCGATAAAAAGGTCACTGAAAAGAAACAATAACATACGTCAAATTCGAACGGGAAAACAACAGTTTTCTGAACTTCCCGTATATTTTTATGTTTTCAAATATATTCTTTTTAATTGAATATATGACCATTTTTCGAAACATTTTTGCTTCACATCGAAACATTCATGATGCCTGTTTTGAAAGCCTGTTTTCAAATGAGAAGTATGTTGTATTTTATATTTTATTTCTTCTATATAATATGTGCTATAACTGTAGTCCAGACCGATCGGACTATCGACTATGTGTTGAACGCTTGCATATCCTTCAATTCCTTATTAATTCCTTATCGAAATCCTTCAATTCCTTATTAATTCCTTATCGAAATCCTTCAATTCCTTATCACTCTTTTTCTGAATCCTCTTGGCACGGTGCCATGACGTTTCGAAAGCCCAATCGTGTTTTCCCATCGGAGTCCTTTGTCGGTGTCCTTATCACTAATCTCTGCCTCTAAATAAGTCGGCGGGTTGTCTTTTATTTATAGCGGTCTCGTTTTTTTCATTTCTACCAATCTCTCTCTTCCTCTGATTTTACGTTATCGCAATGCAAGAAGTCAAACTCTTAACCATCTCTCTCTTCCTCTCTCCTTGGGATCCATTCTTGCGTCAGAGTGGTCCACCGGTTGTCTGTCCTTCGTGCCACGTGTGGAGTAGAGGGTCGCGGACGCCGGATAGGCGTCGGATGTATTCTCGATGGAGATTTCTCTCTCTTTGCTGGGATAGCGACAGTCCGACGAGTCTCCTTTCCAACGACGCGTGGGTTACTTGCACTCTTTCAGCCAGTGCCTTCGTAAAGGTCCTGGTTTCTGAGCCGTAAGCGAGCGCTGGGAGGACGATCGAGTCGAAGAGTCTGGCACGAATTTTAGGGCAGGTGAGGGCATCCGTGATGTTCTTGATTCCGTTGAATGCCGCCCACGCTGCTCGTCGTCTTCTATGGAGCTCCGGCTCCAATTCGTTCCGTACGTTGAGTAGTCTACCTAAGTAGATGTACTCGCTGACATCTTCGATGGCGGTGGTGGTGGTTGCGCCACTTTTGATGCAGACCGGATGGTCGGTGGCAAATGTGTTTCGCAACACTTTGGTTTTGTTATTATTGACTTGGAGACCTACTTTTGCACACCTTTCCACTAGTTCCTGGATCATCTCGCTGGCAGTATTTGGATGATTTGCCGCTAGGACAATATCTTCAGCAAATCTTAGATGCGTTAGATTTCTGCCGTTGATTCTGATTCCAAAGTTTGTCGCGTGGTCCTCGTCGTGTCCTTGCAGATGGTTCCAGGACATTTGGCTGAAGACTAGTTCTAGGCAGGCCGAGAACAAGTTTGGCGAGATAGGATCGCCTTGCCGCACTTCTCTCGTGATTGGGACCGTGACAGGTCGGTGGAAAGGTGTGAATGTTGTGCTGCAGATGGTATAGCACTCTTTGAGTAGGTTGATGTAGGCCGAATCTATCCCTTGCCTTCGGAGACTTTCCCAGACAGCTCCTTGAGAAGGTATGCCGTGATTTTGTCATCTCCCGCTGCTTTCCCGCTCGGAAATGAGTGGATAGCAGCACGGACTTCTTCGAGGAGAAACGGTGGTGGTGTTTCTGTTGTGATGGGTACTGTGAGTACGGGAGGGGGCCGTTGATTACTGAATAGTTTCCGGTAGAACTGCTGGATTTCCTGCTCCATCTTTGTCCTTGAAGTGATTCTTTTGCCGGTCGTTGGAAATTTGAGGCAGGGGATGAAGGATTGGGCGTTCTTGAATGTCCCTTGCCATCCTTTTCAGGCTTCTCCCTTGATTAGCGGCGCTCACAAAGCGGGAACTGGCGAACTCTTCGTGGTCTTTCTCGACTTCTTCTCGGCATTTTATTGACAGCGACTCGAAGTTGGGGTCTGATCTGTCCATAAATCTCCGTTTTTCTAGAAGTTGTCGAGTAGCCCTTGTGATCCGATTGGTTGAGTGGTTGGATGGTTGTGTTATTGCCTGGCTCTGCAGCTCTTTGAGCGCATCGACAAGATTCTGGTAGTCTTTGTCAATGTCTGGGCTCGTTTGAACTATTGTCGATTGGCTCAGAGCGTGGGCAATGGCCGGGTCCAGCACTCTTTTCGGGGGCTTCCTCCGCTTGACCTGCTCGTGTCTAGCGACGCTGGTGTTGATGTGCAGGTTGCTGCGGAGGAGACGGTGGTCGCTACCATTCGTGAACGAGGGGAGCACCGAGACATCAGTTACAAAACGTCCGTTGGCCAGGATATGGTCAATTTGTGTTTGAACTTCTTGTCGGGGCTTAAATGTGTCCATCGTCTGTTGAGCGGCTTTTTGAATTGTGAGTTCATGTGCCACAGACGGTTCGATTCACAGAAGGTAGCTAAGAGTTCGCCACTTTCGTTTCGCGGTTCCATTGCGTTCGTGCCAATGAACCGCTCCGTGTGTTTTCTTGCGCCCATTCGCGCATTGAAGTCGCCGATGATGAGCTTGTACTTGCTGCGGTAGGACAAGTAGGCGTCTTCATTGCAGTCATAGAAGTCGGCAAGTTCTTCTGGATCCGAATCAGCTACTGGTGCGTACACCTGGAAGATTGTGCAGCTGAATCGTTTCCCTACTTTGAGAGTAAGGGAGCCGATCCGGTGGTTGATGAACTTGATTTCTGTGACTTTTGGGAGGAGGTGGCTCGAGACTATGAAGCCGACACCTCCTGACACGGAAGTGGTATTCCGAGATCCTAAGAAAACTCCGGTCCCGTCCCGATGAGTCGAGTGCACTTCGGTTTCTCGTTTTGTTTCGGAAAGTCCGATGACATCGTACTTGATCCGATTTGTCTCAACGAGAAGCTCCATGAGTCGGCTGTCAGTGGCTACTGACCTGAAGTTGAAGGTGCAGACTCGCAGATCGGTTCTTCTTGTTTTTGGCCGGGTGATCTTGCTCCGTACCAAATGGCAGACTGTGGGTACTCCGAGATTGGATCGCCTCTCTCGACTTGCTTCTGGATCTGCCTGAGCAGAAGCAGTGGCCGAGTGCGGAGGACTGAGGCTGATGGTGTTGCTGTTTAGAGCAGTGTTGTGTCCCTTTTTACTCCATTATGACCTGCTAAGCCAAAGTTGGAGCCGCCCGGTCGCAGAGAGTATTCTGACACTACCTCTGACCTGCGTGAGACGGTGTACTTCTCTGCCAAATAAGCCACTCCCGATGTGACGAAATCATCGGGCATGTAGAAGCAGCTTATTCGTTGCCCGGGGGTTCGGCGCGAACTTCAGTACAGAACCCCTCAGGGCTGGGCAATTGACCGGCCCGGGCTTTTTGTTGGCCGACCATTGACCTGGGCATTTGAACCACTTGCAATATTCCTATCGGAAGCAAACTTTCCAGGATTGTTGGACTTGGATTGAGGGCCATTGGGACCAAGTTTCAGCCCGATCGGATCGTCGGGTCCCGAGATATGTGGATCATTGGCCGATTTTTTCCAAAAAACCAGGGCTTCCGGCCAATTTCGGCCAATGATCCACATATCTCGGGACCAGCTGATCCGATCGGGCTAAAACTTGGTCCCAGTATGCTTCAACCCATGTCCAAGAAGCCTGCAAAGTTTGGGTTCGATCGGAATATTGCAAGTGGTTCAAATGTCCAGGTCAATGGTCGGCCAATTGCCCAGCCCTGGTATAACTGGCTTTTTTTGCTTGAAGAGATGAATCTAACAGGCAACGCCAGTCAAATGGCTTAGAGCCATGCTGGAGGTAAAACATGCAAAAACAATACTCGAATGCGCGCAGAGAAAAAATAGTTACGACTGTCTCTAAACACATCGATGAAACGGTTATATTGTTTGTCAACGTGTTAATAGCCAAGCTCATTTGCATAAATGGGGAACGATGTAGAAGTTTTTTAGATGGGAGGAGGCGGAAAACGCGTAGGAAACAAGGAAAAATGAAGCTAAAAGAAAAGGAGCGTTGAAGCGTTTATTGTAAAAATACAGTGTTTCTATTGGAGACGCGAGACACATTGACTCTTGAGTGTCGCATTTTCTTCGGGGATATTGCCGCTGGAAAGTATAATCTGAAATTTTCAAGGAAATTTATTTCAACGTTATCAGCTAGCTTTTTGATTAAAAATTCATTCAGTCTTCTTCGAGAATTAAAGTTGATGAAAATGAGAATTAAAGTTGATGAAAATTGCAAATGGAACGCGATGAACGAGAAGAAAGATCAGAATAAGAGGTACACAGAGAAACATCTTTCAAGAGTATCAAAATGAGAAAATAGAGTTTAATAATAATACAATTAGGTTTAATGTCGAACGAGAAAAATTGAATTACACAAAATAGGTAAAAATAAATAAACAAAAATAAATCAGTGGCATGTTAGATGGTAGTGGAGGAGGAAAAGCAAGTTGCCGGCTCAAGCCCAGAAGTTGCGACATTTGAGCGTCTTTCCGTTGACAGTGGTCGAAACTTCATCAATAATCAGCTTCGCAAATTCTTCGGGCACGTTGAAATCGATCACATCTCCGTATTTCCTCTGGGCAAGTAGGGCAGGAATAAGGCTGAGGTTTTCGAGATGTCTGAAAACAATTCTGCTTTTTCGGGAGATTAATTTTGTGTTTCTCACGAGTGCGTGCGGAAATTATTGGTTCCACGTTTAGCAAGATTTTCCGCCGCGTATAAAACGTCGGGGACGGAGGGAGGCTGGTATGAAACCTGATGTCCGAACGAAAGTTGATAAGTCGTGTTCATTATCTCGTTTTTCGACCATTGAGGCTCATTCACGAGTACTGTAAACCGCGTTGGACGGACCGTACCCTGAAATTAAAAAAATTCACGAGTGTTTTAAGAAAGTAAAAACATACGATCAACGGGGTTTGCGAGGTCATTATGAACTCGTCGAGCCCTTGTCCTGATGTGTAGTCAATGCATGTTCCCGATGGGACGTTCTGCTCGTTTGGCTTCGTTCCTTCAATGCTTGCCGGGAAGATTCGGACGTGTGATCGTCGTTGGGCTATGATCAAGACGAACTTCGGAGAGTATCCGACTTTCTTTTCGGAAGCCGCCTTCTTCATCTCCACCAGTTCCTCTTTGATCTTCTGAAAATCGCCTTCACCCAATCCGGATCGATAAATGACGATTGTTTCTGGAAGGCATCTAGCACTCTTCTCATATCCTTCCAGACAAGTGGGGAACATTTCGTTCAGCTTCCTGAAAAAAATAGTTTTTTTTGTTGAGCTACCTGGGAATACTTACTGCAACTTTGTCAATTGAGAGTCTTGATAATAAGAAAAGCCACCCAATTGGGTTGAATTCTTCAGAGAATAAGCGACTCCCACCACAGTCGGATCGCCACTGAAGATTACTTTCTGGATTTCGAATTGAGTTCTCGCGCCACTGTGACTTAGTTCAAAACCAATAAACTGTGTCTTGGCGTAAAGTTTTGACTGCATTCTGAAAGTAAAAATCATAGTTACTAGTGGATCACTCAAATAACTCACTTCCTCGGATCCGAGCACACAACTTTTCGGTTCATCGAATGCGTTAGACTAATATAGAAATTTGTGCCGCCACATTTGCAATTGAATTTCCTCATTACGTTATCGATGGTCTGAGCTCCTCCCGACTGGTTTGCCAATTTGTTCGCCGTCTCCGTACATACTTGGATAGTCTGCTGTCCAAGTTTCTCCTCGTAATATTTTAAAATATCTGTAAATGCGCTAATTGAAGTTTTTTGTCAAGAGAGTAGTAAGTTGAGGAGAAGTTCTTGTTAATGAAGCACATCTTAAAATTTTCATCTAAAGATGTGTTTTTCTAAGACCTTGTGCAAGGTATTTTCAAATAACTTACCGTGCAACTCCGGACGTTTTTCGGCAGTTATGGCGAACAAAATGTCAACTTTTTCCTCGAGACAAGTTTCGATAATTTCCTTGACTTTAATTGTGTCATGGGGTTGACAGTTCCAGACTTGCCAGTCATTTGACGGGCGTTCGACAACAATTCCCTGGTCCCGGCAGTAGTGGCTCAATTGTTTTTTCAATTGACTGTAAGAAAATAACTTCAAATCTTAAATTGACTCTGGGAATAAAAACTTACTCAATATTACGGAACGAATGGTCTGAGTTGAGGAATGCAATCTTCTTGATTCTGGCGGGAGCAACGAATTTTGCTTTGGTGTTGAACCGGACACCAAATTTTGGATCGGGTGTGTAAGTCTGACCCGCAAACTGAATCGATGCAGGAGCCAGGATTTTTGCCACTGTCTTTATCGGATCGAATGATAGCATTCTGATTCCAAACGACGCCAGATGACGATTTCTCAAGTGATCCATGCGAAGAAACTCGTGGAGTATCATTTGTGTCTGTTTCACGTGCTCTCGTGGTAGAGATGAATTCTTTCCAGTCATGTGCGACTGAACATTGACAGTCATCCGATCGTTCTTGATACGCTGTCCCTCTGAGATGCAAAGCAATTCAATCGGAAAATATTCCTCGTGAGTCAGGCGTCTGGTAGACACGAGGGGAAGGTACGGATATTTGATCGAATAATTATAGACTTTGTGGAAGTATTCGAACACGGTGATTTCGGTTTCATTTCCGTCAGCGTCCTTGTGTGTGAAGCGCGTGCTGTAACAAGATAAATATTATATAAGTGTAGAAGACCACGACGTTAACTAACGTAAACTACTTTTCGATAAATTACACTGTTAAAGTTACCCCCCCTTCCACCACTTTTGGTGATAAGCGAAACTGGTAATGCGTCTTAATTTCAGAAGGGTGCGATTTCTACGAAATTTTTAATCCAGCTAAAACAAAACCGGCGTTAAAGTTAACTGCATGGACATTTAACGCACACCGAAAAAAAAATCGAGTTGACTTACTTCATTGCATTTCCATCGAAAAGACGATCCATTTTTTGGGTTCTGTTAGCTTGCGTTTGGTTCAGATGAGTTGGATTCACTTCAATCCATCGCATCGCTTTGCTCAGCGCCTCAACAACTCCATCCAGCATTTGACCGTCACGGAACGCCTTCTCCAAATTACGGACATGAGCTTCGTTAACGCCATCCCAACGATCATATCTTTGCTCGTCATGGCGAGTGTCTCCTCCACGACGATCGTAACTGTTTCGATTGTATCCGCCACGCCGATCTTCTCCACGACGATCGTGACTACCACGATCATGCCCTCCCCGACCTCCACCGCCACGATATCGTCCTCCAGTTCCGGTGAGCTCTTCAAATTTGTTGCACAAAAATTTCAGAGCGGGAATCGGCTTAAAGAATGCAGATCTTGCAGTATCGATAGTCATAATGACGTCCGGTACATCCGTGCGGCCTGGCAGAACTCTGGTGACTTTGGTGAAGCCTGCTCTGATTTCAGAAACATCATCCGGCTCCGACAAGCGAGCCCCAGAAACCGGGAAGGTTGCTGCGGCGTACAGGTGGAAACTTCCGTCGTGCAAAATTTGATTGGTGACTGTCTCGATGCAACGGGTGAGCTCAGGTCTGTTCTCTTCGGTCAGAGCCTCCCGTCCACGAGTGAACAACTGGAAACGGACATTTTGCTGACAATGTTTTATTAAAATGAGAAAAACCCTCATATTGATGACAATTTTTGTAGATTTTTTTCAAAATATAGTCTTTCTACGTTAAAAATCACTGACCTGTCCGACGGCCTTGATCCTGACGGAGAACTTCGGGTTCCTGCGACGAGACAGACGAGTCACTACCGTCCAATCGTCCGGAGAGAAATCGCTCTCTTGGAATTCACAAATGTGTTCCTCCACACCACCCGCGTAGTTCTGACTTCCGATGTAAATCATCTCCGCGCAATCGTAGGCGGCGACCGACGGATCTGTTTTTCCTTTGAACAACATCGCATTATTTTTGAACCACGTGTTGAACAACACCCATTGAGCTCGTCTGCGAATCTGGCGGTTTACGCTGAAAAAAATTTAGGTTAACTGGAATAGATTTCTCAAAAACGTACTCTCCAACGGCCGCTGCAACGCCTTCATTGATTTCATATGATTTACCGTTTGGTAATATCATGGTGACCTGGAAGAGCACCTTGTGGATGACTTTATCCATACGGGAGATGTCCAGATCAAACATGTTCAGCTGGATATTCATTGTGGCGAAAGGCGCGAAGGAGTCCGAACTAGCGCCAACACTGCTCTGAGGTGTTCTCTTGGAATCCGGTCCATCCTGGTCAACACGTTCACGTTTGGGAATGCGGCCAAACGGCTGAGGACCACCAGCTGGTCCGCTCGGGATTCTTTGGCTTCCAGTTCCCTGCTGCGGTCCACCGTGTGCACTTGGTACTCCAGCTCCGGTACCAGATGCTGATGCAGATCCGGGTCCACGAGTTCCGCCGGGCCCACGGTTCCAAACATTGCTCGATGACGAACGGGATGCTGACGACGAAGAAGAATTCTTGGCGTTTGAGGAAGTCGATCCTCCGGGACGTTTATCCATATTGTTTAACACTTTATCGAATAAATCCATCTCTTTAAGGGGTTCGTTATACCTGAAATTGAAACAGTTTTTTGTTGAACTGAGAAAAGGAACGGAGCAAGTAGTGAGATATGAGGATGTAGGCACCAATAAAATAGGATAAGTGTTGAAATTAGCGATTTAGCGTGCCGATCCGAACAGGCCACATCTCAGTGAAGAGCTTGTCACGACTGACGTCACGTCAATGATCACGACCAATTCGGGCGACGTGCAATTAAGGAGCGAAACCCCACACAATAGGCCGAATGTATGGAAACAAGGCCGAATTACCCGTACTCGACAACCAGTTTTGACGCTATGTAAAGACCGCGCTCACCCAGCGGAGAGAGTATTCAACCATAGAGAGCATTCAACCATCTACCCGCTGCCGTCTCGTTTTTTCCAGTTCCTGATACCCATCCTTATTCACCCACATTTATTTACAAACAATAAATACTTATTACTCTAAAGCATTCTACCACAGTCGCCACAGAGCTCGTGGTTTTTTTTGAACGCAGCGCGCAAGGCAGGAGAGATCTTTTGATGAAAACATTCATGGTTGATTGCTTATTAGCGGTACCTCAGACACGCGTCCCTTGAAGTGAAGGACAACTTTAAAAAATTCAAATTTTAATTCAAATTTTAAAACAGCATGTCCAAAATCCTAGGGAGGAAGATAAAGAGTTTTAGAATAAAATGAATGGATGATGAGTCGGGTTTCCATTTCACGTACTGCAGCTGTGAATATTTTGAGAAGAAAATCTGTCAAACTACATAGATAAAAAGAGGAGAGTATTGCAAAGTGAATATTATGCACATTCCAAATTGATATGGCGTTGCAGCAATCTGGTCGGGACTTATATTAAAATAGATAAAATAGTCCAAACCAATCATAAGGATTATTTAGTTGTTAATTTGCTCTTTACTTCAAGAGAGCTCCAACTGAAGCTCCGTCGAATGCAACTCGTGAGTTTTCGAAAAGGGAGCAACACAGCAGAAAAAGAAGAAGCAGTAGAGCATGAGACATTGTCAGCCATTGCTGATAACAAGTGCAAAAATAGCGGTGCATCTGCCAATACGTCACAGCGTTTTTTTCCACTACAATGTCCGCGAAATATTTGTTTGGCTTTTTGAGCAGAATGCCGTCTCCCTTATTTTAGAAATTTTATGAGAGCCTAATTTTAAATTTTTCTGAAAAGAGACACAGACCGCATTTTTTTTGCACCATTTCTTCAAGGAACAGAATGTTGGATTTGTGAAAGAAAAACATTCGATGGGACACAGACGTAGAAGTCTAGTCCTGTAGAGAAAAATGCCGTGATACGAAAATTTGTTTACTATTACGTTCTATTTACTCTTACACATTTCGTCGAGTCTTGTGAGCCCTTTTTGTTGCATGTGTCACCGAATTCATTTGTTTTCTGGGTTACGCACGCTATTACACCGTGCTTACGGAGCTGGGCTAACCCATCAATTAAAGGTTGCGAAAGGCGAATTGAGACAGAGTTAACAATGGGAAGAGACCGAGAATAAGTTCTGATAGAGATGTAATTTTCTAAGAGATATGGCAATCAGAAGTCAGCAGACTGAGGAAGGAAACGTGAAAAACAAAATGCGAGCTACTGATAACTCATGTTTTAGTATGTAGTTAGCGAGAGTGCAAAATAGTGTGTTTTTCGTTGACAAACTTCCCACATCCCACTCACACTTGTCTTCATAGACTTCCACAAGGCATTCGACAGTGTTGAGCCAGGAGCTATCTGGGAAAGTCTCCGAAGGCAAAGGATAGATTCGGCCTACATCAACCTACTCAAAGAGTGCTATATCAACTGCAGCACAACATTCACACCCTTCCACCGACCTGTCACGGTCCCAATCACGAGAGAAGTGCGGCAAGGCGATCCTATCTCGCCAAACTTGTTCTCGGCCTGCCTAGAACTAGTCTTCAGCCAAATGTCCTGGAATCATCTGAAAGGGCACGACGAGGACCACGCGACAAACTCTGGAATCAGAATCAACGGCAGAAATCTAACGCATCTAAGATTTGCAGATGATATTGTCCTAGCGGCAAATCATCCAAATACTGCCAGCGAGATGATCCAGGAACTAGTGGAAAGGTGTGCAAAAGTAGGTCTCCAAATCAATACTAACAAAACCAAAGTGTTGCGAAACACATTTGCCACCGACCATCCGGTCTGCATCAAAAGTGGAGCAACCACCACCACCGCCATCGACGATGTCAACGAGTACATCTACTTAGGTAGACTACTCAACACACGCAACGAGTTGGAGCCGGAGCTCCATAGAAGACGACGAGCAGCGTGGGCGGCATTTAACGGAATCAAGAACACCACGGTTGCCCTCACCTGCCCCAAAATCCGTGCCAGACTCTTCGACTCGATCGTCCTCCCGGCGCTCGCCTATGGCTCAGAAACCTGGACCTTTACGAAAGCCCTGGCTGAAAGAGTGCGAGTAACCCACGCGTCATTGGAAAGGAGACTCGTCGGACTGTCGCTCTCCCAGCAAAGAGAGAGAAATCTCCATCGAGAAGACATCCGACGCCTATCCGGCGTCCGCGACCCTCTACTCCACATCAAAAAGAGGAAGTTAGGCTGGGCCGGACACGTGGCACGAAGGACAGACAACCGGTGGACCACTCTGACGCAAGAATGGATCCCAAGAGACACAAAGCGACCGGTCGGCAGACCGCCGATGAGATGGATCGACGCCCTCAACAAAGAAGTCACCATCCGACAAGGAAACCGAGTGGTACCATGGAGCACCATTGGCAAAGATCGGAAGGCGTGGTGTGCTGTGATCTGCGCCCACACAACGTGAGCGAGAAACGGATCGACTAATTAACTAAGTAACCATTTCTTCAAGGAACAGAATGTTGGATTTATGAAAGAAAAACATTCGATGGGACACGGACGTAGAAGTCTAGTCCCGTAGTGAAAAATGCCGTGATACGTGAATTTGTTTACTATTACGTTCTATTTACTCTTACACATTTCGTCGAGTCTTGTGAGCCCTTTTTGCTGCATGTGTCACCAAATTCATTTGTTTTCTGGGTTACGCACGCTATTACACCGTGCTTACGGAGCTGGGCTAACCCATCAATTAAAGGCTGCGAAAGGCGAATTGAGACAGAGTTAACAATGGGAAGAGACCGAGAATAAGTTCTGATAGAGATGTAATTTTTTAAGAGATATAGCAATCAGAAGTCAGCAGACTGAGGCAGGAAACGTGAAAAACAAAATGCGAGCCACTGATAACTCATGTTTTAGTATGTAATTAGCGAGAGTGCAAAATAGTGTGTTTTTCGTTGACAAACTGAGAAAAAGGTCGCGCGGCGAGCGAACTTTCAAGGCTACTTTTTTTCCCCCTACTTTTAGGAGGGGCGGCTCCCGAAGCGAGTTTAGAGAATGGCTGAGAGGGGCGGAATTTGAGTTCGAAACGCCATTCTACGGAATTAACGAGGTCGTTTTCGTTCGTTTTTTGATATACTATCGCAAATTTACGTTGTTTGAAATTCAATTCCCCGAGAGTTGGCGAAAAATTCGTCAGAAATCGGAAAATTGAAGTGTTTATATTGCTGCTTGCGTTTCCAAAAGGTCAACCAGAACTTTAGGATTCTCTAATTTTTTGACGGAAAATGGGAGACGAGCAGCAACAGGGAGATCAACATCCGGACAGGCGGTGGCTGCAGGAGTTCGGTGACGAAATGAAGAAAGAAGTCGGCAGAATGATCAGCGCCATCGGAACGCAGAAGAAGAAGAAGAAGGAGAAGGAAGAGGACGAAAAGGCACCACGAGTTGCATCGAAAGGATCTGCATCTAATGGAGCTACATTCTAGACAAAGAATTAAAGAAATGCAAAAATGTTTGTTTGTTGCCGTTAGTTTCTCAACCACGTGTCATGAAATCAGCAACACCAAAATGAACATCAGCGGCTAAAACAAACAGCTTGGAGAAATGAATCGGGTATCTGAGCCAACATAATGATTTCAAAATCGAGGCCTCTGAGAACAGTTGCCTACAAGGCACAACAAATCAATAAAAATCGCCGGCTGGCAAAGAGCGCAACAGTTGTCACAGCTCTGTCGATTTTTCTGTTGAAACCAATCGAAATTGCAAAAACATCAATTGTTTTCGAGCCGCTGTCAGAAATGATCATTTTGCAGAGCAGATTTCAGATGCTCACTGGTATAAACGGATTGAGCTTCCGGTTGTATCACCGGTGTCATTTCGCTCTATCGTTTAGTGTATTCAAGACTTCAGATAGAACTATCTTTATTTCGTGACTTTATTCGACATTGGAGAGTGGTAATCAGGCACTCTCCGTCGTGAGGGGAACACAGAATGAATGCATCTCGGGTTCCTGCGCGCAGATGATGCCGGGGCAGGGTCATCAATCTTGCTGGCCTATGGATTATCTGGGGGAGATAGGAAGATGACAGACCGAAGTGCTGGCCTGTGACAGAAGGAAAAGCTGGAGGCGTTGAAAGTGATTTCCGGAGGACGACCTCGTTAATTTCGTAGAATGGCGTTTCGAACTCAAATTCCGCCCCTCTCAGCCATTCTCTCAACTCGCTTCGGGACCTGCCCTTCCTAAAAGTAGGGGAAAAAAAGTAGCCTTGAAAGTTCGCTCGCCGCGCGACCTTTTTCTCAGTTTGTCAACGAAAAACACACTATTTTGCACTCTCGTTAACTACATACTAAAACATGAGTTATCAGTAGCTCGCATTTTGTTTTTCACGTTTCCTGCCTCAGTCTGCTGACTTCTGATTGCCATATCTTTTAGAAAATTACATCTCTATCAGAATTTATTCTCGGTTTATTAACATTGTTAACTCTATGTATCTCAATTCGCCTTTCGCAACATTTAATTGATGGGTTAGCCCAGCTCCGTATTCACGGTGTAATAGCGTGCGTAACCCAGAAAACAAATGAATTCGGTGACACTCTTGTTCTACTGTCCCAGATCAATTCGATCAAGGCCGGAAGCTCATCTGAGGGCAAGAGGCGAAAGATGGAACCGGACTTCGAACGCGGACGGTGGTTTCCGTACGGGGGTGCCGCCAGAGGCCATGGTGGTACCCGTCAAAACGGAGGCCGGGGAGCTGCGAGAGCAGGAAAGCAGAAGAAAACTATCAAATGCTTTCGGTGCAACGGATTCGGGCACTACGCGTTCGAGTGTGAGCAAAGAAAAAATTGAGAAATTAATCGATCAACGGGTGCTCGTCCTGTCCGCGGAGCAGATGAGAAAAAGAGAACGATTCTGGATCTAAGTGAACTCAACAGGAGTCTCGCTCCTCCTCCTCGTTTCAAGTTTGAAAACCGAGAGTTCCCCTATTATAGACTAATAATAATGATCTAGTGGAGCAACATTCTAGACAAAGAATTAAAAAAATGCAAAAATGTTTGTTTGTTGCCGTTAGTTTCTCAACCACGTGTCATGAAATCAGCAACACCAAAATGAACATCAGCGGCTAAAACAAACAGCTTGGAGAAATGAATCGGGTATCTGAGCCAACATAATGAATTCAAAATCGAGGCCTCTGAGAACAGTTGCCTACAAGGCACAACAAATCAATAAAAATCGCCGGCTGGCAAAGAGCGCAACAGTTGTCACAGCTCTGTCGATTGCAAAAACATCAATCGAAATTGCAAAAACAACAATTGTTTTCGAGCCGCTGTCAGAAATGATCATTTTGCAGAGCAGATTTCAGATGCTTACTGGGAACGGAAAACTGGTTACTGCCTTTTTGCACTAAAAATTGAAAAAAAAGTACGAAGTCTACCGAATAAACTTCACGCAAAAAAAAATGCGTATTTAGGAAGCTGCAAATGCTCTCAATACACTGCGTATCGCCTTTGTACACTGGAATAGTGCAATCGAGTAGCTACGAAGCCAATCGAAGGGAGCGATTTTTTGAAAAATATATTTTGGCACGTAAGTTTCAATATATAATTCTGCCCAAAATCGAACATCTCCGGGGGCAAACAGAACAACTCCGGGGGGAAACTGAAAGATTACTGTGAACGCACCTCGTATGTCTCTTAAAATCCGTGTTCGATCTTATTCCGTGATAAAATTGAGATAAATTGGTTTGGAAAATGTCAAACTAGCACGGTGAATGAGCCATAGTGGTAAAACAAAGCCACGGTGCTCCGAGAGCACGCAAAAAATGGTTTCAAATGAACGCAAAAACTGATGGAAGAGGAAGCGACCGCCGCATTTTCTCGGCCATCTCGGCCATCTCGGCCATCTCGGCCACCTCCCCCTTCCCTTACGTGCCGATGGATTATGACGAAAAAAAAGACATCTACACGGAAAAATCAGCGGTTTTCCACCGAATTGCGAAGAAGTGAGTACTGGAACAATAAAATGATCAAGTTTTACCGAAAATATGAAGGATTTTCGGTACTTTATCGCATTTTCGGTACTTTATTGCATGTTGGGATAAGAAAAAAGTGCAACTGCATATTTTCCGATTACGATCGCCAAAAATGACGAATAACAATTGTCTTAGAAGACAATACGTACCCGGTCAAGATTTTTTCCATTGATGCGATCAGAAGGTGAATGTCAAGCAGGGAGCGCGGTGTTTATTAGGTGGAATCGAACGGAGTTTTGCAGAAAATATGAATGGATTATTACGTTGTGACAAAATGGAAGTTGAAAAAATTGTACAAAATTTCGTTCAATTTCTAAAGTTTTCGGAATCCTAATGAACGTTTTCCAGAATTTCAGAATTAAATCGTCTAAAAAAGGTTGTTTGGTGATAAAAAGATGATTAGAAAAATTAGAAGAACGAGGAGAGTCGGCGCGAAAGCGAAACGAAAACGATTCTCGTATTGTATTTATGTGCATATATATATATACAGAATTGTGGAAACGGACAATAGAGATGCTTGTAGCACCTGAAACTTGAAAATATATTATAGATAGGAATCTTAAAGTTTGAAGTGGTCCCGTAAGATTTCCGGTCAATTCCCACTTTGAGAAAGATTTTGAAGAAATATCGGGTTCTTTTGAGTAGATTTTCATACAATTTAAGATGTTTTTGGAGCCGCAAAACTTACATGTCCGGAATGGGAACGTTGAGAATCTCCGGAAGCATCCATGACTTCAGCCATCTGACCAGAGGATTGTACACTTCAAAAAAGCAACCAGCATCCATTTCCAAACTGAAAACGTTGAATGGAATTCTATCGAAAAGCTGGAGGATTGCGAAGAGAGCGATTCCGTGGAAGTTCGATACTGTGAACCTGTCGGGAAAGTGTTTGGAGTTGAATGGAACCCGCTGGTTTCTCGAGTTCGTTTTTTCCGAGGAAGATCCTAATCCCAATCCCAATCCTGAGAGCAGAAAAGTACGAGACTTTTGACCCAGTTCATACAATAATCTTCTATATTCTTCAAGATCCCTCCAGGCGGATCGTCTTGTCGGGAACAAGACAAAAGTTAGAGTGTCACGTGGTGGCATCAGCCGGGAGTACGTAGTCCCGTAGTGCCTGGCTGACGTCTTCAAACGGTGAAAGTGCTGTCCATCGAATCATCGAACTTTTCCTTTTTACATAGAACTCGATTAAGGGCGGCGAAGTTAGGATGTCAAGAACGGACAGTTCGACAAGTTCAGCTAGTGGTACATTGAGTATCGCAAGAATTTGTGGCACAAGTAAGGGAGACTTTTTTTCTTCAAAAAAAGCTATCGTTTTGCAGAGACGACTACCTTCCACGGCTATTGTACGAGAACGAGATTTCGTGTCTGAAACTGACATTTGACGTGTGTGAATGACCGCCCAATGACGAATCAATTTCGGCGGTCGGAGCCGGTTTACTTGTGAAAATTAATTTGTTCTTAATGTTTGCGATTTTTTAAAAACATTTTCTAGTAGGAATTGAATTTTTTTGTGTGGTGTCAGACTTGTCACGAGCCGGACCGATAGATACATTTTCCTCGGCCCAGCCTGGTCAGCTGAGAAATTTTGAAAAGTGTTGGTTTTTTTTATTTTGTGTGGTGGTTTCTAATTTCGACTTTGATTTTGACACAGTCGGCCTGGATTGCCGGGCCTGTCCCGGTTTCTGTGAACTGTACAAAATACAAAACAACCAAAAAAAATGACTCATTTCTAGACAAAAATTTCTTCATAGCTTATGTTTCTTCATCTGCCCGCTCACATTTTCTGGAAAACGACCACTCAGTTCTGCTGATTCATACCACTGAGAATCACGAGTTGTGTCTCCGTTGGGCCTTGTGAAAGGGCTTTGCAGTTTTTCGAAACGCGGCCTTCTGAACCCATTTGCAATTATACGATCGTAGTGTTTGTAAGAAAAGGTAATATTTCAAAGTAAAGCTACGATCGGATAACAGAAAATGAGTCAGAAGTTCAAACCTTTAAAAGCATTCAAACGCCTTATTTCTTTTAGCTTTGCTCCGTTGGCTTTCTTAATATCCCACCAACGACGATGAGCTCGAAAGGTAAGCATATTTTTTTGAATGCCAAATTAGTTTCAGTTGAACTCTGCCAGACCGTATTCAGAAAAACCATGTGGTCTAGAATAAAAAACAAATCAGTCATGAAATATTGCAAAATTTTGTGATAGCTTGTAAATTATCACACAAACTCTATCGTTTCCAGATAAAAATAAAGAAGCTTCTAAAAAGTCTCTTTTTCGGAGGATTTTCGGATCCAGTTCATCGAACGGTGAGTCAATCGATCAATATAAGTTGAGGGAACTGATTGAATCTTGGTGTTACTTCAGAAAATACACAGCTGAACATAATTGTAAAGGCTATTTTGTGTGGTTCCTTGCATGAATTATTATTTTAAAATCCCGTGTTAGTATAATTCCCGGTTCTGGGAAAAAACAGAAAAATAGAGTAGCTCCATGATTATGTCCAGCAGTGTATTTGTAGTTATCAGAGCTGGGCAATTGGCCGGCACGGGGTTTTCGTTGACCGGCCCTTGACCTGGACTTTTGAACCACTTGCAATATTCCGATCAGACCCAAACTTTGCAGGATTGTTGAACTTGGATTGAGGGCCATTGGGTCTAAGTTTCAGCCCGATCGGATCGTCGGGTCCCGAGATATGTGGATCATTGGCCGATTTTTTCCAAAAAGCCCGGGCTTCCGGCCAATTTCGGCCAATGATCCACATTTCTCGGGACCAAATAATCCGATCGGGCTGAAACTTGGTCCCAATATGCTTCAACCCATGTCCAAGAAGCCTGCAAAGTTTGGGTCCGATCGGAATATTGCATGTGGTTAAAAAGTCCAGGTCAAGGGCCGGCCAACGAAAAGTCCGTGCCGGCCAATTGCCCAGCCTTGGTAGCTATCAATTTTTCAATTGCAGGCTCCAGAACGACACCGGATGAGCCGACGCAGCAGCCAAAGCGAGCGATGGTCCCCGGAGGTAAATACGACAATTCATTGGATTTTGTTAATCTCATTTCTAATCAGTTCCAAGTTCCGTGAAAGAATGCACAACCGCAGCGGACGACGCCCGTCTGGCGGATGAGGCTCCTGTAAGACCGGTGAAGCCAAGGCCGACTAAGGAGGAAATCGGTGAGAATTCAATATTCCCATTTTGACAAGATGCCGCGGATTGTGTGAAGACAAAACCAACTTTTTTTTACGCACATCAGATACATTCATTGAGTGACGTAGTGAATTTTGTGTGAATAAACAACTTGAAATTTTTCTCGCTAAAAAACTCTGAATGCTCAGAAATCAACACATTAATCTTTCTTCAATATGCTATTACTAAAGGTTCCAGTGTACCGAGTGAGAAAATGCCACGTGCCACGTTTCCCAAACAAGAAAAACCGTAGCATATTTTTTTTTAGAAAGTTTTCAATTTCAGAGGCGTTTATTCCCGTCATGAAAATTACTAACAATGTTCTGTCCCGTCCGACCATCAGAAAATCGGGATCAAATCGCCCAAGCCAGAAGGAGATTGGTGAGTGTTCAACCTTTTGTTCTGAATACATAGTAACGAATTTAAGTAAATCGACTGACGCCGAATTTTAAGAAAAAGGAAATAATCGATATCAATATAACAACTTTTCAGACCAATTCTTGCCAATTATGGAGGAAACAATGGAGAAGCTGACAAAAACCTCGGAAAGTGAGTTGCATCTGCTACACAACTCACCTCAATTTGATGTTTCAGAGCCTGGAGACGATCAGAAGAAAACTAAGAAAAAATAGCTTTTTTTTCGTTTTTTTCTCATTTTCCCCTCTACGTTTTTTTCTCATTTTCCCCTCTATATAGACATGACGATGATGAGACATTAAAGATAAATTCGAAATGGAGTTCGGTTCGAAGTGTCCATTTGCAGCTTCTCCTCCCTTATTTTTTTTATCCTAATGTTCTTTATTTGTCTTCATTATTCAAATCCCTTTTTTTCTGCTGTAATTTCCCATTCAAAAAAATCCTATCGAGTCAGAATCATATTCCATTCGATTGTTCGTATATTTTTGAGCATCTGTTTAATTTTTAGATAAAATTGTGACCATCTCTCTTTCATGGAAAAAATATAATGATATCTTCATGCTCCAATTGTAGCAATTTATTGGAAAAGGAAAAACAACGTGAGTGATTGAAATGATTGAACATAAATTGTGCTGACAGGTTTCAATTAAACTGGAGTTCATCATTGAAATTAATTATTTCATGACTGTTATTAGAGACAACAGTTTCATTCGTTCCAGTTTTTTGTTCCAGCTCAAAAGTCGGACTCCAAAAACGAACGTCTCAAGAAATTGACAGGACAACAGTCATTTCTCATGGATCTTCTCTTCATCTCAAATTCCATTATCTGGTAGTGAGTTTTTGTTTCAAAAAGCAAACGGTGCCATTATTTCCGTAAAGCAATAACTTTGAATAGCATGAAAAACGCTAATCGCGCACACTTTGCGTGATAATTTGGAATGACAAAAAGAATAAAAAATGAGTTGAATGAGCATTTGGCAAACATTTTCAGAGATTTGAGAGAGAAAGGTTTTGAAAACCAATGACAACAATTTGTGAATTTCCCCGCATTTCTCCATTGCGTCGTCGAGTTGGTGAGCCAAATGAGTTGGTAAGTTTAATTAGTATTTGTAAATGAGAATAAAATGATTTTTTTTGAAGAACGATTTGTATAAACGGAACAAAGCGTTTGAGGAACTTTCCCAAGGACTGGTTTGTGATATTTGAATTTCTGAAAATCTTTGACCGACGAATATTTTACAGTTGACCGAAGAGAACCGGAAGAGAGGAATTCAGTGTCCACTTCTAGATGTTATGCGGAAATATCAAACAACTTTTCAATTAGGAGCTCTTCCATTTTCAGAGGTGAGTTGATATTGGAAACAAAAATAATGTGTGTCGCAACGCAAATTTGTTAAATTAAATTACGGATGGTAAGAAACATTTGATTTTACAGGAACAAAGACTTGCATTCCGAAAACAGTTAGAAGTGGTCCGATTAGCCGAAGACGCGTTTATCGGTCGATTCGCAAGTCCTGAAAGCCAGATTATCGAAACGAGCCGAGCGGAAGTCTCCGGATCCGCTCTGATCAAAAGCCCCATCCAATCCCGACTTCATCACGTTCTCGCATCTATCCGTCCGCACTAATCCAAATATTTACAATCATAATTTTTGTCATCTAAAATGGCTTTAAAAAATTATTGATATCACAACGCGAGAAGATATAAAGTTGTGGAAAAAAGAGACAACACAACATCAGCGTTAAAATAGAGAACAGAGTAAGCTGGGCACTGTTGTAGAATCGTGGACCAGTTGGAAAAATCGTGGACCAAAGCAAGGGTCTCAGGGAACCGAGAAAATAATAAAATGCGTTTTCTGTGAGAGTAACTACAAAACTTTCAATACAAAAATCGAAATAATACAAGCAGTTTCTGACGAAAAGTTTTTGAATCACTTCAATCGAATCGTGAGAGAGTGGCGACAATTCTGGAAACGTAATTGAGCATAATTGACAGTTCCGAAAAAATCTGTGTTTTTTTCTGTATCATTGCCATTACAACTGCTAACAAGAACTTTTCTTTTAAATAGCAAAACTCCGTTTAAAGGTCTAGCCCCTCTGGTTTTCTGGTTCCACTTTTCTATCTCCCGTCTTCCGAACCTCAAACTTATGCTTCTCCCTTTTCTTTTTTGACACCCCACAAAAACTGACGTTTGACTGCCGCCGCTGAGCATTCGTAGTTTTAACGCCGCAATGTTCGGTGTTTTTTGTGCTTCAAAAACTGTGTTTCACAACTGCTTCTACATCACTATTCTGATTACTTTCTGTTCTTCTCTTACTATTTTAAATTCATAGTGAGTTTTAACAACTTTGAATAGAAGTTGAAAAGGAAGAATTAAAAAGGTTCAAAATAGATAAAAGTTAGGAAAAATCCTCACAAAACAATGCAGTGCTAAATATGTGCTCCCACTCGGTCCAATGTAATCAGCAATCACAGGGAGAGAAGCACACTTCCATCCCCTTCTCTCCCCAATTATATTTCTATTTCACCTCCAGACAATTGCAACCTACAATTAGTAGTAACGTTGCTAGTTGCAGTGTATCATGGAAACAACAACCAGTAAAAGAGCAAATGGACATTGCTGTGACACATAGCAACAAGTCAACGCTTCTGGAAAATGTTAGAACTGAACGGATGAATACATAGGCCGTGATGAGTTTTTTGCAGATAAGTTTCGAAGGTTGGGAAGCCGGTGATACGGAGAAACTACCAAATGGACTGAAAGGAGGAGAACTGACAATGTTTTTGTGTGTACTGAAGCGGACAATCAGGCTAAAAGTTGGAAAAATAATAAGGAACTTGAGCTTTTAAGAGGCAATGTCTGAGAAGTTCAAAAACTGCAGGTCACTAAAAATTCAGAATGCTTCAATTTGTCTCATATTATACCCAATGGGTACTTGCATAACAGTGATACATCAGACAAGTTTTGGTCCGGCTCCTTGGTCCCTAGTCCGATCACGGTCACAAAATAGGTCAAACCTGTAACTAATTTCAAAAAAATGCTAGCGTCTCAGACTCAAGGCCATTCGATTTCTCGCATCTTTTTAAGCATTTTTTATGTTGGCATCAAAAATTTATCACCTTTCCTTCATGGAGAAATTTCGGATTTTTCGTGAAAAAGTTGAGTTGTTGTGCAGTTTTCCTCCGTGGTGAAAATTTTTTGCACTTCATAGCCACGATTTAATTTCAAATTCATAATCTACGGACAATTTTACGTCGATATACCATACTGTCGCACATTTGCCGATTGACATCAAAGGAGTTTTTTTCAAAAAGTTTGATCCGGTCTCAAAAAAAGTTTCTGTTCTGCTTTTTGGAAAAACTTACAGAAACAAGGGAATTCCTGTTTATAGACGTTTTTTTCATGCTAAAAAAACTGTAATTCTGTTATGTATTCGTCAGGTACAGCTTTGTAAACGTAGCGTTTAAAAACATGTTGAAATTTTTTTTGTCAGCCGGATAGATTTTTTTCGAGATGTGTTCGCTTTTTACCCAATATTTTATGCTTTCTCTCGTTTTTTTATTTTTTTCAATGTTCATCTTACTTTTTTTGTGAAGCATTTATTTGGTCGTTCTCCGATTGATTCAAGAACGGTAAACAAGAAGTACATATTATAGGGGCACCGCACAGAAATGGCGCTCTGTTGAGAAACTCTTTTTGCAGTTCAAATTGAGCGACCTCGGGACCGAGTTTGAAAAGTTAGGTCACATTTTCAGTAGAAAATTACTTCGCGGCCTAGAAATTCGGCCAGATTGCGAACAGCGCGCCTTTTCCGTCCGGTGCCCCTATAATACACATGGGGCAACACTCAACAACAAAAGTACATCAAATAGGTATAAAAGCACAAAGCAAATTTTGTGTAGCTATTCTTCTTCCTATTTTCAAACTGTTGATATTATTAGATGGTCAATATTACAGATTATAATGAAACTCATTGTTTTCCTGATTGTACAGTTGCTCTTGCAATGGTCAATTTGTTCCGTCAAGCAATTTGAAGTCATTGACTGGAACATACGAGTTCGAACATGCCGGATACACTTCAACTGTGATTGGGTCTATTGATGAAGAACTAAATGCTGTACTGTCGCAGAAGCAGACCACGTTTTGGTACTTTTCGGAATGTACTAAGTCAACTGATTCTCAAAACACTGCTTGCATTGAAGAAGAAGATGAAAATGAAGTAGAAAGCGATGAAGTGAGACCGCGGTACGAAGACGCTTTGGAAAAGATATTTACATGCCCAGAGGAAGGATGCTCAGCTACATTTTTGAGATATTCAAGCGTGGTCGAGCATGTTGAACGTGGACAACATATAATTCGACCTGAACGGCAGCAGACACTTCGTGATTTTTCATTGAAATAATTTATTCGTGGTTTGGAAGAAGTGGTCAAAAAGTTGCCCAATAATTTCGAATGCTGTGAAAAAACTGAAGGAGACGAACGAGAAGACGGAATTGGAGGACGGATGGGTACTTCAAGTAAGAAATGTCACCATGCGGATCCGAGAATTGTTGAAAAGAGAATGGCAGAAGCTAGAAATCCGGACGGTTCTAAGCGGTTTTCAGTGGATCAAAGGAAAGACTTCCGTCAGATTGCCGGTTTCTTCTCCCGTGAAGCAGCGAAGAGGCAATCAAAAGCAGCACGATCGCGACGCGCTCAAGAAATGAAGGATGACTCGTGGAAGGAAGTAGTTTTCCACTGAAAATGTGGCCAAACTTTTCAAACTCGGCCCCGAGGTCGCTCAATTTGCACTGCAAAAAGAGTTTCTCAACAGAGCGCCATTTCTGTGCGGTGCCCCTATAATATGTACTTCTTGTTTACCGTTCTTGAATCAATCGGAGAACGACCAAATAAATGCTTCACAAAAAGTAAGATGAACATTGAAAAATGAAAACGAGAGAAAGCATAAAATATTGGGTAAAAGCGAACACATCTCGAAAAATCTATCCGGCTGACAAAAAATAGCAACATGTTTTAATCGCTACGTTTACAAAGCTGTACCTGACGAATACATAACAGAATTACAGTTTTTAGCATGAAAAACGTCTATAAACAGGAATTCCCTTGTTTCTGTAAGTTTTCCAAAAGCAGAACAGAAACTTTTTTTTGAGACCGGATCAAACTTTTGAAAAAAACTCCTTTGATGTCAATCGGCAAATGTGCGACAGTATGGTATATCGACGTAAAATTGTCCGTAGATTATGAATTTGAAATAAAATCGTGGCTATGAAGTGCAAAAAATTTTCACCACGGAGGAAAACTGCACAACAACTCAACTTTTTCACGAAAAATCCGAAATTTCTCCATGAAGGAAAGGTGATAAATTTTTGGTGCCAACATGAAAAATGCTTAAAAAGATGCGAGAAATCGAATGGCCTTGAGTCTGAGACGCTAGCATTTTTTTGAAATTAGTTACAGGTTTGACCTATTTTGTGACCGTGATCGGACTAGGGACCAAGGAGCCGGACCAAAACTTGTCTGATGTATCACTGTTATGTAAGTACCCATTGGGTATAATATGAGACAAATTGAAGCATTCTGAATTTTTAGTGACCTGGTGTAATTAGCGAATTTCGAGGTTCTCAGACATTGCCTCTTAAAACGTCTAGTACTCTTTATGTGCATTGTTCTGAATTGAAAGAAATTATTCCCGCTGTGAAAGATGAACTGTTCTGATTATCGGCATTGGTTTGGAAAAAAACCCGCTTAGACATTGCGTTTGAATAATGCGGATTGTGCCGTCTCGAAAGATGCCAACAAAATTCCCAATAATTCCCTTGACGAACTTGTAAGTTATTGCTTCGAAAGCACATAAAATAAATCGCCGCCATTGCCTCCAGCGAGCAGAACATTTCGTTTTTTGAAGGATTAGTAAAGCTTTCTTTTGGCATGAGTAAAAAAATTCAGAGATTCCCGAAAAGTACACAAAGTGGCAAAAAAAAAACGGAATGGAAAATTAGAAGTTTACAACAAAAAAAGGGATGAAATCTAGGGTTGCAAGAGGGTGTTCGCGCCCTCTTGGCCTTTTTGTTCGGACGGATTTGCCGGTGTGATGAAAAGGTCCCTTGTGGTGATATTGTAAATTCTCAACAGATGCTGAAACAAAATGATTGGTTGGTTGCAAATTGTCCTAATTTCTTACTTCCGTTCGCTCCGCATAATGGTGCTTCTGGCTGGCAGTCATCGTTCCGCATGCTAATCTGAGTTTGCGGCAGAATTCTCGAACGTGATCCTCCATTTGATCGAACGCGGCGTCAATCCGTTTTGTCGGCGGTTCCATATTTGGCAGCGGGATCACGTATCGCACACATGCTTCAGAAGGAGGAGCGGAGGACGTCAATGGTATTTGTGGTCCAGCGGACCGTCCCTCGAATGTCTTCTCAGTTAGCTGCCGCATTTTGGTGTGCTTCGAGTAGGCGGATTCTTCTGGCATTACAACTTTATAAATTCCGTTCGGAGAAATAGAAGTAGACGACGAAGAAGAAGCTTTCGTGTCCTCTCCAAACGTCTTCTGAATCATTTCGAATAAATCGGTAGGGGCCACATTCGGATCGATTTGTTTCGGATACACGTATCTGCTCGCCCGTGGTCGATACTCGTGGTCCTTTGAATGGTCCCGATTTTGGCTCAAAACTTTTACCGCTTCAATCAAAGTCTGATGTTTCGGATTCGTTTCTGGAGCCGCGGCAGTCGAAACCACTTCGCTCTGCAACGGATCTTCCAACTTTGGCTCTTTCAGCATTTCCAGTTCCAGATCCATCGGCTCTTCTTGTTTCATCTCTTTCAGCAACGTTTGGGCTCCTTCACACTCCCCCACATCTTCCGCTTTTTCCCGCTTGCTCCGCGGCTCGTCGTCTCCGACTGCCATCATTGTTCTTTTCCAACTGCTTATCGTTTTGCGCTTTTTCAGAGTGTGGATGTAGTCGTGGCCAAGTGCGCTGAACAATCAATGTAATATGTAATCTCCAGCTATTCCAAGAAAACTTGCATATACGGATGCTTGACACTGTTTCTATTGTGAATTAGTTTATCGAAATCCGCAGCACCCTCTTTCTCCTCGTCATCTTCTTCCGAAGAGTACTGTGGTCCGACAGTGGTCGTCAGACTCTTCTTTCCAAACTCAAAGTCGAGTCCGAGCGCGTAACGAATGCACCCTTTGTGATTGCGGCAAATCAGTGTGCAAATTGCGTCGAAACTGAAAAGAATGCAAAAGTTTTTGACAGCAACGGAAAAAGATAAACCGTTTGAGCGCTTGTTTGTCGACGGGAATGTTAAAAATGTAGTAGAGCTCGAGTTTGGTGATGATGTCGAAGCTCGTTGACAAAATATTCTTAGTGAGGTATTCGGAGAAGCTGAAAGTAGTGTTTTCAAACTAGAAAACCTATTTCAAGCATACTGTCTGCTCAAACTCTGCCAGTTCCGTTGAGTCTTCATATCCGCCACATAATGCTGCCACAGCTTATATCCAGTAGCTTTTCCTACATATCTGATGCATTTTCCGCGTTCGTCTCGATGTTTCTCGAGCAAATACTCCCAGATGCGCATATTCTCTGCCTCCGAGTACGGTATCGTATCGTTGTATTTTGACGGACGTTTGAGTTTGGAGAAGCGAGTGGACGATTGTATTCCGATCGTGCCACTTTCGAACGGGTACGATTGCAAAACCAGCGAGAGTGGACGGTACTTATTTTCGAGCACTTCTCCGTTATCCGACAGTTGTACACCCGTTTCTTCCATGATTCTGAAGCAAATATTCAATCATTTTTGAAAGAATACTGTGGAAAAATCCTACTTCACGCGATATTCTTCCGGAACTGGGAGTTTGAGACTCTGATAAAGCGCCGCTTTGGTCATGGAATCGAACGGCATTCGGTGAAGGTTAGGCGCCAGAATTCGATCGAATCTGAATCAAAATTTCAGCAAATATTAAAGTTTGCGAGGAACCTGGTCCGGAAGACGTCGGCGGATCTCACGGGGATCTCTTTGTTCGTCTTGATGGATTTTTGAAATTTCTGCCAAAAACGGATTTTGGGCATGTCCCCGTCGCCATTTTTTACACCATCCAACACAAACTTCCACATCATCCCGTCTTCTTTCTCCGTGAATCTTTTGAGAGTTCTGAAAATGAGAAAAATACAGTTTTCTGACATTCCCTTAAAAACCAGCTAATTTAGAGCAAAAACAGTAAAACGGCACCTGAACTCTCTACTTTTCGACCGCGAACTTCTGCTGCTGCCAAAATAAACGGGCGGTATATAAGTAGGGGGTTGCTGCTCGCGGTCGCTCTCCGGATGAACGGGGTCCCAGTGGTCGAGCGAACGACTGCCGGTGATGACACCCTCCTTGTCGTACTCAACGTCGAAGAGCTGCTCGAATGCCGTACGCAGCGATTTGTGGACTGGAACATCAAGCGAATAATAGAGATCCACTTTCTCCTCCATCGTCAGATAGACGTTCTCGTGAAGGTGATTAATGCAGCGACAGAAACTGAAAAGAGCAGCATTTAGTTAATTTCAAGCTACTTTTCGAAAATTTGAAAAATACTTTAAATAAACACTAACTGATCGGAATACGAGACAGGTTTTCGCCAGGCATTCTCGCATTGCAATGTAAATCGGGCCCAAAAGTGCATCGACTTCGGATCCACCTTTCTTTTGGCGACGCGTCCCTCGCGTCCTTCCGATTTGCTTCTGATCTCGTCGAGAACGAATCGAACGACGGCGTTGCTCTCCTCGGTTGTGAAATGTTCGATAACTGAGGGAGCGTTGAGAATTGACGAACGGGGCTCTTCCAGAAGTTCATTGGGCTTTCTTTCTTCGATTTGCGGAGTGAGGTTGTCGAATTTTTCAGCTTTTTTTTCAGACGGGCCCGGAGAATCTAGAATTGTATTGATTTTCGAAAAAAAAATCGAAAGTTCACCTCGATCCGAACAATCGACCTCGTCGATGTCATCGTCTGAATTCCAATTATTTTCCGCCAATTCGGCTTGAAGTATTTCGCGTATTTGATTTCTTTTATTTCGTCGTCCTCTTCCGAGTTCATCGCACATTTTTACTGCAAACTTTTACAAATTCACGAAAATCTCCAGCGAGAATCGATAAAATCGAAAAATAAAAGATTAATAGTGAATTTAACGGACAAAAACGGTTTTTTGGATGACATCGAATAGATATTCTCGTTTTTTTTTTTGGTTTCTGAAAAATTTCGCGGAAAAAACGGAGATTTAACAAGAAAATGCTAATAATCAATTTTTCTGCACATTAGAAAAGTGTCGGCGGCGATTCTCAGGCCACGGCCGCGGCGAGTGCATTTGTTAGGCCATCGTGAAAATTTACGCATTTTATGAACGGAAGTGCAGCAGAAAAACCTCAGAGTTTGGCCAAGCACGAAAACAAGTAAAATACAGAAAATATCTTTATCATGGACATTAATTCAAGTGTGTATATACATACGACGTGAATTAGTAATTTTCAAAACAAGAGAACTTCAGAATTATTTCATTTTAACGTACTTTGGACTAATTCAATTCACCAGCATTAGCTATCAACAACAGAAGAAGAAGGTGCTAACTAAATAGAATAATGAAGTGCTATTGATAAAAAAATGTTAATAATTTCATGAATTGATAGATCGAGATTTAGCAAATTCGTAAGTGAGTTGGATCATTGTAACTAAAGCAAAGCGTGATATTTTAAGATAATACTTTAACTTTTTTGTATATATAATACAAGCAATAAATTATAAATAAATACGAACAGATTACAGATCTGGTAATTGCTGGGGATACCTCGGTCATTCACCCGTCAGTAACTAAAATATATTCTGCTTTGTTTTTTGGATTCCAGTCTTCGCAGCAAAAAATCACACTAATTAGAATCAGGAGTATTCAAAAAATAACGGAACAGTTTACGGAAAGTAATTTTTTTGCGTTCCTCGTTCTCAGCAATCAAGTCCTGAAGAGTAATCTTAGAAGACGCTTCGTACACCATCGCTTTGTGATCTCTGTCTGCAACAAAGCCAAGAACCTCAAACTCATGTCTTCTAGCCTGAAAATTTGCATTTTTAATGGGAACTTCCATTAAAAGAGTTGTTACTAACAGCAGTGTAGCCTTGAGATCCAAGAGTGGCGATTCGAGAGTAGAGACGCAGAAGGTTCATCACACTTGCTTGCACTTTTTTGCGCTCCTCCTGAAATAATTGTTTTCAGAAGCTTACTGGTCTCAGGGCTTCTTACGCTTCTAGAAAATCTCAGCATTCCGTTCACCTTGTTCTCCAGAATACGCTGAAATGAAAATATGTTGACCGTGAAGTTAAAAGCCATAAAAATAGAAATGTTCACGTGTAGCTTTCTTAGTTGGCCCAACACGCGTACATTACTCTCAGCAGCATAAATTTACCAATTCTTCCTTTGTCGCAACCAGCCTTCCATTTCCACGATGATGTTTCCCACGTTCAACAGCGTAGCATTTGAAGACAAATCCCTCGTATTCGAATGAGCCAGTGTACCACTCGCGATCAGGCGGAACTGTATCCATTGGAAGAATTATGCAGGTAAAAAGTAAGAAATCACTAGTAACTTTTGACCAACCGATTTCTGAGGACGGCGGACTATCTAATCACTCATGTCGAAATCCACGTTTCATTGCGAAAAGAAAACAAAAGAGACACATTGTACAAAAAACGGTCGGGATTAGTCATCGTGAACAGGTTGTAGCTTGATCAGAACTACCGCTGAAATATTATGAAGAAATTGATCGATGACAACATTTCTGAACAACAATATCACAATAACCGAGTTTTTGTAATGTGTAAATGCGGCACAGCTCAACTTTGAAATTGGGAAAATACACCACCGAGTTATTTATGAATTGTGGCAGAAAATAGCGGATGTAGGAAGAGCTCAAGAACGACGATGCTGTCCGCAGCACAACGATTGGATGCCGGTGATGAGAAAATGCAGAACGGATTGCGATTCAGACTCCTCCACTTTCTCCAACTTTTGATGAACGACTACCTTCGCTGGCGATTTGATCTTCTTGATAAATTCACTCTCCGCCTGGTGGAACGTAGCTGTCATCTTCTCAAAATGTTTCCGGCGTTTCTGCAATGATTTCATTTCTTACGTACATATAACAGGCTCTCATTAGAATGAGCTATATTCAAACATTACCTCTGAGTACGGTTTTATTGACAACGCGATTGCATTCTCGTTTTTTCTCAGGAGACAAGCTAAAGCGGGTTTGTCCTCAGTTCGCAAGTTTGGATGAATTGCCCATTGTCGCAATTGATCACGTTTTCGAAGAAGGTGGGCCTAAAAGCAACCATGAAACCTTTAGGGTATAGAACACTTTTTTTGAAAGGTTGATTATCATTTAAAAATAAACATATTTAGAGGAATAAACCAACTGGAGAACAACCGAAAGTATTCTGTCTAACGCTCGTCAAACATCGACTGCGACAATCGCGAAACCACAAAGATTCTCCAGTCAAACCATTGACCTGTTCCGCATGCAATCGTCACTGCTCAACCGCACGGACCCACGGAGCCACATCCAACTACATACTTCAGACAAGGAAACTTCTGAGAGCATCGGTGATACATCGGCGCTTTCGAAAATAATTTTTTCAAAACCGCCAGGTCAGACCTGTTGCAACTATGGAACTTAACGATGCAGCCGTCAACGAATAATATTTGATTACAAAATGAAATAAACAAATATGTACGGAAAAAAATGTAAAAAATATACCTGCTCGGGTTGTTTTGCAACCAAACAGGGCAGCAGTCTCAGATGAGTGCTGATTTCCAAATCGGACTGCCTTTTGTTGGTCATTTTGTAGTTGCAACCTTTAAAATCTCGAAATTAATTTAAAAAGAGAACATGCGAAGGGGAAAAGTGAATTAACAGCTTGGCTATCTGCAAAAGGAGGATAGAAAACAGAAAACCATTCGTTTTATACGACGTTCACGTGGGATCTTAGGTCAGATGCTTAGTGTCGTGAACGACACATATGTGTGAGCGATGCTGAAATGGAATGGGCTGCCTAAAAGGTTTTATTTCTTCCCTCATCCCAAATTTGATGGGCTTAGGAGTGGGCAGAACAGTGCACATTTAGCAAATGTTATGGAACGATGTCAGCAAAAACAGTGAAATAGAATGTCAAATTGAAAACAATGATCTTGGCAATTGAGGCCCTTATTCGTTCACTCAGGCCCTTATTTATCTATTGAGGCCCTTATTCGTTCACTCAGGCCCTTATTTATCCTATGAGGCCCTCATTCGTTCACTCAGGCCCTTATTTATCCATTAAGGGACTTTGTCAGTCACTCAGGCCCTTATTTATCCATTGAGCCCCTTATTCGTTCACTCAGGCCCCAATTTATCTATTGAGGCCTTTATTCGTTTACTCAGGCCCTTATTTATCCATTGAGGCCTTTATTCTGTCACTCAGGCCCTTATTTATCCATTCAGGCCCTTATTCGTTCACTCAGGCCCTTATTTATCCCCATTGAGTCCCTTATTCGTTCACTCAGGCTCTTATTTATCCCCATTGAGGCCTTTATTCTGTCACTCAGGCCCTTATTTATCTATTGAGGCCCTTATTCCTTCCATCAGGCCCTTATTTATCCATTGAGGCCCTCATTCGTTCACTCAGGCCCTTATTTATCCATTGAGGCTTTTATTCTGTCACTCAGGCCCTTATTTATCCATTCAGGCCCTTATTCGTTCACTCAGGCCCTTATTTATCTATTGAGGCCCTTATTCGTTCACTCAGGCCCTTATTTATCCTATGAGGCCCTCATTCGTTCACTCAGGCCCTTATTTATCCATTGAGGGACTTTGTCAGTCACTCAGGCCCTTATTTATCCATTGAGCCCCTTACTCGTTCACTCAGGCCCCAATTTATCTATTGAGGCCTTTCTTCGTTTACTCAGGCCCTTATTTATCCATTGAGGCCTTTATTCTGTCACTCAGGCCCTTATTTATCCATTCAGGCCCTTATTCGTTCACTCAGGCCCTTATTTATCCCCATTGAGGCCTTTATTCTGTCACTCAGGCCCTTATTTATCTATTGAGGCCCTTATTCCTTCCATCAGGCCCTTATTTATCCATTGAGGCCCTCATTAGTTCACTCAGGCCCTTATTTATCCATTGAGGCTTTTATTCTGTCACTCAGGCCCTTATTTATCCATTGAAGGACTTTGTCAGTCACTCAGGCCCTTATTTATCCATTCAGGCCCTTATTCGTTCACTCAGGCCCTAATTTATCTATTGAGGCCTTTCTTCGTTTACTCAGGCCCTTATTTATCCATTGAGGCCTTTATTCTGTCACTCAGGCCCTTATTTATCCATTCAGGCCCTTATTCGTTCACTCAGGCCCTTATTTATCCCCATTGAGTCCCTTATTCGTTCACTCAGGCCCTTATTTATCCATTGAGGCCTTTATTCTGTCACTCAGGCCCTTATTTATCTATTGAGGCCCTTATTCCTTCCATCAGGCCCTTATTTATCCATTAAGGCCCTCATTCGTTCACTCAGGCCCTTATTTATCCATTGAGGCTTTTATTCTGTCACTCAGGCCCTTATTTATCCATTGAAGGACTTTGTCAGTCACTCAGGCCCTTATTTATCCATTGAGGCCCTTATTCGTTCACTCAGGCCCTTATTTATCTATTGAGGCCCTTATTCGTTCACTCAGGCCCTTATTTATCCTATGAGGCCCTCATTCGTTCACTCAGGCCCTTATTTATCCATTGAGGGACTTTGTCAGTCACTCAGGCCCTTATTTATCCATTGAGCCCCTTACTCGTTCACTCAGGCCCCAATTTATCTATTGAGGCCTTTCTTCGTTTACTCAGGCCCTTATTTATCCATTGAGGCCTTTATTCTGTCACTCAGGCCCTTATTTATCCATTCAGGCCCTTATTCGTTCACTCAGGCCCTTATTTATCCCCATTGAGTCCCTTATTCGTTCACTCAGGCTCTTATTTATCCCCATTGAGGCCTTTATTCTGTCACTCAGGCCCTTATTTATCCATTGAGGGACTTTGTCAGTCACTCAGGCCCTTATTTATCCATTGAGCCCCTTACTCGTTCACTCAGGCCCCAATTTATCTATTGAGGCCTTTCTTCGTTTACTCAGGCCCTTATTTATCCATTGAGGCCTTTATTCTGTCACTCAGGCCCTTATTTATCCATTCAGGCCCTTATTCGTTCACTCAGGCCCTTATTTATCCCCATTGAGTCCCTTATTCGTTCACTCAGGCTCTTATTTATCCCCATTGAGGCCTTTATTCTGTCACTCAGGCCCTTATTTATCTATTGAGGCCCTTATTCCTTCCATCAGGCCCTTATTTATCCATTGAGGCCCTCATTAGTTCACTCAGGCCCTTATTTATCCATTGAGGCTTTTATTCTGTCACTCAGGCCCTTATTTATCCATTGAAGGACTTTGTCAGTCACTCAGGCCCTTATTTATCCATTCAGGCCCTTATTCGTTCACTCAGGCCCTAATTTATCTATTGAGGCCTTTCTTCGTTTACTCAGGCCCTTATTTATCCATTGAGGCCTTTATTCTGTCACTCAGGCCCTTATTTATCCATTCAGGCCCTTATTCGTTCACTCAGGCCCTTATTTATCCATTCAGGCCCTTATTCGTTCACTCAGGCCCTTATTTATCCCCATTGAGTCCCTTATTCGTTCACTCAGGCTCTTATTTATCCCCATTGAGGCCTTTATTCTGTCACTCAGGCCCTTATTTATCTATTGAGGCCCTTATTCCTTCCATCAGGCCCTTATTTATCCATTAAGGCCCTCATTCGTTCACTCAGGCCCTTCATTATCCATTGAGGAACTTATTCGTTCACTCAGGCCCTTATCTATCCTATGAGGCCCTCATTCGTTCACTCAGGCCCTTATTTATCCATTAAGGGACTTTGTCAGTCACTAAATAAGGGCCTGAAAAAGGCTCGGAAGGTTGTCCTGAAAAGGATTATCTTATCTTGCAAGGTCTGAGAGAGCTCTGAAAAAGGCTTGGAAGGTTGTCCTGAAAAGGATTATCTTATCTGGTAATTTCTGAGAGAGCCCTGAAAAAGGCTTGGAAGGTTGTCCTGAAAAGGATTATCTTATCTGGTAATTTCTGAGAGAGCCCTGAAAAAGGCTTGGAAGGTTGTCCTGAAAAGGATTATCTTATCTGGTAAGGTCTGAGAGAGCCCTGAAAAAGGCTTGGAAGGTTGTCCTGAAAAGGATTATCTTATCTGGTAATTTCTGAGAGAGCCCTGAAAAAGCCTCGGAAGGTTGTCCTGAAAAGGATTATCTTATCTGGTGAGGTCTGAGAGAGCCCTGAAAAAGGCTTGGAAGGTTGTCCTGAAAAGGATTATCTTATCTGGTAAGGTCTGAGAGAGCCCTGAAAAAGGCTTGGAAGGTTGTCCTGAAAAGGATTATCTTATCTGGTAATTTCTGAGAGAGCCCTGAAAAAGGCTTGGAAGGTTGTCCTGAAAAGGATTATCTTATCTGGTAAGGTCTGAGAGAGCCCTGAAAAAGGCTTGGAAGGTTGTCCTGAAAAGGATTATCTTATCTGGTAATTTCTGAGAGAGCCCTGAAAAAGGCTTGGAAGGTTGTCCTGAAAAGGATTATCTTATCTGGTAATTTCTGAGAGAGCCCTGAAAAAAAGGCTTGGAAGGTTGTCCTGAAAAGGATTATCTTATCTGGTAAGGTCTGAGAGAGCCCTGAAAAAAAGGCTTGGAAGGTTGTCCTGAAAAGGATTATCTTATCTGGTAATTTCTGAGAGAGCCCTGAAAAAAAGGCTTGGAAGGTTGTCCTGAAAAGGATTATCTTATCTGGTAATTTCTGAGAGAGCCCTGAAAAAAAGGCTTGGAAGGTTGTCCTGAAAAAGGATTATCTTATCTGGTAAGGTCTGAGAGAGCCCTGAAAAAAAGGCTTGGAAGGTTGTCCTGAAAAAGGATTATCTTATCTGGTAAGGTCTGAGAGAGCCCTGAAAAAAAGGCTTGGAAGGTTGTCCTGAAAAGGATTATCTTATCTGGTAATTTCTGAGAGCGCCCTGAAAAAAAGGCTTGGAAGGTTGTCCTGAAAAGGATTATCTTATCTGGTAAGGTCTGAGAGAGCCCTGAAAAAAAGGCTTGGAAGGTTGTCCTGAAAAGGATTATCTTATCTGGTAATTTCTGAGAGAGCCCTGAAAAAAAGGCTTGGAAGGTTGTCCTGAAAAAGGATTATCTTATCTGGTAATTTCTGAGAGCGCCCTGAAAAAAAGGCTTGGAAGGTTGTCCTGAAAAGGATTATCTTATCTGGTAACTTCTGAGAGCGCCCTGAAAAAAGGCTTGGAAGGTTGTCCTGAAAAAGGATTATCTTACCTGGTAAGGTCTGAGAGAGCCCTGAAAAAGGCTTGGAAGGTTGTCCTGAAAAGGATTATCTTATCTGGTAATTTCTGAGAGCGCCCTGAAAAAGGCTTGGAAGGTTGTCCTGAAAAGGATTATCTTATCTGGTAAGGTCTGAGAGAGCCCTGAAAAAGGCTTGGAAGGTTGTCCTGAAAAGGATTATCTTATCTGGTAATTTCTGAGAGAGCCCTGAAAAAGGCTTGGAAGGTTGTCCTGAAAAGGATTATCTTATCTGGTAATTTCTGAGAGAGCCCTGAAAAAGGCTTGGAAGGTTGTCCTGAAAAGGATTATCTTATCTGGTAAGGTCTGAGAGAGCCCTGAAAAAGGCTTGGAAGGTTGTCCTGAAAAGGATTATCTTACCTGGTAAGGTCTGAGAGAGCCCTGAAAAAGGCTTGGAAGGTTGTCCTGAAAAGGATTATCTTATCTGGTAATTTCTGA